AGAACAAAAAAAAAAAAAACAATTTGTGCGCATCACAGGTCAACTCTCGCAGATGCGACAATCACATCAAAATACCAGCGATGTAACTACCACCGAGTACACGGGTTACGAGGTACATAAGTTACCCCGATTCTGGTCCTTATACTAACTAACTAAACCAACACGGCCACCAGCCAGCCCACCGCACAACATGCTGCGCTGCGCTGCGCTGTTCAAGCCCCTCCCCCGCCCGGCGGCCAGGGTAGGGTCGTCGTCAGACCCCGTCTGATGAATCAGAGCCCAGAAGAAGAGCGAGCACAGCGCCAGCTCAAACCAGCGCGAGGGGGAAATAATAAAAATAAAAGGGTATCATTGGGGCTCCTCTTTACTCCGTACTCCATACCCAGCCCCCCCTCTCCCAAGACCATTTTAACACCCCCAGACTCTATGATGAGAGAGGTGAGAATGGGGAACAAGAAAAAAAAAAGCAAAAGAGTGCCACGGGCGGGTACTGTGTTGTCTACGGCAGCCGGCTTTCATGCGTTTGGTCTGGTGATGCTCTGCTGTTGAGCGACGGCGACTCGTCCGGAGTCTCAAATTTGAGGGCAATCCCAATCTCGGCATTTCACTGCCCTCTCGCCCTCTCTCGTCTTATTTTTTTGTTACCAGCTCTCCCAGACAGGAGAGTGAGTGGGCTTTTTTTTTATGCACGCGCGAGCTGCATGGAACCAGGCCTGGCGTGCATATCTTTTTTTATTATTTCATTTATCATTTATTTCCCGCAGCATGGCCGGGGGGGGAGGGGTTCTTGGGTCCTTTGCTCTGCGCTTTTTCCATTTTTACATACACTGCATATTCAGTAGTTAACTACTACAATATACCCAGCCAGCAGGGCGCCGTGGGCCGGCGCTCACGCCGCAACACCAGTGCCTTGTTTGGGCAAAGCATCAGAATTCGAGAATATCGCCTCTCCAGGCCGAGGAGTTGAAACATCATGCTCGAAGATATACACATGCGTGCGCCTGAGGCCCAGGGTGTCTGATCGGGCTCGACGCCGTCCCACGACGCGCCGTCTCGAGCCATCACTGCATGGTCTTTGGTTTTGGCGACATATGGCGTCCCTTTCTTTTGTTTTTTTTTTTTTTTTCCTTGTCATGCCATTTCGAGAGATCCGCGCTTCCCCCGGGAGATACATATGACTGCTATGTCAGAGCCAGGCAGGGTCCCTGGGGAAAATCGCATCGTGCAGGTACCTTTTCATAAACAAGAAACACAAAAGAGAGAGAAGAAAATAGGCGTGAAGCTTTGAGCGAGTCCATTTTCGCCCAGCGGGCATAGTTAACTAACTATGCTGTAGAGAAACAATGCTCTTTTCTTTTTGATGAGACTTGTCACTTGCGGGCCCGACGAACTAGTATTATTTGTCACTTCACGACCCCCCAGGCCGACACGCTGCCGGGCGGCCATTCCCATTGGAAACACGCGTGCATTACCAAGAGAGTTAACGGCCACTTTTTTCGACCGCGCAGCAGGGTCCGCAAGGCATCGATCACTTCGACCGCGCAAGAAATACCTGATGCTCAAGAACGCTAATCGCTGACTCGAGAGGGATACGTGCATATAGTAACCGATGGTTATTATTGTTGTACTCCGTATGTATTCTCCATCTCCAGCTCTGGGATTTCGAGTTGCCTTCCCACCCCCCTGCGGCCCTGCCCGCCTTCTGGCTTGTCGACAGGGAAAACCTGGGAACCGAGAGCTTCAGAGTGCCTGGGATTCTCAGGGCTCCCCCCAGGGAAAAGCGGAGCTCTGGGGGCCCCGTCTGATAATGAACGAAATGATTATTAGCATGGCAGGACAGGTATTATTATTATTTGCGCAAGATTTCGATCGATCTTCGTATGTAAAGAAAAACTGTGTCAAAAGTCTTGTTTGTACGTACGGAGGACGCGCAGGGTGTTTTGACTAGGTACAACTCCTCGATACTAGCCAAAAGAAAAAGATTCAATGCGCATCGCGCGATGAGCGAAGAAATCCAGTATTGCTGGCGAGGAGACATCGCCGGTTTCACGCCGCTCTCTCTCTTGTCTTTCCATTCCTCTGCAAGGAGCGATAACTAAATGAGCAGACGGGGACGGTCGCCGGGCCTCGACCGCCGGCCGCAGGTTCTCCCAAGTGTGCCCCTGTCCCTCGCATGGACCCGGCGTTCGAGAAGGTCGCAGCCGTATACCGATCGGGGGGCCTGGATGATGCGACATTCGAGCAGGTTTTTCTTTTGCTTTTCTGTTTGTGCTGCAATCCCACGCCCGGGATGAGCTTTCGTGCCCATCTTACGCCCGCGCGCTCCTCCTCCTTCGCTAACGATGTAGTAGTTAGTTCAGTCTGAGAGGATGACGGAGTAAGTCAGAGAGAGATTGACTCTTGCGTGCCGCCCCTGGTTGATTTGTGGATTTGCGAGGGGGGTTGGGGTTTCAGCACCTAAAAGAGCATCATCGGCTATAAAAATAGAAATCTCCAATCTCTCTCTCTCTTCCCCCCCCTTTTTTTGAATAAGAATATTATTATTAACGAGCCCACATGTGCCGAGCCAGATTCACGGCGAAAGCGGGATGTGTTTTTTTTTCTCCCGCGTGCGCGATGCTCTGAATCAAACGGCAACTTGATTTAGCTCGCTGGCCCTTCGGTTTCGAAAAGACGACAGCCCTTCCAGGGTCCCGCTTGCGGCGCGTGAATTGACTTTTGCGCGAGCTTCAGGAGCACTGGGGATGGATGTTATTCTTGTTGAACTTCGGTTTTCAGCCGATGATTCCTGCTCTAGAGCCAGCCATGCTGCACACGGAGGGTAATTATCGACCGATGAGCCGTGTCAATAGCGGCCGTCCAGTTGGCCTAGTTAGCGGGTGGGAATCATCAACACCGCCCTCCCTAGCACACCAGCGACTATCCCCTTTCTCCAGAGGTCTCATCCCTTGCTTTCGAAATCCGCCTTGCGCCGGAGGGAAATCACAAGGTTGGTCAGCCGTTGGAGCTAGTGATTTACGTTCCGTGATGGTAGTTCGCCAGGGACGTTCTCCCGTTGCAGCCCTAGCGAAATGCTCAACCGCCTCGCCGACACTAGTTAAGCTGGTCAACTAACTAGGTGTACGAGGTCGTGAGTTGACGAGATCGGAATAGCTCCACGGCTGCGAGGTACCTGGGTAGCCAGCGGTGGGAAAAGACGACAGAACCGACAGCCTACACCTAGGAAGGGGTTCACCTTTTTAGCCGAATGGCTGAGTTGGTTGACCCCAGCTCGTGAATATCCACCTCTTCACACTATCGATGAAAGATTGTGGGCCTCCTTACGCTTTTTTAGGGAAAGCAATCAGGGCTGAAATATGATGCTATTTCACTTTGATCTTAACTAGGGCAGAAATGGACCTGTCTTTGCTATAGGGGAGCTGACCTGAGTGCAGAATCTGGATATTGATACTGTACAGAGTAGAAGTACTCCACTTGCAATCCTTTTTACATGGCTCACAGTACCGAGTACAAGGACTCCTCATGGATCCTTTTTACACGACTTTCAGATATATTGTTGGCCATAATCCCACTTGTTCCATGTACTCAAGACATACATAAACGGGCATAAAAGACTGATTTTTGTTATGCGAGGCACTTCCACTGCTCTACAGTTAACTACGAGTTAATAGGACAGCAAATCTATTGAGATTTAGGGGTCCCTCTATTCTCAACGTATTTCGTCCTCTGGACACACCGCAGGGCATGTGCCCCGTGGCTTTCAAAAGGACTGCAGACGGGGCTTGCCTGGACTAGCATAGTTGGACATGAGCCAAAAAGGGGAGTGTTCGTATAATTCTAGTATTACTTTAGCTTGCTCGTTTCGTTCGCTGCTGCTACTCCCGTGGGCATGGCGGCGCGAGTAAGTACTTCTACCACAATTCTATAAGCAAAAAGGGCGCAGCTCTGCTCGATTGTTGCTGAAGCTGCGTGGTTTTCTGCCCTTCTGTAGCTAGTTTTCTGCTCCGGATATACTAAAAATTGGTAGGTTTGGTCAGTATCTTAGACTATATTGGGGATGCTTGGTTTGAGAATTCTCAAGGGGGTTATTATTTGTCGTTCCCATTCACGTCTTTGCCTCACCTCTCGGCTTAATATCCGAGTAGTTTGTTTGTACCCTCACTGCCCTTTCCCTAGATGAGTTCATACTGATATTGCAAAGATCCATGGCGTATCGAGCCTGGGGCATTTTGGCATTGCTCTGGGCCATGACCTGTTCCGAAGCCAGTTGACTGATAGGTATTTAATCCGTTGCCGGGTAATTCATAACCACTTGATCTAGAACTGGTTAGAACCCCGTAGCGGTATTGAGCGCGATCAGGTGACAGGCGGGATGATAAATCGTCTCTATCATCATTATTTCTCAGGAACGAGCCGTGGGAATAGCCATTAGAGCGAGAGGACCGCGTACTACGGCGGGAGGACGTTCCTCACCCCTAAATTAAGCCCACCGAAGTCCAAGGAGATTAGTCTCACGATAATGCCACAACCAAGTTGATCATAGCTGCACAGGGAGTTTTGATATTGAGAGATATTTCACAGTTATGGTTGGGAAATGCTGCCCTTTTGTACACATCCGCAGGATCTTTTCCATCTCACTGATGAGAGGCACAACAGAGTGTGAGCTAGTATTGCAACGTGACAGGTATCTGAAGTCCCGTGAAACGCCCCCTAGTGAGCAGCAAGAGAAAAGGAAAGTGGTGCTGGGTATCTCATATCCAAGCAACCAAATATTTCGCTCCAAATAGTGGGCAAGGCGGCTGAATCAACAAGGTAAAGCGAGTATAGAGCGAACGTCGCCTTGCCCATGCATCAATAGTTTTTTTCCGTGGCCATTCGTTTAAGCAGTAGAGCTTAATGATGAAACTGATGGCCAACACACTCCAATACAAGCCAGAGCCAATGAAAGAAACTTATTGCTAGTCGTTTGAGATGAAACATTAAAAATGTAAGAAAATGACTTAGGAGGTACCATTGGCATGGGCCTCAGAAGGCTCAGGGGAAGTTTCACAGGCGATGATTGAGTATTGGCCTCCGGCACCAGCCCAGGAGATACGTTTTCCGCGGAGGGCATCGCAACTTATAACAGTAGCGGTAAGGACCTCCTCTTCAGGGTCACGTTTGTAGTTATTTGGGCCCAAGCCGCATTGGCCTGAGTTATTCAGACCCCACGAGTAAGCGGTTCCCTCGGAGGTCAGAGCGATGCTATGGTCGTCCCCAGCAGCGGCAAAACTGCAATTAGAAATGGGCAAAGCCGTAGGTGTAAGAAGAACCCGTGGTTTGTTGTATTCGACAAGAATGCTTGCATCATCCAAAGGAAGACTCTTGGTATCAATCCCAGTCCGACCATCATCAATCTTGCCCCAGGCTAGGCATTTACCGTTGTATGAGACAGCAACGGAATGATGTTTCCCCCCCTGAATCAATTTGATCTGTCCCGTCCCAAGGGATTCAACTTTCTGTGGAGGAAAGACAACAGCACCATCATCACCTGCATTTTGACGGATTCCTGTTTGTGCAAAATTGTTACAACCCCATGCCCAAACATTTCCGGTCTTGTCGATGGCAAATGCATGGTAAGCTCCAGCAGAAATAAAGGCGATTTGTTTTTTGGGCAAGCTGACGAGCTTAGGCAGAAGTGGCAAAGACCGATGCCGCGAAAGTGAGCGGTGCCCAAGTTGATATTGCTCATTATTTCCCCAGGAATAGACGGTGCCACTTGTGTCAAGCGCTAGAACATAATTTGTACCAGCACTAAGCTGGGTAATGTCTTTTAGTTGTGGGATCAACTGCGGCGATCGTTGGATTTGAATTATTTGGCCACTCTGGTCAATGGAGAAGGCAAGTTTGCCATTGGAGTCCTTGACAAAAGATAAGCTTATATCCTTAGCAAACGAAGACAAATCTTACTCGAAATGTACCCCAACCATATACTAAACCATCCGCAGTTAAAGCGAATGTGGCGCTGTCTCCAGCTACAACCTGAACAAAGCTAACGTCGGACGAAAAGAAGCGGGAAGGAATTGCAGTTGGAGTAGCTTCTAAGGGATTCAACTCGGGGTCTTCCGAATCGTCGGAATCAGCATCATCGATATCCTGCATTTTCATTTCAAAGGTGGTGTCCCGGCCAAGGGCAAAGTCGTCATTCCCGCCCCAAGTGAAAATCCGATTGTCATGGGTTATTGCAGCAGCATGCATTCCACCAGCAGCTAGGCCGATAATACCAACTGAATCGGAGTTTAACATTTCATTCGGGGTGGGACGATATGTACGATCTCTGTACTGCCCCAGACCAAGTTCCCCTGAGCTTCCAGTACCAAAGGTAAAGGTATGTAGCCTTCTTGTTGATACCGAGTTTAAAATAGCTTGAGATTGACGTTTCTTTATTGGCTTCGTGCGCTTGGCTACCTTTGTCGGTCTTGCTTTGACTCGTTTTGTATCGCGTTGAGAGGCTGTGTCCGTCTCGAGGCGTCGTTTAGTAGGAACTGCATTGGTAGTCGGAGCTTTGGTCGTGCGACGTCGACTCATGGGGACAATTGAGGGTTGGAAGATAGGGGAGCAATTGAAATAATTAATATTGGGTGTATCTTATGATGTGCTAGTGACTGTTGAGAGAACAACAAAAAAAAAAGGTAAATAGAAAGCATCCTTGCTGTCTGATAGTTTGTCCAATTAGCAATAGCGGCCGTGGCGTGGTACCACGTGATGTAGTTAGTCATTTACTTAGTTTGTTTAACCAACTAAGTTAACTTAACTATTTACTCTGTACGGAGTACATACCTTTTCTGTTGAACAGACTATGTGCATGAGCCTAGTGGAATTAGAAGGGTGGTCATTCTTTTGCTTGGCTGGCAGACAAGTCTGACACTTTCTGTAACTAGTTACTCTATAACCCGTGTTATGCCCATCAAACATGCTTCCGGGCAGACATGTGTATTCGAAGGCTACAAATCATCATGGGTAAATTCTATAGAGTATAGAATATCAATTATCCTCAAGTCAGAAAGAGAAGTAAATGCTACCAATATTAGGCAGGGCTCACATGGCTACACTTTTACTTTTTTGCTCTGAAGGTAGAGAAAGACCACAGGTACTCCAAAAAGCGTCCCATAATTATTCAAAAATACTGTCGGCTAGATCTGACCTGTATACTTAGACACAAGCTGTATCCCATGCCTTCTTATTATAACGCCAAACGCTAACTACACTGTACCTGACTTCACTTGGATCAGTGTTCGTTATGCTAGTCTACTAGAACACCTGGCTCAAAAATCATTATTAAATAGCATGTTTGCATTGAAAAATCTTCCATTTGGCTTTCCACAGCTTACATTTCTCCCATGATCTTCAGACTTAAATTTTAGGAAATATAAATATTCCTGAGGCTATAAATGTGTTTGGTTCCACTGATACTTGGCCATTAGGATAAAAGAAGAATTTGACATTTTGTACAGTGCAAATACCTCAGCTCACGAGAATGTGGCAAAGATTCTCGCTCCGTCGCTCTTAGTGTACAAGCCCATGCTTAGCGACATATAGCCACGCGGCAAAGGCTTAACAGAGCTCAACCGAAAAATATATTTGCGAGTACCCATGTGCCGTGTTTCTCGCGAGTCTGGGCTAAACACTGAGGAGGAAGTTTCAGAATATAACAATTGGGAGGGGATATATTTTTTGGCGGTTGGCAGATCACAGGGGCATATTTGCGCACACCTCACAATGACCACGCGTTTTTCGCGTACCGAAAAGCCTAGGCCCTAGTACGGACTTAGGTGGGCAGGCGTCCGAAACACCCTGCGATTATTCAGTGTAAACTCGAGAATGGTGGTTGGATGGTACTTGAGACTAAGGTAAATATCATGCTGAGATGACGTAATCTCTCTCCATTGGCTAGCTATTAGCCATCTGGATACAGTGCCAATTCCGCACTGTCTCTGGAGGCCATTCTCCACGGACCACAATGAGGACTAGGCTCCCAGATAGCCCACGCGGCAGCTAATAATGCAGGATGAAGAAGACTCTTCTTCTTGTCTTCATCCATGGGTTTCAGGTGGGGTCTGATCTCGCTTAGGCGTCGAAGTGCTACTATCTGACATCGAGGGCGTTGTCGCATCTTTTAGGGCGGAAACGACACCTTTGGCAACTTTCCCGCGCATCTGCGCGCCATCACCAGCACTGCGCTCCCTAACATCGATGTGATCACGGTCACATACCCACAATTCGAGACAAGAGGTGATTTGCGAGGCTGTGTGAGCAGGCTCAGAGAATGGTCTGTATTTCGCTTAGCTCTTGATGAATAACATGTGGGCTAACAGAGCGTAGGCTGCAGAATACCGTGATAGACATTGAAGTCTCAAACCAAGCACCCTCGCCTACGGTGGATCCTTCGGTCCACGTTATCCTAATCGGGCATTCGATGGGAGGGATTGTCGCCGCGGAGGTAGTGTGTCTGCTTGCCTCTGAAAATTTGATAGGTTCATCAAATATCTCGGCGTCCGTTGAGCAAAACAACTTCATGTTCCCACACGTTCAAGGGGTCATGGCATTTGATACTCCTTTTCTCGGCATCGCCCCGGGCACGGTTTCGTACACGGCCGAGAACCACTATAATACCGCCTCCACGGCATATGGTGCTATAACGGACGTTGCGAGCGTCTTTGGCTGGGGTTCGAAAAAGGATTCTCGCTCCAGTGCTGGAGCTGCCTCGCAAGCGGCTGCTAAAACCCCGACCCCAGCGCCTCTCCCCACACCTGCGTCGCCGGTTGGTGATGCGGCAGCCGCGCCGCCATGGCAACGCTGGGGCCGCTATGCCATGTTTGCAGGCGCCGCCGGCGCCATGGCGGCCGGGGGTGCCGCAGCCCTGTATTCGCAGCGAGACCGGTTTTCAGCAGGCTGGGCCTGGGCTACTTCGCACCTAGAATTTGTCGGCTGCCTAGCTCAGCCTGAGGACTTGCGTAAGAGGGTTGCTGCCCTCACTCAACTACGGAAAGAACGCAACCTAGGCTGCGCCAACTTTTATACTCGTCTCGGCAGGGGTGCAGTGGCGGTGCCATCTGAGGCTCCTGATAGTGCTGCGCCACAACAATTTTCGATCAGTCGGCATATAGTTCGGTCCAAGGTGCGGACGTTCTGCAATCTTCCCCGCGATGTAGAGGACAGTAATTCGTCAAAAGCCTCTAAGCAGGAGGAGGGACTTAAGTGGATCGAAGCAGTGAACGATAAGGTTGCTGATGAAACAAAGGCGCATATCAGTATGTTTTTGCCTTCTGAAAACCCTGCATTTTATTACATGGCACATCGAGCTCGAGACCTGTTGATCACCTGGGTCGATAAGGGCTGGTATTCTGCCGCTGGCGACACGTCTTCTCGGAATACCGGGCCTGATGATGATAGTCAAAGCGCAAACAGGGGTCCCACAGATCCTGACCGCGTAGCTGTCATAGAGTGAGGCGTATATACGTATGTGTATTTATCTGTTTTAATAGGCCAATATACTCAAGACAAATTCAAAAGATGATATTATGCATTAAAATTAATATAAAGAGCAGGTAGAAAGATATACATGTAGCTAAAAATATGTGCAGGGTTTGCTGAATAATGTGGGAGCGTGCTCAAGAAGGAACTATATAAAATTGAACACCAAGACCGATCTGCGCCATGTAACATCAAAACGCCACCAAGAAGGGTCGTCACAAAATTTTTCTGAGAAAAATGATCAAGGGTAGCAAAACAAGGGTTGAACATGTGGGGAGTCTGAAATAGACATGCATGACCCACATCGAGATTGCTGAGTAGACGTTAGAAACCCGAAATTTCAGGGTATTATCCAATAAATGAAATCTTTTCAAAAAGATATTCCAGAGTAATGTCATCATTACAGGAATTAATAGGAAGATTGTCCACCATATGTTGACGTGCGATGGTGATACACGCTACTAGCATATTCTGAATTGGTGTCATGATATACTGTGGCTCTGCGGTCTTCTTCAGGAAGTAGCTCTTTAACCTCCCAGTTATTCTGCTTTAAGCCAACCGAGAACTCGAGATCCTCTTTTGTTATCGAGTCCCAATACTGCAGAATTGTCAGACACTTGTTCTGTTGTGTAACGTAGCTTGGAGGTAGACTCACCTTATAGATCATCATGACGGCAAGGAGGTTGCAAAACGTGACAAAAAACAGGCCATCAAGGTAATGCTGAACACCTTCGCAAATGAGGTCGCTAAAGGAATACAGGATAACTTGTCCAATGGCGAAAAAGAACACACCAAAGCCAATGTGCCAAAGTGGCCAGCGGTCCTGAAGAGTATTCACAACCAGGATAATTTGCATAACCACATACACAAACAGGCATATGGCATTTAGTATGTAAACAACAACAAAGAGTCCGATAGTATTCGACGGCGAAAGTCCGCCCCAGGACTTAAAAGTAAGGAGAGACACGGCGCCGGAAATAATGAACATGCCGAGCGAAGCGACCCGTAAAAGCCACACGGAAAGTGTGGTGCCATCTTCGTAGAGTTGAAAGCCCACAAACCCATTTATCAGTAAGCAAGTGCAAAGAGCGGAGGTGAGGCCATTCTGTACAGCCGCGAAATAGGGGAAAACGCTGCTCCCCGGTGGTGTCACGCCAGAGTCCAGAACGAGAGAGCACATCGTTAGTGCCATGTAAAGATAGAAAAAAGTAATAACTTCCTTGCGTCCTAACGTAAAGAAAATGGCGTGTTAGTCGGGATACGAGACGGAACGCTCATGTAGCTGGCGGCTAGGCCGGGGCGCAACATACCGACAGCTGTAAATTTCGATCGCACATGTATGATCATAACGACGGTCATACCAAGGGCTAAAATATGTATCACATCGGTGGCTCCTTGAAAAATAATGGTGTTGGCGACTTCAATATTCCTTGCGTAACAGTTCGGCAAAATGCCCCTGGTTCCAGAAAGCGACGACGTCTGGCCGACCAGGGAGCACAGAGGAATCGCCGCCTTCCGGCACAGCGAGTCAAATTGGCCGAACCCCATGGTGCCTCGTGATAGAGCACCGCTATGGCCACCCCTGACCTCAAAGGGGGCAGAAACGGCGTGGGGCTAGGGAGCGTGTGAAGTGAAAAAGGCTGTGAGGATCCGAGTTGAAAAACACGCAGGGCAGTCGAGAAACGAAGGGCGAGCTGGGGTTGTTGTAAGACGGACGAGACGTCGCTGGGGGGGGACGACGATATTGTGAAGGCAAACGAAGGTGGCTGGATATCTAGGCGAGCGAGCGTTGAGATGTTGATTGCGGATGGCTGGACATTGGAGTTTCCCGCTCGGGACTAGGCGGCGCTTTGCTGTTTTGGGCGGCTGTTGCTGAGGTAATCGTGAGGCTGACGTGAGCCGCGCTAGCCCAGCCTCCCCCGCCACTCGGCGGGAGCCAGATCCAGTTAGCGCGAGGCGGCAGCACCAAACGCTGTGGCCGCTTGATCGTCAAATCATCGCGCCGGCTACGTATAACCGTGGTGTTAAGATGAATGTTCGTCATGGGTCATGATTCATGCTTTTCTCTCGGTGATGCCTGTCCTCCTTGCCTTAATAAAAATCTCAAATTGGCACTCCAAGCGTTGTTTCTTGAACCTCTCCTTACATTACCCTGCATGGGTACCCCTTCAAACAGGATGCTGGGTCATTTCCGGTGACTCCGACCTGGAGAAAATAATGCGTAGCGGCTCTCAAGGAACGCTTTTCTTACCGAAAACTTTAACTCCAGTCTCTCAAGGTGAGCGGCAGGGTGTGCTCTCGGCATTGGGGTGGGGTGGGCATCACACTTCCCACGGGTCCCTCCACACAAATAATAGCAATTTCACCTCCTCTGCTGCTAACCACGATAGATGTCAAAGCACATGCAGAAACATTCCAGATCCCCCCCAGCATTGGGTGCCAGGATTAACGGCATCACTGCTCCCCTTGGATTTTCTTAAATCACGCCATTGCCACAAACGGGATCCAGACAAGTCTCCCAATTCTGAATGGGCCTAACCACGTTATTCCTTTAAGATACTAGTTTGAGACAGCTATATTTGCTGACACCCTTATGTTCAGTATTGGCAAAGATCCTTGTGTGTTTGAACGGAGTCATGACCGGACACCCAACCTTTTTCGGAAGAGCGATCGAAAGCCCAGGTCCTTTTCTTTTCTTTTTTTTTTCTTTTTCTCGTTGTGCATTTACTATGTTTTGTCATTTTTGGCTGAGCTAAGATGTAGAGGGGTATGAGCACATAGCGGCCATGCTTTGAAAAATATATACAGAAGTGCCAAAGCCGGCTGCCTCTGAAGAAGCATCTACCCGAGGCTTTGGGGGATTTTATTGGCTATTTCCAAAGCACTGATGTCTGTGCTTTTTTCTCCTCGACCTGCAACATCCAGCGGGCTGCCGACGCGCATTCTGATTGGAATGTTTCATGTGGAGTACTGGCTAATATCGGGTACCCGATGATTTTGCATTTTAACGGGACTTTGCCTAGATTCCCCGTCCTTATGTCGCCCCAAAGCTAGTCGAGCTTGTCTGGTTTTCCACGAGGTCAAGCTGACATCCTTGGCCCCTACGTTTCGTCATGCTCACATGCATAGCAGCGTTCATGCTTGTCTGCTACTATAGTATTATCATTGGCATTTCAGCCTTGAAAGCTTCATACTTCTGCTTCCTCCACCGGCTCTGAAGTAGTGTCAATGAACCAATCTCCACTCTATGGCAAGGATTTGACGTCTGGGAGGGTCGTTGAGTTTCTCTGTTGGTTCGTGCTTCGGGTACTGGATTCATTCCGTCGTATTTCTTAATTAGTTCACCGGGCTACTAATTTCAAATATAAATCAGCCGGGCTCTTGATCAAACAAAATACCCTCAACGCATTGCCCTACAAAGGAGCCTGGTGCCGAATTTCGCAGCTCGATTTCTTCAGAATTTATAATCGGTATGGAATCTCTTCAAGAGTTGCAGCAGGATTTGCATTTGCTGACCTCAGCTTGATACTTAGATTTTACAGATTTACTGAAGCACATTCACAAGTGTTGCGTGAGGCCCGGGAACCGCCTTCACCAGCTGTTTTCGATAATGTGCAACTTCTTCAAGAACTTCTATGTCTATAGCTCTTGTCGAGACCCTGCCAACCATTTCTTCCGGATCTCCACTGATGGAAACGGCGGAGTGAGATGCAACGGCAGCCCCCACGAGCGGTTCATTGTCGTAGTGGGTCAATGCCGTGTTTGTAAACGCTGACCATTATTATTTTGCCTTCGGACGGACGGTGGCGGTCTCCGAGTCTCGCGGGGCGGGCTCGTGGGCTCTTCCGCAGAGTATGAGTACCCTGGATGGATGCAATGCGTGTAATGATCGCATTTGGCGTCGGACTTTGCCGTCACTCCCTGCCTGCTTTGTAAGTTGTCCCTCCACAGCTCGTTCCAACATGCCTATTCTGACCAGCGCAACGAGGTATTGGTGGCAGTTTATGAATCCTCTCTCTCTCTATACGGCTGGATACCGTGATCTCAATGACATTATGTTTGGAACGTGGAGTTTTGGTGTTCGTCTATAGGGCGAGGACGGCGGCCCCTGCTTTTTCTATCCCTTTGGGTTCCTTTTTGTTTTTTGGTGAAATTTTCTTTGGGTCGAGCTTACGGAATACACAAACAATAGGGGAATACCCATTTTTCATTAGTTTTCTCCATCTTGGATAGAGCGTTGGATTGGCGTTTTGGGGTAGGGTCGTTTATGGGGACTTGCTCTCTGAATTACGGAGTAGACACTAGCATATTGGCAAAAACTACATTCTGGCTTTTTAGTTACCGAATACTCCGTACCAAAGTTCTCTAGGCACGAATCACGCGCGGCCCGGTCCGGCTTTCAGAATGACAGCTAAGTTTGTCGGCATTCTATCCTCGTCTAACGCCTGCTTGTACGAATAATAATACAGTGATTCTGGAAATCTACATTCCACTGCCGAGATATTCAAAGCAACCTAATATGAGTCGTGTATACTGCACTGCTTCAACGCCTTGGCGAATAATCATATGGATCGGCGAAGGAGGTCCATTCTAGCGCAATAATGCCGGAGTGGATGGAGGATCTAGGCATGCATGTGCCAGTTCAGCACAAGAAATAATGGAGCCAAAGGTCGGCGACCTCTGCCCGCACACAAGAACAATTGACCTCACGGTACGGAGGATGTCTCGGGTATCAACATCGGAACACGGCCAGAGGTGGAACGGTGGCTCCCATGATAGTTTTCCTCTCCGGTCAATGGAGCAGGAGGTAGCACATACTGAGGCCAGCAAACATTTACCAGAAGATTCCGGCATACACCCCTCAGACTCTGGCTTCATGTACAGCTGCTGCCTCCCGAAGGTATGGGATGGCAGATGCCCGTCTGGGACATCCCCGGTAACCCAGTCGTGAAACGGAACGACAGGCAACAGGCCTTTAGATGGGCCGAGTTGGAAATAGCCTAAGCTGGCCGTTTGAAGTTTGGCCACTAAGTACTCCGTGCTAGGACGGGGGTCAGCACGGCAGCCAGGCGGGTGGGTATACAGTATCCATAGTTACAGAGTCAATATAATTCACGACTTGAGGCAGGACGCTTTTGCGCATGCCCATTATTGAGTTCATGCATGTACCCCGTACGGAATATCGAGCGATCACCGTGGCCCCAAAATCCGGTTTTTGGATCCGGAGCGAGCGGCGGGATTTTGAGTTTAGCCGCCCAAGGGTATTAAGGCCTAAAGCGCGCCAGGGATTACGGTCGGCTAAAAAGCTTGTGTGCCGGCGTGCTGCTCAGGGCGGAAGGGCAATTTCCCTGCATCTGAGCTATCGTCGCAGCCTAATAATAGGCCAACATACGGAGTAAACACAACTTACTCTCTACTACGGAGTACTCTTCCAGCTAGGACTAGAAGAGCATCACGACCCGAAATAAGCATACATCTGTGGGCATCCTCCACTCCTACCTACCCGTTAGCTGCCATGGCCCGTTTTGCCACTGCGGCTGTTAGCCTGCTGCCTAGAACTCCTGCTCTAGCCTTCCTACTCCGCATATACAGAGCCGTTGCTGCGACGAGGTTTGATCTGCACTTGGCAGGTCACTCTCAGGCGTCCGGAGCCTCGGAAGGGAGCCAGCTAGCTGCGAAGATGGCTTTAAAATAATACTCCAGGTTCTGGACGGAGTGGCCAATTTATTATTCTTGGCGAAGTCGGATCTAGGGAGTTGTGGGAATATCGACTCTATGCCCCAACTGATGTGGGCGATCACTTTGCTCTGCGCCGTCCCACATGCAGATGTGACCATATGCCGATCTCACGACGCTACAGAAGCCGTTGTCGCAGTGTTGCCGGCAGCTTTGAGGGCGGTGAAAGGAGGAGGAGCGTGGGCGCAGCGGTGACGACGCTCCTGACTTAGTTTAGAGGCTGGAGCACCGAATTGCGTAAACAAGCAACGACGGCCGGCAGGACCAGATACCCACAAAACTACAGTCATGGACTTCTTTGATCAAAGCAAACCAACTTACTCTTATTTTCTTGTTCCTGCTGCCTGTGGATGTTCGGGTTTATTTGCGTGCAATGGCAGAGTATACCCCGTTTCTACGGCGGGCACCAACGCGCGATAGCCTACCAGACGCCTTGGCCACCAAACAACAACCCAGCCGTCGAGATCCTCGGAATTACGCGTCATTGTGCCGTTTTCTTACCTACCCTATTTGGAGATTCCTGCATCAAGGCAAAGCGTGGTTGCAGTGCAATCTCCTGAACCCCGGCAAACGTCGCTCACGAGGACGATCCCGCATTCATATTCTGCTCGTTCGCCTCGTAAAAGCCACCATTATATCGAGCTTTTTTTTCGCTTTCATTTCGATTTTGGAAGGAATTATATACCCTTCATATCAGCATCCGCCGAAGCACTATGAGACACTTCGCGACAAAATTACTAGTTTCTCACATTCCGGGCGAGGAAATGAGCATAACGAAAAGATCTTTATCGCGGCAAATATTGTCAATGAACGGCTGATTCGGGGAAGTTGGGGAGATGCCTTGCTAGAACTTGTCGGTATTCTCGGTGAGGAGAACGTGTTCGTCAGCATCTTTGAAAATGACAGCGGGCCCGGTACAAGTGCTGTACTGAACGAACTGCGGGCGCGTTTACCATGTCGGTATATACTTTGACCTGCAATGATACCGTGGCATAAGTACTGATCATGTTAAATTCTTAGGTAACTCGTCGATCGTGACTGGTGCACGTTTGCCACTATCTCAATTTCCTGCCGTGACACTACCGAATGGAGAAAGGCGAATAAAGCGCATTGCTTACCTGGCAGAAGTCCGAAATCGCGCTCTGAGACCTCTGGACCCTTCATATACCCCGAAAGATGACGCAACGGAGTTCCGTCATGCACCAATAAAATTCCGTCGGGTACTATTTCTAAATGACGTCTACTTCACCCCACTTGATGTAGCTCAGTTATTATTTTCTACCAACGCTGCTCCTAATAGACGCGCTAGTTATCGCGCCGCATGTGCCATTGACTTCGGGTCTCCTGGCAAGATTTATGATACGTTTGTCATGCGAGACGTTGAAGGGTATAGAATTGGCACTCCATTTTTTCCTTGGTTTCCTACTCAAGGCGAAGCTACCAGTCGACGGGATGTGCTAGCTGAAAAGGATGCTGTGAGAGTTCGGAGCTGCTGGGGTGGGATTGCGGCGTTCGATGCTAGTGTATTCCAGCGCCTTACCAACAAGGATACATACGAACTGTCAATACAATTTCGCTACGACCCAGAACCCTTCTGGGAAGCCGCAGAATGCTGCCTAGTTTTTGCGGATATGGAACAACGCTTAGGCGTGCCGGAAGCGAAAAATGGAACTGGAGTATTTGTCAACCCATATGTTCGCGTTGCTTACTCACAGGCTACTTGGAAATGGATACAGTTCTTTCGGAGGTATGAAAGGGTTTGGCGCAATTTCCAGTACATCGCTAGCACAGTGGCGTATTCAAAAGATAACCCTCGTCGGTCGCATAAGCCGGGGCAATGGGTCAAGCAGAAAATCTGGGTATCGGATATCCAGAAGCCAAGACGAGGGGTTTTTAAGGTCGTTGAGCGGCGGGCACCAGCGGGGGGTTTCTGCGGGGAGAGGCGGATGTTTGTCATGCAGAAGGACATCGAGGGCGCAAACAAGAGCGGGCGCGGGAAGAACTGGGACGAGGTTTGGCCAAATTTCCGACGGGAAAGATGAAAAGAGCCAACGAGAACACGCGTCGCAAGACCTCACCGGCCAGGATTGCCAAGGCGATCATGTTTCATGGACCCTTCCTGGCCCAATCAATCGCCAGCGGAGAAATGCCTGGGATCGACACCCAAGAGGTATATGGAAGCAACAAGGCCCCAACGATGTGTCTTGAAGCCATCGGCAATCTCCGCCTGGTTCATGGCATATATGTGGCATCCGGTATACGGGGCGTTGAAGTCATAAACGGCCTCTGTGCGAAGGGATGCGTGCAGAGAACTCGGGCGTGGAGGTGAAGGACTGTAAAGGTGCCCAGTGAGTGCAAACAAAACAAACTTAGGTAAGCAGTAGTTTTTTGGTTAGTAAGCGGCATAACCGGCCAATGGTTCGCCTGCTGGGCATCTCTGCTAGACATCAGCCTAGGCGTGGTTTTTCGGAATTTCTCTTGTACAAGTATACAGAGTGTATGTACATAGGTTGAGGCCTCGGCTGATGCAGCTAGCACTGAAGCTGTACCCACGCTATAGGCAAGTGCTGCGGCCAATTCATTCCTTTGATCGTCAATGGCCTTGCGGCGGGATTGCCCGGGCTGCGGAAAGTCGTTTAATAAAAACTACATCCCTGAACATTTGAGGTCCAATTGTCCCAAGCAGAATGGCGTTGTGGCATGTACTATATGTGGCTTTTCCATGCCTGCGCGCGACCTGCCACGACATAGGTGCTGTAGACCCGACAAGCCGCGTTGCGGGATCTGTGGGAGAGATTACTCGAAGTGGTACTTGAAGAAACACATGATGACCTGCAGAAGACGAAATAGAATAAAGTCCGGTAGGCTATCGAATTTTAACACGTTCATTCTCCAGGTCTAATGGTGTAATAGAAGTCCCTTCTGCTGCTGTAGATAACATTCTCGCTGTCCCATCTTTTGGTGAAGAAAATGCCTTGTTTGTCAAAATCCGGGATCTCCAGGCTTCAGGACGCTTTCCCCCCTGCCAGCTGCAGGGTGTGACCATTGTTTCCAGCTCGAATGTATCATCCTCACGGACAGATCGGCCTCTACTGCTAGAACCATCCGAATGTTGGGATGACACAGTTTCTAACTTAACAGTCTGGCATGCTTTTCGCATGTCAATTGAATCCAAACATAAATTTGATGTTCTGGAAGATGGCGTCCTTGTAAAACAAGGGGAAACAGCGAGGGAGTTGGAATCGTGGAATCTCGCTGTGACAGCCGCCCTGGTGCAATGCCTCGGTGAGCCATCCGATTTTGCTGAATTAGAACCGTATTCCTTGATGGAAGTCCCTCTCCCTGAGAGTTTATGGCATCTGCGGCCCAACCTGCATCTTCGAAAAACCCTTCATATCTTAGAAGACCGCCATCTGCCTTTGAGGGCGAATTGCACTTCTGCTGGAACCTTTGCAGATCTCAATATTGGTATGCTACTGTATACGCCAGTTCAATGGGTAACTATGTGTTCTCTAACAACTTACAGATTATAACCATTGCCGTCTATCACTGCCGATTGGAGGGTCTTCTGCTATCTGGCTTCTGTACCCTCCAACCGAAGCTAACTTGCGACATTTCTACACTGCTCGCAATGAATCAAGCCGGCTATCCATGATTTCGCAAGGACTTGAAGGTGGATATGCTGTGGAACTTGATGCTTCAAAAGTCCTATATATTCCGCCTGGCTGGATTTATTGCACTTTTACCGCTAAGGGAGGGCTATTGTTAAATTCCAACTTTGTCGCTATCGAGCACTTGGCTCGTGTGTCTCAACATTGTTGATTTCTGCCAAATAATTGTACGTTCCAAAGCGTTTCATTCACATGTATATCTACGGCGAACAGGTAAAGGAATGGCGGCGTTAGATCAATACTCCATGGAACAAGCGCAAATTCAGTGCCAACATGGCGATCACGACTATGATATATGCTAAACATTTAGGTTGCCGTCCTCAAAAAAACATAATGTACCGTGTTTCGACATCGCACACCAACCTGTCTTCGTGGATCCGATTTCTCATGTCGAACGATTTCTGATGTCACAATCACAATAGTCGGAGGATGCGGCTGGGTTGGGGTTATTCTAAATTCTGACTTCTGATACCGTCTTTTAAGGGAATCGAATACTTTCTATAATTTGTTATTTCGATGTATCTTATAATGTATTTCTAGTGATAAATTTTGTTTTTATATACAGTTGATGATAAAATGGAGAAAAAGCAAGACATTTCGAAGATCTGTGCTTTTTTCTCATCGGAATTGAGGATTATGCGAACATACTTTTCATATTGAAATGCATACACGGCGCAGGATCTTTGAGTGTTTTTGAAAGTGTAAATATGATCAACATAATGGGGTGAGTGTGTGAGTGCGGCAGAGGGGCCTAGATAAGAAGATCCTAACACAAAAATGGATATGCATTTTCTGAAATCCAAATAAAGTAGGTGGGTATTCTTCTGTAGGCTAGAGAAGTCTAGATAAGAAGAGAAAGGCCGGATTCATACAGTACATGGTTATAGAAAAGAACAAGTCTATATTGATTCTAGTACGCAACGAAGAAAGAAGGGGCTTTCGTAGTCACAGACAGCCAGAAAATAAGAACTATAGCGCTATTCAACACCATTAAAGGGAATATTGGAAAATTGGGCTTTGCTGGCGGTATCTGGAAACAACTTTTAAAAGGCACAAATACAAGCAGAAAGAAGGAAATAGAATACAAAGCACGTTTTGAAAAGGCAATCGCTGTATCGTTTATTTCTTAAAGCCGAAAAAGGGGTAGTCTTTGGTTTCCCATCGGTAATTGACAATGAAGATTGGTTGGAAAAAAATGACAGCTTCTACTCTCTGGAAACATCTCGGCCAAAGAGTTTAGCTTTGATCCAGTCAAGGCTAACGAGGATACGATTGCGCGCTAATCAGTTCAAATGATAATGTCAGCAACCTAGTCTTCGGAAAACCAAGAGGGGGAGTTCGGAAGATTACGGGACAAGGGCGATATTCGAAGAACCGAAGGGAAATGAGGGATCGAGGCCCAGGACGGACGGTAAGTTAAGGATAACGAGGAGGGGAACTTACTGCTAAAGCACATGCTCAGGTATGCACTGCGCCAGAAAAGATAAGTCAAAGTGCCACCGCTGGCAATGTTACCGCTAAGCCAGCTGATATCTGCAACTGCACGTTCCTTGCCAATGTATGCCAGACTACCTTGGTGGGAGTACTGGAAGGGTCCGATCTGTTTTGTTCGTCGGAGTTGCTTCTGCAGGGCCCGAATCTCATCGAGGATCTGGTTGCGCTGCTCGTCATTCTTGGCCTCATACTGGGCGACGGACAGGTGCTTCAGATCCTTTTCAATTGTTTCCGTCTTTGCCATGGTGTTGAAGAGGCGTGCTAGGAACGCACCTTCTTGGCTGGCAACTTGTGCGGTGGGGGCATAATTCGTGATAGCGCAGTCACCAACGGCCCAGATGTTCTCAGCGCCATTGACAACCAAGTATTCATTGACCGCAAGGCCACGGCGGGAGTTCTTCTGGGCCGGGATTTGAGCCATGAGATCCTTGACAACTCCACGCACGGCGTTGCCAGTTGCCCACACTAGTAGACCATAGGGAATCTTTTCAATTTCTTTTGTACCATCGGGCTTGGTGATCTCGGCTTCGATGAACTTGTCTGTAACTCTCTTCACCATGGTTTTGGTACGAATGGTGATGGCTTCTTCCTTGAAGGTAGACTCGGTGTAATCAATAAGCTGTTTAGAAAACATTGGAAGAACCTATCAAAAAGATCAATTAGCATCGGAATAGTCGTAGAAGAAGCACAGCAAGCCTTACGTTTGGCAATGCCTCCACTAGGGTGACTTGGAAATTATCCTTGATATCAGGAACCCATTTCTTTAGATCCTCATTGAAAAAGTCCTGAAGCTCGCCCGCGAACTCGACGCCGGTGGGGCCACCTCCGACAACGACCATGTGAAGTAGTCGTTTGACCTCTTCCGCAGTCTGGTCCTTGAAAATGGCGGTTTCAACACAGTCCATGATGCGCTTTCGGATCTTCTGCGCGTCGCCGACTTCCTTCAAGAAGCAAGAGTGCTCTTTCACACCGGGGATACCTGTGGTTCGGACAAAGATTAGCATTGCTGCAAGAGAACGGGCAATGCACTCAACTTACCAAAAGTAGCATTCTCAGCGCCAACTCCAACAACCAGCATATCAAACGGAACCTCTGTCTGAGAGGTATCACCCTGGATCTCCGATTCATCCCTGATTTGGATTACCTTTCTCTCATAGTCGATCTTGGTAGCCTCAGCTTCATAGTATTTAACAGTTGCATTTTTATGTCTAAGGATGTTCCGGATAGGCTCCATGATCGATCGATGCTCAATAAGGCCGGTAGTACACGATGGGAGCAAAGGAGTGAAGAGGAAGAAGTTGCGGGGAGAGATAACGACAACATTGTAGTTTTCGGTATCGAGTTTCTTAAGAAGAGACACTGAGCCCCATCCAGTGCCTGCAATGCATCGCGTTAATGGAGTAACCGAGGGCGTAGAGCAGAGGCTGCATACCTAGGATGACCAAAGTCTTCTTATCTGGGTCCGGGACAAACTGCTCTGCAGGATGGCGCAGGGCATAGACGCTATATCCTAATGCTCCAGCTCCTCCCAGCAGTGACAACAGCACCAATCGGTAGAACCATCTGAAGAATCTGAATTTCCGTCGTGGGCTGGGAGCGGGTGGTGTAGGTGTGGTTGAGGAGGTGGTAGCATAACGTTGCTGAGGGAGAGTGCGCAGAGCAGTTGTTCTCTTGACTGGACGTGTGAATTGAGTCAATTGCCTCTGTGAAAGGGTGAATAATGGCCGGCGCGATGCAGCGACAGACAGCTGCAATGCTGGCCGGACCAGCAGCTTTGAAGTTGCCATGTGTTTTCCTTGTGAAAGTCGTCGGCTGGATCAACAAAGCGGTGCGGACTCGGGATAATCCAGGCTCAAAGGGGTGAAAAGCAGAGAACAAACGGAACTGAGAGGTCAATCAGCAAAAAGAAGACAAGGGAGGGGAGAGATGTCAGATTGCTGCAGGCGCTGAAGGAGAAAAGTTCCAGCCGATGACTCTTCTCGGACGCTGATAACAATTACAAGCTAACAGCCACTCACCCTATTCTTGGATCACAGGTGAGAACTCTGAAACCTTCTTGCCGGCGCGCCCGTGGATTGGCGGAGCCGGGGTTCTCTCACCGAGACCAGCGAGCTAAAATCCCCTGGCTTGAGCTTTTTTCCTGCGGTGGAGAGAAAAGTCTGTTGCGCAGACTGACGTGCTTTGGAGCGAGCCAAACAACCAACCTCGCACAAATCTCGCGCTGAACAACAAGGAGAGAAAGAAAACTCCTCACTATTTATTTCTCCAGTTCAACCGGCATTCGCCTGTGCAATCACGTGCAGCTCCTCACCGTCCAGCATGCTGGATTTACATGCAATTTTGTGGCCGTGTTCAGCTTATTCCCAAGGCCCAGCAACCACACGAGCAGTTGATCGGGATACCGGCAGATTCAAGGCCTAAAGCTCATAGATAGTCTGCCGCCAATGGCTGCCTGTTGTTCATTTTCCAAGATGTTGGTTTGAACAACCCCCACTTCTCCAGCACAAAGAAACAATCTCTAGCCTTCATTTGGCAGACCCTCATCCGCACGCCTCAAGCGAATCGGCTGGCTGCCACTACAGAGTGCTAGGCAATAATACTCACAACTTTGAAGGAGCCAGCTGCCTGAAGCTACTGCATTGGGCCTAAGAAATATATACCCATATAACTATGAATTCAAGTTGCCAATGCTCCATATCCTCGACAGGAATGAAAACCACTCTATGGTGTATCTTGAGGCCGCTGTAAGCCATTTACGAGGACTGCCGTAATGACTAAAGGTTTATGGTTTTGCTGAACGATACCATCGCTGCAAGGCTTATGCTATGAACTTAGAAAGGAGCCTTAATCTTGACCATAGGCTCTTTTGTACAACAAACTTATTTTTCTCATATCGTGACGTTTTGATATGTGTTAGCTTGAAATATGCTTGTGAGGTGGATTCTTCATTATGATGCAAGGACTTTGGAGCGGTATCGATAGCAACCCTCAAGATGTCCCAGAGTGTTCCTGGATATCAATAATGGCAATTTCCCAAGAAAATTATAGTATTACTCATAGCTACGAACCAGGGAGGTGTTTCCAAAGACCCATGATAGTATGATCACATCTTCGCGCGCCAGTAGCTTTCTGAGAGGCAACGTAGGCACCATGTTTGTTAAGACAATTGCCTTGTCATGAGAAGTTGGTTAGCAGCTAAATTCCATGTTTTCAGGTAGTAAAGCGGTTACAGATTGGCATAGATAGACAGCTCTAAACGAACTTCTCTTGGTAGAGTAAACGGCATGGCGGACTAACCTTGTTCCTGTTTTAAGAGCTACATAGGTGCATACTTCTTCTATTTTTTACTCCGTGTGGTCTTCGAAACTTAGCGCCTGTACCTGGGGACAAGCTTGACGGGGCGCGCAGGAAGGTTCTTCTTTGTAAAAGCTAACCAATACTGATGTCCTTTACTTTGAAAAGACTTGTTTCCGCGGTAGTGAAATCCAGGGCGCGACCTATCTGGTGTCAGGTCAGGATCTCGCACTTTCATACACACCCGATGTTATCCTCTTCCCGAATACCCGGAACCTATCCGACCACCGGCTTTGAATTGATTGAAAATCCTAAACTTCTAGATGAGGAGACTCTTCCATCCTATTACCCCGAAAAATACTATCCGGCTCATTTGGGGGAGATTCTTGGCGAGAGATATCAAATTCTTGGGAAGTTAGGGTTTGGAACTACATCGACCGTATGGTTAGGCCGTGATCTTCAGTATGTTAAGTTTCGCCCTTAATTCGTCTGAAAATCCCTTTTCGTTATATCTTGCGATAGTGGAAAACATTTCCAACCAAATTTAGAACAGATGCCTACGTTGCACTCAAGCTCTATGTCACCGGGGCTAAGAGAGACCGTGAGCTAAACATGTACAAGCGCATAGAGGCTGCTTGCGCAGAAACAGATCATCCAGGAAGACCATTTATTCGCAAACTTCTTCATTCTTTTCAGGTGAAAGGCCCTCATGGTGATCATCTATGTCTAGTCCACGAGCCGCTTGGGCTCAATTTGAGTCAGATCTCAGACTATTACCCCGGAAGAAAATTAGATCTCGAGATAATAAGGCCTTCTCTTCGTAATATTCTCATTGGCTTGGATTTTTTACACATAATAGCAGGCATTATCCATACAGGTAACTCCAACGTCACGGGGCTTCCGAAGAGAAGTGGCTAACTTGTTTGTATCTGGAGATTTACAAACTACCAACTTAATTTTTAGTGTGAGCAGACCAGAGATCCTTGCGGCCTTCGAAGATCAACAGGCTTCCGACCCCGTACCAAGGAAAATTCTCGACGATGGCCGTACTATATATTCAACTAGACCATTGAATTTATGCAATGGGCTACCTTTGCTATGTGATTTTGGAGAAGCTCGGACTTTTGAGGAGGCTGGAACTCCTGGTGAAGATGTCATGCCGGATGTTTATAAAGCACCAGAGGTTATTCTTCAAATGAAATGGGATCATCAAATTGACATTTGGAACGTTGCTATGGTGGTGAGAACCCCTAACTCTTTGTCCACAGCTTTTCTCTGCTCTAATAAAATTGCAGGTCTGGCATCTTCTCATGGGAGAACCTTTATTTAAGGGTCGAAGTCCTTGTGGTACGTATCAAGATGATAGAGTACATATGGCCGAAATGGTTGCGCTTATGGGGAACCCCCCTTTGGAGTTTACTCAGCGATCACATATGAGTCGTGCGTTGTGGGATGAAACAGGTAAGTTGCGCCCAATCGGTTGTCAGAAGGGCTGAAAGCCATATGATAAGCTGACAAGGACGTTCGACAGGCAAATGGAAGGGAGCCGCACCAATTCCTGATATTAGTCTAGAGAAGCTCGGGGCCAACATCATTGGAGATGATGAAGATAAAGAAGGGTTTCTGGAATATTTCCGGAAAATGTTATGCTGGGTCCCTGAAGAGAGGCCAAACTGTGAGGAACTAGTATTGGACCCTTGGCTGATGAAGGGCCTTAATATTCAAAAGCCAATCGTCAGAACCAGATAAGGCCCGTTCTTACACCCAATACATCAGTATGGAGAAAAGGTCTCTCGATACACACCCTGTAGTCCCAGGCTTCGCAGCTGTATTCGGAAAACAGGAAGCAGTGTTTTCAGTACGATTTTTGGTTGATATTATGTAACTATCTCTTCTCATTTTCCTTTTCATTACTGCTCTCCACTCTTACATTGATCTTAGAAGTTAAAGATAGGCAAGTTGCTCTAGAGTTCCCATTATTCATTACTATTGAGAGAGAGCAATGGTGATACTATCTTCATATATAGTACTTAGAGAACCAACAAATCGAATAAACACGGCTTTTTGCATATCCAGAAAGTAATGTTTGCTACTAACAGGCCCGGCTGGGTTGCTTGCTCAACTAGATAACTATGCCAAGACATGATATTGTTATAGGGTTCAGCGGGCCTGAGGATCTATTTGGTAGCGCGATTAAAGTTGACTCCATCGCGGCTGAGTGGATGGCGGATACATTGGCTGGTTTTGTTTTCCACCGGGGTCTAGGAGCTTGAGGTTTTCCGCGGCGCAGTAGCTACCGTATTTTTTCTTGTTGGCCAAAGCTAGATTTAATGCTATCTCGCATTTTACAAAGACTATTTACTCCACCAACTGAGGCTATAGAGTATCTCAACAAGGCTCTGGTCGGAGGGCTCCTATGTGGTAGTAGCCGTTTCCGTTGGAGAAGCATAATGTGACAGGCTGCTCCGAGTTGAATGGGAAAGTTAGAAGAGGAATGGCATATCGTCATTCATTACTGAATTATCTTTGTTACTTATATATTTCGTTTCACAAGAATTCTGCCGCCGATCAAAGAAACAGCTACTGGTACAGGTGCAAAGTGCATCCATCCGCAACACGGTTTCCGTCAAGTCAATCACCTGAAGTCCCAGAAAAAAGTATGGGTAAATGCTAAACCCCGAGAATAAGAGAGAACATGAATGATGCAGGAAAACGCCAAAACACTCATCATCATCGTAAATAGATCGTCTGGACAAAATGAGCAGGCTGGGTTATCGCTGCCAAAGAAAAGGCCTTGGTATCAGCGAGATGCACTAGAAGAAAACATCCAAGTTTAAGGGGAAGAAGGGAGAAATAAATTATCGGCTCATAAACATTCATCAACCGAAAAGTATGTTGGAAAAGGTGAACCCACTCGACTCCACGCTGCGCAAAGAGACGAAGCCGCCCGGAAAAGAAACCAAAAGCAAGAGGAGAAGATAAAGTCACAAAAATAGAAGACAGAGCGGAAAGAAATACCTGTAAGGCCGTAGGTTCAGGTCAGGGAATTTCAAGGACTTCACCGGCGCCCACGTGAAAAGCTCGCGCTAGAATGGGATAGCAGTTAAAACAATCTGTAGAAGTAACCGAAAAGTTGTAACAAGGCTCCACAGGGTATCAAGAAAACTGACGAATCTGAAACCCTAGGATAATAACTATGATAGAAAACCCCGAAGCGCCGTCGCACACTGATGATTTCGTATAAACGTTGATAATAGAAAGGGGGGGAAAATGCAAAAGGAGAACGTATTTTAATAGTTCCACTTCGGGTGGATATGCTCTTCGATTTTCGTGGCACAATCTTCAAACCAACGACACTCCAGAACGTCTGCGATCGTCCATCGTTTCAAAGGATCCAATTCGAGGCAGCCCTGGATCAGAACGAGTGCGTCGTGTCGCTGCTCAAGATCGTCATCGCCCTTGAAAACAGCATTCCGATTCCATCGGCCATTCGCAATGTTCGTTGGCACCTTGGGTTGAAAAGAATGGTCAAAAGGCCGCTTTCCAGCCACCAAAGCAAAAATAATGACACCAAGAGCCCAGATGTCCACTGAAGGTTCAAGGACACCCTCTTTGGACATAAGCAATTCGGGAGCGGCGTATTCGAGACTACCAGCAACGCCACCTGCAACGCTGGAACTCATATTGGAGGGACCAATAGTCTTTGGTGGCGGCCGATCAGCGGCATCATCGTAGGGGGCCGGCGCATTGACGCCATTGTCTGTCACCATCCATTCCGACATCCCGAAGTCACACAGGTATAATTTTCCGAGTGCCTCTTTATCATTAGGGTCTTTGAATTGTAACAGGCAGTTTTCCAGTTTAACATCTCGATGGATCACACGGGAATCTTCATGCAAAAATCGGACAGCTGACGCCAACTGGTATGCGTAATGTTTTGCTTGGTCCATCCGTAAGCCTTCTCGATGATGTCTCTTGACCAAGTCAAACAATGTCCCGCCGTTTGTCAAACGAGTAAAGCAGAAAGTGGCGTAATCTGTTTCGTAGACGGCGTGGAGTGGTAGAATATGTGGGTGGTTCAGGTATCTCCAAACTCGAACTTCGTGATCAAACTCTGCCTGGAACTGCTCGTTCTCCCTTTCTGACTGACCAGAAAGTTGCTTTTTCACAATTTTCACCGCCAGGCGTTCTGTCTTGCCATCATCTTTCACTTTGAAAGCTTCCTTAACAGTACTAAAGCCTCCATGGGCAATAATTTTGCCAAGCACGTAATCTGTACCAACAAGTTGACCTTCATCATCGGGTTTTGGGGCTGATGTATCCCGGCCGAATGAAGACAGGAATGCACTAGCAGGAGACTTGCCTCCAGAGTTGGTAGACCTGCGGGAACCATGACGAAAGCTATGGCGACCCGAAAAGCTCCGGGACTTGGTGTCTATACCGTGTCGATCAAACCAAACGTCGGTTGCTTCGAGTGAATGTGGCCGGTATAGCTTCGATGATCTCAAACTAGCAAGATAAAGATCACGACGGCCGTCTGGAGGCGTCCGCAACTCATCTGTAGCAGGCGATGCTGTTGAGAGAGATGTCAAAGAGACGGCTCGAGGTAGTTCCACATCCAAAGAAAAGCTATCAGAGTCGGATGAGGAGAGGGGTTGCTGCGCAAAGCGACGAGAGAACAAGGCATTTTCATAATGCTGTGGACTGTTACATTGCTCTTCATCGGATTCGCCGCTGGTTTCGCTACAGGGAGATTTCGTAACGGCCTGTTCTTCAACACGCAGCTTCCTCAGTGGCTCATCGAGAGCAAGATGCGCTCCACAGTCAAGAGTCACTTCCGGGTTGAAGGAAATAGACGGCCGCCTTTTTCGATTGAACTCTTCGAGCGGCGAGAGGTGACCATAAGACGAATCATCTGCGTAGTCCTGGCGTTGCTTATCATCGGCATATGGGACACTGATTGGAGGCGTTGGACGGTGCTCCTGCCATGCCTCGCCCCGTTCATGGGCGGTATCGGCATCGACCGGGCCATCTTCGTCCTTTAAGACGCATCGCGCAGCAACTTTTCTAGCACCATCGAAGCCATAGTGACGATCACCGCGTAATGGGATAGGTGATTCCGGGAAACGTGCATCAATCTGACTATTTTCAAATGGAAGGATCTCCGTATCGGCCATCCCCTCAGAAAACGGGGGGATGACTGCAAAGAAGTGTAAAGAGAAGATATGGGCAAAGTGAATATGGCAACGGATATCTTGATGCTCCCAAAGACGCCTGTTGCGAGTCCGCAAGAAGGGACTCTCGCGAGCAAGGTGCGTGCGATGGAGCTGCGGGGAGAGTCCGGAGGCAAAGGAAGAAGCCAAACTCAGAATTTGATAGAGTTTCTTATCAGGATTAGCATGTGCTGCGGCGAAGATAGATGCCGAACTAGAAGCAGCGGAACCAGAGGACGAACAACAACGCTGCAAGCAAAACAACGACGAGGAGAGAAACAGAAAAAGAAGAGGAAGAAGAAGAAGAAGAAGCCGGAGACGGCGGGAGAAAAGGAGATAGCCCGAACAGGCCACCGGAAGACAAAGCGTGCGAAGGCAGCGGCGTCGCGAGCAGTCGGGCAAAACCGGATCCCGCCACGAAAACGCCTTATCTCCAAGGCGCTAGGCCCAATGCGGCGCACTGCAATCTGTGACTCAGGCGATGTGTCATAGAAACCGTGCCGAGGCTTATATTTGCTTAGTCAGTTTTTCGGACTATTGTTCTACCGTAGCCGGTGCTCTATCACGCGGTCAGCTTAGATATCGGACGTTTGATAGGTAGCAATGTTGACATTCACACACTTCCAAAATCTCATTATTATTATTATTGCATAGACAGTAAAGTAAATCCATCAGGATAATGTATGGACTATTGGTCTTTTCCCTGTTCTCTCACTCTCCCTGTTCAACGCTATGAGCGCTATGAGTGACTGGTTTCCTGCGGCATTTGAGAAGTGACATGCAGCCAATCTTGAGAGGCAGTCGACAACATTTCATAGCCTAGCAATCCCCCAGAAGCTCTGTTCTACATTGCTTATCTCTTTCTTTCTCCTCTGAATTACGTTGCTAGTTTCTTAAATATAGCTGTGGATGTACAAATCAAAATACTTCATACGCAAGTGTATGAACACGCGCTTTTCGCAGATATGGTAGTATGCCTGTAACAATATCTAGTTAGCTGACCCTACTTCTTGTTCATACCCAAAGCAATAAACCGAATCCGCAATATTTCTTGGTGCTGCTTACCTAAGTATTTTATGGTTTACCGCGTTGAAAATGCCTCTGTCCCTTTGGCCGGATCCCACACATATATAAATACCGGATTGGCGGACAGGAGAGAACAAACGCAATTTGATTCTTGCAAACTGCTCCGCACTTGGCGTCTTAGTGGCGAGGTGTATTCTCTGTTACTGTGGTTGGTGGATCAGGATTGGGCTGGCCCATGCAGAGACAATGACTAAGAAGGACCAAAATAGAGTTCTCCATGACGACACTAAACCATATTAGGGCCCCTGGGCCAACCTCCTGAAACCTTAAATCCGATTTGTTGTCGCGCGCCCTAATCAGGAACACCGTCGAAGCACTACCATCGTCCTGATCAATGCACCATGCGCATCGACGATGGCTCTGCCACCTGAAGTCATAAGGACACCTGTCGCTCGTTTGAACTGATTACATCCTAATTTGCCTGTGCTGCCGCTGCCTTCGCTTTGTTTCCTTCGTCTCTAATCATCCCCGCTCCGGAGCGTGTTTTGCCCAGAAAATTCGCTCCTCTGCAAGGGCTTCCTTCATATTGTTTGAACAACTGGCAAATGACGGGGCTGTTGATCCAGTCACTCCAGATACCGTGTACTCCGATTAATTTGGCTCCGGCTATTTTTATGCACCATGACTCGACCGCAGATGATCCGGGCTGGTGAGACTGAACACGAACTCTTGTGGTTGCGAGAACTTCGCTGATTGTCATCGTTTAGATACGATCGATTTGCAGAATCCCGATGCTCCATCCACGCAAGACCACTCTCGTTCCGCAAATAGCAAAGTATCTCGATCCGTGCATGGCCGCCATCAGGACCAGACTTTGCGCAACGCGGAGCAGGACATGTTAGAAGAAATTGCTAGAGGCCCTCTATCTCCGGAAAAGGATTCTTTCCAAGAAGATATTCAAAAAGACCAAACTGACTTACGAGACCGTTCTGATAAACTGCGAAGTGGTCGAACTGGTGGCTATGAGAATCTTATTGGGGATGATGTTGGAGACGGCGACCTTGATGATCAGCTTGACGATGACGAAGATGACGATGATATGCTAGATAAAATCTCGAGTTCTCCCTCAATAGATGATGGTGGGTGTCTCTACTTTTCATTTATCTCTTGCGACGAACTATTCAAGCTTTGAGGAGGATCAGAGTCACCCTGAAACCGCGCACTTTTCATGTTAAAACTTGACGTGGCGAATCACATGTGTTCTTACTTGCGCGCCGTTATTGCTATTCGTCTATCGCAAAGTGACTTCAAGATACTCTTGCCCTGCTACACCGATCTACTTCAACTTTTCGTCACCAGGCCCAATCGAGTTTTTGCATCCCTAGCGGAAAAGCGTCGTTGTGCTTTCGCCCCTTGTACCTATCAATGAATTTCCCGGTTGTTCAGGGACCTTACGGCCGCTCGTTCTTGTTTGGTCCTTTGAATGTCGTCACAAACACTGCTGACTCTCTCCACAGAGGACATCGATTTCGAATTTGTTTATGCTCTTCATACATTTTTTGCCACGGTCGAAGGCCAAGCGAATGCAACCAAAGGGGATACTATGGTCCTTCTGGACGATAGTAATAGCTATTGGTGGTTAGTACGTGTTGTAAAAGATGGAAGCATAGGTATATCCCAGACACTGTCTCTTCCCACGCGTTCATAGCTAAACGCGCCTAGGATACCTTCCTGCCGAGCATATTGAAACCCCTACCGAGAGGCTTGCTCGTTTGAACAAGCATCGAAACGTTGATGTACGCCCTTCATCCCTTACTTCTCTTATTAGACCTTTCACTAATAGCTGTAGCTTTCGGCCACCATGCTTGGTGATAATGCAGAAAAATCCAAAAACCCCCTGAAGAAAGCGATGCGCCGACGGAACGCGAAAACAGTTACCTTTGCCTCTCCCGTTTACTTCGAACCATCGGATATCGATTACTCCACTGAAGAAGACGCGGACGGCGAATTTTTGGAGGAACAAGAAGATGAAGATGGGGCAGAAAATTCAGATGCTCAAGTCAACCGAGAGGAGTCTGGGACAGGAAATATCAACGTAGAGCCATTGCGCTCGAAACTTCAGGTGGATGGTGGGATGAATGCGAAAGAGGAGGAATCACAGCGGCAGAGCCTTGAGCAAGACGTTGATACGGAACAACCCTCAAATCAACAAGGCAAGTCGCCGTGTCTGATATTGAGGGAACATTGCGCTAACGTGTTTCTAGACGACTTCAAACATGGCAGATCGAGAAACGGAACTCTACGAAATACCGACTCGTTTTTCAAAGACGATACGGGCGAAACAAAGAAGATATCGCTCACCCCAAACCTATTACGGGATGATGCCACTGAGACTGCTTCGATCGATTCCAAAGAGGTTCGCATAGTCTGGTCCAGCCACCTTCATTGTACTAACTACTATTGATAGATGAAAACTCGAGGAAGTTTCGAGACTCTGGTTAGCGATAAAGGCAAAGACGACAAAAAGCGCAAGGAAAAGAAACCAGGAATGCTTAGCGGGCTATTCAAAAGAAAAGATAAGAAGAGCAAAGCAGAAGATGAAGGTGACGAAAATCCCGAAAAGATATCCGAAGAATCCTCTCGCTCGTCCACGGATCGGAAAATGTCAATCGAGTCGCTTAAGGAAGAGAGCCGCTCTCCAAAGCAGCAGGTGGTGTCTCGCCAATTAAGCAAACTGACAAAACCAGCTTCTTCTGGGCCTGTGTCACAACCAATGGAGTCTGTGTCGTCGACTAACACTTCCATCGCCCCGTCTGTACGCGCTGTTATCCCCGAATCAAAGGAAGGGGTCTCAGAGCTTCGCGTCCGTCCGTCGGACATGAAGCAAGAGCCATCTTATAATCCACCCTTGGATCGTGACCCTACTTCTACTATATCCGCACCCCCCAGGACTGACTCGATACATTATTCACTGCAACCAATAGATGCTGCTGACAAACCTTCTGAAATCCCCATCGCCCTTTCTTCAACGAAAGTAGAAAATATGCTTATAGCGCCGCCGGTTATATCTTCCCGACCCGCTGTTCAAGAAACTCCCGTGGATCCTTATCGCTCGGATGATGCTACGGTATTACCCAAGGAGCAAGCGCCTCCAGAGGAAGATGTCTATTCTACCGGCTCCGTACCCCCACCTTCGTCAGATCCTCTCGAAAGTTCACAATCCAAAAGTGAACTTAATGATACGATGGAAACTGCGCCCGCACCGACTCCTAGCCCGGTATGGAACGACGCTGGTTTACGGGCCTATCTGGAGGATGGCAGCGATATTCGTGATCTATTGATAATTGTTCATGACAAATCGAATGTCTTACCCGCCGGACCCGACCATCCTATCACCGGAAATCTTTTTAGGGAAGAGAGCAAGGCACTAAACGAGATGTCAAGCCGCCTTGATGAAATGCTAGCTGGATGGCTAGCTAGAAAGCCTTCTGTTGCGGCTAGATGAGAAACGATCCTCATGGTTTGCCGCGGTTTTTGATGCTCTGATAATGAAACATGGGTGTGATTTCACCCTTGATACTATTCAGTAGGAGTTTGTGGTGCTTTTTGTGAGCGAAAGGCTGTATCTACCCCTCGAATACGCAGTGCAGGCATCGTCATCGCATTTGACTGCCACTGAGTGACCATATCTGCGACGTCCTAATACATGACTTTACGAACGGAGACTTTCACTTCTGTTTTGATTTCATGCTTCGAAATACCCCCTGTTGCTGCTTTTGTGTTATATGTTCATTTTCCGTACATGCTTTTTCATTTAACCGCCCTCACAACGACTTCTTCATTTCTCATTATTTTTCCTTTTCCCATATGTTCATTCAGCAGGACTTTACCTCTGTGCTTCATTCCGTGCCTTGATTGCTATAGCATATTAGCATTTGTCTCTTTTTAGACTCCGTTCATTCCCGCTGCTGCCCTTTCTCGATACTTCACTTTTGCTACACGCATTAGGTACATACATACAGACGGAGTACATACATTCACATAGCTGCAAGAAAATTCGACATTTTCTTTTCAAGACTTTTTTGAGTTCTTCTATCACTATCTTTAAAACTCAACGACTCGCCTCTACCATCTCGAACATCAGCGGTCGGTGGGTTTACCTACCTAGAGCAGATAGCGTTACACATAGCTCGGACTACGCGACCACCTCCGCTCATTACGGGCAGATGCTATTTATGGTGACTGGCTCGTCCCTACGTCGACATGATTTTGGCTCTGCTGATAACATCACACTGGTGGTTATCGTCCGCTGAGTCAGCGTCGCTATCTGGGTTATCTTAGCGTGGAAGCTAAAGACAAACAAGGCTCGCGCTAACCCAAACCCTATCGCGCCCGCGTGATAACAACGCCGTTACATAAGCCCCCAGTCAACACCCCGGCTGTGCTTCGTGTCGTCTTGTTCTTCCCCCATCACTGTCCCCTCACTGATTGCGTCCGTTCGTCTTTGTCGCTGTTAGAAGCGCCTGTATCCTACTAGCACGCGACTTTCCAGCTCTGTTTTTTGGTTTTTGGGCTTTGTTGTGTGGTCATTTGCTGAACGCAGCCTCGGGCAGTCAGTTCGCGTCATAGTGAACACGTCAGACCCTCCACAATAACGGCCCCTCTGCATACGGCGGGCACACAGCATAGTCGAAGCCTCTGGGAGCGTTTAATAACGTAGCATTTTGATATTCGTGGGCTCGCGTGCCGAAGTCTGAAACCTCCGTCGACACCTTAACTTTCGGCCATCCTACTGTCGCCTGACTCCTACATCACCCGCCGAGCTGTTCGAAACCGTCGTTTATACCCTTCCTATTGAACGTGGGTTTGGTTTTCAGCATTTTATTACGTTTAACTTCCAGTTCTATCATATTCCTCTATCCCAAGGACTGTGACGTTGAACTGCAGACTTGACGGGGAGTACCAAATAATGTCGTCATCATGGGCCCTGTACCCATCGTTATATGCCCTTCCTGAGCACTGCGAACCTTCGTCACCATTTTTAGCCGCGATTTCGTCTCTTTTTCACACATGCCTACCTACACCTCTTGGACTACTCTCGACAACGCTTGGGACTCTGAGTATCGTGTCATGGCTATTCGCCCAAGTACCCCAGATATACAAAAACTATACAATTCAGTCGACGGCAGGGTTATCTGCTTGGTTTCTCGTCGAATGGTGTTTAGGTGACTCTGGCAACTTGATAGGGTCAATATTAACTCGCCAGGCAGGATGGCAGATAACCATCGCAGCATACTATGTGCTGGTGGACGTTGTCCTTGTTTTCCAGTATTACTGGTATACCTACTTAAAAGAATGGCAGTTTCCAAGATTTGCTCATGTCCGATCTCTCGACCTTGATAGAGATGAAGCATCATGGGATGCCATACTGCCTTGCGACGCCGATGCTTGCGGGCGAAATGACACTATTGATCCTGCTGCACCACTTGAGACAAAAACCTCCCCAGCGCCAACTGGTGATCACTCAAATAGATTTCGGACCAATTCACTTGCATCCCCGGATGAGAAACGCAACCAGCCCTCCCGAACCATTCAGCGCAGCGTCGCCGGTGCTGCCGGTGCACTACCACTTACATCTCCCCGCGCTGTCGTTATGGTTACATTACTCTGCGCAGTTCTTTCTAACGCAGCCACCCTTCCCGCTACACAACCACCACCAACCAATCCATATCCATCTCCTCATGACTCCGATGCCAGAATTCTGGCTGGGCGCATTGCCTCTTGGACTTGTACTGTTATGTACCTCGCATCTCGTCTTCCCCAAATTTTGAAGAACCATCGCCGAAAAAGTACCGCGGGCCTATCACCGCTTCTCTTCTTCGCTGCATTTTGTGGAAACTGTTTCTATTCTTCGTCCTTGCTGACAAACCCGAACGCCTGGAATGATTATCCCGCCTATGGTGGTGGTGGATGGGTCGGCGCCGACGGCAATGACCGCTGGGAGTGGATTACACGGGCCGTCCCTTTTTTCCTCGGTGCTGCGGGCGTTTTACTACTTGACGCCACTGTGGGTATCCAATTTATGATGTATGCAGAGCAACATGACGAACTAGTGGTCAAGGTCCGCGAGCATGGGAAAAATAAGTGGAGAAAGGTGACAGGCTGGATGAGGGGCTGGGTTCCTTCGAGTCCGGAAACCGACAACGCAGCTGTCGCAGCTGTGGTAAGAGCAGAGAACCAGGCGTTATTGGCTGCATATCAAAGGGATAGATATGGTGCTGTTTAAGTCTCTTTTTGCATCTCCCTTACCCATCGAACATTTGGAATTGTTTGGTTTGCTATATAACCTTGAGCATTAGACTATGAGAGTGTTCTCGGCTGTGGCTGACGAGACTCAAGTCTCGAGAATCAAGGTCTAAGAATCGAGGTCTTTTCATGATCTGGTTCTCTGCCACTCTCGCTGCCCTTCTAACTTCCTTGTTTTGACCCATTTGGGCCTCCTTGAGGCCTCCCTTTGTGACGATATCCACGTTTTGACTTCTATTCTTGACGATACATAGCGTTGTTGATGCATCTACTCTGTACAGCCATTTTTCTTTTTGGCTATTACATGTCTTGTGAGATCCTTATCTTCAGGCTTCACTTGACAGCTTGATTTCCTACTGTGAGAATTTTTTCGGGTTCCCTCATCATATTTCTTAAGTCATATACTAGCACTGGATTTGTTTTGGTTAGCTAAGATCCAAGGAATGGATTGTGAGCATAATAGCGCTGGAAACAATCATCCTCCTGTTGACATATAGACGAACTGCTTCTATGAACCAATCAGACACTTGACTTGCGTATCTCCTTAAGCATACATAGGTGCTCATTCTACAGTATCGAATTTCCTTTTTGAGCACCTAGCATTGCATATCTATCATCGCTGCATTCCCCGTGCTTCAGTGCCCCTTATCACCATCAGTATCCGGTCCCTAAGTCTCTTCTTTAAGATAAGTATGGGGTAGTTTATCAATGAACCAACAGTGGAGGTGGAACGTCCTAATGGTCCACTTCTGGCTATGACGACTCTTTGGCTGACCGACTACTGATTTCATCCTCAAATCGATATTCAGCCTTCATGTAGGATTAGACGGCGAAAAATACTACTTACGCGCCGACCAAAAAACCTTCGAAAGTTGACTCTAGTTTAACATTGCCCCTCAGTGGTAACTGACATCACAGCGCAGGTGCAAATAGCGAATCGGATATACTGGGTTTAGAACTAGGCGCCCTCAGATATCAATCTGATTCGCAAGGGATACTGATCCCTGCATGTTCTACGGCGCGATAGCGCTGGCCATGCAGTGCACAATATAAATACGAAATGTGTCCCAATTATGGGCGAAAATTTCCTCCGAAATCAATCTGTCGTGAGCATATCCAAGCCTTTTTGAGTGCTGTTTATCTATGAATCGACACTGAGAAGTACATAGTCACTGACTAGTCTAGCTACCAGTAAGCCTACAACCTACTGGTCTCAGATCGCCAATTATCTCGAGTGCTAAGAGTTCCCTAGTCTGCATCAAACAGAACCAACGCCTTTGTCGCGTTCACGATTGTAACTAGAGTGGACATGTTTGGGCTCTCCTCCAAATCAGAGACCAATGCACCCGATACTTCTCCCAATCCATCTCCTCAAGCGTCATTTGAGGTTGAAAAAAACGGGCTATATATGTTACTATGGAACACAGGCGTTTCTAATAAGTACCACTGGGGTCTATTTGTTGCGTTAGATCAGGAAAGCGGCATCGTTTTCCATCAGACCTTGCTTGGGCTGAAATGGAAATACACTGCCGAACCCAGAAACGTTTCAAATTCGCGTAGCCTGCTTGTTGCGCTGAAACTCGGAGTTGTCGAAGGTGTTGACGATCAGTGGATGGCTGCGATCAAGGATATTATCCGCCAGACCGAAGTCACTGGGGAGTTTACTTGCCGCACCTGGGCTCTGGCCGCACTTTACAACCTTGCTGATGGGGGCTTCATTGGGCTGTTGCCTCAGTGGGATGACATTCAAAAAATCGAACAAGAAGCGAAAGACATAGCACAATACTGCTATTATGGAAGAGTCAAGGTTGTTAGAAAGAGTGACTTAAGCAAGCCCTAAAGCTCAGGCAGTAGTAAATACGTCCTCTTGTTGCTTGAGGCCCCTGCCCTGCCGCCTTCTTGGGTGTGTAACTAGTGGATAGGTAGCAACCATCATCTCATGTGAAGCCAGCAGGTGGAAGTCGTTTCGGATCAATAAACTTCCGGTCTCTCTCAGAGCTGTCCACCTGTAGCTCCGCTCCAACTCCTGTAGTGAACCAACATGCATATAAAAGAAGTTTGAATAAGCTCTATATGCCCGGAGGGCTCAAGGAATTACGCTTCCGAATTTTTCTGGCGACAAAGATATGCAATCTACGCTTGATAGCGATGAACTTTATCGGTTGGCAAGAGACACTATCGAATCTGCTCAGCTCTCAGCGATAGAGCATCTCCAATTAGGACTTCTCCTGATAAACGCCATTTCAAAAGATGATACTGCGCGACTCATCTTAAACGCCTCCCAGAAACCCGGGGAGAGTATTGAAGATAGCCTTAGGTCCATTAATCGATCTTTCAAATCTTTAGCCCAAAGATGTAATGCCAGCTGCACTGTATCATGCCACCGAACAATATCTAATTCTACCAATAGTCTTGCCAAATGACCTCGTGATATCTCCAGAGGTGCATTCTGCTCTTCGCAAAAGGGACAATTCCCGATGTTGTGTATCGGGCTCGGAAAATTGCCTCCAAGCAACCTACATTGTTCCGCCCTCAATCCTAGATGATCCAGATTTGCTCCCTGGAGTATGTTCTTTTTATTCTTTGACTTGGCAATTTATGTGCTAAAAAAAATCAGGGAGAATTGCGACCCTATCTTGAGGCAGTTATATCCCCTGAAACGTCCAGAAACCTCTTCTCTTTTATAGAATGCCGTAGCCAGGAAAACCAACTAAAAAATCTATGGCTTATGTCTCAGCCTATAAGTTCAGCTTTTCAAGATGGGCGCATCAGCGTGTCTAAAATATGCACCTCATCCAAGATCTACGTTCGTTCCGCTCTGATTATATTCTCCTATGGCTTCTAACCTGATTCGTGCAGTGGAACATCCGAAAACACTTTTATGAGGACTCTGACATTCCTGGGTTGCTGGACGATCAATTTTATACCGAGCCATCATCACCAGACGAGACGGGTTTGCCATTGCCGGAAGCTTTTTTACTCGACATTCAAAAAACATTCTCGTCTATAAGATACCTTCAATTGCTTGAAGGTGAAATCCAGCAAGGTTGGCCAGAGTCACAAAAAAGTTAGTCTTTTAACACTTTTTGCATACCAATTACCAAGTCATTGATTCATTAGCAGGTAAACAATGGCTTCAAAAAGCTATATTTTTTACCCTGCGAGGGTGTCTAAGTATTCTCCCTGTATTCTTGAAATCTGCAGCCTACAATTATTATATAAAAGCAATGGGTTATGTATCCCACTCTTCCGTCTCGTTGGTCACATATCTTCCGCTCGGCCTCTGCTTAAAATTCGGTAAACGTGTTTCCAGAAACGAAGCCAATACCCTTCGGCTCATTGAGAAGCACACGAAAATTCCAGCTCCCAAATTCCTTGATTTTGTTCAAGAAAAAAATGGAGTAGGATTTCTCTTGATGACTACAGTCCCAGGCATCCCAGCCGAGAAAGTAATATTTCGAATGACATATGAAGAACGGGAACAGCTTGCAAGGGACGTTGGAAAATGTGTCTCTCAATACCGTCGTATCAAGAACTGCAACAAAAACCTTATATGCGACACCTTGGGTGGCCCAGTTACAGATCATAGGACGGATGATGTCCCATCTGGGCCCTATATGTCAAAGGCTGCTTTTTTAAACCAGCTCACTGAAGGACTTGACGAGCTCAGGAAAAAGCCGCCGCTTTCTTTGCTCTATGATAAGGAGCATGAGATTTGTTTCACACACTCTGACTTACACCTTTCAAACCTTCTTCTTGAGAATGGCAAGCTCTCAGGTATTGTTGACTGGGAAAACGCAGGCTTTAAACCTGAGTACTGGGACTACACAAAGGTCGTGTGGGGCTTTATGAGCAACGAGAGATTTGCTCGTCAAATGCGCCTCGCATTTGACAAGAACTATGAAGATGAATTGGAGGCAGAGAGGTTGCTCTGGAGGTTAAAACCTGTGTATTAATATGCTTTTAATTGCACGAATAGAATATGGGGAGGAATTTTGATCCTACTATATAATAGTGGAGGTAGTTTAGACGCCTCGGGCATTAAAAAGAAACCATTAACTGCTAGCCACCTTCATCGAGCCTTTCGGCATAAATAGCAGCACCCCCAGTGTACAGGGATCTGCCTCACCTTCCGACAACCATCACGCTTATGTCCTTTTCTTAAGCAAGAATGAAACCCACCAGGTTCAAAATGCCCGCATTCACAATGACGAATGACCTGATGACACATCCTATCCTGTGCACAGTGTTGCAAGAAATGAGTTGATTTCGCTTCTGCAATATCCGGTGTGGTTGTTGCTTCTACTATAATAAGAAGTAGTCTTGATATTGTATTGACAAAGCCCCACTTTAAGGAGTGAGGCTGTTGTATAGCTGCTTTCGATCTTGCAGTGACGAGGAAGACGAGAGTGATATATCGCCGAATAAAGATAATACCAGCGTGTATATATGTGGACAAGCTCGATGGGGACGGCCCTTCTGTCGCCTATCTCTAGGCTAGAACTTGTGTCGTGTGACGTATTCCGAGCTGTAGAGGGTTCCCCCTTTCCCCCCTTGTATAGCTATTCGTCGTTCTGTGATCCGTGCAAAAAAGTGGTATCCTTGGTGCTATCCTGTTTGGTAAGCCCAGAGACTCAGGGGAGCAACATGAGGCAGAGGTGGGAATAGGTATCATACCCAAAAGCAAAAGCAACACTACAGAGTATCGTGGCTGGAATATATAAATCTAAACTCCAAGCTTCTCCCTAGAGTGATGTGTTGTCCCTGAAAGGCAATTTCAACACGTAAAGCCGCTGCGCATTCCAGTATTGCTGTAAGTTAGGAAAGGAGCGATATATTCGAGATTATACCATGTGCCAGGGGGTAGGAGTGTAAGAGGAGGCCATATACCTAAGGAAGTACAATAGCAAATATTACATAGAACAAATATCACAGGGACAGAAAGACTGCGCAATCACGGAAACTCTGTATAAACCAGTTATCAGTGAAGATGATAATGAAATGAAGGGAGAAAAAAGTACAGAATAGTATCCTTCGCAGGGCGCTTATTTATACCTCAAATACAAGGCATAAACTCTCCGCGGAGCACTCAAGCACAGAGAGGGCCAGTCCATCGGCTGTGCCCATATAGCGTGTCACAAAGGGGGTATAATGAAAAGAACAGTTCATCATGCAGAAAACACAAGACAAGCAGCAGTGTTCCGGTAGATGACAAGGGCAGACACCAACTTTTCCATGATGTGCATGTCGTGTACTGGACACCGGCGCGTAAACAACCCACAGTAGGTTAGAAGCTCATAGCAAATCTCAACAGAACTTGCATTTCTGCACTTTTTTCATGGTCGGTTGGGATAAGTGGCAACACATTGTGCTCAGCTTGTTGTATGGAACCGCACAGCTGCATTATGCAGCATGTGTCTTTCCTTGGTCTGTTAGTCCTCGGCACGCAATCTGGGCTTGATAACACTAGGCGAGAGCCCCGCTAGACGGAAAACCGTTGGAGGTTGAAAACAGGGAGAATCCATCACAAGTATAGGTATGTATTATCATTCTTATGACAGTTCGGCATTTAGCTATCGACATTGCTGTTAAGACAAAATATGGGGCTAATCCAGAAATCGGAAACAAGAAAGAGTAATAAGTTGTCCATTAGAATACGCATTAGGGTAATTTTCATTCTCTCGTGAATGTACAAAAGTTCGAGGTAAAAGAAAAAGAGGGTTGGAGGGACATGTGCGACATGGCGGAATTCTGACAACTAGGTCTGAGGAAACAAGGTCAGTTGCATCAACTTGCATGCAACCGAGGTTCTGCCAGAAGGACTCTTAGTCTCTTGTAAGAAGGCAGTCGAGCTGCTGCCACACATTGGTCTCGGAAGCGGCAACCCGTCCAAAATTTCCCTGAGGCAAAAATGAAGAACACTCAGCATCAGCCGAATACCGGAACACTTCCTGTGCTGGTAGGACCATGAAAAAAAAGGATTACAAGACATAATAATTGACTCCACCGTACACACTCTTCCCCATCAACGCCGACAAAGCGAGAAAGACGCCGCAAATGCCTGACGATTAAATTGGCTCTCCCCAATCGAGGGCCGGAAGGCGACAAAGGGTCCAACGTGCAAGCCGGAAAGGAAGAAAGCAAAGTCGTTTAGGGTATCACAACTGCCAGCACTGCCACACCCTCGGTCTCGGGACGCACAGCTGACTCAAAATGCACTAGGTCTATCTTAATGGTCGTTTAACATCTTGCACTCCGCGGCGAACAACGTCCTCGTACCGCCATCTTGGGGGAGTTATTTGACCGGTAGTGGCCTGTTTGCGGTACCAATCATTCTCCATTTCTGGGCTAACTCCATCCGGCGGTGGAAGTGCGCCTCCCGCAACACCACTGGAAAACTTCAGTTGCAACACATTGCCGATCTCATCACAAGCTGACAACAACCGATCCAAATCCTCTTTAGTATGTGCCGCAGACACACAGAATCGAGCCCGAGATGAAACCAGTGGGGTAGCAGGGTAGCCGACGACAACAACCGAAATCTTCCGTCGAAGCATTTCGTGTGAAAAGGCTGGCATTTTTGCAGGATGGAATAGGAGCAAAGGAATAATAGGAGAGTCATCGTTTCCATACACAATGAAGCCAAGGCGTTTCAGCCCTAGGCGTAAGTATCGCGAATTGAACGCCAGACGTTGTAATCGTTCCTCGCCCTGGCCAGGAACAAGCTCGCCTGAAATTATGCGGAGTGAAGTTGAAATTTGAGCGAGGATGGGAGGCGTAGGCGCTTCTCCGAAAAACACGGCCGCATTGGATGCGCGTAGCCGATCGATGATAATTTTGTCTGCAGCGATATAGCCTCCGTTGGCACCAAATGACTTGGTCAATGTGCCCATTAGAATATCAACTTCGCTTGTATCAATTCCAAAATAGTCACATATCCCTCGGCCGCGGGGGCCGATCGCACCGATCGAATGAGCCTCATCAATGAAAAGGTGAAACTTGTACTTCTTTTTCAGGGCAAGGATCCCAGGAAGATTGCACATTGACCCTTCCATCGAGTAAAGACCCTCCACAACAACCAGGACCTTTTTCCAGGGACGATGAGTACGCGGCTGACCTTGGGAGATAACCTCTCGTAGCTTCTTCTCAAGTGCATGAACGTCGTTATGCTTAAACATCTCGATAGAAGCGCCGGACAAACGTGCCCCAAAGCGGATGGAGGCATGATTCAGCTCGTCAGAAATAATCAAACATCCCTTAGATACTAAGCAAGGAAAAATTCCTGCGTTGGTACCGAATCCCATTGAAAATACCATTGAGGCCTCCTTGCCAACAAACTTTGCGACCGAATCCTCAACTTCGACATGGAGATCCTGCGTTCCAGCGTCTACTCGGGTCGAAACGGAGCTGATTCCGTACTTTTTAATAGTCTGCTCAACTGCATCTGCGCATGGACCTTCAGACTGGGCAAATCCGAGATAATTATAGGAACTCATGTTCAAAGTATCGGTAGTGGTACCCGTAAAACGAAAATGGCCATTGAAATCGTCACTAACACGGTCGATTAGAGTTATATATCTCCCTGGAACACCCGTGGTGGGACGCTCAAAGCAGTCGTTGATTCGTAATTTCAGGCGTCGAACGTAAAAGCTATCAAAATCGCTATATAACGCACCAAAGCCGTTTTGCGGTTTTAGATGACGGTAGTGCCTTTCTTTGAAGCGTTTCCCGAAAAAATCTCGAATATGGCCACAAGCAATCAAGAGAAGGTAGCTAATATAGGTCGTAAAGAGGTAAAAATACGGTGGTTCGTCCATCACCGGATCAGGGAACGGGCCACCCTGATGGCGGGAGGTGTAGCGATGGCTGGGATGACCGAGGGGGCCGAACTGGGCATGTTGTTTTGCGAGACGACGGGCCTCCTGCGGGGAAGGGGGTTGAAAGAGAGTTGTTGTCGTCGGATCATCCACGCTGGTGGCTTCTATTGTAGGGAGCGACATTGAGGACAAAGGAGTGTTTGCTGCAGAATGGTCCAAACCACCAGACAGAAGCTGATTCGAGGACGTCTCCTGTTTGGGCTTGGGTGAGCTTAGGAACAGCTGACTGAATCGATTGCGATTCGGATTTGTAGGCCTTGAGGAGTTAGGGGAGTTGCTGGCGATGTTGCTCGTAGGTTGACGAGGCATCGCAGGCGGCCACACCCAGGAACAACGGCTCTTGGGTTCAACAGCAATTCAGGGTGTGGGTATCCAGCTAATCGGCTGGAGCCCGTCTGCTGAAGAGGCTGAAGGGCCTAACCCTCAGCAACTCGGCCGGATGCGCAGGAGGCAGCCTCGATGGAGCTGCGGCGATTTGGCTGCAAAACGAGGAAAAAGTTTTTTTCAAGTCAGTTTTCTGATACCATGGTAAGAGCAGAAAAAAATTGCTGAAGAGGGATATACTTTTAGAACCCGCGACGGACGGGAGGGAAAAACAGGAGAGCTCGCGTGGGAATTCAAGCTCTGGCACGGGCGGATGAGTCTGCCCGAAAAGAAACCTTGCTGCAGGTAGGGATCCGGTGCATCCGAGAAAGTGGGCACCAGAACAAGAGTTGAGGTCGAGGGCAGTCGTGGCGATAATCACAACATCGGCTGAATTGGATATTGAAGGTAATTGAGGAGCTCGAGGGAGCGGTGAGAGTTGTCGAGAAGATCTTTTGAACGGATTCGACGTCTGTCGGCGATGATGCGGATAGTAATTTCGAGGCAGGTGGTCACGGCGTGTCACAACCATACAAATGGTATGCGTACTGGACGAACGAGGTAAAATCGGCAGGCCTTAGTCTGTATTGCGAAATTTAACGCGTATTGAATCAGACGAAACGGGTTGGCCACCCATTCTTACTAGCTGCACATCATCCGACCCACAATTCAGGGGCAATTACGCGCTGCTTTTGTGTTCGTGTTTCGTTTGTACAGGGATTGTACGGTAACGGCGTACGGCTCGTGACGGTAAAGGTTCTCCAGCCCGAACACGTGATTCCCAACAGTTTCTCGGCAAGACAATATTCCGCGCCGTGCTGAATGGGGTAATACGCCGAAGCCGCGATGACATAATCCGGCCGGGCCCCGACGACGTCTGATTGGCCCGCGGCGGTCGGGAATTTCGCATCGGACGTTGAGCGACGGGGATGTCGGTAGAGAGCAGCAGGCAAAAAAGCGCGGCGAGCAGCCGCAGCCTTCCCCATCTGCATTTCTATTGACGGCGACACGACAGACACCATCCCGAGCAATCATGCCCTTCATCGCCCAGACAAGCAGCGCCGCCAACGGTGCAGACGAAGCACGGGAGCTATGGCGCCCCTCCAACCCTCAGAACACGAGGATTTTCGACTTCATAACGAAGGTAGCGACCAAACACGCTCTGCCCATTGATTCGTATCAGGATCTGTGGCAGTGGAGTGTCGAGGAGCCGGCGAAATTTTGGGAGGAAGTGTGGGCTTACACCGGCGTCAAGGCGCATGCGACCTACGAGTCGGTATGCATGAGCAAAAATAAAAATACCCAGCAGATACGAAACATCTGGCGCTGATCGCGTTCTAGGTTTGCGATCTTGATGCCCCCATGTTCCCGAAGCGACCGTTCTTTGACGGAAGCTTGCTCAACTTCGCCGAAAACCTCCTCTTCCCCGCCAGTAATCCCCACGAACACTCCGTTGCTGTCATCACCGCCACCGAATGCACGCGGGAACATATATCATGGAAGGACCTCCGCGAGAGAGTGCGCCAGTGCACTGTCGCCATGCGAGATGCCGGCGTTGCAAAGGGTGACCGCGTTGCAGGCTTCGTCGGCAATCATGCAAATACTCTGATCGCCATGCTGGCCACCACTGCTGTTGGCGCCCTGTGGAGTGGCGTTTCTACAGACACCGGTGTGCACGCCGTTCTCGAGCGATTACGGCAGATCGAGCCGAAGCTGCTTTTTGCCGATAATGCTGCATTTTACAATGGTCGGGTACACAACACGCATGCTAAGGTGGCTGAGGTAGCCGCCAGCCTACCTTGTCTGCAGTTGGTAGTGGTCTTTGACGCAGTTAGAGATCACGCATTTGACGCCCAGTCGATCCGGCCACCCAATGGTACCTGTGTGTCTTTTGCAAACTTTATCGCCCCCGCCGTTCAATCGACTGTCCCGCTGCAGTTTGAATACCTGCCCCCAGACCATCCAGTCTATATTCTCTACTCCTCCGGAACAACTGGGGCGCCAAAGCCTATTGTTCATGGTGCACTGGGAACCTTGATTCAACATAAAAAGGAGCACGTCCTCCATTGTGATATTGGCCTCGGGGATCGTTTGTTCTATTTCACAACCACCACATGGATGATGTGGCATTGGCTAGTCTCTGCGTTAGCTAGCGGTGCCAGCGTAGTTCTATATGATGGCTCACCGTTCCGGCCGTTAGACCCAGAGAATGCTAAGGGTGATATGGCCATGGCCCGTCTTATCGACGAGTTACACATTACACATTTCGGAACGTCAGCGAAGTACTTATCCGTGCTAGAGCAAGCTTCTCTGAACCCAAGAAATCATCCATATAGGCCTGTGACACTGCGGACACTCAAGGCTATCTTCAGCACTGGCTCTCCACTTGCGCCGTCCACGTTTGACTATGTCTACTCATCCATCCATGAGGACATCCTCCTCGGATCAATAACAGGGGGAACTGATATCATTTCCTTATTTGGAGCATGCTGCCCCATTCTACCTGTTCACCGTGGTGAAATCCAGTGTCGAGGACTTGGCATGGCCGTATCTGTCTTTGATCATGCTGCTCAAGATATCACGAACACAGACGACGCTGGAGACCTTGTGTGTACGAAGTCATTTCCTGCGCAGCCGGTCATGTTCTGGCCGCCCGGGCCTGTCGGGGCAGAGAAATACCGCGCCAGCTATTTTGAGACCTATGGCGACCGCATCTGGCACCACGGAGATTTCATCAAAATCAACCCAACCACTGGGGGACTGGTCATGCTTGGCAGAAGTGACGGCGTACTCAAGCCTGCGGGAGTGAGATTCGGCAGCGCCGAGATATATAATGTGATCTTGAAACACTTTGCGGATATCATCGAGGATTCTCTTTGCATCGGACGGCGAAGGAACGGCATTGAGACCGATGAGACTGTAGTGCTGTTTGTAAAACTCAACAGCACATCGTGTCCTCCATCCGGCATGTCAACCCCGACAGGTACTGTGAGGGAACCAGACGCTCTACCAGAAGGCTTGGCTGCTAGCATCCAAGCTGTTATTCGCAAGGAGCTGAGTCCCCGCCATGTTCCTGCGATCATTGACTCCTGTCCAGAGATCCCAGTAACTTCGAATGGCAAGAAGATTGAGAATGCAGTCAAACAGATTCTTTGCGGGTTGAATATCAAGACTGGCGCAAGCGTTGCAAACGCTGCATGCCTGGAGTGGTATCGAAAATGGGCGGCCGAACATTAAGGTGATTGTTATTTTATTGATAATTTGATTTTTTTTTCTCTTGAAGCATATATAAGTTTTAGACTAGATTTGTATATAATTACTGAGTTCTGTAATGGCTGAAATCCTTATCTCCGTACGGAGTAACTATGTGGCTATGTAACTATTCCCAGCTCGCCGATAGTTACGCACGCTAGGCAGAGTCTAAATGTTGCATCACCAATCCGGCCTGCATCTTTTTTTCTCTCTGGCCAGGACAGGTAAAACGGCTCAATAACACCGGAAAATAGCCACAATGCGTCGCTTTGCATTAAAACCAGGCTCACTTCAGTCGTTAACACGCGCCCACTCTATACCAAAATCTACCCTGCCTTGGACTAAACGCTTCGCCCAAGTCAACGCTGCAAACTCGGCAAAGGTTTGAAAGCCCCAATATCAACGCCACTTTCATTGTCGCATGGACTTATAGCTCTTGGCTTATCTAGGATCCCGTCGAGCTTGATCGAGTTACTCAGCTTCCAAATGGCCTCCGCGTCGCAACCGAATCCCTTCCCGGCCCCTTTGCCGGCGTAGGTGTCTACGTCGACGCCGGCTCCCGCTACGAGAATGATAGCCTGCGCGGTGTCAGCCATATAATAGACCGACTTGCTTTCAAATCAACCAAGCATCGAGATGGAGACCAGATGCTTGAGACTCTCGAATCTCTCGGCGGAAACATCCAGTGTGCGTCGTCCCGCGAATCGCTCATGTATCAATCTGCCAGTTTCAATTCAGCAGTGCCTACGACGCTTGGATTGCTTGCGGAGACGATTCGCGAGCCTCTGATTACGGATGAGGAAGTGCGGATGCAACTGGATGTAGCTGAGTATGAGATTCGAGAGCTGTGGGCGAAGCCAGAGATGATTTTGCCAGAGCTAGTGAATATGGCAGCGTATAAGGATAACACGCTAGGTAATCCGCTGCTATGTCCAAAAGAAAGACTGAACGAAATCAACCGGACCACGGTTGAGAAGTACCGAGATATATTTTATCGACCGGAGAGAATTGTCGTAGCCTTCGCTGGCGTGCAGCATGAGGAGGCGGTCAAGTTGACTGAAAAGTTTTTCGGAGATATGGAGAAGCGAGATGACCTACCAACATTAGAAGGTGATGAAAAGGTGCCTACATTCCCAGCATTTTCGCCCTCGTCGACTACACCAACCGAATCATCTGTATCATCGCCACCGCCAAGCCCATCTTCACCCGCCTCGTCGACATCCTCGAGCGTTTTCTCACGGATACCCTTCTTCAAAAATCTTTCCACTTCTGCAGCACATGGTGCTTCCGTCTCGCCTTTATCTTCAGACCTTTTACTGCCCTCCACCTTAAACCTCACTCAGCCATCACATTATACTGGTGGTTTCCTCTCCCTACCACCAATTCCACCTCCAGCTAATCCTGCCCTCCCCCGTCTCAGCCATGTGCACCTCGCCTTCGAAGCGCTGCCAATCTCTTCACCCGATATTTATGCCCTGGCGACACTCCAAACCCTCCTGGGAGGCGGCGGCTCCTTTTCTGCAGGCGGTCCCGGAAAGGGAATGTACTCACGCCTATATACTAATGTCTTGAACCAATTCGGCTGGGTAGAAAGTTGCATGGCATTCAACCTTAGCTATACCGACAGCGGGCTATTTGGAATCGCCGCGTCTTGCAGCCCAACCCACATTAAAAGTATGATCGACGTCATGTGCCGTGAGTTACAGGCGCTCACCTTAGAAGGCGGACACTCAGCGCTCCAGCCTACCGAGGTCAATCGCGCGAAGAATCAGCTACGATCTTCGTTGCTGATGAATCTTGAGTCGCGCATGGTTGAGCTGGAGGACTTGGGCAGACAAGTGCAAGTCCACGGGCGCAAAATCGGCGTCATGGAGATGTGCAGACAGATCGAAGCCGTGACCGTGGCAGATCTGCGCCGCGTGGCGAAGGATGTGTTTTTTGGAAGAGTGAGGAACCCGGGCAATGGGACCGGACGCCCCACAGTGGTCATGCAAGAGGGTGAAATGGAGGGTGTGAGATTAAACCCATCTAGTTGGGAGGAAGTCCAGCAGAGGATTTCCAGATGGCACTTGGGCAGAAATTGAGGAACTCTCGATGTGTGAAGGTGCGTTTATTAGTATTTCTCGCCTGCGGCGTCTGAAAGAGGCGTGGACATTTGCATTAGGATTACTGTGTATACCACTTTTTTTTTGTTTTTATTTATTTTTATAAACAAGGCGTAAGGCCTGCTAAATGGCGTCGTTTTCTTTCCACCATCTAAAACAAATATTTAAATAATCATGTGTATGTATGCATCGTGACAAGCAATTAAAGGCAAGAATATATTCCGAACCCATTGCAAATATCAAATAGAATGAATCGCCGTTGCCAACAAGCCCCAGTATACCCAACCCTCGAGAATCCATATTAAAATCCGAAAAACCTATTTCCCCGCCCTTTTTGTAACCCCCCGTTTTAATGTTCCATTCCATAACCATGCTAACCATTGTATGAAATAATTCCAGCCCAGTGAACTGCTGAGGTATCAGGTCAGTCGATTTCTGGAACACCTACCCTAGCGTTCAGAAATATTGACAGATCATCTAACTCATGCGATGCGAACCAATGCTCCAATTCATCATAGAGCATCCAGGTGACATCCCATCCGAATTTCTCGATTGTGTGTGCCGCCGATTCACCCAAGCGCGGGGCAACTTTCTCGTCCAATGCGCCGTGAGCAAGCCATACTGGCGTGAATAAGCAGCCAGGTGGTGAGGCATTTGGTGAGAGTGGCTCAATATTGAGCACTTCTTGGCGACAGAAATTCATTGCAACTGTACCAAGTGCTATATGTTTGTCGGCATTCCTAATTAGAACACCGTCCGAGTCGTAGTTGTTGTTGGATTCAACTTTGCACTCAAATTGAGATGAATGTTCTTCGGCAAGAGCAGCCATTTCTTTATTAAAAGGTAACCACCCGCTTATTCCCACAAAACCGCCCAAGGAGCCACTGCCATTGTCATCATAGCTCAGCAGAATATGTAATGCTTGGGCGGCACCTTGACTATGCCCTCCAATGACGACGTTTTTGGGTCCCACCAAAGCAGCCTCCTTGTCGATTAGTCGATGCACAAATTGAGCGCTTTCTCTAAGTCCTTGATGCTGGATATCTTTTCGTTCGCGGTCCGTACCAAGGTTAACAAGGTCGAACCATTGTGGTGTGGGCATGCGGTGGTAGTGGGAGGACCGTCGAAGCTTGGCGGTAGGAAAAATAAATTTCGTAGTAGGGAATCGTTGAGGGAGGGTATCGCCAGAGAGGAGTTTGGTGGTGATGAGTTCAACGCCAAAGTCACGGCCGTCCCCGCCGCGACCGTGGAGGAGGATCATGGTGTGGGTGTGGTTGCGGCGCGGAGGAATGATGAAGGGGTCGAGGAAGCCACGGTTGTTGGGAGGAGGTATAGGTATGTCGGGAACGTAGTCTTCTGCCATGATGGATGCGTTCTGCCCTGGCAGGAAAGGGCTGAGAATACTAGATCCCTTTGCAAAAAGAGTGAGCAGATCCAGTGCTTCACCAGAGTCAGTCACGTTAATCTGAGATTTAGACGTAACCTGGCGGGACGACAGTCCTCCCCGTTCAGCTCGTTCGGCGTATCGTGTCACATAAGACCAAGTAACGGTCCGGCATGCGCATGATTAGGGAACGGCTGTTAAGTCGGCGATGTTCCTGCAAACCCTGCTGAGTCTTGACGGAGAGCAGCCTTTGCGGTGGAAGACACCTTGCAGGGCGCCGGGATAACAGCTTCTGTCAGGCGCGGGCCGTTTCGAGGGCGAATAGCGGATCAAATGCGCACAATGGGGCAGTCAGCACAGCATTGTTCTGCAACAGTGATCCCATGGCGCAGGAAGAGACAGAGGCGGGTTGTTTGGGGCATCAAAGAAGGTTGCCTGAAAAGTCAAATGCAAGGCCGAGACCGACTCCCTGGCCGAAACACTCGCCGAAGCACAGGCATGGGCTGGGGGCCAGAGTGCCATCGCCCACCCATACGGAGTACAGACAATCACGGCGCCGCCTGGCAGATGTCCAGCAGAGCAAGCATGTCCTTTTCTTCTATTCAGACGTCTCGATCGCGAGCGAATCAAGTGTCGTGGGCCGGCGCCGCTTTAGCCGCAGCCTGCATGCAGGTGTTGCTGACTCAGCACCGCTAAACAAGCGGCCGAAAAAGTTGGACTTCGTGCTTCCTTCACTCATCGAAGCAACGGAGCACACGCCCATTGTGTATATCAATCAAATCCATCGAAGCCGCCAAATACCGCCGCAATGGTTAAGCTTACCGAGGTCGAAGACGAGCACTTCAAGGAGAAGCCTACCACGAGCAAGGACGATGCTCTTCTGGTCAGCGACGAGGAGGATGACGACTTCACAGACACAGGTACAGTTTTCCCTTTGTAGCTGATTGATTGTTTCAGTGGTCTTCTAACATGTAACTGCAGAATCCGAGATCTCGTCCGACTCCTACTCCATCCTCGAAGAAGAAACCCTGCTCGAACGCCTCGCTGCTCTTCAAGACATCATCTCCCCATCCTCCCGCCGCAAGATCTCCAACGTTTTCTCCTCCATGACCTCATTTACCAAATCAACTTTCTCCTTCGGTGGAAAGACCTTATGGGTCGTGAGCACCAGCGCGTTCTTGCTCGGCGTGCCGTGGGCATTGGCCTTGGCCGAGGAGCAACAGTATGTGCAGATGGAGAGGGAGCAGGGGATGATCAAGGGTGCCAACGAAGTGAGCTGCGACTCGCCATTGTCACTTGATATTTCATGAAGCTAATATGGGTGACTTCCTAGATGTTGACGCCCGGTGCTACGAGTGCCTTAACCCAACAGCCCGCGCAGCCGACGTTGTAAGAAACAAAGAAACAACTTCTTTGAAATCGGAATGGGAGCTTTCGGTCGTGCGCTATGATACTCGAAAAAACATACATTAACGGCTCCATGCATATGATGTACGATCGAGTAGCAGGAGAACTTGATCAGCCTGGATCGAATCGGCTTGGCGGCCTACGTCGCGGTACCCAGTGTCGTGCCGCCAATTTCTATAGTTTTATCAGGCTGTGTGGGCATTTACTAGGGCGCATTGGATTTTGCGGCATCTCCGATACACCTCACGTTACTCTAATGTTCCCTCTTTTTTTCTCCAATCCCTCTTGAACCCTTGTAGTTTACCAATTGGCGTCTCATTTCTCATATTATATTGACATGGAAATACGGTATGTGTATATCTGAATGGAAATCTGGTGGAATGCATATCAGTCTCGGAAGTTTGGTAATTCCTGAAACGCCTGCCTCCCCCATACCAAATACCGCGAAGGAATAAATAGATATCCTAGAGAGTAAATGCTAAAAATATGCCATTATGATGAAGAAGAGAAAGAAGAATGGACAACACCACTTGATTAAAACGGATAACGAATCGTTCTCCATCTCCATGAAACTCTCACCATCTTCCAGCGCCCTAAAGAACATTTGTCAGTAGCCCGCGCGAGTATAATGGCCGCGAAGGAAACATACTGGGCCATGCTCCCTTGCAGTTTTTGCATTCAAGTTAAAATCCTTCCACAACCGATCAGTCTCCCCCGTTTGACGCATCGAGTCCACCACCTGGTTCGCATACTTGGTTCGCTTCTTGACACTCCAATGCTCTCGTTCCAAAACACTCTCATCGGAGAATAGCTCTTTCCGCTCGAGATAGTCAATAACCCATTCATTCAGATGGAATCGCCAGTGGATCAGGGTGTGAGCCATGGTGGCTTTGGATTTGCAGAAACTGCCTAGGAAGAAATGAGTGGATTCATCAGGAATAGTGCGGCCGTCTCGGTCGATATTATTCTTGTTTTCTGGTTGGCTATTATCACTATCGTTGCCATCATTGCTGGTACTTGTGTCATCTTCATCGAATAGTGGTTCGAGTGTCTTAAGTGAATACGGGCGTCCGGTAAAGCGAATATCGTACGAGGCAGGGTGTTTAGACCGATTACAGGCATCGCAGTAGTCCATAGACGGATCTGAGAACGGCAGAACCTCAATCCCGGGTCGCGCTTCAAGCGCGTGTTTGAAACCGCCAACCCAAACTGATGAGACTAGCTGGGATCCAGCCACTCCCAAAACCTCATCCTGAACTTTGCTGAAAGCCACCTTATACACTTCATCGTCGCGTGGAAACGCCGGATTTAGTTTGTTATGCACCATCCATTCCACCACGTCTCGGAAGTGGTCTTTTAGCCGCTTATATCGGTGGCGGGAGAATTCGAAGGGCAAATCCACGACCTCGGATGGCACACCGATCTCGGCGTCCTCATCTTGTAAAACAAAGTCATCTTCATATTTATCTAAATCTTCTGGGGGCGGAGGCTCTTCGTCGCTATCGCCAGGTAAATCCTCGTCCGAAGTATATGTTGCGCAGTCTGACGCTTGGTCTTCATTTTCTTCATTGCTTAGGCTGTCGCCGCCATGTTCTAAGGAATTCTGCGATTCGTTAGTAGGTCTAGTGGTAGGCGGTTTCTCGCCTGCTCGACGAAGACGTAGCGCTTCCAATTGTTCTTTGCGTTTCAATGTCGCAGCTGAGTGAACCACGCTACCTCTTGTTCTTTCCTTAGTCACAGCTAGAAGTATAATACGGTTAGTAGAATTGTGCTGTGTGATGAGACATGCTACCTACCGGAGTCGCGTAAGTCTTCTAGATCTTCCTCTAGGTCGCGCAAGGTCTGCTCAGATTCACCTTGGGCGCGCACCTGGACACTTGCAACTCTGTTTCGCCTCCTACGCTTTGCAGGAGATGAGATAATGGCTTCGGAGCTGGAACTCTGACTCTCGTTATTGTCACGTAGTTCAACGAGGAGTCTTTTGCCAGTTCGGCGGCGAGTAGAGCCAAGGCCCCGAATGTCGTCCTCGTCGTCGTCTTCGTCCACACTCTCATCGCCATCTTCATTTTCGGCCTTTGCTTTCATTGCCAACGGTTCGTGAATCAAAACACGCGGCACAATTTGGGTTCTACGGCCCGGAGTACAGATAGCGTCTTCGTCGTCATCAGATGACGATGACTTGTCCGCTTTTTGCAACGGCGCAGGGCTGCCTGGCGGAACATCGCGTTTGGCGAGAGGTCTCCGCGAAAATGGAGAGCTACCAGCGGGCGCACATCGAACAGCAGCAAAGTGGTCAGTAGCAGCGCTATCAGAGCTATGGTCGAAACGAGGCGAGGAGGATGGGATTGGGGTCAAGTCCAGACGAGTTTGCCTCTTCACCCTGGGTCTCGCTGCGATGCGGGACATTCTCGGAGAACCCTAGCTTGCATGCATCGAAGCCAATGTTAATGCCAGCCTCAAGGCTGTCTGTTGAGCAGCGGTGTGGCAACGGAGCTCCAGCCGCTCCTTCGACAAAGCTCAATTCAGGCTCAGGCAATCAACGGCCGTATGTTTGTTTGGTTTGCCTCGTCGCGGCGCGTCGCCGAGGTGCGGGCACGTGACAGCACATGGGAAGCTGCCATATCGGGCCTAGCGTGGGGTGCATGTGAGGATTGCAGGATCGAGCCGCATCGACATCGCCAGCGAAGCGAGCGCCGGGATATCGCGACAGCCCATATTTATAGGCGCATAGGTCGCAATGGCCGCGCCCTGTGCAAAAGCCACAGCGCTGCTGGCCCTGCTGGCCACCATCCCCGTTGCCGTGACAGCTCACTCCCAAGGCGCGCGATGGCTTCGGCACCCCCGGTCGTCAGTGGCGCCGCTGGTCCAGAACCTGGCTGGCGAGCCAACCTTGGGGATGCGTGTCGCCGGCCAAGCCCAAAGCCAATATTCGGCCGTGGCGGTGCGCGTCCTGCAGCTCCATTGCCCAGTGGGCGGGTGCATGACGTAGCCACCGCAGAGCTCTGTGTGCCCGCCATGCGTTGCGCGCGCCGCATCACCGGCGCATGCTAGCCAGCTAGCACATGATAGTGCGCCCGTGGCGAACTGCTAGTTTCATCTGAGCCCTGCCGGTCGCCAGGCAACGTAACAACCAAGGCGGCTAGAGTGGGACACGAAGCTGTTTTGCAAATACTTGGTCAAAACCCACCCATGGGCCAGCGCAACCCTGCTGCCCTGCTGCCAGGCGCTGGCTCCCTCTCCCTTCTGCCTTAATTTTGCTGGCAAATCGCGGCAGCTCCATGACGTCAGCCCCGGCCGGTGCTTCTTAAGCCGGGTCGTGCTTCCCTCCTCTTGTTGTTCTTCCCAGTTCTGCGCCCATTGGCCCTGATACCCGCAACCTCCCTCACTCACCCTCACCCTAACCACACCTAATGCTAGGACGGCGAATATTGTGACACCTATCGTTACCTTGTATCTACGCTATATTTTGAACTTATCCGTTGTCTTTTTCTTGTTATTGGGCGCAATTGATTCGCAATGACCAAGTCAAACGTCAACAGACCCATGAACGCCGAGTTCAGGGAGAAAGTGAGCTCGCTCAATTGCCACCTACCCGCATCTCGCTGACCATCCTACTAGGATATCAATAAAAAATTGCAGTTATACGGCATATACTCGGCGTTTAAAAATGGAAAAGTGCCATCGGTATGGCGCTCAATGCTCCGTCCCAGTTGTGGTCCCAATTAACTTACAGTGCCCATAGAACAAACAAATCGACATTGCCTTGAATAGTGCTTTGGAATCCAAAGCCCTTGCGACGCCGTCAGACAAGCTTTCGGAAGAGGGCCGTGTCATCGTACGTGATATTCGCGATGTTATCACGCATACGCGAAATCTTGCTCTGGTCAAGAACGAAGGCAATCTCCTGCAGGAGTTTATCTGGGATGCCGAACGCTTCAAACGCCCCGAAATCGCGACTCCAGAGAAGCCGTTCGACAAAGAGGGTGCCAAACAACATGGCCAGCAGGTCACTGAAGGTTTAAAGACACTAGGAACACTCTTGGTTACTAATGGCGAATTCAGGAAACTCTGTAAGCATTAGCCGTGCCTAATGAACTAAATATGACCTAACAAGCTCGCACAGTGAACGACGCTACCCTGCTGATCCGTGATATGGCCAGCGACTCTGCACAGAAGGCTGCCAATTTCATCAGACCACCTGCGGATCAGCTTTCCCAGATTGACCAGCCTGCAGCAGAAAATGTGTGGCATGAAAGACCTGATATGTCCAAAGACGGCCTGAAAGCCCGTTGGAAGCAAAGAACTCAAAAAGACAAGGAGAGCGGAGGTGTCGAACCTCAAAACGGTGCCGCCAACGGTGACATGACAGCAGAAGTAAAAGAAGAAGCCAACAAGCGCCGCCGTGAAATGACTGAAAAGACTAAGGAATTCCTCGCCACGAAAATGCCGCAAGAACGCCGAGAACAGACCGTTTGGCGCATGAAGAAAATGATTGTGGAGATTCAGGGCCATTCGGACTGTACGTTCTTATTGTATAGTCCATTTGCAATACGTCTCTAACAATTTCAATTTACAGATCAACAAGCTATTGAAACGCTTCTCAGTCTCGCTGAGACCTACACTGGTCACACCAAGGATCTATCCAAACAAGGATTAGGCAACTTGAAGGGCGCTAGGAACGAGTCGTCCGATCTCAAGAGATTAGAGGCTAACTTGAAGGTACGTTGTGGACCTGCTGACGGCATTGGAAATACATGTAGCTAATCAGATCATAGGTTCTAATTGAGCGTTTTGCCAACAGCACGTCCCTCGATGACTTGTTTGATTCTATCAACAAGTTTTATCGAAATGCTGAAAAGGATCCACGACTACGAGAATGGTTCCAGGCTGTCAATTTCTTCATTCGGTATGTGTAAAAAAGCCGCGAGATTGTTTGATCACACAGTTAACCACATACCTAGCCGTTGTCTGCAAGAGCAAGGCTTTGTGTTGCAGGAAGCATCCAATGAGGAATGGAGAAGATTGTATGATGAAGGGCAATACCTTTTCCGGGACCGCTATCGTGACGACAGCAATCGCCTTGTCGGCGAGGTAAAATTCATGGGTGAACAATTCGACCAAGACCCCCTCAACAAGCAGTTTTCCACCTCTATGCAAAAGTTGTTCACCGATCTGGGTACCGACAGAGAAGGAAAAGTTGTTTTTAAGAAGAATCTCTTGAATGATTTTGCAACTGTTGTGGTGCCGGGTTTCTTTGAAAACCTCCACTACATTCCAATTCCTCGCATCGAAGTGTCTGACCCAATGATTGATGTGGTAAGTTAGCATGCTGAATATTTGATCTTATGGGAGCGCTGGCCTAACCATACGCCCCAGATTGTTGAAAACCTTGCCATCGAGAGCGACAACCTAATGCCGAATATTGTCGAGTTTGGCAGTGACAATTACTGGCGCTGGGGACGCAAGAAGTTTACTAATAAGCACGACAATAAGATGCTGATCTCTGCCACTGGAATTCAAGCTGATTTGAGGGGTATGCTTTTTTTTTTCTTTCACTTGGGATTATTTGCGCCTGCTGACTCGCGAGCAGATGTTAGCTACTATATCAAAAAGAAGCAGGGATTTCCCAAGATTTCTGACACAGGTGTGATGGACATTTATCTCGGTGGCGAAGGATTTAGCTGTAAGATCATCGGATCGACATGTCAACCCAATGACAAACAACATTTCTTTAAGGCCGATAAAGTCCAGGTCGCTATCAAGAACCTTGACATCCGACTCAAGCAGTCGAAGCACAAGTTGTTGTTTAGTATCTTCAGGCCCCTACTGTTTTCGTTGGTTCGCCCAGCGATTCAAAAGGCGTTGGAGAAGCAGATCCGCGACTCGTTTACGAAGGCGGACGCATTTGCCTACGATATTCACAAGGAAGCTAACCGCACGAGGGAAGCGGCTCGTGCTGACCCTGAAGATAAGAGCAGCATGTACTCGCATTACATTGAGGCAGGCAAAAAGAAGATGGCAGAGAAGAAAGAGGTAGCTGAAAAACAAGCCCAGGCCAAGTCAAAGCGAGACACGAAGGTCAACATGGCCGTTACCCAACATGATTCCATATTCCAGGCGGTCAAACTCCCAGGAGGCATTTCTTCCAAGGCCACGGAATACAAAGAGTTGGCTGCCAAGGGTGATCGCTGGGAATCTCCTGTTTTCGGAATCGGCAAGGCCTCTCAGACAAGCAATCTACCGAAATTGGCCCCTATTACCCGAAAACCCCATCAAATTGTCGTCAAGCCCCGTGAGCAGGAGACAGCGGATCGTGCTACTGCCCAACGCGTTGCCCCTGCTCAATATGGTGAACCACGCGCTGCTCCCATGCCTATTACTCAAGGAGAGCCTATTGGCTTCGCCAGCCAGCCCCCGACCACCTACCCACCAGGACCAGTATCGTATCCTGGACAGGCTGCCCCTGTTGGTGTTACAACTGGTGCTACAGTGATTGATGATGCTGCTCGCGGCGCTTACTCGGCCGGGGCGCAAGGCGCCGCAGCGGCCACCGGCGCTGCAGGAACCGCTGGAACCACTTTTTCAAACGGACTCCAGACCATTCCTGGTACCAAAGCTCCAGTCCTGTAGAATTTTTGTTCAACAAGAACTCGACGTTAAACTGATATACCCTCTCTTGCGACGTTTCATTTGTCACATGTTTCTTTTATGATACCAATCAATAGTTGGGAAATGTATTCTTATGGTGGCTTGCCTTTGTTTGTTTGTGCTCGAAATATAATATATGCAGTGGCAACAGCAGGACGCCACTTAACTAAGAGGAAAGCGGTAGTGTATTTCTACTGTCGTTGCAGTCTGTCGACTTTTTTCGGGTTGCGAAGAATTACTTTATGTAATAACAGTTTAGTTAATGTAGTTAATCCCACACTCTATCATTATGTACCATGCTCCGCTCTTCATTTCTAAAGTTTGATTGCACCCTATCTTTCTCAAAATAAATACTCGCAATGACGGCTTGGTGATGGCATCAACGGGGTTTCTATCGGGCATTTCCTAGCTATCACGTGCTTTCTAGCCGAGCTCTTCAAAGTAAGCTTCGTAGTAGCTTAGGGTCAGGGTCAACCAACACCAGGACGCGTCGACATATTCAATTCCTATTTAGATATTATTGAATTAAACAAATAAGAGGGTTCATCCCCCTATCGCTCTTCTAGCACAAAGAGGAGCACCCAGAGTTGACAAACATGGCCTCGAAGCCAGCATCTTCCTCTGCGCCCGCCAAACCGCCAACCTCGAACTCTACCCGAACATACCTTCTTGCCTACAATGCCCTCTCTTTCAGTCTCTGGAGCATCATCACCCTCCGCCTCCTCTTGCTCCTAATCCTCCTGGCCCCCGCCGGCCACGTCCCCGCCGTCTACGATGCGCTCTTCCCATTCCTACGAAACACGCAGACGTTGGCGCTGCTTGAGATCCTGCATTCGCTCGCGGGCATTGTGAGGGCGCCGGTGGTGACGACGGGCATGCAGGTGGCGAGTCGCATCGTCGTGGTGTGGGGTGTGATGTGGCTGTTTGGAAACGAGATGTTGGGTGGGATGGAGAAGAAGCCGGCCGGGCTGGGCGATTGGGCTTTTGTAGGCTGCGTCTGCGCGTGGGGTGTGACGGAGTGTATTCGATATGGGTTCTTTGTGGGCCAGATTTGGGGGAGAGGGGTGCCGGGATGGGTTAGTTGGTTAAGGTAGGTTTTCTATCCTCTTTGGAGACCTTGCATGGCGAGGGTTTTGCTGACATTGGGGTTAAGGTATAATACTTTTTTTGTGCTGTACCCGATTGGTATCTCCAGTGAGTGTATTTTGATGTATCTTGCCCTGGGGCCAGCGGCGCACAAACACCCATTGCTGCCCTGGGCGTTCAAGGCGATTTTGCTAGTATATGTACCAGGTGAGGATTATCCTTTCAATGATTCTCTTATAGCACCAAAAACAGCTTTGCTGATATAAATTCAGGATCGTATATCTTGTACACGCACATGATGGCCCAAAGACGAAAGGTCTTGAAGGCAGCCGCAAAAAAGAAGAATAAATGAAAGGATGGACTTGACTGCGTTTCCTCTTTCTAGCCATCCGTTATCCTACATGGCTTATATGTAAGATATTGCGTGTATTTCTTTCTGGTTTCGCAAAAAATGTGGATAGATTGTCGTCTTAGAATCAATCGACGCTGGCATTGCGTGGCGTTTTGTCGGCGATGATTGCAAGATTAGCAATTTTAATAATTCACAGGTCCTCCATGATATCCCTGATTGCTTTTGCAGCAAACTTTTTTCTCTCGGATTCAGGTAGCTCTGCTCCCATATCTGGTCAAGTCGGATCAGACCCACCCATTAAGGCTAGAAAGGCAAACTCACCGCGTATGGCTTGTACCCTCTGCATCAACGCTTCCAGCTGCTCTACTTGGAGATCATCCTCTTCAAAATCATCTTCCGCACCATCGTCTCCGCCTCTTTCGATGGCCATGCGTAATCCCAACATCTCTCGCTCCAACTCACCAACCTCAAACCCCAGCCCTCCTTCCTCTATATCTTCCAACATGCTTGAAGATAGATCAGTAGCATCTTCATGGCTAGAAGCCATTGCCCATTCATTGGCTTCCAGCACCTCCCGTATCCTGGGCATCCCCTCTAGCTCTATCAAAAGATCAGTAAGGCTTAGAATCAACTCCAAGCAAAGAAGAGCATACCACCAAACTCATTCCTCTTCTTCACCTCCTCCTCATCCTCCTTCCTGCTACTAGCAATAGCTGGATCCCAGTTTAGAACCTCAAATTCGTATATCCCCATATCCGCTAGCTCTTCATCCCACCACCTCACACCATACTCAACCATTTCAGGCCCTATAATCTCATCATTTTCAATAGTTTCCGATGATTTCTTGCTTAGTTTTTCTTCATCACTGCCAACGAGCACTACCATCCCCGGTACTTCACCGAAGCTGCCCTCTCCCCTCTCCTCTCCAATCTTCCTCCTCACATCAGCTACGGCTTTCACAATGTCTTTCAGCGCGGCTACTTCGCCACGCACCCGATCCCTTTCTTCACTCGCCTCACTGCTTGGGATAGCAGGGCTCACAGTGGCGGGTTTTTGGAGGAGAATTATGACTGCACCAATGGCGGAGCGGACCTCTGCAGCGGCTGGGGCGAGGAACGTGAGGGACCAGGTGGACGGAGTATCATGTTCTTGTTGCGATTGGGATGATGGGGTGGTAGACGACGGGGTTTCTGTAGGAATAGGGATTTCATCCACCCATATTGGTATATCTGCAGAGTAGTACTTTGTGTTTAGTTGTAAGGGCGAGTGGGTGGTATAACCGGCGAACGTTGCGCCATGAGCTACATTGAGCGGTTAGCACGGGCCATTAATCATTCGGAGGGCAAAAATGGTCGGAACATGAGCACATACATTGATTGTCGTCTTCCGTTGAGGGCTCATTCTGCGGTCTCTGTGGGGAAACCTGTACACCAGTCAAGTTGTGTAGAAAGGACGGGATGGTAGAATGCGAGTGTATGTTGGGCGTCACTATTAAGAGACGTTGCGGATTTGATATTCGCCCGCCTTTCTGCAGTTGCCCTTCTTCTTGGTTAGTTCCTGAAGGCATTCTACTATGTGATTGCGATGTGTTTTTGTAGTGGCGGGGCGGAGAGGGAGCGGAGAGTGGCGGCATGGTTTATACTGATGGGGACGAATATCAACCGAAGCTAGACTACGCCTGAATTAATATCATAGGGTCTGCATTAAAGTACGTAGCCGTTTTAACTATGGCCGGAAATGAGATTTATCCATTTTTTCACAAATCAATATGCCATATTCCCACAATCAGCGCCTTGCAGACTCTCGCATCAAAGACAATACCACTCTGGAAAGTAGCCCCACGCTTTAATCCCTGGGTCCGATGAAGTTGAGATATCTTAAGAATCCGCCCGCAAGAATATTTTTGGGTATTCTTTCTTAGACGGACCCCAGAAAAAACAATGTTAATATGGCCGGGTATTCATCGAAGAACATATTGCGCACATTCATCGAAAGGAACCCGTTTATAAGCGGTTTATGTGTGGCTCAGGCATTCATTTCTCTAAAATACGTCTAACCACGTCGTTGCCCACGAGCTCTGTTCACGGTGGCTCTGCCTCTGGCGAGCCCAACACCTCTTCCACGCTGGCCTCTTGATCGGAACATTGGCGCATTTCTAAAATTTCATCGGTATGCATTAGTATTGCAGATATCACGGTAATAACACAGAGGTTTGAGCCGATATAGCCTCTTGGAGTAGAAAGGAAACAGCTCAGCATACCGCAACATGTCCGGTACAATAAAGAATCTAACATGGCTTCCACGGATATAAACCTGATCGAGATGCGAGACACGGCCGTCACGCGCTGTAACTGTGATGTCCTTAAGCTGCACATTCATGTTATCTTCGGCTAGAGGGGGCAAAAAAAAAAAAAAAGAGCGAATTAGTCTTGTTCACGGATGCGAAAAAAAGGACGTAGGATGGGCACCTTCTAAGAGCTTTCCTCGGTAGACCTGGCCGGATGTGATTTCGAGAGTAACGACATGGCCCTGATAGCGCGATTATCTGCGTTAGCATGCGTTCTGCACTGGATCCGTAGAATCGTGCGCGGGCGCGCTCGACCTGGAACTGACCTGTGCCTCGTTGAGGAGCTTGATGGGGATGCCGATAGTGCTGGTCAGCTTGCCCATTGCTGGATGGCAGAAGTGCAACTAGTTATTCAAAACAAATGATAATCGATCAGAAGATAAAGCAGACGGGCAGCTGATAGATGGGTGATAAGCCGGAATGCGAGAGAGCGGAGATTTGGGAGAGTTGGAGGGCGCGCACGGGCCACATCACGATGCTCAACCTCGCCCGCACAGCACGAGAGCAGCTCGAGTGCTTCACCCGCAACACCACAGCGCGCCACCAGCTACGAGAATTCCAGAATGCTGCTCTACACGACCTGACCACCTCGAAAACCCCTACTCACACCCTCTTCAACCATGCGCCCGCTCAACAGCAACATCCCCGCCTTCAACCTCACCGTCTCAACCCTCCTCCGCCGCCCGTCCCTCCTGCTCCCGAACCTCACCGTCCCGACTCTGCTCCAGCTCCCCGCCGACCTCGGCGCACACCTCGCGCCGCCATCCTCCACCGCGCGCACCGCCTTCAAACCGCCCACGATCCGCGCCCTGGTGCTCGACAAAGACAACACCTTCACGCCGCCCAACCGGCTCGCCGTCCCGCCCTCGTACCTCGCGAAGCTGCGCTCACTCCGCACCGACCCGGCCTCGCCCTTCAACCTCACGCGCAATCCTCACGGCATCCTGATCGTCTCCAACACCGCCGGCAGCAATCCCGCCAACGCGCGGTACGCCGCAGAGGCCGATGCGCTCGAAGCCGCGCTTGCTGACCTGCGCATCCCCGTGTTCCGCTCGCCGCCGCATGAGAGCGGCGGCGGCAGCAACCACCACCACCGGACGCCTATCAAGAAGCCGTTTTCGCACCGGGCGATCTTGAGGTATTTGGTGGAGCGTGGGGTGGTGGAGTCGCCGGCGGAGATTGCGGTGGTGGGGGATCGGTTGGGGACCGATGTGCTGATGGCGGGGCTGATGGGTGCTTGGAGCGTTTGGGTGAAGGATGGGGTGACGGAGGGCGCGGAGGGTGTAGATCTAGGGAGGCAGGGCGTGGATTACCGCGGGATATGGGCGAAAATGGAGACGAGGCTGGAGAGATATCTAAGGAGGAGGGGGGTCAAGCCTTCGATGCCGAAAGGGTGGGAGGATACGGATTGATGATGCGCAGTGCTGGCCTGTTTTCCTCTGAGCCCAGAATTGGACGGGAGAGGCGTACCAATCGGAGTGGATGGAGTCACAGATGATCTGAGAACCTACAAGGTAAGTGGAGCACTGGTGTGAAATAAGATATTCATTGATAAGTATACATAGCTCCGCTATAAGATACACAAGATCGATTCCGCTTCTGAGGGAAAAAGGTGAAAAGAAAAAGGAAAGGAAAAAATGGCAACTCGCAAAAATCAAAAAAATAAAACACAAAATCAAGATTGGTAAGACACAAGCTATGAAACGGTTTCATCCCCAGTCGTCAATCAGAAACGTAGAAAAGACGAACAAACTCTTTGTTTTTCAAAAAATGGAAAAATTCGCCTGCCATGAAAAATCCAACTTGTTACTATCCCTCCCTCCTGCTTTAATATGGGCCATGATTCAAGGTAGCCATGGCCCTGTTGCGTGCAAGAAAGCGACAAGATCTCTAGGATGGTCGACTTGCACGCCAAAGCTTTTGAGGTGGAGAGTTGCCAAAAACAAACGGATGGCACAAGACTCAAGGTGCGGGGGTATGAAGGATCGGGGATGCAGCAAATTAGTCACCGCATGCGCTTTTTAGGCATGCAAAGAAGCGAAGAAAGCAGATGTATCCAAATGGTGGAAATAAAAAAGAAAAATATAATGAAAAAAAAAAGGTTGAAAATATAAATGAAATCAAAATCCTCAAACCCCCCTGACCCATCCAAGGTTCCTTTGCACACTCATATAAATTCGAAAGGTATGATGAATAGATAATGAATAGATCATGACGAAAATATAAGCCAATCTAAGAAAGGGAAGAAAACTAGAAGGGAAATAACGGGTAAAAGTCGCTTCAAACCAAAAAGGAAACCGAGGATGGGGGCAAAACCAGAAAAAGAATAAAAAATTCAAAAGAGAAAAGAAAAAAAGAAAAAAATTGAGCGGAATCTGAGGGAGAAGAGAGTACCAAGGTCTACTGGCCAGCCGTAGTTGAAGGTAAAGGCGAAATCGAGTAGCGGAAAGGGTCATCAAGGAGACCGTAGTTGATAAATTGTTTTTGGAGTTTTAGGCCATTAGCCGGCCCCGTAAAAACAGAATATATGAAGCCATCACAAGCACATATCACCGGTATCGCGATTTCAGCGGTAGTATCCGAGAAACGAACCTAGGATTTTCGTAATGAGCAGCCGTAGATGTTCCAAATCCATGTCAAGAGGCGGTATATTATATATTAAATAAGGTCTGAGCGACCGCCGTTGGGCTTCAGTGGTCATAAAGGAGCGAATTTTCAGGATTCAGTAGCAAGCGACGACGGGTCCACGGTCTCGAAAGCAAGCATTCCATGGAAGTCAACTCCATTGTCAGGCGTGCCTTGGTCCTGGAGACCCTGTATCGTCAGAGCGAAAGCACTGTCGTCCATGGGAGGCGAGGGCATCGACATGTTCAAGTTTTGTTTGGAGTACAATTCACTTAAAACAAGACCGTCATCGGATAAAGATGAGACGGCGTCGCCTGACATCGGAAAGATGTCCGCCGGTGAGCTACGTTGAGTTGTAAGTTGTGGGGACTGATCAGCAATAGAAGGTTCGGCAGGATTAACATGGGACAGGGGACCTGTCGAGTGCGCCATAACATTGCTATGGTCCATGGACGATGGCGATAGGAATGGGAGAGTATACTGTGGGCCCATGTGAGCTGCATGCGATTGATCTGGTGGCGCCGTGGTGGCGAACAAGGATGGGCTGAATTCCGATGGAGAGGCAGTGGTAGCGGACATCGGGTAATTGTGGAAATCCATACTGTATGCCGCAGAGGTGTCAACCTGGAGTGAACTTGCGACCCCATTTACGGGAATATGGGTTTGAGGTACGGGTGCGAATATGTTTGGATTGGACTGGAATTGAGTAGAGGGGTGTTGAACGTGGAAGGATGGCATCGGACTTTGCATAGCAGAGAAATCGACCGGAACAGGAACGGACCGGCTGCGTTGGCGCTTATGACCACGCGGTGGATGAAGGCTCATACCGAAATGCCCTTCAGGATAGACCACTGATTGCGTGCGTGCGAGCTGGTTTGGCTGTGAAGCCGGTCGATGAATGATGTGCGGAGATACTGGAGCCGAAGAAAAGCCATTGAAACCAAAATGGACGTGACGGTTCTGGAAAGATTCCAAAGATACCAACTTCGCAAGTTGTACACTAAGGACCTTAGGATGGCCGCCTCCAAGATGGTGAACAAAAGCCTTTGAGGCTTGCTGGTCTTCAGTGAAGTCTCCACACTGGTAGAATCCTCCAGAGTTGGACGAGTCCATGTAGAAATGCGGAGGGCGGTTCAATTCGATAACGATCCCACCGAATTTTGGGGGCACACCATCAGTAGCGGGACCGGCTTCCGCTGGTTCTAAAGCAATATTCTTGATGGAAGAGAAGGGGTACTCGATTTTATATCCAGCCGAGTCGTTATTGATATAGTAAGTCATACAAGACTTTTCAGGAGAGTAAAAGATGACCAGGTCCATCGTATTTTGGCCAACACGTCTCCATGTTCCAATTCTCAGGGAACGACAGGAAAAGTGGGAAATAACTGTAGGTTCGGTAAGCATAAATCACTTGTAAAGGTAAATGAAAAGACAGCGGCGTACCGATTTTGCCGGACGTGGCAGGGGAGTTCAGCATGGGGTCTCCAGGGCCATAGCCTCGATTAAAGATGTTACGGGACTTGGATGGGTCCCAGTGCAAGGCGAGGTATTGACGCATGGACTCAGGCACAGAGTCGCAATCTTCGCCGGTTTCGATTCCTCGCTTTGCGATCATCTTAATTTTGGCACGCCTAAGACAGAGGGTTAGCATGCGAACCACAGACAGACGGGAAGATTATGAATGAAGGTACCTATTTTGAAACCAGATCTGAACTGAACGTTCAGTCATGTTGATTTCCTCCGCTATTCTCTCTCGCACAGCAGCAGTTGGCGTAGGGTTCTTGTTGAATTCCATCTCCAACGTCACGAGCTGATCTTGTGTGGCGCGTTGGCGCTTATGATTCTTCTGTTGCTGTGTCAGCGTGCTTTTTCGTGGAGGACGCCGCGATGCACGTTGTTGTTGCTGCTGCTGCTGAGCGGAGGCGTTGGCGCCGGGCGTGCCGGGCGCATTGACCATCGCGGAGGAGATGGAAGGACTCGAGGTTGCCGGGCGCGAAGGAGCGTGGGGAGCCGACGTGCTCGACGGCTCCGTACGGACGGGGACGATGATAGAGTTCATGGTCCGGGACATACTATGTATGGATAGAGGAGAGGGGAAAACGAACGAAGGGACGGCGGGTTCGGGGGTAGCAAACCAGTCAGCCAAAAAAAAAAAAAAAAAAACGAGAGAAAGTATTCGTCGCAAGCCAGTGGACAAGAAGCGATGAATCGTCAAGTCGTCGAAAGTCGAGGCATCAAGCTCGAGCGAGATCTTTTTGTTTGTTGCCGCGCAAGGGGAGCGGAGGTGGCGTCCAATAAGAGGGGGTCAAACGAATGTAGGCGTCCAGCCAGCGCGCGCGGACAGCAGCGCAGAGATTGACACCGGCAGCGGTGCGACACTCTCCACCACAGGGCAAAACCTAGCGACGTTTTGGAGGCGCAGTGAAATGTTCCTGAATGAATGATGGGTGACTTTTCAAAGCGGCCCAGGACCAGGGTGGAAACGAAGGCGGGCCGAAGAAAAAAGAAGAAACGTCGGGAGTCGCTGGACCAAGGCAGCGACGGGGGGGGGGAGGGAGAGGACGAGTATCAGCCGCGGCGGGCGCACGGGCAGACGGCGAAGAAGACGAAGACGAAGAGAAGGCAGAAGAGAGCGTGGGAGCGCAAGAGCTGGGGCGCAAGGCCGGGGGAGGCGAAGCAGGGCCAAGAAGGGAAGTTGAATAATGAAAGCAAAGGGAGAGACGGCACGAAGGAGCGTGGAGTGGACGCCGTAAAGGAGTGAACGGGCAGTCCAGGCAGCGGCAGCAGCGGCAGCCAAAAGAAAGGAAGGGCAAAAAAAGGCACGAAGGAAAGGAAAAGAAGCGAAGAAGTGAAGGCAAAGCGACAGCGGGAGGGGAGAAGGAGGGAGGAGGAGGAGGAGGAGGAGGAGGAGCGAGGAGGAGGAGCGGGCGGTGGTGATAAGAAGGGCGCGCCGGACAGACCAGGCAGAGGGCATGGGCCCGGCACGGGAGGCGACCGGGCGGTACTCGCGCGGCCACGCAGAATGCCAGACACACTAAGTCACTCGCGGTCGCAGCCTGGCCGGCCAACCAGAGCGCGCCGTGCCCCCCGCGCCAGCCCCAACACGGCCTAGTGCGCCGCCGCGCTGGCAACGGCGGCCGCGGCGATTGGCTGCGCGGCGGGCGGACCGTGGGCTGCGATTGGCCGGCGCCGCCCGCCCGATCCAGGAACGCGCGCCGCATTGGGGCTAGCGCGCCGGCGCTGACTAAGACCAGGCGGGCGGCGTCATGCGGGTCACGGGGCGAGCGTCGGCAGCAGAGACGCGCGCCGTTACAGACTCGCGCCCCCCCGCCAAGCGCCCGCGCCGCTTCATGTGCAGTGAAAAATAAATCCTGCCCGCCTCGCCGCCGCCGCCGCCGTCGCTTGACCGCGCTGTGTGACTACCGCGCTGCCGCCGTCCTGCCTGCCCTGCCCTGCCCTGCTCGGGGGCGCCCGCCCTGCACGCCCGCCGCCGCGCCGTGTCTGGCTGGTCCCACATGGCGATGTTTGAAACCCACCCCGGCTCCTCGCGGGCTTCGCGTGCCCGGCCTCCCACCCCCTCCCCTCTCGCCCGTATTTATAGATCCGGAAACATTGTCGCTAAGAATAGTCGCAGATCTGCCCGCTGCCCGTCCAGATGCTCTTTTGACTCGCTTCCTGGTCCCCTGGGTCGTCGGATATAATAGCACTGCGCGGGAACACGGAATCCAAGCTCATATCAATCAGCCCTAGGCCCGCACGCAGAGCCAGCCAGCGCTCGCCACGTCCTGTGCTGGCCTGGCCTGGCCTGCCTGCCTGCCTGCCTGCCTGCCTGCTCTGGCGTGGTCCGCCGTGCGCGTGTTGGCCCGTGGTCCGGCCCGGGCCCGCGTCGGTGCGCGCGCAGCCAGCTTGCCTGCCCGCCCCGACGACGCCGGTTGCATTCGACGTGCCCATCGCGGACTGGTCACAAGGCCGATCGAGACCAGGGCGCATCTCGCTGCTGAGCATGCCCATCCATGGTCAGTGCTTCGTCGGAACCTGGCGTCGCTTCCCGAATGCAAGGGCCTGGACGGGCGAAGGCCTACGAGCCCCATTTTCGCCGTCCCATGGCCCCTTGGATCCGGACATCAGGTTCAGGGCCCAGGGGAGGAAACCCAAGGGCGACCAAGAAAACCAGCTATACTGGGTTCGCTGAAATTGACGACTCGTGGACCAGGATATTGAGACATTCCTTCCCCTTCCGCAAACCAGCTCCAGCAATCTTTTTCTCTCTCGCTGCTTTTTTTGCCTTCAGAACGTGGTCTTCGACCGTTTCCCCGCCTGGGTACCCGTGGATCAGAAACATTTAATCTGCCGCCGACTCAGAGCTCCGGCCGCAAGCTCACGCGTGACCATTGGGGCGCTGTGACTGGCCCTGTCGGCCTGCTCTCTGCCCGGCCCGCCCACTACTAGGACTGCCAAAGCGCTTGTAACCCGGGAACTCCCCTCTGCACATCATTATGCCTCTGGGTAAGCGCGGAACCTTGAGCTAGGATGGCAAAAGCCAAATACCAAGACTGTCGAGTCAGCCAGTTTCGAAGCTCTTGAAACTCTCGCCCTTCCACGTCTGCTTGACCCCGAAACGTCGATCACGGCGTTTCCGACACGGAGAACGTGTCCTTGGAAACACCTGACGGCTGGCATACGTACCGTACGTACGTATATATCGCATTGAATTATTGTCAGGGAGCCTGTCGATAACACTTCCATTATGTGTCAACGCTGGACGTCACCTCGTGGTGGCCATGTCTTTGTTGCCGCTGCCCTCCTCAGCCATGCAAATACTGCTCTGCGCGAGCGATGCACTTGCTGACTCTTGCCGGAGAGAGAGCCAACCCTCCCAGATCTTCCACTGATTGGTTCGCGTTGAAATTACGAATTGGCACTCTGGACATTCCAGCCCTTTCTTATCGGCTGTGCTAAGAGCGCTAGCCTGCATACCCGAGTTATAGCGTCTCCCCTGGCTATAATTCCTGGAAAGCGGGCCCGTCGCCTCCCCACGCTTCTGACTCCGGATGATCCTTTTTGTGCGGGCATACCACTTGTATTATTCTTACTACTGCCCTCAAAGAGCGAGCGAGTTCCCTTGCAACGCGAAATGTGCATCGCGCAGAACACGAGCCGATGACTGATCAGGCGATTGCCAGACCTGTTTCTTCTCGTGCTCTGTGCTCGTATCTGCAGGGAATACGCGAAAACGACGAAAGCTAGAGGAAACACAAAGGATTACTGTCTATCTGAGAATTTTTGTAACTAACTCGGGGACTCGTTGGATCGGGGACTCTTGGAGGCCGAGCCACCGCTTCAGATCTCTTGTCTTGCCTCATGGGCCGTCTCCGCGGATCCCATCACCAACTAGTAGCCATATAGTGTGCGGTGGAACTAACTCCATTAGGCTATTACATTGGAAACCGCAGCATTGGGCAGACCCCGTTTCACAGGAGTTACCGTTTTACAGCTGTTATCCTTTCGCTTCAGCCCCTTTACCACCGACGACAATGATGATGCGCTCTATTATGCACCTTCTGCAGGAGGAAAAGGGGGTGCCAGGTCCACAAGGCTGAAGAAAAAGGAGGCATTGAGAAAAAAGCAAAAGGGGGGCCGAAGCCGAAACCTGGTGGCACAGCCGATGTCAGGACACCGCTGGAGAAACATTTTCTAGAAGCCCGTTTGAGGTATCACAGGAATGCATGGTAAACGGGAATCGCCCAACCAAGCGTATCCCCGCCAATAACACGGTGCTTACTATTCTGACATCTAGTAATAATGAATGCTCGGGATGCACACGAAAACAGTTTACATAAACTGCCATGCCGGCGGCGGTAAAAACATCCCCGAACAGTAACGGCCAAGACAGACAAATAATAATAATGGAGTCCTTTCCCGAGCATCGAGCTCAAGAGGCCGGTCGATCTCCCACCTCCATCCCATACTCCATCTGTTCCCGATTCTCCGGGATCTTTTCGTCTTGGGACAAGAGATATTTGACGGGCACTCCGTATATGCACCTCGCGCCCGCGCGCCCGCGCGCGCATGACTGAGCCAAGCTTCTTACTCACAACGATGCAACGCATACCGCGGCTTTGCTCCTTTTCTTTTTTCTCCTTATTTTTGATTTTTCGCTTCCTTACATTTTGCTTTTCTGCTGGCGCTTTCACGCGCCGGTCGAGCCCGCGCGCCATGCAGCTCCGCATCCCACAGCGCTACCTAATCGGCTCCATTCCTTTGGCGAAAGGATCTCGACTGCAGGAACCAGCTGAGCCCCAGCGTTCGCGAGCCGGCGTCATAAAATACAGTCCACCCAGTTATTGACTACTAGTGAGTTACCAGTAGCTGAAAGAAAAAAAAAAAAAAAAGAAAGGTCTCCATCTCTGAGCCATCGTGCAGACACACTATACACGTACCCCACATCCGTCGCCGTGTTCCGCCAGGGGCAGAGAGGTAACCCTCGGCTTTGCCCAAGGCTACGGGAGTATCAATAATCGTAATCCAACACACGGACGCCCCAAAATGTAAAACAGCTGCAATGCGACTTTCCAAAACCATTCCTTCATCCTGTCGCGCCGTCTATCATTCCATTTCTTTCCAAGCAATGCGGCGTGTCTCGCCACTAGAAGAGGGGGGTTGATTAGTTACGCCGAAAGACTGAAAAAAATACAGAATACACAAAAGAAAAAATAAAAAATAAAAAATAAAAAAAAAAATCCGAAATCAAGCGAAATTGAGCCCGTTTCACACATTCGCCCCTTGATCTTAATAAGAAAGCCCCCCCTTTTTTTCTGGGACTAACCCTGGTCTGAAATTAACGCTTGGGACGTGTGCCTAAAATACTCCTGTCCCCTGTTCAGAGTTACTGGGCCTGTAAAACTTTTTGCTTCTCGTTATTATTATTATTCTTCTTCTGGAAGGCCATATAACGAACTGCCCGTCGACACACGCCGGTTCTGGATCTGCGGCAGGCATGTTTTTCTCTGCTACACCGCGGCCTGCCTTTTTCTCTCTGGTTGAATGCCGCCCTGCCAAGTTTAGCTCGCGAGCTAGGACGCTTGGGTTGGAGTTTAGCCTGCCGTTCTCAGCTGGTCTCAGGTTCGACACCATCTTTTTTTTTTTTGCGATGGTGTTATTATTATTCCACGCGCGGTGCGGTGGTGGGCTGGAAAATGTCTGTGCGGGAAACACCCTGGGGTTATAGAATGCGCCCGTTAATTTAAAAAAAATCCTGAAGCTGCTGCAATATATGTCGTAATACATCTACTCTTCTGAAACATATCCCCCCCATCTTTCAAGACAACCCCATTTGCGCTGGTCACAGGGCCCGTGAGGGTTTCGTTGAAGTGTGAGGATCCGAGGAGGAGACTTAGAAATACATGCAACGTATATACATGCCACGCGCCTTGAAAAAAATAAATCCCACCCGTATTAACACCCTATATTCGGTAATGCACCCCAGCAAAAACAATCAGGTGACACTTTGCAAGAGGGTATATCACAGACAAATAATCCAGCCGACCAGGGAAACATGATATCATAGAACAATGCCATCTATATACAGGGATGCCCGCAAAAACAGAACGAAAAGAGGCGACAAAGTATGGAGTTAGTGGCAAAGAATGTGGAGCAGAGATGGCAAGACGTGGCTCTGACAAGAAAAAGAGAGGGTATGTAAAAAAGGCATCCAAGCCAACACCCCAGCGGCAGCTGGTCTGGCGACTACGGGGTATCAAAATGTATGCGCAACAGAGCGAAGACTGGTTCCCAATAGGACATCATGGATGCCGAAAACGGGAAGTTTGGAAATCAAGACTGGGCAGGGCGGGATGGTGCGACAGCCACGTGGGAAGCCAGCCGCCAGCCGATATTTGGGAGCGTAGACGCGACTCCGCACGCTGGAATTCCAGAAGGCGGGAGCGGCGAAACATAAAGGTCCGTCGGGGTGGCCATTGGAGCCATTGGAAATCAAGAAGGTAGTATCTAAACAACGGGCCAACGTCACCTAAAAAAAAAAAAAAAAAACATTGGCAGACGCGAGAAAACCACCTCGTCTAGAGCACACGGACAGGGAGATAAAAATCAAGTATTAGCGTAGGTCTGGGCCTTTTCGAATCGACCCAAATCCTTTGCTGAACAGTTCATGGGTGTCCAGAGACCGACGCGTAGCTGTAGCATCGCCACCAGCGCGCTGGTCGGATTCGCCCAGGCCTGCCGCAACAGTTTGGCTGCTACGTTGTTGCTGGCCCGTAGAAATCGCCTCTGCGCCACCGTTGCTGACGTCGTCGTCCCCCTTTCGTCGGTCAAGCAACTCCTGAACCTGCTGCTCTCTAGCGTCTGCAATCGCGGCTTCGCGCTGAAGCTCAGAGCTGGATTTCTTGGTACCGCGATCCCATCCTTGCTGCAGCTCTGACGCGGCAGCCTCCTCGAACCGTTTGCGGATTTCAATGTCTTTTTCAAACTCCTGAAAAATATCGACGTCCGTGGGGAAGAAAAGAGAACGAATGGTGCTGACAGCGATCTCAAAGAGGATTACGATGACGATCGTGATTAGAAGCGTAGTCCACCAAGATAGGTCAAGCCCGATCCGCTTGAGCAGATTGTGCCGAACGTTGTAGATCTTGTCCCTTTTGTAGCGCTCAGAAAGAACGATATTCCATAACCACCAGCCGGCGATAGAAAGCACAGTCGAGATCACAGCCATCACGGAGCGGTTGTGAATCTCAAGGATCTGTAGCTTCACTGAGATAATAACCACACATGCAGAGTAGGTGAGCAAGCCCATTGCGAAAACTCCATTATCGTTCGACAATATGGCCCTTCCAAACAATCCATACATCACGAAGTAGACAATCATGGCTTCGCACGTCCCCATGAATGCCCATCCGAGGTAAATCAGAACATTAAACCCTTGTCGCAACTGGCCCTTGGTATATAGCTCAGGAACTGCGAGAAGAGTGGACGCTGCAAGGTCTTTCTCGAATATACCAAGAAATATAACAGGGAGGGAGGTGAAAAGAGTATTGAACATACTCAAACTCCACGGCTCATACAAACTGGTCCCAGTGTATCCGTTCCAGCGTTGGTAAAGAGCCTGCGTTAAGTAAAATATTGTTTCCTTCCAAAATGTGCCCAGCGTGTACTTGCAAACTCGGATATAATTCCAGCGGCCATGGACAAGCAATAGTTTGAGTAGGAATCTAAACTGGGCGATTGAGTAATCTGCGATCCTGGAAGCCTGGAGGCCTTCCTTGCCAGTAATTCCAATTCCAACATGTGCTTCTTGGATCATAGCAATATCATTTGCCCCGTCACCAATAGCAAGGGTGATAGAGCCGTTTACTCGCTTTCGAATCGATTTGACAAGGAACGCCTTTTGTTTCGGGCTAGCACGGCAGCAAATGACTGAGTCGGCGAGAATAGCAAGGTCTAAAAACAGAGCCTGGAGGAGCGGGTCGCTCTCAATGACTGAAAGAGTTTGGCCGTCCACAACAACCACCGAGTGCGCGACATCCCCTCGTTTAATATCTGCCATCGTGGAGTTTATCACCTGTTCGACATTCCCTGAAGCATTATCGATGATGATAACTGACGAATAATCTTTCACTAGCCGGCAAGAATGCCCGATATTGATGGCCGTCTCCCGTTTATCACCAGTGAGCATCCAAAGTTTGATATTCGCTCGTCTTAGCTTATCTATTGCTTCCGGTACCCCCTTTTGAAGCTTGTCTTCGATAGCAGTTGCGCCCAAAAGATCGAAATCCTTTTCGATCTGCTCCCCTACTTCCTCGATCTTTTCTTGTCGGTCAACCAGGCTCGTTACAGCCTCATGATATTGCTGCTTCCAGTCATTATACTCGGCCTCAGTCATGTACCGGCATCCATAGAGAAGAGTCCGTAGACCTTCCGTAGCAAAATCATTCAAGTGTTGGAAACACCTTTCAAAAACTTGAGCCTCGTTGACCACGAGAGCTTCATCGACCAAATCCCCACTGTCATCGGTCTGAAAAGAAGTCCGGCCGTCAGAGTATGCGAGAGAGGGCCGGCCACCGAATTGGCCAGATGGACGCGGGCTGTAGTTTTCATTGCCATTTTGCCTGAGATCAATTCCTCCATCCGTCTCGCGCTCCCGTAACCACACATCAATGCTTTCTCGTAAAGCCGAGTTGCCTTTTCCGGATACACTTGATCTGCGCGCGACGGCAAAACTGGGTCGTCCAATACTGATGCTAGACCGCTTTGTGTCTCGCCTCGACATATGCTCACTATTGCGCCGCATAACTTCTTTCGCTTCCATGCTCTTCCTGACGCTTACCCTTCCCTCGATTTCTGTAGCCTTCTCAATTGCTAAGCCAGAATGTTTCAGCCGCTTCATCAATATTGAATCTGCGCCCTTACAGAATACACATATTCTTTGATCCGGTAAGCGAACCACAATCGACATCCGTTTGCGACTGCTAGAGAAGTCAATGATGTCTAGAATTTCATACACCTCGTCGGCATATGATTCATCGGGACTGAGAGATAGCCTCCGTATCGTGATGCTTTTTGGCTGTCTGTCCACAATAACGTATCCTAGCTCCTTAGCCGCGAGCGCCAATGCAACCTCATCTGGTGATGCGGCCTGAAAAGAAATATCCCCATCCTCCGTCTCCTCGGGAAGACAGGTATGACATAAGGCAATGGCCAGAATAAATAGCTTCGCCTTTATGGCAAACAATGTGTGAGGTCTTTGGTGAATATAGCGTAACATTTCAGTAGTTCGACCGCCGTGGTATTGTTTACCCCGCCTATTAGACTTCCACCGTGACGGCAATGCTCTCGTCGCATCTTCTTGGTTTGATATTGACATTCTGGAAGGCTTTGATGCTATCGTTACGTCATCAACAGTGCACTTTCGGCCGGCTGGTTTTTTGCCCTTTCTCTTTTTGTGAATGAGCATTTTGGGCTCTCCCTCCTCGTTTAAGTCGGTATCATGAAGCCAAGCGGTCCCAGCGACACTCATTTTACGGAAGCGCATGGAATTATTGGTCAACGTCCCCGTTTTATCCGAAAATATGTAACTATTTATTATCTTAGTATCAGGAAATACCATCAAGTAATTGGATAAACTCACCTTACTTGCCCAAGTTCCTCATTGATGGTTGAAGTTCTTGCTTCCAGAGGAGTATTGGAATCTTCATCGTACATATCGATATCATTGAGCAAAAGCATCTGAACAACTTTGACGATTTCAAGACTGACATAGAGAGAGATTGGGATCATGGTGTTAAACATGATAATAAATGAGGTGAAAATGGGACCATAAGAGACCCTTGCCATCGCAAGGTACCAAGATTTATCATCAATATCCTTGGACCAAAAACGGTACGCAATGGTGCAAGCAGAAGCCAGAACAACAACAAAAAGTACAATCACGGCAACCACACGATTCACCATTGCCTGGAGAGCAGGTGCCTTGATCCGCGGGTTTTTGTTGGCATTCATTCGAATTTTGCATTCCTCCCCAGTATAGATGACCAGCCCAAATGCCTCCTGGGTATTCCTCAGAATACTGCCACGGTATATAACTTCATTATTTGTCAGGGGAAGCTTCTCGTTAGCTACTGTAACATTTCCGTCGAATTTATATAGGTCTATATTAGGGTCTTCCACCGCGAAATGGGTGACCTTGTTTGAGATAACGTCGTTGATAGTAGCGCAGGCGTTTCCAACAGGAATACAGGGTTTTTTGGCTTTCAAATTCGTTTCACCGTCTAATGCCATAGTCTCGATATAGGCGATTCCATTTGGTTCCTCGGCGTGTAGAAGAACTAGATCAGCGGGCGCAGGGCTATCACGATCTAACCGAATGATATCGCCCACTTGGACGTCAATCCATTTCGTTCCGATCCACGGCCCAGAGTTGTTGTTGTTTCCTGCTTCCTGTTCTTTCGACAACTTTGATTCCGAATTATTCGTTGGGCTTGCGCGAAGGACCCAGGCAATTCGGTTGTTCTCTTCCTTATCCAATCTGTACCGACGAAAATCATCGAATCCTTCTTTTCCCATAGAAATTCCAACAAAAATCATGAGAGGCACAAAGGTGGTAAAAGTACCAGTAGTACTCAGGCCGGGTATCATCTGCAAAATAGAAACAATAAGGAAGTAGAAATTAGCAAGTTTTGAAAATTGTGCAATAAACTGGTTGGGGAAAAAGCTCCATAAGCTATATCGACTTGAGCGAATATAATTACTGATATAGTGTTTGCCGGTTCGCTCATCTATTAAAGGTTCACTGCGGTGAGCGTCCAAATCTATATGTCTTCCATCCTTGCTTGGTGGAATCGGTTTGATTCTGAGAACGTGCGTTCGAAAGGCAGCACTAAGTAGTCCAAAAAACAGCAACGCTTGGCTGACGAATCTTTTGGTAAGTGTTTGCCTGCCACCCGAGTAGTAAGTCCGGGATCCCTTGAGGGTATCTGTTCGTTCCGACATAGACTCATCGTCCTTATTACAGGCTGGTTCCGTCACAACTTCAACCTCTGGAGCATTCGAGTTTTTCGTGCCACCACTACGCGATCGGCGATGTTTAAGCTCGAAGACATCTCCCTGTTTGGTAGATTCGGTGGACGTATTCTTCACGGGAGAAGTGTCTTGAGTGAGGTTGCGATTGAATAAGGAGCGTCGAAGCGAGTAGCCCCGGTTACGGGTTCCTGGAGATATGATAGGTGATGAAGTTGGAGATACCCCAGAGGGGTTTGCGCTTGTCCGGGAGTCTTGGGTTTGAGAAGATAATGCGGTGGTGTTGATTGTCAGCCCGGATGCAGCAACACGGTTGCTGCGACTTAACGGCCTATCCTGAAGTTCTCCGACTGTGTATCGATCTGTATTGGTTTGCGGGAGACCTTCTATATCGATGGAGAACCGTACCTGTTGCTGTGAAGGTCTTCTAAAAACAGGCGTGTTTGTTGAAGGCCCTGGACCTGTCTCTGAGGGCTGACCCCGTGAAGTTGGCTGTGACTCTGCTCCATTTCCAGCAGTCTCCAAAGGTTGCTGTTCCCCAGGATTCTGGGATGAAATTATGTTTTCAGCGAGCTGGTTCCCATCTTCAGCGTCGCTGGAATTTCTAAGCGGCGATTCAGACGGCTGATAACGTGGGGATTGTGATCCGTGTCTCCCATCTCGATTGTCGTTATGAGCGGCCATGGCAAGGTTGCGGCTCACTGAATATTCGCCGTCTTTTGGCCTGGCTGGCTGGCAGGTGTGCTTCTATGTCTCCTTGGCCTCCAATTCCAGCTCTTAAGAAGCAAAAAGCAGAAATTTCAAAAAGGTTGGTGTTTGTAAAGGGAGCGGGGCTCCCAAACCCAGCTTTCAGCGATCAAGTAAGTCTCGCAGGGTCTGATCGATGGAGGACAGGGACTCATGGTCGGTCGAGCGCAACAAGGCTTCGTGGCAAGTCGGGGCGAAAGGGTTGCTGCCAAAGCACGGCCCGAAACGCGCAGTGCCAACGACAGGAGCCGTGCATCGGTGAAGAGGATCATCGCAGCAGTGGCTTTTTAATAATAGACGTGCTGGCCGATAGCACCGCGCGGCAGTTAGCGCGCTGAGTCATCCCGCCGCCGTGCCCGCATCGGGCTAGGCTCCCGCTTGGCCCGCCAGGCATGACGCGGCGACTTGTCACGTTCGTGCGGCCGAGGCTGCCCGGGGCATGAACTAGCCTGCAACCGTTGGTCTGCGGAGAGGCACGTTCGATACTCTGCCCACAACAGCAAGAATACTGCCATTCGAATACGACGAGGCTGTACTGGCCGAGCCCCATGTGATTGCGGTAACTAGCTAACCTGTGAAAGGATGCGAGGATGGAGGTTGAAACTCTATTTTTAACGACGAACACCTCTACGGAGTATTAATACTCCATATGGAGGTCCGAGTACCCCCAACTTGCATCACAACCTGCAGGTGAATAATGATGATTGGAAATGAATCAATCAGGATATGTATGTAGCTGCATACGTATATACAAATGGCGTCCAATTCAAAGGGTCTGCAAGCAGGCTGTGCTTCACATCACTACTACTGAAACAAAACCAAAATCGACCCAGACCTCCACTTGTCCAAGAAATGAATATCCGCAGTTGACACATAAATTATCAAGAAACCCATTTAATACGGAGTACTTACATGCAAGGTGTGGATTACCCCTTTCCGGGATTATTGGTTATTGATTCTTGTTTTCATATGCACTCGGTACACAGCCCGCTACTCCGCTGAATACTAGTACTCCGCAGACCCTCAGTAGTGGACTATTATTGCGCAAAGAGCTCCACAGACAAAATATGCCGGTGGATCTTTCAAGACCAAGCTTTGATCGGCTGATGGACGCAGTGGACGATCTTTTAGATGCTCTTTTGGAATTCTCAAACGAAGATGATCCCAAAGGCAAGAAGCTCAACGAAGAATCCGTAGTCCAATTTTGGTCTACTGTCTGTCTTGCACCCTCAATTTTTTTCCCGAATATACGAATGACTAAAGAAATTGATGGAAACCGCGTCTACATCTTGGTCGAGCAGCGCTGCAGCCTCTTCTGCTGTCAGAAACAGCGTGAGAGTTGCATATTTGTGATTCAATGCTCGAAGTCTCGCGAAAATATTAGCGAAGGCTACTGGGAAGGGTGCGAGCGACAACTGGCTGGTTTCATTGACCAGCGCTTCAAGCGTGCAGTTTACATTAGCGCGGCCATTGCCATTGGCTCTGTCTTTGGACTTTATCACTATCAATTAGGTGGGTTGCAGCCGATGCCGCGCTATGATGAGGAGTTCGACATTTTAGATTCTGAGGATTGTTCGATGGTTTTCGACAAGGTATTTCATATATTTCTTCAAGCTGTGTCTGACAAGGGCAGGCTGATGGCAGCGTTTGTTAATCATCGAAGATAATTCACTTCATCAATATACTTAACAATTGACAGACTCTCCTCTCTTAACCAATTATAAATTGAGACTTATTGGTTGTCATATTTGAAGTTGACTCTTCCTTTTTTTCTCAATTACAACGAAAATGGTATAATTTTAGAAACAGCAACGCTTTGCGTAATTAATATAGGAGTGAAGTCGGCAACGGCTTTCAGTGACACAATGTAATCAACTGCCTTTTTTTTTCTTAAACAGTATCGTAATACGGGGATAGGCAATGGCAAAATACAAGACATGCCAAAGCCAAGATTCTCGCGTCTAAAACCGACACCTTCCCAAGCATATAGCAATTGCACTATATACCCGGCTTTACCTCTCCAGATCAACTGTAACAGAGCCAACTTCCATGGCGCATTCACCACGAAACACCTTTGCAGAATTCAAGAACTTGGCGCGTTTCTTTGAAACCTGGAAGGCCCTATGGCCTAACTGGCTAACTAGAGTCTGCTAAGATTCGGCATCCCATTACTCGGCATAAAAGATACTTACACGGGGTACGAATTGCGGGGTAGTTACATGGTAAAACTGTCTTGCTTTGGTTACTTATACTTTGCAAGAATACTATGAAGCAAAAGTTGGATACAAAAAACATAGTGAGTAGTTAATATAGAAAGGAACTTTAAATATCTAACTTAGGCCTTGGCCGCTATAGCTCTTACAGTCACGGCCGTGGGGGTTACAAAGTATTTATCTAGTATTTGTCACCTCTAAGACATCACTATTCCTGGTCACTGTTCTGATTTAAAACTCCCACGGGAAGCATCTATCATGAGAGAGTCAAGTATTGGATTGAGAAAAATGGAAGAGACGAGTGGCATACCAGTGCCATAACGGCAAAAGTAATTGTGTTGTTGAATGCTCTCTCCACCATGAGAGATTGGTAAGTTCTCATACCTATAACCCAGTCAAGCTTCCCCATAAACGTGATGCATGTGGGTCAGCTCAGGGGCGAAAACAGATGCTTGATCGGTATCACGGCATTTAAGTATAATCGGCGCTTCGAATCTCCACAGATAACGCGCATGAACATCAGTACCTATATATAAAGGCCACTGCGCCTTCAGTTTTGGCGGAAAATGCAATTTTGGCATTCATATTTTGAATTCATCAGATCAGCATTGAATCATTTTAGAAAAATTTGGGCCTCAAGGGCGAGTCAGCTGAAAGACTAGTTAAGAAAATCATAGCAGAGCCATGTTCTGAAAGTTTAACAGTCTCACTGGGATCCAATTTATTTATAGTCCATCATCCTGGTATGCGTGTCTGATGTATATGATTATTCGAGATCGTCACAATTCGTCACCTTCCTTGTATACATTCACCCTAGTGCCTGGGAAAGAATCAGTACACAGCTCAATTTCGAGACTGTAAGCTCACGCTTGCCCCTTTATCATAATCACTTTTTATATAGCTTTTCCAACTGCAGTGAGCTGCATATTTATTTATCTACTACCATTAAGTGCTTCAATTGCAGCACAGGGAATGCAGCAGCTGTATTTTCAAGCAGCGCAGTCATAGTGGTACTGACAAATATGGCCAATATAAAAAGAAGGTATAGAAAGAGACTCTGTAAGTGAATATCAGGCTACGTGACGCTACTCATCTCATGGATCGAGGGTATCTTTATATCCGTTGATGTCCATGTCATGGCAAGAGGTCTCCAAGGTCAATTCATTGACCAACCTCTTTCTTAGAAGTATCACAACTTGGGCAAGAGCATTAGGGCAAGCAAGATCCTGCTTTAACAACAGAGAGTATCTGTGGATTAGTGGCCCCACGTACTCTCGATCACAAATTTGAGATAATGTCACATTTTGAGAAGAGTTTGTTCTTGATTGGGGGCAAATGAGCTTCTGAGAGGTACCTATCATGTCAGGCCCCAAGCTCCTTGTCCATATTCAGAATACATTTGTTGCTGTAGGGAAAGGTACTTTTTCAAGGATCATAACAAGTATATGATAGTTTGCCGGTCTGAAAATTTTCAGTTCGATCAAGCTATGGGCAGCGATGGGTCTTTGTATTTTGAAGCTCCGCAAGAATGTCCCTCAGCCACATGAAATCTGTCCTGCCAATTGACAGCATTCGCTGGAAAGACATTTGCTATATCCTTAAAAGTGGCCAGAATGGTCATTTTCTGAAAGTTTGACTTTAAAAAATCAGGGCAGATTGACACATAAGCTCACATGTGCATCTGATTTGAAATGCTGTCTCCCGAGATTGACTGTTAGAACTTGTCATATGAATTACAGTCAGAGCTCGCCCATGGCTAGATTACGACCTCGGTGATTTAGCAATCAAGTTTCCGGGCCAGAGAATGACCGGGTCCAGATGAACATGGTTCCATATACTAGCAGTGCAGCGCTTTAAAGGTGTTTGCTCCACTTGTAGTTGGCCCAGCCCTCCGTAAATTGTTCTCGGCTACCTGGTGATGGTAGCTTCTGGTTTCGTTTCGGCACATGATAACTGATAATTCGAGAATGGATTGGCTTGGAAGATGCGAGTTGTTTAGCAGAGATATAAATCGTGGACACGACGTAAATTTCTGCGTAACGACCACGGACCTGGAAGGGATATAGGCATGCAGTGGAACGGCTTTTTGTGATACCTTGGGTATCCACGATGCGTGATGTTTGGCATCTAGGTGACTATATATTTCATAGATATGCGAAATTCCTGCCGAAAAGCCGAACACACCAATGATACCTGTCCCTAGAACAGCGGATGAGCAGTATAGAGGTCAGGGAGGAACTTAGGCTGCTGAGTTGTCTGCAAGTTAACATGAGTAATATGTTCACAGTTCACAAATAAATATTGTTTCACAATTGCGCTAAGTTTGCACCCATTGAGGTCCCATAACTCAGTTGGTTAGAGTGTGGTGCTAATAACGCCAAAGTCGAGGGTTCGACCCCCTCTGGGACCATGAAATCTAAGAATTTCTTTTTTGTCTTTTCAGTTGTTGAGAAGCTTTTTGGCAAACCTAAGGCTGCTTGCTGTGAGACCTCTCTTCACTCCAGGCAGCCAGCCAGCCAGGAGTGCTCTCGACCAATGGTGGGAAGAACGCTGACGGGCACGTTTCCTGTCGAGCAAGTCAGATATGTGCCGCTAGCAGCCACCATTGCACCATTCCAAAGTCAAAAATCCGAGTAAACTTGCCAGGGGCTCTGTACAGGAACTCCGTATATCGCTGCATATAATTGCGCCAGACGCCAGGCGCCCTTCCACGCGCCGGGGCATGTGGGCAATGCGCAGTCCACCCAGCTCCGTGCGGAGCGAGGTACGAAGAACAGGAGGGAAGAGGAGGTCGTTCGAGAGAGATAGATTAAGCAAGGTCCTCTCCCTTTCCACAAACCGCTTCCGATCCCGCTTAGACTTACCGCAGTAGTTAAGTGAGGACAGATGATACGAGACGGTTGCTGCGTCTCAGGCCGACGCTCCAGCGCGATGAGTGGGGCTTCCGTGCAGCCTAAGACGGAGGCGTCGGAGCAACCACCATAAGCCCAACGGGAGGTTCGAGCCCGCCCGCCGCCGCGTCAGGTGCCGGGCGTGCGACCACCACACGGCCGCAAGGTCGCAGCGCATCGACGCTCGCACGGCGGTTTGCTGGCGATCCCGGCGGCGATTCGCTGTGCGCAACCCTGCGCGCCACGGCCCCGTCACCTGACCGCCATGCTGTGTCGGGCGAGCGGCGCGCCGTGGTTGGCCTCGGGCGGGCAGCCTCAGCAGGGTGGCCAGCGGCATACCACCAGCTGGTGATGCTAGCAATCAGGACGTGCAGGGCCAAGTGCGCTCAGTGACACCAATCGGCGGGGGAGATGGAGCTCCCGTGCGGTGTTTCTTTTTCCGGCCTGTTTGGTCCGGAGCGTGCGAGGCGCCATTCCGTGGGATATAAAACCCGCCGCCCGCCCAGTGGACCCGTCCCTTGGCCCCCCGATCCTAGAGCTCTCAACAACATCCATCCAGACAGCCTCGAGTGTGGATTGTAAACCGAAGATTGCTTGTGCTCTAAACAGTGGTGGCTTTGTTGCTGGAAAGCACCACTGATCTCTGCTATTCCCGCTCCCCTTTAAGGATATTCCACGGGATATCATCATTGATGTTGCATTGCAACCTCTCCGCTCCTCTTGCCGTGGCATTTACTCTCTTTCTGAGACCTCCCAGTTCTAGTAGCAGTAGTAGTTTAAAACACTGCAGAACAGCACTTTCCTCTCCGCACCGCAGTCCGTGATTGCTGAAACAAGTCCACGAAAGCATTTGTGGAGAACGCCGGCATACCATGGCGATCGAGATCTGTCGTCTGACGCCCGAAGACATTCCCGGCGCGATAGAGTGCGTTCAACGGGCCTTCGAGGACGACCCCTATTTCTGCTGGGTGTTCGACCCTGCAAAGGTATGCGTTCTACCTAATAGTCCAGCTAACATAAAAACTTTTTTCTTAGCTGGCATTGGGAAAGGAGTGCTTCACTCCTACTCCATCTGACAATAAACTCAAGCTGACGTTTTTTGTCCCTTCGCGGCCGAGGTCTCCTCCGCCCGCGGCCAGATTCTTTCTGGACCATCATGTTAAATACATAGTTCTCCAAGGAAAGAAACTACGTCTCGCTGAGAAACCGCTGTCTCTGGGGTATCACCAACGGCTTGTTTTATGTTGCCAGGGAGAGACTTCCGGGGGTGAAAGACGACTCTGGCAAAGAGCAACCGGCCTCGTACCGCGTCGTTGGAGCGTCTATGTGGCTTCCACCCTACCCGCCGGGGCACAGTGGAACTTGGAATTCACGCTTCCAAGACTGGCTTCTCAGTCTTCGTCAACTCATGACAAATATCCAGTTCCAGGGCCACGGTGGCTTGCAGGTCCATCGATACTGGATCTGGAAGGACTCCCAGACGAAAGCAACGGAGAAGTTCTGGACCGATGCGCGCGGGTATTACCACTGCAATCTGGTTGCAGTTCTGCCGGAAATGCATGGCAAAGGGATAGGGAAAAAACTGATAAAGGTAGTCACTGATAAAGCTGACAAAGAAGGCATGAGGTGCTATCTGGAAAGCTCCAAGGCGGAGCCCAACATTGACATCTATAAGCGCATGGGGTTCAACCCCGTTGGAGATTTGGACTGTGACGACAATGGGACTGTCTGCAAGGTGAGCTCTGATATCTCCTTCGGTTTGGCATTGCTAACTCTCTGAAGCTATACTGCATGACCCGTGACCCCGCTCCATCAACGAACCACAAAGCAGAGTAGTTATCAACGCTTCGTCTCATACAGAGAGTACTACTCTTAGATAAGTTTTGTAGGTTTTCCTTCTCCTACTTTCTTAACTAGATAATTTTTCATGTTCTCGTTAAGAATGATTTCACTGACATATCTTATTTCTCAAACAGCCCCCGAACACCCGCCCACTTGATAATCGAGTAACCATGGCTATGATGCGAAGGCGCGTTTTTCTTACTGACATTGCACTCTTTCTTTCTTTTCTATTTACTTTTACCTTTTTTTTCCTCTTTTATTTTTGACAACTTTTAGGGTAGTTTTCTTCAACAGAGGTATCCGTGATGGCTGTTGAGTTCTGGGAGAGGTACGATGACGGCTCTCAGCAAACAATGGACGTATAGCTTTTTATCTAGAAAAACAATTTGGACGATTTATACATATTTAAATCCGGGAAAGCAACCCACCTGTCTTCCACAGTGATGTTACTGGCTGTTAGTAGCACTTTTCGTTCTTGGAGTATCCGCGATATATTCCTGGTATTTCAGAGAATGTCTCTAGGAATTTCTCTTAGGAGTATAATGTTTTTCCATTATTCTTGATAAATAATAATTGTTATCAATGGAAAAGCGTCATTCCGTCGAAGGCAATTCCTAGAGACAGGGGACAATACAGAGAAATTTCTGTATATAGGGCCCAGCTGAATATGTATATGCCCCATGCTCATAGAAGAGGTTGGAGCAAAGTTATGAAGATATTCTGTAGAATAGTAACATTGAAGTGGTAGCCCAGCAGACGCTGTGATTGTCTGGCCCCTGTTATTGCCAGCCTAACAGACTAAAAGCCTGTAGGGTAGATGAACTCGGTGCAAAGCCCGCTTTAGGAGACTGTAGAAGGAAAACAATCCCCTAGACCGGAATAAAATAGCTGATCTTCGCTCATTAACCTAGGTCCCATACCACACCTGATACATATTTCTTCATGGGAGCGAGCCAAGTCGAGGTCTTGCTTGCGTTGGCCTAGCTAAGACCGTCGAGCAGGGTAACAAGCCAAACATACGTAGCAGATGTTGGATTCGAGCCTTTCGCGCAGGTTGGCATAAACCTGGGTTTACTCGATAGAATTATAAATCAACTCAGCTCTGCGCAGAACGCCACTTTCGCGTAAAATATTCAAAAAAAAAGCTCGGGTTGCTTTTTTGTAGTTCACACCCGAGAACTCATGGATCTTTTTAAGATAAAAAGAGAAATGCATAGACTATGCACAGAATGCATGATTACCATGGTACTCCGTATTTTCGCCACAGAGAAAGAGTAGATTTTATGTCGATCTACACAACATATTCCCTTGGGGGTCAGAAGCTTGACTTCAATTTCTCTCTTTCTTCTTCCACAGGCCCTCCAGACATTCAAAGCCCCTGCCGGGACTGATGGCGAATGCGATATATCTGATGCAACAAATATCCCGTGCAGAGCGTACAAATGAGCCTGATTTGTGGCGGCCATCTTCTTGATCACCGACATTAAACATCTTATCGTTTTCAAGATCAAAGTTGCCGGCGTCAGATTAATAAGTACGGAGTAGGATCATCACCCCAGGTGTGTAAGGCAAAAATGGCAGGCGTCATCACTTGGCCAATACACCAGTTACGATCCACTAGATATTCGTAGAGGCAACTACGGTGTAGGCACGGACACATCAATCTTCGACAAGAACATTGCCACAGTAAAACCTGTGTCGAGGGCTCCAAAGTCATTACGAAGTCGTGGTTCCGACCAGTGGACTCCGTATTTTGTTCTTGTCCGCCCAGAAGCCATGGGTCTTGACTCAAAATTGATTCAAGCGGGATGATTAGTTATGCTAGAATAGTAAAGACCGCGAGCGTAGCTCCTGGTCTGTTCTTAATATGTGGGCGGAGTAGAGATTTCATGTCATTCCCTTGGTTCCCATCTTAGTAGCGAGACAGCCATCGACTGCACGTCCCCAAGAAGCACTCTTTGCGCTGACATCTAGGCTAGACAGCGGCCTTGGAGGACTTACGTGAAAAGAAACATCAATGTTGAGAACCAGGGAAGCTGTGTTTCATGTTGAACCCTGCCCGTGCTCAGTGAGAGGATCATCACGATCGATCTCACGAGCAGCGATTTGCCACGGCGCACACCCACCGGTCGCGTCGATGTCAGCAGCAGAGATTGCATCGTTCAGCTCCCTGGAGCACCACAAGCACAACCCTGAGCTGGCCTAAGAATAACAGCATTGTTAAGATCTCGCTTCTTGCAGCCTCAGCGGGCGCGGTAGTTAGTTGGGTTGAGACATCGCCAAGCCACTTAACGATGTTAAACAGAAGCCGATGTGAACTCTCTGGGATAGGTGCGACGGCAGCCCCCTAGTTTGGCGGGCGAGAACCAGTTCCTTCGCACTCGACAGGGGCGTCTGGAGCACCCCCGGAGCAGGAAGCCCCCCCCCTCAGACGGCGCAGCGCACGGCAGCCGTCCTGCGAGGGCCAGAAACACACCGATGGGAATGCTCGTGGACAGGCGGCGGTGCGTGGTCTCGCGTGTCGGCCTGGCATGCAGCTCCACAAACCCCAGAGTCTCCATCAGTCACGCATGGCGTGCAACGGTGATCTCCCGAGTTCCGGGTTCAGGACAGAGTTGGGTTGGCCACGGAGTGCGACCTCCGGCAAGCTAAGGATGATTTAGTTAAACACCGGATCCCTCCCGCCACGACTGGGGGTCGTTTTCAGCCTGTTTGTCTGCCGTTGTTTTCTTGCGCATTCAAAACTGTCCCTTTTCGCATTCTTTCCTGTTCCTTTCCAATGCAGCTGGTCTGTTCGCAATTATTCATCTGATCTGTGTTGCTGGTGTTTTTTTTTCCTTCTCCTTCTTTCGTTCGCCGTGGTGGTCTTGTGGACGTGGATGGGGATTCTGTCTGAGGTTTGGCGCTGGCAACCGATTTCTCGCACGGCAAAATGAGCTACAGGTCGCATCAACCCCATCTTGCTCGCCGTGAGGAATCCGTGTACATATTAGACCCGGGAGTATGGCCCAAACACGCCCAGATCGTGGCTCGGCGATCGGACGGCGCCCCGCGCGAGCAGAGGAGCTCGACGACCAGCGGCTTCTCGCCCGGGCTGCTGCAGCGACGTCGAGGTGGGAACGACAAAGAGGACAAGGTGGAGAAAAAGGACAAGCCAGACAAGCCAGACAAACCGGATAAGCCTGGCAAGGCAAAGGACGACGGTCAAGAAAAGGCCAGAGGCAACGCGAAGAACAAGCCCGCGGCAGACCCAAGCCCAGTGACGGCACAAGACGCCAGCGAGCCGGCCCTGCCCTTCGTCGTCCCGCCGCCGCAGCTGCCACCGCACGAGATCCCACCACCGCCGTCGCCGTCCACGCCGTCCACGCCCTCACCTTTTACTCCTACGACCCCAGGCTCCGCGAATCCATTTACCCTGCTCCCCATACAGACGGAGCCGCCCGAACCTTTCAGCTCCCGGCTACGCTTTGCTATCCCGGCCACCACTTCTAGCCCAACCCCCGAGCCATCCAGCCCCGTCACTGCTGTACGGACAGAAACAGTCGTCTCTAAGATCACACAAATTGCAACCCCCAGCACCACGTCTCGCGATAGGGCAACGGATCCGCCTCTTTTGATCGCTCCAACCCCATCTCCCACCACCGCTCCCGCCAAAAACGGCTTTCTGCAAGACTCTGGCAGGGTGGCGGGTTTAGCCGTTGGAATCACCAGTAAGGGCCCTCGCAAGTCGAATTTCTTTGCACGTCTCTAACATGCTCTCTTTTAGTTGCCTCTCTTATCCTCTTTACCGTGGTTGGCTGGTTAATTGTAATATTTATACGACGCCGTCGGGATAGAGAGGCAGATGAGTCCTTCCGGGATGAGCTGAATCTCCATGAAAAAGGCTCAAATCGATCCGCCGGCCCTTCTGGGGGTTATGAATGGGACCCAGAGTCTACGTTTGCCCCACCGTTCGTCAAGCGGCGATCAAACCGCCATTTGAGGACGGAATCGTCCGCTTCTTCAGTAATCCATAAAATATGGCACCACGCCCGCAAAACGTCTCAGGGAGGTCTGGCCTTATCTGAAATATTGCGACGGAAACCTTTACCCATTCCCCCGGACAACAGCTCCCAAGTCTCGTTGACGAAAGAAGCCGCCGATGATGACCATTTGCCGGACATGCCGGAAAAGGCGCATGCAACGACCATCAGCACCAGGTCATCTGGCGCCCTATGTGTAGATATACCGGCGCCAGCCCTGCGGGATAACACGCCGCAGGATGCCCCGGCCCGTCCCCAGAGAGTCGCTCGCAAGAGTCTCTCCAAACTGTCATGGTCTACCCCAACCACCAAAACCACATCCCTGGCATCCATGTCTCACACCCAGCGACTCCCTTCATTAGCAAGCAACTACGCCGGGACCGTATTTTCGGAAGACAGCGAAGCTCCCCGATTCCGCACTACCTCAAGCTGGGTTCTACACCAACAAAAGAATTTAAAACGAAACTTGGTAGACCTGGGACATCCACCCTCGCCGACCGTTGTTCCCGGCTCCCCTACTTTTAGAAGCAGTACCCTGAAAGAGGACGACAGTGATAGAAAGAGGCTTTCGTCTAAAACTCTTGGCTAAGAGGGCATTTGAATCGCCTACTATAATACGGCCCCTTCGCCTAACACAGAATCTTTCTTGCTGCTGAGAATGACGCTATGGTATAATACTAAAAATTGCCGGACATACACGATGTTTGCCCAAAGATGAGAAATATGATTTGATACTTTCGATTCCCACAATTGCCACTCAATCTTTTTGTTTTCTTCTTTTTCTTTCTTGTGGCGTGTTCTGGCCTAATTTCAACCCCCTGCTTCTATTCACCTTCTTTTTGCCCCAATATCATTTTGTTTACTGGATCCCCAGATCTTACTACACTCGTTAATGGGATAATAGAGTTCTTTACCCCCTGATGTTTATATAGTTGCTAGTTATGTGGGTCAGGAACCCGAACGCCTACCAAGGCCAGAACATACTTGTCGTGGCCTGTACATACATCAACCAAATTCAATCTTTCCCCGAAATAAACGTCTTGCAACTATTTTTAAGCCCTGCATTTTAAGCAAATTGCGTAATATCCGCTGTACACTATAGATAGAAACCGGCGAACTAATCCACGATGCTAACTAGCCAACTAACTAACTAGATCAGCTACCCCAGTTTCTGACTGTTGCATACGCCTTGGCCGGGATCGCTCGCCCAGAGAGCCGGTCTCGAGCGCCGATTCTTCCTCCCTTCATCCTCCGCGTATCAACGTCAAAGCAAGCATGCTTCGTCATCGTCCCGTTCTTACACAGCGGCCAGACCTCCTTACTCTCCATATCACAGAATAAACCGTCGCTCAGGGATACCAGGTCCGGCCCCGCCGACGTCTGGCTCTTGCACAGCTGCACCGCTTTGTGCGCTGGCCAACCGCTCACTATCAGAACGTCCCTCAGGAATTTCGAGCGAAGTTTTTGCTCGCGTGGCGTAATCGGAACGGCCCGTGGCATAATGTGATAGTTGTCGCGTTTTCTCCAGGGCTTCCGTAACGTACCGGCCAGCTTCCCTCCCACCAGGACTTTCCGAATATCTTTGTCGGTGCCGTCAGGCAGATACTCCAGAGGAGGATCAAAGACATAGATGTCGTCCTCGGTTTTCATATCTTTATACATGTGGAATCTCGGCCTACTGCACATCGTTTCGGGATATTTGGTGTACTGTCGCTGCCGCCCGATTTCCCGGACGTCAAAATCGATGATATGCATTCCGAAACCCTGAAATCGGAGGCCCAGAGACCGATCGCGGTCAATCCAGATGCACACCGGCTTAAACGACTGCCCCGTGGGACTGTTCCTGATGATCGTCTCGGAATAGTACCAGTCGGCGTTGCACTCCTTTCCAGCATCCCCGATCCAGGCAAAATTGTCCTCCAGCCACTTGACCACCATGAAAGCAATGCAAATCGCGTCGTTTCCGCCATTGGTGACTGCGACGTACTGCCCTAGGGCGCCGCCGAGGCCCTTGTAGTGCACTGCCAGGATATCAACGGGGCTTCCGTTTGAAATTATTTTTTTCCCTCCCCAAGCCTCGCCCAGTCGTTTACCATATACATCCCACGCAGCAACACCGGGCAGGTTCCCGCCAGCACTGCCTTCTTCCCTTATTGTGCCGAGGCCGATTCTGACGCTAGTGCCAGGTTCCTTGGGCGCCGGTGGGATATACCCTTCAATGCCCATTCCGAGGAACCCCAAGGCTAATATCCAGCCGACTGTGGCTCCAAAAGAAAGACCTCGAGGAGCGAGTTTTGCTGCAGATTCTACTGCAGCGAATGTTGCGTTCGTCTCGGCGAAGTACATCGGAATGCGGTTCCAGGGTGTATTTGACCAGCAGGTCAGTTATTCATGTATAGCTGCCTTTACTTTAGGGGGGGGGCACGATAACAATGCGCTCTCATCTGTAGAAACAGAGAGACTGCTATTCTAACAGACTTATAAGAGCAGTATTGTACAGTGAGTTAAAGGCCCCTCAGAAGGGCGGAGGGGGGAGTTAGTTCCCGCTGCAGCATACCGCCATTCCCCGGCGGCTCTGCTCACTACTCTACACCCCTTGAGTACTTCACGGATATTCGGGGCAACTCCCAAAAGGATAAAACGTTTCCCCTCCGTGTGTGACACCAACTTGTTGTCGATACCTGAAACGTTTCAGGGGGGAGCAAGAGAATATGAAACAGAGTATCCAACAAGCAAAAGAGCAGATGGAGCTAGGTTATTGAACCTAGTTCCTTCGACTGTGCCTGTGCCACCTGGGTGAATGCTGGCCTTCTCGTATCCAACGCCGATATCATAACTGACGTACAATCTGCGTTGGTGAGAATAGCCGAACCGCAGCCTGCTAGCGAAATGGATATGCTCGGATCTTATACCACAGACATATGTTTTGGCCATTTTATTTTTATAGTTACCTGCCTCTCAATATAACAGTTCCGGTTTATACCACAATGACAAACGGTAGATAGGGGACTGACTCCGTGTCAGCCCTTCTGATGATGCATATATTCACATATATGCCCTGTTAAACCTATTACTATCTCTTGAGATTCTCTTGCTCTGCTACTTTTTCTCTAGTTTTCCTTCTCTACATGCTGAGAGAAATGGCCCCCCACACACCTCTCCTTTCAATTTTAACCGTTCTGCTTGTAGCTACCAAGCATGCCAGCTCCCAGATCGCCGGCTGCAAAGACGTTTCCTGCCCCGTGGGTCATTTTAACTCGATGCATGAATGCAACATTGGAAACACCTCCCTTTCCAACGTAGGAGTTGCAACCGTTCACTCAAAGCTCAACCCGAAAGCAATATTCACTTGGACCTTTGGCATCGAGTGGATCAGCATTCCACTTAAGGGTAATTTCTTTAGCTTCAACCGCAATTATCTCTTCTCCAGCCCGTCGTCCCTAGACTTGACGGACGAGAAGTTGCCATTCGACGGATGTGCGCTGCTCTTCGAAGGCGTTGCGACCTTCTTGAGATTCTCGAATTCAGATGAAAAGACTTGGACGTGCCCCAGCTTGCTAGGCGATCAGTGTCTGAATGATTTGCTATCACAGGCGGTAACAGAATTGAAAGCAACCCACGGCAATCAGACCAAGTCTACATGTGAGGCGTTGGGCAATAAAATGCAGCATCAGCATGCACCATCTTCGTGTGCTCATGTATATAAAGGGCAGTGGGGCCGTGTCACTGCCAAAGGTGAGCATCTCCGCCATTCAAAAGACCCTATCGCAATACAACTAACCAGGATCACAGCACTAACCGGCCCGTCCAATTCATCGCGCGTACCAAAAGGCGAGTGTTACCCAACAACGGAGAAAAATAATAATATCACCATTTTTGAAAAGACCGAAGTTCGCGTTGCAGTTGACTATGTCAGTCTTAGACGCGCTATACACGGCGTGACTCCGATAATGACATTGTTTTGGCATAAAAATGGCTCCGCATCCTATCCGGGTATGTTGACGGCACCGGAGGCAACTCTTTCCTGTTTAAGGCCGGTGTTTTACAGGCAAGGCCTGGGTATGCAGCAGACGAACCAGACCGCCCCGGCTGGCGGAAGCTTGGCTTTGGTTCATCTTGTCTTTGTTGCAATTTCTCTTTTTCTCTTTTGAATTGGCTCTCTTAATTGTATGTAGAGCTATCATATCGTATTATAACACAGTATTATCTACTCCCATTGTATCCATGGCATACTCGCCGCGTGGTGCATTATCTGGAATATTTGGTAGTCGATTTGTCCCATCTATTGGCTTAAAAGAACTTTTAAGCTATCGATAGACCTGTACTATCCCAAAAAAACCTCTCACTAGAAACTAGGCCGTACATGCCATAACTCCTGAGGTGAACGTAAGATAGGGGTGGGTGGTGAAACTGCCACTTTACTTAGTCAAAGCGAGGCTGCGTTTGATTGAGGCGATAAGTCCGATTCATGCCCGGAGAAATGTAGCTTCGTGCAGACCGCATTCTTAATGATGGTCACGGTTCGCCTCCGCAATTGGGCATATAATACAGACATAGTAAACATGTATGCGGCCATCATACGTGTATGTATGTGCAACCATACAAATATTTTCCTCTTCGGCAGATAGTCAGCTATGAAACAAGAGGCAATGGTGATATATGGCGCGACTCAAACTTGAGGGTGATATTAGGGGGCTCGCCAAATGGTCACCTGTCGAAGAGATTGCTTGGGTATGGGTGTGAGTTACCGGTGCCCTATTACACAGAGACCGGAGAAAGTCCCGATTGAGAACAGGATGTCATCGTTGCTTGTGTCCAGTCCCCAGCTGAGCTTTGGGTGCAGCACCTGAAGGACATGGTTATATATAAGAATCCATGTTTACTCATAGTAGCCATTCAGGAAATCTAAACGACTAAAGTTCGACCCGATAATCGCCAGAATGCGCTCCCGTATCTGGATATCAATACCCTTCCTAGCGACTTTACTCCTGATTGATGCTGGAGTTCCCCATTCACGCCTGTTAGCAAGAGGGCCCCATGATATCAAGGAAGTTAGCAGCAGCCCTCGGGCTGGTAGGCAAACCTAGTCATTTGTCAAACCAAAAATTGTTAACCCGTTGATAGAGCAACAACATCAAGCCAGCAAGAAGTGGATCGAGGAGATATTGAAACATGACGGTCCAACTGCACATGTTAACCTTCGTCGAGGGGGAAGTGGGCGCAAAGGAAATAACCGCAATAGTGCACTGGATAAAGCAGTCACTGACGTAACCACCGGGTTTGGTGATCTATCGATTGGCCCAGGGGCTGCACGAGATCCTGCGGATCGAATCCCTTCACCGACAAAAGATAACAAGGAGCCACAAGCTTACGACGCGGACTTTTATCCTCGTATGGGTAAAGCAGAGCAAGTATGGCTGGACAGAGTAATAAAAGAACGCCAGCCAGATCTAGTCTCACGGCGCTACCAAGAGATGTATGAGCAGGACACAATGACTCAAAATATCAAGTATTCAACTGAAGGCTTCAAGTCAGTGATGGGACATGATACGATCACCGTTGAAACGAGGGTCCTCGGTAGTAAAACTCAGACGATAAAGACCCTCAAAGTGTTTGAAAACGGTTATAGCAAGGATCAGGGAACAATAATTGCAATACGCAATATTAAAGAAAACGAAGGGAGGAAAGGAGAGGGTATGTCATGGTCTGAAGTGACATGGCAGCAATGGTCCGAGGTCGCAGGCGCAAACCGGGGTAATCTTCAACGGATCATGAGGGACACCGTTACCAACAGAAACACCAAGAAAGCGATGGAACAGGTATATAAGGATATGGGATGGGAGTATACCCATGGTGTGGACAAGAAAATCACACCCCATGGCAGCGAACAGATGCAAAAGTCATTTGACACCCTGTCCGGCACAGCAAACGGAAGAGGTGTTTTTCAGCTTCTCGGGGAGAATCGAGGGGCGTTGGGTGACGCCAGGGTGCTTGAGTGGCATATTCTTCCAAGCGGGCCACATTTGATGGCGATTGTTGGAAAAGATAAGACTTAGCGAAAGGAGGTATTTTCCATAGGTAGGTCTAACAGACAGAGTGATTTTGCTTATTGTGGATTAACTAATCATTTGCAATTTTCCTTTGGCGAGTGACTGATGCCCGGGTGGCAGACAAGGTCGCAAGGCCCTTGATGACGGGCTTTAACTAACCGTCTATTGATTTTCGGGATTAATTTCTATGCTGAATCTTAATTGAACTGGCTGACTGACAAACTGCTAAACTTTCCTTTTTCACCTCTGAATCACCGGAGCTCTGGTGAGATATATCACTGCACTTAGTCAAAACCTAGAAACCAGTTTGACAACACTAAGGGTAGTTAAACAACGTAGTGGTGACCCTAGATTTGTTTGAAACCACTCCTATAAACATAGTAGGAGAAACTTTCCACCTATGGAGAAATGAGCACTTACTAACAATCCTTAAAGATTGGAAGATTGGTGGGCAAGACAATTAATTAGTTTAAAGCTTGTGCAATCCCTGTGATACACTGTTTAGTAGCAGTTGAATATATAAGGGCAGTAAGGAACGTAAATCACATATATCCTATATTTGTTCTTAGATTGCCACATATGTGAGTGAGGTATAACTTCCGGTTGAGTCATCAGAGGGCCTCAAGTGCCCGAAATTCCTTTGATGTTAACACCGAAGAGACGGAAAGCCTTGCCTTAGGATTAGTTACCAACATAAAACGAAGCAGAGAACCCTCGAATATATCTTGTAGAATGCAAACGTGAAATAACCGAAGAAGGTGAATGAGGCAGGAGAGTATTGATATCGAGACGTTGGGGATTTAAGACCAACTAGCGGTGAGTGCACGGGCCCCTCCCCCTAACTAAGCGCTGGTCTACAGTAAACAATTTGACTGCAGAATCGAGTAACTAGGTAATTTCTGAATTTCTATGTGCTATACATACATATAAGCCATTGGATGCGTAAACACTTGAGACTTCCCATGAATATCTGTAACAGATCAAGAGAGGAAAAGCTTTCCAACAGGGCAACATCGATTGTAGTTTAAAGTAATCAAGGAAAAAGATTTCTGGGATGGGGGAAAAAATGTCCTATACGAATATATGATACGAAGTAGTTGAAAGTATTACTGCCCCAGTGGTAGTTGTTGAATATGTTATTTCTGTTTTATTTTAGATTAGAATAGCATAGATAAAAGAATATTAAATCAGGACAACTTAAGAGTGACATAGGAGAAAGAATGTGCAGTGATTGGCTGGTAAGAAACCATAGATATACTCAATTATATACATTCTCAATCAGCCTCCAGAAATCATTCATTTTATAGTCAAATGTGTCCCATCAACCAGAAAATAGTAGTAGGAACGCTTGCTATCAATTGATTCCTGAAAAAATGGATAAGGAAAAAAATAAAAAATATCAATTTTCAGCGTTCCCGTGCTCCCAAAACCTGTATTTACAAGGAGAAATGTTCCTGCAGGAATAGGCTTCCACCAAATATACCACTCCAAATGATTATTGAACATCAAAATTGCATAATATTTTCATTCAAATAAAATCAATGGCATCAAGATCAGTAATCCTACCTTGTGATAGGACCAATGAAGGTCATCTCCACGTCGGGAGTATCATACTAGAAACGGAGGGGAAATAACAGAAATTTTTTCATTCAGTAATGGCCTCCACCCCTGGGAAAAATCCCCTTGGGATCTCAATGCTTCGGTGCACTCTTCCACCTGGAGTTAGAGGCACATCCACCCTAGCATTCCCGCGCGTGTTCTGGTCATACTCCTGTTCGGCTTGGTGTAGCCGTTGAAAATAATCGACAAGGCCCCTATTGGGGTCCTGATTCGGCATGATCGCGGCATAATCAGGTGGCGGGGTCATGACAGGAGGAGGCGGGGGAATGTCTTCGAATGGCGGTGGTGCAAATGACGGGACTCGTATGAGGTGGATAGGTCGGGTGCGCATGTTTAAAGAGTCCCCGGAATCTGTAGGCTGTGTGTCCTCACGGGCGCGGTCTACAGACTCAGAGGAAGAGGACTGCGGCGTATAGATGGGGGAGCCGTCGCTAGCGTTGGAAATATTGAGGATCATATTGAGATCGCCTAGCCCAGTGTTCATTGAAGTGGGTGGGGCGAGAGGTCTAGCATCAGGACAGCCACATTCATACTCTGCAGATGGGGCTGACGTAGGAGATGTATAATGTGGAAGTGCAAGGTTTGATTGCTTTGCCAGGCAGGATAGAATGTGGAATGGCGAGTCGATTGAAATCTCAAAGTGGCGGCGCTTATGGGAGTAGTTTTCATCGGGCCTTGATAGTCGAAGGACGATCTACATAGCATTAGCGGCTGTTGCGATAACGGGTTAGGGATGAAATAACCTACCCTGATCCAGTGGTTAATAGTGATATTATCGTACGCGGAGTCGCAATGCAATTTCTGAGCCGACTCAACATTCCGCATGAGCGGACATGTTGGAAGCTGCACGTCAAATTCCATCTCTGTTGGCCCAGCACCGAAGTCATTCTCAACATCGCCGAGGAGATTCGTACACATGGGATCGGATATTTCAACGCCACGTGCTGCAGCCTCGCGATCTTCCCATCGAATGCCACCGCCCGAAGTGATTCGTAACTTGCTTCCTGGATATGTACTGATCACAGGAAATCCAGCACGTTTATCAAAGAGCAGGATTTGTCGATTTTTGTCTGTACGATGCTCGACATTGCCTAATGACCAATGCAGAGCTGTCTCGGATACGTAAACTTTGATCCGATGGCATGAAACTTTAGCAAGGGGCGTAAGTTTGAATGCAATCGGGATTTGTGCCCCTAAAGGAAATGATTTGCCCGATATAATGATATCGTAATGAAGCTGGTCTTCCCATGAGCGAGAAATCGCGATTGGTTCAACCTGTTCTAACGAGTTCTGCGATGGAGTCCGAACGAGAAGCACTTCTTTTGAGCCTGAAATGTTTGGACGAAACACGCCCGCTCGTTCGACAAACGCCTCAAGCGAATATTTGACAGACCCATAATCAGTTTTTATAGTTTCTGGAAAGTGAGAGTCGATTGGTAGCTCGAAATTGTAGATATAATCACCTGGCTGAAACAACGTATAGCCCGTCTGTGCGGAGGCTGAGGGGGTAGCAAATTCATCGCTTGCGAAGCTTCGTGATGAACTGTGTGGGAGTGAAAGTCGCCTAAACTCTTTTGCCATGCGATCTAAACTTACAGAGGAGCGAGACCGTGGGAAGAGTCCGGAGGTTGGGTAGGTTGGTGCTCCCTTCTTGGGGTGAAGCAGTCGAAAATAATCGGCACCATAACGATTTTGCTGGGTTATATATCTGTCATCATAAAAGGGCCATATATGGGTCATAACACCGCGGCTATCACGGTAAAAATGTTTCTGGCTTGGTAAACCTGTCGAAGAAATTGGAAAACGTTAGTGACTGTACTAGATGTTGAGACCCCTGGCGTTACAAGAATACTCACTCTCCGACCACGTTGCATTTACCACACCCTTAAATGTGAGGAGTATTCTCTTGATTTTGGTCGTCTTGGTAACCTTGATATGCAAATGGCCCCTGAGCATGGCGGCCTTTGAACTGTCTCCGCTATCTGCGTCCTCGAGAAAGATCACAGGCTCGGCTTGAGCAATTGCGACAGTAATTCCGTTCCCAGAGGCGATGATTTTCTCATTGGCTAGAGTTTGCAGCACAGGAAGTGGCCCTGACTCCGGAAAAGTTTGGGTCGACATGATAGACCCCCGACGGGAATCAGTATCCTGCTGAGTGCGCCGCTCACGAGAAATATCAGCATGGGAGCCTCCCACGCTCTCAGACTCAACCCTCATGTCGGCATTATTATCCACCACAAAACCGGATAAGTCACTGCACCTCGAGTCTACCAATGGGGTTCGGAGATTGGCCTTCGAGGCAGATGGGATGGTGGGATTTGAGAGCCGTAAAAGAGAATGCTTCAGGCTATCTCGTCTTGACGCCACTTTGAGGTTCTGGTGGGATAATGGAATTGCAAAGGAAAGCTGAGCGAAGAACGATTGTCTTGTCTGTAGACGTTCTGGCTGAACGATGAGGAGGTTGATGGGAAGGAGCTCGGAGTAGTTCCAGAGCTATAGTGGGGCGATTTGCATGCACGATAGGTCGCCAGGCTTCCAAAAAGGTAAAGCAGCACGTTCTAGGGAATTTTAGGCGCCGGACCATATGAAGAAGCAACGGAAGCGCCAATTGGAGAGACCGAGTGAAGACAACGTAAGACGCGCCACTGACGATAAGAACCGAAATTGAGCAAAGGTGTGTGTGTGTTTTCAAAGCTTTTTGGAGAGGTTTAGATTTTCTAGGCGAGAAGAGTAAGGAAAGTCAGAGACAAAAACTGAGTTTGTTCCGTGAAACAGCAGAACGGCCAACACAAACAACGGTTGCGATGCGAAAAGCTTGGATGCAAGTGAGTTTGGGCCAGTGACGTAGGAGGCCAGTCGCCGGAGAAACGAATCCACCGAGATCCGGGGATTGCATATCACGTGAACGAAGGAGGAAGTTAATCCGCCGATCCAGGGCGGAGGAAGATTCGGATCTCCACCAGCAAGCCGGGATTGCCTGGGCGGGCTGAACGTGTTCGACAATGCGTTGCTTGGCGACAGCGTAAAGAAGAATGTTGGAACAATACGGAGCTCGCCGCGCTGGCGGCGCACGGTTGATCAGGCCACTGCGAAGTTGACTGCGAATGGGGGCCATGAGGATACTTCATCCAGGGAATGTCAATGGCAGCGCCCACGCGTGCTCAGCCATGACTGTGATTGTGACTGGTCTGCTAGGGTGCGGGCAGGGTTTAGATTTTTATAGCCAATTCACTGGGCTAGCGCAGTGTATCTGCCATGGTGATAATTAATAATAACACACGCCAGCCGGCGCGGTGCCCCATATAATAATATGGATGAGAAGGGATCAGCAGCGTGTTTCCCGGCATCCATCCCGTGGACCAGCGTTGCAATCCCCAGGCTTGGCCCCCTGGAGCTGATAAAGCACAGCGCGCCGCAGAAACGCGGCCCCCGGCGACCAGAGCCTGGACAGGTGCTGGCCGCCAGACGCGAGGTTTGGCGGTGGTGCAAACAGGGCAAACGTGCCACGTGTGGTGCCAAATCGGGCCTGCGCCACAGCTGGGGGCGGTGGCTGGGCTAGCGCAGAACCAGCGCGGCGGCGAGTCGGGCTGCTTAGCTAATGCCCCGGCTGCAGGCTTGGCGCCGCCGCCCGCTCGCCAGTCCAGCCCGTCGCCGCACCACCGCTGGCTGACCACCGCATCTCGACGTACGCTTTTAGCCTTTCCGTGCCATCAACCAGGGGTGCCACAGGATCCATCCAAAAAAAAGGAACTAAGCGGAGTGCCTGTATCAAACAGGGACCCTTCTCCCGCCCCATCTGACTTTTTGCCTTTGCACCTCCTTCCAACATCCGCCTATCCTGCTCCCGGCCAGCTCTTCCCATCACCGTTCGTGCTTTTTAGCCATCGTCCGAGCTCTGTTCGTCTCTCGTCGTCTCTGCTGACGGCCTGTCGCTTGTTTGCCGAATGAACGGACGAGGTTCCACCTCGCTTCTCGCGCCAATTTCAGCCTCAAAAAGGTGGTCAGTGCTCACCCCTCGCTCAACCCCCAAACTGCAAATCTTCACAATAACAACATCGCAACATCACATCGCCACGACTGGCGCAACTGCACCCCACGCTCGACGCCATCGCTGCAGACCTGTCGCTTGTTATTGACGCTGCCTTACTTAGTTTTGAACGCGCATTTTTTTTGCCTTCCTCGCAACCCTCTAAATCTGACCTTCGCCTGACCCCGTCGCTTGTCGCCCAACTTCGTCGCCATCACTTTGGTTGAATATGTACAATCGAGCGATGGTTCCGGCGCCGAATCCGCGTCTGACAGAACTCTTTGACCAGCTGCGTCAAGAGTACGAGAATCAATCTCGAAGCCATGGCGAGTGTGAGCATCAATGTATGAAAAACCTAGATAGGCGCCGAATTTCTTTTTATTCTTGCCAGGAAACCCAGATTTACTGGTGGATGGGCATGATAGCCCTAGCGCACGCGCTTTCCTATGTCGGCGTGATGAAATAGAATACGGCTTGCGATTTATAATGTTAATTGGAACTAACTTTACTCTAGTGACCGGGCAGCTTCAAGAGATGGAGATGATCCGCCAGCGAGTAAGTCAGTTGGAGCAGGCTCATATGGATATGAAACAAAAGTACGTGCGCGCTTTTTGATATGAACACGCCATTGTATTGTTTCGCACTCGAATCTCACCGCGCCTAAAATAGATATGAAGGCGAAATTCGCGCTCTGCGAATGGAGCTAGAGTCTCGCGGTATCCATCTCCCGCCCTCACACGTTGGTGGTCCTCCAACCCATGGTGGTTTGTCTCAGGCGCCGCCCCCTGCCTTAGGCCACGGTCCCAGTAATCTCTTTGGTGGTATTATAACAAACCAAGGTGGCGGGCCCCCTGCTTTGGCCCCTCCCCCTCCTCAGGACCAACAACAGCCTCCTCAGCACTCCATGCAGCAACCAGCTTCAGGTGCGCAAGGACCGCCCCAGCCACAGCAAGGCGCATTCGGCGGTTATCAACCGAATTCTGGTGTGAATGGTAATAGCTAAGTAACCGATATTACTCGTCAAGCAAACTCTAACAGTCGTTTTCGCAGGTTATGGGCCACCACCACCAACTCAAACTTCCTCTCCTGGCCCTGGAAAAGTACGTGCGAACAGAGCACCTCCTGGACCCGCTACACCCCAGCAAAACCATCCGGTGGCGTATCCTGACCCTAGAGCATCTCCACAGATTCCACAGCCTACTCCCCCCGGCCAACAAGTGCCCTACCGTGTCGGTAATGCCCTTGGAGAATTAGAGCCCGACAAGCTTCCCCCGACCCAGAAAAAAGAAGGCAGCGATTGGTATGCTGTGTTCAACCCTGAGATCCCCCGTGTCCTGGATGTCGAGCTGGTCCACACTCTGTCCCATAACAGCGTTGTTTGCTGTGTCAAGTTTAGCTCCGATGGGAAATATGTTGCAACAGGTTGCAACCGTTCGGCCCAGATCTTTGACGTTGCCTCTGGACAACTGGTAACGACCTTGCAAGATGAAACGGCGAATAAGGAGGGTGACCTTTATATTCGTAGCGTTTGCTTCAGCCCAGATGGAAAATGCTTAGCTACTGGTGCTGAAGACAGGCAAATTCGGGTACGACTATCAAAATTTTATATTACATTGTGTTTTATCTACTAACTGTGAAATTTCACAGGTCTGGGATATTGCGAACCGAAAAATCAGACACATATTTGCCGGGCACGAAAATGACATTTATTCCCTCGATTACTCGCGCAACGGCCGGTATATCGCATCTGGCAGTGGAGACAAGACCGTGCGGATGTGGGATGTGTATGATGGAAAGCAAGAACTTATCCTGAGCATCGAGGACGGCGTAACAACTGTTGCTATTTCTCCTGATGGCCGATACGTCGCTGCTGGGTCTCTCGATCGAAGCGTAAGGGTATGGGATACCACGACTGGCTACCTTGTGGAACGTCTGGAGAGCCCCGATGGCCACCGAGACAGCGTGTACTCCGTTGCATTTGCTCCTAACGGCCGAGATTTGGTCAGCGGTAGTTTAGATAAGACCATCAAGATGTGGGAGTTAACTCCATCGCGTGGTATGGCACCTGGCAATGGTCCAAAGGGTGGAAAATGCGTTCGTACATTTGAAGGCCACAAGGTAAAAGGACAAAACAACCTATGCAACCTTACTAGTTCTTGCATTGCTAACCACTGAACAGGACTTCGTCCTAAGTGTTTGCTTCACTCCAGATGGCCACTGGGTTCTGAGCGGCTCTAAAGATAGAGGTGTACAATTCTGGGATGTGATGACTGGCCATGCCCAAATGATGCTTCAGGGCCATAAGAACTCTGGTGCGTTTAAAATGATCGATTACATTTTTTTTATAGTGATGCTAATTCGTCATAGTCATTTCTGTTGCACCCAGCCCAACAGGACAGCTCTTTGCTACTGGCAGCGGTGATTGCCGTGCTAAAATCTGGAGGTGGGTATTCACTTTCAGTCCCTTTGCAGTTTTTTCCGTTTTACTGATGACCTATTTTCCTTGTTTAGCTACGGTCCTTGGGGACGTCGGTAAAGATGTTTTGGTTAAATACCCTCCATCTATCCCCCTACTCTTTGACATTTTGCTATCGTACGAGAAACAGTATTGCTTTCTGATGGCACTCGATTTCTGATCCTGGCTGTCGTGTTTTGCTGTTTGCTTGTCATAAACGGATCTCAACGCTGGCCTTTGTGGCCGAGAAGACCTCTTTTGACAGAGCTAAACAGAGTTTTGGGAGTTAATACAAATGTGGAAGTCATGCCTGGCGAAATATGGAAGTGAGATACTGGGTTTGTTAGTATTGCCATGCCTTATCAGCATGTATGCAAAGTATTGTGCTGTAATTTTTCCCACTCTTTTTCTCACTCTCGCTGTGTTTTTTTCTCCCCTTCAAAGATATGTGAATTCGATCAAATGTTGTGCTTCTCGGTGTTTACTGCTTTTTACACAATGCTCCGCGTTGAATAATACTGGATTTTCGATGGGGGTTGTTATTGCTGTGGTCGGAACTAGCCGTCCTCAGGTTGTGGATGCCGTCATTCCCGAGGAGGACCGGGAGAAAAAGATACCAAACGGAACAGATGTGGTTTGCATGTACTGTACTTCTGGTGTGCGAAATATTCGAAAATGCTGGTGTTCGTTGGGCTATGAATTGAATTTTTTTTCTTTAGTACTACGTACGGAGTGCAAGTTCTCATACCGCTATATTCCATCTCCTACGTGTCTTGTTGATCAACCATGATGTTAGTGATGAATACGACCTACCAGAAACGCAGCCCGATCGTTTTGGAAAAGGAACCGGATGGAGAAAGTCTTGCGGTCTCAAGCTGTCTGTCCAACAATGCCGGCTTTCGCTCGTAATCATAGGCTGGCATATGTTATCCTGTACACAAGATACGTCCTCCGTGCACCACTTCCTGCATCTCTGTTTCTCTCAGCTTTCCACACCTCACTCACCCGGGCCTGAGGCGATGATGCTGGGCGTCAATGGGCGTTCGGTCTTCCTTGTTGCGCGACTTTGGCGATTCCCACCCGGCCCGCGCTTCCCCACATTTCATTCTCGGTTGTCGCACATCGAGCATACAGCTATGAATGGAAGGATGCGATATGCAGCACTTGGTGCGCCGGTGGCTGTTCGGCCACTTTAGCCTAATGCGTCCACGTACCCTCGCGTATGCATGCCCGGGCAGATCGGGTCCGCTGCTAAGCTCCAAGAGGCTCCTGGACTCGAGGCCGGCCGCCCCTTGTTGTCGGGAGGTGCATATGCGCTGTTCGGAAAAGGAGACGCGTCTATTCGGCGGCCAGGGCTCTCGGGCCACACGTCTCTTGGAGTAACTACGGCAGCCAGACGAAAATCCCTCCCCTCGCCTCCCCCCACACCTCCAAACGAGCTGCCATGAGCTGCCTTTTTTTTTTGGCGTAACAGGCTGGCGGTCAAGGTTCTGGGCGCGAACTTAACGCGAATCGGAACCGTGGGCGGAGAAACGTTGAGCCGGGCGCTGGTTGGGTGACCTCCATGCGGAACGCAGCTGCTCGAGAAGGCCCGGATGGCGACGGCGAGTGACTTCGGCTACTCTTCTCATGCAGTATCACTCACCTTCGCCAGAAGAGGGATGGCACTGTGATCTGCCGTGTTGCGAGCGGCAATAGGTTTCCATCCCGCGAACGCATTCTCGACAACTGAACCCGACGCCCGGCAATCTCGGAATCTTCCGCGAGCCCGGGGCAAATACCGTTGCGGGTTCCATGGATAGAGGAGATTGACCAATGTGGTCCCTATGGATACCGTGGGTCTATCGCCGGCGAGATAACGGTTTTTGTTTTGTTCGAAATCATGTTATATACACTCCAGACCCTTGGACTGTGAGAACGGCGAATGTCCATATAACGGCGGGAAGAGTGCAGCCAGCTCGTCTCCTACCAGCGAGCAGATGCGTATGTATATGACAGGGGAAAGCTCTTCAAAAAATCCCAATGGCTAATAGAAATTTCAAAAATGCAATGATGCCTCATTGGTCCAGGAACTCAGCATATTCAGTCAGATATCACCGTCCACTCTGAATCGTGTGACTGGTCGTCCCTTGTCTTGGACCCGATCCATTGAGAAGGGCCCCCCCAATACCCCCCTCCGGAAAAGGGTTTGATAGATAAGAGTTCTGTGTCTCCCCGGGAGGCTTTGGATCCGGTTCCATGTGTCCCTTTGGTCACGAATTGTACCTTGGACGGGTACAATTCTCTAGGCCTCTGTGCTGGCTTTGTTCCCTATTCGTCGCGATGCGCGCGTCCTTTGGACCGCCTCACCTTGATTCTCTTGCGCATGCCGTGGATCCGCTGTTCTTCTCACACAGGCAATTCTCCTTAATTCTCTCGCCAAAGCTTGGATTTCAAGGCGGAGTTGTGCCAACTCCAGCAGAATCCCTCGTATCGCGCAGGTTTTTTTTTGGGTGAAGATGTATTTTATTGTATATCAGAGTTGGATATCTTTCTGTCAGATTGGGTTTAATGGTGGTTATTTGTTTTTTTTTTTCTCTCTCGAAACCACCTGCGGCCAGAACGCAAACCTGTTTTAGCTGGTCCATGCCACCAAGACACCGCGTGCGCCGGGGAACAAACTACGCATTGGCAGGCTCGACGCGGGATGGAAGCATAACGGCTCCCTCGCATCCCAACTCGATAACTACCCGGCAACTGACAGCCGCCAATTCTGGCCCGCCACTGGTCCCGCGGGCACCAAAAATGAAGCGGCCACTTTCCCCAAACTTGGCATGAAGGGGTGTCAGGTGACGTTTGGGATGAAGCTACGGAAGGGACAGTAGTGTGCCCTTATTATTATTATTCCTTCCAAGAAGCTCCGCCGGCAAAGGCGTTTCAAGAGCGTGGGGTGGCGAGTCGGCGATAGCGCCGACAAGCTGAGTTTGATTGGGCAGCAGACGTCGGGTGTTCCGAAGCGTGTTTTGCTTGCGTGTGATTTGCACGCTTCCTACTTCGCTTCCTCTGACACTACCGCCAACTAAACGAACTAGACTTCCTACCGCGCGCGTACGTGCGCATCCCGCATGGGTTCTGCCTCTTCCGTCGTCGTCGTCGTCGTTGTCCTCCTCCACTAGGAAGTCTCCCGGGGCCTTTGAAACGAAAACGGGGGGGAGAGAGCTGGCGACCGGGGAGGGAAGGGAGGGGACCCCGTTGCTCCTCGGCGAGCGAGCCTGATTTGCGCGCCCTTCACCGTCCAACGGGGGCCCAGGAGGCGAGAAACGGTGCAAGGATGGAAAGGGGGGAGAGAGAGAGAGAGAGAAAGAGGTGACACAAGTCGACGGGCCCGCGCGCGGGCGACGAGCTCTCATCCCGGTACTCGGCTTGCTCGTCGCCGACGATGCGGTTTCCTCATTGGCCCGCCCGGTGTGATTGCGATGAGAATCAGCTACGGAGTACTACTGCTGCTGCTGCTGCTCACAAAGGGGCGACATCTCGGCCGGGAGTCGCGTACTCTTATTGCTTCACTCTGGAAGGAGGCTAAGTGTCGCTCAGGGTCTTGTCGTTGTTGGATGCGACTTCGTGGTCGACGGGTTGGCTTGCAAATCGTCATGAGTGCCAAAAAGCTTCGAAGACTTTGCCAATGCCCAGTAGCCGACTTGGAAATCGACAAAAAAGAAATCTTGATTACGAAAAAAATAAACATAAAAAGAAAGTCCTACAGTATCCGCGGCCAGCCTGGCGCTTGTCTGTGACTTGCGAGTGCATCATCAGCTCGTCTCTTCCCGCGCAATTTCCGATGCAGCGACGACTATGCGTGTGGCTGCCCAGCGCCAAATAAATAGTTTTCTTTGATCGGGCCTGAAGCGAGAATCCTACTGGCAGTGATTCACACACAATCCTTTGCGATGGACCTTCACAGCTTCCATTCTTCCAGCCTCGTATTCCCCCTACAGGACTCCAAAAATAAAAACATCTCAATTAATAATCGACGGCCCACCCGCTTCGATACTAAGAAAACGCCCTCCCGCTCAAGAGCAATTTTAGTCCTGTGGATCATTTTTTTCTCCATCATCGCCCGCCTGCCCGCCTCACCCATCATGCGAGTGATTTATTCAGCATGACTCGGGTGGCGAGATCTCCCCCTCCCGTCCCAAGCCGGGGGCCGCCCTTGAGCGGTGCGTTTGAGCAGCGGCTCCCAAGGTCCAAGCCCTGACTGAGCCCGCGCGTGCACACTCAACTCTTCTTGACTCGGCAAGCGAGGCAGGCAGCTTCGCGCGCGCGCGCGCACTGCCTTGGTTGGCTCCGCCCAACCCCACCGCCCACCCCTCCCCTCTTATCATATTAATGCACACTCTGCATAATAATAATATAAATACTTGGGGCCCTGAGGACTTGGAGGGGGGTGGAGAAGCTGCCCGCTTGCTGCCCAACGACAATAATAAATATATCGGGGGGGTGGTGGGTAAGTGTGGGCCGGTGTAGTTCTCGCCGCGCTGGGCGGACGAGATCTAGGTCCTTGTTTCGCGTGCGCGGCGACCGGTTTCCCCGTTCCCCATAAATATCTGGTCGTTTAGGGAAAATGGAGAGCTAGCAGAGCAGTGCCAGGGTTAAGGAGATGCGGGTTAGATAGCTGGGTCTGGGTACGGAGGAGTTAGCGGGCGATGATGATGATGATGATCTGACGATGTGCCTGCTAGGCATTTAGTTAGTTATTAGTTAGTTTAGCCGCGGGTGTATGTGCGCAAGGACCCTGAGGGAATATTTAGATGAGCATCAGAATCAGAATTGAAAAAAAAAAAAGGTCAATGCCGTGTGTTCATTGTCAGGGGATGGTACAAAAAAAAAGGGGGGGAGCGGCAACCCTGATTCTCAATCTCTCTGAGAATTCGCACATGTAACATCTCTGCCTGTCTTGTTGGGGGAAGTTCCAGCTCCTGTCGTTCGGCCAGGTCGTTAGTTATGTGACCAGTCAACTAACTACCTAGTTACCTAGCTGCTCTCGCTGGCGAAGGTTGCCTGACAGCAACACGCCCCTCCCCCCCTGAACCCACCACGCCCCACGCCCGGCCGGGATCAACAGCATACCGCATCCAGCAAGCCTCAAAGTCCGATCGTATGTATGTACTCCGTAGTTATGTGTGTAGGTAGGTAACTAGGTAAGTACCAGGCCTCTCCGTTGCCGACGAGAAAAAAAAAAAGAACAACGATCGGCTCTTAAGCTTTGGGGATCAGCAGCAGGACGCTGTCTACTCCGGACATGCATTGCGAAAAGAAAAATGTATGGTTTTCCGGGAACGTGTTGCTGGTTGGGGCGGCTATCATTGTTGTTGTTGTAGTTGTGACTGGACTTGGAGGTAAGAAGTAGTTAGTAGTTACATAGTTGCGGAGGACAGGAAATGCAGTGCGAGGACTGGCGGCGTGCATATTCAGGTCTCGACGGGGGATGATTTGGAATACCCAGTTACCGATGGAGTACATAGAGTAATAACATGCAGAGATGTCCCCCCTGGCCGGGCAGGGGGGGGGGGGAGTTCGGCATGCAGGCTGGAACGAACAGCTGGGAGCGCGAGAGTAATAGGGCGTTGATAGCCAGCCCAGCCAGCCAGTCACGGAGGAGCTATCTAACTAACTAACTGTCCCAACAGTTACACACACACACACTGGCGGACCGGCCGCCGATCACTGAAACCAGTGGCAGTGTGGCTCAACGACGACGACGACGATAAATGATGATGATGATGATGATGATGATGATGATGATGATGACAGCTTGGTAGTAGCTACAGACGCGGAACTAGGCTGTGCCACAGGCACAGACCACAGATCCCAAGGCACGGGCTTGTTTGGGGCGGCAGCCCGTCCGTCCCCCATGTCGGTCGGTCCTCTAACTAGTAACTACTTCCCTGGTCGCTGACGGCGAGGCTCGTCCAGAGCGAGCGCGGGGCCCTTGTCAACCCAACCCACTTACTTCTCTTTCTCCCTCTCGCTCTCCCGCTTTGGCATCATGAGACCCTTTTTCCCTTCTCGTTCGGGTGGGAAATCCTTTCCGGATAATTAACTAGTTAGTTAGTTAGCCAAACTAGCTCGGCGCGGATTTTTTGCCTCCCTTCCAGGCAGAACAGATAAAGTCACTAAGTAGCGGTGGGCAATCACGGTCCTCGTCGGCTGGGGATGGAGTAGAGTGTTTGTGGCTCGCTAAGGGGTGGGAAACGGGCAGTCTGTCGCGGCCAGAGAGAGGCTGACAAGCTCTTCGCCCGCCAGGGCCTGGTTTCGGAAGTGTGGAACAGGCCCGATTGGCGAGCGGCCGTTCGAACCCAGCCAACTCGCCAGCTAGCTAGTGACTGGCCACGATTGCCGACGGTTTTTGCTGGTCGTCTTTCGTTCGTTTTTTCTCTCTCTCTGTTCGATCTACTACTAGTTAGTGACTATGTCTCGCCCCGTGGCACAGCCCGAGCAGAAAAGAGATATCGCCAAGTCACGCGGCAACAACAACAACAACAACGAAAAGAAAAAAAAAAAAAAAAGACTGACGACCGGGGGCCAGGAGAAGCTAACTAGCAGCGCGACCGACCAGGAACCGGGGACATGCCCGCAACAGCCTCAGGGCGACGCAGGCGCGCTGCGGACGGTGATACGCTGGCGACCGCCGCTTGGCGGGCACAGGCAGAAACTCTCTGTGAGTGCCCGCCCGCGAGCGGGATGAAGAAGGGAGATGAGGATGCCCGTCATGCGGGGCGAGAATGTGCTGGGCGCGCAGGATTGGCGCCTGCATAGATATGACTGGATGTACTGCGTGGTGATGCGCATGCGCGCATATGTACGGAGTCGTTAACTAGTAGAGGCGGGCGAGGGGCAGCGAGGGGCCAGTGCGCAGGGCGGGCGGGTTTGAAGACTGTTCGGACGGGGGCCCGTCACAGCGCCTGGCATCAATAATGCGGTGACAGGGCTAAATCACATTACTAGCTAGTTAACTCGGCCGCGGGTCGAGTTTCATGGCCCCGGGCGATGACGGCATGGCGTGCCAGGCACGCGTCTTGAGCTTTGTTGGTTTTATGCTGACATGAAGAAAAGGAAAAATGAAAAAAAATAAAAATAAAAAAACGATGGCTAACTTTATCTTCCGACTCGCCGGAAATTCTGCCTTGTCCCGGGCCCTGGAGGGCTGCCGCGTGGGCGCAGGAAAAGCAAGGAGGGAGGGAGAAAAGAAACGAGCAGGTGGTCGATACGGAGTAACTACAGACAGGGAGAGCTAAGAATAACAAGCAGGCTCGGAAGTTTAGGCGGGCGGGTTATTAGACGTCCGGGGAACAGTGCAGGCGCTCGTATCGCCGGGCTGGGGCTGGGCTGGAGAGAAGCACGCGCGGGATCGGAGGGCTGGTGCTTGGGGGGGAGAGGGGAGAGTAGGAGGAGGAGGAGGAGTGATGGTGAGGCTAAAACAAGACAGGCGAGCGAGGCACGGGGCCGCACGCACGCACGGCAGAAGAAAGCAACGGACGGGCTCCCGGTGTCCAGGGCGCCGGGAGCTGGGGACAGCGACGGCCGGGGAAGCGAAGCCGTGCGAGACAGGCCGGCTAGCCAGTGGGTTGACTAGCTGGCTAGTTTAGCGAGCTGGATCGCCGGGGGGGAGGGAGGGAGGAAGAGGCAGCGGGCGGTGAGCCGGGTCATCCCATGTTTTAGGGCTGCATCCCGCTGGCAGCGACGGCTGGCCGTGCTGCCCAACCGGCCGCCAGTAGTAGTAGTAGTAGTAGTAGTAGTAGTAGTAGTAGCGGTGGTGAGCGGCCCGCCACCGGCCGTGGTTCGGTGAGGGCGCGGGCGCCCGCCTGCCAGGCACGATCGGCCGGCGGGTCTGATCAGTCGCAAAGCGGCATCCCTGCGCGGGCGCAGCTGGCCTTGGAGGAGAGGTGTGAGTACGGAGTATGTGTGTGTGTGTGTGTGTGTGAGAGAGAGAGAGAGAGAGAGAGAGAGAGTATAGGGCAGTCAGTTGTAAGATGTACTCCGTACTCCGTCCAGCGACAGATAACTACCTAACGACCGCCCGTAGACTCGCCGCCCAGCGTGACCTGTGCGCCCGCCGCGGCCGCCGGCGTTAAGCTTAAATGGCCCGCCGCGCACCCGCCCGCCAGCCAGCCAGCCAGCCAGCCAGCCCCGGGCCAGCCTACCAGCCTACCAGCCTACCAGCCTACCAGCCTGCCTATCTGTCCGCCTAGCGCCGCCGCCGCCGCCGCCCAGCCCAGCCCGCGCGCTGTTATTAACTGCTATACCCGCCCGCTGGGCCTCAGCGTCTGCTCTGACCTCTCTTTCTTTCTGTCTCGCTCTCTCTCTCTCTCTCTCTCACACAGCCGCAAAACAAAGTCTGGCAGTTCTCGTGGCTTCGTTCACTCCTTTATTCTTGCTTCTGCCGCTCCTTTCTTCTTCTTCTTCTTCTTCTTCTTCTTCTTCTCTCTCCTCCCATGGAAACCGCCGTGCCCGTCTCCTACGGCTTCGGCGGCCCCCATGACCTGGCCGCCGTCTCGCACCGCCGCCTGATGGGCCCGCCGCCCGACACGCCCATGCCGCCCTACTACGCCAGCCCGCCGCTGCCTTACGCCGCCCACCTGCACGCCCCCGCCGCCTACGGCTTCGGCCACATCCTCAACACCAGCCATGCCTCCTCCTACCAGCCCTTCTACGCCGCCGCCGCCAGTCCGCTGGCCCACCGCCTGCCCGACCACCCCGCTGCCGCCCCCCTTGCCCGCTCCTCCGCCGCCGCCACGCCTACTACCACCATTCCCACGACATCTCCCTCCTCCTCCTCCTCTCCGCCCTCCACCGCCGCTGCCAACGGCCTCGCCCGCCTGATCGAGTCCCATCCCGCCAGACTCGACCCGGACCACCACCAGCACCAGCACCACCAACACCACCATCAACATCCCACACACCACCTCCACCACCAGCAACACTCGCACTCCCGCCCCGCCAGCATCATCCACCAGCACAAGCCCGACGACCACCAGCAGCAGCAGCAGCAGCACCAGCACCAGCAGCCCACCGGCGACTCGCGGCCCGGCAAGCAGTCCCTGCGCGTCAAGCCCGACATCGAGTTCTCCACCGAGGTCGACACGCTCATGAAGACCATCCAGTCCAAGCCCAAGCTCGCCCAGCCGCAGCTGCCGCCGCTGCACCAGTTCACCACCGGCGTGCCCGGCTGGTCCTACCCGGGCCCTGGTGCCGCCGTCTCAGCCGCTCCGCCACCGCCCCCGCCGCCACCGCTCGTCCAGCAACAGCAGCAACAACAGCAGCAGTCTTCGTCGTCGTTGTCATCCGCGTCGATGTTTGCGCCGCCCCAGCCCGACCGCCCGCCGCCCTCCAAGCAGAAGTCCCGCCGCAAGTACGAGTGCACCCTGCCGAACTGCAGGAAGAGCTTCTACCAGAAGACCCATCTGGACATCCACATGCGCGCGCATACGGGTGACAAGCCGTTTGTACGCGACATTGCCCTTCCTTCCCCCTTATTCAAACGATACGTCTACGGTTGGGAGCTAATGCGGGCGCTTATATTAGATCTGCAAAGAGGCCGGCTGTGGTCAACGGTTCTCGCAGCTGGGCAACTTAAAGGTAAGCCAAAAAACAAACAAACCAACCGCCTGTTTTTTAGTTTTTTTTTCCATTCTTTATTATTTTATTTTTCAAACGTTGCCTTTCGCGTTTTGCTTTTTTAGCGTTGCAAACCAACGGTCGGGCCGCGAAGCTAAGCTAATTATTAAAATTATTCAGACCCACGAACGCCGCCACACTGGCGAGAAGCCGTACTCCTGCGACATCTGCAACAAGAAATTCGCCCAGCGCGGCAACGTGCGCGCTCACAAGATCACGCATGAAAAGGCCAAGCCCTTCATCTGCCGCCTGGACGACTGCGGCAAGCAGTTCACACAGCTCGGCAACCTCAAGGTCAGTAGTCCAATTTGCTTGGGGCGTTTGTTTAAACTTTCTCCCCAAGTTCCCTTTTTTAAGTTCCCTCCCTCCCCCCCGTTCCGCGAAACCCAAGTATGCTGAGACAAGAGACGAACGGACTAGTCTCACCAAAACAAATTCCACGCCCAAACCCTGCGCGAGCTGACGATCCGCTTCTCCACCCTGTCCGAGACGGAGCGGCTCGCCCAGCACGACGTCGAGCTGTGGGAGTACTTCGCGACCCTGTACAAGAACAGCAACAAGGGCATCAAGGGCCGCGGCAAGGACCGCCGCGTCTCGTCCACCGCGAAGCAGCTCCGCCACCCGCCGCCGCCGCCGCCGCCGTCGTCTGCCCCCTCGTCCTCGTCGCACCCACACCCACACCCACACCCACACGCGCTCCAGCACCCGCACCCGCCTGCCCCCTCGTCCTCGGCTTCGTCCTCGGCTTCCCTGTCGTCGTCGTCATCGACGGCCGGATCGTCGGTGAGCAGCGGCATGGACGAGATGGGCGGCACCGCGACGTCGGCGGCGGCGGCGGGCAGTCTCGACGACGAGAAGCACCGCATGAGCATGTTCCACCATCGGTCGTCGTATCTGAGCACGCCGAGCAGCGACGAGGTCGATTTCCACGAGCACATGTATTCGCGCGGGCCGCATTGAAAAGAAAATCCTTATACATAAATCCAAAATACAATAACTATATACGGCACTCAACTTACTTTTTTTTTTGGTTGGCGGGCGAGAGTAATACAGACTTTACAGCGTGGAATCTTTGACAGCTTTTTTTTTTTTTTTTTTTTTTTTTTTGGACGGTTAATATCTTATCAGCAACTCGGGTAGCGAAGAACTCCACAACAGCAAGCAGGCGCGCACACACACACACACATACTATTTTGATATATTCCCACTTCCCACCCCACTCTCCCCTAAAATACGCAGCATTGACAAAGCACTGGTTTTTACAAAATGGAGAAGAGGAGATTGCAAGCGTATATTGTCTACATTTGAGGAGGATTGTCTTTTGGTTTGTTTTTCTTTTCTTTTTTTTTTTTTTTTTTGGGCAGAACACAAGACACAGTTTTCTTTTTTCATGGTAAAGAGGGGGAATTTGCACCAGCAGGAGGGAACCAGAAGAAAAAAAAAAAACAAAAATTGATGCATGATTTTTGACAAAATAATCGCCCACCCAAAGCCTTTGAAAGTTAAGTTATTTTTTGTTTTTGTGTTTGTTTCTATTTTTTGCCTGTCATTTCAGCCTCCTTTTCTTTTCTTTATTCATTTCCCCTGGATTTTTATTTTTTATTTTTTATTTTTTTTTTTTCTTTATGTACTCCGTATACTTGCCGTATTATCTCGTCTCTTTTATCTCTCTGTATTTAGGGCATGGCAGGCGAGGCGTATCTTGTCTCTTCTTCTCGTAAACAAAAAACCGAATTGATTGGCCTCGCGGATCCTCGGCGTAATAATAATACTATTATTGTCGATTCTCAATGATTATCTATGCATCTATTATCCTTTGTTCGCACCTCGATCAACGACAATCGCGGCATATACAGATACGCGGAAACGAGGCCGCAGGGCCACTCCCAACCCCATGTCGATTCGCGTCCTCCGTATCTGTACGTGATGTGCTCCGTACTCCGATTTAGACCACCGGCAGCGGACTAGCTTCGCGTTGGTGTTGCGTGGAGCGGGCGCTTGGAACTGCCGGAACGGCGGGCCATACATTACAATAATGATTTCAAATAGTAAGTTAGGAACTACTCCGTACAGACTAGCTAGCTGGGTTCCCTGTTTATCGGGCGCGCGGGCCGGATCGAAATTGTCAAACGGACCAGGAACTCAAAAGAAAAAAAGAGAGAAGAAGGGGAAAACGCCGGAAAAGCAAAAACGGGATAGGGATGGACGGGCGGGCCCCGTATTCTGGTCAATCCTCATCATTGTGCGATTGGATGGGATGGCGTCATGATTATTATTGGTGAGAGGCCAGGAAAAGCTGCAGCAGCCAGTTGTTTAGCTTGACTAGGAAACTAACTAACCAGATAACGAACTCCAGCCCGGCGCCGGGGCTGCAGCACTTGCTCGGAAAAGAAAGACCAGAGACAATCACACGGCCCAGAACAGCCGCACGGCGACGCGGCGCACGTCGTTCTGCCAGCCCGGGAAGCGCGCGCGCGCCCACACGCTCACCGCGTCGCCCACGCCCATCGCGCGCACCACGCGGCCGTCCAGCGTCGCGCGCCCGCGGCCCTCGGCCAGCTCGACCGTGCGCGCGGCATCGTCGTCGTCTTCTGCGTCCGTGAAGTGCCACTCGATCACGCGCGCGGCCACGGCGCGGTCGGCCACGGCGTTGCTGCACAGGCGCGTGTCGGTGGGCAGGAAGTGCGTGGCGGCGGAGAAGTCGGGCGCGTCGTCGTCGTCGTCGGTGTCAGTGTTGGCCGGGATGCGGTAGGCGTCGAACCACGAGTACGAGCCCTCGTAGCGCGCGGGCACGGGCTCGTCGCGGCCCGTCAGCGGGTTGCGGCGCAGGAACGTCGCGGGGTGGTTGCTGTTGTTGCTGCCGCCCCAGCCCTGGTCGCAGGCGTGGATGGTGAAGCGGATCTTGCGGCACGGGTGCTGCGTGCGGTGCGGCAGCGGGCGCGACGAGGACGGGTGCTGCGAGGAGGGAGGAGTTAGTAGATGGTAGGTAGGTAGGTAGGTAGGTAGACGGGCATCCTGATACGACAGACAGGTATACACACCTCGCACAGCCCGCGCGTGCGCAGCACCTCGGCGTCGCCGTCCTGCGCGATGCAGACGCCCGCGGCCGCCACCGTCTCCGCCGACGCCCAGTACTCCGCGTGGTCCAGGATCACATCGACAATCTCGACCGGCAGCCGCCGCCGCCGCGCCAGCATCTCGCGCGCGCACAGCACGTCGCTGACGCTGGGGAAGTATTCGTCGTGCTTGCCGTCGCTGAGCGCGTTGCCCATCGTCGTGCCGTCGGTGTCTTGCTGCCGGTCCGGCTCCTCCTTGTCCTCGTCGCCGTCGTCGTCGTCGTCGTTGTTGTTGCTGCGCTCGCCAAACACCGCCTGCTGCTCTGCGTCGTCCAGGTCGGGCACGTAGACGCCGAAGTTGCGCGCCCCGCGGATCCGCACGGGGGGCATTCTAAGTGATCTTTCTTTGTGTCTTTCTGTCCTCCTTTCTTCTCTTCGTTCGTCAATGCTCACGCATGGTCCCGTCGCTGTCTGGCGAGTTGAAATGTGCCTGCCTGGGTGGCGGTGACGTCACGCACGCGCGGGCCCTCCACCAGCGCCGCCGATGAAACCGCGGCCGATGCGTGCGCCCGCTCCCCCGCAGGATCCGCCAAGCGCGTGCCCTTGCGCTCCGGCCTTCCCGCCGCGCGGCCGTAGGGTCATGAAGGGATGATAGCCTAAAATTCAACGATCTACCTAGTTATATGATACCTCCCTGCGGCCCCAGGTACGCGCGCATGTTCTCGTACACCAGGAAGGTCACCCAGGTGCTGGGCAGCACGCGCACGAGATTCGGCCCCAGCCCCTTGTAGAACCCAGCCACCCCCTCGCGCCGCCACATCTGCGCCACCGCGTCGCCCAGCCCGCCGTACGTGCCCGCTGCGTCGTACGTCTGCAGCCGCGCCCGCAGCACCTGGTACGGGTAGGTCACGCTGCCCGCGAACAGCTTCGACGCCCCCGACAGCACCACGTAGTCCATGTTGCCCAGGCGCGTCGTCGTCGTGCTGCTGCGTGTCCGGTACTGCTTGAGCTGCTCGTACGCCATGAACTGCAGCGCCCCGTGGCCCACGCCGAACAGCGCCGGCACCATCCCGCGGTAGAACCCGCGCGCGCCCTCTGTCTGGTAGATCTGCCGCACGCCGTGCGTCATCGACGAGTACGCGCCCGCGACGTGCGCGCCCGTCGACAGCATGCGTGTCTTGATCACCCAGATCGGGTTCGTCAGGATGGCCGTGAGAATCCCTGGGCCACAATCCATATATCAGCATAAGTATAAGCCTCAAGCCTGGGAAGAGAGAGAGAGAGAGATCCTCCTTACCCGCCGTCCCCGACGCCACGAAGTAATCCAGCGACGTCAACTCCTCACGCCCACGCACCGTCTGCAGCGCGTCTTTCAATTTGCTATACCACAGGAAATACAGCCCCCAGCTGATCGAGTTGCCCACCACGTTCGGCGTCAGCCCGCGGTAGAACGTCCGCAGCAGCCCACCGCCGCCGCTGCCCTCGTGCTGTGCCATCTCGCGCACGATCCGCAGCGAGTTGCCCATGCGCGACCGCGAGAACCGGTCCACTGGTAGTTTTCGCCGGCGCGCGTTAGCCCTTGCCGGCCCCTCATGAGTTTGCGCTGGATGGATGGATGGATGGGGTGCGGTGTTATGCTTGTTTTTCTGGGCTTACCTTGTAGTCGCGTCTTGATGATGTCCAGCGGGTGCACCACCAGCGTCGAGATGACGCCCGCCGTGAACCCGGCCGCCGTCTCCACGACCCATGGCGACAGCCCGCGTGCGTCGCTCATCAATCGGCGTCCCGTGCCCCCCTCCCGCCTCCGTACTCCTCTCAGGATATGCTTTGTGGAGAGCCCGCGCGTTGGAGGGCAGGTGTGTGCGCGGTCTCGGAGGGTTGGTGTGAGGTTCGTTTGGCGGGTGGTTGAGGGTGTGGTTGTGGTTTGGTGGTCATGGTTTTGCTTTTTTTTTTTTTTCTTGCAGGGCCTTTGGCGGAACGCTAGCGAAGCTTCATGGTGCTTCAACGGGAATGTTATTCTACTGCGAGGTAGGGCAATAATATTTCCAGTTTAAAAGCTTCATTGGCTATACTATGCTGCTCTGCGATCTCCAGGTAGGTACACCGGACTCATAACCCGACCTCCAGCCGGAGCGTCACCTTATGATCTATCATCTACTGCCACGCCCTGCTTCCCATAGTACTTATATGCGACGCGAATACTTCAGTCCGATGCAAATTTGGCCATCATGTTCCCCATAATACTATCCATCTAGTCATACACATCTCTAAACTCCACGCAAATGAAATTTTCAGACCCCAGAAGTAAGGGCCCCTTTCCAAAAAAAAAAAGACTCTGACCATTCACAAGATCGGCTCCTGTTCTCGACATAGGTTTAAATAGGCCCAAACTTGCCCATTGTATATTCGATGGAAGCGGGAAATACGCTGCGTAGGCGTTTGCAAGGTCGTTGAGTCTCGAGTCTATGCGAGAGGCGAGAAGAGCCTGCGCGGACAATCAGTATAGAGCATACATTGTCGGGATGCGTGACTAAATCATACTTGAAAAGCGCCGGTCGCGGTTCGCTGTAGGTGTAGCCTATAAACTATTAGCTGGGCTGTTCTAGAATCGTTCCCGTTGCAAAGAAAGTCAAGACTCACCGAGGTAGATGATCAAGGGGAGATACCCGCTGGTATCGATGTATGAGTCCATCTTGCGTCTTCAAAGGACTATTCTGGGTTAATTTCGAGTACTCACTAGTGGATCGCGACGCGAGAGACGTCGATCACCTTGGTGATGCGTTCCTGAATGCCGATAATTAGCCTGGTGCGCTGCTATGGCGGTGCAGTTGTTGGCGGTAAGCTTACCTTGGTTTCTTCGGAGAATTGAACCATTTTGACAGCCGGGTGGGTAAAGCGGTTCTGAGTTAATTTCGCACAATGATGATTTGCAAGCTGCTCGGGTTCTCTGCCTGGCTGCGAGCAAAGGGGGGGCTGTTCGTTCAAAGTCGGGGCACGAACCTGTCGATGGAGGTTCGCAACTTTTACGGTTTTGCAGTTTTGGGTTTGGACGTTGTTTGGAATGTTTGTTCTGGGCCCAGCAACCTTACGTTCAAACTTCGTTTCCGCCGGCCGACCTGTCTACATACCAAAGCTTCCGCCGGTGCCGCTTCGAGAGCTTTCAGTGTTCGGGTAATTATCGTCACAAACACGCAAGGAACAGGCACTGTCTTCGATTCATCATGTCGGGAGCTAGACACTGGTACGCACGCCCGCACACCCATCTAACCGCGTCCGGACCAGCAGCGCTGACAAGCTTCCAGGGAGCAGGATAAAGAAGCGACGGTATACGTGGGCAACCTCGATGAGCGCGTGACGGACAGCCTGGTCTGGGAGCTGATGCTCCAGGCCGGCCGCATCGTTAACGTCCACCTTCCCAAAGACCGTGTCACCCAGGCGCACCAGGGCTACGGTTTCGTCGAGTTCATCAGCGAGGAGGATGCCGAGTATGCCTCGCGCATTATGAACCAGGTGCGCCTGTATGGCAAGCCGATTCGGGTCAATAAGGCGTCGGCGGATAAACAGAAGACCGTCGAGGTGGGCGCGGAGCTGTTCGTGGGGAATCTGGATCCCATGGTTACGGAGCAGATGTTGTATGATACTTTTAGCAGGTTTGGGTCGCTGGTGTCGATGCCGAAGGTGAGTGTCGGCCTGTTGTTTGGCTCTCTTATAAGATACTAATTGGGTGGGCAGGTCGCTCGCGATGATGCCAATTTATCCAAAGGCTACGGCTTCGTTTCCTTCTCTAACTTCGAAGCCTCCGACGACGCCGTGAACAACATGAACGGCCAGTACCTGATGAACAAAGAAATCTCCGTCCAATACGCCTACAAGAAAGACGGCAAGGGAGAACGACACGGCGACGAAGCAGAACGAATGCTGGCAGCCCAGGCTCGCAAACACAACGTTCAGCCCCAGACCCAAGCCATACCGCCACAGCTGCCCGGCGGCCCTCCACCGCCCCCAATCGCCCCTACGCCCATGATCAACGGCGACCTCAGCCGCCCCATGAGCACTGCGCCGCCAGACTACGGCGCCGGCAGAGGCGCGCCCATGCCCAACGGGCCGTACTCGAATATGCCGCCGCAGCCGCCTCACCGGGCTGTTCCTCCGCCACAACCGCTCGCAGCATCTCTCGCCACGCCTCCCGCCGGCTTGCCTGCCCGCCCGCCGCCGTCGCAGGTTGGCTACGGAGGTCCGCCTCCCGGCTTTGCAGCCCCTCCTCTCCCTCAGAGATATGGCCAGCCTGCGCCACCTCCTGGCTTCGGCGTGCCGCCCGTCGGCGGGCATGGTCCGCCCCCCGGCCAATTACCACCGGGATTTCAGCAGGTCGGCTATGGACGAGGTCGATGAGAGGCGTGGTGCTACAGAGTTAGAGTTAAAATTGAGGCTGTATGCGCGTATCTGATACGGGAAGATGCGGGCTCTCGAGGATACTGTTGGGTACTCCATACCGTCGCTCCCGTCTCCGATGGTCAACTTTAAGTTGGAGTCTAAGGTAGCGAGACGTGGTGGGAAGCTGGGAGATAGAATAAAGGGAGATATTTTCCATTAAGTATGCTCAAAACACATTGCAAGATGTGATATAGAACTAATACAATCAAAGGATATGACGATCAGGAATTCGAAAAGGAGAGACTCAAGGAATTGAATCGCAAGAGTATTACCCTTTAGCCACAAGACGGGTATAGAGGAAAATCCAACAAAAGGGAAGAAGGGAGTGGATGTGTGTGTATCAGTAGCATTTCAAAGACGCCGGTGCTTTGAACCAGTAACATAGAAATTACCCAAACCTCGCGAATGCATACATTCAAGCGCGGCCTATAGAAAGTAAACCGCTCAACCCGCAAGCAAAAAAATCAAGAACAAAGGAGAAGAAGTATCAAAGTATTCCACGTCACGAAAAGGAAACGAATTTCGGGTCTTTCGGCATGCCGTCGGGGCCAATGTTATTCTTCGCAAATCGCTTCTCCATGTAGATCTTTCGCGCCTCGTTGAAGTCCACGCGCTGGCTCCTCATGATCTTGAGCACTTCTCTTTTGCCGCGCTCGTCCAGCCCGCCGCGGTTGTCGCCTTCGACGATATTGGACGCGAGGTTGAAATCGGCGGACGACAGGCCGAGTTCGGCGTCGCCGTGGAAGGTGGTCGGGAGGCGGTGGTAGATGTGCTCGGGCAGAGCGACGAGATGGATCCAGCGGCTGCGGAAAATGATGAGGACTGTGAAGCAGGGGTGAGTGAGTGGCTGTGGGCAGAAGGGGTTCTTTGTGGTGGTGGTTCTTACTTGTGCCGACGATGAGGACGGAGAGGGTGAGCGAGTAGAGGAGGTAGCCCATCGTGGAGAGAAGTTGGGTATTAAGTGGGGAAGATATATCCTGGGAATAATATCTTTGAGATGGATTTTCGGGTTGTTGAAAATAGAGCAATAATGAATGAATCGGTATCGCCGGGAGGGGGGTATGGTATATCACGGATCGAGTTGCAACGAGTTGAATAGGGGACAAACGAGCGAAAAGGAGGGATACAACTTGTTTGAATAAAAGGCCTGAAACCAGCTCAGTTTACGAGCTAGTTCGCAGCCCTGAGATTCGAATCACTTCTTTCGTTCTTCTTGAGAGCAATGCCACAAGCTTGCGACGATCTGATGACGGACAAATGCAGGGCTGCGCCTTGGCGACTGCAGCCCGGCAGAGGGAAAATATATCTCCGATACAAGATAAATTACTAAGCAGGTGATGTAATCTAGGCTTAAAGGGGGCATGTTAGCGAAGCCAATCACAGGGCTCCGCCAGTCGCTGAACGCCAAGACTTCAAAATACACAACAATTAATCGAAAGAAGCAGCGTTGCCGTCTAGGCCAAGGAACAATTTCGAAAGCTCGCCGTCGAACGTCCTCGCTCCCTTTTCAGTCTACCGACACGGATACGCTACAATGGCCGCTGCAAGACCTAATGTTTCCGAGGACCTCGTCTGGGAGGTTGTTCGTACGTGGACCATTTTCTTTCGTGACACTTTTTGCACTTCGAAGACTATGATATGATGGTCGGTTATATGCGATTCTAATGGTATAAATCTGTGCGACAGGCTCCCAGAACGCCTATCTGGTCAACCGCAAGAGTGGTGGTGGTGTCAGATTCTCCCGCGATCCCTTAAATTTGACCAACATCCACAGCCGCAAGGTTCGTCTGCAATGATATATGTAATCTGGGTTAAAATGTGCTGACTGTATTCTGTGCAGAACTCTGGTTTCTCCAATAACAAAGTATGTCAAATTTGTCTCGGTAGACGGGGGAGGCAGGAAGCAATGGGCTCACAGTCTTCAAACTTAGGCTATCGGAATCCAAACTGCGGACAACAACGGTCTTACCATCACCACCAAGAAGGCTGGCAATGCTAACCAGCCGGCCAAGCACCTCGCAAACACCCCCATCTCCGGTACCAGCCACAACCGCAAGTAAGCAAACGGCCCCTCTTCCGAGAATACGAGGCGAAAGATATGAAAATACAGGATCAAAATGGTTAGACTGACCTTGTGTGTTCGTCTTTTCTTCGCTTTAGGGTCTACAAGGGTGTTGCCAACCGCGCCACTCTCGGTGGTTACCGCGCAGACCTCCGCGCAGACGCTGTTGCCCGTGCCAGTGCCCTCAGACGCTCCCAGCGCCCAAAGAAGGATACGCCCGAGCGAAAGCCACGAGGCGTAAAGGCCCGCAAGGCCGCTGAGAAGGAGGAATAAAGATGTGGATGTCTGGAATCAAAATGAAAGAAAATCATATCTATTCTCTAGAGCGCTGGGGATGCAGCCTCTCAAATCTCTCAGCATGGAAGCGTTCCTTGTGAGGTTGGAGGGGGGCAGGCTTATTACATCTGGGATTGATGTTGGACCTAGGCAGCCGGGAGTTTCTTTGATGTTCTGATGTGAATTATTATGTCCCAGTGAAATGGAGAACATGAGATCATTGCTTGATAGATGCATTCTTGAGGACTTTGCTATGTCTGTGATACTCATTTTACGCTGCTCCTAGACACCAATTGCTCTCTAATGACCATCTTTTGAACCCCTGTCTCATTACTTGATTATTCAATTGGGCTGCAAACAGGCGTTGGACGAGCACATATGCTTTGCTGACGACACCCCTAGCAGGATTGGTAACAGCTATGTTTCAGTTCAATCGCGTATCCCTCCTATCACTGCAGGGTATCACAAATTAGAACACAGCTCCATGCTGTACAAAGTGCTCTGTAATACCTCAGCCAGAAGTCTCCCAGTAGCCATGTCGGCGGCAGGCTGTTCCTAAAAGTTCCGGCTAAGCAGCACTTTATCCCCACGCCGGGTGATTTCTACTTCGCAAGAGAAATTCCCGGAAGGCGGCCACAGGCTCAGTTTAACTCAACAGCGGAATATTGTAAGCCAATGCATAGACTTCCGTCATGGTGCTCGGTTTTGCCTCCGAATTGCTTCCCCACCTTGGGCGCCGTCGCCGGGCTTTGTAGCCCCTCTCAGAACATGTGACTGGCACTTCCCGAGCCCGACTTCTTCTCTCAGACCTCACTTCACTTCCCCTCCCTCTTCTCTCCAAGCTGGTTTCTCTTCAATCATTTCATCCATCAGTTCACTGTTATTAACTTTGTGGTGAGTTGCTGGACCAACTACTTTGCACCCCTGCCCTGCTCTTGATAACTAACTACTCTGATTTAAAGCTTCAGATATCCTACATTACCCCGCGTCACCTTCCTCAACACAACAACAATGGTTAAGGCTGGTGAGTACGATAAATGGATGTCATCTTAGGGGAGATCATATTTCTAATGGTACTACAGCTGTTCTCGGTGCTTCTGGTGGCATTGGCCAGGTAAATAATTCATTGTATACAATGATTGCTCCTAAACTGGTAGACTGACAGAACTCGTTCATATAGCCGCTCTCTCTTTTGCTCAAAATCTGCCCTTTGGTTGATGAACTCGCTCTTTTTGATGTTGTCAACACCCCCGGTGTCACGGCTGACTTGTCTCACATCTCCTCCATTGCCGTGAGTGATAATTCCAAATGCGGGGGTAGCTGTTGCTGACGATTGCCTGCAGGCAACCACCGGCTTTCTCAAAGACAATGATGGCTTGAAGAGTGCTCTTACTGGAACTGATGTTGTCATCATTCCTGCTGGAATTCCCCGTATGCCAAGCCTTGCATTTCGAGCACAAGTTCCCGGTGCTAACCCCCATGACAGGCAAGCCTGGCATGACTCGTGACGACCTTTTCAAAATTAATGCAGGCATCGTTAAGGAATTAATCCAGGGCGTTGCCGAACACTGCCCTAAGGCATTTGTCCTCATCATTTCCAACCCTGTCAACTCCACCGTCCCAATTGCTGCTGAAGTGCTCAAGGCTGCTGGCGTTTTCGACGCAAAGAAACTTTTTGGCGTTACCACCCTAGATGTTGTCCGCTCCGAGACGTTCTCTCAAGAATTCACTGGCCAGAAGAACCCTGCCTCAACCGTGATTCCTGTCATCGGAGGACACTCCGGTGACACCATCGTTCCGATGTTCAGCCAAGCCAAGCCTGCCTTTGAAATCCCAGCGGATAAATATGATGCTCTCGTTCACCGTAAGCCTATCGTGTTTGCTCTTTGTTACATGGTTTAACTCAGTTTCCACTAGGCGTTCAATTCGGTGGTGACGAAGTCGTCCAGGCTAAGAATGGCGCCGGATCTGCAACCCTCTCTATGGCGTACGCTGGATACCGGTATGTTATAACCTGGGCATTTGGCGTGTTGTAGTAGTATCGCTGACGGCAGCAGATTCGCCGAACGTGTGATCAAGGCTGCTAAGGGCGAGAAAGGCATTATTGAACCCACATTTGTTTACCTTCCAGGAGTTCAGGGCGGTGACGCTATCGTTAAGCAGACTGGATTGGAATTCTTTTCGACCCCCGTTGAACTTGGAGTAAGTACCCTTATGTTTCTGAGCTCTTCTAGTTAGCTTACATTATGTACAGACTTCCGGTGCCGAAAAAGCTATCGATATCCTCGGCAACGCCTCCGAGAAAGAGAAGCAGCTTCTCGAGGTCTGCCTTAAGGGTCTCAAAGGCAACATCGAGAAGGGTATTGACTTCGTCAAAAATCCTCCTGCTCAAAAGTAAAAACACCTGCCGCCTTGATTGGACATAATGTCTGATTCACCACCACCGTTTGTGCAACCATCGATTTGCATCATTGTCTCTGAGGAATGGACTGTCGTTGTTGCGCCAGTGAGAACATCTTACTAATGATATTTGTTGATCGGCAGGTTGTAAATCAGAGGTAGCACGTTGCAGACGGATGGGGGGGCTCAAGTCGAGTTTCGCGGTAGACCATGCAGGTAGATATACCGCATAACTGAATAAAATTATGATGTTAAACGAGACCTTGTCGCGCTTCCGGAACCATATCTTTATACCGCAAATCTCCGCGTAACGCCCTTGTCATGTAGGACGATTCGAATTCGAAATATTCCCGAGTTTTTGTTTAAGACGCTCTAGCATGCAACAATTTCATGATTTTGGAGGGCTTGTCTTGATTTGAAACGTGGCACCAGGTAAATCCGCCGACTCGGCCTGCACTGTAGCACTGATACCTAAATTTGCCAATAATCCGCGAATGATACCACATGGGAACCATAAGTGCTATTGATGTTAGTAGCTGTTTGTTTATATGGGGCGACCGATATTACCATTTGTGCTTTAGACACAGCTTCGCTTCGAACCGCCATACTCATACGCTGAAAGGGTCGAAATGAGTTATCTGTAAGAACATATACGCCCTGTATTCACCGCCACAATATGTCAGAAAAACAGTCGAATCGAGTGTAGATGGGAACGACCTTGGGTAACGTACTCGGTGGTTTGTTTTCAGGTTATCTATCTGCTTTCTAAAAAGAATTGTCCACATATCTTTGCACAGGAATTTGATTACGTCGAGATTATCAGTGAAGCGTGGACGATCGCGGGAGAAACTGGAGGGAATCAGAGTTAGCTAGAAGGTATGGAGAAGGGTGGAAACGCTTGAGAACAATTGCAAATCCGGCAGTCTGGCATTGCTACAACAGAGGAATGTCGCTACGGGCTCTATAATAGCCACATAATTACTCGTAGACAGCTCAGGTTCCCGGTTTGGTAACCTTCATCCCCACACGCAGAACTTGTTCTTGTAATTGTATATCACCGCTCAAAAAGAAGACCCTCTTCTCACTCACCGCTCCGCTAAACCCTGTCCAACACGGTATCCTAGACTTTCTAGCCTATAGAAGGCAGCTTCTCTCAACTCTTCGTCATCTAATACCTTGACGCCGTTTGTTTCATCGGATGAATTCTTGGAATCGAGTTCCTGAACTAATCGTTCGGCCATGGGCACCAGTTCAATGAGTAGGAGATCAAGACATGAGGAATTTAGAAACCGCGCGTGAGGATCGGAGGCGTTGAATGAGGGGGTCGGTGTCGTGTCGAAGGACATTTCTGCTGCTTAGTCTTGTGAGCAGATACGAAGACGGGGTTGAATGCTTGAATTCGGTATGTTATTATAGAAGAACAATCTGTGAGACAATCTCAGCTTCAGAGGTATCGGGTTCTGTAGAGAGAGCTGTGTAGCGAGACGTTGATGTAATTGTCTCCTCCCGTGATTCCGGTGCCTGCGATTCTAATTAATAAAGCGCCAACCAGTCAACTACTCCGTATTCCGTGGTTGTGTTTGGTGGTGGATTATCAGCTCGGAAGACATGTTAATCCGAAATTCCGGGATGGCAGTTGACAGCGCCCGTCCAGCCTCATCTCAACATCCAGGCAAGTCGGAGCAGTTCTCTGTTGCGTCCGATCCCAGTCCACCATCATCGTTTCATTAACCATGTCATTACATCCTTTTAACCCATAGCCCGCATTGCCCAATCCCATCCAGTGGGATGTGTCCGGCCGTATTTCATAATTGCAGGCCATCATTGATAGTCAATTTGTGAATCACAGACACTTAATCTTCAGACTTACAAGTTGTCTCTCTTGAGAGGGTATTGATTCCAGACGGCCACGTTGGATTGACATATTTCCCTTCGCCCTCTACAGCGACTGTACTCACGTTCATTTCAACCTATTGATCTAGGGCATCCCTGTGAGCGCTGATTTGTCGGCTTACGTTGTTATCTTCAGCCTTCATACCAGCGGCTGGCGAATCGTACAGTTTAAACCCTCTACTCAGCAGACCGAAGCCTTAGATTGAGGTTGTTTGCTCGCCGTTCATTTCGGGTATTACTGGTTAGATGTTTTCACGCTTTAGGCTGGTTCCTGGCCTCTTATCCCCTGCATTTTTAATCGATGTGACCATGCTTAATGATTCTAGAAAGTAATATTTTGACAGTGTACGGAGTATTGATTCTGAATTGCCCTGACCACCCCTTCAGCCTAGATAGAGTTAATGTAGTGCCGACGCCCTAGATCCTCCATAGTTGTGTACATGTAAAAGACGAGCCGATGACCTTTGATTTGTTCATAAACAGAGTAAAATTAGCAAGACATACTAAACCCGAAGACAACTAACCAAAGCAAACCCATATCTGTTTCTTCGTTTTCGCCATCGTCCCCTTTCGCATTTAAGTAAAGTTATGTGCCTGAGTCGTTTCCTTGCAGCGCTTAACTTTAATTAACTAACTACGAGCGAGTATCAACAACTCTAATCCCAATCGTTATTATAATCTAGATACTCTCTGCTCGCTTTGTGATGACAACCGCCTGGAAAGACGCATTGGATAATGCAGTTAAAAGTGATATTTGGCTTGCGGGAATTGGCTGTTTTGCTCACGTTATCCGCATTGGTGATACTGGATATGTCGTGAAGGAGTCCTTGGAGCACCCCGTAGTACCCGATCTTTTACCTGTGGAAAAACAGATATATGAGCGTCTTGGCCATCACCAAGTTATTCTCCAATACTATGGGGAGTATCAGTCCAGCACCGATCAATCAAACGGGGTTCCCAGCGGGCTTGTTTTTCAATATTTGCCTGGGGGAACGCTAGCAGAGAAACTTGCTCTTTCTGAATATCCTGAACAGAGACCTCTGTTAGTGACCCTTCAGTATACGTCTCTATGCTCTGTATATTTTGTTCTAACTGTGAGCTCTACTCTAGCTGGCCTATGCAAGCCACTAAAGCCATAATATATCCACTCCAAAAATGTGATCCATTGCGATATTGGTTGTCATAACTTTCTTATCAGAGATGATGGTTCGATAGTTTTGGCTGATTTTGGCGGCTCAATGATAGACGGTACTCTGCCAAAGGTTTGCTATGCCACTCGGTATCAGCTCCCATTATCTCCAGAGAGAGTGTTTGAGGATAACCTAGTATTAACGATCAAAGATGAAATATTTACTCTTGGGACTTTGATATATGAGATGACTGTCGGACATCGACTGTATCCCGACCAACAGAGTGTGGATGTCCAGCGACTTCTACGCGCGAGGGAATTCCCGGCTTTAGATGAATTGCCCATAAATATTCAGACAGTAGTCAGCAAGTGCTGGGCAGAAAGGTATGAGAGTGTCGATGAAGTTTTACATGATTTGGAGTCATCTCCAGCTCTCACTGCGGGCCTATAAAAGCATTTTTGTCTTATTTAGCTAGCTGTTTTATGGGTAGAGCCATTGATAATTCCCTCCCGTTTGTATCAAGTGGAAATGAAAAAGTATGGAAGTTCAGACATAACTAAGAAGAAAGATATAATAGCTACTTCTGTACAGAGTAGTTGGCCTTTTCTCTAATATCCAAAAAAAACCTAATCGCGCCACGGAGGGTTCAAAAATAGCAGTAATCTGATCCCGAAAGTCCTTGCTTTATCTGCCTACAGGGTGCATTAGTATTTACCCTTAAATCCAATAGCTTTTCCTTATGTATAAAATCGTAATAGGAACACATATCAGCTACTAGGAAGAAGACAGCAGTGAACGGAGTTAGCGCAGGTAAATACCTACAATGCACGACAAAATCGATCGAAACATAAAAAATTAGATTGTACAGTGACTGAAACCGGGGCCATCCTCTTTCAATAGAGAATTGTATGCATTGAATGGCTGGGAAAAAGCAGATCCCACACGAAAAATAATCTACGTCCGCCTGAATCTGTTGCAACCCGCAAAATGATACCCACCTTAGACTCCTCACATGGAGATATGCACCTAAAGAAAAAAATGCTGCCAACAGTCCGGCTAAACTAGATATTTAATAAAAATCCCTCTCATGTATGTTTAAAATGAAAATTAGTAATTGCTGTTAGAATTTGAAAGCGAACTTCTGTAATTAGCGTCTACACGGTAATCGTAGCTTTGCCTTCGGAACCCGTTCAAAGATGCGCTGTTAGGAAGCGTTGGTCGCTTCGCTGGCCGTGGAGGTTCTTCGTCGTCGCTACCCGTTAAGTCAATGACCTGGCTTGCCGACCGTTTATTGGTTGAAACCCGAGCTGGTGAGACTAAGGATGCTTCACGCGAAGAAGGGGTCGGGGTGATTGATGGCGGAAGCGGTATTTGGAAGGCCGAGGGCTCTTGTTTTAGTGATAAAAGGCGCGAGTCTTGGATTTCTATCAAATCATCGTCATCGTTAAGTGCAGGTGTGTGTGCTTGGGTTTCAGTTGTTGGGTCTCGGTCGCCGGGTTTGGACCACTCCCCGTTTGGCTCGATCGTCACTTGGTCGGTATCCGTGGACGTTGATTTAAGTATATCGTCAAAATATCTTTATTAATTAGCTTGAAGGCATGGGACATGTATATATAGGTACCATACTGATCGATTTGAAGGCCTTCAAACGAAGTCACTTTATTACAGACGGGGCAGGTCCATGTAGGCGCCTGTTCTTGCAGCTGAAGGAATGACACGGCATCGAAGCATTGACTGTGAGAACACAAAACCGTGCGACAGGGAATTGCAATGCGAAGCGTTGATAATGGGCACTTGAGGGACATAATACTTGATGTAGCCACAATATCTGTATCTTCGGCCTTGCTTTTCACTTTGAAATATCAGAATTTTGAAACATTTAAATTTCGGACTGTCGGTCTTACTTTCTCTAATGACTTGCTCCGTTGTTATCAATGGCTTGCTTTTCAACTTTTCGACAAGTTCTTCAACAGAATGTTTCTTGACAAGGTTAACAATAACGAAGAATTTCTTATCATCATGTTAGTATCGGTATTTGGATCAAAGTTCCAGGTTGCTTGCCTTTTGAGTTAGAGCATAGGTTATAGATACGTGATTAACATAGCCGGCCTTTTTGCGAACAAAATTCGTAATGTCCGCTGGCCTCGTAGTGCCAGGCTTATTTTTCAGCCCTCTAAGGTTGGTTTTAACCTCATCAAGGTTGACCTTTAATTCCACTTGGTGGGGAAATGAGATGTCGGACTTTGAATATTGATTTAATCCGGTATCAGCAGTGCAATATACCATAACACGTAAGTCTGATTCAGTCTGGAACCTCGCAGCCACAGACTCAGTAAGATGGAATTTGAGCTCTACCACATCCCTTGCGGTCTCACGAACTGTTCAATGGTTAGCGGGGCATGGAGAAAATGGAGATGTGTAGAAAATCTCACTTTTGCATTCTGCCACGGAGGTTAAGGGTTCGAGGATAGTATAAAAGGGGCTCTCCTTAAAAATTGGAGAAACTGGGATATTCATGTCAGATCGAATTTGATATTTTTGGAAGGGGGGTAACGTGTAAATACCAGTCGAAGTTGAATATGGGGGTGTTATTGTTGTAGAAAATGCTGGCCTGGGAGTTGGTAAAGGCTGGGTCGGTGCATGCGAAGGCATTGGATGAGACGAGGGAGATTGATCGGGCGTAGTTGACAGTGAATTCTTCGCTGTGAAATAAATGCTTGCCTTTAGCCGTTCAAATTCCGCGGGGATATGCGCCACTGATTGTATATCTGTTTTTAGAGGGGACAGATAAGGATTAGCAGATATTAAGCAGCATTAAAAATAGCTAATGAAAGAGCTTACGATTCAATATCCTTAATTGCAGTACATGCTTTACCCCTGACACAGGCAGGTGTTCATTGCGCAGAATCACTTTGAGCTGCGCATTGAGGAGAGACTTAACCAGGGCAGTGACATGCTGCATATATGGCTGAGGAGGTGTTGGCATATTGAAGAGAATTATCTGCTGGAATTCAGCAGGTTTAGTGTGAAACCGGGAATGGTGTTGAAGAAAAGAAGATGGTGCTCTAACTAATGAGAATCAGATAGCTTTTGGCGGTGGAAGTTGGAGATGAGTGCAGACGAAAGCATTGTGGAGAGAAAAAGGTGACTCTAAGGCCTTCCTGCTGCTAGATTAGCTCCTGAAAAAGTGGTGCACACTCAAGGTGGTTTTTCATTGCCGGAAACTTCTTTCTATGAACATTGAGTGATATCGTGAACGATAGGATGATGACATAAGGAAGGCACCAAAGTATGGATCGGATTATATAATCATCATGCTAGGCATCAATCGGTTGGCTACACCGGATCGGGTTAGCATATTGTTTGTGGGAAAGGTATGGACGCTCTCATTGTCTCTCAGGTCTACTCCGTAGCTGCCTAAGTAGAACTACAGCGAGAAATTGTAACAAGGAGATCCAAGCTAAAACAACAATAAAATTCTGTACTCTGTAGTTCTTACCGCATACCTAGTATTTTAGGGCTACGAAAAAAAAATAAAAAAACCCGACACCGGCAGGATTTGAACCTGCGCCTCCGAAGAGATTGGATGACAATCGATGATTCGAGTCCAACGCGTTAACCACTCCGCCACAGTGTCTGTATTAGTGCCCAGGGTACCTTGGCTTATTAACCAGCCTCAAAAATAGCCTGATTGATTTTTTTTCCTATCTCGGAGGTATTATTATTACTTCTCCGTACGCACCTCCAAATACCCAGCGACCTCTGTTCGTTGCCCCCGCTCCCCGCCGTCCACCATTGCATAGCCCCCTCGCCCGGGAAAAATGGCGAAAGGTGCTCGATCTAGTGTCAAGAAGCGCAACAAGGCCAAGTTGCGGGCCACAGTGTTTGGCCCCGTTGTTGATCGAAGAACAGAAAGACTCTCGGCAAAGCTTCAGGATTTGGCGTCGGCAAAACTGGTGAAAGATGCCGATATGGTGGATGCAGAAATCAATCTGATAGGTATTTACGTCCGTTTCATACTGCCTTGTGGATGTCTCTAACGACTGTGTTGTAGACGCATCCGAGCCTTCAGCTGGTAAAGCAACCACTACAAAGGATGGTCAGTTTTTCCCTTCGTCAACTTGCCTTAAACGTAAACTTATCATGGCCTTAACTAATCCACCGGCCTGCAGACATGGACATTGACCAGTCGCCCGACTCTTCCAAACCGAAATCTAGCGATGAATCAGGCCGTACGGGTCGGATTCAAAAGAGACCACGAAGGAAAACCCGGCCTTCCATTACTTTTAAACCACACCCTAGGAAGGTGAAGAAAACACCCAAGAGGAAATAGGAGTGGCTTAAAGGGCGGGTGCTGTTTCGATTTCGATCATAGTGAACTTGCAGTCAATGGCGTCTGGGGTTAAGGAGGGCTCGCAAAAGCATGATTCTTTTTTTTTTTTTGCCTACGGTTTTAGATACAGTACTACAATTTCCAAATCCATTTTCCCAACCAATTCTCACATATTATTTCTCGAATCATTGTGGCAGAATATTTTCAAACACTTTTACTCGTCTCTCATTGGCCTGGAGCTCTGGGCGGTCAGGCAGCTAGTTATTTAGTGGTAGAAAGGGGCGTCGCCCGCAAGGTAACAAAACCACTCACTATCAACAGCCAACGATCAAGCTGCAGCGGACATCATGTGTGGAATACGGTGACATACCGAGGGCCGTGTAGTCGCATCCTCTTTGCAATTTCCGTTGCCATTTTGCGAGACCCTTTCTTATGACAGGACAGGATGCCGTTGAACCCAAAGGTTATTGCGACCCTGGTGTCGGTCGCTCTTTTCCCTCTTTCTTTGATTCTGTTTGCCAGTGGCTTTTTCCCCCATAAGCCCTTTCTCCCAGGACTTGCCACGTTCAATGGAGATGGTGAACGTCCTCCGGCGGCGTTCGACAAGGTTATATTCATGGTTGTTGACGCCTTACGCAGGTATATCATAAAGCACCATATTGCTGTACACTACATCTCATTTTTACCCTTACAGTGATTTTGTCTATTCCAATTATTCGGGCTTTGAATTTACTCAAGAGTTAGTAGTTTAATCCATTCCGACAGCCATATGAAGGGTGTCTGATGTTAAACAGATTGATAAGAAATGGCAATGCTCTGCCATTTACTGCACATGCCAGCTCCCCAACAATCACAATGCCACGTGTAAAGGCCATAACTACAGGATCTGTCCCTTCTTTTTTGGATGTAATTCTAAATTTCGCAGAGTCTGATACTTCATCGACTCTTGCAAATCAAGATACATGGCTAGCACAAATCAGGACCCGGCCTGGTGGGCGACTTGTGATGTACGGAGATGATACCTGGCTCAAACTATTCCCAGGTATGTTCCATCGACACGATGGAACATCCAGCTTTTTTGTTTCAGTTTGTATAACCAAATGCTACCATTTGTAAGTACAGTAGGCTAAATTTTACTAGGATTTTGTCGAGGTGGACAATAATGTTACCCGTCATATCCCCGAAGAGTTACAAAACGATGATTGGTCCGCAATGATCATGCATTACTTGGGTCTTGATCATATCGGCCATAAGGCAGGGCCGTATAGGTGTGTTGTTAGACGAACAGTACCAAATCGTATGACGGCTAATCTGATGGATTACTAGTCCATATATGGTTCCTAAGCAGCGAGAAATGGACTCTATTGTGAAGGAAATCTATACTGCAATGGAAGAGAAAGCTCATCTTTCTTCTACGGTCCTAGTTCTGTGTGGCGACCACGGGATGACTGACGCAGGAAATCATGGCGGAGCATCCCCAGGGGAAACATCGCCCGCACTGACATTCATATCACCAAAGTTTCGGCACTTCCACAAAGGAAATGATTGCCCAACTATACCATCTGAAGATCTCAATTACTATCATTTGGTGGAACAATCCGATATTGCGCCGACCTTGGCGGGTCTGCTTGGTTTTCCCGTCTCCTTGAACAATCTTGGTGTTTTTATACCAGAATTTCTTTCCTTGTGGCCCCAAGGTAGGCCAGAATACAGTAATTGGCCCTAAAGTTTCAGCTAATTTTTTACCTAGATACACGAAGACTGAACCTGCTGTATAGCAACGCCGAACAGATTTTAAACGTCGTGAAGGAAACGTTTCCCAAATTTAATACACGTTCTGACCTCTACTGCGATACTAGAAATTCATCAGCTGATTTGACTAGCCTGGAATGTCGATGGCAGAAGGCATCTCAGCTAGTACAACAGAGCAAAAGTGATAGGAGCTTCCTTGCTGAAGCTGAGTTGTCTCTCATAGAATTCTCCCGCGCAGCGCAAACTATCATGAGCAATGCTGCTAGTAATTACATTTTAGCAAGACTATACTATGGAACTGTGATAGCCGCAGCTGCTGTATTTTTATGCATTATCTTGTGTTGTGATCCTTTGCTGCTGAACCGAGCATCGGGGGCAATACAGTATTTCATACTAGCCATTGCTGGCTACTTTGCTCTCATGTTTGCGAGCAGCTATGTGGAAGAGGAACAACAATTCTGGTACTGGATTTTGACTGGATGGACTGGTTATCTTTATATCAAGACGTATGTTCACTCCTATTTCTTGCTATTGGTTTGTGCTAATATACTTGTAGCTGTAGGAAGGCTGAGGGCCGATTCGAATTCAAGAGTGCTTTAATATTTGGTGCATTGTCCCGAATAGTCAGGCGTTGGAACCAGACAGGCCAGAAATTTACAACAGAACCCGATATCGCCAAAACATTTTTCACTGAGTATCCGAATATTTTATGGATATTAGCTCTTCTTACATATACCGATATCTACCAACGATTGAGGGTCCCGGGATCGCGAGAGAGACTTAACATCTCGACGGCCCTTTATCTTCCGTTGACAAGCTTTGCGTTCATATTTAAGGCCGCTTTTACCTCAGCAGATGCCCCGGAGTTGATTCGCTATACACCTGTTCTTGACTCTATAGTGAAAAGTGTGCGGGGCTTCACTCTTCTCTTGCAAGCTCGAGTAATATTTCTTGGACTAACTGTCGCCTTGATATATAATGTGTATCAAAAGAGGAAAGCAGCGAAAAAAGCAAATTCTGGGAAGCAAACAGGTGGGTTTATGGTCAATTATCATCTACAGCAATGCTAATATACATACATTAGATTATGCATCCGCTTTTCATTCAATTCTAAGCCTCTTTCTTCTAACCCAGTCACGGGCAACCAACATTCCTCTATTCGGAATTTTCCAACTGCAATATGACTTTCTCTCATCTATGGATCTATCCAGTGTCGAAATTTCCATAACTTCATTAATCCTTCAATACACCTCGTTTTTCGCTTTTGGTGGCTCTAACGCCATCTCATCTGTGGATTTATCGAATGCATACAATGGAGTAAGCAGCTACAATGTCGTACTAGTTGGAATTTTGACATTTGTTGGCAATTGGGCCGGGTCCATTTGGTGGGTATCAGCCACATATTGTATGATTCGAGAAAAGGGACAGAAGAAAAAGCAGAAACAACAAGATGTTCATATACAGCTATGGACGCTTTTTACAGCCACGAGCCTGTTGGCTGTCATGGTGGCATGTACAATCCTCCGGGCACACTTGTTTATATGGACTGTCTTTTCGCCAAAGTTTCTTTACAGCGCCGCGTGGGCACTGGGGCAGCATGTTGGTGTAAATATCTTGTTGGGAGACGGACTCATGAGGTGGCTATATAATTAATTGTTTTTTTGTATGATATATGTTCTGCGTTTCACCCTCGTCTTACAGAGATGGTGATTTTATTTACTCTTTGGAGCTTTTTTATTCGTTCGTATATAGAAAATAGACCCAAAAGAATAGGAGTAACATACATGAATACGCAGGGGCTATATAGTACAAGCTTAGCCGAAGGCCCCGAAGATATCATCGATCGCATCGCCCTTTTTCCTTTTCTTCTTCTTTTTTCGCTTGTCTTTGGATTTTGTGTGTGCGTCGGCCTGTAGTGGGCTTCTGTCTCGAGCAGCCTGGCCATTGGCATTGGCATCGCTGCTATCTACAAACTTTCTCTTTCCCTGGCATCGGTTGGCATCTATCTCTGCCGCTGGTGCAGTACTTGACTCCGGGATAGCTTGATGCTCCTTTCTTACTATCCTAGATGGCAATACTTCCACCCCGGGGGATCGACGGACGACCTCTCCCAAATCCTCGTGAGGATGGTTTTTGGACTGTAACTTAGGGGATGACGTGGCAGTGTTATCAAGACTGACATCCATATAAATGCCTGCCTGTTTTACGTCCGAGATATCAATAGAATCATCCTTTAGATTCGGCATTTTAAGGAGGCTAGAAAGCTCAGCCAGTAAAGCAATTAGTACGGTACCCAGGGCCGAAAATTGTCTATCAGCGACTATGTTTGAAAATGATCTACATAGCAGATGAATGTCAGTTTATTGCAGAAATGTAACCTGGGCTAGTTGCAGAGTTAGGCAGAGAAAAATGATACGCACCCATAGCATCTCGGCACAATATTACGAGCGAGATGCGCCGCAATGGATTGTATACTTTCAGACTCGTCGTCCTCAAACATCAAATCAAAATGCACTCGAGTCCGAGTAGTTTCGATCTCAACAGCCAGTTTATTTGTCCATCGTTTCAAAATCCCTAGCCACTTAAACCACTTTATATTCCGGTGCTGGTTTTTGTTGTGGTGGTAGATAAGGTGAAGCTTATCGCGTATGTAGAAAAAAGACTCTGCGGGTGGGATCGCTGTTTGCGAGCAGCGCTTCGGCATAGCAATCCATGTAGAATGCGTAGTAGCTAGCATCAGAATCGAGAGCCGGGAGCTTGGATGCGGCCGAGCTCAACGGGCCGGATGAACTGGTTCAATCTCCGGAGGTGACGTTAAGCCGCTGCAGGGCTTGGCGCCGCTAAGCTTTTGTCAATGGTGACGCTGGATATTCGAGCACGAGAAGCCAACGTTGATCCGCGATGGTGATTTCAATATTCTCGACTAGCTGAACTCCGGCCATTGCTACATATACTACTCCGTCCCCTCTCCCATTATTCTGCTAGTCGTATTCATCTTGTCTACTAACCCATCTCCAGAACCAGCAGGTTATTCTTCGTTTAACCTAGATAATGTCATCCGTTTAAGCTTTGAATACCCGGTGTTTTTTTGATCTAGTAATTGTCTTTGTATAAAAATACAAAATGCGTGTCCTCCTCCTCGGTGCAACCGGAAATCTAGGCCTTCGCCTGATCCCAGCTCTTCTCGTCCATGGCCATCAGGTTGTGGCCTACGTGCGTTCTCCGCAAAAGCTCCAAACTCTGGCACCAGAATCCGTGCTTGTGCATGTGAAGATTTTCCACGGCGATGCTACAGACGTCGAAAGGCTGAAGACTGCTATCCGTGAGCACAATTGCACCGCGGTTGTTGATACCGCGGGTAATCAGGTGTGGCCATGGAAGGAGCATCAGCTCCGGAAAATTGCCAGAGCTGTATCTCAAGCTGCCATAGAAATTGGAGAGGAGCGTGGGATTCCCATACGAGCCCATTTTCTCTGTGGGTTTGGCGAGTTGAACTATCCTTCGCTGGGTAATGCTTCCACTGCTGGATCCAGATCTCTATTAATGAGGGGTGAACCGGCATATACCCTTGGCAGCTAGTGAGCATTTCTTTTCTTCATAAATCGTCTACAGAATCACAATCAAAAACCCTGGAGTGCATTGGATAGTAGGAAATTTCATTGACTTCAGCAGACTCTAACTAAACTGGAGGAATTATATGAGTATTCGACTAGCATCTTAATTCCTTAAAATCTAAGCACCTTGAAGAGATCGATAAATGGGATTTTTTTGAGAATTCTAAGCCGAGTCCAATGCCAGCCTTGCTTTCTGTCCCTATTACTTACGCATCACTCTATGATAGACGCCTTCTGCTAACCCCTAGATAGTCTTCCTAATATAGCTTTCGAGCAACATCATGAAACAAGAACGCTCATTAGCGCCATATCCCTTTCGAAACTCCACTGGACCCTCGTTTGCATCGCCGTCATGCTCCCACTACGCAATGGAATCGAGCTACTGTCCCAGCCGGAGACTCATAACTTGCTAACAGGAGAAGGTGTCCCACCGGCATGGCCGCGCTTATGGGTTGGCCGAATCCCTTGGATTGGATCCTCTCTTGAAATTATCTTTAACACGATTGGCTATACGACTAAATTGGAACATATTGCGGATTTCATAGCGGAAGATTTGGAAAATGGCAACGAGCACTGGGTAGGGAAGTTGGTGGGCTTTAAAGAGAGAGAAAAATCTCAGTAGGTTTAAATCTTTGTTGAAGACGTTGGTCTAGAACTTTTATACTCATATAACACACATAGATATAGAAATTACAAAAGACTCAATACTTCTAGCTAATATTCCCATAGTTACCAAATATCACTTGATACGAGTGCTGTTGACCTCTTTCAAACTAGGCATTCTATTACTTACTTATAATACGTACATCATGGCTTCAAGTATCGTTTCTAGTATATCTGTCTATGACTTTTTACAGACTATCAAAGTCGCTTTACAGTCCCTGTAGGCGACAAGATTAAAAGAATATATATGGAACTGTATTTCCATTCGAGATTTGAGAATCGAGGCTTTCACATAGCTAAGTATGTACAGTACAAGATTCTCCCAGTGTTTCTCGTAAAATTTCCAGCAAAGAGCAATAAACGAAAACGATCGAACAGAGAATTAACAAACTAAAATCGAAAGTATTGTGGCCATGTGCAAATGTCGTGGACATTTGTTGGCGTAGAGGGTACATTCTCAGAACTGTAACCACAAGTAATAAAAACCAGCAGAGTCAGATAAGTAATACAAGGGAGAAGGGAAAAAAAAGAAATTTCAGTTAAGAGTCAGTAGTGGGCAATCGTAAGGGCTAGGCCTAGACATGGGAACTGTGTTGTAAGAAATAAGGTGTAGGCTTCCAACGGTGTATTTTTCGCAACCAAATGCGGAAAAATATGTAGAGGGAAACCCGATGCACCGTACCCAAGCCGCCAAAGATAAAATATGGTAGGGCTAGTCAATGGATGTTTCTGAAATCCCTGTCAACAATTGGCAGCACCCCCAAATTTGCAAACGAGCAACCCTGACTCTCTCGGGAACCGAAGAAAAAAACCAGAAATAGCAAGAAAACTGAAAGTAAAAGCAAAAATCAAAACATAAGTAAATAATCGATCATTGATCGTAGAAATCCTTGAGTAAAATATTACAAACGTATTGCGTTGTCGTTTCGTCCAAGCAATGTTCAATATCTAGTGGTGATACTGGAACTCACACAGACGTGGGATTTGGACATAGCCATGGATATTACCATTTTCATGGGACATACGACGAGGATGTTGAGACCGACTCCAGAAATTTTCACGTTCAGCAGCGGTAGTTCCACGATCAAACTGAGATCGACGACGACGTTGCTCATCACGATACTGTTGACCGACTCTTGGTGCGAAAAGGCCTTAAAGTTATGGGTGTTAAGAAGGGTTAAAGATATAAGTTATTGGACATTACACACCAACGTGCTCGGCATTTTCGACGCTTCGTCGCATTTTGGATGGGTTATCGGGACCAGGGAATCGTTCTTCTGTGCCAGCGAGAGGTCCCATGCCAGTATAGAACAACTAGAAGAAGTCAGATAATGTTTATTAAAGAACGGTAAAGACATTAAATACCTTTGGGCGGAATGACGGGTGTTCAAGCATCACCGAGCTATTGCGAAACTTCTGAACAAGGCAATCTCTTCCTTGAATGGCTATAGCGAGTGGTTAGTGAATAATATAAGAAAAAGCTTGAAAGATACTTACTAGCATAGGATATTTCAGCGACCTTATCACTATTGAAGCAATTCCTATCTAAGGTTAGTGAAATCTACAAAATTGTCGCAGCAATATCGTACCAAGTACGGCCAGCACGGGCATTGGCGAACTACAAAAAGTTAGGAAATGACAATTAAAGTATCACAGTCCCCAACTCACATCGATAATATCAATTGGCTACTTGAGAATTAGTAACTTGCTTATAAAAAAGATGGTAGGGAGAGTGAGCATACATCCTCGAAGTTGATAAAAGCATAACCAACACTAATCGCATGTAAGTTAAACACAGCTCCAACGAAAGGGTATTTGCTTTGCAACTAACTTGCAGTTATTGGCAAAGTCTGGAGCAATTATTAGAACTTGAATAATCTACTACGCTGATAGGATGACTTACCGATACGCAAATACATGAAGTCGTATTTCCCGAAACTAGTCTCATCAACAATATGTTTAAGCATAGCTTGATCGATTTTGTTGGGAATATTGCGAAGCATGATCTATACATTGGCAGTAAGTAAAAGCTTAGGAAACCAATAGAGGAAGCTACTCACTGTAGTGCGGACATCAAGGCCAAGCCGAACTTTCTCAATATCAACATAGTTCTGGTTATTAATCCGATTGTCGTTACGACGTCCAAAGTCGGGACGAGGAAGATAAGAATAAGGATCATCAGATTTGCAAAACCAAGTCAAGTCACCAGCAGGGTCACCCATTGGAATAGTTGAACGACCGGTTGGACTAAGCTCAATACATGAGTGGCCAATAGCATTGCTGTGGCTTCCAAATGCTTGCTTCGCAAATGCATCGGATCTTTTCTTGTATTCATAGGGAATCTCCGTAGCATCAGGTCTATAAAGTTTGATATCAAGAACCCAACCCTGAATTAAGACTGTTAACTAAGGCAAGCAAAAATAAACTGGTACCAGAACTTACGTTGACACAGCTACCGTCTAGGGCAGAAACCACATTTTCTGCTACATGAGTATCAAAAAACTCGACATGGAAATCGATAACATGATTCTGCTCAGTGGGTATAGTAGCAAAAGCCTTGATATCACCGAATTTCTCAAGAGTAGTCTTGAAGTTGTGCGAAATAGCACGTGGATCGGCACTAGGATTATTACCATTATAAAACACTGAGACGAGGATATGACCTTCGTAGTCGGAGGTCCAAGCGACATGAGTAGCATCAAGCTTCCCTGCAAACTCTTTTGCAGTCAAGCCATGGAAGTGCCAATTCGGATACATAGCGTTTATTTTCTCAAAAACGGCTCTAGCATCACGACTATCGGCAAACGCCGCATAAATTCTGCCGTGAGACCCCAATTCAGTAAGAATAGGGCCCTTCAGGCTACTGTAAGTACGTTTCTGATACGAACTATTAGCATAGAAAATTTTGAAAATTTATGTATTTCTTACCTCAAAAAGATTAACGATAGTCAAATAGGCAAAATCCTTTGGAACTCCCTCAATGACGAAAGCGCGGTTACAATTAGTTTTGTCAAAAGTGCCAACCTGACAAAAGCTAATAGGCTGTAGATCAGAAGCGACATGAATTTGGCCGATTGCACCGTAGCGAGGGGGCGAGTTACGAGCCAACGTCCCATTCGGAGTAAATGGGGTTTCTGGGACCGAAGTAGCCATCAGGTAGCCCATATTTAGCTGGGGGACCTCAATCTGTTTCGGTGCAGAGGAAACTACACCACCGGGAGCAATTGGCCCAAAACGGGGCGGGGAGTTACGAGCAAGCGACCCATTAGGGGTAAATGGGGTTTCTGGCTCCGAATTGAGAGTCAAATAACTCATTTTGGACTGGGAAGCAAGGTCGTGATTCAAATATGCCGAAGCATATTCATTCCCCAAATGGCTACGATGAATGTAGCTTGCCGGAGTAAAGGGGCTTGCAGTAGGAGAGAGCTGAGCTCGTCCAACAGATCCAATAAAAGGATCATTTCCCAATCCAGCACGATGGCTTTAGAGGTAAAAAATGATTAGAATAGTCTGAAATATTGAGAGAGGGAAAGGAGGAGTACTCACACTGAGGCAAAAGCCATGGCTTCATTGTTGCAAGCGTCAATCGCAGTTCCGTGGCCCAAGAGCGATTTCATACGAACGTCCTCTGGAGAGAACGCCGTGAGCTTGGTCTCAGGAGAGCCGTTACGAGAAGCGGCCTCATCAGAAGAATGATTGCTACTGGCTGCACCAGGAGAGACCTTTCCACGATTCATATTGACGAAGTTTCAGAACGCGGGAAAATGGGCCGAACGTTGGTAAAAATGTAGTTTGCGAAGTTAGATAAGTTTGATGTCTGAAATAAAAATGGAACCAGCAGCGAAAAAAGATTCAAACGGAAATAGAGGTGGATAGAGGATTCGAAATGTTGTTACAGGGCGAGAAGAGAAAAGAATGGGGGTAAGAAAGAGATATAAGAAAAGGAAGAGGAGGATAAAGGGGGAGAGACGAGAAATGAGAAGGGTGGGCAGAGACCCGAGACCTAGGAGGAAAAAAGATGGCTGGGAAAAGACGGAATGTCGATATAAAGCTCAGTGTTGTGGGAAAAAACTGGGTAGATGAGATGAGATCGGGGTAAGCGAGTGAGATTGTGCGCGGCCTGACGCGACGGAGGGTTCCAGCAGTCAAACAGCCACAACACAGAGTGTAGCGCGAGCAGTGGGTAATGTGTCACGGGGGAACTAGGAGAGTGAAGCTCTTTGAGAAAGAAGGCTCTGCGTGAGAGAGCGCTTACAGAGCGCCAGCTGGGTTAAAACACAAGCAGAGGGCTGGAGGTTGGGAGGCTTCTTTGAACAGATGAGGGGGTGGGTGTGAGGCTGCAAGTGAGGGGCTCAAAGAACGCGCACCACAACAATGCCTATTTGGGAAGGCCGGCGGACCCAGTGACTGCAGCGGCTCGACTCCCAGAGAGCACCGCCATATACCACTATTTTACGCATGTTACTCGTAGTGACAGCCATCCGTGCCATGGGTATTTGGTTTTATGCCACAGAGAGATGCCAGCGTGATTATACTCTGTAGCTGCTTCTACAAAATAAAGCAAACCGTAGCAGTAAACAGTGATATGAAGAGCATAACCTTCATATCAAGTTGTCACTCTAGCTACCTCGCCTAATTCCTCGAACTGTCTTCTCCAGCCGGTACCACATAACACAGCCGATATCCAACAAGGAGAAACTGTCAAGCTAGTCGGCTGACGGTTTGAACGGCTCGGAAGGACATCACATCCGAAAAGAGAGTGTTGGAAAAAAAAGAAAATGAGAAGGCTGGGGAAACTTCTCAGGGAATGTATGGATAGTACATACATTCGTGCCCATATAGCTAGCTAGTCCAGGTCCACAACTCAGGCTCGTCGTCTGGGTTTAGGAGGTCCAGGTGAAGTTACGCCAATTCACACAAACATTGCTTGTATCTGGGATTTTATAAGATATTAAATATCTTGGACATTCGATTATTGGCTGCTTCAATCACTCTAATAACAAAGTCATCTTGGACTTTCATGTCTGTTTCCGAATGAAGTTGATGCCAAGCACTGCCCTGTTGTGAGCTTGGGTGATTATGTAATCACATAGCTACCCATCCAGGAGTCATTGACGACGTATCAGAAGGACTAAATATGTAGGGGGATGGTGTGGCATCTTCCTGGCGCATAGAAATACTATCTCATTGTATTCTTCTTTGACTCTGTCAGCGAACTGTGCGCGACTACGCCGAAACTAAAATGCCTGCCGCGGTGAACCCACGCAGCGAACTGGCTTATCTTCTTAATCACGTAAGTTGAACTGAATTTACCCCTACCAGTGCCTAGAATACCATAGTAATTGTCCTCCGGATCATATAGATAGTCAATTCTTCTTCGGACACGGACTACCTAGACCAGCTCATTCCCTCGATCCGAGAATATAGCCATGGCAACCGAACCTCCCAACTTCTACAGTCTCTCACTAAGTTCGCGAATGATCGCGAGTCGCAGATTGAGGGTATCTGTACATCTACGCATCAAGAATTCGTAACGTCGATTAATAAATTGTTGAATATCCGCGAAGGTACGGTTAATCTGACGTCAGAAATATTGGACCTCAATCAGTCTATACAAGCGAGTACAAAGAAGCTAGCGGAACAAAAGAAGGCTCTGGTTGAATCCCGGAGCCATAGACAGAATATCGATGAGACCTCCAAAGCATTACAAGATTGCCTTGAGGTTCTACTTCTAGCAAATCAGGTATATGATTTGCTTGCCAAGAAGAACCACTACGCCGCACTGCGGGCCCTTGATGAGCTCCAAAATGTCCATTTAAAGGGAATCACTCAATATAAGATCGCAGAAGTTATCCAACGCTCCGTTCCCATTACTCAAAAAGCAATTGCGGACGCTGTAATGGCTGATCTTAACACTTGGCTGTATCGTATCAGAGAAGTTTCTCAGTATCTTGGGGAAATTTCCCTCTACCATACCGACCTACGTCGAGCAAGATTACAGGAGCGCGCTCAAAACATACCGTACCTTGAACATTTCAAGCTGAACTCTGCCATTGAATTGATATCCGACGAAAACGAAGAATTTGACCTATTACAGAACGATGACCTTCAAGTGGACTTCACCCCTTTGTTTGAGTGTTTACATATCCACCAGTCTTTGGGGCAAATGGATAGATTTCGCGTCGAATATGCAACGACGAGGCGACGACAGAAGGAACTATTATTGCCTCCCTCGATTGACTTGCTGGCTGAAGAGGGCGCCTGTCTTCATACTCTTCTCGAAGAGATTGCGGGCTTTGCTATTGTTGAACGAACGACAATGAAAAGAATACCAGATCTTAGGTCACCAGTTGACGTATGTAATCGATTGTTTCAGTTCAAGAACTACAGCTAACCATATGCCCATTTAGGTGGACGAACTTTGGGATTCCATGTGTCAGACTGCCGTTGGCTTAATGAAAAAGGGACTCCCAGCAGTAGATAACGCGGAAAGCTTGCTCAAAACTAAAAATCTAGTTGCCTTATTCATGCAAACGATGGATGTAAGTCAGATCTTCCTGCAGGCCGTTTGAGTTACTTACAGATTCCAGACCTGGGGGTTCCCAGTCGACGCGTTTGATCGATTCCTTTTGCTACTCTTTGAGAACTACTCCGATCTTTTGAAGAGGAGGTTTAGCGATGATTTTCAAGAGGTATATGTTCTCAATTTCAATTACAGAGTCACCATTTACTTACACGTTAAAACAGATTGTTCAATCCGATGATTACATGCCAATGGCGATACAAAATAAAGAAGAGTACGACAAAGTCCTCAATGTAAGCTGGTATACTCCAGAGAAACCTAGGGAAGAACAAATGTAAGTTGCCGTTGCCATCTCAGATCAGCTGCCGATGCTAACAACTTACAGCTTCCCCTGTGTTTTGCCTTTCTCTCAGATGTATCCCCTCTGTTGCATTGATATCCGGAACTTTTTGAATCAGTTCTATTTTTTTTCGAATGACGACTTCCAACATCCAAGCATTATTGATGAGACCCTAAAAAGCGTATGCTCCCTTCCAATGTCATTCCTTAGACTCAACTAACCCTGTCTAGGCATTGGACGAATTACTTTCCGATAAAGTCTGCGAAACCCTTGTCGAGCGTCTCAACGCTCAATATCTAGGCCAGATCGTTCAAATTCTCATTAATCTTGAGTATTTTGAAATCGCATGTCAGGAACTCGAGCTTCTTCTCGCAGCAGCTCGGTCACCTTCCACCGGAGACGGGCCAGTGGCCCTTGGAGCTACGGATAAGTTCAGAAACAATAAAAAAGTCGCCGAAAAGCGAATTTTCGAACTGGTTAACTCTAAAATCGATGATCTTATCGAAACTGCCGAATATGATTGGAATGCACCCAAACTGCAAATGGAGCCCAGTAATTATATGCAGACCTTGACCCGATTTTTATCCAATATTATGAACTCCACATTACTTGGTCTGCCCACGGAGATTAAGGAGCTAATCTATTTTGATGCTTTGAGCCATGCTGCAAACATGGTTTTAGTACGTTTCTTCCTTTTTTCTCCATATATTCAGATTATGGCTAACCATATCCGACAGGCCCTACCTCTTTCACCGGATGTTAAGAAAATTAACCCCAACGGCGTTGCAGCACTAGCTCGTGATGCGGATTACCTCACGAAATTTGTAGAAGGCCTAGGCGTGCCTATTCTTCTCGAGAATCTCGACGAATTACAGCAGACGGTGCAATTATTGATGTCCGATAACACGGAAGAATTCTACGATATTTCAATTCGAAATAAGAAATATGGCCGTGTGGATGCTATGAATGGTCCAGTCTTGATAGAGAAGTACGCCAAGTCGTTAAAACGCACTGCTAGAGGTATGCTGACTGGTACTTTTTTTAGACTCACCAAAACCGTACAAAGCGCACCCGCAAAAACAGACAAATTCGGCTCCTTGTCGAGTAGATTTGGAATGAAATGAAAAGACCGACAGCTACAAAATTGTGCGGTGATCATGAGCAGGGCGGCCTAAAGGCATCTATTTTGCAAATCAAGATTTCATTGTTACTCAGAGGCTCAGTTGTCGCCAAAACCAACAAACGAACAACTAAAGGGGACTATTACATATTTCAAGCGCCTTAATTGACAAAGCAAAGCGTGATACCTTTTTTTCTGGAATCGCAAATTACGCCCAAATTTCGCCAGCTCCATAATCCTGTTTTCTTTCTCGAAATTAAGGCAGCCTCGCATAAAGCCGCAATTTCATCACTGCGTGCATTGCATTAGTCTCGAGGCAAACTCGCAGAGAAACTAGAATTGCTCAGGGAGGACGACAGACCTGTTGTGGGGGCAAATGCGAATACCCGTACATGCCCTCAAATATTTGGGGCTGCTGACCATACCCTGGGTCGGACTGGACGGCTCCGCCATAGATAGCGGTTTGCGGCCTATAATCCTGTTCTTGACCCATCGTGGGCTGCCCTAAAGATCCATAATCGGGAGGACCCATGTGGTGCGGCTGCTGAACGCCCGGCTGTTGGGGCGGGATTTGTCCAGCATTGGTATGCTGAGCTGCGGCCGGTGCGGACCGCTTCGTAGACGTCGCCTCTTCCCGTGGAACAATATCGATGAGGAAATCAAACATGTCTGATTTTGCTAGCGCCGCAGCAATATCTGAACGCTGCAGAGTCCGTCGCTTGTTGTCTTCAGCATGGATCCAGGCACGCATGGTCAGTTCGGTTATGAAGATATCGCATCCTTTGGCAAAGAGGATGGGAGCCTCCGCTGAGATCATTTTCACTTCGGGATCAGCTTTCATCACCTTTTTGATCCGGGCGAGCGGCAATTGGTGGATTTTGTAGTCATGGTTGTCGGATTCGAGGTGATTGATCATTTGTTGCCAATATGTCGTTAGAATATCCCGAGCTGTACCTGTTAAGCCTTGGTTGACCTATACATTCACGTTAATTTACAATTAGCCACTTCTCTAGAGAACGGCGACTTGAAGTTCACGCGCGGACGTACGTTGGCCCATGTGCCGGTATATAGATCTGGCGAGGGTGCGTATCCTTGAGCGGAAAGCTATGTGAAAATTAGTCTAATTGCTCATAGGCGTAGCTGTGAATCACAGAATCATACAGCGGCACTTGCGCCTTTAATCCTAGCCAGAATTCGTAAGATGCTTGTTAGCCCGTCGTCGGCAAAATAAGAGAGGGCCCCAACGCGGCGGACGTCGCGACGTCGGACTGGCCAGAGGCTACAGGGTTGGTACACGCACCATAATGTCCGCCATTCCGAATATCATACACAGGCTGCTGCTGCGATTGCTGCTGTTGTACCTGGCCTTCCTGTGGCTGGTGGTGGTGGTGCCGTTGGCGGGAGGACGATGATTGCTGCGCGCCAGCGCCTGCTTGTGATTGCTCCATTCAGGCTGCTTGTCCTCGTTCAACGAGCGGCTATCTGTGCGCGATTTCAAATCCTTATTTAAACAGGCTTTTCGGTTACTCGAGCATTCACGACGCGGAGAGGTCAGCGGGGGTCAAGAACAGCACGGGCGCGCGGTCGCGAGCGGGGCGTAGGAAGCGGTGAGCTCGGAAGGAGACGCGCGCTTGGAGGGACGACGGCAGGTGCAGGAAAGGGAGGGCAGACGGCGAAAGAAAGCAGAGGGCTGTGCGAGGGGACTGGAGAGGCGGGCGTGGACAGCACGAGAATTTGGACAACGGTTGGGTGTTTGATGTGATGATGTGCGATGATGCATGGGATGCTGCGTGCGCCGAGTTAGTTAGGCTGCAGGCGGCCCACCGCCAACCACCACTGGGGAGTTGTCGCCCAAAGATCGCGGCGTTCGTTCCTGGGCCTCCCTTTGGGTGCCTGGCAAAGCAGTCAGTCTGATCTAGCTACAATCTGAACAGCTACTCATGCTCCCTCTACTGGCAGCACCGCGCATAGTCGCGCTCCTCCTGCGACCACGCGTGCTCGCTACAGCTGTTGGCCGTGGCCCCAGCGCAGCTGCGCTCAGCCTTGCCCAACGCCCGTGTCCCCTGTCGCTGCATGGTGAGGCAAGAATAATAATGAGTTCGTTCTCAAGGCGCGAGCAACCCAATAAATGCCCGGCAGCTAATAGGATTCCATCCCAGCGCTGGCTCTGGTGGGGGCCAATTAAGTCCGACAAGGGACAACACGAGTTCCAATGATATCGCGCATTCTCCCCGAACCTCGCGGCTATTTTTGTCAAACTTCCCCCACAGACTCTGGGCGAAACACTGTGTGCTGGAGCGCCAATCACTCGACTTGTCGTCCAACCGTTGTTGTGGACAATCGGTGCTACCCGCTAACAGCTCTTTTCTTTCTCAAGAGGCCTGGTGGTCACCTTTGCCCTACGAGAACCTTGAAGAAATAATTGAGTGGCGAGTACTCCGTACGGGTACATAACTAACTCGTGTAGTTCGTATGCGCTCTACACGCAATTCCGTGATAAATTGTAAGTAGTACCATCATGTTGTCTGAACTGTCAAACAACCAGTTGTGATCTTTCAGCCCCATATCTGTTCCGTTCTTTACAATGCGTGACGGTAAACACAAAGGGCGAGCTGAGCCTGGTGCAGTCAGGCTGCCCGTGTCTCGCGAATTGCTAAGTGTTAAGTACGGCTCGAGTTTTGTAATATGTTCTGTTTAAAATGGAGTGTAAAAACAATCCTTTCTACATAGATCCTTCCATCTGGGCAAGAAATAACCACTATAACATAATACGCAGGTTCGTGTCTGTATAGACGTGGCAGGACTAAAAATGGATAAGCGCTCTCGCCTCCATCTGCGAGAAGAGTGTGAGAAATTAAAGGCATTGCTACATAGACGAAGTTCTGCCACTCTTGGCTTGGTTCTTGTCGGTAACAATGCCCACTGGTTATAGGGGAATAAAGTAGTCTGTTCCTGAATATACTCCGTATATACAAGTTCCACGGGATTATTCAGAACAGCAGACACCCTCTATTGCTAGACATGGCATCTAGTAACTTTAATTTTGCTAATATGTATCGTTGCGCCTTTAGGTAGACCACCTATAAAATTCTGTCAGCTTGCCTGAGTGAAGCTACACCTCTGCAGTTCAACAGTGATTGGGCTCGACTCTATAACTCATATAAAGTAGATGTTAATAAGATCATTGCAGGCTTCAGGTATTGTAGAGGCGCTGCTGATTCCTCAGCGTGGCTCTAACTTTAGGGACAAACTCTGGGTTCCTAGGCCCCAGTTATGTGAGACTACAATGCTCAGTGGTAAGCCATGATGGGCAGCCGGCCATGACAGTTCTTAGCGTAGTGTGATTGGCGTCTCGGTTCCATACCAGAGCTTTGCATGTTGTGTAGATACATACATACCACAACTATCATATGGAGCATCTCCATAGGTATCTTTTGTATCTATTGTAAAAGTACTGTTAGGAGAGTGTGACTTACGGCATACCAGATTTGGTGTGTTGGCGCTTGGCCATGATCTGCGGACGGCTGACACGCCCGTTTTGTTATTGAAGCTCAAGTAAGATCTGCTCGAAGAGCCCAATTGAGACAGGTATCCCTCTATCGTGTGAGGGGTATCATCGTTCTTGGCTGCGGTCGCTAAATGCGAAATGCGCCTAGTATCATATTCCAGGGTTCCGTCACAAGTCTTCGTTACCTTTAACTGTTCTTTTCCCACACTTGGCCATTGGTCTGCAGAACGTGGGGCATAGTGGGCATCCATGTGTGTAAGCACTATATTTCTTCTCCTCGGTTCCCCTCCCCAGAAGCATTGCCTGCCAGCACCAAAGCATCCCACTAACTTGATCCGTTGCACGATGGCGATCCTAGTGATGAAGCATGGACAGGAAGAACGCGGATAATCGACACATACACCTCATTGTTTGGAGCCACGTTTCTAGAGGAAGAACTCTGCAATCTGAATTATGTGGGGATGGTCTGGATGTTGACAGCTATATAATTGGGCCGGATATGAACGCCGACACCTGTCTTGCTGAAACTTTTCAGTCCATATCCGACTTCGCAATGGGTATCATCTTTCACTGTATTAGCCAAGAATCGATGGCCGTAAGAATTTAATAGAGTTAATACATATAATTGAATCTATAAATTCGATACCAAGTACGACTCTTGATGGATTCGCGGGTTCTATCGTATTCGGAGTAGAGATTTTCCGTCCGAAAGTACTCCGGCATCGGATAATAGATTTATCCGCGCCAAACCGATGGTTCCTCTCATTGGCTGACAGCATCACGTGTAATCTTGGCAATCAGAAAGCTCGATTAATTTTCCAAAATATGCCACAACAATTTCACTGATCCATGTGAGCCAACAAGCTCTAAATCTACGTCTTCAGTGAGTATTCCAGAGCTGTCGACGGAGTAATGTGATACAAATCAGCTACGATGGTACTCTCTTTGCAGCCGCTCCTTGACATTGGAGATGACAAAATTCTCTCTGACGACAAGATCCAAGCCCTTCTCCTTGAGGCAGAACAGCGGCTTTTGCAGAAGTCTGCAGAAACAAATAAGGGTGATAATGCCGATAGTGGCCATTTATCCCTAGTAGAGACGCCAAAGACTGAAACGCGAGTATAGTGAGTTACCACGTCTTATGCCTGCGATCAAACTGGACCACTCTACTGACCGAGCTTAAAATAGCATTCCAAAGTTGCGCATGGACCAAACCGTGAAGCCCTATGTACAAGAAGTGGAAGGTGTTGCCTCATTAGATGAATCTCGGGTCATTCCAGATCAGCTGAAAAAGCTGTCAGACACAATCCGATCCGTTGAGCAACCTGGTCAATTAGCTAAGGTTCGTTTGATACCTCTCTTTAAAATTGGCACTCCCCCTTTACTCTGAATGTTATGAGGAAAACCTATCCCAAAACATTTTCTTGATGCAGGTCCCCTAGTCCGTCTTGGATTAGTCTGCTTCCATGATAGTTTTTATAATCATAGTTACTCTGAACGTCCACATTATTCCATACTGGGTTTAAAATATCGTCCAATGTGTAATGCCTCAACTAATTGGATTCCTTAGGCCAAAGACAAGCCCACCTCTGGGCCGGATTGGTTTGACCTTCCCAAGACTGTTATTACCCCTGAGCTGAAGAGGGATCTACAAATTCTTCGAATGAGAAGCGTGCTAGACCCAAAACGTCACTATAAGAAGGAAAACGGTAAAGCAAAGCTGCCAGAGTATTCCCAAGTTGGAACCATTATTGAGGGTGCTACCGAATTCTTTAGCTCTCGTATTGCGAAGAGGGATCGCAAGAAGACTTTCGTTGAAGAAGCCATGGTCATTGAAGAAGAAAGCGGCCGTTTCAAACGCAAATATAATGAAATCCAGGACGCGAAGACTAGCGGCAAGAAAGCCTTCTACAAAGGATTACAAGCTAAGAGAAAACGAAGCCAAAAGAAACGCTGAAACATCTTTTCGCATTCTACCCTCTATTTTACAGACGGTTATTCGTCGACCCAGCGAAGGTGGACAAATATACATACCCCTAACCAGAAATTTTAATTATTGGTCCGTGGAAACATGTCGATAACTGCTTGTCGAACCATTTTCTACAGGCGTCTGGTTAGAAACAACTATAAATATGACATTTACGCCAACATACCTGGACGTCTGTTGCGGCTTGCCGACCTGCCTCCAACACTTCCTCGTGGTTCGCCTTACCCTCCTCGACGATCTTAGCTAGCCCTGATCTGTCTGTTTCTTGGAGGAGAGTGTCGTCGCCTCGTGGAACCGGAGATAAAACCGCATTATTGGTGACCAAACTCAAGGCAAGAACACGGATCCCAGAATGTCGAGCGACAATAATTTCTGGTACTGTTGACATTCCAACCAAATCTACGCCGAGTTGTCGCATGAATCTACACTCGGCTCGAGTTTCGAAGCTTTCGAGGAGTTCAGTTTCGGCTGCATACTCATGGCATGGTAGAAATGTTTCTCACCTTGGTCCTGCACAGAAGGCGTATACGCCTTCATGTAGTCTGCGCTTGCTGTCCGCTGGTATCACCTTGGCCCATGCACGATGCGCTGTTCGTCTCAAATCAAGATCATATGCATCTGAAAGAGCCGGAAATCGGACTCCAAATTCGTCCTCGTTGAGTCCTCGCAATGGATGTGCGCCTGCGAAACCGGCGAGGAAAATGTGCTGAGCAATGTTACCAATCCATGCCGTAGTAAGTGGATCTCCTCAAGCTTACATCGTTGATTATCACAACATCCCCGACGGCATACTCGGAATTCAATGCTCCGCTTGCATTGGTGACTGTACATAGTTACTTAATCAGTATCTAGAATGGAGTGATGGTTCAAACATGTTCAGTGGTTATGCTCACCTATCATGATCTCCACGCCTAACAGTTTAAAGAGCCGCACTGGGAATGTAACCCGGTTGATGGCATGTCCCTCGTAGAAACTATTCGTTGTCTCAGAGACCGACCGTCTACGCATAGCCATATACCTTTCCAGTCGGCTGGGAGTAATACTGACTGTGCTCTTCCCACCATTAAGACGCCTGGAGTGCCGTCTCCCAGGTACCCAAATACAAGCTTTCCCAAATGGCCCGGGACTAATCAATTGCGTCAAAACCTAGCATTAAGATAGAAATAAGGACGAGACTATTCACCAGCTGACGTAGGAAAATGAGGAATATCCCCGTAGTCAAATTCAACCTTGACCTTGGGGTCAATCGTATCAGCAAGGCCGCCCAAGCCGGAACCGCATATTATAGCTATCCGGGGCTTCTGTAGCTCTTCTGGCAGCTTAGGCTTGAGGAATTCCAATGCTTCTTGGGCTAGCTTAAATGTTGAGGATTCCGCCATGATCTCTTTCGCCCAGCGGGAATTCGTACTGTTGTGAGATGAAATGAGACGGCACGGCTTTTACAGAGGGGTAAAGTATGGGGACGGGCCCTCCACTTTATAGCAGCTTTGGATTGAGTTTGCCCAAGAGAATCCCACGTGAATAGTAGCGACAACGGGTCTGCTTGACAGCCAACCTTCTCGCGATGGGCCGATGGCACTGCGGAGGCTGCTTGTTCGGGCAATTCGTTGCATGGCGGCGGAGCCCGCCGACGGACGCCGTTTATTGGCCGGGATGCGGGATGGATTGATTATGTAATCAAATTATCTTACTCGAAAATTGCTCGCAAGCACGACGGCGGAGGAAACGGCATTGGGAGACTTGCGCGATCAGATAGGCATTATGTTTGGGATTCCGTACTCTAGATCAATATTGCACTGCAGTAAGCGGCTGAAGGTACAAATCCTCTTCTTGGACGTCGTGAACAGTAGCAATCCACTGACGCTCAACGCTTTTCTGTTATAGCTGTCCATCCCAACTCGGCCGCTCACCACCACATCAGTCCGATCAGAAGAGATCCACACTCCTAATTCTGATATAATAAAAGAGATAGAGGCACCAGACTTAACGCCTGAACAATTGGCGTAGGTTGCGGTCCCCCGAGGATAGACGCGAAATGTAATACTAAGACCAGGACCTACAGCCTCGTACAAAACCCAGACGCAGATCCGGCAGCAAAAGAATGGTGAGTGCGCATGCTCATACCAACAGTATGAAGTCCGTTGCTGTACAAATCTAACGCAAGGCTTTCTTCCTAGGATGGAACGTCTGGAGTCCATCCATTCTAAATTCCGATTACCCCGAAGCGTCCAAGCCCTACATTTCCAGCCTCTCAAACGAACCGCTAAATACGGTCTTCCAGTCTGCAATCTTCAGCTCCGCGCCTACAGCTCCCGACAAGTAGATCTTTTTTCCGATTTTGCGCTCCGTGCCGCATACTTTCTAAACCTTCCGGCGACGGGGCCCGTACCACTCCCACGTATCGTTGAAAGATGGACTGTATTGCGAGGCCCTTTCATTCACAGCAAAAAACCAGAGAATTTCGAACGAATTACACTGAGGCGGCTCATCCAGATCAAGGATGGACACGTGGATGGTGTGCAAGCCTGGTTGGCCTTTTTGAGAAAAAACTCGTTTTACGGTGTGGGTATGAAGGCAAATGTCTGGGAGTATGCTAGTCTAGGTGCGACTCTTTATTTTCTTTTTCTTCGATGATTGGACCAGCTGCTAACCGATCCCAGACGTGGGCAAAGAGATGGAGAAAACCGGCGAAGAGGTCCTCAAGGCCCTTGGTTCACAATTGGCCAATTTTGGTGCGAGGAAAGGCTCTAGCTTTCCCGATTCCATTCAAGATATTCTTGATAAAGAAAAGTTTACTCGCAATCACGCGCCTCTTTCAGAAGTTCGAAAATTTGGCCCTAGTCCTCAAAGCATGAGGCTACCTGAAGGACCGAAAAGGTCTCGAAGAGGTAAAAGCGATTAATAGGGATGAGAAGATTTCTGTATGCGGCATATATGTTCACTCATACATACGCATTATCACCAGATTGTAGATATCGGGTTTTGGGAGCTGTTTTGCACCATTTAGCTGGGGGAATTGGGAGTATAGTAACTATGTATAATCCTTGCATTGTTAAAAAATGGGACATCAATCACATCGCCATTGTCCTGGGTAACTACCTAATTTCCGCGCACACATGTATAGACAAACAGACAAGAGTTTTGCATCTATCTATGAAAAACAACCTCACGTGACGTGTCATCGTTTTTACTACCATGAATCCATAGCTACGCTCCTTTGAAAAGATCATGATGTCAATACCTGCTCGCAGCTTTCAAAGACATACAGGGTTTTGTCATGCCTCCACATTACGTCCCTGGCATCCAAGGTGCCCGTCATTTCAGCGAAAATCGATAACCACCACCCCCCATGCCTCTCGCGTCATTTTTTCCGGGATCCAGCCAACAGGCATTCCACACCTGGGAAACTATCTCGGGGCGCTTCAGCAATGGGTAAAACTGCAGAATGAGGCTGCGCCGGAAGACAAGTTGCTTTTTTCGGTCGTCGACCTACATGCGTTGACGCTGCCGCAAGATCCGGCCGTGCTGCAGGAGTGGAGGAGGCAATCTTTTGCAATCCTCCTTGCGGTGGGATTGAAACCGGAGAAGGTTGCGTTGTTTTTTCAAAGTGCCGTAAGTGATCTGACTATGAAAATTCGAGAATTGCGGCTAATTCAGACGGCCGTTTAGGTTCCGGCGCATACGGAACTTATGTGGATTCTGAGCACGGTATCGTCGATGGGGTATTTGTCACGCATGACGCAGTGGAAGGTGTGGCTCTTTGCTAGTATTCCAACAATAAGCCAAAAAATATGCTAAAATACTTCCGTTCTTGGATAAAGAGCAAACTACAGCTTCCGGACAGCTCTACACTTGATGATTCTGGGGCGCGGGCGAAGCTACGGCTAGGATTATTCTCATACCCAGTATTGCAGGCAGCGGATGTCCTGGTTCATTCGTACGCTTTCTTCTCATCCTCTTCGAGATGAACGATGCTGATCAGAGCCGGAAAAAAAAAATAGGGCAACCCACGTTCCGGTTGGAGAAGACCAAAGGCAACACCTCGAGTTTGCGCGAGATGTGGCAAACAGCTTCAATCAAATCTACGGACCTGTCCTTACTGCTCCAGACACTCTCGTTTGTATGTCTACCATAAAGTCCTCAGAGCTAGGTGTCTTTGACTAACGACATCTCCCCAGCTCCTGCCAAACGAGTGATGTCCCTAAAATCTCCGGAAAGCAAGATGTCGAAATCCGATCCTGCTCCCAACTCCCGGATACTTCTTACGGATGACGCATACGAAATCAAGAACAAAATTAAAGTTGCCCTTACTGATTCAATTCCTGGGATCTCGTATGATCCAGTAAACCGGCCGGGCGTGTCCAATCTTCTGGAGCTGCTTAGCAACTTTGACTCATCTTGCCATCTTTCGCCGGCAGAGCTCGCCCGAGAGCACGAAAATTCAAGTCTGAAGACACTGAAAGAGCATGTTGCAGAGAAAGTGGCGAATCACCTCGCCCCCATCAGGCAGAAGTATTCAGAGCTGATGGCCCAGGCCTCGGGGAGAGACTACTTGGATACTATAGCACAAGAAGGCGCACGCATAGCTGCGGATAACGCACACGGCACGATGAGTCGAGTCAAAGACGCCATAGGGTTATGACAAGTAAGCTTTTTCTTGCCCGGTTTGGTTGTCGCGAGGTTTTGGGAAAATCATGGAAGTGATTGTACTATATAGAGATGCATTTACAGTTGTACCATAGACTAAAAAAACCAAGGAAATACAAGTTCAACCCATCGACGTTTTCGGAAGAATACCCGTAGTTTATTTAAATCATCCATTCAGTGATACATTCCCAAGCCTGACCGGTCTTCCACCGACTTGCAGCGCTTGGAGGGCCAGCCAACGGCCGCGACGTAGTTGGATTTCTGGGAATATATGTGTTGAATGGCACTGGCAACTACAGACTCAACGCATTGTTCGCTGGGTCTGGCTACTTTCAAACTTTTCTTCTACTCTCTGGCCACGTCCCGTCAATAACCTAGAATCGCAACCCTACAGCGACGGTAGTAGCACCACTGCTGCTGTTTATGTGGGGAGAGTCGATAGAAAGCGCCTGACTTGGAATTTTGATGCTTGGTGCCTCGTCCTTCAAAATACTGACTATTTCAGATATGTGCGGGTAGTTACAGCCTCTATTTGTAGAGATGCCTAGGAGTACATGTACCTGACTGAGGGCAACTCAAAAACAATAGAAGGCGAAAGCTTGAAAGCAACTTCAAAACAGAAATCAAACAACAGCTTAGATGCGAATAGAAGAATTGGAGTCGATCGGATTGCCTAGTTAAGGCTTTGTCAGCTGTATTGGTGCTTCTGGATTGTTTGTTTTTTGTTCTCTCATATCGCTGGCAAGATGAGTAACGATGACTCAAATGGCTGACTGACGCCGCGGGACGCCTCGCCGGATACGGATCTATCTCTGCCTTGCCCGTGCAAGGCAAAGGGCCAGCCGGACCAGCTAACTCACCGGATAGGGCGCAGCCGAAGTCGCCCCAATTGTGGGCGGGCTGAAGAGCAGCATGTAGTTATCAGTCAGGCCACGAAGTCTGTGATCTGGCTCCATTCAGGACCGGCTTTGCCAGCAGCAGCCCACCTGCATCCGCCAGGAGTACATACATACCTGCAGACGACGTCCAGCAAATCCCCTGCTTCAATTGGCATTGTTGTCACTGCCGTCTGGGTTTTGTTTGAGAGTTTAATAAGATAACGATGATACACCAAACAAACCAAACGCTTTGCATGCGTTCCCTTTCATTTCAGACGAACGCTAAAGGCCTGTCATCTGGCATGCCGCCCGACGTTTCGCATGTGAATAACGGGACCCTTGCGCGCGACTCGCGCGTGGAAGCCATACTGGCGAATTTCCTGGGAGAACGCTTGCCACAGCGCTTCGTATTTACGGTCTTCGTACCGTCGCAGCGGTGAGTAGTAATGCTGAGTGGTAGTCCCAGAGGCCCTCCAGCGGCGGTTTTTGGTCTTTTTTTGTGTTTTCTTTTGGGGCCCTTTGAGTCTGGATGCAATTGGACTTGCTGGCGGCAAGCTGCGAGCCATTGGCGTTGTGGTACCGGTCGAGTGTTGCACCTACAAACATCCATACAGAACAGTCCCACCCACCCGACATGCTTCTGTGCTGTCACACCACGCTGGCGTCATGCCGCCTGACGCACTCACACGGGCGCCAGAGGCGAGCCGGGGGCGGCGCACGACTGGCGGGCGTGGCAGGCGTGGAGCGAAAAGGAGGGGCAGCGGCGGCGGGGGAAGCCACACCCAGCCATGGAGCAGATCGATCAGGCACCCGTGATGGGGCCGGTCATGTGCCGCGCGCAGGTGATTAGTATTTGCCTGGTTGGTGAGAACGCGCCCAGGCTGACCGCCCGAAGATCGATCGATGGTGGGCGTGCCCCGACGCAACGACGAACCGCCTTCTGCTTGGATGCTGTGGTGTATGCACGTCCATTATTCCTCCAATTGCATAGTTAACTAGTTAGTTACCTGAGTTCTACTACAGAGTCCGTAACTGAAACCTATCTACCTCCCGTGCGTTGGCCACGACGGTCGGCACGCGCCCCTGCGCTCAGCATCACACCACGCCCAGCTGGGCCCGCAAGAATACGACGGGGCCTCCATTTGTGGGCAGGCTACCCCGCGTCCTTTGCAGGGCAAATCTCCCGATGCGCCTCGCAGCGGCCACCATGCGTGCCGCCGTCGTGCGAACCCGCCGGGAAACAACGCCATTGGCCCCGGGGGCGGTGAGCAACAATGCAGCCTGAAACAGCCCAATCACCGCCCACTGGCGCGGCCGCGCGCCAGTGCCTATTGGCCCGCGGGCGCTGCCTCGACACGCCCCGTGATTGGCCGCGCTGCTCGTCCAATGGACGCAGGAACCACAAGCGACGACAGCGCCTGGGATCGAACGCAGCGAATGGAAGGGGGACGAATTATTGGGCCCAGAGCATTTTCAGTAAAGGCAAGCCCGGTTCTTGGCCTGCTTCCCGCCTGCCTCGACGTCATACAAGGTGTCTGACTCACAAAGAGCCTTGCTATTGCCAATGCAGCCAATAATGGCGCTTGCCCATGCAGACAAAGGCTTTCCAACCCGCTGGGGTTCTGTTCTGGTAAACTAGCCGGTATCCACTGTTGGGCGAATAAGACTGGTTGAACCGGGCGTTTGACAGTGGCTCTGATTAGTAAGATTCGAATTATCCGGTGCAAAATATGAGACAAGTCGGGAATAATAGTTTTGCTCAACCCATGGTCAAATCATCCGGCTAGTCCGGTACTAGTGGTTCGGTCGTTTAAAAGAGGGATTCCGACGAGAGTTTCGGGCACTTGGCCTGCTTGCTTGGGGAGGAGAAGGAAGGCCCACTCGCCTCGTGGGTACCGCGGGGAATGGGCGCAACCAGCCCGCGATCACTACTAATACTACTGAGTAATAATAATAACAAACGGCCGAACAAGATACGGAGAACTTGCCCCAAATTTGCGATTGCCTACCAATGCTCGAGATGCTGCTGCAGTCACCCCCTGCGTAGCACGGCCTGCCAGCGATCAGTGCCCCCGGCGTTTCCTGGCGGCTGATCGGGGGCATCAGCCGCATTGGGAGTGACTCTTCGTAATGGGCGATGGAGGCGAGCTAGCTATAGCCACGTTCCCGCCACGGCGTAGCAGGGGGGTTGGGTTGGTAATCTATTGCTTGTCTCTCTATGGCCACGCCCGACCGTGTAAAATTGGATGTTTCCGTACGTAATTATGAATTTTACCTGCATGGCTTGGTATCATGCCGATGTACTCCGTACTGCGTATGCTGCACCGCACCACTCAATATCCAGACCACCACAGAACTGGAAAGTATGGTTGGGACTGCATTCCAGCAGCATGGCAGAGCACCCTTGAGAGGGTAGAGGCCATGGCATTATGCAGACTAGCTAGCCCTGTCCCGTTCTTGGGGCTGCTTCTGGCTATTGTGTTTGAATGTCTCATCTACATTGCGTCGGCGGTCTGTTTTTGGCAGCACAACGGCGCCGTTTCGGGGTGGATAAACAATGCTCCCTTTGCCACGCGGTATCTACCCAACTAACTATGAGGTAGGTATGGAGTAGTAAGTACCTGAATTGATGATATTTCGTTCAGAGTACCGATACCCGCTTAACTTTTCCAGAGTCGCATTACATACATACAACCACGCACAACCGTCACTAACACGACGGCTTCCCACCCGTAGTCATAGGTTGCTGTGCGCCCTCTACGATACGAAGTAGTGTAAGGAAGAGCAGGGAAACGAGAGGAAAAAAAAAAAAAAACCGGGCCCAGTCATCGGAGGTGGTCAAATCAGCAAACACGTCCGCTGTGGCTGGTCGGTCGGTTGCTATTCTTGTTGTCTGCCTAACTCCCTCTCTTCCCCTCCCCGTAGGTAGGCCTGACCAGCAGCCCGCGCGCGTTGCAGACGCGCCCCAAAAAAGCAAACTCCATCCTAGGTTAGTTAGCTTGCCGCTGCACACAAGGAGTCATCACCACAGCATCCGACAAAATACTTAAACCTAGTAGCCCCTCTTTGCCAACGGTTGCTGGCTCGAGTCTTGCTTTCTAGAAGTCTTTTGTTTCCTGCAGGCTCTGACCAGCCTTTTCTGCGTATCCGGCTAGTGATCTGGCTGTCTGTCACGGAACGCTTTCCCATCAATTCCTGGTTCGCCATCCTCGTTGCCACTGCAGCTTGCTTTCGGAAGGTTCAGGGCCAGGACGGTGCACGTTGATGCCCGCCCGCCGCTATTCTAGATGCTGACTGCGTCCATTTCCGCGCAAGCTCTGACTGATTGTATCATTTGACTCCCCGGCTATAAATACCTGCCTGACCCGCCTCCCCTGGTCGGCTTCTCTCTCTCCAAGACTTAGTCCTGCGAACTCAATTGCTGCACGCCCGACCATCCCGGCTCCAGATCTTCGTTCTGTACCCTTCTTACTCTTCCAATCGCCCTCCTTCGCCTGCCGGCCTTACTGCAGCCCTTATCTTAACCCCGACGCGTGCCTGCTTATCGCCACGCCTCCGTGACAAATCCGCGCGCGCCAAGGCCCGCCTGGCTTGGTCAGAAGTCAGCCCTCCAATCCTGCCCTTATTTCTTTTCGGCCTTTGAGGCGCTGCCTGCGTTTCCGGTTCCCTCTTCTACTCCCTTCTGGCCATTCTTCTTCTTCCTCCTTCTTCCTCTTCCTCTTCTTCTTCTCCTTCTTTGTTTCTTTCTTCACCTCCTCCTTTCACCTTAGTCATTGTGCATCCACAGCTCTATTCACAATGTCTAATTCTCTGTTTATCTCCCCCCCGAACGACACCGCCCACACCTTCGATACCAACACGTCTCAACCTCCTCACACCTCCTATTCGACGGCCGCATCGCAGAAAGAGAAGCAGACGGCCACATCGTCAGAAGTCTCCTCGCCATCCGAAATGATTTCGCCGCCCATCACTCCATTCAAAAAGGGTGATGCCATGCCCCAGGAAGGGCCTGCCGGACCGGACAACGAGCTAGCTGGATCGTCAAAAGACCCTATCCTCTTCCCGATTGACCAAAGACCTCAAGAAACCTCCGACGTCCCGCTATTCGGTCCCGATATATCGGTTTTGGCGCAGCGAAAGACATTGGCGACGGAAAAGCAGGGTACGAGGAGAGCTAGGCCCCGTAAGATATGCGGCCGCAGCCGAGTGATAGAGGGATTCAACCGCGACCCTCGCGCCTGGCTTGAGTTCGAGAACAAGCAATTAGAGAGGATGTATGGAAAACCAGTCGGTCGGGCCACGAACGCCAAATCGAAGAAGAGTAGCCCGAAGACGAAGGTAATCCAAGCGAAGGCCAGCGGAGTGCAGAAGCCGCAGCATACAATGCGGACACGCAAATCGACGACCCAGGAGCCAGCGGAAAAACCCTCGCCCATTACTCCTGTGAAGGCGGCACCCAAGCCTCGCGTCATCGGCACCAATCGCGATGTCACGGATTATCGGTCTATCGTCGACTATAGCCCTCCCATCTCGACGCTGGACACGGCAAAGGGATTCAAGGCGGAATGGAAAGGACAGATGCTTGACCTCAGCGAGGATCCAGACCGGGAGATACTTCACCGAGATGAGCTTACTCTCGCCGCCACCCTTCGTCTTTCTTGCAATAGCTACCTGTGCAACAAACGCCGCATCTTCGTGGCTTGCATCAATTCGTTTCGTTGCCGCAAGGACTTTCGGAAAACGGATGCTCAGCAGGCGTGCAAGATCGACGTGAACAAAGCGAGCAAGTTGTGGCTAGCATTCGACCGGGCTGGATGGTTCCAGCCGAAGTATTTTACCCAATATCTTTGAGTTAGCTGGGTATATTACCTAACTCATGTCCTCGAACCGATCCGTCCGTCCGTCTCATCCTTTCTGCTCTTCCTATGGCCGTATAGCTAGAGCGCGAATACTGAGGCGGTTGCGGTGTGTCTCTTCACGACTGTTTGGCTTTTTTTTTTTGATGGTTTTTGAGAGTTGGTCTGAGCTCATTTGAAATTTTCGCGTTTTCATTTGCCATGTGGGGCAAACCGGTTAGCTGGGCTGGGCTCTTAAGCTTTCCCTCCACATTCTTACCCACAACACAACGGTGAATCCAGACCACGACTTGTTACGACCCTCATTATTTGTTTGCATTTGCATGGAGGGCTACTTGGAGTAAATTTGGATTTTTTGTTTTCTTCGGGAATTGGCGTTTTTGGAACACTTCTGGACTACAACTCAACCGCATTTTATTTTTACACAGATTGCATCGGGTCGGTGTGCTTTTTTTTATCTCCATCTCGCAGAATGGGCTACTAGGGAGGTTGGTGTTTTTTTTTAGGATACCCTGTCTGATTGTTTTGGTTTGATGTGTTTCTCTTCCAGCATCGGATCCCTGGCCTCTTCACACGGTTATTTTTACTATTACTATTATTCTTTTTGGCTACTACACATATTTCATATCTCCACCAATGTTCTTTCTTTTAAGGCTGTGGGTTGGTTTCTGTTTTGAATTTTGCTTGCGTTGTCTCTCCCCAATACTGTGATACCCCCCATAATAGCTCGAGGCATAGTTTGAATGTTTGTTCGATCGGGTGCAATTAGATATGTACTACTCTCTATATTCTAGGCCCATAAGTTTACCAAGAAAAGATTCTAGAAATATTGTTTTACCAACAGTGCTCGCGGGAGGTACCTGTGCATGCTCCGTATCATGATCAGGGCCTGCACTCAGATTGCGGCTCAAAAATGTCAATTCACCCTTCCAGTCCACTGTGCAACCAGGTTGTCCCCAACACGGCGCTGTCTGCCGGGCGCTGTGGTAGGACAGCGGTCAACAGCCTTTCTAAGCCACAGACCTGCGTTTGCAGGCATGATTGATCCAGCCGGCTGCTCACAAGACTCGGTAGGTATGCGGGGTGCCTTGTTCTCCGGCCCAATATCCACAGCGTGGCGTTCGGCCTATAGGCACTGCTCCGTCTCTTTTCTTTTTTTCTTTGTTTTTTCTTTGTGTACGTTGCTACGTCGGCCTGGTTCCTTCGAACAGTCTGACTCCCGGGCGCAAGGGCTATATTTAGACAATTGAGAGAAGGATTGAGGCGCGGGCAAGAATGGATACATACGCGCAAGGCAAGGCCGTGAGTTTTCCCCAATGGCCTGCCTAGTTCCTGATCAATGCCTGCTTCTTCTTCTTTTCTTGTCATGGGCGCTTTCCCTTTTTCCCTGCGTGTCAGGGGATCGGGGGGGGGGGGGAGGGGGGGGGGGGGGGGGGGGGGGGGGGGGGGGTGGTGGGGATCTCGGGGATCTGGCCACTCTCGGGCAAAGCTAGCGGGCCGGATAGACAGACAAGCACCAGGTCACACTGCATCTTCGTATGACCAAAATGCCAATAATAATATACGCAACACCCCCCCTCTCTCTCTCTCTGTCCAGCACCCGCGTTCCGCGTGTCCATAACTTCGATTCAATTGCATGTATGTATGGAGTAACCAAGCACCGTGCTTGTCAATACCATCGGCTCCCTTTGTGTCCCTTCCCCCACAACCCCCGGGCGAGATCCTGGAGGACGTTGCTGAATCAGCCGGAAAGATGAGACATTGCGTCATTCTTGCCTGCACGCTGCAGACGGCTTCGGAAGAAAGTAAACGGAGCCTCCCTGGCGAGAAATACACGCGTCTATCTCCCATTGATCGAATTGCCTCGCCATTTGAGGGCGTTCCTTGATGGGGCGCTGTCAATGGAAGGCAATAATGCGGGAGCTGTGGTGGCGGGCGATTGGGCCCGTGGCAGGAAGCACGGCAAAAGCAAGGCCGGTTGCCCCTCCGCTCGTCTCTGGCTCTCTGGCTGCCTTGCGGAGACAATGACTCCGTCTTGTCTTCACGGGTTATTCGAGTAAAAAGCCACACCTGAATTAGCAACTAATGAATGGGCTTTGCCTGCTCTGTTTGTTTTTTTGGTTTCCTTTCGGCGGCACTGATTGACTTTCGCCTTTGCCGGGGCGGTCTGTGCTCTGCCTGCTCATCGCGTGTAAGCTAGTTAGGCACCTCTGACATTACATAGTGCCACGGCCTGTTTCGTATACTGATCTGTCAGCCACGAACCTGACTGACCGGAGAGAGAACTCGTTCCATTTTCCAAGAAAAGAGGATCCTTCAGACAAAAGCTGTGTCTCGTTTTTCTTTTTCCGACAGTCACAAACGGCATCGCCGATAGAGGAGCTTCGACACCTTCAGCTCATATGGACTTCAAACCGCAGATCCAGACGTCTTTGTCCTCCCGTGAGCTCCATGATACAGCTAACGCTCTCACCGTCAAACATTCGGTCTCCTAACTTTGAGCGGCCATGCTACCTTTTGTGCGCCGCCCACCTATCTACCTGATCTCCGCTGGTGAAGAGCACAGACGCAAGATCTGCAGCGGGTTCACCGGGTCAACGGCAAATCGACATAACTACCTAACTAAATGATAATATGGAGGTTGAGCTCAAATGGCCAGCTGTGACATGTGCTCCATTTGTTGATACCCAGAACGATGGCGATGGTTTTTCAGAAATCAACGGTTTTATATCATTGGGAGTGAAATATGTACAACCAAAGTGAAAAATTCAGGTGGGAAAGGAAAAAGGACTTCGCGTGCCTTTCCACCTCTTCAAAAACTATTCCTCTTTCAAAAAGGAGCAGGAATGCAAAAATTAAACCATCACGTATTAGCGAAATATGTGTATGCAGAAATGACAGACGATCCATTGAAGAGCCCCCTATCTGAAGGACCAGCTCCTATTATCTTTAATAATTTTCGTCACCTCAACTTACTCAAACGTTTCAGTTGAAAACGCAGCATGACGACCGGAGTGCCGGCCTGGAGGTTTTCCAGATGGTTATCGGTCCTCTGTCTAGCATCGTCGCCATCTGATGCGGAAGATCTGGCGGAAATCAGCATCAATGGAGTCATTGGTCAGAATGCCAGAGGCGTTGCGGTCGCGGTTGTTGCTGACGCGGACCTGAGAGTTGATGTTGAGGCCACGGGTGCTGCCACAAGGAGACCAGTTGCGAGAGACCTGGTCACTCTCGTCGTGGAGGAGAAAGTCACCTTCAGTCGGTCCATGGAAGTTGGTGCTGAGAGCGAACTATCTCGTTGTCAGTGGGGATGAAGATCAAAAAAATAAACAGCAAATCAGGGGGTACGAACGTCGTCAGTCTCGCCAGAGTAGTAATAGTTAGTCTTGTGGGTACCCTCGACACCGCGGTCCAAACGAGCATATCCACGGTAGTCAACGCCAAGAACAGAGTACTGATAGCCACCTGGGTAGTTGAGCTTGAGGTTGACCTGGCAGTTCTTGCGGCTGTCCTCCAATGGCACATTGGGGCCGACCGAAGCGACATATTTGTCGAAGATCAAGGTGATAGTTTCACGGTCATCAGAGATGACACTGCGAACACTTCCCTGAGGGCATCCGGTACCGCCATAGGTGACACCAACGATATTGATCTTGTCCGCATCGGGCTTGTCACCGCTGACAACACTGCGTTCAACAATTTCCTCAGCCGCCCAAGTGGGCTTTGGACCGTGAGTCCGAGTTGGTCTGCGGCTAGTGGTGGGGTGATGAGTTGGTCTCCTGGAGCTAGTATGGCGAGTCCAAGTGGGAATCTGGGTTGGGAGTTTGGTTGGGAAGCCAGTCGGGAAATGGGTAGGCTTCTCCTCCTCCTCAATCACATCACGTTCAACAATTTCCTCAGCCGCCCAAGTGGGCTTTGGACCGTGAGTCCGAGTTGGTCTGCGGCTGGTGGTTGGGTGGTGAGGCGGTCTCCTGCTGGTGGTTGGATGATGAGTTGGCCTCCTGGAGCTAGTGTGGCGAGTCCAGGTGGGCTTCTCCGCCTCTTCCTCAATAACATCGCGTTCGACGATTTCATCACCAGCCCAGGTGGGTTTTGGGCCATGAGTCCAAGTTGGCCTCTTGCTGGTGGTTGGGTGATGGGTCGGTCTGCTGCTGGTGGTTGGGTGGTGAGTTGGCCTCTTGGAGGTGGTGGAGGTGGTGCGGCGTGTTGTCCGAGTGGGGAAGTGGGTTGGTGGAAAGTCCGTGAAGGGCGGCAATTCGAACGTTCGGGTAACTTGGGTGGTTCTCTCTTCACGCGGAGCAACAGCAACCGCGAGAACCTCAGCGGCGAGGCCGAGAAGGAGGAGAGTTGGCTTCATGTCGAACAGTGACCACGATGTGGCAAGAAAGGTAGCAGAGTCTGATGTCTTGATTAGAGGCTACGAGCCACTGTGAAAGAGGATCAAGAACCCAGCAGGGAGAATCCTCGCCTTTTATATCTCTTGTCGCGCGGGGAACAAGAGGAAGGGAAATATTCATGTTTCCACGAGTTGTGCTCCATGCAACCTTCTTCATTAGTCTCAAGGGTATCGACGGTTTGCTAGGATCAAGGACTATGCATTCAGTCCGTATATCTCATGGGCTGTGGCACGCCATGATTTGCTTCAGGATACCAGACAATTCTAACCGAGGGGGAGTCCACACATGTGTTTTGACGGCGACCAAAAAGCTCCCTGCAGACAAAAGCCTGATGAATGCCACCCTGAATTCATAAAAGAACAGTTATCGGAAGGGAACTGATGAACCTTTGCTTGGAATACGACATTATTCATTTATCTGGAGGTTAAGCGGTATGCATATTGGGCTGCTGAGCACGTATCCCGGAGTCGTTCCATTTTCTGTGACTGGGCGTTCGACTTCAGCAGCTGTCTTCCATCGGATTGAGGTGGCAAACGCACTCTCCACACCATATCGGGCTCGTGTATCGCGGTACAGGTCCGGCCTTTTAGTGGTTCTTGGGCATGTCGTTACTTTCTAGAACGACATGGTACAGGGCCCTAACCCATCAAACCTGGGGTAACGCTGCGCTGTTGGCTTGCTGGGTGGCTGTAAAATGGTGACACAACGCGGGACAGAAGTGACCACTGACCAGTGGGCATTCATGACTGCTGCAGAGTCCTCAGTAAATTATTATTATCATTTCCCCCCTTTCTCTGTTTCCACAGTGGAGTCTTTCAGACTTTTATGTGCAAAAAGTTACGCACTTGGTAAAATTGAGCTAGGGGAGGTGCTAATCTTGATTCAAGCATATCAATATGCTTCATAGAGCATCATCGAACCCTCAGGTGAGGAAAAGAGGCTCGAAAGTCAAAGCTCTCTTGATAGTGATCGACAGGGAAGGCGTCTATTTGCCATGGTCACTCTTCTGCATGGGCAAATATTTAAGCTTCAAATCCGTCGTGGAGAACTGGGATGGATGTACGAACTCCTTGTTGTGAACAAATGGGCACAGACCGCCGAGAATTTTCCCGTTGATTTGGGCCACCCAGCTTCTCACGGACAGTGACAAGACAAACAGTGGCCCACCAATAATCGACCCCATCTCTTCGCTTCACGGCGTGCCGCCTGCTGAAAGTAAGGATACGTGATGATCTACAGTGCAGGCGGCATAGGACTCTTATAATGAACAAGGTTTTGGGTATATGACTTTGATTTGCCACAGTCAACCATTTCTAGCCCCGACTCTCGACTCTCAATTATTGATCAGTGCGACTGAAGTTTCCTGAGACTCAAAGCTGGCACCCCATGGCCCTCCCCGTACTCAGGGCTTCGGTTAGGTACGATGGTATCGAACGCCCCCGCCAGGTCTGCGTTGGCTCAATGATAATATTCTAGCTACTGATAAGCGTTATTAGCCAGGATGATTGTTTTAGTTATGATCCCAACCCCTGCAACAATATATGTCATGTGTGCTAAGTTCCCCAGGGATACTCCCCCGCGGTATTTTGACAAGTCGAGCCGAACATCGCGCATGGAACTGACGTGGGAAGGTGAGTATGAACTAGAATAATGAAAGATATGGTTGGTTGAGATGCAATGACTCCACGTCCGAGAGGCGAACAAACAAGACGTTCTGGATTCCCACGATTGTCCAGGATGTCGGGACTCTATGTCGAGGTGGATCTCGATGTGTAACGCTGATGTTTCGGGGATTGAAGGATTATCGGGCAACAAGATCCCCATATTCGGGAATATCCGTAGTCAGCGCTCTGTCCCAAAAAAACTATGTATTCTGTTTTGGATAGAAATAACCACCCGGGGGCATTATAAGAAGAATGGAACCTCAAGGTCGCAGAAAGTATTTTTCCCCCTACGGATCTTGACGAGGGATTATGAGGAATGTTACAGATCATGTCCATTTTTGTTTGATGAGGAAGGGGGACGATGTAGATAAATAGATTCCACCTCCTTATGATTGGGGAGTGAAGTTACAGATGGAGATAACGACTGCGGCCTGAGAAGGTTAACTGCTGGGTACAATATGCTGGCGGAAATTGCGCATGGCTGGTCAATATCATGGAAAAGGCGTGGTATATGATAGAAAAATAGGGGGTTTAACTATGGAAGAATGAATAATGATAGCTATCATTCCATTCCACAATGTACTCTTACAGAGGGTATACAACGTATATGTCTGGGTATTTCCCGTTTCTTGTGATGAAACAGCGTGTTCACATCGGGCTATTGTAAAATAAGCCTTGAGAAGGTTAAACTGCTGTTGGTCAAGGGATCCCGAAACGTGCAGACAAACGACATGCTTAGTCATCCAAATTTAACATTATTGGCCAAAGCAGCTTTCACGTGATAGCCGGCTAGTAATTGCACGTGACAGGAGCATTATTGTACCGAAAGTGATCACACTAACCGCTTCCGGCCCCTGTTCCGCCATTCGTAAGCATCTAAGCCATCGAAGACCAACGCCATCCTTACATCGACGGGCAAAGCCAAACGCAACGCAAGAGAAGTTGCTACGAAATAGTTTCTACTGAGGCCTTTCTGCCTTCCATTCCGCCGTCAGCTTCCCCTTTGGAATCACTATTGACTTACGAAGCACCGATTACGGCCACGTCGAATGAGGCGGCGCAATGTCGCAAACCGTGACCCGCGCCGACTCCGTTGAGGAGCAGGACCCTCATAACTCCAAAGAGGAGAAGAAAGCGAAGAGTAGGAGACCGGCAAGTACGTTATTGCCTTATCATTCCTTGAGTATCCCCGGCAGACTTCCATAACATGAGTCTCGGGCTAGCGGGAACGTTTTACATTTCGATTTTCAGAATGCATGATTAATCTCGTAATGATGCCATAGATACCGCATTCCGTCAGCAGCGTCTGAAGGCATGGCAGTGAGTCCTGACTCGCCACGATCTCTCGGGTTGAAATTCCATTTGGAACTTACTTTACTAACTATCTTGCCTTTAATTTAGGCCGATCCTTACGCCCAAAACTGTCCTCCCTCTTTTCTTCGCTGTCGGAGTTATATTTGCGCCTATCGGCGGCCTTTTGATATGGGCTAGCTCACAGGTATAGCATACTTTCTAAAAATAGACCAATGCACCTTTAACGTTCGATGCAATGGATAGGTCCAAGAAATTGTCATTGATTATACAAGCTGTGCTCGAGACGCCCCTGTAGGAGAATCAAATGCTGGTGGAATACCCCCTGGAAATGTACGGGCTTCGTTCAGATCTAAGCAACCGACCCAACTGCAGTGGTATCGCACAGAAAACCAAGAAGCGCGACTTCCTTCCGGTGTTACAAAAAAAGATTCTACCATGTGTTCTCTGGTCTTCGACATCCCCAACGACATTGGCCCGCCTGTTTATCTATATTATCGTCTATCGAAATTCTATCAAAACCATCGTCGCTATGTGAAGTCGTTGGATTTAGACCAGCTGAAGGGGAAAGCACTTCCAAATAATACCATTAAAGGTGGCTCGTGTGACCCCTTGAAATTGAACAGCGATGGCAAGGCATATTACCCTTGTGGTCTAATTGCCAACTCACTCTTCAACGATTCATTTTCCAGCCCTTTAAAAATCGGCTCAGGCCGTGACGAAACGTTCCAGATGACGAACCAGGGAATATCATGGGCGTCGGACCGTGAGTTGTATAGACCTACGGAGTATAAACCTGACCAAGTTGCTCCACCCCCGAATTGGAAGGAAATGTACCCAAATGGCTACACAGCGGAGAATCCGCCGCCAAATTTGCAGAACTGGGAGGAATTCCAAGTATGGATGAGGACTGCGGGTTTGCCTACATTTAGCAAGCTTGCCAAAAGAGTCGATAACAGGACGATGACTGCCGGTGTTTATCGAATTGATATCATGGATTGTATGTATTGATTGATTCTTTGGGTCCGCTGACCTTGCTAATAGTTTCACACAGTTTTTCCGGTTTCTAAATATGACGGGAAGAAATCCATTGTCCTCACTACGACTACAGTCATGGGCGGAAAGAACTCATTCTTGGGCATTGCATATGTTGTTGTGGGTGGCATCTGCGTTATACTAGGAGCATTGTTCACTGTGGCACATTTAATAAAACCAAGGTATGAAGGTGCCATATATTTTCTTTTGCCTGCGCACGCTATGTACATGGCTAATCAATACATCTAGAAAATTGGGCGACCACAGGTATCTCACTTGGAACAATGAGCAACCACCAACAGCGACTACGACCGGTAGGTTTGGGGGCTAGACTTACGATTCATGCCAGGCAATGAATTCCTTCGATGAATACTGTGTATCCTTTGCTGCCTTATTTTGGCTTCACATTTGTATATCTTGGTTATATATGGCGGTCTATGGGTAGGTGAAATTGGCGTTGAGTTCTTGGGTCATGTTTTACTTTTGTTCCGGCGCTTCTCGTATTCGTACTTTGCACTGCAACCTTATTCTGAGACTGCTTTAGTTGACATTTTAACTTAGTTTTGCGCATGTCAACACAATTCCACTGATTAACTACCCGACTGTGTCCTTTGTTTATTTGATTTTGTTTGGGACAACGGTGGCTCTCATCTACTTATTCTTTCGACAGAAGCGACCTTGGCTTCCTCCAAGAAGGGCTGCCGGGCTTATCACGTTGAGCCGCTACCTAAAGCCCGTGTTAGTGATATATAGTTACGCCAACGACGTCCTAGCACGTTTGTGGCCTTTCCTGAATAACATGTCTCTCAAGCTACTACTGACTGCCCTATGCTCTGAAAAGGGGTCTCGAGAGCCTTGGAGCGTCCGTGAGCTCGCTAGCCTCCGCGCCATATCCCTCGGCGTCGCTTACCGTTCCCATCACATGTTCCAGGCTAAATAAAAAACCTCGAAAATCCTCAAAAATCCTCCGCATCTTGATTCTCGTGGGACGCTGCCAAATTCGCACGGCCCGATCCTACCTTAAAGCTGGCCTTGTGGGTCTGCCTCCGCAATTGAGCGGGAATAATATTGAGATAGGCCGTTCGCCCACCGCACGGACAGCAAGAGCAGCATCCTATATAACTAACTGCCTTGAGAATGTCTCGTTCAATCTCGCCGTGCGAGAATAACGCTCTGGTCTTATTTATATTCCTAGGCCCGATTTGGGCTTTCCGTTGAGTATGCCGTCCATTCCCCTTACTGCTGCATTGATTCTTGCCGCACTCAGCACACACCCAGCGAGTGTACTGGCTCAGGATCTTGATGGATGGTACAAAGCCAATCCAGGCCTGTCGCGGGTCAGCCTGGTGAATCAAAATACGAATCAGATCGTCGATGAATTTGGTCGTACACGGTTCTTCCACGGAACAAATGCCGTCAAGAAGGGACCTCCATACTATCTGCCCTCCAAGTGGCAGCCCGGCGTCGTTTCGTTTGGCGAACGAGATGTCCAGAATATGCGTGACTTGGGCATGAACATTGTTCGCCTGGGGCACAGCTGGGCAGGCGCAGAGCCGGTGCGAGGGCAGTACAACGAGACGTTCTTTGATATCATGAAAAAGCAGACCAAGCTGGCGGAGGACCACGGTATCTATGTGCTAGTAGACGTGCACCAGGACTTATTGGCACAGCAGTTTTGCGGCAACGGTGTGCCTGAGGTAAGCATTGTCACGATTGTGATCTGGCCTCGTCAACACTGACGCCGCGTAGTGGTTCGTGAAGAGCAATTGGGTCAAAAATTGGCAGATGTATCCGTGGCCACTCAAATTAAAGCCGTTTCCCGTCGACTCTAATGGCTTTCCCTCGCCACCTTCGATCTGTGGGACAATCGAGTGGTCAGTTACCTACTTCTCCGCCGCAGTAGCTGACGCCTTCGACCGGTTTTACCGCAACCACGACGGCCTGGCTGATGCTTTTGCAGCATACTGGAAGAAGCTGGCGTCAGTTTATGTCAAAACCACCAACATTGTCGGCTACAACCTGCTCAATGAGCCGTGGGTGGGCAACACCTGGCGTAATCCAACACTCCTGATTCCTGGATTGGCAGACCGTAAAGTATTCCAGCCACTCTGGGACCGCGTGAGCACACAGATCCGTACCGTCGACAATGACACGCTGATCTGGTTTGAGGGTGCCACTTTCGACATCCTGTCTGGCTTCGAGAAGGTGCCTCTGGGTGATGGCTCCAAGGCGGTGCATTCCTTTCACTACTATCGACCACCACAGCTAGGCACTATCGCAGACACGCTTTACAACCGCCGCAAGGACAGCCAGCGCCTCAAGACTGCAGGCGTGCTAACGGAGTTGTGGTTCAAAACGGGCGATGCGAAAACGATGCGCGGGATGGAGGACGCCATGTCAGCCACCGATGAGAAAATGGTTTCCTGGATCGGCTGGACGTATGACCATCTATACAATGGCACGACTGGCCAGCCATATCCCGAGCTGGCGAGACACTACAGCCGCCCATATCCCGCCGCCGTTGCTGGTAATCCCAAGAGCTATCATTTCGACCCCAGCTCGGGTACATTTAAACTGGTCTTCATAGTCGATCCCAAGATAAAAGCGCCCACTGAACTGATCCTGCCTGCACTCACATACCCTCAAGGCTTCAAAGTTCAAGTTTCACCTGATACAGCTTTGCGGGAGTTCCCACGCGACAAACGTACCCTTGCCTTGTTCACAGCCCCCAGTATCACGACGGCAACCGAGATCTCTGTTACTATCACGCGTAATTAATCATATCAATAGTATATCGGTTAATTCTCGTAATAATTGATCATAAAACAATCTTAATGACTTATCCAGAACATGTACATACTTGATTCATTATCAATTGAACAATACAAGGTCACCTTGATATCCGTAAGTCTGCAAGCCAAAAGTATGAAATATTTTTCAAATGCAAGGATGGACAAAATGCATAAGAGCTCTCCAATTGGATCAGAGAGGTTTGACGTTGTAGATCCGAATGGTGTGCTTCGCTGGACAACGGGCTATTAAATGGAAGACTGATTCATCTTTCACTCCGGCCCTGCTTTCTAGCCTTCAGAAAGCATATTGTGAAACAAGGATAATGGCTGTTGAACCAGGCTGAGGGTGAAAGTTCGTATAATGCTGGGGATAGAGTACCGGATGCAGACTTCGTTATGCTTGTCCCGTCTATCTAGGCCGAGCATTTATCGCAAAGCGACCCCCGCTCTCCCAGCAGATTACTTTAATCCAGCATGTAACCCCACCGCCTAAAAAAGCGGCAGGTAGAAGACACGAGCTGATCGTATGCCAAACGTGCTATGAGATTCCTAGTTGCAACTCGTTAAAACATACCCTGCGAACATAGCTCGCGGCGAATTATCGGTGGTCTGATATCTTGTCGATTATATCCGCCCCAGGTGGCTGAGCAGGCATCTCCAGGCCATGGCAGTGTATTTTAAGCATTGTCAATTTTCGTTGTTCTGGGGTAACATGAACAATCTAGTTCAAAATAACCTTGCAGCCTATATTGCCGTATACTTGAGTGTAGATATTTTGTACAAAACCCAAATTTTCCATAGTGTGGTTGGTTTACCCTCAGCAACAGCCAGTCGAATGCATAGTAGTAACATCAGTATGTGAAAACAGCCAAGATTAGGAGAGCGTAAAAGAAAGGACCAGAATAGTGTACGCCTAAAGAGCAAAAAGGGGACGAATCAGGCCAGTACTGCCAAAAATCGGAAAATGCGCAATGCAGAAAATATCACCGGAGGACGACTCCGGAGAAACAAACACGAGTGTACTCCATAGAGCTTAGCGTTTGCGTTTCTTCCCGCTGTCTCTGTCTTCCATTTTATTTTCGGCGTCCTTCTTTTTTGCCTTACGCTCCAACTCATCCCAGTCCTCGCCGTCCTCATCGTCATCTCCACTGATGCCTTCGCTAGCCGAAGCACTGGCATCATCATCAAACTCGCTCTCTTCCTCAGAGCTTTCTTCGGATTCGTTCACATCAGAATCATCCATTTCAAACGCAGACTCTTCATCCTCTTCTGATTCTTCGGAGTCAGACTCTGTCGCCAGGAAGGACCACCCGCCATCACGGAAAAACCCATGGGGATCGCTAGTGACGGTCTTCATAATGGCATTCCAGCTGAGGTTGAGAGGTCCTTCAGTGAACGCAATATCAACCGAGTCAAGCCAGTCTTTAACACCCTCAAGGTTTTCAACAGGAATTGTATTTATATGAGCAGGCGGTCGGTGGAAGTCTTTGAACACAAATACTAAGTCAAAGTTTTTCAGGCCGAACTGGACCAATGTTAGATACGCTCACAGTTTGTATTCAAGAGTGAAAGACTTACTTGCACACGCTCCAGATGCGCTACTTCGATTTCGTTAAGAGTAACAACCAAAAATGGAGGCTCGGTCAGCTGAACAACAGCGTCAGTTGTGGGCTGTACCAAAACATTTGATCTGTTAGGCACTCCAGTGAAACCGATCTCTCTAAATGGAATGTCGACATCAACCCCTTCATCTTTTCCGGCATCAGAAATCTTCTCTGCAAAAGCTTTGAATTCACGATCCAAGGCGGCCCGGCGTCTTCTTTCCTCCTGTTCAGCCTCAAACTCTTCCTCGTCTCCGTATCGATGCTTTCGCCGGCGGTTCCCAGTCTCGTCAAATTGCATCTCCGTGGCTTCACGGTAAAATTGAACATCTCTAGTCTTTCGCTTGCCAATCATAATAGGGGTTTTTAGGTGGACATGGATAATAACAATCATCTCGTGGGCACAGGGTTGAAAGAATAAGTGCTTCACATTGCTGAAAAGAACATCAACATGATCATTTCGTAAGGGAGATAAGTATCGAAGACCGTTTTGATGTATTTCAACCTCTCCGGGAACTCGTTTTCCATCCAACGGGGGTCGAAGGTAAACATCAGGTAGTTTCACCGGCCGACGATCTGAGAAATATTAGCAAGGCGATATCATTGATAAGAACTGAACATTTTATGAAAGGAAACATACTTCGAATTTCGATAAGTTTGTCTTGTTCAACGACATCCTCCATTTCTTTCTTGACCTGCTCCCGTCGCAGGGCATTCTTCCTAAGTTCGGTGATATCCTGAGCCACTTGGCCAAGTCTATCCTTATCTTTGGATCTTAATGTCAAATTTCGCAAGAAATGGGCTGAAGGATCCTCAAAGGGCTGATCATCTTTTCGACCAACACCCTGACCTGGGGATAGGAAATTGATACGTAGGTACGCATATTCACCTTCGTCATTTTTGCTTGCATTTTTGATTGTGTTTATATGGAAAGGCACGGGACGGCCCATAATGGGAACAATAATGGACGAGGCCTTGAGATCAACGTAGACGGCTAAATCCTTCACTCGAGTGGGTAGCTGACTATCTCTCTTGTAGGACTCAAATCTTTTGAAGTTCTTTTGTGCTACACCATTCTCATCACCTGTTGTGCCAGCAAATCGCTCAAGGCCTTCCTTGGTTTTTTTTGCCGCGAGTTCCTTTTGATGCTCTCGCCTGCGCGCCTCTGCACCCTCGTTACTTTGGGTGGGCCTTTCTGCTCGCAATTTCGTCTTTGTAATATTTTTGCTGGCGATGGCACTCGATCGCTGGGATTCCTGTTTAGATTTCTTTGGTTTTGCTTGCTCTTCTTCCTCATCACCAAAGTAAAATGACACCGAATCCAAGTCCATGCCAGCATCTTTGGTGAAAACATGAGGACCACTATCGCCAACACGAACTGTATCGGTGATGACCATAGAGTAAGTTCGATCTTTCTTTTCTTTGGCATCGGGATCCGCAACATCCGTAAAACCGACAGCAAGGCACAAGGTCATTCCACTTCTCAAAGTTTTGGTATTTTTCCCATTGAGAACCATGTTGTTATCTCGTAATTCGATGCCAATACTTGCACCAATATTTTTCACAAAATGTTTCTCAAGATCAGGTTTCTTGGCCCGGATGAGGCCCAATGCCTTGTTATAAAGGTCTTTTACTACTGCCCCATCACGAATTTCTTTAATAACTGCATCATAAACGCTGAGTAAAAAGCCATAATTGTTTTCTTGAGACTTCGTAGGGTCAACAAGAAAAGTGCGTCCAATGGCTGCGGCATAGGTTTGGTATCGAATGCCAAACGTGGCAATGATGATGCCAGCTTGCAGATTATTAGAGTCGCTGATAGCACTGAACTTCAAATCATAGTTGCCGCCACTCTGAACAATAGGACCGTACGCCCAATCAATATGCTGGGCATCGAATTGGGCTGGCAGTTTTAACTTATTGAAAAATTTGGCGTCATCAAGTTTCGCATCAATTTTCGCAGACAGTGCCCTATGGCTCATTTTTTTTTCTTCATCCAAAAGTTGTGACATCTCATCAACAAAATACTCTGACATAAGTCCACTGCAGGCGCGAGCGGCATTTCGCATGAGAATCTGTAAAATAGTACTTTTAGTCTAGGCAACTAAATTGGAAACGAATAGGGCTTACCAGTTCTTCCTGGCTCTTCACAGAAAAACAGACACTGGATAACGCCGGCCCAATGTCTACTTCTTCAATATTTTTAGAAATATCTGAATATGTTCGTTTCCACTCATCCGCAAAGGGGCCAGAAGAGGTGTCTTTAGGAAGGACACCGACTTTATTCTATAGTCAAATATTAGCTTTGATGCAGAACACTGAAGGAAATAGGTATTAGGTAATCTACTTACGCCTGAGGATTTAATCAAGTCCAGACACTTTTCAAATGCTTTTGTTTTAGTTTCAGGGTCTTTCGAAATGATCAAAAGCTCCACGGGAATTTTGCCGCCCTGCAAAGGCTCCAAATGCTTGGCTACTATTTGTTAGGCTAAATTCATCCCTCAAGTAGAAGAACAGCCAGGCGTACCTTTTTTCCCAGTTGTGACAACGTACATCCCTTCTAGTGTGAATACGCAGAGGGTAGCGGGGAATTCGTATCCGAGAAGCCAGAACTGAAAAATAAGCTATTCTGCTTGTGACTAGAGGGCTAGATGAAGACTTACATGCACTGAATTGCTCTTCTGAAAGGAGTTCGTGTCCTCCGTTCTGCCCATCACGACCACAATGGAAGTGGCTCCGCCAAACACAGGGCTGGTAGATCGCTTGTCCGCCTTCCATGCTGTGTAAAGAGTAGATAGGCGATCGGAGAACAACGCCTTGTCAATTTTGATTTCTTCTCCCATCTTGGGCGATGAAGCCCAAAAAGGACCTGGAGAAATACGGGCAGGCGGAAAGTTGCAGATTCCAACAATTGGAAAAAAAGAGAGGATACAAGGGCAGTCTTGGAAGGCCCAGAGCGATGCCGAAGCGATGCCGAAGGAAGAGTGAGAGAAAGGATGAAGCTCCTCCACCAAAGAAAGCGATGCGCTCACAAATCGTGATTGGGACCTAGCTCTCACGCGTCGCAAGGTTTCACGCTAGCTTTATCTAGATTAGCGCAACGCGTTCTGCTTAGCTAATAAATTGATTGAGGTGTTTGTCGTGTTTGATTGGCTTCCTTGTACTTCGTGCTGACCGTCGATTCTGATCCCCTCTGATGACTTGGGCTGCGTGTGACTGCATCCTTCATTTTGACAGTTCTGCTTCAATCTTGACTTCTTTATTTCCTTCAATATTTAGCTGTTTTTACTTACCTCCTACGTTTCGTTGCTGATGGAGCACCCGTCTCTCCCTTCGGCGCAAAGCTATGTCCTTTCCTACCGATGACCCTTCACAGCTGTCTTTCGAAGGAGATTTTCCCTTGGACGAAAATACCGATGGAGGTGCCCGCCGAAACCCTCGAACCAATGCTGCAACGGCGGCTTCTGCTGCCGGAGTACGTGCCCTTAGCGCCCAGGCTGTAGCTTTCTATTTCCGCGCTCCAGTCAAGGCCTTCTTCCGCACCCGCGTGGAGTATGTTTATGTGCACCGTAGCTAGTAGTTGACTGATGTGGAACTGAGTTGCTAATATGTGTTCATGTAGCTACATGGTATGCTGCTCTTCTGGAGATTACAGCCAAGCTCGGTGCCTTGCAAGGCTGATCAGTCTAGGTTCTTGCTCGAGCCATCAACCCTCGACTTGCAGAGGGTGCAGCCTGGTCATGGAAAACTACTACACCAGGACTGCTCGCGCATGCAGTGCGCATCTATGGCTGGAGATTTATTCCATATCAAGTTTTGCCGCCTTTGGTTGCAAACGTTAGGTATGCACTCTCGTTCTTATTTCCCAGAACCCGAGCTGATAGGCGATTGCCCAAGTGTTGGAGCTGTTCTATACACGTCGTACCTTCAGATTCTAAGCAGTTTGCATGGACCGACATCAATGGCAAATAAGCGCATATATCCACCACCCTCCCCTCTTGACACATTTACCGCTGGTTTTGCTGCAGGTACTATCCAATCTGTCATTGCCGCGCCGTTGGATGCTATTCAAGCACGCTTCAAATCGGATGAACTGCTTAATGGCAAACATAGGAGTGCTTGGCACCACTGGAAAAATAAATTAAGCGAAATCGGACTGAGAGGAACATTTTCTGGTTGGAGTCTATCCTTCCTAAAAGATAGTTTCGGCTCGGCACTCTTCTTTTGCTTATTCGAAACGGTGAAATCCCAGGGGTATTATTCCTTTGTAACGCGCTACTACGGCTCTCTACAACCAATGGTGGTAGAGAAATTATCAACCACCGCAAATCATCCTGGTGATATCCCGGTGATTCGACCACATTATGCACTTGAGCCATGTTTCTTGATGCTGGCAGGAGTAACGGCATCGATCGGACAACAGGCTGTGTTACACCCGATCGGACTAGTTCAGAGTGTGTACTACAGGCGGTTGGAGCAGCTGGACTGCCGGCTGAGCCGAGTGCAGTCGAATCGAGACCTGATGCAACGCCGGCTTGATGCATATCAAGAGACGTTTGAGCGGTGCCGACAGCGAGCGCAGCGCGCTGAGGGTTGGAGGGCGTGGTTATTTCGTGGGTTCCTTTGGAATACCATCCGGCAGGTGCCTAGCACAAGTGCAGGGCTTGTGATTTTCGAACTGGTGCGGCGGAAGTATGGACTTCCCGCCGAGGCCATCCATATCAAAAAGGACGGCTATGACATTCTTCTGACATGAGAGGGCTCGAGGAAGGTGTTCATAGTTTAGCAGCTTATTGAGATGCTGCAGATTCTAGAACCTTGGGTGACACCGCCGTTGATGCGTGTTTCAATATCCGGTGCCACGTAAGAGGGTCTTTGATTAGATACCCAAGCCGCTTCCAGCTAGAGATTCATAGACTTCCGTAGCTGTTAGCCAACTAATCCCAATATACATACGCACATCTGCCAATAGGTGCATGCCGTGACCATTTTGTCGCTCGATCTGCGCTGGCGTGAGGCCGTGATAGCCAGCCACCTGCACCCAACGGGCCGGTGGCGTCCCGTTTAGGTAAAGCTGCATCTCAAACGAAACTGGCTTTGAATCGGGCTCGGCTCGCGAGGGCGTGTCAGGGCGTTGAATAAAGGAGAGCGATAAATAGTGTTGGGCAGCGAGAGACCAGCGATTCCCCAGCAGTGTGTGCACGATCCTTCGCTGACGGCAGATCCGCGCTCTCTCCCCCAGCGCCCACCCGCCGCCGCCCGCCCGGCCAGCCCACGCTAGTTTGCCCGCCCCCATACCCGCGTCTTGCCCGCCCGCCAACGCCCAACAACACCCACAACAACCACCACCTGCGTTGCACCACCAGGCACACGTCTGCAGCCCATCCCGGTCCCCGTCGCCAATCGCCGTGGGATGCGTCGCCGTTCTGCCTGCTCTCGTGTGCTCCCCCCCCATGCCCCCCCAGGATTCTCCACCGCCCAGTCACCTGTGATCTTGTCTTTCTCCGACTCCCTCTCCTTTCGGTAGGGCTGCGTCGCTCAGCCCGGCTACCACCGCCAACATTTCTCCTCCACTCCCGCCCGGCTCTTCCGCTCCGATTCCCCTCCGGTCCCTTTCTCCTCATTCCCGGCCCTCCTCTGAAATCTCCTCCTCGCTAGTAGGCTCCTCACGCGAGAAGCAGGGCGCCCGGAGGTCCCCTTCGTCCTCTCCTCCCCTGACTCCTTCGGAATCAGCTTTCTCGGTCTGGTCGGATACCGGAGACTTAGCCGAGCAACTTGCCAACGAGCAGGACCCTTTACGCATACAGCTGGAACCCGGCCTCGACCACGGAAGCTCTAATCGATCTGGCGCCCGCTCGCGAAGCTCTCGGAAACGGGTGCGTTACGCGGAGCAAGAAGACGAGGTTAAAGCCAAAGCCGAGATCTCAAAGGAGGCTATACGCATCCCGGAACCTCCTCAGCGCACACCTTCGCGGGTAGAAATCCTCCTTGCTGCCATCATGTCGCCAGGAGACAGACGGACAGCCCAAATGCACGGGCTGGTGGGAAAACCACTTCTGTATGACTTCATCTGCTAGATTAAGACCCCGATCCAGGCGAAGCTAACCTTGATATCTACACCAGGTACTTTACAAGTGTTTTTGTATCATTAGGCGTTTTTTTGTTTGGATATGATCAAGGCGTTATGTCCGGAATCATCACGTACGTGGAATCTATTCGTTGACCGTGCGTATGAAACTAAACCGTTCTGCTATTTAGAGGACCATTTTTTAAGGATTACTTTAACCAACCAACGCGCGCGGAGATCGGAACAATGGTTGCCATTCTCGAAGTTGGTGCCTTCATTTCATCGCTCTGCGTTGGTAAAATCGGTGACATCATCGGCCGAAGGAGAACTATACTTTACGGATCCATCGTCTTCTTCATCGGCGGAGCTCTCCAGACCTTTGCTACGGGAATACCGATGATGCTGGTTGGCCGTATTATTGCTGGTCTGGGAGTCGGTGCTTTGTCCACTATTGTCCCCGTTTATCAGTCCGAGATCTCCCCTCCGCACAACCGTGGCCAGCTTGCTTGCATCGAGTTTACAGGCAACATCTGTGGCTACGCAGCCAGTGTTTGGGTAGATTACTTCTGCAGTTTTATCAATAACCATTACTCTTGGCGTCTACCATTGTTTCTCCAATGTGTCATGGGTGCGCTTCTAGGTTTTGGCAGCCTTATTATCTGCGAATCGCCCCGGTAAGTATTCTTCCACCCCCCTCCCAAGCCAAAGCCAATGACATAATTACTAACGTCTTTATAGGTGGCTATTGGATGTTGACCATGACGAAGAGGGAATGGTTGTCATTGCTAACCTGTATGGCAAGGGTGATATCCACAACGATAAGGCCCGCCAAGAATATCGTGATATCAAAATGGACGTTTTAATACAGCGTCAAGAAGGCGAACGAAGCTACCTAGACATGTTTCGTCGTTACCGTAATCGTGTCTTCATTGCGATGTCAGCTCAAGCGTTTGCGCAGCTCAACGGTATCAACGTTATATCCTACTATGCGCCTCTTGTATTTGAGTCTGCTGGCTGGGTTGGGCGCAATGCTATTCTAATGACTGGTATCAACGCAATTACGTACCTTGGCTCAACTATACCCCCTTGGTACCTGGTTGACCGTTGGGGAAGGCGTCCAATTTTATTGTCTGGCGCCGTCGCCATGATTTTCTCACTCTCCCTTATTGCCTACTGGATTTATCTTGATATTCCCGGCACTACACCAACCATGACAGTTGTTTTTGTCATGATATATAACGCTGCATTCGGTGCCTCATGGGGCCCTATCCCTTGGCTCTATCCACCGGAGATCTTGCCCCTTAGCATCCGTGCAAAAGGTGCGAGTCTGAGTACTGCGACAAATTGGGCCTTCAACTGGCTGGTTGGAGAGCTTACTCCAGTTCTTCAAGAGGTCATTCAGTGGAGGCTTTATTTAATGCATGCGTTCTTCTGCGCTACAAGTTTTGTTGTTGGTGAGTTGACTGTATTCTTAAGCGTATATTTAGCTCGACGGCTAACTGGTACTTGCAGTTTACTTCCTTTATCCAGAAACTAGTGGCGTGCGGCTCGAAGACATGGACGTACTCTTTGGCGATGCTCCTTCTGAAATGCCAACTCCAGCAACTCCAGCTGAACGCAATGCTCTGATGGGTGCTGGATCGCCTGTTCCATCTCTTGACATCCAACGTGGGCCTCCAGAAGCAGCGATTCCTGGGCTTAACCTTAGCGCTCCCTCCGCAAGTGGCAACAATGGAACAACAGGCAAATCCGTGGAGGAGGCAAGCCGCGGCGAAGGTATTGGCGGATGGATCACAAATATGATTAGGCGTGGAAGGCAGGGCAAGAAAAACGATAACCAAGGAGAGTATCGAAGAGTCGATCAGGATGAAGAGGGTTGAGCGTCGCTGCCCCAGTATTCGCCACACTCGAAATGATCCATCCACACAGCGGTATAATACGGATGAAATTTAGCCGAGAAAGCACATTTTTACCCAGGCTACGAGCCGTGCCGTGGCTACCTGACTTCGAGGCTTGATAAGTCTCCTTTTTTGCTTCTCGGGCTGGCTCCGAATCAAGGATGTTATAATTCTTGACATCAAGACGATAGGCGTTTCAAATGGGGCATTTTTAAGGAACACGCCAACCACTTACTCCCAGTGAGGGTTCGCCGCTTTCTTTTCTTTAATCATATGTGTTTTTTTTCTTCACTTCTCACCCTTTGTTTTCTTCATCACTTTCTTCATGGGATTTGCTTAGGTACAGCATAACAATTCCTTGTAACTAGTTGAATTGTCTAGATGGAGATTTGGTATAGATGTGGACTTTTTATCAGATAACTTAATGAGTTCCTTTTGGTGCTGGTCTTTGATGTGAATAAACACAGCCCTCCCACTCATCACGTCTCTTTTGTACTTCACAACTGTCTACAGTCTGACAGAACGCTTCGCCTTGGAGAATTAAGTTATTTTCTACCTCTTCTCTTCAATTTATGAACGTGGAGGGTGTGTGGTGCACTCAATAAACGTCTTTAGAAGTCTTTCTGACATGATCTTTTGTTGGGGGGAAACCACCACCAGACTCCCGAGGATGAAGACTATGGGCTCAAGGCCCACTATTCTGAAAGATATATTATGAACAGAGAAGCACTCTTCTCTGAATGAAAAAGATTAAGTTTATTGACTGCTGAGAGCTAGAAAACACTTCAAGTGAGAAAAGTAGAGGCTAGTTATATAAGGATATTGCTGGGTTAATCATAGATTTGAATACTTCAGTCTATTATAACCTTGTATATTCTTTTTCTGAACTTCTATTAGATCTTAAAGAAGCATATGATGAAAGCCAGCGTAAGGGATCTTGACCTCTTCTAAAACATGTTACAGCTTGAGACTTAACAACTTATCAATGTCAGGTATGTAAATTAGATGCATTTTGTGTAGGTAGGTCACTTATGTAACTACCTAGAACCATTGGATGGAGAAACAATTATCCTGTCTTAGTTAGGTATTCCCTTCGCGCTACGCGCCCCATAGTTACTGAATAGTTACTAACCAACTTTCTGTAAAGTGTGAAACGCGACTATGAATTTACAACACCTCGCCATGAACTTGTCTCTTCTTCGAATGAGTGTCTCTGAAGCATAGATGTATAATTGAGCACTTACCAGCTTCCCCTGACCACCTTGGACCATGAACGCCGAAAATAGAGCTGCTTCGCCCCCTAGAACATTCTTTCTCTCACCCTTCCCCTCTCTACGACTTACCAACATCCTCGACCACGGTGGCGAAGCCTTTGTTCTCGCGTTTCCGGGATCCATTGTCTTTAAATGCCCTATTCGCTGGGGTTACAAAGGTGATCTTCCTGAAAAAGCGGTAAAGTCCGCCCAGATCAAGGAATATGTCTCGCAGGAATCTATGGCTGTGGAGAAAAAGATATTCCAGCTCCTTAAAAATCGCCCACACCAAAATATCATCCCTGCGCTGATGATTGTTTCTGAGGGAATATTTCTTCCTCGAATGCAGTCCACGCTTGAAGACCGTGTCATACGCTACCGTGATTTACATTTTGAAGAGTGGCACGCCAGCGACGAGCTCAGGCTGCGATGGGCATCACAAATCATTTCTGCTTCAGTGTGGCTAGAATCTTTGGGCTACTCCCAGGGTGATCTTGCCCCAAGAAATTTGCTTCTTGACTGTCATAGCAACATCAAATTGAGTGATTTCGGGGAAGCTGTACCTATAGGAGGCGAGTCGCAGTGCGGATCCCCTCCGTATGTCCCATTTGCCTTTGAGACGCGAGATCATAAAAGTGATCAGTATGCCATTGGATGGGTCTTTTTTTTCCTTTATAAAGATATTCCCAGCGACTGGGATGGGCCATATACCGTCGAGGAATTATGCGAGCTCACTTTCCCCGCAATTGATGACCTATTGCTAGGCCCGATTATTCAAAAATGCTGGCATTTACATTACGATTCTCTTGCTTCATTGCAAATTGATCTCCAAGAGACCTTGTCAACTTCATTTTCCTGGAACCAACGTCTTGTTCACTGTTTGAAAGATAGTGTGGTTCGAATTTGGGACACGTTGATACATTATGTAATGTGGTATAAATGTAGCCAGATATACTCCAAACTCAGGTGTGGCGGTCAGTTACGATATCTCTATATACCTGACTTTTAAGTAGGACTAATGACGACAGCAGAGAACGCCCCTGATTCCCTTGATTACAAGCATGCTATTGACGAAATGGAAAAACCATTGTGTAGAACTACTAAATACGGTGAGATTTGCCCGCCCGTGTTCTGATTTGCAGAGCTAAACAGATTTTGGTTTCCAGATCCGTGAGCCATGTCAATCCTATCCTAGCTATATTCACCTGCCGCCTTTGAGAATGGCGCCTGTGATAACAGAATTATAGAAATCGCCTGCTAGCCTGGCTAGTGAGAATTGTAGAGAATCGCCTGCTAACCTAGCTAGTAGGATAGTAGAAATCACCTACTAGCCTAGCTAGTAAGAATTGTAGAGAATCGCCTACTAGCCTAGCTAGTAGGAATTGTAGGGGGTCGCCTACTAGCCTAGCTAGTAGGATAGTAGAAAAATGTGTAGGCTTCTACTGTAGGAGAGAGAGTTAGTTAGTTAGTGACTTAAAAAGCTCTTACTACATATTATACTACATAATAGTCAAAATACATAGTAGTTACTGAAGCCAACGTTGAAACTACGATATGATGGTAAGGGTTAACTACGTACGGAGTAACAGCTTGGAAAATCGGTAACCCGATGGTAGTGAAAAGATCCGGAATTCCGCTATGGCATTATTTGGTTTCAGAGACCCCTTGTTGGCTTCATTTAGGCTTCAGGTAGCCATTTCCCCGCTAAGCGCCGCCCCGCTGCAGAGACTTTTATTTTGACTGTTTGAACTTGCACCTTCAATTTTCTACGTCACTACTCCGTATGTAGACCTTGTATTTCTATATCATTATGCCAAATTAAAATAATAATTTACGAGCTTGCACCATCGTGATGTGCCATATTCCAGTTCCGGTAGTAATAACATTGCAAGATTTCTTTTGCATCAGTGGTCTATCCAAAAAGCATGATGAACTTCTATCACAATATGATGCTTGCAAGTATATTTGAACCAGCATCCAAAGGGAGATAAGAGCTAAACATTGTGAGACGTTTGTGTAGCATATGGCATCCAGCTAGCAATTTATTTGGTATATTTCTGTTTCGACGGTAAGAACAGTAGGACCAGGTAAGCCGAGAATTTGATTTAGATATATATATACTTGAGGTGTTCAATACTTATAACCTGCTGACTTTTAAATGGATATATTAAGATACTCTTAGCCGTCAATAGCAATATTGCAAATTATGTTAGCAGGCCCTGATTTAGTTATCACTATAAGTAATTAGGTTGTTCAAGTGAGAACAGTTGACCTGGAGAACAGCCTTGAAAAGAAATGGGAACGACAATAGATAATAAATAAGAGTGAGAGCTCATGTCTTGAATTTGGAAATACGCCCCTGCAGCTGTTGGTTTTATTTTATTGCATGCTATCTTTGATAGATCTTCAGCAAGCTGACACTCTCTCAGTGGATCACTTCAGTGTCCTCCATTCGCATATTGCAACAAACCTGAGTGATTTAATTGTTTTCTGTTGTGGTTATGCAGCGAGGTAGGCTCGACATGTTGCTGCTCCCCCTACATGAACCACATCAGGCGTTGGGTTCTGTCAGTGAATCTATAGGTCCGCACGCATGACCATTAAAGGTGCACAGCTACACAGGCCAAATTGAAATTCCAAATGATCTGCTAATTATGCAGGTAGCTAATTCAAGCGAAGCTCAATTTTTGAGCCCAATAATTATATATATTGCCTATACGGAGGAGCCAAACTACGGAGTAATAACTAGTGAAATAAAAGCAAGGTGCGTCACGAAGTTAATACTACGCGATCTGCAGGCATAAAGGGCGGCAGAATTCCACCTCGTAAAACTCCAGCAGTCAATGAAAGCGAGGCTTAGTTAACTACAGGAAACCGTATTGATCTCATAAACCAACGGTTAAGAGCAGGAATCTTGTAAACACTCGAATATCCCTGCCAGGTTTGATGTGGGAATCAATAATAGTGGGTTTTGAATGAACGTTTCTGAATTTCGAAATTGAGAGCTCAATTGAGCTGGCCACTGCTATTTGGGCCATTGTCTTTAATTGGGCTTAATGGACTTTCTCAGTCTGCTCATTGTCTTGGTTGTTGGTGTGGCGTGTCACGCACTCACACGCTATATATCGAAGTCGAATTCTCGAGAGCCACCATCAGTGCCATCACGTCTTCCAGCCATCGGCCATATTGTTGGTCTATTCCGTTTTGGCTTGTTTTACTATACAAGGCTGAGGTAAACCCCCAAGTCGGAGCGTGGATTGGCCTGTCTGTTGAAGAGAAAAGTGAACTTGGGGCTGACCGACTGATAAAATAGCAATGAAGCCCTGCCAGCATTTACCTTAGACATATTGCATAAGAAGCTATATGTTATAAAGTCCGCCAGCTTGGTTTCAAAGGTTCAGCGTTTATCAAAGATTATTTCCTTTGATCCCGTTTTGCGAGGCCTTACCCATCGTATGACGGGAATAAATGGCGACGGGCTTAAGCTTCTTCAGGAGACTGACGTCCATGGCCGTGGCCTCCAAGGAGCTCTTTCTCGTTCAATGCATTCGTGCTTGATCGGACCTGGAGTGGATAAGATGAACGACTCAATGCTAAGGCACCTCAAGATTGCTATAGATAATATTACAACATCTAGCAACATTCCAATTGATCTTCATGGGTGGTGTCGACAGGTAGCAATTGCAGCTAGCACCGAATCCATCTGGGGAGAGTTGAACCCATTCAAATCAGTGGAGGTACAAGACGCGTTCTGGTATGTGGTGACCACGCTCCCCTCGCACTGCATTTAATAACCGATAATGGTTTACAGGGAGTATGAGTCGAACTTAAGCAGGTTGCTGTTCAGCCCTTTTCCACAAGTTACCGCGTCTGTGCCACGCAAAGCGCGGGATAAGATTGCGAGAAATTTCATAAAGTATTTCGAAATTGGCGGCCATTTGATCTCTTCGGATTTCGCCTTTGCACGTTGGAAGATACAGAATGACGCAGGTGCAACCATAGAGAATATTGCCCGAAACGAAACTGCTTCGAGTATCGGTATTTTGTCTAATACTGTTCCATCCACGTTTTGGACAATCTTTGATATATATTCACGTCCTGAGCTGCTGGCTGAGCTGAGAGCAGAGATTACAGAAGTTGCAATAAAGTCGCAACGTCAAGAAGATGGAATAACAGTACATACGATTGATCTTGCGGATATAAGAAACAAGTGCAGCCTCCTAGTTTCCACATTCCAGGAGGTTCTTCGTCTCAGGTCCTGTGCGGCGCCCACCCGAATCGTAAGAGAGGATATCGAGGTGGACAGTCAATATTTTTTGAGGAAAGGCTCCATTGTCCAGATGCCAGCCTATTTCATGAGCCGTGAAATTTTAACGTGGGGACCCGATGCTGAGAGCTTCAACCCAAGGCGGTTTGTCTCTAGCAATGGCGGCGTTAAAGAGAATCGCCACAAAGCGCCAGGCTTCATGGCATTCGGAACGTCCCCCAATATATGCCCTGGACGTCACTTCGCGAGTGGCGTAGTCGTAGCAACAGTGGCAATGCTAATGCTGAGGTTTGACATTCAACCCGTGGCAGGCAGCTGGGAACCACCGACAATAAACCCCAAATCAATAACAGCTTCCATCCCACCACCGCGGGAGGCATTCATGATAAGGTTCACTCCTAGAGAGCGTTTTGAAGGCATGGAATGGAGATTCAAGGTAACCATGGGGACAGGCAAAGTGCCGTTGATTACTGGCTGAAAGTTCTTTTCTCTGTACGTAATTAGCTTTTTCTTCTTAATTAGACAGGGAAACTCGCTTAATACTAGGCCATTATAGAGGTGCTGTCTACAGTGACAATAATGCCGAGCCTCACTCAACGTCTTTCTGCTCGGAGTTATCGGCAAACGCCTTGCCAGTCTCGGCTGCCCTCGCCAGGGGCTCGACACTAACCCTAAAGCGGGGCCCTTAGCGCCGGGGCGTCAACTGGCTTATCAGATCGTTTTGCGTCGAAAAAAAAAGATCGCATAAAGACAACACGCACCTCCTAGCAGCTCGCCCGCGACACCACATTCGTTTACACTATCCCTCCAGCCATCATCTGTTCATTCCTTCCGCTGGCTAGACCTCCTAGCTACTCGCTACTTCGTGGCCGCAATCCGCGCTCGATGATACCCCTTTGATTGGAGGACGCGAAGACCAAGTTCTCCCGTCATGGACGTCGTTCTTGAAGTATTTGATTCGCTTGCCTTTGATTACTTATACGCTCTTGCATTGCCGGGATTGGATTCGGCCCCTTTGGTTTCCACCCAAATTGTCGATGGCTTAAACAAAACCGTTACAACAGAGGGTAACGGGTTCATATACCACCCCGCCTCACAATATTTGAATCTCGAACCCTCTAAGTATGCATATATGAGCTCTTTAACCCGTGATGATCCATACAGGCAAGCCTTTTCGCTGTTCATCATCACTTGGTACGGAATGCTGCCACCTCTCTGTTTTGGTCATTGTTTACTAATACTGTCATGTAATAGGATCTTTGGTGTCGTTTTGTACTTCGTCTTTGCCAGCCTTTCGTATCTCTTAGTTTTTGATAAAACGACCGTCAACCACCCGAAATACCTCAAAAATCAGATGCGCCTTGAGATTGCGCAGACTATGGGCGCTCTGCCGATAATGGCGATCCTGACAGTACCTTTTTTTCTTGCAGAGGTCCGAGGCTTTGGAAAAATGTACGACACTTTTGATGAGGCGCCGTTTAAACTCTACAACGTTATTCAATTCCCCTTTTTCTTTATGTTTACCGACTTCTTAATCTACTGGATCCACCGCGGCCTGCATCACCCGTTGATCTATAAACGCTTGCACAAACCGCACCATAAGTGGATCATGCCAACGCCATTTGCATCCCATGCATTCCACCCTGTTGATGGCTGGGCGCAAAGTTTGCCATATCACATCTTTCCTTTTATTTTTCCGCTCCAGAAATTCGCTTATGTGCTCCTCTTCATGGCAATCAACATCTGGACCATCCTCATTCACGATGGCGAGTATGCAACCAACAATCCTGTCATTAACGGTGCAGCGTGCCACACAATGCATCATCTATACTTTAACTATAACTATGGACAATTTACGACCCTATGGGACAGACTCGGCAATAGTTACCGCAAACCAAACGATGAATTATTCCGCCGTGAAACTAAGATGGACAAATCCGAATGGAACCGTCAAGTCGAGGAGATGGAAGCTCTCGTGAAAGAAGTCGAAGGTGACGATGATCGTCAGTATTTGCACGACGAGGATAAGAAAAAGAACATTTAAATCTGCTGGTCAGATGAAATTAATATTCATTTCCCGGGTTAACACGACCAACCCACGGACCGGCCAATTGACCAGGCAAATGAAACGAGATATGATTGCCCCAAGACCTTACTTTTTTCGATATCGACACTGAGTGCCATTTTTATAGTATTCCTTTCTGCTTCGCAAGATATTTCCTACTCCGAGCTTATCTATGCCCTTGATCAGTCACCTCATTGCCCCTTGAGTCTTCTTATAGGTTCCAAGCCCTAAATTCTTGTACCAAGTGAACCTTGCCTTTCGATCTCGCTTTTGGCGATTTGTACTACCATGCTTTATTATTTCCTCGTGACGTATATACTAATTCTTATAATAATAGTTGAAAGCTTATGAAAATTTTGTCGTTGTTGCATATCTTGAGCTAAATCCCCTAGCTCTAAGATCCAGCCCCCTGTCAGGTATGGTGCTGTCATGATACCGTGATAACTCCAGTGTACAAATTCTTCTAATCCTGTTAACGTAAACGATTATTATAGAGTACATACACATGTATGCTACATTCACAGCAGATAGCAATATGAGCTAGACCAGCAGCCCAACACATACGAATGAAAACCCAAAGTCACATCCTGACGGACTCATCATTCAGCTGTTATCACACTTTAAATTTGTACAATTCACAACCTGGATTATAACTCAAAATTTCGGGTTACTCCATATCGATCAAGTCTTCCTGCAGATGGGCTTCAGCGTTTTCTAGAGGGCTTTGCATGGGCTGCGGCTGGGCCTGGGGCTGGGGTGGTGGCATCGTCCCAACAGGTACTGCAGCGAGCATAGCCTCCGTAATAAACGACTCTTCCACGGAAGCTTTCCGTCTAAACACCCGTAACCATCTCTTGCCCCATTCGCAAATGAGCGCATTCTCCGGTGCCAAAGCACTATCATCCGCACGCTCCATCATCACGTCGTTAGATCCATTCGCAATGGGAGCTATGGAGTCTTCAATAAGTTTAAACATTGCCTCCATATCTCCTTTTTCTCTCGTTAGTGTGTCTTGAATGACGCTGAGCTGTGGCTCAAAGAGTGTCGGTTGGACACGGGCGGCAACGATCTGTCGAATGCGGTTTGTAACTTTCCCCATGGTTGCAGACACCATTTCATAGATATGAGGTTTTGCGAGGATGCCACCTGCGGAGAGATTGTCAAGAAGTGCCCATTCGATGACCGAGATGGGGCTGAGTATTGTGTAGTTAAGAAGTTTGTCAATAATGTTTACTGCAGTTCCAGGCTGGTCAACCCAGTAGTCCATCACGGAGGTAATGATTTGTCGTCGGGCATTTGCGGACCTCGGTCCAATCGCGAGAAGCCTTTCTTTGCATCGCTCAATGCAAGAAAGGAAATGGGAAAGTGATTTTGAGCCAACGCAACAGATGGACGTAACATAGGCGTCCGTTGAGGGGATGAGTGGGTCCTCGACGCCATGCGCCTTTGCCTTTTCTTCAATGGCAGCAATCAAAGGTGCAATTTCTTCATCTGATGCTCTTTTTCGGAGAAGTTGTAGAATTTCCCGCCCTTCTTCCGCATAGGGAGTAGCTGTAATGGCATTAGCAACGCCCCATTACGGACTGATAGCGGAATTCAAACATACTCTCTTGTGCATACTTGAAATCAGGAGTGTCCTTCTCTTTGTTCTCGGAGATCAGGAGTTGATATGGCTCGGGAAGTGTTCCCTTGATTCTTTGAGCGAAACTTAAGCGAATCTCTTTATCCAGTGCACCGATAATGAACGCCTTCTTAGGGTGCACGGAGGGTAATTCAACGTCATCCACCCTTTAAAAATTAGTATAAATGGGCGGCGGAGCATTTGTAGTAGGCGAATCTTACCATTCAGTCCATTTCCACGTAAATCCAAAATTGCTTAGATGGTGGGCGAACCAGTCGAGGAATCGATATGTCAATGCTAAGTCTAGCTTATCCGAGTTACGATAAAGGAATCGAATTGCACGACCTAAACTTGGTGCGATTGCTGCTGGCGCAAGTTTGCAGGCTTCGGTCAAGAGAGAGTGGTAAAAAACTAGCTTGTGCTCAGAATTTGGCAGCTGTAACAGTTGCGAAAATACAGCATCGAGGGCGACATCTTCCGGCTTCCAGGTCGTGCTTTCTGCGGGAAGATCACGTAACTTGTCGAAGGGAGTGGCCCGTTTGATGAAGGTGTCTGGAGCGAAATAGCAGTCGACATCAATAAGAAACTTAGCAGCTGCAATGCGATTGTAATCTAGGATATTAATGGTGTCAACCAAAACATCACGAAGCAACGTAGAAGCTATGTTGGTAATTGGAGGGACAGTTTCAATATTTTGACCCGTGTAAACCGAGAGGTAAATCTCCGGAAAGATAGCCCGTGGGCCATTTCTCACTGGGCTTGGGACCGTAAGTGCTGGGAAGGCATGCTTGGTTTCAACTGCCGCTGGCGCATCCTCGGCGGCCTCCTTGGGCGGCGTTCTCCATGGTCGAGGCATACAAGCTAGCTCCCAAGAATTTTGGGCCTCTCCTTGCAACTGTTTCTGGACAAGGGCCAATGAGCTTAGTCTCTCAACTTCTTGATTTTCTTCCGAGGGGAATGGGTCGACAAGCGTCTCTAGAATATGCGGAATCGATGCAATAATTTCTGTTTTCTCTAGCAAAACAGACGCATGAGACTCGAATCCTGAGGCAGAAGACGCCATCACGTAGGGTATCGTGTAAAGAATGATTTTGACAAGCTCAAGGCCAAGAGACTGCCAAAAAATACGTCAGCGAGTTTTCTTTTTAGCAGCGATGACTATCAAACACATACGTCCTCAGAAGCCGATGTCTGCAAGTCGACGGCGCGTGAAAAGAGTTCTTCAAGTATTGGAAACACACCATCCCCTTCCAGGATACCTTGAAGGCAGCCAAAGAAGCGCAGCATGAGCTTCACTTCGCGCCACTCGCCCGCAGTGATATACGACTGAACCATTTCTCCGGCCTTGCCTAATACGAGGCCAGGGAGCTCGGGCTTCTCAACATTGACTAGAAGGATAACTGCGGCAACAAATGGTATTTTAAACGGCTGCTCGACGATCCTGTCGATAGGTAGTGTCAGCTGTATGCTATCTTTTCCAATTCACGTCTCAGGAGCCCTTACAATTGGAGAACCAAATCCTGAAAATCCGCTTTCACCTCTTCATCCTCATAGTTGTCACAAATAGCTTTCACAACGCGAGCGATATCCTCTTGAACTTTTCGTACAGGCTAAGAACCATCCGAAAATTCCCCAAAGACACAGTCAGCAAAGATCTGAAACCCTCTTGCAAGCTCATAAAGAGCTAGAAGACATACCGATTCTCCAATTGTCAGCAGCTGTCTTCGAACAGAAGACGACAATGGCTCATCATATCTTCTACGTGACCGATGGCGCTCGCCTCCTTCATCCTCTGCTCCAGCCCAAAGGTGTTAGCTATCACGTCTGTTTACTAGTCCGCGAGAGCTTCTGGTCCGTTGTACACACCTCTGTGCCGCCTTTTGCGGTTGAAACCGCCTCCTCCTCGACGCTGCTCGTGTTCAACCATCGGCTTCAATTCAAGAATGATGGCAATGGCAAAGAGTAGTAGCTCTGAAGCCTGTAAATCGCGACTCCACGTAAAACAGTTGCGGCTTCGTTGCGCAAAGCACTGGAAAGAACTGCGGCCAATCATATCAGTGGTCTAACCTATGCCAAGTATTGTCGCATTTTCAATTTTCCGGCTCCTGATATTTCACGTGATTAATTGACGGGCCGAAATGTTCCGTATTTAGTATCGCTTGGCATCGTCATCTCTCCGTCGGCTGAAGAACTGTCTGTTCGGCTTACTATACAGGCCGTCTTCTTTTATCTTTATACTATGGAGGTATATTTATTATCTTATCAGGCGTCGTAAGGTAGGTGTGGATGCTACATAATCTTGATAACACCTTGTAAATATATAGAGAGGTTACAGAGTACACCTTACGGAGTACGGAGTACATAGTTAACATATTCAGAAGAGTGTATGACGTCTTATGTGGATGAGTCAACAGTACTCCGTATCATGATTATAAAAAGCCTGTTCATTCCTGGTTATTCCCCACAACAACTTCATCTTCAGGTAAGCCCATACACATACCCTACCCTATTCTTTCATGCCTCCCCCATTTGCCGTCTATTCTTTCTCCAGTGCGTTCAGCATCAACCTATTGTCACTGCAGAGAGGTTAGCCTCTCTGCATCCAGCAAACCCACAAACCCACAAACCCACAACCCTCTTAAGGACTCCCAGTGCTAACACAAGGGATATATCCCATGCCTCGCCTCAGAGTAGTCATATGTTATCTTCAAAGGGGTTTTCTTCCCTCAGATATGTGTCTTGTTTCATCATAGGCAAGAAGTACGAGTACACGTACCTGAGACGTTTTCCCATGTTCCATCTGGGGGTTTATTTGTGATGAAGAGTGGGTTTCCGGGGGCCATTTCCTAGAGAATGATGAGATTCTTCTTGAGCCAACGCTACCTTGATCAAAAAACAGCCCCTATTGTGGTTGTTTTAGATCGAGAGAAGTTGCTTATCGCTCTGACTCTAAAAGGAAAAAGTGATTATTTTATTCTCTCCGATTTTATTGGCAAGTTGTCAAGATGTCTTTTTGGGTGTGCTTTGAAGGTAAAGTTCACCAAGATATGGTGGAGAGAACAAGAGAGAGAGGAATAGGAGGTTGTCAGGTCCTATTTATGCTGTTTCTACGACTCCTTCTGTTTGGAAAGAGCGATGGAAATGATACTTAACAGCTACAATAACAGCCGCTCAGGAGGCCGTTGCGCCCAAGATCAGATGGCAGGTGCTTCTTGATACGAATTCGCCTGCCTATGACAGCGTTCCAGCCTTCTTTCGAATTATAAATTCAAGGAATCTTTCAAGCCTATATTTATTGTTTAGATAGATACCTATTGGGTGGGAAGAGGGCTATTGCCTCAGTACTGCTCCGTGTTTGTGCACTCGTGCTAACTTAGAGTATATTTTCAGGGCAACTACTTCTTATCTGTGTATTTATACAACAAGCAATAATTTATAGCTTTAGTCCGGGACTTTCATAGCTCTGCAATTGGAGGTTTACCGTCTACAATGCATACGAAAGCAGCACATATCCGGAATTTAAAGCCACGTTTCCGACTTATAACGAAGCGAAATAAGCCTAAAGTGGGCGTGTAAAGTATGTAGCATGGGTAATTCAGGGTGAGAAAAAAAAGGTAAAAACTCCTGATGGACAAAAAGAAAAAAAAAGACCAGGCCATGATCATACGCCTCGCTGCAAATTCTCGCATAGTAAAACATAACTCGAGGAATGGAAGCTAGTGACATAGTAAAAAGTATTGTTTAAAGGAACACGGAAGTTCACTTCGAGTCACTGGAATGCAAGAGGGGTGGCCAGAGGGGAAATATGGAAGAATGCAGGATACGGCAGAACTGAGGGAGCAGGGGCATTTCAGAACGCTGTATAAAACAAAACAGGAATAGAGGTATCTGAATTCAATGATAAGACCGCAAATATGGATGCCGCTGCCAAGTGCGAATATCAATGAAAAGATAAACGCCTATCATCCCCAGACCAGCTCTGTTTCGCTTTGCTTGACACCACGGTCCAATCATTTTGTGCAAAGCCATCTCATCAATCCTCGAGTTTCGGGTACACTTTTCGTTTCCCATCAGTTTCATCAGATACCTGCATCAATAAAAAGTAAAGAAAAAAAAAACAAAATGAGATCGAGTAGGCATAAAATGTCCCAATCCATTCGCAATTTCCGGAAATTTGATCTTAGGACCCCACCAACCAGTCCCGTAACTCCATGGTATCACGTTCACCAGCTCATGATCAGGAAAAAGAAATCATTGATTCGTCGGCACATGGCTCCATCATTATCTTAAAGGCAGGATTATGACGGACTGGGTTCGAGGTTCTCATCCAGGGGAATAATCTAGTTGGCGAAAAAACTTTCGGGGAGAGAACCGTCGAATGCGTAAGCTTGAAAACTTGCAAGTCATATCAGGGAGGGAGAAGAAGGTTTCGAGACGTTGTGTTTGTTGCTTCCAGCAAACAAATATTAAGCCCATAGAAGTGGCGCCACTCAGTCCAGACGTGCCATCATCTCCTCCTTTCTAAGTGGGGTAAAGTTATCAATATCGATGCCACGAGCAAGGAGGTCGGCTCTAGCATGGGAGGGAACGAGTTTGTGATTCATGGCGGGGGAAATGGATAGCTCTAAAGATGGGAGTCAGTGAGAAGTACGAGGTTGTGGGTGGAAGGGTACGTGAATTTACCATGATGAGTGAAATTGAACAGCTTGGGCATATCACGGCTTGGAGCATTTGGGTGGCGCGAATCGGGAAGACGAGTGTTTGGATCTCTGAGTTCATCGAAAAATGGGTGGCACATAGCCTCGATGGCGGAAAGACGCTGAGTAGGGGTATATTCAAGAAGAGCGGTGATCAAGTCGATTGCTTCGTGCGACGCTTTGCGGAACACCTGGAATTGATTCATTAGTCATCAAACAGAGAAATTTTACTGTGAAGTTTCATACCTTGTTGAACGGGTGAGGCTTAATCTGAGGGAATTTATGCTCCATGTAGTTCGGGTTCATGGTCTTGATCTGCTCACGAGTTGGGGTACCAAGGACTTTGATGATTTCGACAAGCTGGTCAATACCAGACTCGCCAGGGAAGAGTGGCTGACCGAGCATCAGCTCAGCCATTACACATCCAGTGGACCACACATCTAGTATCTGGTTAGCAGCTAGAGCTTCGGAAAAAAGAAAAACCAAGTGCCATACCAATTTTAGTAGTGTAGTTAGTAGCTCCGAAGATTAGTTCGGGAGCACGATAGTAACGAGAGCAAATGTACGAAACATTGGGCTCATTCTCAACGAGAATCTTAGCACTGCCAAAATCGCAGAGCTTGAGAATACCAGTGCTAGGATCAAGCAAAAGATTCTGGGGCTTGATATCACGGTGGCAGATGCCCTGAGAGTGAATGTAGGCCAACGCACGGAAAAGCTGGTACGTGTAAAGCTTGACTTCGAGCATGGGCATGGTGGACTTCATTTTGTTAAAGTATCGAGAGGCACGGTAAACGGTCTCGGGTACGAATTCGAGGACCAAATTCAAGTAAACTTCATCTTTCTAAAGTCAGGCAACATTCGTCAGTGAACACGCTATTGTCAAACCCAGAAAAGACCTATGCACGTACCCTCTCGCCGTTGGAGTAGTAGAAAGCCTTGAGCTCGACGATATTTGGGTGACGGACGATACGCATAATCTGTAGCTCACGGTTCTAATAGCTGTTAAACACTAACACTTTCTCCAGATGGGAGGACTTGTCGGCCAACCTTGAAACGCTTGTCTTGAAGAACACGTTTGATAGCAGCATCTTCCCCGCCGGGAGAGAGCTTGGTCTGGAAAACGACGCCGAAGGAGCCATTGCCGACGATCTTGCACTGAGTATACTGCATCTCTCGAGTTTCGCCGGTCACTCCATCTTGGACTTTCTCGCGAATGACCTCTGTAGTGGCAGCAAGAGAAAGGGTCAGCAGTGGTTCGGCGAGCAGGATCAGAGTCAGGGCCAGGAACACGGAAACGACCTACCCCCCATGCGCAGGCTGGAGAACATGTTGGGTCGATTATTCTGTAGCATCACACGCGGAACGCCAATGGGTCGGTTGGTTCGGCGGGTTCAATTGCGAAGCGAGGCGAGGCGAGGCAGTGGGAAAAGCGGGTGCTGGGTTGACGATCCGGGAAGCGAAGACAATGGTGGTGGAGCAGGAGAAAAAGAAAAAAAATAGCGTCGCAAGGATGGTGGGAAGAAGGAAAAAAGAGGGCAGCAGGCGGGTTTTATGTCGGAAAGTGAGGTGAGGAGAGTTGCGACGAAAGTGAATGGCTGGCAACAACACAAGTGAATGCTGAGACGGCAACGTGAATGGGGCACACAGTCACTGCAGGCTCAGACGAAAGCAGGCAGCGGGTGAGGGAAGTGAAGAGGTGACGAGAGAACAGTCAGCACAGCGCCAGTCACAACAGAGTCACAGCTCAAGGGCAGCGCGCGGCAGGTGATGTGAAGATGAGAGATCGAAGAGCAGACTGGGGTGGAGGTGATGGTGGTGGTGGTGGTGGGAGCAGGCGAGGGCAGGCGGAGTGGGAGGAGCACTGCCGGGCGGAATAACACAGGCAGCTTGAGCCTGCGAGCGAGCAGCGAGCAGCAACGAGAGCGACACGGGGCGAGGGAGGCAGGCAAGCAAGCACACAGCACGACAAAGCGATCGAGAGAGCAGAAAAGAGCTGACGGGGGCGGCGGGCGGTGGTGGTTGTGGCTACAGAGACGGCGGGCGGTGGATTCGAATCTTACGGGCGGAAGTGCTTTAATGGCGGACAGCAGATTGGCGGTGTTACAAGCCCGTACCAGAGGTACCGTACGGTATCAGGGAACAGGCCCTCGTCGTCCACCACCACCACCAACCACATGACAGGGGAAGCTGAGCGTTGACAGGCGGGCGACGGGCTGGGTGGCCAGAGAAGCGGGTTTCAGGCCGACCCGGGGCTGGCGACGGCGGGCAGCAGCACCGGCAGCGGCAGCAGCGCCAGGGCCTGTCCCGCAGCCCAAGAAGCGACCGCGCCCGCGAGGACGGGCACCGGTTCGCAACAGCAATAATAATATTTTAACTACTCAACAGCGCCCGCGAAACTACCACACGACGGTCAGCGCCAGTTCGTGGAAATACGGTGTTGCGCTGGGGGGTGCGTGCTTGGACGACGTCAATGTCCACGTGCTTCAGCCTGACGAAAGTGGAACGCCACTCCAGCCAGCAGTCAACGACGGGCGATCACTTGCGCTGCGCACCAGCAGCGTTCAGTTTCTTACGAACCGAATTCCCGTGCTTGCAATCTGGGCCGGCGGAGGGTTGAGCGTTTAAATAAGACGGAGCACTATTCTTAGGCCTGGCCTCACAGCTGTCGCGCTGCTGCGTTTCAGCGAAAAAGAGGGGCAGGCGCGGGTGCACCAGCAGCAGCACGGCACCAGCGCCGGCTCCCTGCACTCGCCCCTCGCACCCGCCGGAGCAGCAGCCCAGCCAGCGGGACAGTGCACCGCGAGGGCCGGCCTGCCCCTCCCCGCCGCCGCCGCCGCCGCCGCCGCCGCCGCCTCCCACTGCGCGAGCCAGCCAGCGCAGCACCGGGCGCGATGACGTTGGGCGATCGGGCGAGGGCAGCTCAGCTGACCCGGCGCTGAGTCAGCACGCGCTGGGCAGGAGTTGCGTTTCACAGGCGCTGGGCCGGCCCCACGCCCACTGGCGGCTGCTGACTCAGCGCCACACCACGAGAGTCGGGTGACCAATTGCAATTTTCAAGCCCGCCGCCGCCCAACCGGACCGCCGTCGTCGCGCTGGATTTCCGCAAACCTGCGCCCGCCATTGGCCCGCGCCCTCTCAACGGCGCTACCGTAATCTACGCTTGTACCAGGCCCGTATTGTCGTCTCGCTGCTCCGATGCACCCATCACCATCCATCATCACGACGACTACAAGCAACGGTTGCGAGTGTGCCCGCACCGCCCTGCTTTGGGATCTATCCCGCTCTGCACTCTGCCGCTGCTGCATCGCCCTCTACAGCTGCCACTGCTGCTTTGCCCAGCAAGCTGTGTCGACGACTCGGGTAGCCGCGTGCGCAAAAGGAGGGGTAAGCTGGTCACTCGACGTGGGCTAACTAGTTAGCACCAACTAGCTAGCGCCCACCTCAAACCTTGGGCCACCCAACGAGAGCGCGCGCGCACACGCCCACGGAGCAAGAGAAGCTCTGTGCTTTCCCAATAAACTAATCCACCCGGATCTGCCAAGCACACGGGCATGAAGTCACCCGCCCATCTTTTGTTTTCGCTCCCAGACAAGATCGCTCCCTCCACCGGGCAATACACTTTGGAGCCGTTCCATGCAGGAACAGAAGCATAAAATCTACGCTGGCCCGGCCGCGCGACCAGACCGGTTGAGATCTGGCATGATCGTCTCCATCGGCCGCTTGCTGGCTCCCGAACCGTGGATGGGACTCCCAGTTCAGGCAACCAATGCCAGACACATAATTGGGGGTGGCCTTTTTGGGCCCTGCGCGCACACTCTCACCCTGACCAGCCCGCTTGCCCTGGTTGCCCATATTTTCCTACAATCTGGGCTTTTCCCGCCATGTTACACGGAACTAGTTGTTTATCGGAGACGCCTGTTGCCATATTGTGTGGTCCCTGGAACAATATATATTATTCAAAGACAACAATCCACTCAGGTCAAATGCCGTTCAGTTGATTTTGTGGCACGCTTGCTGCTCGCCGTAACACCCCGTACTGCCAGGTATAGAGTGATCGATCCTCGATGGGGACACACAGTGTTCACAAGCACCTTTGTCAGATCGACACTTCTAGACACTCCTGTGCAATAATAATGTTGTTTTTATACCCAGCGGCTCAAATTTAGACCCGACAGAAGTAGCGCCAGCCTTCTACACTGTTGGAAGGAAACATTTCCAATGGCGCTGCCGCCAGTGAGATTTACCTGAGATCCAATTTTGCTCCAAACATTTAGTGTGAATCGCTGAAATAAAAAAGAGAACAAAAGAAAAAGAAAAAGGAAGCGAGAAAAAAGAAAAACCCGTTGCCCCTTACATCACATCTACGTTGATTCGTCTGCAGGTGTTTGTCCACCCGGGAGTGACGAAGGCTCTAAAAATAATATCAGCTGTACCTGAACGCCTTGCTTCTGCAAGAAGGAGGAAGCTTGAATACAGAGGTCTGTGAGCTCCTGCCCCCAAATAATATTAATATTGAACTTAATCGCCACGTCCGGGTCCAAAGCTGGGTGTTCATAGGCTACCCTCTGGCTAAGGGCGAACTGCCCCTTAAAATTTCGACATTTCTATTCATCACGCAACATTTTCTAACGTCTCTTCTCGCCTCGCAGCTACTCTGTGCATTTTTGAGAAAATCGAGGTCAAACTTACTAAACACGTACCTCGCCACCACCAGAGGTCCCACAGGGTCATCGTTCTTCCCCAGACCAAGGTCATGCTGAACCTTTCCGTAAAGGGCTGCTGGACAACTGGTAGCTTTGTATTTCTGGAAAGGGAATTTCCCTGACAGAGGAGCTGCTCTAAGGCTTCGCCTTGGGAAACCGCACGCCCGTTTCTCTTATTGCCACGTTGCCACCAAGTGGATCGCTGGCGTCTGCGGCGGTGCGGGTGAGCTAGTTCGATTTCTTCCACTTCTGGTACGAGCAGTATTTTCCCACGGTCTGCATAATCAATCGCCCATGGAACGACACCTAAGAACATGAGATGCGTCCCAATTTTTGCCCTCCCGCGCTCCCTGCTGAGCATGTTCTTGAGAGCGCCCTTCAAAACTGCCGGCGACAAACGCGGCTTTCGGGAGGAGGGCGGTCCCAAGAAAGTGGGCTGGCGTGTTACATAAGTGGAGAGTTTGTTTTTTAAGGTTCTGGGCGTCGTGTCCGTTTTCGGAAAGGCGCAGTCCGCCAGAGACCCACCCGCCCTAAGCCTTTCGCAGCTAGCGCCACAGTGGATGGGGTCTTGAGGTTCATTGGCGAGAGAATAAAATATCCAGATTCACGAACAGACTCGATTTGAACCACTCTCGGCATTTTTCGATGCAGTACCGCGACCACTTCGCTAAAGGCGCATTAATAGCCTGGTGATCAAAACAATGCCCCCACTAGTTGGCTAGTTAGCTACCGTCGCGAGTAACTGTATCTTTCTTTATTATAGGATGTTATCAAGAATGACCAGTCACCAAACGTCTCCGCGCCCCGCGAGTTTGCTCCAGCCAAGCTCATTGCTTTAATCCTCCTCTCCGGCGTTGCGCCATAGTATTTCTAATAATAATAATGCCTGCCTGCATGTGCACGTCGTCCACAACTGGAGAAAATTCGGCGTTCGCCTTGTTTATGGAGTATATGCACCCTGTTCAAATAATTGCCTGTTCATCGCTCGGGTACCTCCTTTCGTGGTCGGACGCTAGCAGCTAGATTACCCGTCTTTGTTGGCGAGAGCTTGATGTCAATTGACAACACACCGGATAGGATTTGGTGCCTCTTTCACTGCCATCCTTCTGAACATGATTCTCATAGTCGCCTCAACTTTTTTATTTAACGAGCTTCGCCTTTTATTACCCGCAGTCGGTTTCTCGTTATTGTCTCATCTTCCGTACGGGTTCGACTATGGTCTTCATCCCTCGATATTATGCCCAATCAGTTGCGGAAAACACAGTGTTTGGTGCCTGGGGTGAATGTTTATCCGGGCCTGCGGACCTAGGTCAGTAGCGTATGTCTTGTATCTCCATTCAAGATCACAGCCCGTTTGGGTAGGGTACAAAACAATACCGAGTGGAAATCCCAATTCCAGCGGGCGCCATAATAATGCCCAAGGGATTAAATCCGTCATGCTGGATCCTTCGGAGGCAGAGGGAATTATACCCTATCTACTCCTGAGCCTGTACTATGATTCCAGTCTGAATCACCGGCAACCCTAACGGCCTTCAAGCCCACATACTTTTTGTCAGGAGTGCTCGTTTTGCATATATCATGTCGTGGGCATTCTTAGCGTTGTTCGGTGTTGGCTTTTCCACCAACGACAAGCAAAAGAAGCCAGACGGCTGGGAGGAGAATGCCAAGTCGCTGGCGTGGCCCCCTGGACTGGCCGCCGGATCAGCGCCCAGATCACTGGCCAGGTGATCATGACTGGCATGGGCTCCCCCTGGCCAGTGGGGCTATTACCTGCAGCGCCATGATAGACTTATGTAAATGCGTGCTTTGTTTTTTTTTTGTCTCGACAGAGGCCTTGGGCTTGGGTGTGTTAAGACAGCATTCCTTGCCATATCACCGCAAGGAAACATGCCGTTCGACGAGCTTTCACCGCTCATCGTCTCAAGGGCAGATTTGTGTTTTCTTGAACTCAATGTCTTTTGGTTAGTTATGCATTCTCGACGTTTCCTGCCTCGCGAGCAGCTTGGCCGCTTGGGCTCCTCCCGTGCGAACCAGCACGAAGCGGCCCATTTGAAAAAGAGTTTGAAGCTCCTCGCAGCACTATTTAGGGCATGCAGCTGGCCTCTTGTATTGTCCAATCATAGCGACTTCAGCTAACAGAAGAGCCCTGATCCTCAGTCACAGCTCATTCTCCGGACTCGAGGTGGCTCGCTTCCAAGACTCCCCGAAAGTCGACTGACCCCTCTGCTGCATCCCTGGAGATCAGTCAAGCTTACTGGCAGCAACCAAACATGAATGCATATATATACCTGGTATTGTCGCCGGGGGGCGCCTGGTTCTGTACCTCTCATCCATACCCTTGTTCAACGGCTCAACTGGAACATGCCAAACAAGTTCCCCATCTCCCCAGATGCCAATCCATTGTTGGGTAAACAAGCAACACTCTGCTATCCCTTTGGAAGTTACTGGTTCAACTGATACCATTTTTTTTATCGTGTTTCCGGGGTTTCTGGAGGTCGGGGTGTCAGGATAGGAATATTGCGGTATTTAAATTCCTTGACTTTTTCCCCAGCGAAAAAAGCTGCGGGGATAGCTTCAGCTACCAGAACGGGCCTCGTGCAGCAGCCCGCCTGGCCGACCGACCGTACAACCGCTTGGCGCGCCATACCCTTTGCGTCTCCGAAAGAATTCTTGAAGCGAAGTGAAATGTGTCAGATTTGGTGGGACGAAAACGGTAAGCCATGCTTTATCCCTCGAAGGAGAAAATATTAGTATTTATGTAGAGATATATAGGGACATGGAGAGGAGCTGCGCCGATTCCTACCCATTCCCTCGAAGACCCAGGCCGGGAATCAGGTTGTTTGCGTAGTTTGGTTCTGGCTCGCAGCTGGCTGACTGTTTTTGTCGGGGCCGTTGGAGCCTTGGAAGAATAGGCAGACAAACTGGCTCTCTCTCCAGTATATTCTTGCATACTTGCAGAGTTAATCGAAACTTGAAGAGAACGATGTTGTTTGCTGACGCGTCTCTTGCCTCCCGTCCCTCTCTTCCAACGCCCCTTCCTTCTCATTCCCATAAGGAATATTCGCGCTTAGTTACATAACTCTTCTATGTAATCTGAGAGCTCGACTACGCAGCTGGCTGCCTCCAATGATGGCCATCCTCATTGGACTGATCTATATACAGAGCAGTTAAAGAGAATTAGTTCATGATACCACCGTTCTCACAGCCCCTACGCCTGAATATCAAACGGGCGGAATTTGAAAACTCAAGTTGAGTGTTGTGCCAACATGAGTACGAAAACATTAGCTAAGAAGAGCCGATATGGTTTGAGAAAGCAAGGCCACTCTTCAAAGTATACTACGTAGGGGATGGATGATTCCGAAATGAGTCAAGTTGTCATCATCGATTTCCATCCCGAAACCGGTTTACCTGGTAGAAGGGATACCACAGATACCCAAAACGGTGGTTATTTGAGTCAAATCTGAGTTTATGGCCCTATTCTCAGTTTATCTTCCTGCTCTTCGCCGTTGTCGCCTTCTTCTTCTTCTTCTTCTTTTCTCCCATTTCTATTACTCAAAATCATCCCTGTTTCTTTATTACAAACGACGATTTCAACCAAAGACGATTGGGACATCCCTGCAATATGTCGGACGCTCCTCTAGGCGTTTTCTCACGGCTTCCAGCTGAAATCAGAGAGATGATATGGCTCTACTTTGTTCCAGTGGCTGTGGACAAGACTGATCTTCGAGTTCTCCAAACAAACCACTCCATGTATAACGAAATCTCGGAGGTCATCTATCGTCACTCTTTCTTGGAATTTGTCTTGACACCATCGTTCCATCTCAATACTGTCTTTTTTGCCAGATATAAAGGCGTTTCCCGCCAAAGCACAATTGCTCCGCCTTTGCTACGGGGCTTTCTTGCAAACCGTTCGTCTTCGGTTGACGAATTTATTAGTTTCCCTTTCCACAAACTTAGCAAGGTGCATCTCACTTTGAATCTAGAAGCAGTGGCTTCTTGGGGCTGGCAGGAATCCTCACTCTTGGCTAGAGCATATCAGCTTAATATTCTATTGACAGCTATCGTCAAGATCCCGTACCTGCATATACGTATCCGTGGATCTCGTGATGTTGAAGGAAGGGCTGTATTTGAGCAAATTATTACTCCGTGTAGCGCATTCAGAGACATGACAACGCTCACTGTTGAATACCTCGACCCGGAAACCCATCCCACTCCGGCGCAGCTCTGGCCATCCGACCTTTTCTCGCATTAAGAAACGTGACGGCGCTCACTTTTGAATCCTCGATCCGGAAACACATTCCACTCCGGCGCAGCTATCGCCATCCGACTAGGCACGATAATTGTTCTTGTATGTCGAGCGAATATTTTGGATTATTGATATACGAAGTTGTTATGTTACGGGATTCTGAACGGTATGTTGAAAGACCTTAACTGCCAGTGTATTTTAATCACGTTCAAGCTAATGGTGCCCTCTCTACAGCTGTCTATTTTATTAAATAGCCGAGATGCTGGGCAGATGATAGTACGAAGCAGGGACAGCTGTTGTTATTGATGTTGTCGAAGTTGAACAGACCGTCTTTACGGATTTGAAATCCTTATATATATTCTTATATTGTATACTCTTATCTTGTATATTATATTATATTATTCATAATAATGAAGTATCTATAACCCACAAGTCTACATCAGAGTTGTATAAAGGTAACGAACGGAGATTGCCTGTGTGGGGGCAACTACATAGAGCTGGCCAGTGCGGATGGCTCCTAGGATCCTAGATGAAGCAGCCATGCCGTTCGGAGATTATAAGATGGCGGCTGGTCAGGAACGAGTGGGTGGGCGGGTGAGCCGGTTCAAAGGCAGCTTTGTTATATCCAGGACATAACTATGGATACTAGGCGCGCGGCGAGAACGACGCCCAGCAGCAGCTGCCGGCCAAAGCGCGCCGAGCCGACGATCCCCGACATCTCCGGCGCCGCACGTGTGCTGCGCGATTGGCCGTGGGCGAGAGCCGCGCTGCCTGGAGGAACAGCGAAATCTCCCGCCGGGCAAGGCATCCTCGCATGCCCGTCGCTGGGCGCGCCTGGACGCGCAGGCGGCTGCGTATAAACAGCCGCTCGCCAGCGTCGTTGGTGCTGCGGTGCGCTGTCGCCCTGTCTGGCCGTATCGACCCTGTCAGTCACCAGTCGTGGTCGTTCGTTGCTACATACGATGCATTGCACGGATCCTCTGTGCCTCTTCCTCGCCGTGCTTGCCTGCCAGGGTGCGCAGGCGGCGGGTGTGTCGTGGTATCCCCCCCGATCCACGGAGATCAATGACCTCGACAACGTCCTGAACACGTCTGGCGTGTATGGCTTCATCTTCAATTCCTCGCATACCCCTGATAAGGACTATGGCACCTACAATTGGTGCAACATGCCGCGTGTGCGTCGACGGGAGTACAGGAGGCCTTCGCCGGAGTATGTCTTGAAGTATGTGGAAGTGGTACGTGAGCCCCTGACTGCGGAGTAGGTAGTTAGTTACCAGCTGTGGGAGTGAGGAATGCGGTCTAAGTTTGATCTAGATACACCGCCATCACAAACGTACTCCTTACCAGTCGAATACTTTCCCTGTAGAATCGTATCCTTGGGATTGTGATGATCAGGGGCTGTACTTCTACGGCCAACCGATGAATGGCAGACGAAGTGCTGACGCCTATTGGAAAGGGTACCAGAACCCGATCACGCCCTTCAGTGCGCCTGGATTCAAGGGCTCTTGCAGATTTCCGCAGATCAGCAAGGAAGGGCTGGACGACTCCTGGCAGCATGGGCGAGACTTGTATGAGGTTTACCATAATCTCTTGCGCTTTATCCCCAGATTCCTTGACCTGCGCAAAGTGTCGTTCCGTGTCACCACAAACGTGATTACCAGTCAGGTTGCAGGAATGTTGATCAACGGGATGTATAGAGTGTGCCAGGACGTGCCTCTACTTGTTGAGGTATGCTAACCTCCCCCAGACCATGCTGTAGAGCTAACGGCTAATGGGTAAACCAGTCATCGTCGATTGACTCTTTGGAGCCATCCTATTCATGTCCCAAATCCAGCGCGCTTTTTTCTGAAGCTAAGAGTCAACCCAATACCACTTGGGCTGCGCATCTCTCCCGCACAAAGGACCTATTTAGTTCCTTGGACTCAGTATCCGGCGTTCCAGCGTCAGATTCAGGCTGGCACTCGAGCTTTGATCGTTACTTCGACAATCTATCAGCCCGTCTCTGCCATGCTAAGCCCCTTCCTTGCTCTCTCAACGATACTTCAAAATGCATTACCCAAGCACAGGCAGACACAGTCTTCCGCCTGGGTCAGTTCGAGTATTCCTACGTCTACCGTGACGCGCCCAGCTCTCTGGCTGCGAGTGCTGCCAGCATGGGTGTCTGGGCTGCCGAATTAGCACAGCATCTGCGCGATCAAATTGCCGGCTGCGATGGACAGATGCTGTATCGACACAATATTGCGCACGATGGCAGTGTTTCTCGTGTCCTTTCCGTCATGCAAATTGACCAAATGGTGTGGCCAGGAATGGGTGCTGAGATAGTATATGAATTGTATACCAAACGGAAGAGCCCATGGGAAGGCAGACCGGAGCATTTCGTGCGTGTGCTATTTGGTGGACAAGTCATGCGAAGCTCAAGCCCATGTTTGGGCCTTCTAGATATGATCCCTGTTTCGAAACTTTTGGACTATCTTGATGGATTGGTGGGAAAGAAAGCGCAACTTGTCCCTGGCTTGTGCGGAAGATGAACGCCTACAGAAACGACAATAAACAGCCTTTATATCTATTATATTTAATGACCCTGAGACATTTTTCCTTCGAGAGCTCTGTCGATTTAAATCCAATGTATTTTCCTCGTTATTATCCTACGTATTGTTAGTTTCATTCCTGTTTCAACCCCTTTTCCAACTTGGTAGATGGAATGAAGCTACAATATATTCGTCGTTCATTTAGAGGATTATGATGATAGATTGGGAATCGGCCCGATAGCCGGGAATTTTCGACCAGATAAATGATTTAAGGGAAGATGATAAAGTTAAGCACTAAACACAGTAAAGCTCTTAGACTAATAATACCAATTTCCTTGCGATTCGGGTTTGTATATAAAATTATACTGGGTGGCTTACGCTCGGCATATTGCCTACGGAAACAGCTGCGCTTGATCTTACTCCTTTTCTCCATTGCTCCGCATTCCAACATGAAGTGTTGAGCATACTCGACTTCAGGAACTGAACTTCTTCTGCACAGATTCAGGAGATGCCGGCATCGCAGCACCTTGAGGAGGGTTATTTTTGCTCTTGAAGTCATCCGCCATCTGCTCAAAGGTCACCCATTCGATCCCCTCATGTTTGTTAATATACTCAATAATCCTATGGAATTTTAGGATCACATAAAAGAAATTTGATAGGGGAGGGATGTGGTAACCAACCGTTCATGCATAAGTAGCACGTGGGGGCGGCCAGAAACATCTGGGTGTATAGTCATGGGAAAGACAAATTCGTCATATTCACGATAGAAATAGTCGAAGTGGTCCTGTTGGGAGATCTTAAGTATGACGTTTACGATTTATGAAATTGGTTAAATAGGGCTGTTACCTTCCAGAGATCCTCCACATCTCTTGGATTCACCCAGCCATGACTGTTCGGCGAGTTCTTGATGAACATCATTGGTGGCAAATCGTCGAGATACCAATTTCCAGGGATCTCAACCAGGCCGGTTGGCTTCCCTTGGTCCAACGGCTTCATCCACTCCTCTGCCTTTTTCGTGTAATCGATGTTTGTCCATTTGACTTCTGCGGGAAGCCAATACATCTGACAATCATGGTGGGACATTGAGTGGTCATACTCTATCCCATAGCTCAGAAGAAGCTCCGTTCCCTCCGTGCTTGTCTCCCACCACGGTGCAACGGTACCTCGAGGAGGTTTGCCGCAGAAATTGGTGAGTAGTTGGTAGGTTTTGTGAAGCACATCTCGCTGTTGCTCAAGGGTCATGTCTGTCGGGTTCTCGTGAGAGTACCCATGGAGGCCTATCTCATGACCTGCATCACGGACCATGGCACATTCCTCAGGGAAGGACTCAAGGGAGTGCCCGGGAATAAACCATGTCGCTTTGATGCCGTACTTCTCAAAAAGCTTGAGAAGTCTGCGAGTCCCATGCGTTCCTGCCCAAATGCCTGTGTGCGGATGATTAGTGGGGAATAAGTCGGGGAAAATATGTGTGAAGACATGCCTCTGCTGATATCATTGGTACTATCCTGGCCACCATAAGAGCCCAGCCAGCCAGCTACAGCGTCAATGTCAACTCCATAGCCAACAAGAACTCGTTTTTTACCCATAGTTACGATTAGATAGATGCTGCTGCCAATAGAAGTGAATATATGAACCAAGAATAGATATATAGGGTCTGTCTGGCCCAACAATATAAAAAAGGAGAGCTATTGGGCATTTATAGGGGTATCAAAGAGGGGAAAGCCCCGATTGACAACCCGTTCATCACATGTCGTGCGGGGTTACATGACGGTTGGGTGTACTACCCCATAGCAAGAGAAGTTGGAAGCTTTGCAAAGGCACAATGGTAAGCACCGAGTACATCAGCACATTACCTGCCGTGGAGCGTCCCGGACAGGTCCAGAAGAAACGGCCAAGCTTCCCCCGCCCCTGGCATTTGTGGGGCGCAAGGAGATCGACCATCCCAGCTAATAAGCGCATCGGAAGACCGGAGAGTTTACACTCGCCTTAGTTACATAAGCTGACTAATTAGTTATCCTTCGGTTTCTCTATACTCTACATGCTCTCAGTCCACTACAGAAAACTGCTGTAAGCAAAGGTGCCGTAGCCGGTGAAGCCACTCTTTTATTTTCTCACGGGCTGCATTTCTGCCCCCTAAATAGATATATCTTGTACTCACAGCCCAGCCACTCACAGAGCCCGACGCTCGCACCAAGCCCCGCGACCATGGTGCCCAGAAACCATTTCACCCGCATTCCCTCAGCCAGCGGCACAGTCCCCTCTGCGACTGCCAACAGCTATGGAGGTTCCCAGAACCCAACCCCCGCACCTCCTCCCTCTTCGGTCCGACGCAATCTTTTTCACTCCCACTTCAGTCGCAGACAACAGCCGTCAAGCACCTCATCGAGCTCCCTGTCAAGCAACCGTACGCACACCCGTACACTGACTGGTGGGGATGGGAGTGGGCTAAGCAGCGATATAAATGGGTCGTCGAAGTACCGCCTTCCAGCCGGGGCTTTGTCTCTGGGCGCCGCTGGTAACTCGATATCCGACGGGGACGATCTTGTTGTCCGTGATAAGAACGGAAGCTATAAAATTGATATGCCAATGCTGCAGCCTGGGGCTCTAGGAGAGATGGCTAGCGGTGAGAATGGCAATGCAATGGCAACGATTGGGGGTGATGAACATATGGGGCTTGGGCCTGACGGAGGGATGACCAGTGTAGACAAAGAGAGTATGTATTTTCGTTTGCATAACGATCTCTGCTGTTGAACTCGTTTCCCTGGCTGAGTGCTCCTTACCATGTCATTCTAACCTTTCTTTTCTAGAAATCGATGCCGGTATTGCCGAAATGATGCGACGCAACCGGAGCAGGCAACTGAACAGCGAGCCTTCTGGTAAGTAACGATCATCCAACTCTGCATCATCTCAATACATTTGCTGTTGTTTTTGCTCTACATTTCTAGCATGACTATCCAACCCCATCTATTTCTACGCTCAACGTGCAAAGCAACAAGAGCTAACAGTCATTTGTAGAGGTCTATCTACTTATCCAGCAAAGCTTACAAAACAGAGTAGCTTTGTTGGAAGAAGATAGGTGGATGTTCGAATCTGAACAAGAAATTCGTACATAAGCATCCAATACGCTTTGGGTCTCCATTTCATATTTTGCCGATCGGTGCGTAGTTGACTGGAAATACTGCGACTTTCTGTCTACACATCTAATCCAAATCCATCGATACTGGAGCTTCAACCTGTTTTGTGCTACCGGGTTTTGGTAAAGGTTTTGACTTAGAACCCCCACCAAAAAACATCCCCATCATATCCATCAACGGATTCGATTGTTTGGGTATTTTTATACCGAAGTACATCTCGCCGATATGAGCCAGCGCCTGGTCCCAATCTCCCGCTTCTTGAATGTATGTTGCATAATGTCTTAACAGCTGTTTGAACAAGTCTGGGCTTCCGCGCTGAATAGCCAACAACAACATATTTGTGAAATTGAGAAGCGGTAGGGACGGGTAAACGCGGATATCGTTGCTTTGACTACTCACGTCTTGCACACCTAGTGCTTGACTTGCGGGTGAAGATGACAACTGGTTCCTAAACACCATAGATGCTTTGTTGGCATTTTGAAGGTTTCCGGTGAGTAAGTATGGGAATACTGCACGAGCAGCATATATTCCTGCCGTGTGCGCATCGTCATACGTGTACCACCTATACTCTAAATTGCCCAGCACCTCTGCCGAGTCAGCGGTTCCTAAAGCTAGGTGCCGTTCCGCATCATATGCTTCGTTTTCTGATCGCCGTATCAGCGTGTTGACCACTTATAGTAAGTCGAGTCAATATCTATACCTTCAGCGTAAATAGCTCCAATAGCATGGTGTATTTCCGGGTCGCCAGTTTCGATTTCTCCGAACTTAGAGCTCCATGTTACCATTTCATTGATGTACCTCTTCCTTGTAGGCTCTTCTGGTGGGAACTCCCGTAGGATGTTGATTAGCCGCTCTATGTTCCATTTAGTTAGTACAGAATGGCAACATAGAAGAGAAAAATTCCAAATCAGGATCAAAGATATACGTGCGTTTTCTCTCATTACCAGCAGCATCTTCTGAAAGCGCCCACTCGGCTTTATTATACACATCAACCACAAGCATGATAGCAAGATCTCCACCACTCGCGGACGCCCCTTGCTGGGTTCCAGCCTTTAGTAGTGCCGTTGCGCCACCGGCGAGTATTTCTGCTGCTGCATCGTAGTTTGATTGTTTGAGATATCTGGCAGCGATAACACGGAGTTGCTGGTGGGCTTCATAGTACGCTCCGGCAGCGATCCTAACAAGGGACAGTTAGATCGAGGTTCACCAAATACACTAGGAACGCAAGCAATGGAGTGAAAAGGGCTCGATATATTGGAAGTATATCTGCAACGGGCGGTAGATGCTCATACTTTTCTTGGTGCCGGGCGATTGTCTTATCGATTCTCGAGCTCATGGTCTGAGAACAACCACAGCGCCAATGGGTTTAGGTTAGACTATCGTGTCTATGATGAATTCGGAATAACCAGGGATGAAGTAAGTAGCATAAGTGACTAGAAGGAAGAGGAAGTTAGCTGCCTCGAAAGCTCCTAAAACAGTGTCCTGAACCCAAATTGACATAAAGAGAACTAGTTAAGCCCACCTAGCTTTGGTGGTCAAATAGCAGTCGATCAGGAAAGCCCATCAGCAAGGCGCTGTGGCGGAGTGGTTAACGCGTCACACTTGAAGTCTCCAATACTTTAGGACATGTGATCCTTTCGAGGGCCAAGGTTCGAATCCTTGCGGCGTCGATTTTTTTTCCCTGTTTACTTTCATAGTTCCTTCCCCACCGGCCCCCAAGCCCGAGTGATATGGCTATGTGAACTGAAGATGCGAGTGTGGCTAGTTAGTCAACTAAATAATTAATCCACAGTGCCCATTTTCTGTATCCAGTTATGAATTCCCACATTTTTGAAATTCAACCCTCGCATAGGTTCGCCGGCTCCAACGCTGCAGTTCGTCGGCCAAAGGTTGATCTTACTATATAATCCATCCGCCCACGCTCGAACAAGATTGGCTAACTTCTTGAAGGAGATTGCATATTTTTCTTATGATGACGAGCATAATTTTCGTCTCGACGAATCATCTCTTCGATATTATTATCCTCCAAGGCTTCCTACCGACCTAAATGGAGGGTTCGAAAGTTTTGAAAAGCTAGATGATTCTCAAGATGAACATCTGGATGCATTGTTAGATACCATTATTGACCTTGAGCAAAGGACGAATGCAAAATGCGAAGGGGATGTAATTACATGGAGGGGTATGATGACCAAGGTAGCACATGAAGATGAGATATACCCCGCTCTCCACAGACCCAGCTGATGGAGATCGATGAAGTTGATGACTGCTCCGTTTGATAACTGGAATGGGTGATTGGAGCTTTCCCCGTGTTCTTGAATGATCAAGAGTGAATACTGAGAAATTCACAGGTTTGAGATGAATGCAACTTTTTTCCAGGTGGGCAACTTGTTTTCTTGTCCTTTCGAGTATCAAGCGGCTTACATTCGTTCTGCTGCTTTTGAAGGGCACAGTGTAAGTCATTGGAAGTTTCCTTAAATGCATACGATGAGTATGCTTATAGTTTCTTGGTTACTCTAGATTTATCGAAGAAAACAATGAGTATAAAAACAACCAGAAACAGGTACAGAAAGGGCAAAGAATGCCACCTGGTGCCCCGTCCCAGGAATTGATGATGTATTGGGGTATAATATAACTAATATAACTTTCGAAATTTCCAGCTAATGGATACAAATAGGATATAAATTTGAAGCATTGTCCCTCATCGACCAGCCATGGGATAAGACGTCTCGCGAAACAATTGAGTCCCGTGAAGAAAAGGTAGTAAATAATAGCTCTCAATACTGTTCCGTTGTTCGTACAGGAATAGGAAATAACAAGTTAATTCTTGGCGGAGAGGTTGATGCAGGTGAGCATTATATCGGACCCTACCTGTGTTTCGAATACTCATTCCCTGACGTAGTATGGGATTGTAAACCCGAACGGAAAGAGGACCCTATTAACTGGGTTGAATTAAAAACAACTGCAGAGATTCGGAGTGACAGAGATATCTTGAAGTACGAGCGGAAGTTGTTAAAGTTCTGGGCTCAATCGTTCCTCCTTGGGGTCCCAAAAATAATCGTCGGATTTCGAGATGAGCACGGAATTCTACGCCGACTCGAGGAGATGACCACCCACGAGATACCAGGGTCCGTTAAGAGACATGGAAGAAATTCTTGGGATGGCAACATATGCATCAATTTTACCGCTCAATTACTAGATTGTAAGCGCTCCTGCTTTTGGCGTGGAAGGCTGGAGGAACTAATGATATCAGGGTTACGGAATATAATTAGCACAGAAGGTGTATGGAGGATTAGGAAGAGAGAGAAGGCACCGGTTATTGAAGTGTTCAAACTCGAAGACACAGGTTATGGAGGAATTCTGTCGGATGCGTTCATGAATTGGCGATCTCAAAAATAATATTCACAGGAGCAATTTTGGTGAAATTGCTCTCTGAGTTGTGGCACTTGGACATCTTAAATGTTCAGCGCCGTCTTACGAACCCTTTGTGAATCTCAACGCAATGCTTTAGAACATAAAAGCGTAACATGGTCCTTTGGCTGGTTATGCTCTTCGTGGATAACGGGTACATATAAGCATACTGGCCATGTGGCAGGCAAGAAATCCATAGTGATCCGGTAAATCCGATGGTATTGTTTGCTCCTCCAATTGTTATTATGTCTGCTCATCCGGATTTGATTTCTTGGGCCTGCTGGGGTATTTCGTTTTCCGGCACCTCTTGAATGCGCTTAAAATACTCTTCCCGGTCCTTCTTCCTACTCTCCCGTTTCACTGCATTCTTGTGCTTTCTCCCTTTCATGTGAACCTTCCATTGCTCTTCAGTCATTGCTCTCGCGTTACACACCTCACAACCCATACGTTTGATCTCTATATTATCAGTTGAAGGTTGCCCATTTTGCTTTTTCATCTCAAACACCTCTTTTGCTATCTCCGACACCTCGCTTGGATGTGGGCGAGGATTTTCGGACAAGAAAGCATCCACAATCTCTTCTGCAGGCAGCCGAACCGCACTGTCCCAGCTCTTTGCCTCTGTGGAATCGAGAATATAAAGTCGATCAGTCGCGTTCGCAGCTTCCAAGGTATTCCATAATCTGCCTTGTATCCATTTAATCTGACTTCGCGCATATTGTCTTGTAGCTGATTTGACAGATTCAATGCATTCTTTTTTAAGCTTCTGGAGGTGGTCCGACGAGAAATTGCCGGCTGATAAGGCCGAGATAAAGGGATCTAGCTCCTTAAATCCAATGGATACCCAGACACCAGTTGTTCTATCAATGTGAACACCGTCTCTCTCCTTTTGTTTCAGGTGGCCAAACATATGCTGGGCCTCTGCCAGCAGCCCTTGATCGATCATCACATCTACACGGTCGTCTAATCTTTGTTGAAGGATACTTTTGTTACTATGTACCCACAAAAGAATGGTATCAAATCTCAAATGCCCAGATTTCTCTGTAGGGATAAACTCCAAACTAGGGTTGAAGTCATCATCCGTTGCCGATATTCGTTTAAGCTCAACTTTTTGTTCCTGATAAATATCGGACGCCCGACGGCCAGTTTGCAAATATATCTGTAGGGATCGTCGAATCTTCCTCTTTTCGTTAGGGTGCCAGCGTTCAGCCATAACAGGGTCAACTTCTCGTAAAGCATGTAGGAGCTCCTCTGCTGTTCCCTGTAGAATAGGCCATTTCGCATTTTCTACGACCTCGTCATACTTTCCGTCTGCATTTTCATCATCACTATTGCATCCAGAAACTAGCTGCTTGTGGAACACGATGGACTGTGTGTAATAGTGTGTGCCACCCACAAGTATGGGTAATTTTCCCCGTGCCCTTATATCTTCAATGACCTTCAGAGCACTTCTTTGGAATTGTCCAACTTTCCATGGCTCCTGGTCAATATTGATACGCGCGATTAGATGGTGTGGAATGCCCGCCCTCTCGTCAAGTGGTATTTGATTGGTAATTATAGGTAACCCCTTATACATCTGCATAGCATCTCCATTGATAATTTCTCCATTGAAGCGAATCGCTAGGTCAACCGCGAGCTGTTCTGGTATCAGCCACCAACTCCTTTAGCTAGCTTAAATGCGAGAAACAAACCTTAGACTTGCCAGTCCCCGTTGCCCCGAGGACGGTAACGAGAGGCTTCATAGAAACCCGTCGAGATGTTGTATATAATCTTAGGGGGCTGTTCAGTCTGAACATCGGACCGTTCCCCTCCGCCTTTAGAGCGCATATCTCCTGTTAACCCCGGGTTGCTGGCTAGGTTCGTTGACCGGCTTAGTCACGGACGACTGTAACCCTTCATTTAACGAGAAACAGCTCGCTTTTAACCTGATAAATAAAAATTGTTGAAAGATATCACGCCTCCCATTACAAAAGAATCTGGCATTAGCGGTCTTAGTGCGATGGCGTCAGCCGTTCCCGACTCTTCTATCCACATCACCAACCTCAACTATAAATTCCCTGATGGCACGCTAGGACTGACGAGTATTAATCTCGATCTTCCTTTGGGAAGCCGTACACTGCTAATTGGAGGTCAGGCAAGTGCATTATCTATGCTACCTGCATTTGCTTACCCCTCAAATAGCGAATGGTGCTGGCAAAAGCACACTTCTCCGACTTCTATCCGGTAAACGCCTCGCTCCGTCCGGTACCGTACTGATTGGCGGTGTCGATCCTTTCAAGGATGGTCTCGAAGGGGTAACATATCTTGGTGTTGAATGGGTTTTGAACCCTATTGTGCGGACAGATATCGACGTTCCTACTCTTCTCGCATCAGTCGGAGGAGACCACTACCCAGAGCGACGAGATGAATTGGTTGAGATGCTTGACATAGATCTATCATGGCATATGCATGCCGTCTCAGACGGCGAAAGGCGTCGTGTTCAGCTAGCTATGGGTTTATTACGGCCATGGAATCTACTTCTTCTGGATGAGATTACAGTGGACCTAGATCTACTAAGCCGAGCAAATTTTCTGGAGTTTCTGAAAAGAGAGACAGAGACTCGACCATGTACGATCGTATACGCGACCCATATTTTGGATAACCTTGCCCAATGGCCCACGCATCTAGTCCACATGCACATGGGCAAAGTTAGAGACTCCGGAGCATTCGAGAAGTTCCACGCCGGAAACAAAAACGTATCGGAGAATAGTCGACTAGGGGAAATCGTCATGGAGTGGCTAAAGCAAGATTTAAAGGAAAGAGGCCCACGGCCGGGACGACCAAGCGAGAGTCAACCAGACCCGGGTTATAACATGGAGATTTGACCGGAGAGCATATGACGAGGCATTCACTGCCTTATGAGTCTAAACAAGGTCACCTCTACCCTTAACGGTGAGGCGAATCCTATAACTTTAGATTAAGGCTTCAACGCACAGAAGATTCGGCTTTTTATAGACGATCTAGTCTTCTTTTTGTTTTTGAAATCAAAGAAATACACTACCGTACTATCGTGGAAAACCCCAAACATCATATACACGGACGGAAGAATCTTCGCTAGCAACAGCTATCTGGTATAAGTCTGTTTTGGAGTCTTCATTCGCTATAGAAATCGGCCGCCATGATAGTCGTGTGATTGCCCTCGACGGGCTCTCAGACTTTGGTATTTCTGCGCTCTTTCCAGGTGTGAAACTATCGGAGGAAATTTCATGCAGCATTACTCTCCCAGTATCATCTCCAATAGCCAGACATAACCGACCCTCCACAATTTTCGGTAGGAAATCGATTGCCGTGACGGGATGAGGAATGGCAATAGTGCACTTGCAAACGAAAGTGGTTTCTTCGCGAGCCCATATTTTCACTGATCTATCTCTCCCGGCAGTTGCAAAAACCCCTGTTGGATGCGGCGCCCAATTTGCACTAAGTATCATCCGTGAATGCGCCTTGAGGTTCGAAGTCCAGAGTTTGTACGCCATTTTATCGGACACATCCCGTTTAAATATCGCCCATTGACGATCACGCCCAACGCTTAGAAGGAATTGATCGTCGCTAGAAAATTGAAGAGAAGTAATTGTTAATGAGTGAGCGGTAAGTGGTGGGCGAATTTCACGCCATGTTTCAGCGTTGTATAAGCGAATCACGGCGTGGTCTATTGAGCTAGCTTTGCATGCAGTTGCTATAAGGAGCCGGTCGTTGCTTGCGGCAACAGCTGAGATTTCGTAACCATGGCCGTAGAGCTTCTCGTGTTCGGGCCAGAGTGTATGCCTGGCTAAGTGATCTTCCAGAGGAGGCCGATGGAGATCGAGCTGGATAACTGGTCGAGGCGCCTCGCCCTCCATTCCGTTTGTTTCATTTTCATTCTCACTGTTCATATCTGATTCATCCACAGCCTTGTTTGAGAGCCCTAGAACTGGTATATTTGCGGCTTCGGCCATTTCATCTTGCGATGCTTGCTTGAAGCCAGACAGCTGTTCCAGCAGCAGTGCTATTGACTTTGTCTCGCTAAAAACTCTCAGGAGCTTTTCATCTGCGCCAGACACAAACCTCCGAGGCCCAAGAGATGCTAGACAATTTAGATCATATCCATGAATTTGAGGTCTCGAGAATTCATGCCAGGAGCTATGGCTGTTATGTTGCCAAGGTGCATGCAGTCTTGTTGTCTGATCGCCACTTGTTGACAACAAGTACCCTCCACTTGGTTCCCAGACAACATCGTTAACTGATTTCACATGCCCTGTAATACCCAAAACCTGAGCCCATGCGTCCGCGTCGCTTTTATACTCCCAGGATCTCCAACTTCCAGTACGTCCCAGGCATATGACCCTATTCCCATCCGGGGACCAAAGCCCAATCCAAAAACCCCCAGCGCTGCCGGTTGCCGTGGTAGATCCTTTCTGGACGCTGATTTCTCCCATTCTTGAGCCTGAAAACCAAACACCTGACACAGCGTCACACTCCCATATTACCAAAGAATTGTCAGCTGATGAGGACATTAACTGAGGCCTTTGGGAATTCGGATTCCATGCGATTGAATATATCCAATCTTCATGGCCAAAGAGTAAGGCTTCAAAGGTGATGGAGTACTTCGTTCCAGCGACTTCAAAAGAGTGTGCCTTATTCGATAAAGTATGGTCCACAGCTCCTAGTATCGGGCCTTCAGCACTTGTAGATACTGAGCTAGCTGTGTTACCTGGATGGACTCTCCATAGACGAATGTACTTGTCCTGGCTAGCAGAGGCAAGGAGAAAATCTTCGCTTCCAGGAAGGTTAACATCAGTAAAAGCAAGAGCCCTTATCCAACCCTCATGTCCAGTCAATGTAGCTTTCAGTTCAAACTTTGATGAATTCTGTGCGACAAAGATCTGTACAATGCTTCTTGTTCCACCTACAGCAAGCACAAGCTGTCCCCCATCTAGCTTCCTTAATGCCAATGCAAGAGGGAAGTAATGGGGTTTGAGGGTGATAGTATCCAGTAGACTAGCTGAGACCGTCTCTAAACCCTTTGTATCAATAGCCCAGGTCTTTATTGTCCCATCCGCAGCACCGGACACAAAAATATCAGACCCTCTCGCGCAAGCAATGCAATTTATAGAGTTTTCGTGGCCCTGGAGTGTGGTAGCTAGTGTAAAGGTGCGGAAATTGGTATCGGGCCTCCATATCTTTATATTTCGATCAGTTGAGCCCGAAATGAGCAATGGCGTTTTGGAGTCGCCGTTCAATGGCGTACAAAAGCGGATGGCATTCACTTTGTCGGTATGGCCTACTAGAAGCGCATGCACTCCACGATGATATGGATCCTAGAGGCTGAATAAGCATGTGAATTTAAATTCTCGGAAAATGCCATGAAATTATACAGCAGGATCCCAAAGCGCGACATTATCATGGGCTCCATACGCGACAAGGCCTGACAGCTGGTCCCAATCAGCTGCGGCGGGGTGCCTATTGCCCCCGACGCTGATATACTGGGTATTAAAAGACACCATGAATAAAAATTAGAGGGAGCCAATCAAAGAATTAATTGGGATATTATAACATATAAAGTGTAATGGTAGTGAGGATGGGCGTTGACAAGAATGACATTGGAGGAGATTATTGTAGCGCCAAGAGATACCGACCTTATCGATAAGAGACTTTCTTCCCCGCAGAATCACTTTTTGGCGACTTCCGAGCGATCAAGAAATAAAAGACAACTCAAAAACTCCCTTATTGGAAAGGGTGGCTTAATTCGAGTGTAATGGGATCTCATGCGATGGAGAATATTGACGTTCAACCCTCTTTGGCTATAACGGTAGAATTCACGTTCGTATTCTTGAATTTAGCCACTTGTACGTTGAAAAAAACTAATGTAAAGCGCTTCAGCGGAGGATTAGAAATGTTATTTTCAAATTGCCGTAAACATACGATTACCCTACCGTCGACGAACCCAAATGGCGATCCGTCAAACATTGCTTTTCTGATACAGCACCTTTGCGAAAATGTTATGAAAGATAGTAGGAAAGAACTCTTTGTTCTGGACGACTCTGTGTAATACTATCTGCATACCTTGATTCACCTAATAAAATCTTGGAATGACTACTGACTTCTAAAAACCAACAGACGCCCAGGAATACTTGTGCTCATAAACGATGCAGACTGGGAACTAGAAGGCGAAGAAGAATACCAGATACAGTCTGGAGATAACATCCTATTTGTATCAACGCTACATGGAGGGTAGCTCTGGAGAACTGTATTGAAAACAAATCTTTAGTGGAGATCGTGATACAGTTTTCGAATTGACGAAAGTCGAAAACACGGCGTTCAGACGAATATTTACACAACATCCTCAACATGAAGTTGTGAGATCCGCTCAGGGTTTCGAGGTGTTCTTAGGCCACTTTGTGGAGTCCCTCCCCTTGTCAAAGTACCAGCGGAACCGTCGGTTATTGGGGAGACGGAGCCACTTGGTGGTACTGGTATTTTGATGTCTTCGGGTGACCCGGGAATTATCTCTGGAGGGAGATCCGGCACATGTATCCTTTTAGCTTCATTACTGTAGCTTGCGGGTATAATCTATAAGTAAAATACCATCAGTCATATTGCATTAAGGGAAGTTAAAAATAGGGAATTACCTCAATGATTTCATCACGAGGGAAAGACAAGAAAGGGATATCAGCAGCGTTACAAGCCATCAGGTATCCGTACAACACGCGTAAAACACTCTCGTGTGCGATGATGAGGAGGTCGTTTCTCTCACGTTCTAGCTCGAGGATGATGGGCTCAAGGCGAACGGCGAGGTCATGGTACGACTATGGATAACTTGTTCAGTGGCAGCTAATAATAGAATTTAAAACTCCGAACTCACCTCTGCCCTGGGATAACGATGATGGTAGGGGTCCAAGTCATGCTGGATTACCTCATCGGGGAATTCCTCTCGAATTCGACGTTCCGACATCTTTTCACAGACACCAGGGTTAAGCTGACTTAACTGGGATCTATGCCGCGTTTTAAACCCTTTTCTGTGTAAAATCTGCGCCGTTTCAATTGTTCTGCGTCTGGTAGAAGTCCAAACAATTAGAGGCCGCATCTGTCCCTCCAAGTCTCCTTGTTCAATGGCCGTCTGCCGTTCATCTTCACGATGCTCAAGAAGTCGCTGCGTCATTTTGCGAGCATAATCTTCACCTTGAGGAGAAAGTGAAGCATCTGCCTTATATGAGTCTGCTTCCAGAGATGTCCCAGCCTAAATAAGAGAATTTAGGAAAAGCTACCAAGAGCAGAGAAGTGTTAACATACCCGTGCAAAATATGTGCGTCTGTTTTGAATATGTAGATTCAACAGATAGAAAATAATCCGGTGATGGAGGTACCCGAAGCTGCAATTGTTGATCATCATCTTGTCACCAGCGTTGATCATCTATCATATTCTGATTAGTTCAGCTCAAAAAAGCATACTACAGACCCAAACCTTTATGTAATTTAAATCTTTTTCTTCCATAGTTTGGAATTGTGGTATGCGCGCTGAAATCCTTGACAAGTAATCCTTTACTGCGTCCTTGGGGTCCCATCCTTTATACTATAATTCACAACATCAGCTTCAGTCTAATGTTAAGAAGCCGGATTCAACTCACATCAGGCGATGAGATCTTGACTCTTTGCACGTTTTCTTCTATGATTTTTTCATCGTCACACCACGACTCAAGAAAAAGAGTCTAAAAATATTAGTAAGGGGATTCATATCATAGCGTTTGGTTTGCCTTACCTCCATGCCATATTTGCCAAACTCCTTCGCTAACGATCTTCGGCCAGCTGCAATCGGATTGACGGCATCGTATATGGCAACTTGGCCGTTTTCGTCACTCAAGAAATGATATATGTCATCCCTGCATTTTTTTACAATTTTCTGTCTGAGAAGAACAGATGATGCGGAGGCTAGAAAGGGAGCTGTAAGCATAAGATGGACTTCAATACTAGTAGAAGCAAAGTATACTGTTGTCGACAAGAAGCGGGTATTTTTTAAGGCACTAATGGCCTCAAGACAACATCAAAAATAACAAGCATACTTACCCTTTACGAAGAAATAATCTTCAGGCAAATCTTGTCCTGGGCCCACGGTAGCGCGCCGATAATCCCCGAGGTGAAAAATACGGGTTTTGACCCCAAGCCTTTATCAAAGAATGAGAATGGATGGTGAAGGTAATATTAAGGACGAACATACCAACGTAGGTATCGAGCAATAGCTACAGAAATATGACTAGACCTCGCCTTTAGTCAAACGAAGGATACAGAAAATTGAAGTACTAACGTTTTGCCTCTTGCTGGTAAGCCAACAGTGATAATCACGATTCGCCCCGAGTGAAATAGACGGCCAGACTCTGTGCTGTACAGTTGTGCTGGAGCAATTTCTGGCTTATCAGGGAGATCGTGTATAGCATCCACAAAGGTGCTAGACTTGCGGCGAAAACGAGGCGAACTCGCAACAACATCCGGATTTCTAGTAGTGGTTAGAAGTATTCATGGAAGTCCAAGCATCCTAGAAATATCTACAGCCATCATAAACCCCTTTAAGGAACCAAATAAGGATAGTGCAGATGATTTATACTCACAAATGGGCATCCATTATGAACTAACTAATGCTTCAGGCACAAGCTAAAGGGAAATAAAGAGGGGGATTCGTCAAGGAGGCAGGATTAATGAAGGCATATATATAGCAGCGTGAACACGACTAAGCTATGTTTACAAGAGGCAGTACGCAAACAAGGGTTCCAGGGCGATAATCACAATAGTTGGCGCTTTGCGCGAACCCCTTGTCAATGCAAGGCGGGTAGGGGATAATGTTGTCCTCAGGTAGTGAGGGTTTTGGGCATCACCGGCTGCATTGGGGGCCACACACAATATCTGCAAATATCAGGCAGAATCGATAAGGGACAGCAAAGCAATCGCGCTTTAGCTGAACAATGCACCAGATCATAGCAGAATACCCAAGTGGGGACATCAGAGACGGTTACTAGGCACGAGAGCAGCGACAGGTAGGGCCAAAACGGGGTTAGCGGCCGGTCGTATGAACTGCCTTGGCATTCGTGCTTTCGTAAGCCGCGGCCGGAGAAAACCCAGCTCCGGTGATAGCGACCTGCTTTTTCTGCAGATGTGAAAGCTGCATTGTTGCTGGTCACCCACTCCTTGCCCATTCCACAGCAGTGGTTAACGTTCAAGCGCCAGAAGCTGGGAGTCGCTTGTGGCCATTGATACAGGGCTTCTAGCACAGCAAGAAAGCCAACTCCCCCTCTTCAGCGGCCTTTTTCTCCTTCAATTCGATCTGGACATTCACCACCATGGCGGACTTCAGCTCTTCCCTCGGCCTCGTCACTGACAATGCGGTGGCTTCCTTTCTCAGAGACGCCTACGATGCATTTTCGGAACGCAGGAAAACACTTGGGTTAACAAACCCTGGAACAGTGGAGAATGTTGGCCGTGAAGTGCAGAAAGATGTTTTGCTCTCCGCTTTCATGTTCACCGGCCTACGTGCAGATTTAACCAAAGTCTTTGGTGTCTCCCCACTGTTTCGAATTTCGCATGCATTTGCAATGGGCTCACAAGGCAATCTGCCGCCTTACGCGTTTTCGACAATGTTTGGAACACCCGACGTAAGTTGCTAATTCTGTTGAATCTTGGTTAATGGAAGTACGATCAGCATAGCCTAACTTATTGCTAGGTTCTCATGCAAGGTAATATTGGTAGCGACGGAGCTCTTAACGCTGTCTGCAATTATCGCTGGAATTCCGCCTTGGTCACGAAGGTTAACGCCCAGATAGCCCACGGAGCTTCCCAGGGTCTTTTACAAATCGACAATGATTATACCGGCTCAGATTTCTCCGCGTCTCTCAAGACATTCAATCCGTCGTTCCTTGACGGAAGCCCTACAGGAATATACATTGGAAGCTATTTGCAGTCTATAACCCCAGGCTTGGCTTTGGGTTTGGAGGCGATGTGGCAGCGGGCAGGGCTCAGTGCCCGTCCTGAAACCGCAATTTCGTACTGCGCCAGATACAAAGGCCAGGACTGGATTGCAAGTGCTCAACTACAGGCTCAAGGAGCAGTCAATGCGTCTTATTGGAGGAAGCTATCCGACAAAGTAGAGGCGGGTGTTGATTTAAACCTACAATTCTCACCAAGTGGCAATCCTATGATGGGCGGTAGCCTCAAGAGAGAAGGAAATGCGACTGTAGGTGCAAAGTATGAATTCAGGGCATCCACATTCCGAGCTCAGCTTGATAGCTCCGGCAAGATAGGCTGTCTTCTTGAGAAGAGAGTTGCCATGCCGATTTCTTTAACCTTTGCAGGAGAGATCGACCAGGTTAAGGTAAGTTACTGCCTAGAAAACCGTACCTTGTGGTTCTATTCTAAGTCTCTGGTAAATAGCAACAAGCCAAAATCGGCCTCGCCGTCTCGTTCGAAATGGCGACAGAAGAGTTGATGGAGCAGCAAGAAAGCGGCGAGCTAGGAAACACCGCAACCCCACCGTTCTAATGGCAATATTGGCATATCATGACGCAGTCAGCATGAGCCCGAGTGAAACCAGCCAGAAGCCTTTTGATACCTATCTACCGGACCCGTCATTCCATTCGGTGCTTTTAATAACGATATCCTGATACATACTCCACAGCATCTCATTTTTACCTTTCTCCTTGTGTATTTGTGCGAGGCGGTTATAACTGGCGCAGCAGGAAATCTCCTTGTATAGACGACCTCCGTATCATGGTCCACATTTGTCTGTATTTCTTTTTCACTTTTTTTTTGCATACCGAAGCACCATTTCGTTTAATTCGGCCGAACTGATGGGTATAGGACAGCTATGGACTTGATGCCAATGGGCTACTCAATGCACACTCTTGAGGGGTCTCAAGGGTGAAGGTGATTTGATTTAGAGGAGCGGTTTGTAAAAATAGCTTGGATGATGACAGCAAAATGGACTAGTATTCGCACTTTTTCATAAGAACCCAGTCTCTTCGCTGAAATTGTCCAAACCTATTTTCGTTTCCCCATACTTCGCAAAGTCTTGAGGAATCTGATAGGTTAGCTATCGATAAGGGCTTTGAAAATCACGTGCCGAGACGCGTTTATCACGCCGCGTCCTCAGCGAAAGTCGCATCATTTGAAGTCAAGCTATATAGGCTTAAGCGTATTTTGAAAATGGTACAGGCGGAATCTTCTCACGCTGTCGCCAAAAACGCGCAGCGCGTCAATACTGCGGGTACACCTTCAGACTATGAGCTACCATGGTAAGTATCGAGCTTCTCCCCAATCCAAGCCCCGCCATTGACCCGACCAATGTATATAGGGTAGAGAAATATAGACCGATTTTGCTTGACGATGTCGTTGGAAATACAGAGACTATCGAGAGACTTAAGATAATCGCCCGAGATGGCAATATGCCTCATGTTATTATTTCTGGAATGCCGGGAATCGGAAAGACAACGTCCATTTTATGCTTGGCAAGACAAATGCTAGGGGATACTTACAAGGAGGCCGTATTGGAGCTCAATGCTAGTGATGAACGAGGTATCCTTTGCAAAGGAGTTGTTATCTTGACAAAATTGGACGACTGTTGACAGTCTTAGTTAGGTATTGACGTTGTTAGAAACCGAATCAAGGGATTTGCTCAAAAGAAGGTGACTCTCCCTCCTGGAAGGCATAAGCTGGTAATTCTGGATGAGGCGGATAGGTGTGGCCTTTTCCTATCTTTTTACTCCTTCTAAACGCGGTTCTGACCGAACGTGGATAGTATGACATCTGGGGCACAACAAGCCCTGCGACGCACTATGGAGATATACTCTGCGACTACCAGATTTGCCTTTGCATGCAACCAATCGAACAAAATTATAGAGCCACTTCAATCCCGTTGCGCCATATTACGCTATTCTCGGCTAACGGACGCGCAAGTCGTCCAGAGACTCATGCAAATATGTGAGGCAGAAAGTGTAAAACACTCCGACAATGGAATTGAAGCCCTTGTATTTAGTGCTGAAGGAGATATGCGCCAAGCAATAAACAATTTACAAAGCACCTGGGCTGGTTTTGGATTTGTAAGTGGTGACAATGTTTTCAGGGTGGTCGATAGTCCGCATCCCGTCAAAGTCCAGGCTATGATTAAAGCTTGTTATGAGGGCAAAATTGATGCTGCATTGGACGCACTATCAGAATTATGGTACGTTTGTTCCTCGATTTTTTCTGCCTTAAAGATATGCAAAAGTTTGGCTGTAACTAAAATTGTTTCTTCGCAGGGAGCTGGGGTATTCATCGCATGACATTATTTCAACTATGCTGCGCGTTACTAAAACAATTCCGACCCTTTCAGAGCACTCGAAGCTTGAGTTTATAAAAGAAATTGGCTTTGCACACATGCGCATCCTAGAGGGCCTACAGACTTTTGTACAGCTCAGCGGTTGTGTAGCGAAATTATCCAAGATCAACATGAAGCCAGAACTTTTCAAGCCATCGAAAGGATGAAAGACAGAAACCTAATATTTTGAAAATTCAGAATTTATTTATACAACCAGCCATAGGGTTCATATCATTCGGCTGGAAGCTCTGAAAGCAGACAGAACGCCAGGATATCTGCCCTTGGCAAATCCAGTTACAGCAAATACGAAGAGGGCGCACTGATGTTTAAGTCCAGAAAGGCGGCTGGGAGTGGGACTGGTTTTTCCAGGGCGTTTCTTCGGCTTGTTAGGGCACTACACTGTCATAGATGCGCGCTATTCAGGGTTTGCTAATAAAAGGGCCTGAAGGTATAGTGCCATAAGCCACCAAGAACTGATGTCTCACTGTTCGTTTCATTTGCCCCAGCCCACTGGTGGTTCTTCCATTCCTTTTTTGACCTCCCAGTATTCCCAGAGGTCCCTGCACATCCCTTCCTCGGTGAATTTCAGTAGTAAAACGCCTGGCAAGGAAACGGGTCCCTTCTCCGGGTCCACCATTGTAGTCCACCATTCCACTGCCACCCGACTGGAGCCACTCGGCCCGCTCCCGGAGACGATGGGGTTCCCCATTCTAACTTTTACCTCTTTCTGGCGGCCTGCGGTCTCGTCCCAATAGAGCTGGATAGCTTCACGGCCGACATGGGGCTCGCGGAAGATGAAGGAGCGATATGAAGCGTCGGGGGAGAAGAGACAACTGATTTCATACGTACTGCTGGTTTCCCATGCATGAGCGTAGCGTTTGATCCATTGCTCAGGAGTCATGATCAATATAACTTGATACTAAATCTGACCAGTTTCACATCAAAATATATCCAGTCTGTTCAGAGATCTGGTCTGTTTAGGGCCTGTCAGGTTTTTGAGGCAAATCAATCGAACCCAGGTGGTTGTCTTATTCATCATATCCAGAGTCCAGCTTCCAATGGAAGTTTAGTGACGTGAAATGAACATTTGGTATAGTAATTATCGACAAAAGCGAACCAGAACCGTGGACACGATGGTGTGGCAACGCTGGCTGACCTCTAGTGGTGACGATGACAACAGCATAAACGCAATTGACTCGTATAAATACTCAGTACATACATAACCACCCCTCACTCGGTGGCCAGCCCGAGGTTTGGTCTCCGTCGATTCCCGTGGTTTTCTATACTACTCCATGCTCCGTTGAGAAAAGAACAATGATACTAACACATGCGCAGTCGTCAGCCTTGGAAGGTAGGCGGCTCGCTCTTCCAGAATTCCATCGAAAAATTCCCGCGCCACCTGATTCTTCGTCCGCCAATGGGCGGGGAGACGGACACCATGCCTCCAGAGGTTGGGAATGCCGAAGCAGTAGTGAAAGCTGGGCCCGACTGTGGGAGACGTCACCTACTTACCTCTGCAGGGCGTGGCATTCAAAGCGGGAGCTCTGCCCGTCTGCATTTGCAGCGAATGGTGTTTTGAATCATCGCAGGGTCTTTAACTTACCCACGCATCAGCAATCTTGGGATGAGATGCTGACACAGGGTTCAATTTGATCTGAAGCAATTGGTCGAGGCTGCGACCTGGCTTCAACAACGCCTGGGAGACCTTTTATTACATGCCGTGAGTTTTACTACCTTTCGGAGTGGAGCACAAGGGCTTTGCAGCCTCCACATAGGGGTATTCAAAGACCGAGCTCCGCGGAAAGATGTCCTAGTTCATGGAGTGCTGCAGCAGCTTCTTGGAGTGGGTGAAGGAATACTCTCGCAGCAAGCGGATATAGAAGAGGAATTGGAGGGTAGGCAAAACTGATCAGAATAAAATGTCGAGAAAAGCTTGTGACTACTCTGTACCTTGATAATTGATGGGTAGGAGGAGCCCAGCCGTCCAAATAACGCGCGGCTATCATCGCAATGAGACATCAGGCAACAAATGGCGCCGCCTTTTTCCTAGCATCCGAGGAATGGAGCACGCCTGGCCGTTTCGAATAAAACTTACTAGGGAGGCATATTGGGTCAAGTCTTGATCACAACCCATTGTCGATACATTGGATCAGGCCTGTCCCAAGACCAAGCCGGAATTGCCGCCCATTAGTAGCTAACTAGCTAAGGGGCAGGCAAGTGGTAGTTACTGAACTGACTACTCCGTACGGAGTAGTTAACTACGCTATATTTCGACTCTCCACGACATCCATTTTGGCAAACTCGGCGTCACCAGTCCTACTCCATATCTCCTTCGTCCTTCCCCCTGGCCTGCAAAAGCAAATAATTATACACGGGAATGCTGTTTTGGCGATGTTCCATGCGAGCGTCAATGCACCTCGCGACTCGAATAGCTGCCATTTGAGTTGGGATCGATAGCAGCCACTAAAAATGGCGATCTGGTCAGGGGCTTCCTAGATCCTGAGATTCTTCGGTTCGTGGAGGCTCGGCCCGGCATCGAACCAGCGTTGAGACGGGGAGTGTATTATTGCGCCAAAACTTCTTCGTGCCGCTCTCTTGTTCCCAGGCCGCACATGAATTCTGTACCACTCTGTACAGATTATGGATGCAATGCATGTGCACTCTATACGGAGTACGGAGCAGGAAAGTGTTCGCTAGAAACCTTAGGCTTGAATATGCGGGACAACGTTCAAGCCCACAGAGCCAAAATTTATGTGGAATCTTCCGTTTCAGTGGCTATAACGGAGTGAACACGGCATTCGGCGCGCTCCATGATATTACACTTCAGGGTAGCGATGGCCTGGCCTGGCTCTGCCAGGCCCTGCAAACCTTCGGCCCACTATCGACTTCTGCAGGTTTATATGCAGGGAGACCTGGCTGAAACATACAGACATCTCTCTAGTCTGACGGCTCGGTGCGAGGGCGGAAGGACACGAATCACGGCTTGTTGTTGGCGGTGCGCTAGTTGTCGCGGCGGCGTGGCTTTTCGTCGCAGCAAAAGGCGCCGTCGTTAAAATATTCAAGTTGTAAGAGCTGCCCACCAGTGGCGGCTGATGATCCTGGGCTTTTTGCTGGCCCGCCAACGTTGCTGTTCTTCTTGCGAGCCGTCAGGTCCGGCTTGGCCTAATAAAACTCCCTTTCACCGGCTGTGGCGCTGGAAATTTTGGACATCAGCCAGACCGGCCCATTGCACACTCTCACACGTCGTCGCAGGCGAATTCTTGCGATCGCCAAACACTACGGAGTACTAAGTAACTAGTTTTCTATTCGACCACCTTGTCGGCGTTTAGTCGCCTCCAGAACTTCGCTTGCCTAGGTGTTGCTCTACCCGTCTCGACATGCCTGTTAGTTACTCCATGCAAGCAACGCTAGGGTACAAGTATTAATCTCTAGCCTTGACGGCCTGTGCCCCAGATTTACCTGTATGACCAATCAGATTCTTCGACCCTGGTTCGAGGTGGCGCTTTGGCCCCGGCACCCTTTTAAGTCCTGGCCGGTAGGCCGGGTTTTTGGAGTAAAAGATCAATTGTACTCCGTATCTACGCTTGTTTCTTGATAGAGGAAACAGTAATGTGGATTCATTGACGGGGATCATTACATACATATAACGAGCTGACTCGATCTCCAGGACGGCGCCCGCGGGATAAATCTTTTCGTGCTCGGCAAGCGTCGTACACCACTCCGTGCATGACATTCAAAAGTTTTACTAAGGAACGACATCGAGAGGATTAGCAACCTTTGACATGGAATCCTACTAATTAACATCACTACTTCGAGCCTTTCTGATTTTTGGAGGGGTTATGCTTCGGATTTGAAGGCGTTCTTTTATTTTCATATTTGATGATAACAAAACCACGATGGGGGCAGAGGATAAGCCGGTCCGCGCGAACAATATCCCTCGCGATGCTTTACTAGTATGCAATTCCGACTCCGGTGCGCCTCGCGGATTATTCATTTTGAATGATATTCTAGATTACCGTCTGGGTGTTTTTCGCCGTCGCGACAATGCTTTTGATTTTCCGTTATGCGATTCGATTATGGCTCCACCGACGACTATTCTGGGACGACATATTCGTGGCAATTGCCTATGTCTGCTTGGTGGCACATAATACATTACTTACGATGGTCGCTCCGTCAATCTATCTACTGCTTCGTACATATGCGGGAGCCTCGAGACCGCCAGATTTCTTCGATCAGATAACATACTTGGTTGTATTGATGTTCGCGAGCAATATGTTTTTTGTTGGCTGTCTTTATTTTGTGAAAGCAAGTTTGCTTGCTTTGCTATGGAGACTTTTTCGAAATCTCCCTTCATTCCGCAAATTATGGTGGGCTGTTACTTCTATAACGGCCTTGATAGCGGTGATCACCGCCATTGTGCCAGTCATCGCTTGCTCAGACTTGAAGGCTTGTAAGGGATTTGAAATGATGCATGGCAGGACCATTATTGACTCCGGTTTATAGTTGCGTGTACAAACCCAGCCGCGATTCACCGAGGCCTTGTTGCCGTACGATTCACTGCGGCTACAGATATCCTCACGGATCTTATGAGTATGTACAGACAATGACCAACCAATGCCAATCCCGTGCGACATTTGAAATTAATCCGGTATCTAGTCATGGCTCTTCCGGTCGCATTCATTCTCAACTCTTATCTTCCGGCGCCACAAAAAGTTGGCCTTGTTGGTCTGTTCATGCTCGGTTTCATGGTCATTACCATGTCGATTGTTCGCATAGTTGTCAACGATAACCATTCAAAGCACCCGCCGCCATCCTGGCTACTTTTTTGGAGTGCAATGGAGGGAACTGTGGCAGTGATGGCATCGTGCTTTGCGTCCTTCAAGTCTCTGTTCACACTTCGCAAACGGCCTTCCGCATATAATGGCGACTCCTACATTCACTCCAAATCCAAATCGGGCTTGAGTGAAGGCGATCTAGCTCTACGCTCACGACATCGGTTCGAACGCTCAGTGCAGATTCCCAAAAACGAATTAAACACCGTTGTTGTCTCCGCGGAGCCAGGCGCTAATAAATGGAATGATACTGATTCGAGAGAGGAAATACTACAGAGAACCGAATTTGAAGTTCGATACGAGAATGCCTCGACGGAACAAACCTCAGCGGCAGCGACCGGTAAATAATGCATTGTTTTTCTTATTTTTTGGGGGCGAAGGAGGGTGTGATTGGCGTCACGGTTGGCATTCCCAAAAAGCGGACTGGGATAATAATAGGAAAACCCGAAATATCGCCTTTATTCTTGACGATCCTCCTCTATTTGCATTTCTCTTTCCAAACTCATTACAATTGCCATAGCGGCGTGGGGTTACATATGTGGTATGATACATGGCATTATTATTTCATTCCCGAGGCTCACCGGCCCTTGGTCGGCTTCTTTTGTTTCAGCGCAGGGGTGGAAAGTGCGCTATTTTCACGTAAACACCAGATTCAAAAAGCGATGTCTTCCGCAACCCTAGATAGGGAATGAGAGGTAGTTGTTTCAACTGGAATTATAATGGGCCTGTAGAACAATCTGGCCTAAGCATGCATCCGTGCTGGACAAACAAGTCCAACTCTTGACATGGACCGGAAGTCAAGTAGTGGTTGTTTTGAAAGGTCATGATATCCTGACTTCTCTCGTCTTCAAACCGCGCGACAAGCGGAGTAATACACAGCAAACTCACGGCGAAAGCCGGTGGGTGTATTTATGTAGATCGACTCCTGCTCTCCACCCTGCGTTCAAAGGGCCAGTCCTACCCCGTGCAGACTTTTGTCTATATAAACTCTTTTTGCCTCCTCCGTACTCCGTATACCGATCACTCCGTACAATAGGGTGTACGGAGAACTAAGCGGTCCGGGCCTGTAGTTCTGTAGATCAAACACCTAGTTACATCATTTTCAGATGAGAAATGGCCTTCGGTCGAGGAACTGCGTAGAGCATATCGTTGTCCAGCAGTACTCCGCCGGTATTCGGCTCCACCATCCGTGCTAGAATCCTGATATCGGCTTCTAGAAGGATTTACTCCATAGACTTCGAAATCTTGGGGTGGCGTTGCCCATAATGTGGCGAATGAGCAGCTAGGGAGTGGCCACTGGCAAGCTAAAATGATAGTCTTGGTCAAGAAGTCAGTACCCTTAGACTTTTTACAGTGGGAACTAGACTTGATCAGTTGCGTATGGTACGGAGTACATGCGACAGTTTGGGAGCAAGAGGTCTTGCGGTAGAAGCACGGCCAATGCCCGTCATTTAGGGGCCACCTTGCGTGAGGAGGAAGCGCATCTTCCGAAAGACTACGGATAGGTAGATTAAGCATATTGACCTTAAACACGCAGACTGGTGTGCCACTGCCTCACAGCCGTGGTTTGACTGATGGTGGCCTGAAACCTAACTGTGGCAGACCTCCGCCCAGCCGCTTCACGTGACCTTCCCACTCCAGCCTCGCGCCACAGTCGCGTCAGCGGTTAGGTAAGCGCCAAGCCGCATATTGGCGGCGTGATTGGACCGCCCGTGCACAGCCGCTGGACCGGTGGGTGGCCGGGGCGCGTGAGTGGCCGGACAGGCTGCACAATCGGCTTGGAAGAGGCACCACGAGACGGCAGCCAGCGCTCAGCTTCGCATCCAGTGTGGCAGCAGAAACTTTTGACGCCGTGTTGTGGATGACGGCATGGGGGGCTGTGCTCGGCTGACGTCTGGTTCGGCCTTTGTCCAGCCCTTGTTCCATGTTCGGCTTTAGGCTCAAACTTCAAAACTGGCGAACCAGGACTGGAGATACCCAAAGTGATCGCCTTCGTGCTTCTGTCTTCCCTGCGCAGTCTTTTCCATTCCATTTCAACCCCCGTAGACCACCAGCTTGGCGGGCAAGTGAATAGACCTGCCCTTTCTCCCAGTTTTCTCCGTCGTTTTGCACATACCCCGTCATCATTTCAGGCGGTTTTGGCGCCTTCATCAGCGTACGTGACCTCAATTGCCGGCGTTCTATGATTGCTACAGAATGGCATTCAACTGACAATGCTAGTTAAGTGGTCACTAATTGTCAGGCCCATTTCTCTCCAGTGCCGTTGATTCCCCATTGGACATACATCCATCCCAAGTGGGCCGCCTTGGGTCTAATTCGAGAAGCGGTTCAAACGCATCCATCCATCCGTCCATCCTTCCTTCCACCATGCGCGACATTATCCTCTGGTCGCTGGCAGCGGCGGCAACAGTCCTCCAGATTACCCAAGCGCTAGAACTAGTGAAAAGGTCTTCACCGGCGGTTATTGGCTTTGAAATCGAGCGCAGAAAGGTGCCAATTCTCCCCGAATCAGACGATCGAAGGGTACGGCGCCAGAGCAAGGTGGTGAGCCAGGTATTAGATAATAAGGTATGCGAGCAGCGCAATTCTCGGTGTCACCTGTTGCCAGCGTTCGCGGTAAACGCGGGAAATCCAGGTGTTGCACTGGATAATCCTGTCGTGGCAATTTACCTTGCTGATACCATGGCTCTCACCTCTAGAAAACGCTTTATTTCTGCAATCTCACCCTAGGCACCCCACCACAAAAATTGCAGATGCACATTGACACTGGGAGTAGTGATCTGTGGGTAAACACCCCCAGTTCCAAAATCTGCCAAGATAGACGGAATCTCTGCCAGGCTGGCGGCACATACGATCCCAAGAAGTCATCCACGTATAAGCGCATCAACAGTAACTTCAATATCACTTATGCAGATGGCTCCAGCGCTGTTGGGGACTATGTATCTGATAAGATAAACGTTGGTGGAATTTCTCTAGAGGATTTTCAATTCGCAGTCGGATATCAGTCTACATCTAGAGGTAGGCTACGCTGATACAAAAATTTGCTTTTACAACGTGGCTAATGACCACTATAATAGAGGGAGTATTAGGAATTGGATACCCTACGAACGAAGTCCAAGCTGTTCGAAACAGGGAGGCACCTTACGCCAATTTGCCAAAGGCTCTCGTGGATGGCGGCCTCATCAAATCTAATGCCTATAGTATCTGGCTTAATGATCTTGACTCCAATACAGGAGAAATATTGTTTGGTGGTGTCAACAAAGCCAAGTTCGAAGGCTCGTTGAAAACGCTTCCTGTCATCCGTAATCGGGGAACCTACAAAGATCTTGCTGTTGCTTTAACTGGATTGGCTGTGAACAGTGGCTCCGGTACTCAGCAGCTTCCGAGTGCTAATTTTCCATTCAGTGCCGTTCTTGATACAGGTAGTAGTCTTACTTACCTTCCAGATGCTATCGTGTCCGACATTTTTGATGCCGTCTCCGCGCAATGGGATCCGGAGTCTGGTGCGGCTTACGTTCCGTGCTCTCTCGCTGGGTCCAAATCCAAATTCGTTTTCAGTTTCTCTGAGCCTAAAATCTCCGTGGATATGGATGAGATGGTCATTAATCCCGGCCCCGGTTCAAACGGCGAGGCTCTTAAATTTGATGACGGCACGCTGGCATGTATCTTTGGCATCGCCCCATCACAGCACGCGATTTCCATCCTCGGTGATACCTTTATTCGAAGCGCTTACGTGGTTTACGATCTTGATAACGATGAAATTTCCCTTGCTCAGACACGTTTCAACACTTCTTCTAACGATATCCTCGAGATTGGCACTGGCAAAGGAAGTGTACCGGATGCGACTGCGGCTAGTGGTGCCGTATCCAGTGCACCCCGAACTGCCACTGCCACCGTTCAGACCACCTTGACTCCAATCGCAACTTCTGGTTCGAATGCTGGCGTTCGACCTGTTAAGTCAACCGCCGGCGCGGTCCCGACAGCGAAACCTGAATATCCTATTGGGATGATCGCAGGTCTCGCCGGAGCAGGCTTGGTATTTGCTGCTATGTAGACAGCCCTACACTCGTTGCCGCTTTCTAGGATCGCTAGAAAGCAGCGTCGGTTTTCCGAAAACAAATCAGAGAGAGGTAATACGCAAACATTTGTTCATTAAGTATATACGGCGGCGATGCTGTCACATTTCATGTCTTCAATGATTGATACTCCAGAAGAAATATTTCATCATTTGCATATCTATGGTTCTGGTGTTTGGTGCTTTTCTTTTTCTCCTTGGTCCCTCATTGTTTGATTCCTGCATATACCCTCAAAATGTAACGAACCATTCCTTGCAATATTCGGTAGAGACAAGTTGTTTGTTGTGGGCCATTGATGGTACTGTCTTTCAAGCTATTTCTCTCATTTGGCAAGTCTAGTTATCTGAATGATATAGTTAATCTTCTATCGATAGCTTGTATTACCGGTAGACAATATAACCTTGCCAATAGGTATTTGTCTATATATTGTTCTAGATTAATTTGTAGCAGTACCAGGCAGCCGTAGCATGACTGCAGTCTACTTTAGCCCGAGTAGACTTGAGGAGTCCTGGCGACTAGCGATTGCAATAGCTCGTGCTCCTTCTTGTTCATCAGCATCAGAAAAACCCGAGTCCACAAAGACTTCGCAGCTCCAAACTACAGCATCCATGAAACGACCAATGCAACTCTCCTTTCTAACCAAATCGACTATTCTGTTGGCCTGTGCTAGGTCTCCACATTCCAACACAGTAAGCGTAGGATTTATTTGCTGGGATATTCCAAGTAACCGGGGATAAAACAAGTCTTGACGGGTTGTTATTAGCGATTGCTTTTCTAGCTCCGTCATTATAATGCCTCTAGTTTCGGAATTTGGCATGAGTGGTGGAGGAACAAGTGCCAGTGATGGTTCATATAGCCTTACGCTCCGCTTTGTGGTTCCATTGCGGAATTCAATTGGAGAGATATAGGGCGGATTTGATATAAGAATATCCCATTGTGTACTTTGGGCCCGTGCCTTATGTCGATCCTCGAGAGATATGAATTTGGAAAGGACAGATTGGAGCCTAGGGCTAGCATTGTTGCCGCATGTGGCCCCGTCATCAAGAACATCGGCTTGGTGAAAGTGGACGTCCTGCCTAGCCCGGGGCAGGAGATGTCCCCGGCAAATATTGTACTCTAGATTTGTCTTCGCAAGCGCTAATGCTTGTTTACTGATATCAATCCCAACGATAGTCAGATTAGGTATGGATGGTGCCAGAAGAGAGTGTAGAAGTAGCGGAATGCAGCCAGTACCGGTACATAGATCAAGTATCCGGAACGGTGTTGTGAGGGGAACATTCGTACGAAGCCGTGACAAGATCAAGCGCGCTACACGCAAAGTATAGGATTCTGTTTCGGGTCTGAAAAAAGGAGCTTGCAAGTTAACAGTAGAACAATAAAATCAAACGAGATCAATGGCAAAATCCCCCTTGGTACCTAGGAATCAACACGCCTTTCCTACAGAGAATCTCCAATTCACCGAAGGGTTGATCTCCAAGTATATATTGGAGTGGCTTGCCCCGGGACCGGTCCTGTACCATCAATCGTAGTTTTCTCTGGCGCCATCGTTCACCACGGATATTCGCGGCATTGAGTGAGTGTACATGCTCCTGGAGCCATCGGAGCTCATTGCGCGCGGAGGCCAGATCACGACATTCTCGAAGGAGGAGTGGAAGCAGTGGGTTGAACGAATATGCGCGACGGAGAAGGGTAGGCAGAAGGCGGGGCATGAAGTGAAGCCTCTTAGCATTGGCAGTCGATGCGATCTCTTATGCACTGAGGACTCGCGATGAATTTCATTATCCCTGGATCTGGGGTGTAGTTACTCAGATAAATACGCTTGTTGCTAGGTCACTATTATTGATCCCTCAGCCACAGAACAGATTCTGAGATGAATTAGAAAATCAATCCATTAACTACTGCAACTCCAGAGAGGAAATAGTAATCAAATGTTTGTGGTTTCAAAAAGTTAAAAACGAATAAGGCTTTAGGAATTGCGCCGGCCGGGACTCGAACCCGGTCCCCAGCATTGGGAATGCTGGATCTTAACCCATTGACTACCAGCGCTAAACCGGTAGAGAGGTGGCAACCTCCTCAGATGATGATTTATCTCTCTTTCAAGGGACTTAACTATGGTGATGTGCACTCGAAACATTATATAGAGAACTACTGAGCGAAAAGTGAAAATTTGATATCGTTCCTCGTTATTAAATACTCGCTATCTAGGTAGTGCCTTAGTAAAGAAGAATGTAAATTACATGTCAGGGTTCCTAAGCGAAGGTTGGAGCCTCAAGCCATCACACCCGTGACCCGATTAAAATATCGACAAGAAAAGTGTATCCTAGGCAATTAAAAGCACACCATCACACTTCTTATACATTTCGGAAATCATTGGTCTTATGCCTTTCCCCATCTTTGCCAGAATTTCCACCAGCCCGCACTCAACTCCAACTTCCCGTCCCGCTGTGATATTCGCCAGAAGTATACAGGAACTCCTGCAACAATAAATCCCACTACAACCAGGGTCTGTAATGGCTGCACGAATACCGCACGACTAAGCAAAAACAAGCTGACGCAGCAGAATATGATAGGTGTCGATATCCAGGTTTTGTATGGGCGTTCTAAATTCGGCTCTCGTATACGAAGTACGATTAAGCCAAGGACGGTGAGAAAGTAGAATGTATACCCTGCTACTCCATAAAACGTGACAAGAGTTCCGAATTCGCCAACTGCGATGTAACATGAGCACAGAGTACTATTGAATATCATTGCGTAAATGGGGGTATAGCCGATGCCGACATCGTCCCCGAACGCGCGAACGAGGAGCTTTTGAAACCATGAACGTGTCCTCAAACGATCACTTGAAGGATTTGTGGAGTTTCCAACCCCAATCTGGCCGAATACAGAGGGCAGGTAGCCTTCTCTACCAGCAGCGTAGATTAGTCTACCACTAGTAAACGTGGTGGCATTCAAGGCCCCAATGCAGCTGCCAGAGACGATAAGAGCAATGATTATAGCACCAATGGGGCCAAATACCTTGCCGCCAAACTGTACAGCGACAGTATTAGTACCAGCAATGGTAGAAGAAGGTAGGACGAAGATGTATGCCATGTTGGCAAGAAGGTAGCAGAGAATAACGAGAGGCATAGCCGTATGAATCACGCGTGGTAAATCTCGACTAGGACGTTTGAATTCCCCGGTGACATAGTTTGTCTGTGTCAGAGTTAGCGGCCTAGATATAACACAATGTCATAAACGAGAGACGCACGTTATCCCAGCCGTCGAACGCCCAGAGACCAGCATACAATGCTACGGCCCAGCTGGAGACATCCTTATTAGTCCCTTCAAACCACCCGGTGGTTTTCCATTCCTTATTTGGCTTTCCGTCATATGATATGCCTGTGCACGCAACGATGATTCCAGTAATAGTAACTCCGAGCAGCGCAATAAACTTGAAAAACATGAAGACATCCCCGATTCGTGTCCCCAGTCTCGTCGATACGCAATTGAAGAAGGTAACGATGGCAAGTCCCAGTAACGCCACGCCTTTATTGATCCATGGATTGACGGCCTCGACGTGTGTACCGACAACTGCCCGTACAACGTATTCTCCGAAAATTATGGCGATAATCGCAGCAGAGCCAGGTTTGAGAACAAACACAGCACACCAAGCAAATAAAAACCCCGCAATCTCGCCGAAAATCTTCGCTAGGTATACTTGTGCTCCACCGTTTAACGGAATAGCACCTCCTAGTTCAGCGTAACTCGCCGCGCCTGTCCATGCAAGTATCCCAGCCACAGCCCATATTATTAAAGACGCGCCAGGCGATCCAACATTCGAGCTTACTCGTCCCGGAGAAGAAAATATACCAGAGCCAATAATCAACCCAACGATCAAAGAAAGTCCATTAAGGTAGGTCAAAGTTTTGCGCTTTTCGAGGGTGCCATCCACTAAACCAGCATGTTCCAATGACGCGGACGATGGCGCTCCAAGCGGAGTATATCCTCCAACTGTTTGCGATAGAGGAAATAGATTGTTCCCGAAATCGAATGCGGAGGAAACAGAGTATGATCGAGCATGCCGTGAACTGGAGACTTCGTAAGGAGACTCTGAGAGAGGGTCTTGGTTTTCGAGGGATGCCCTCCGTGAAGAAGATACGCCCGAAGGAGATGTCGACCTCGATGTTATAATTTCGGCTTCGGAGGAAGCTAGGGATGCAAGCTCAAGAGAGTCTCGGGCAGTGCCGGGCCCGGGCCGTACGAGGGTAGAAAATGCCACGTGTGACATCTGGTACACGCTGGAGTTAAAGAACAAGGGTGGTTTTTTTCGTTCTATCAGACAGGAGCAGAGCCATCATTGGTGATGGCTGTTGAGGGAGGTGGGTGGTTGGTGCAAGTTCAACGTGACATCATATCTCTCATCAAATCGCTTGGTCATAGAAACACAATAAAGAACTTTTCATGCTCAATAGGAAGGATATATAATGAATCGGCACACGGTGGCAGATATTGACTCCAGGTACAAAGCGAGTCGGAGCATATTGCATTCGCAAAAAGATTGATCATAATAACCTCCCCCCCTGTCCATGACCAATGACTAAGCAGGCAAAATCCCCAGGGGCGAAAGGCAAATTATTGAATGCATGTGACCACAGCGAAGTTTGAATCGCAAAGCCATTTTACTCATCCTACGTTCTTCGATGGTCCCTAGGTTGCCTCCATTTAGGGGCTTTGAGCCTGCCATAAGAGGCTCGGCCGCGAAAAAACTATTGACTTACAAACCAATATTATTACGTTTGAAGGCAACGAATGCGAAGACAAATGTCCCTTTGGCGCCGAAGAAGAACAGATGGCTACGGGTCACTATCGTAGCAATCATTGCCGGCGGAATTGGCCTTTACATCCGAAATCGAGAGATAAATACTACCTCTACTCTCAACCCGGTAACGTTCACGAAATTCAAACTCCTTTCCAAAGAGCCCATTTCTTCAACATGTAGCGTCTTTACCCTGCGGCCTGTGGAGCAAGGGCCAAACTATGAAGTGTACCAGGAAGCCTGGAAAAGGGGACTTTGGAGTGTGCAGTTTAAACAACCGCAATTGCAGGTGGGAAGGGATTATACACCATTACCACCAATACGAGAAGATGAGTTATCAATTGACGATGCGGTCAGGGATGGCGATAATTTGCAATTCCTCATTCGCAGGGAGCCAGAAGGAGAAGTTTCCGGCTACCTGCATTCACTGAAACCTGGGGCAATACTCGAATTTCGGGGCCCACAAATGGAATATGAGCTACCAGACAGCATTCGTGAAGTCGTGTTTATCGCCGGCGGAACCGGAATTGCACCTGCGTTGCAGGCTGCGTATGCAATCTTTGGAGATAGGGCGAAGCGAGATGTGAGGATGCATATCCTTTGGGCAAATAGGCGAAGAGAAGATTGTCGTGGCGGCAAGGGAAACTCTGCTACCGGAATGCCAAAAAGACGGTGGTCGTTGTTTTTAGGCAATTCGGGGCAGAAACAGACAACGGAGCTTACAGAAGAACCGCATGGCTTCACAGTCGCTCAACTTGAGGAGCTGAAAGCTCAATCCCGTGGGCAGCTTTCGGTTGACTATTTCGTGGATGAGGAGAACACTCTTATAAATGAAGCTTTATTATCAAAAATCATTCAGAAAGCTGATAACCAACCGGACCATGATTCAACACGGAAGTTGGTGTTAGTCTCAGGACCTGATGGATTCGTAAACTATCTAGCAGGTCCGAAATTATGGAGAGCTGGGACTGAAGTCCAAGGCCCTCTTCAAGGCTTATTGAAACAGCTAGACTTACAAGGTTGGGTAATTTGGAAACTTTGAGATGAGTCTCTTTTGACCTTTTTTAGCCAGCATAACGTTGGAGTTTGGGTAAACTAGAGTATACACGGCGCATAAATGTCTATTTTTGGTGTGTTGAACTTATCTATATTTATGGACTGTACATGTATTTAATGCAGCAAAGAAATACCCAGCGGCTATTGATCTTAACTACGCACGACCATTTGCATAATCGTCTAGATAACCAACAAGTCTTTCAACATTTTCAAGTGGCACAGCGTTGTAATTGCTGACTCTCATTCCACCGACACTGCGATGGCCCTTTAAGCCTTGAAGTAGTCTCTTTTCTGCACCAGCAATGAAGTCTTTCTCTTTGTCAAGGTCTCCTCCGTGCACGCGGAAGCAGATATTCATGCGGCTTCGAACAGATTTGTCCGGAACGACGCGATAGACTGCTGAGTATTTATCTAAAACGTCATATATTATCTGCGCCTTTTTGTTTGCAACTTCTTCCTGACCGGACACCTTTCTGGTGCCGTGTGTTCGAACGAGGTCGATCACTACCTGGCCAGAGACCCAGAGGTTGAAAATTGGAAGGGTATTGTAAAGAGAATTGTTTTTGGCAGCGGTGGCATAGTCAAGAATGATTGGGCCAGGAAGTCCACCGATGTTAAGCTGTCGTAGCAAGGACGGGGAGGGTGTGGCAGTATGAGGAGGCAACAGATCTTTGCGAACAATGGTCACCACTATTCCTGTGACTCCTATATTTTTTTGGACTCCTCCCTAAATGGTTGAATAAGCGTGCTGTTCATTGAAAATAGATCAATAAATTCACTGGGCCTTACAAATATTACGCCATACTTGCTGACATCAACTTTTCGGCTCAAAATATTGGAGCTCATATCAGCAACAACAATTCTTTCATCATCCTCACCCCATTCATCCGTTTCTAAGGATTTAGGGAAACTTGGAAATTCCACTCCATCCACAGTCTCATTGTCGCAGAAGTAGACCAGAGCAGGGGCCGACTTTCCCCCCTCCTTTTTAGTTTTTGTTAGATTCCAGGTATCCTCAGATGGAATCGTTCCAAACTTTCCAGCATTATCGTTTCTTGAGTCAAGAGCGACATTGACATGCTTTTCCCCAAGAAGCCGCGTTGCTTCCTGTGCAGCTTTCAAAGACCACGATCCGGTGACAAGGTAATCCAACTTAAGCTCCTCTTCTACCTGCTTCTTCAATTCTGCCACAAGTGCTTCCTCTGTAGTTGCATCAATCTTGCGCCGACGCCTCTCAACCCAGACATTCACCAGGTTATACACCACAGCGCTAAATCCCCCAGAGCCCCCGCCTTGCATAAACAAAATCTCATAGTTGTCCGGGATATCAAGCAGGGTAGCCAGAGCTTCTTTAGTTTCCGCAAGAATTTTATTCGCGGTTGGTGACCGGTGTGATATCTCTCCTAGGCCGAGCCCGGTATCATTGAAGTTCACAAAAGCTTTGGCGGCAGCTTCGACAACAGGAGTGGGGAGGGGGGCGGGACCTGCGCCAAAGTAGGCGACCTCGGGGCGAGAGGGCATCGCCGGCGCCTCAACTAGCTACAGTCAAAGTATGTTCTTTTTGAAATAAGAGAATGCGCCTTGAGAGCTGGGTGATATGCCCTATTAGTGGGAGAATGTATGGGCGGAGAGGGGTAGGTAAGTAGGAGCGGTTTCTAGCAGTGATAGATATTATGACTCATCTTGAAGTGTCTTTCTCAGTGTGCAATGTATATTGAACGGAGCGGCATGGCGCACAGAGCCGAGCACGCAATTCTTTCACCCCAAGAGATGCTCTGAGTAGTTATGTACCTCGGTGAGTCAGCACCCTTTTGAGCATCCGCTAACCAGACCGGCCCACCGGTCCAACATCAGTCTTCAACAGCTTGCTTTGAACTGCATTTGATGTATCTCTGCCCACCTGGGGATTCTGTTAACATACCTATATACTGGCCAGCGAGCTACAGAAATACCCTGCTCTGCACCTTCCCTCGAGTGAAACCGTACAAAATATTTCTCCGCTCTTGTTCAGGTATGAGAGAATAAACTAGAAATTCTAGATTCATACTTCCACGCCCCTAGAACCGGAGTTGCTCTGCTTCTATCAACTGAGGGCTTAGGAGTCAAGATACCACCGGCCTTCAACTAGCCTTTCAGCGTTGGGCACTGACATCCAATATCTTTCAAAATAGCAAGGAGAAAATGCGCATTGTGTAACTGGGTATTTTTATGGTTACCAGCCTTTTTGCGAAAATAAACGTGAGATCGAGGTAGTTACATAGTTAACTCGTCCAGCGTACCCTGGTAACTATCCGTTTCTCCACACCTTTGCATGCATTACCTCTAAGCCTCGCCAGTCTATGGCTATAATTACGGAGTACCTATGGGCTCTCAAACAAGAATATTTTCGCGATATTATGTACATAACTAGGTCTATCCTGGTGGCACTCACTCCACAAGGAAACTGCACCACTTACATTGGCAACCCCGAGTCTTTACGCGACTTCCTCTGCGGGGCCTGCATGTACTTTCCCGAATGTCTCAACTAACTAAATCACTACTCCTGAGAACTTCAGCATCACAGCCGCACGCAGCGTACAAAAAAAGGCAACGCCACTTGAGACCGAAGTCATAGGCGATTTTAAAGCCTTTTTAACCACTGAAAATGAAAGAACAGGTCTCCTAGAAGTTGCTGTCAACCCAACATTGATATGACATAAGAGGGGCCCACGACTTACATATTCTATTACCTTGGAGAAGTAATGAATACTAGATACCTGATTGAGCACAAACTTGGCTTTGGTGGCCTCTCTACCGTTTAGATGGCTTTGATACGATCGTCAGGGACAAAGACATGTTTGCCTGCAAGTTGTGTCGTTGAGAACGCAGTTTCAGAAAACGGGTTTCATATCCAGGATCAAATCCTTCCAACGTTACACCCAGCATTTATGCTATTTAGAGACGGAAATAATGGCCAATCTCGAGTTCTGATATTTCCGACAATGGGTCCGTGTCTTGACTCTGACATACTCGTACTGACACAGAGGTCAATGGAAAGCCGTACGCCTGTGGCGAAACACTGGCCTACAGCATTGGAAAGTCTACAATAGGATGAAAGCATGCACTGTGGTTAGTTGTTAACTCACGATTTATTTTCTATATTTTAAAACCAACATTCCTAATGAATATCCTACAGGAGCTATTTATGGAGGCTGGAATCGCTCGATGGTTTCAGTAAAGATTCTAGATATTACATGCTCGGCCGAATAGCGAAGGAAAATACTCTACATCTAAATCCCAGGAAGAAGGGAGAGCTTGTGCGGCCTATTCAGTACAAGGGAACTCTGCCTTGCTGGGTTCCGAGCGGCCATGGAAGTCGGAGCATGCGACTTATTTTCTCCAAAACTGAAATATCCTTCCTTGGACTTTTATTCCTCAGATCGCCGTTATGCTAAACCTCTAAGCTTTGCCTGATATTCGGAGCTACGTCGTTATATTTGTGAAAATATACCTTGATGTTCACATTTTCCCACTACTCCTAGGGAGTAATAATACCCGGGACTGTCAAGTGTCTCGATCCTTTATCTGAGTATTGGAAAGAGATTTATATCCTCCTACATACTATTAATTACTGGTACAGCCAGCTTGCAACACCAAATAGACTTATAGGACGAATAGTCCAGCGCCAGCCTGAAGTTGAGCGAAAAATCGTGCTTAATGCCAGAGCCAAGTTGTTCACTCTAACTACGATATTGAGAAAATTTGACCGCCACAACGCTTGTGAGGGACCCGTCATTCAGGAAGACCATGGACAAATGACTCTTGACACTGAAATGGAATCATCCCTTTTTCAGTATTACAGAATTCAAAAATTGAGAGCGAGTGTATGCTGTGGAATTAGTTTCCTATAATATTCTTATCCATCGCTCTTTCCCATCTTAAATTTGGAAAGTACGACTACTCGGCTGCCCGTTCCTCTCCAATTGTTCATTGCTCTTTCCTGTGTTAGATCTGGAAGATGCATACTTGCAAAAGGAAGTTGCAAGTCCTGGAATGCCCCTTTATTATTGCCCATCACTCTTTCCTATCTCAAGTTTGGAAAGTACATACCTGGAAATGGAAAGTGTGACTGATGGGATGCACCTTCCTTATTGTCACTTGCTCTTATCTATCTCAAATTTGGAAAGTGCATACCTGGATATGGAAAGTGTGACTGATGGGATGCACCTTCCTTATTGCTGATCACTCTTTCCTATCCTAGGCTTGGAAGGTGCATAGTTGCAAAATGAAGGTGTGACTAATGGGATGCCCTTTCCTATCCAGGTTTGGAAGGTGCAACTACCGAGCTGCTCTTGCCAAATCTAAGATAGGCAAGGGTAAAGAATAAAGAGGAAAGAGTCCTCATTGTCGATTATTCTTTCCTTAAATCAAGCTGGAAAGTGCGACTGCTGGGACGTTCTTTCCTCTTTGTCCTTTACCCTTTCCTATCTTAGATTTGGCAGGTGCAAATACTAGGATGCTCTTTCCTCATTGTCCACTGCTCCTTCCCTAACTTGGACTGGAAAGTGTGACTGCTGGGCTGCTATTTCCCCATTATACATTGCTCTTTCCTATCTCAATTTTAGAAGGCGCTAGGTGCCTGTCAAAAGGAAGGCACGGTTACTGTGTAGAGGTTATATATATAACTATAATCTGATAGTCTATAGGGTTCTGTAAGAGCTACTCACATAGATTCCCCTCAACACTGATGCTTCTGAACCTTCTTAACTGGCTGGCTCTCGTTTCTATAACCTTCCCAATTCCTTACATACAGTTCCGGAATAAAAGAATGTAAAACGCTGAAGAAATGTAGATGGATTTCAATTTGCTTGACCCGCATGTTATCTACTCTGCCGGCATGTCGTTGAATGGTGCAGCACATGCGAAAAGGGGCTCCGAAATTGAAGGGGAATACCAGTTCCCAAGATAATGTTTGCTCTGTTTGCACACGCTAAAGTCAACGCAATTATCTCGACGCTGATTGATCGAAGAATTATCTACGCTCTGTTGAGTGCAATTGAGCAACGATGAGCAGCGTTCGGCAGTTGCTGCATCGGCAGCTACGTGGGATAGCGAGGCAACCTCCCTTGAGCTCGCGGGCGCTCGTCGTACGTTTGTTCCTTCCTCCTGACCCCTCTATCAAAGCTCAAAAGACTGACAATACCGCCTGACAACTTAGACAAGACCAGTGCCCTTCACCAGAGCTCAGAAGCAGCAATTACAATGTCTCCGGGTCCCTCCTATCTACGGATACCAGAGATGTATCTCGTCGACTGCGCGCGCCCAGTCAACCGACGTTTTTCATGCACAGCGCAATGACCCTTCGATGGCCGCCATTCTTTCGGCAATGGAGTCATCCAAGGCTGTCCCGCAGACTCTGACGGAAAAGATTGTACAACGTTATTCTGTTGGCCTTCCTGCAGAAAAATTTGTCAAATCTGGCGACTACGTTACGATATCTCCTTACCGCGTTATGACTCATGATAATAGTTGGCCTGTTGCTTTGAAGTTTATGTCGATAGGTGCTTCTAAATTGAACGATCCTACCCAAATTGTGATGACCCTCGATCATGACGTACAGAACAAATCAGAAAAGAATTTGAAGAAGTATGAGCAGATTGAAAATTTTGCGAAAACCCACGGGGTGGATTTTTATCCTGCAGGCAGAGGTATCGGTCACCAAATTATGGTTGAAGAAGGATATGCCTGGCCTGGAACGCTGGTAGTTGCATCTGATAGCCATTCCAACATGTATGGTGGCGTTGGCTGTCTCGGCACACCTGTCGTTAGAACCGATGCTGCTAGCATCTGGGCCACTGGAAAGACCTGGTGGCAGATTCCCCCGGTCGCAAAGGTTACCTTTCAAGGAGTGCTCCCGAAAGGGGTCACTGGGAAAGATGTCATCGTTGCGCTCTGCGGTCTATTTGACAAGGATGATGTTCTCAATCATGCTATTGAATTTACGGGATCCGAGGAAACAATGCGAAGCCTACAGATCGATGACCGCTTGACAATCGCTAACATGACTACTGAATGGGGTGCTTTGAGTGGGCTGTTCCCGATGGACTCGATATTAAAGGGGTGGCTGAGGGCTAAAGCAACTACGGCTGCTATGTGGGGGTCGACCGTTCCTGAACTACAGAGTTCTGCTCCTGAAAGATTCCAGCATTCTATATTGGAAAACCTTTTCGAAGAATCTCTCACCGCAGATAAGGGAGCTAAATACGCCAAGGAGTTGTTCCTTGACTTGTCTTCTCTATCGCCATATGTTGCTGGACCCAACTCTGTGAAAGTTGCCACACCCCTGAAAGAGTTGGAGGCGCAGAACATCCAAGTTAATAAGGCATACCTGGTATCGTGTACGAATTCTAGGGCATCCGATATTGCCGCAGCTGCCAAGGTATTCAAGGAAGCTGCCGAGAAGAACGGTGGACAAATACCCAGGATTTCAGATGGTGTTAAATTCTACATCGCAGCCGCATCCATCCCGGAGCAACGCGCTGCTGAGGAGGCGGGTGACTGGCAGGCCTTGCTTGAAGCTGGAGCTGAGCCTCTTCCGGCTGGATGTGGCCCGTGCATCGGCCTCGGAACTGGCTTACTGGAACCCGGCGAAGTTGGCATCAGTGCGACAAACCGAAATTTTAAGGGTAGAATGGGAAGCACTGACGCAAAGGCATATCTCGCTAGTCCTGAGATTGTCGCAGCCAGTGCGCTTAGTGGCAAGCTCAGTGGTCCTGGGTGGTACCAGGCCCCCGAGGGGTGGACCGGTGTTATTCGCGGTGAAGGTAATGGCAACGAAATGATAACTGCCGAACAAGCCCTGGAAAAAGTAATTGGGCAGCTGGATAATATGGTCGAGGATGCGGAGAAGCTATTTGGCAGCGAAAGTGCACAGACTTCGGACGACGGTGCTCTGACGGAAGTCTACCCCGGATTCCCTGAACGAGTGTCTGGCGAAATCATTTTCTGTGACGCAGATAACATCAATACTGATGGTATCTATCCTGGGAAATACACGTATCAGGATAACATTCCCTACGAACAGATGGGCGAATACTGCATGGAGAACTACGACACACAGTTCCGAAGCGTTGCTAAGGGTGGTGACATCCTTGTAACTGGATATAACTTTGGTTGTGGCAGTTCTCGAGAACAAGCTGCTACCGCAATCTTAGCCAAAAAGATCCCTCTTGTGGTATCCGGCAGTTTTGGCAACATCTTCTCGCGTAACAGCATCAACAATGCGCTGATGGGCCTGGAAGTTCCGCGGCTAGTCGCTCGTTTAAGAGAGACCTTTGCGAGCGATGCGGCTAGTGATAAACAGCTGACACGTCGAACAGGCTGGACTTTAACGTGGGATGTGCGTCGGAGCCAAATTGAGGTCCAGGAAGGCCCTGACGGACCGAAGTGGACCCAGAAGGTCGGAGAACTGCCACCCAACGTGCAAGAGATCATAGCTCTTGGCGGATTGGAGAAGTGGGTAAAGAACTCCATTTCATCATAGATTGTAGAACTAGTCTGGGGGCGCGTGTATATTTTGATCTGGATTTCTTAACAAAAAGAGATGGGAGGTGGCGTTTTCGGCCCATTTATGGTGCTTTGGTTGGAACAGTTTGTTTAGGCGGCTTTTATAGACGAGCGATAGCTCACACACTCTCATAAGTTACGACATAAATCGAATATATAGTCTGTTAATCTGTTAAAGTGGTAGTAGGGACGTTGACAAGGCGAGAAAAAAAAAGATGTGAAATAGCATGTCTTGGTTTCGATCCAAGGTCCTCCGGGTTATGAGCCCGGCGCGCTTCCGCTGCGCCAACATGCTTGACTCTTGGAACAGGCTAACGCATTCTTGCCTTTAAGCTAATAACTACGATTTTCCACCAAATCGCGTTCCCCTGAAACAGATGAGCCAGCCTGACGAACGCCAACGTACTACTATCTACAATGGCGGGATGTTTAATTTCCCCCATCATCGTCGGCCGTGATCTCGGCGAGCGAGAGGAATACCACTGTTCTTATTCCGTAACTACTCCCAGCACACCACACTGGCTTGTCTCGACTGGAGCGTCAAAGGATTGAATCTACAAACCTTCTTCCTTTTCTGTTTCTTTTTTCATCTACATCTGTGAAGATGGAGTTCTTTCATAGGTGTGAAACCTGCGGGACCTTTTTTGAAAATGACAATAACTTGAAAATGGTGGGTTGTTTGTATTGCTCTTGGAAGTTGGCCGCTCTAACATCTAGGCCAATGCGATATGACAGCATCGACAAGTCCACTTGCCTCGCGACCTTGAGTGCTACGGCTGCACCGGAAGCTTTATGTCGTTTTCGGGCATGCTCATTCACCTCGAGTCTGGCGCTTGTCCCAGCGGCGTTACCAGGCAGTACCTCGATAGATTAGCGTCCAGGCGGCCGGACAGAAAATACTACCACGATGCAGACGCTAGCCCCTTCCCCTATTTTTGCCCTCTTATGCGGACGAATCTTCTCCAAGCTTTCTAGCCTTTTCCAACATGTGGAGAGTGTTCCCACTTGCTGGCGCCGGGCGGTACTCCGCCAGCTTCAGCGGTATATCGCCATGAGGGTCGATTAAGCTCGCCGTGCTATCGTTGTTCTGAGGATTGAATTGGTAGCACAATTGTTTTTTGTCGGTGTATATTTTTGGAGGCAATCTGTGATATCTTTTAAGCATTGCAGGATCTTGATTTGAAGAAAGGGAAAGGCCGGGCCAGTTGTCTCAAACATATGCATGGACTATGCAAAGGGTTCTAGGCACCCGTTTCATGTATGTAACTACAGTACCATTTACTATTTATAACACTCTAACTAGCTCACCGCAAGGCAAACAGTTAGTAGACTCTATGGTTTAGTCGGCACCAGGGAGGCCGTTCAACGAACGAGCCCCCATGCCTGCGCCACGATTAACCAAAACCCGGGTATGGCAAACAAGAAACGACTCGTGGGCAGGATGAACCCCTTCTCGAGACCAGTTTGCCTGGTCTGTCTGCTGATTGGCTTCCCGCAGAGCAATGTCCCGATAAGGCTGAGGAAAAGACCGATGCAAATCCCGAGTAGAAGAGCCGCTTAATCGGATGCCCCGAGCGCAGCAGGTCGACGAGGTGATCTCATAGTGAGGAATAATGACTCTTCGCGGGCATCAAATGACATCTCGACCCTGATACGGTTTACGTTGCGAATCCGGAGATACACAAACCGGCCCATCGCGTACTGCTCGTATCTGCTCAGGCGATACATTGCGAGCCATTCGTCGACGCGGTTGCGTAGATCCTCCCCCGTCGAGTGTAAGGGTTCGGCCTAAGCCTGCCGTCGATCCTCGCCCTTCCCCAGCGAATCGCACGGCGGAGTCGGGATTGCAAGCCCCTACGCACGTTATGTCCGACCGGGATGCTATTCCCCTAAGGGGGAAACCCCCATGGGTTGGTAACTTGCATACGAGCCAATCGTAGGCTAACCCCGAGAGCCATTGCATGTATGGTCGAGGTACGGCCGGAGTTTAGAGGAGTTAACGCAAACTCCTTGAGACGAGTCTCCGTCGGCAATCTGGCGCGGAGAGATCGCGAACTAGCAGCGGCCGACGGGCTTTTCAGTTGCGCCCTTTGTGCGACGTGCACAGGAAAAAAAAATTTCTCTCCCAGGTTCATCATGGCTGGCGTGGAGGTACAGTTAGGCGAAAAGGGGGTACCAAGTCGGCAAATTCGACATCATGGCGGGTTACGAGACCACCCAAGACGCCCATCAGTGTCCAACATGAAACGACCCGGCAGCGGGCTGATCGTGTCTCGTTCCCTGCGTCAGGGCCTCCTGCCATGCCGTCATCCATCGGGATAAGGCTGACTCTGTCGCGGCTGCAACGAAACAGACCAGCTCCAGGACGCTGGAGCCGCACTGGCCGGTGGCGGGGCCGGTGTTCCAGAAGAGCGGTGGAACTGGGCTGGGCGGGCAAGTAAAATTGCTCGGGATGCTCAGGCTCAGCGCTGAGATGCAACTCCAGTCAGCCGCCGCGGCTGGCGCGCGGGCGGACTTCAGCGGCGGGGCGTGGCTCGAGCCGCAACAGCATGACTAAGCCGGGTGCGTCCCGTACGGAAGATATCACGGGCCGTACGCCGGCTGGGCGGCGCTAGGCCGGTTTCGTTAGGGCTGAGGCCGCGGTGGCCTGGGCCCACGTGGTGTGGTATCGAACGGTATGGAAACGACGCGTATTTCGCTTCGGCCGTGTAATCATCACCATCGTCGTGGTGACGCGCGCTCGCTTGCTTGTCCCTCTCTCGCTCGCTTGACGGCCGCACCCAACCTCAGATTAATTAATAATGGCGGCGATGCGTGGGCACTTGACAAATACGGCCCTCATGTTTGTCAGCACATTATTTATAACGCATTGGGCGTGCGCCGGCCGCCAACGCGCGCTGTTCTGTTGGGTGTGCGCAGCCAATTGGGGCCGCGACCAGGAGCCCGGCCTATTTCCCGATCGGGGATCCCCCCCAGCGCAGCAGCCACGCGAGAGGGAGGGAAGCTGGCCGGGAGCCGGAGCCGGCCAGTTGCACAGCGACGGGAGCTGTCGAGACGCACGCACGGCACCGGAGACGCAGCAGCAGCAGCAGCAGCATCATCAATAATAGCACGCATATGCTGTTGCGTGTCTCACTGCCGGCCGCGTTGGCTGCCTCCGTCCATGAGACACCGTCGTGTCTATAATTAGCTTAAGCTCACGATGGCTTCTTCTGCGCCGGAACCAGCGCCCCTTGGGGATGACTAACCACGCTCCCAACACCCGGGGCCGGCCTGCGGCCCTCGAGCGTTGGAGGCCGCGACGCCGCCCGCGCAGTGTTCTGTGCCGGTAGCTGTACCCTGCATCATAATTACTTCAAGAACGCAGAGTCACTCAATACGGGCCCCGACCCACCCTCACGGTAATCCCCGAGTGAGTCAAAATGCAAATGAAACGGCCGTGGAGCAGCGCCAACCAACCTGGCCGCCCTCGACGCTTTCAACGCCCGCCTGCCCGCCCGCCCAAAGGAACGCCCACCCGCGGCGTCGAGAACGGCAATCCCCCCCCATGGCCCCCGCCTGCGAGCCAGGATGCCTGTTCCTCAGGGATCAGCGGTCTGTGTGCATGTCCGGTAGATCGTGTTTTTTAAGCCCCCCCTCCCAATCACGGGCCTCCGCCCGGGGCCTGGCGCTCGACTAACGATGATTCATCAACACGGACCCAACGCCAGCAGCCAGGGCAGGTTGAAGAACGCCGTGCAGAAGGATGGAGCTAAGCCATGATGGCCCCAATCTTGACCGTCGTCCCCCCATTTCCGCAACGGCCCGCGGACAAACACCTCGACCGTTGAGAGCCCAGACGGTTAGCTAGCCCCAAAGGCCTGGGCAGCTGACTCGCTCGCAGGCCATCGGCGACGCCTGCCACGCCGTGCCCCGGTCGAAAGATCAACCCCCCTGGCTGCTGCTGGCGGGTGCCCTTACGGAGTACATGCTGTAACATGTAGTCGGAAACCCCATTACCACTCTTTTTACGGCCGTTCGGTGCCATCCGATTCGTTTGCGCTATTCAAGCCACTGTTTTTGGCTCCATGCCGTGAAAGGGAAAATGCGCCCGAAAAGAAAAGAAACGAAAAGAAAAATAAAAAAAAAGGTGCCCTGCCACAAGGGAAATGGTAAGACAAAACATGCTGGGATCTGCTTTGTGTCATAGCTTCTTTTTCACGGTTTTTTTGGTTCTTTGGACCCAATTTCCTGACCTGACCTGCCGGCTATCAATTCCCATGAGCACTTCAGACCATGTAGGGCGACGAATGCGAGCTGAGCCATTCGTGCTGCCGTTTGGCGCTACTGGTGCTCTTTTCTATATCTGACGATATGCTTCTACAGGCAGACACGCTCTGGATATATAAGGCACCAAGCCTCCGCCTATCTCCCCGAATTCTTCTTTCATTCAGACAACCTCCTCTTCCTTGTTCCCTCTTCTGATTATATATTGTAATAAACATCCTCATTCCACCATATAATCAAACTGCGAACAACCTCCCTTGCTATCTGGCACGTTCAAAACTCGCCTTTATATACTATACCAAATTCTTTGTCACAGGACCTCAACTTCTCAGAAATTCTGAATACCCGTCACCTAACTACTCCAACATCAAACCTAACAATGGGTCGCGGAGGCTATAACAGTCCCAACCAGTCTTCTGGCTCCCAAACCCCGCCCGTGAACCGGGGCCGGGGCGGCTATAACGATGTGAACGACAAGGACGACGAGAAATAGGCATTATGCCGCTCTCAGCAGTGCTAGGGGGGATTGACTGGCGCAGGACACTGGCGAAAACCCCCCCAAAAGGCACGATAAGTTTTTCGGGAATGACTGATGACGGAGGGGGGCTAGAAATCCAAGGCTGGGTTTGCTAGATTCCAGGAATAACGGAGAACAAGTTTGCCCGCTTTTTCAATCCAATCTCGTGTTCCTGTGGCAGGGGGGTGTATCATTTCCCTACGCAGAACCTGCGCAAAACTTGATCAGCGACCATACCACCGAAATTTAGGCAGCAAAGGGGGGGGATGACCAACTTCTCGAACACCACTCCTAAAACACTCTCCACATCACCACTTTCACCGCGACCCGTGATTTTCGCCAGCGCGTCTGCCGCGAACCGAAGATGCTCGGCCGCCACCACAATGTCGATTTCGTCCTCGATTGGTTGATTATTAGCGACAGCATCCTCTGGAGTTCGGGTTATCTTGTTGTTGTTGTCGCTTGCAGTATTGGCGTTTGGAATTGCTACTATTTGGGATAGAAAGTCTTCTAGATGTTGCGCACATGTTTTTAGATTAGAGCTTTGTCGATGTGTGACTCCCAGTGAGTCCTGGTAATACGAAATATCATACTGATTATCCTCCTCTTCTGATCTTGTCGGCGTGGCCATCTCTTCAAACGTATGGACTATGCCTCGTAGTAGCTGCTGTATCTTTCCTGGATCGTCGTCGCTGGCCAACGCGTTCTGGGCTTCCTTGCACGAAATAGCGTAGATTTGGTTTTTGCCGAGTCCCGGGAACGTTGTACAGATCTGCTCCAGAACGTTTGTGTAGTCGTGCGGCGTCTCCAGGGGTAGTTTGTCAGTCTTATTAATCGCGACGATGACTTGCTTCTTCAGTCGCAAGCAGTCCCGAACCGCCTCGACCACCTCCGATTCAAGCCTCAACGTTGAGCCGTGCGCATAGGTTTCAACGGACAATACAGCAACAACTACGTCGGATTCTAATGCTCGGCTCTTCGCACGGCGGATACCCTCCTTTTCCACCTCACCGATCGTCACGCAATCGCCTTCAGCTTGCGCAGTTGGCGCAGAGCGCAATCCCGCCATGTCGCCGAACTTACAGAACCAGCCGCCAATATCAACACCAACATCGACAATGTCACGAGTAGTCCCCTCTTCGCTGCTCACAATGGCCGCTTCTCGTCCCACTATGCGATTTAGAAGCGAACTCTTTCCAGCATTGGGTGCACCCAACAAAGCGATCTTAATTCCACTTCGCAGTAATTCCCCTTTTGAGGCGTTTTCAATGTGCACCTTGATATGCTTTAGTAATCTTCGGACCTGCGATGTTACGGATACCAAAAAATCATCGACAGATTCATCAAAATGCTGGTCCTCCGAGAAGTCAATCAAAGCTTCGAGTTCCCCTCGTGCGTATAGTAGCTGCTGTCTCCAATTTTCGTATCTCTCCGACAGCGCATCGCTTGTGCCTCTGATAGCCAAGCGGCGTTGTTGCTCAGTATCAGCTGCCAAGGTACTCCCTAAAGCCTCAATTTGCGGAAGATCCAAGCGATTGTTCAGAAACGCCCGTCGAGTAAACTCTCCTGGTTCAGCATAACGTATAGATGGCTGCAAGCCAGCTTCCGTTGTGTTGCTTGCGATTTTTGGTATAGCATTCAGTATGGCTTTTACCACGGCAGGGCTGCCGTGGACGTGAAATTCGAGAACATCTTCTCCCGTGACCGTGTTTGGCGACGGAAAGTATAGAACTAGAGCTCCTGAGTCGAGTACGGTATCCGTAGACGGAGATTGATTGGGTTCGTATAACGTTCGAAGGCCGGCATATCGCGGCCTAGGGAGCTGAGAATTGGGGCATAGGCCATTATAGACCTAAGAGGCAAGCCGTATGAATCAGTCAATGTGCCATTGCATGTAGTCACTATCTCGTACCTGTGTGCAAGCCGAGCCTGAGACGCGCAGAATCGCTATTGCGGCCCTTCCCGGTGCCGTGGATACAGCATAAATTGTTTCCGGAACCGCGTCGACGACAGGTGAAAGTGGTTTTATTGAAAATGCTGCTGAACGGCAGAACAAATCTGGTCGACGACATTTTCTATTTCGAGGTGTGGCCCATGAAGAACGGACAGGCAAGATCTGCCGACCGAAGTGGCCCAGAAGTATGCGCATGCGCGATGTCGAACTCTGCTTGTCGGAAACTGAGTGCGCTTCAAGAAACTAGAAGAATTTCCCACTGATACTCCGTACTTTGGGCTCCGTGAGGAAAGAGCAGACGACCACTAGGAGTGCAATCCACGATAAGCGTTGTCGGTTCTTTGGACTGACTTTCGCAGTGCCGCTTCTAAATATGTAAGCTAATTACTCCCTCTCTCATATGCACACCATATTGTTTGGCCATGCATCCAGTATGCTTCGACTTTGCTGCTTACTGATGACCATCAGTCGGCTCTGAGAAGCCGAGTATTCTCATATCAATGAATCGTTGCCAGGTTGTTTTCGGACCTGAAGGCGCGAACCACTACAAACTTCCTTTACCGTTTTTTAATATCTGCATGCGTGATTGGCATCCGAGAATACTTCTTAATCTCGGGCTATGATTACAAAATGGAAATAACAAGGTCGAAAAATCACGTCAAGAGCTCTGGAAATTCATTTGCCGACCACCCACAGCATTTTGGGGCATTTAGCCTGATCTCACTAGAATTATAATGTGAAACTAGACCTGAAGTCTAGAACTGTCGTTGTCAAAGCTGGTTGCGGATGAAGTGGTAGGCATAAGAAAATTGTCATATGAACAACGGCTGTGTTCAATGGCACTGAAATATGTCTTTCCTCATGGACATGTCTCCTTCAACGGCAGCTTTACCTCCCTTTTTAAGTGCTTCATGAGTGATGCCTTAATGAATGCCACGAGAGTACAATGTTGAAGGATGCATCAAAAATATGGACGATGACTAAGCGCCGCCAACAACAACGGCCAAGCCCGCGAAAAGGCCAATTCGACAAACTAGGGACTACCAGCACCCGGCAAAATGGACGATATCACGAGGCATCGAATTGGAAAGGAAGTTGAGCGTTTCATTGCTTCTATTGATTGTTCCGTCGTGTGTGCCCTCGCGTCTTCATTTCACCCACAAAAGAAGCCCTGCCGCATCTTCGACGAAAAGAAAAAAGGCGCATTCAATGTCTGCTTTCCGGTTGAATTCCTGGAAGACCCCGGAAATGAGCACACGATTCGCGAGCGATGGATGATGCGAATACCACTTCTACCACGCCTAGCGTTTCCCGACGAAAAAATTCGAGCCGAGATTGCTACGATGAAGTAAGGCTCATGAGGTTTTCTCTTGTCAACGGAATATTAGGTGGAAAAATACTACTGTTTGATCGGCTGGAGGACCCTGACAGCTATGTAGGTTTATCGCCGAAAAAACGACGATCCATATTCCATGTCTACGCGGCTATTCGATCAGCAAGGATAATATCCTAGGCCTACCGTTCATGTTACTGAATTTCGTTGATGGGGAAATGCTCATCAAGGTGGATCTGCTAAAGCTCCCAGCTCCTCGAAGACGCCATTTGTATTCACAGTTAGGGAGAATCTACCTGCAGCTGTTCCAGCACCAATTTGATCATATTGGTGCGCTCACCCTAGACGCAAATGATGATAATTGGGTTTTTGAGAGGAATCGCCCTCTCTCTGTTTATATGAATGAACAATCCCTTGCTGGTGCTGAACCATGCCGCTATATCTCACCTATTCAGGTATATCACTCAACCATTGACTATGTCTTCATGGTGCATCAAGCACTCTTGGATGATTTTCATCGGGTACCAGGCAGCATCAGCTCTAAGGTGGATGCGCGTGCTTATCTTTACAACATATACCAATTACGTCAGTTTTTGATGGAATGGGTTAAGCCTGAGCTTAATCATGGACCTTTTGTTCTAATGCATGGTGACTTACGTTCTGCAAATATCCTTGTTGATGAGGATCTTAATATTACCTCTGTTCTAGACTGGGAATGGACTCACACTATCCCCCAGCAAATGTTTGTCCCTCCATCGTGGCTTACTGGCTGCGAACTAATAGGAGTTACAAAACAGTATGCGCGACTCTCCTATTAAGCTAGGATTTTTGATTTTGAAATGGAAACAAGCGATGTTGAGCACACATACCATCCCAAATGCTGTGATATTGATGAGCTTCCACTAACAAGATTATGGAACAAAAAGTTTGGGTCCCCAGATATTTTTATTGCTCATGGACTGATGCAACCTCATTATTTTGGGAATGTGTTCGCTTCAGTGCTTGATCATGACTACTATCGGCAAGACATAGTTCATAGAAAAAGAGTAGACGAGTTTTTTGCGATGGAGATTCGTCAACCTGAACTGGAAGCAGTACGACAGAAGCTCGACGAACTGGAGTTATTTAAAAACCAGTGCAATAGTCTTGGAATAAAAATTGACACGAATAACTACAATAAACTTAAAAATGATGTTATTCCCTTGGGCTCGAATCTTGAAAGTCAAGGTCACAAGTCCTCCTCGTTGTTAAATGTTATGAAAGGTTGGTTTAGCGGATACAGGACGGAATTTTCTCTTCTAGCAGGAGGGCCCAGTCCACAATACTGGGTAGCTGGTGCCACCCTGGGGTTAGCATGCAGCATTATCATTGCATGTCAATGGAAATAACTCACCCAGTTTAACAGTCTTTGAAAGGAATTTTATTCTTGCAGGGCTTCAGGATTCAGAGAATGGCAGCGCTTTCGGCTGAATATCAGACACTGTGACAGCTCTAGTAGTCACTACTTACTGTGGTGAGAATGGCAGTATTTTGATAGTATCAATTCTCAATATTTCGCATACAAAGAAAAATGGGTGCTTCATTGCAAGAAACATCGTCTATCTTGGAAACGGTAAAACTGCAACGCCTCGCTCCCCATTTGTCCCACGCGCCCGAATCCCAAAGATCACATTGTCCTTGCTCAGATCAACAGTCGCTTCTGTCACCATCCCTACATCACGTACATGTGTCCAAAATGGCGCAATGGTGCTCCGCCAGACAATTTCATACCCCCCAACGGCAGTATTCCCACCTGCTGGCGGGTCCCAATAGAACTTACTATCATTGGAAAGCTCAGTGGTACTCACGCGCACGTTGCGTGGCATTCCCGGAGAATTTGCCAAGCTCCAGAGCGTGGCTGCGTTGACTTTCCCAACCCGTGCAATGTACTCAAAATCGCAGAATTCAGGTAGGTCTCCGTATTGTTTTTTCTTTCCTGTTTTTGGGTCGGTTTCTATACGTACATCCTGATGTTGGTGGGCAAAGTTTTCGTGTGGCTCAGTGAATCGTGCTGCAGGATATCCAGCTTCTAAGAAGGGCCTGTGGTCGCCACCGCGCAGGTATCGGTCTAGTCGATAGACCACGGACACCTGCATGCTGGTATGATTGTTCTCGGCTGTTTCTTTTACAAAACGGGCTAGCTGACGGGCTGGGGTGTCGTTTTCACCGCCGATGCTAAGACGGGCCTCGCGTGTCCTTTGATCTTCGACGCCTAGTGGTGGTATTCCCTGTGCAAAAAGTCGGACAACATTAGGGTCAGTTGTGCCATCGTCCGCTGTGGATGAGCCGATGATATCGTTAGTGAACATCCCTTCTATGTTGGCGGATTTGTTTCGATATGTCTGTGCAAGAAATCTAGCGCCATACAAGCCCTGTTCTTCACCAGCCACGGCTGCGAAAACAAGTGTTGCCTTGAGGCGAGGAAGATGTGGCTGTGACATAACGCGGGCGAGCTCAAGAGAGACAGCTACCCCCGAGGCACTAAGGTGAACAGCATGAGTATTTATACACTGTTGGATAACCTTTTCATCAAACGAGCCATCTTATCTGTGGGATGTGTAAATGGGAAGGAGGTTTATAGGGAATTATAGGCGATCCGACGTAATGGGTACACGTACTCATCGTTAGCCCCCGGTGCAAAACTCGTGTAGTCATTCGCATTGCTAACTCTGGAGTCGTAATGCCCCGAAATAAGATAGATCCTTTCTGGCTCCTCTGTCCCCTTCAACGTCGCGACAACGTCACTAATGCGTACGGGAAATGGCACTCTGGACCCATCCGGCTGCTGCTCATAGCCCACAACATCAACGCTGAGCCGGCCATCGCTGGCATTCGCGTACCGTTTAAACTCTGCCGCGATCCAGTCTCGCGCTGCTCCAATGCCGTATGTCGCGTTTGTCTGGGTAGAGAGCGTATGTCGGGTCCCGAAAGACACGAGCTTGCGGATAGAGTCTTCAATTCGCGTAGGAGAAATCTGTGAGAGAATGGATTGAAGCTCCTTTGATGGGGTCTGAGGCTTGTTTGGAGTCCCGGCTTTTGTCGGCGGCCAGGACGCGGCAGGGCAGGAGAAAAGGGATGGCTCGTTTAAGAATTCATCTGGCAGACCACGAACAACGTTGGGGGATATTAAAGGCTGAGTAGAGACTGTGATGCAAAGCCACAGCACCGAAAATATACTGTAAAGAAAAATGGAAGCTAAAGGATACATTTTTGGGGGATATTTAACAGCAAACAACTCATGATTGAATTGTTTCAACCAACATTCCTATAATAATGGAAAAGGCCCATTATTGAATGAAAACCAGTCCTGGGAGAAGGGAAGAAGCGGGGAAAAGAGTATGAGAGACCAGGGATCCCGTTATTAATTAACTACTATTATGGTAGGATGATGGTAGTTGTTTAGCCCATTTGACCAGGACATGAACATGGCTAGTTTGGCTTAGTTAATGCACCAGTCACAACAAGGGCCAAGGGTAGAGTTAGTTCACTTAAGTATGAACTCTTCTTGTCTTTCGGATCATCCCGCACATCGAAACCTTGTCAGACAACATCCCTCACAGTAACTACTCTGTAGTCACACCATAGGCTCTTTGGTCTGAAGCTACTTGCTAGGAGCTAGAGAAGAGTACTTGATTCATCTGATATCTGCTATGCCAGGTACCCTTTATAAGTTCGTGGGCACACCGTCAAGGCTCAAATATTTAATTAGAATAGAGATCTAATAATACATACACACATAGGACCATATGGTCTAGAGTACTACTTGTATGTTATTCTTTTGGCCAATATCCTTAGCTTAACTACTCAGTGGGCTCTTTGGCGCTTATCTTTTATGACAGGGTAGTGAGGGTGGCTAAGCCTTTGGATTGCGAATTACAATTTCCCAATTACACAGTCAATAAGGCACATCACATTGACTACATACATTATTCATCCCACATTTAGATATCTTGCCATCAAACTCATCGACAAAGTCCTTAGAATAGCTCTTTACCTGACATGCCCATGGAGTTGAATCCTAGGCGAGAAGTTGACGAATAAAACAAGACCGCGTTTCAACAAAAAAAAAAGTCACAAAGCATTTCTCCAGCATCAACCACCTAGTTATCAAACATTCGAACCTAGATTGGCGGTAGGTCAACCCCCCCCCCCCTTCCTCCATATCCCTCCTACTGGATAAGCCCAGCAGCTCGAAGTGCGGGAATTGCTCGCTCCAAAGTCCATTCGGTACACTTAATCAGGGGTCGTCGGGGCTCACCGGGCTCGTAAAATGTCAAAGGGTTCGCAGTTTTGAATGGCTCGGTTTTTAATGTAATTGGGTTGAATGCCTTTTGACGAGGAGGGGCAGGTACTTTTCTCAAACAGTCTTCCCAAGCCTGCGGGTGTTTATTCCAAGTAATTCTTGGGAATAAAAGGTAGTGGATTTCTCAGGAGCATGGCATCTCTTGCATTCGTACTTCATCCCATTGGCCGAAACGAGATCTCCGGTGACGTGATGGACGTATCCGCCGTTGTCCCCGTCAGTCAGAACCACGACTGTAGTGTGATACCGTGGGCTAGGCATATCAGGGTCTGCCAAAAGCAATGAATATCTGACCAAAAAAACTTCATATTGCTGAGGCATGGTTTTTCTGTATTCACTTCAAGAAAGAGAAAATCAAAACGAACGGTAAGAATAAGGGCTGGAAAAACGTTGGCTGCGGTGTACTAAGGGGGTTGTAGCCAATTTGGATTCGGCCAGATGAGGGTGGACAGGCTTGAAAAGATTGAAATTACTCAACGGCACGGGCATCGAGGCATTATTTATAACATTTTTTACTTGAAATGGTGCAAGGCCTCATAGGTTTACAGCATTGTGGGGAAAGCAATCGAACGGGACCGAAGATGAGACCCATACAGACGCTTATATGGCGCATTTGCTACGCCTCGCGTACATGATCTTGTGGATGTAGAAGGGTATTTTCGGAATCCGTTGCAGGGTACTTCAGCTGATTATTGAAAAGCCTATCAATGCGACGCAAAGGTGAGAAAATCTTCTCACATGAAATGCATAGGGAGACGGGAACAGAGCCCTGGAGTATACAATGCCAGCCAACCAAATGAGCCACACAAATAGAGAGCAGCTGGTTTGCCGTAAGTAGAAGGTGAAAGGAGCTTCTGACCCCATTGCAATGATCCAGGCCAAATACAAATATGCTATTGAGAGCTGGAGCCAATGCTTGACAGGAAAGCTCGGCTTTCCGAAACGACGCAAGATGAAAGTGTGTTGAAGTGGGAATCTGTTCCATGCAATGCATTGCAGGGAAAAAGGCGCCCTCCAGGGTAATAGCTGCATGGATTGCGCTGCTCGAGATGGGGATTCCAAGGTGTTTGTGTTGGTGGCTGAAATGGTTGGCTGTCGAGCTGTGTGAATTGTGACAAATCCGTAACTAGTTAGATAGTTAACTAGTTACTTGTCGAGGTGCATTGAATGCCTTCTTTGGACGGCGCCAAAGCTGCATAAATAGATAGTCGGCTAGAAGGTACCTAACTTACTCAAATCAACAACACCAGATCAAATAGTTATTAAGCGCTTGCTCTTTATGTCCATACAGAGTGCTCGATACAGAGTACGGAGTATATATTCAGCTAATGGTGGAATAAAAACTTATTTATACTTTCTATGGTTACTCAAGCGCAAAGAAAGGTTCTTCTGCAATGTCTGTAACTCTGCCCTATTTCAGAGACGCAAGCCTTCTGCCGGGTCCGTTGCCGACCGACGAAGAAATTGAGGCCGCAACCACAACATTGCCCTCAATTCGAGATCCCAAGTACGGCCGTATTGTCCTGATCAGAAATAAATTTGTTGTGAAGTATGGCAGAACTCTCATCCATGTCGAGAATGAAGGGTATGCATTACTATTCATTGAGAAACACTTGTCAATTCCGGCTCCGCGTTTGTACGCTATGTACCGAAAGGGACCTTGGCTATATATTATCATGGAATATATGTCTGGGGAAAACCTGGACATTCTGTGGCCTGCATTGTCAAGCCCCGATAAGCAATCGATATTAAGCCAACTACGAAACATTTTCAATAAGATGAGATCTCTACCTCCACGAAACTTTTTTGGAAATGTTAGTGGTGGCCCGATAGAGCACCAATATTTCTGGACTTTGGACAAAGACCCGGCCATTGTGGGTCCATTCAAAACTGAGAACGATCTTAATCTCGCGCTCGCAAAGCACTCGCGTCAAAACTGGGAAGAAAATGCCAGATATCCGTGGCTTGCAGATTTCTACGAGCGCAATCTTCACCGTGCGCTTAAAGACCATGAGAGCGTATTCACTCATGCAGACCTCCAGAGAAAAAATATACTTGTGGAAAAAAGAATTGACACGGTGTCAGGCGAAGAACACTATGTCGTCAGTGCACTTGTCGACTGGCAAACCGCCGGCTGGTATCCGTCATATTGGGAGTACGCCGGAACATTCTGCTGTCTACAGTGGGTAGATGATTGGCCTGAAAGCTTGGAGAAGATTCTTGATCCCTGTCCGCTTGAGGCTGCGATGCTGAGATTCGTGCACCAGGATCTTGAATTCTAGATGGAGCTGTTTTTTTCCGATTGCCTTAACTGACTAAGCCTTCCGTTATGGTAAATTCAGTGATTTTATCAGAACCGGAGCTTGGGGGGGGGTTACAATCACCTACTCTGAGCCAATTATTGATCTACTCATTTGTTGTATATTTAGCAAGTACGAGAAGAGACATAGAGGACAAGGAGTTTTTTCAAGCATATGTAGTGAGCAAATATATACAATGGATCATATCATTCGTAAATATACAGGGGATAAAAGGGATCAAGAGCTTCCTTCGATTCCCGATCCGCTGTTTCTTCTTAAGCCGGAAGGGGCCAGCTCCAAGTTGCCGGGCGGGGTCCACCCGGCCCTATAAGAACATTCCGAGAACAACATTCCTCGCGGGTATAAAGCGGGTATTGTGTACCCGCATTTCAGCTTTGCAAAGCTCTCTAAGGCGAACACTTCACCAGCGTGCCTGGTGTCCAAAACTGGAAACCCGGTTACTGCACTTTCTTGTGAAGTTTATTCGTGCCATGGAACCAGTCCAGCAACCCGATCGAGCCGTAATTCAAATTGAACTTTTCATGGTGCAAGTCGTGCATTTTCGCCAACCCACTCAAAAAGTCGTAGCCACTATGCACCAGTGCCGTATTGGACAATTCATACGACAGGAAGATCCAGAATACTAAGATATGGCTTCTCAGAATTGCTGGAGGGAGGGTGATAGGGAGGATGTTTGCAAGGAGATGCTCGACTGGGTGCGCGAACTGCGCTGCAAGCGCAACGGGAGCAGTGAAGCGGTGATGGAGTTTATGGATTCTGGCATATAAGGCGCGGTGGTGGAGGAGACGGTGGCCATAGTAAAATAAGGCTTCGCGCATCAAAAGCGAGAGCATGAAGTCTCTGACGAGCTCCGTTAAGGTAGGTAGTGAGGGCTGGACCCGATATGTTGGGAACGGTGCAGCGGCGATGATCAGAAGGTGCAGGGCGGAACTGTACACCTGGTTGCGCAAAACGAGGAGGGTGCAGGACTTGATTTCTTCCTTGGTCGGCTGTTTGGGGATGGGCTGCAGCTTGTGTCGGTGCGAGAAGGACGGCGCCCAGCTATCCAGCGCGAGGAACAAGAACGACGGGATCCAGAAGGAGATAATCTGGACGATGATCGTGCCGACAAATTCGATGGTGGCGGGCGAGAACGAGGTGACGATGTCGGCCCAGACACTCTCGACGGAGGCGAGTTTAGCACTGGCCAGCTGTTGCATATAGAACGCCATATTCTTTTTTCACATAACTAACTAGTACGCAGTGGCATGCGCTCTCTGGCATGTCGCTCTCTTAAATCACTTCTTGTTAAGCCTCGGCCCATGACGAACGCACGAGTTAGGGCTGCAATCCTGGAGTTTAGCGTCCCCTAGGCTTTCATGTGAAGAGGTTAACCACCAGAGCCAAGAGACAAAGCCATCGACGACTGGAAATGTTGATGACAAGAGCTCAAATCCCGAGAAGTTGCGTGGATTATCGTTAGCACGGGCGAACTTCTACAACGGCATAAGACGTGGAGATGGCCCTGATGCTATGGAGATCTGGGGTTTGGGGCGGCAGCGTTCTCTTTCTTCTTTCATTTTATCCAAAAATTGAGCCAGAACAGATAGCTTAACCAACCAACTACTTATCCTGTCGGCCGAAATACGATTTTTTTAGTTAGGTGCATGGCAAACAGACAATTTTGATACTCTCTCAGGGGTTTGCACCGGGGCAATACGGAGGATAGATATCGTCTACTCACGCGACTGGCAGGTAATCTTGGGCATCAGACATCATCAAAGCTTCCACTTCACATATGTAAAAACTTTCTCTTAACATGATACGATGTACATACATCGCCATAGCAGTTTTTGTACCCTTTGTTAATGGATGCAAGATGCCTTCAGTAACAACGACCAATGGGCCGCCCAAATCTGGTGCGTATGTCTTGCTGCCTTTTCGAGCACTACTCTGTACGTAATCTTGCTCCAGCGAGCAGGCGTCAATCAGCATTCACACCATGAAGGCCTTGTCGTGGTTCGCAGGAATTATCATTCTAGCCGTTTTCAGCGATATTGGCTGCTACGAGGCTGCTGGCATAAATATGGACCGGAACACTCTGCAATGAATAAAAGGGAGGAACTCAAATCACTAAAGCTACTCCAGACATTTCATAATACTTGTCAGCCTGCACCGTGACTTGACCTGTAGTTATTCTTCACAATGTAATGAGACACATCATTTGGGGGCATATCGCCTTGTCCTATTGCCCGCAAGAGTAAAGTTGCTTGGCCTTCCGCTTCAATGTTGTCGGAAATAAAAATGCTGAACTCTAATATGACACTAAACTCTAACTAACTAATTAGTTAGTTAACTAGCGCGGTGGCGCGAGTAGCTGACCTACTCCGTTTACTTAACGCGCCGGCTTGGTGGCGAGTCATAGGTTCGCTCGAGCAACAACAGCGGTAGTACTCTCCTCGTCCTGCATCTTATTGCAATCTCCTCTTGGGCCTTTTAAGCCATTCATTTTTTCCATTCCCTCTCTTTTGCACACATCATCATGGGTCGCCCGAATTTCTGCGACAATTGGATTGGTACTATGTGGGTCAACGAAAGGATCACCTGTCCTGATGGAACAGTGTGGCAGGTTGGTAAGAAGATCAGTGAGAAATCCCTCCTTGCTCCTGATCTCAGTGATGGTAAGCATCCAACGGAAGCCGAAGCTCAAGCCGTCTATCACTGCACCCAGGTACTTCCTGGTAAATCTCCCCAACAGAGAGCTATTATGAAAGTTCGAATGCAGTAGGCTATAATAAATAGAGGGAAACTTAGCCCAGACAACTAATATTTGAGATAGGGTTCCTCCAACCAATATACCTGACCTCAACCCTCTGGCCAGGACAAAAATAGCCCAGGAGCAGCCTGCCTTCTGGACACGTTTTGAGGTGCATGCTCTACAACATTTCAATAAAAAGAAATGTAAATCAGTACCACAGCTGCTGAATTTGGTTGTAACATTGCAACATGGTTCACATATGCCAGTACCAAGTGGCTCCTTGGTATTTTTGATCATGGAGGAGCTTCCTGGTGTGCCTTTGACTGGTTTCTGGAAGTATGATTGCCCTAAACGAGACAAGATCCGAGCTTCCTTCCGAAGAAGCCTTGAGTACGTTCATGAATCTACATAGTACTGTTACTTACTAAGCTGACACAATTTGAACAGAGAACTGTTCAATGTTCATGGGTACCCTGCTGACTACAGACTTGACAATTTAATCTATGATGAGAGCACTGACATGTGGTATGCTTCAAACTCAATTTCCTCCTTCTTTGCTACTATAATAACTTTGCCATTTGTCACAGTGTAAGGTGGCAGCCTACAAGATAGGTGCTAAAGGACAATGTATCAAGCCTACAGTGTAAGAAAGATAACTAAGTTGCACTTATAGTATCAAAGTAGTATTGCTATATGCACAGTAAGAGAAGAACTCATTGCTGACCTTCTGTGGGAGAAGGCCAGTGTGGCTTTAAGTACTAGTGAGATTAGGGCTACACTAACTAATAAGATACTGGCTCTTAGGGCAGACCTAGTCTACAATGGGCATGACAATTGTCCCCCTTCCTTGTAGGCATTGTTCTCAAGACTCTAAAATGTAGCATAGTGATATAATTTGACATCAGATTGTGCTATCAGTGTCCTAATTTTGGAATATTAAAGCATATGATTAATAATTTGCAATAGTGTTGAGTGTTGACACAGATGGAGTCTGCAGTGTTGCAGCATTGGGGTGTGATGTCAGTGTTTTGTTGTGCTGGTGCTGATTGAGTGTTGGTGTTTTGTTGCACCAGTGCTGATTGAATAATTAGTGGTGCCACACCACCAGCATTAGTGTGAGCATTAGTGTGGTTGGTGGTTGTGTAGTCATCAGTGTTAGTGTGGCACTAATGCTTAGTGAATATCAACAACATCAGCATGTGAGCTTTTTCTTCTTCTTTCTTCACTCAAGCATCATCACACCACCATCATCATCATACCTCACCACTCCTCTCATCACACTGTCTCATCATCTGCCATCCTTCATGTTGTGTGAGTACTGAATTGATCTGTTCACACCACTTTGGCACCCTTGTTGATGCTAAGTGATGTGATGGGGGTTTTGCTTTTGCATATTGTGGATTGTCAATCCACAACATTATTGCACAGTAGCATTTGCTACTGTTATTTTGATTTTGCTAATGACTCTTGACTTGCCTATGCTATTTGCTGTTAGCATTAATCTTTTGTGATATACTCACTTTTGTTTTTGTTTATGTCCTTTGCGGTGTTTTTGATGTCTTGGTTTTTGGACTTGTGTGGACATTCACTAATCAATTTTGGTGTAGTCATGCCCCATGCTCCTGCTGCCTCCCCCTGCTCACCAACCCTGATGACTTGTGTATTGTTATGCCTGGACACCACCATTGTAAAGTGTGCCAGGGGGTGCACTGCCCATGTACTCCAGTAAGAACCCTATATCTTTTGTGTGTGTGGGGGTTTTTGGTGGTCACCCATTGGTGTGTTTTCAGCACTAAGTTGTGCCAACACTCTAGAGTTTGTCAAGTCCCATGCACTTCTGATGTCTAGATTGTTCCATTCCTTGCTGACACAGACTTTAGATTGTCAGTTCAGAGGGTGAGCTCTGGTGGATCTCTGATTTGCAGGGTCTGATCTACTATGCTGATAGATTGGACATGGCCATCTTCACTGAGTGTTTGAATCTTCAGCATGAGGTGCAATGTCTGGCCACTTCTGCCACAAGGCAGTGCAGCAAGCATGCATGTGCAGCTGCCTTGGTTGATGTTGAAAGATGTCAGATCTGTGAAGTCACCACCACAGTCAATGCCAGATGTGAGACTGCCATCTATGGATGGATTCTGTCAGCAGCAAGAGCCCACATGCCTGCACTGTCTCTGCCTGCAGCCACCCCCAGCACCCCTCTGTGTTTGCAGGGGGGTAGAGCCAGAGAAGAGGGGGGAGAGAAAGAGCAGATTAAGTCAGTGCAGGCACATTTAAAATGTCATCTCACTCATCATGCTCATCATCTTGTCTGTCAAGCTGCTCACACTGCTGCTGCCTGCTGTGCTGTCCACCATGCTGTCCACATCACTGCCCATGATGAGCAGGAGATCCCCAACTCTCAGAAAGATTGAGCTTTGGCTCAAAAAAGAGTTGTTTTTTGCACACTTCAGTGCTTTTTTTCTGTACCTAGTTTCTTAAGTCCACATAGTGGCCATCTTCAGATGTTTAATCAATGAAGAAGTCTTCCATTACACTTCTTTTTCTTTTCTTCATTGAATAACAAGAACAAAAGTCTTTGGAAGTTCTGTTTTTCATATTTCTTACACAACATGGAGTGCTTTCTTGCATTTTTTGCAGCAATTATGCTGTTTTTCTTTCCCATCAGCACTTTTTTGGGTGTTCTTCTTTGGATGTTACTTGTTGTTCAAAGAAGTTTAGTGCTTCTGTATTCTGAACATGTTCTTCTGGTTTCCAGATGTCATTTTCTGGTCCCCATTCTTTCCAACAGACTAGGTATTCAATTTTGTTTTTGTGTATCTGTTTGTTCAGAATATCTTCTACTTGGTATTCTTCATGACCATCCACCAGTTCTGAATCTGGTGGTGGTAATTTATTTTCCCTTTTATTGTATTTCTCTAGCATAGAAATATGAAATACCAGGTGAATACTTCTAAATGAGGGTGGTAATTGGAGCTTATAGAATTGTTTCCCCCATTTTTCAATGATTTCAAATGGTCCTATATACTTATGGTCCAGTTTTCAGGCTGGATGAAGCATGCTTAAGTTTTTTGCATTGAGGAGTACCCATTCTCCTACATTGAATACTTGTGGTATGTGCTTTGAATCATAATACTTTTTCTGCACTTCATGGGCAACATGGAGTGTTTTTTCAAGATGGTTGTGCATCTTTTGCAATGACTCTGCCCTTTCTGTGGCTTTTGGAGCCATGTGTTTCAATGGTTTGTCCACATTTATACATAACTCTGGTCTATACTTCATTAATGCAACTGCTGGTATTTCTCCTGTTGAGCTATGCTTCAATTGGTTGTATGTGTGTTGAGCCATAGATAGCCATTGCACCCAATCATCTTGGTGGTAGTTAATAAACCCTCATAAGTAATGTTCCAGGGTTTGGTTTTGTCTTTCTGTTTGACCATCTGTTTGAGGATGGTAAGCAGTGCTTAATCTTCATTTTGCATCAAAGTAGAAGCATAGGGTTGATCAATAATTGCTTGTAAATAGAGATCCCCTATCAGAAATCAGATTCTTGGGTGTACCATAGGTAGTAAAGATGCACTCATAGCATAGTTCTGCTAAGTCTTCTGTGTTGATGTCTTTTCTACATGGTAGATATAGGGCGAATTTCATATAGATGTCCACTATTACTAGAATGGCATCAAAGGTATTGTCTCTCCAATTGAAGAGGAGTAATTCTGTGATGAAGTCCATTGAGATTGACTCCATGGATTGTGAAGACATTGAAATAGTTCCTAATTCTCCATGTGTTTTATGTCTTCTGGGTTTGATTCTCTGGCAGATATCACATGTCTTGACATAATCCACTACATTCTTGGTAAGTTCATGCCAATAGTACTTATCTTGAATGACTTCAATGGTACATTTCATTCCAAAGTGACCCCCCTGTGGGTCATCATGATTTGAGTGTATAATCTCATTGATTAATGCTGGTTGGCTAGGTACATATGCTCTATTATTTGCCCATAGCACATTGTCTTTGGAAATTGTTCATGTTACATCTCCAGCCATGAAGACACCTTTCTTCTCCACCTCTCTTCTTTGAGTGGACACAAATGTGTCCAGCCCTTGGAGCTGCAGCAATAGAGAGGTTAAGAATTCAGGCATTTTAGTGTAGACTGTCTCAGACTTCATGACAGCATTAATCATGAGTCTTGACACAAGGATTGATCCTCTAATGTCTTCTGGCAGTGTTATTGTCTGTATTGAGTGCAATGCAAGGGAAGAACTTATGCCAACATCTGTGTTTTTATTTGTTCCTTGCACTTTCAGTGTTCAGTCATGCACTCTGACACAGTTTACTATAGGAGCCAACTGTTTGTTGTCCTCTAGATTTCATTCTAGTTGAACACCATGTCTGATCTTCTGTTGCAGAGTAGGTAGAAGAGTCTCACCATGATAGGTATCTTTGTAATCTGGTTGACAACTTGGTGCATCTGCTGGATTTAATTTACCCAGGCAGTGCAGTAATATGAAGTCATATGTGCTAAGCACTTCTGTCCATCTTGTCTGATGTCTGTTTAAGCTCTTGGTTGTCATAAAGAACTGTAGATTGGCATGATCAGACAAGACATGTACTGATTTCTGACTTCTCTTCAGATAGTGTCTTCAGTGTTTGAATGCAGCTACTATAGCTAAAAGTTCTTTGTCATGGGTATCATAGCAGGTTTTCACATCAATTAGCTTTCTACTTCAGAAGACAACTGGGTGCCATAGCCCATCTTCTTGAAGTTGTGTAAGGATAGCTGCTACTGCATAATCAGATGCATCTAGTTCTAACTGAATGCACTGCTGATTGTCAAAGTGTGCTAGGCAAGATGCTGAGGTAAAGCTTCTTTTTAGTTCTTCAAATGTGTGTTAAGTGTTTTTTGTTCAGTCAAAGTTGCACTGTTTCTCCTTTGTATCCCCTTTGATGAGCTCAAAGAGTGCATTTGCTATGCATGAATAGACATGAATAAAGCAGCAATAGAAATTTGCAAACTCAAGGAAGAATTGAATTTTCTTAATGCTTTTGAGAGTTGGTCAGTCTAGAATGGTTAACACTCTATCCATTTCCATTGAAATACCCTTGGGTCCAATGATAAATCTCAAGAAGAAGACTTTTTCCATTGCAAACTCACATTTGAATTGTTTGACAAACAGTACTGCACACTCCAAGTGCTCTAATACCATATGTGTGTGCACCTTATGTTCTTCCATGCTATTTGAATATATAAGAATGTCATCCAGATAGACTACACAGCACACATCTAGTAAATTCACAAGAGCTTCATTTATGTAAGCTTGGAAAGTGGCAGGTGCATTGATAAGGCCAAAAGACATTACTCTATATTCATAGTGACCATAATGGGTGCAGAATGCAGTCTTCCACCTATCAGTTTTGTGTATTGAGATATGATGGTAAGCATCTCTGAGATCAAGCTTTGTGTAGATCTTAGCATCAGACAATCTGTCTAACATTTCACTAACTAATGGTAATGGATATCTATTCTTTAGTGTAATGCAATTAAGATCTCTATAGTCTACACAGAGTCTGAGACCTCCATTCTTCTTTGGTGCAAAGAGTATAGATGCCCCAGCTGGGCTCTTTGAGAATTGAATCCATTTCTTCTTCAGTGCATCAGTTATGTATTTCTGGAGTACTGCAAGCTCTGTTTCTGACAGATTATAGATTGGCATGAATGGTGGTTTCTTTTCTTCCTCCAGGTCTATGGCATGTTCAGTGTTTGATGGTCTGGACAGATTGGCAGTGTTTTCTTCAAAGAAGATGTGCACATATGGTGTAACATAGTCAGGCAATGTCAACATGAAATTCACAACATTTGCACCATTAATTGTGATGCTGGTGTTATCTTTGAAGAAACTTTGCACAAGTGGCATAATGTAGTTGGGAGATTCTGACATGGTGTCTGCAATGTTTGTGCTGTAGAGCGCACTGATACCTTGATCATTGTCTGTGATAAGAAGTTCATCAATTGAGACCATATAAGTTTAAGTCTCTGTGATAACTTTCACCATAGCTTCTTCAGCCAAGATAATCTCTGATTCTTGGAGATCTTCAGAAATGTTTTGTCAGTATGTTCAGTTGTTCTTCTGCCAGTTAATCAGTGGATTGATTTCTTTGAGCCAAGAGTAGTCTAAGATCATATTGTAATTGATTAGATCAACACTTTCAAACTCTTGACTCACTGACTGTGTAATCTCATTACTGTTGGTTGCACTGACAGCAAGATGATGGGTTCCATAGATGCATATCTTGTGTCCATCAATTGCTTTGACTAGCTTGAAGGGTTTTCCATCATTAATCAGTTCTTTTGATTTAACTCAGTATCAGTCAATGAAGTTTGCTTCTGCTTCTGAGTTCACTAAGATCAGAACTGTTTCTTTCTCTGTTGCTGATTGAATCTGTACTGTGATCAGAAAAGACATGAGGCTTCACCACTTCTTGCATAAATCTAGAGCCATTGCAGCATTAATGAACTCTTTTATTCATTTTTTGACATGGTGCTCATCAATTTCTGTTTCTTCAGAACCAAGCAATCTTCAGTTGCATGCTCTTTTTGCTTGTGGAAAGTACAATATGGTATCAATTTGTTATCAAACTTGCACTTTCTGCTGCTTTTGTCTGCTGAGGAATTACCATACTCTGAGTTTTGATCTGTTTTATTGTTCCATGGCTTGCTCTTTTTCTTCTCTTTATAGTAGGTTTTCTTACTACCTTTCTGATGGAAGGAGAATGAAGGAAATGTTTTGGATTTTGGTTTCTTGTACTTTTCTGAGATGTTTCTTTCTGCAGTGGCAAGTCTTTATACCAGTGTGTCATAATCAAGTGCATCAAAGTTATCTGCATACTTGTCATATTCAGCACATACTTCACTGAGCACCTTTAAATAGAGATGTGACTTCCTCTGGTGTTCATCATATTTGTGTTTCAGTCTGCATTCTAGGATCTCTAATTGCATGGCAAAGTCATGCACTTTTTGATTTTTCTTCTGCATCAGTGTCAGATATTCACATTCTGCATCCCTAAGAGCACATTCTGGGTCCACAATTTGACATTTCAACCATGCTTTTAAGTCCTCCCATGAGGTTCTTTCCTCAGAGTCCTTAAAGTTATGTGACCACTTGGTCAATAGCTTTGATTCAAAGTGTTGAATGACTTTCAACATCTTGTGTTTATCATTGTTCTTGAAGTATTTCTCTTGGTAGAGGTGGAAGACTTTGGAGGCAGTGATAAACTCTTCTAAATCCTTGAGAGTTCAGGCAATGAATCTTTTTTCCACTTTTTGGATCAGAGCATGCACAGAATCTATGTCTTTTGCACTTCTGTCACAGAAAGAGTTCTTCTGCTGTGCTTCCAGCACTGTTGCTTGTGCATCCATTGCACCTTTGATGTTCTCTGTGTTTAATTCCAGAGGAATTGGTTGCATTCTGAGTGTCAGATTGAAGAAAGATGTAGGGGATATTGTTTCTTGATTCCATTCAGTCCTTTCCTCCAGTGGAGGATTGTTGGAGATTTCATTGTTCTTAATGAGATTTTCCAATCTTTGAATCTCTTGTTTTTTCTTGATAAGATTGAGCTTTGCCTCAAGCTTCATGATGGTTTGATCTGCATCATAAAGAAGATTCTGGACTGTAATGTTCTTTTTCTGATTTGAAATGACAGCTTCTGATGTCTGTTCTCTTGGAGTTGCTCTCTCTGAGGTGTCAACATTCATTGACTTACTGAAAGTGTCAATTGGATGTTCAACTTGCACTACTGGCACTTCTTAGTTACCCATTGGAGGAGTTTCAGCTATAGTCTCTGGTGCTATAGTCTGGCTCATCTGTTCTCCCTGAGAGACAGTGGTAGAGGCTTCAATCTGTGGATTGTTGTCAGAGTTCACATCTGTTTGTCTCTTTCTGTTTTCACTTCTGATTTCAGTCATAGTATCTAATTGTATCCAACAGTGTGGAATTGTGTTTGTTGTTGTGTAAAATGCATTGATATTGAAGAGGTAGGATAGAAAGAAGTTTTCTAACAGAGTAGCTTGATGAATCATCTCACATTTTTAGTGATGAGAACTGTAAGGTGGCAGCCTACAAGATAGGTGCTAAAGAACAATGTATCAAGCCTACAGTGTAAGAAAGGTAACTAAGTTGCACTTATAGTATCAAAGTAGTATTGCTATATGTGCAGTAAGAGAAGAACTCATTGCTGACCTTCTGTGGGAGAAGGCCAGCATGGCTTTAAGTACTAGTGAGGTTAGGGCTATGCTAACTAATAAGGTACTGGCTCTTAGGGCAGGCCTAGCCTACAATGGGCATGACACACAGCTACTTTGTTGATTTTGAAGAGACATGGGTGACAGAATCTAAACCCATCATGAAGTTTTCAAATTATTATTATTTTCTTTGGGGACTTGCACATTCAGAAAATGGTAAAGACATCTATTAGGTAAAGGTTTTGATACATTGATCTAAGAGTGAAATGAAGTAACAGATGATATGTTGTTTGAAGATGACAAGATTAAGTCTATCACTTCATGTGTTGTAGTGATCTTGGGCCGATAATGATCTGGAATCAAAATACCATTCATGTCAGATGTCTTTAAGCTGTTGAGTGTTGGTATTATTTTATAGGTGTTACGTAACAGCTCGGAAAATTGGTATTCCGATGGTAGTCCATTGCATCACGTGAACCCGCGTCTGGTTTGTTGTTTTCGCCTCTTCGCATCGCAACTCACACTTCGAACATCAACACAGATCCCCGCCGTTGACGACCTACACCCCTTCACTCCCATATAATGCGGTATAAAATTCTATGAAAACATAATTCGTATCTCTTACTTCACTAACATTGCCTCCCGCCAATCCTCTCCCGCCTTTCCTCCGCGACTTCTTTGTTTACAGTTCACCATGGCGTCGAAATTGCAGATGCCAGTGGGCTCATCAAAATGGATTGCCGCCGAGAAGGAAAATATTTTACAATTGGTAGACCAGGAGATGGAGGAAGTGGAGTTTCCCGTTCGCCATGAACTCCATTGGTTGAATGAACATATGGCTGGCGTCTTTCGAGGTGATCAACTGTATGTGCCCGCCTGACACAGCGCTTCTTTTTTCGTAACAATGCGGTCTGATTGAGAATGGGTATAGTAATGTCGCCGAAATGTTCAAAACACCGGGGAAACTGCGAGGTAAAACGCCTCGCACTATTAGGAGAATGAAGACACCGGCTACGCAGCGAATTGTAAGTTATATGCCGCTATGTTTTGTCATTCACTGGCGCCAATGTGAAAGGCTGGCTGATTATAATTAGCCTTTGAGCGATATATTTTCTTCCCAGGTTGCCAACCCGAATCCTCTTCCATCAAATCGGTTTAACCACGAGATTTCAAAACTGTCTGTTACTCGAGAGCCAATTCATCAGCACCAATGGGGCCCTACTCAAACTCAGAACTCTAATTCGGATTATAACAATGATTCTGGCTACCATGGGATAGTCGACGATGGCAAGATGGAGCTAGACATCTCTTTAACGCAGAAGGCAGAACTTGCCTTAGAGAGTACGAATGTACTTGCGACTGAATGTGAAACTGAAACAAATGCAACGTCGGAATCACAGCCAGAATCCGCTCCAGAAGTAGTGGCAGCATCCGAGTTTGAGGGTGGTGCCACAGTTACGCAGCGTGCCGATGAGTCTACAATACTAGGAGACGCTCCAGATGATAGCCCGTCGATTGCTCGCACGAACGATGAATCATTTCACTCCGCACAGGAGGTTGTAGCAAGCAAGGATAACACTCTAGATCCCGTAGACATGGATCACTCTCCCTCTCCCTCCCATAAGAAAGCCTCTCTACCTTCATCGCCTGTCCGTCAGTTGATGGCAAACGAGACACCTCCCCGACCCCAGCCTCCTAACCAAAAAAGCATTTCGACCGTACTCGAGCAACAAAAAATTGATAATCTTCTTGATCACTTTGATGATATGGGCTCACCGTCTGAAAAGTCTACACCTGGTCGCCCTCTTCTTCGGAAGAGCAGTCTTAGCTTTGCATCTCTACCAGCTAGAGAACCGCTGACTAAAAAAAGTATTGGAGGTCCTAGGATTTCTAGGATAAGCCAGATTGACCCTTCGAAAAGCGCCTATTTTGGTCGCCCGACTGGAGCAAGAATGACCCAACTGTTAGGTGAAGAGAACAATCGACAAACCAGCGTTGCAGATAGCGTGGACAATGTGCAATCCTCAGTTCACGGTGAATCTGATTCAGACGTCAAAGCTCCTACGCTACACACCAAATCGTCAACACAACTACTTCACGAGAAAATAAACATGCTTGGAAAAACACAATCAACAAGAAGCACTAAGTCAATTGCATCGACTGCTCCACTAGCCTCACAACAAATTTCTTATCCAGAATTACCAGTTTCACGTATTGTACCATCCGACGAGGCTCCGAAGACAAGTTTTGGAGACGACACGCCAGTTGATGATGATGTATCGAAGCCTTTAAGTTCGCCTTTCCTGGTTCAAAAGTCTCATTTTGTTCAGGACCAGAGCCTAGAGGCGGGAGAGAGGCCTAAATCCGGACTACCGTCGAATCCTGACCCATCTAGCAGATTCAGGTCATTGCGGATGGGCACCCCTGAGCGTCGGTCACCCGCACCAAAGCATTTCATTTCTCATGGGAAGTCTGCGTCCGTCTCGTCACTAATTGGCTCGCCTCGCCCCGGGACAGCAGGATCCTTATATAAATCTACCACTGTGGACGGAACACCAAAAAGTTCCACAACACCCGTGAGCTCGCCCAAGCGTTTTGAGGGGCCGTTGAGCGCGTCCAAGTCCAAGCTTCAGTCAATCATGAAATCCGCTAAAGGATTATTTAGTAGTAATGGTGCCTCGCCTGCAACAGGAAAGGACACCATATCATCAAGTGCAATTCGGCCCCAAAATACAGGATATCCGAGTTTAAATGGTGTGTTCAATAAAAGTGTATCTCGCCCATCGACATCAGCCAGCCCGATAAAACAAGAGGGCCGTCGTACTCGGAGTTCGACAGAAAAAGAGGAGAGACACAGGGAGCAAAAATTGAAGGAACGCCAGCGCATTGAGGAACAATTGGAAAAAGCCCGAGAAGTTGAAAGAGCGAACACCGCCCGCCCTAAAACGATGCAAAACCCACCCTCCGTAAGGCAAAAACTAGATGATGTTGCGATCCCCCCGGCTCCTGTGACCAAACTAAATCTACCGAAGCATCAAGCAGCTCCAAAACAGGCGGAGCCAGAATTGCGTCGCGAGGAAGATGCTAAGTTCTATATCCCAACGTTAACTCAAAGCCAGGCGAAGAAAAATGATCGACGATTAGTTAAACCAATAAGGGAGACACAGAAGGCAAGACCTCAACCCCTGTCTATTAAAATTGGAACTTTGTCACAGCGAATTCCATTGAATTCTGCGACCCCTAGTGCAGTGGGTACTCAAGATTCTATCCATACACCAGGAATTACCCGACAACTTTCTGTTAAAAAAGCAAGCATTGCTTCATCGCAAACAAGCAGCTCCGCAGGTAGTTTCAAAAGCTCTACCACAGTTTCTAGTTCCAAATCGAAAGCTGCTCTCACCGCTGAGAGACGAGAACAGGTGAGCTACCTTCATGAATACTTTTCACCACCTGTCATCTATTAACGACCTCTAGCAACGTCGTGAAGCACAGCAGCGACGCGAGGCTGATCGCAAACAAGAACAGCTGACTATTGAAGCGGAACGAAAGGAACGTGAACGACTGGCGGCAGAAGACCCGAAGAGTGCCATGAAGAAGCAGGCAATTGAGCAAAGACGACTGGAAAATGCTCGAAAATTGCAGCAGAGGAGCCAGCAAACCGGTACCACGAATGACACGGTATGTTGAACCGGCATGGGTCTCTTGAATATGATTCTAACCCCTCTCCTAAGGGTACTGCTCTCCATTCTGAAAAATCTAGCTTTCAGACTTCTCAGCGTTCAGAAATGGGCCAAATAAGGCCTGCATCAAGGTTGAATTCTGCTCAACCCTCAAGCAGGCTGCAACCCACTATCAACCCTGCAAAACCACCTAAACGTGCTAATGAGGAAGAAGCTGTGCGGTCAGTTTCGGGGAAGCGAAGGAAGACCGACGAAAAAGTTCCTAGTGAGACTGTTCGGCCAACGATGGCACCCCCAATTCGTCAGTCAACTGTCCGAAAAGTAAGTACAAAGACGAATTTTGCCCAAGAACAACAATTAATGGGAACGCAGGAACTTAAGCCGCAAGCCCCTCCAACCAATTTTGCTGCACCATCGGCTCCGACCCCAGTCCAGGGCGGAGCGTCTATTTTCAAACATCCGCCCGCTGCAGCACGGCAATTGCAACCTTCTGGTCACTCGCAGCCCGCCCACCCCTTGGAAATGTCTAAATTCGCAAACGGAAAGATCCCATTTGCTGAATCGAACCCATCATATGCCGGTTCTCACAAAACTCCGGGTAAAATACCACAGCAGAAGATTGTTCGCTCTTCCCCAGCATACCCCCATGGTGAAAATATTAAGCTTCCTGAAATCCCAACGGATAGCGAAGACGAGGACTCTGAGACCGAGCCATACCATGTACCCGAATGGGCAAAAGAAGAAAATCTTCGCAACATCCTAATAGAACAAGAAGGTCGAGATGGGGAAATGGTATTCGGCCCCACGGCGCCATTACATATGGAAGAGATTTTCAAAGACAACAAAGATCGGTTTAGAAGGTTCCGGGAAAGAACCAGTAGTGCCAACTGGGTTGGAACGGATGGCCTGACAGTGGAGGAAGTTAGATGGGATATCGAACAAAGGGAGAGACTGAAGAGGAACGGAGGATGGACGTTTGGAGTTCAGTAATTTGGATGGTGGTTTACACGGAGATGGAGAAGAATGGCTCCATTTTGGAATGGGAATTGGTTTAAACACTTAGCACGGCTTTTTTTTTCGGCGGTACATCTTGGGAATTACGGGCCGTGTTAAAAGAGTGAATCGGATATACGGAGGTTAAAAGGCAACAGCATTTATTCATGTGTTTCTTCTCTTCTATGAAGAAGCAATTTCTGACTCATTTTGTCTGCACTTTTTTAAGCGACCATGGGCATATGGAAGACCAGTAAATAGAGCTACTTTCTGCTTTTTTCTGTTTTGGTAGAACAAGGAAGAATATATTGTTACTACTACTACTAAGTTTCATCGAGACTCTAGGAAAAAATGGCAAAAGGTAAGAAAGAGAAGTCGTCGACCTGGAACACCATATAACTAACTACCCAATATGCCAAAGCCCAGCCCCAGCCCCCAGAAAAGCAGCCAAAGGGCCCCCAGGAGCAGTCCAGAGTGGTTATACACATACAGTACATGAGCAAGTCATTCTTCTTCTTTTTTTTGATAAATCTTTTTCTAAATAAATCCCTGAGAAAGATCCTTGCTTCCGTTAACTAACTATTTAAGCAAGTCTAGTTGCGCGCGTGGCAACACTCGTCCGGCTCGGCGTCACTGGGGCCATCGTCTCGACCTTCATCCATGGCATCGGCGTTGAAATTGGAGAGATCGCCGGTGCCGCGACGCTTGCCGTCGTAGCGGATGGTGCGCCAGCCCAGCGGAGCCGAGGCGTCCTTGACGTATTCGGACATGGGGAACTATATGGAATTAATCAGTACAGGTAGGGAAGGGAAGGGGGGTTGGGGGGATGGCTTACGTAGTGGTCGTTTTTCTTCATGGTGACCACCCACGGCACGTTGTCGAACGTCACGGCTCGAAGGCGGAAATACGTGTTGTTGGGGATGGTGCTGACTTCACGGATGAAGGAGTCGAGATCGGGGGTTTTGACGCCGTTGACGGCGGTGATGAAGTTGGTCGGGGACAGGCCGTATTGGTAGGCGGGGGAGCCGCGGGACTGGAAAGGATTGTCAGTATCAACTATCAAAAAGGAAGATCTTTCTTGCAAGATATTGATACATACCCTGGCGCTTACATAGACTTCGCTGTGGAGTTTGCTAATCTGCTGCCGAACCGCATGATGCGGTTTCTGCAGCACGGCGCCGCAGAATCCCAGGGCGCGATCCGTCTCCAGGTCCTCCGTGGGCACGGTCTGGATCTGGATGCGCTTCTCCTCGCCGTTGCGCACAATCAGGGCGTCGAGCGTCTCCTGGCCGTACATCACATCGAACTCCGACACGCGCGTGATCAGCTTGTCGTTGAGGGTCAGGATGACGTCGCCTTCCTGCAAGGGCCGGCGATCGGTGCTCAGCGGCGACGAGCAGTCGACCTTGCGCACCATGAACAGCTCGTGCCGCGCGGAATTGGCTTCGGCGACTTTGTTGATCCATTCTTCGGAGACGCCCATGACCCGCGCCTGGCTCATCTGGATAACGTATGTTTCCATGTCCAAGATGCGTAGGCGGGGGATCGTCCCGTTTTGGATTTGAGAGATGACGGGTATGAGAGACGGCGTGGCAAGGCCGAGGTGATATTCCACGTCTTTATGCGACGATTGTGTGCGCTCGCCCAGGTAATTCAGCCACAGGGCTTGAACAACACCATCGTCTCCGAGCAGGACACCACTGGTACACTGGCTGCTGAGTCCCGTGTCGACGGTAATGGCATCCAGGTTTATTGCACGGTACCTAGGGGCAGACGCGTTGGGCGGAATGGCAACAGTCGTAATATCCGTCACAGCCGTTTTCGCAACGACAATTCGCAGATTCTGATTGAAGCCAACAAACAAGGTGTCCACACCTTGCTTCATATACTCAGAAGTTAAGCGAGCCGATTTGATCGGCGCCTGGACGAGACTAGGATCGTACTGGATGATCGTGTAGTTCTGGAGGGGATGCAAAAAGACAACTTTCGCGCTCACGATCACCGAATCGGCAACGGTAACGTTGATATCGCACAGATCGAAGGGGACAATAGCTCTGGATATCACAACAAGGCCCTTCTCCGCATCGACCACCAAACCAAACCCGGTCTTTCGGGCCTGCGGAAAGCCATCCAGCTTCACGGGGATCGTACACGAAACGCGAACGAAGCTTCGCACGATATCCGCCGCGGCAGGATGGCTCACGCCGTCCAGCTGGATGAAATCCGCCTTGCGCGGAACCGGGGGCTCCGCGGGGATTGGCTCGGCAAGACGTGTGAAGTCCCACAGGCCGGTTTCGTCGTTTCTTTGCGCGAGTTCCATGTGCGGGTGCCAATGGCGGTCAATGTGGATGATGTGCGTGCCGCGCGTATGCAGGTCTCGAATGTGTCTATATGATAGAACGACTCTAGCGCGATCTAGAGTAAAGTTGTTAGGCAGGCGCTTAAGGGGAATGGGGCTATGGGGCATATATACCTGGGATAGTCTTCATAACTTCGATAAATTCATCTAGATCTTTGGTTGGCCTCTTATCAACGGAATCGACAATCCACCCCGAAAATGTATTTTCCAATTTGAAAGAACCTGCGGCCTCGCAGACATACACCCCTTTACAAGCAATAGCGTAGAGTCTTGCTTGTTGGTACGACAAATCGTGAAACGTCGCGCCTGCCACGGTCACGTATCGAGATGGAGTGATATCATGCAGGTCCTGAACTTTGCAAGTGACCTCGAGATCCTCGCCACCTCGCTGAAGGAGGAGCTGGACGTCGCCCCCAACGCTCGAGTCGAGAATGTCATCCAACCGAATGAACTGCGTGAGCAGCTCGCCGTTGACTTTCAGCAACACGTCGCCTTCTTTCAACTTGCCGTCGGCGGGGCCTTCTGGGAGAACGATCTCGGCGACAAGCATGCCCGTCTCTTTGGGGGCGGCCTGGCGGACTTTGGTCTCCCATTCCGGCGTCAGGCCCAGGCGGCGACACTCGTCGAAGGGCTTGAGGATCCACTGGGTCTGGATGGTTCCGCGGCTGACCGCTTCTCCTTTCTGGATGCATTGCAGCGCGCGGAGCGGACGGTCGAGCGGGAGGAAGTAGTCGGTGGCGGCGCCGTCAGCACGACCGCCGGCTTGCAGCGCGATGGCGTGGCCGTCAATATTCACGACGGGGCTGCCGGAACTGCCTCCGCTGGCGGCGGCGGCGGCCTGGATGTAATTTGTGTTGAAGTCGCTGTAGCCTTCGCCGTACTCGGGGGCGTTGCGGTCCAGACGGCTGATGACGCCGGAGAGGATGCTAAGCTTTTCACCGGCGTCGTTGCCAACAACCCTAATTTCCACGCCAACGCGGGCAGATTCTGGCTGCAGTTTGAGTTCTGTGAGAGGCATGTACTTGATTGCTTTGGGGTCGAATCTGAGGATGCCGAAGTCATGGACTGGATCTCGATAGATAGGCGTAACGTCACACTATCGCGGAATCCTCCCCGTTAGCCAGTCTACCAATAAAAAGGCATTTAGAGCTACATACCTCTTCATGATTATCAAAAATACAATACCCCCAAAAGGGGCCGGCGCACACAACATGGCGATTGGTCAGGATATACCCACGCTCGGCATCGACCACAAAGCCCGTGGCCTGGCTGGACATGGACAAGTCGGTGTCAAACGACGCGGTCTGGCAGAAATGGATCGACACCACGCTCTTCACCACCATCTCGATGGTCTCCTGCCACTCCGCCGAGTCGGCATTGCTGCCCACGGGCAGCATCTGCATGACGGCGGCTTCGTCGACGGCCGCAGCCGCGGCAGCGGGAGACATGGATGCGGAGGAGGAGGTGTTATCTGCGCGGCGGTGTTTGGCAGAGGGCAGGGAGAGCGGGCTGGAGTCGCTGTGTTTGCGTTTGGATTTGAGAGACGGGGTGCCGTTGAGGTCCATGGTGAAAGAACGGAGGGAGGGGAGACAAAGGCGGTATTTATGTGTCTGCTGCTGCGGGCGGATTGGCGAGGGCCGGAAAGTTGTTCCTGGCAGGCGGCACGCTGGTGCGAGGCCGTGGTGAATAGTAAGCGCTGCTGCTGCTGGTGAATGTGTTGCAGGGGCAGGTGACGCGGGCGGCAAACAGGGCGTTGGCTGTGACTGGCGACGGGGAAGATGAGGGTCTAGGCGCTGCGGCGTAATCGAGCGCGCGAGCAACGACGACGACAACGACGACGACAACGACGACGAGGTCCAACCACGTTTGAGGTGGGCTGGCTGTGGGTAAAGCGGCGGTTGGCACGGCCAGAGGTGCAGACGACGCCGCAATGGAGGACGGGAAGACCGGCAGAGCCCGGCTGGCTGTGAGACGGCGCGCCGGAGCGGAAGACTCTCCACGAGCAGCAGCAGCGGCGGCGACAGCGACTGGGGCGCTGTGAGCATGCACGACGCCAGAGCGGGGAGGGAGAGCGGCGGGAGGGGGGGATCTCCGGGCCTGGCTGGAGCAGAGGGTAGGAAGGGCAGGGCGTCCGCTGGGGAGGTTCGTCGTCGTGGTCGTCGTCGTGGTCGCTGGCGATGCGATGAGAAGCTGAAAAAGAAGCTCGAAATGTTTGCGTGCTTTGCATTGTCACGTGGCTGGCGGGCTGCCACGACGACCGCGCTGGTCTACGCGGTGAAGTAGGGAGTATGGATGTATGTACAGAGACGGCGGCAGTGTTGTTTGTATGTATGTACAGTAGAATGGTAGTTCACCTATGCTGTCTAGGAACCAACTGAGGCCGCGAAACCGCTCAGAGGAACTAGTCTCGGGCAAAAAGCAACTAACTATGGCCCATCGTCGTCCGGCGTAGAACGGCGAATAGGCAGCCCTATCACAGACGTAGCGCAGCCCTGTCTCTGGCGCCAGGGGTGAGAGGCTGGAAGCGCTTGCGTTACGCCCCTGCTGCTGCCACCGTCGTAAACCCAACAGCGCGGGTGGACGCAAGAACGGCGTGAGGCGAATAAGCGCGGCGAACCCGGGCCCTGGGACTAAGTAACTAGTTGGCTGAAGATGCAACCAAACCCATGTAACTAACTAGTTGGCGTGAAACGAATCACCCTGGTCACGGCCGAACAACCAGGTGATTGGGGGAGGAGAGATGGCGGCGGCAAGCTGTAACCAAAAGAGAAGGAGTAAAAAGGAAAACAGAAAAAATAAGAATACAAGTAAGAAAACAAAAAGGCCAAAAAGAAGGTTGTCGGGCTTGCTCTTTGGCAAATAGTATATGGACTTTGGATGCTGGTCAAGCACGCCAGCCAGGATCGCGGCGTGTCGACGGGTGAATATTCTCCCTTCCAATCCTGGAAACAGTCACAATGGGGCGCGTGCTGCTCCCTCCCTCCCCCCAGGGTCCTCCCCATGATTACTTTCCGTGGATTTCTCGGCTATTATTTTCGAAGAACGAAAGAAGACTAACAAGGATTCCAGAATGGCGACTCAGCCGGCGATGGCGCCGACGGAGCCCGGGATGCCATCCATGGCGACGAAGGGCTGGGCGTGGGGCGGCATGGGCTGGGGCGCAGCAGGGCGCGGCGGCAGCGGGCCCTTGGCGGCAGGGGCAGCGGCGGCGGCGGCGGCGGGGGGGAAGAGGTCGTTGAGCTGGGCGTAGGCGGGCTGCAGGGCGGGCAAGCTGGGCGGCGGGGTCATGATGGCCGGGGCGGCGGGGGCGTGGGCGCCGGCCTTTTTGGCGCGGTCGGCGATGGTGGCCAGGTAGGCGAGGTTGGCCTGCAGGCGGCGCATGCAGTCGACGTACGCGGGCGAGGCCTTGGTGGTGGGTTTGGCGGCGCTGGGATCGGGCGACGGGTTGTTGGTGGTGGTGGTGGTGGTGGGCTGGTTGGCGACGCCGGCCTTGCCGGTGGCCTGCAGGTGCACGACCTCCTGGAGCAGCGCGGAGTTGATGTCGAGCAGCACGGTGACGCGGGCCTTCTCGCGAGCAGCCGCGGCGGCGGCGTGGGCAGCCTGGGCGGGAGGATGCGGGGAGTGCGGCGACGGGGAGGGCTGGAACTGCGGCGCGGTGGGCGTGTGCACGGCGGGCTGGCCGGGCAGCGGCGGCGGCGGGCGGGCGGGCGTGGTGAAGGCAGGGCGCGGCATGGCAGCGCTGGCCATGGGCATGGGCACGGGCATGGGCATGGACTGCGCGAAGGCAGCGGTATTGTTGTTGTTGTTGTGGGCGAGCTGGGGGCCGGCGGCGGGCATGCCGGGGTGCGAGAACGGCGGCTGCGAGAAGCCGGGGTGATGGGCGACAGCTAGAGGGGGTGTCAGACGCAGCGAGGCGGCAATGGCAGACTCAGACTCACGGTTATGCGGCAGCTGGGCGGGCGACATCATGATGGGCGCGGCGGCGGGCTGCGGCGGCATGGCGTGGGCGGCATGGGCGAAGGGCTGCTGGTGCTGCTGTTGCGGCGGCTGCAGCTGGGGCGTGGGATCGTGGGCGTAGAGGCCCGGGGCGGGATAGAAGGGCACCTGCTGGTGCAGGCCGTGCTGCGCATGCTGCTGCTGCTGTTGTTGTTGCGGGTGCTGGGCGAGCTGCTGGGGTGGCTGTTGCTGCTGCTGCTGCTGGAGTGGGTGGTAGGCGGGGGCGTTGGCGAAGTGCGGCGGGAAGGGCTGCTGGGCGTGGAACGGGGGCACGCCGGGGGGGTTCATGGCGGGGGTAAGGGGGGGGAGGCAGGCAGAGCGAGAGAGAGAGAGAGAGAGAGAGAAATACCAGAGAGAGAGAGAGAGAACCAGCTGACTGAGCCTGCTGCCTGGCGTGCTGACTAAGCTAGCTAAACACTACGGCGCGCGGTACACCCCACGCGACCCAGCCCCAAGACGGCAAAAAGCGGGGCGGCGTGGACGGCCAGCGAGGTTGCGGCGCCCAGGCTGCACGGCAAGCTGTCGTCTTCTCTCCGTCTTCTCTCTCTCTCTCTCTCTCTCTCTCCTGCTGTCTACTCTCCTCCGACTCTCTCTCTCTCCTATTACTCCACTTCCACGCTCTCCTCCCCCCCTGCGCTCCCCGTCTGGCCTGCGGACCGCCGTGTCCCCTCGCCTCCGCCATGCCCCTTGCATGATGCTGCCGCTGCCTGCCCGCCTCCGCTTCTCCGCTTCTTCTCAGTCTCCTTCTTCTTCTTCTTCTTCTTCTTCTTCTTCTCCTCCTTCTTCTCCTTCTTTTCTTTCTTCCTCTCCTTCTTTTCTTTCTTCCTCTCCTCCTCCGGGCCGGCCAATGCCCTCACCACCATGAACCCTCCCCCCGATCTGCTCCCCTCCGCCATGCCTCCTCCTCCTCCTCCTCCACCGCCCAATAACCCCGTCCACGCCACCCTGCCCGACAACACCGCCGCTGCCGCCCAGCCCAAGCAGCCGCGCAAAGGCCCCAGCACCCGCCGCGCCCTCAGCTGCCTGCCGTGCCGCCGCCACAAGCTCAAGTGCGACCGCCATGTGCCCTGCCACTCGTGCACCCGCTATCGCCGCGAGGACCTCTGCCGCAAGCACCCCGCGCCCTCCTCGCTGCTCGATGGCATGCGCGGCGCCCCCAAGGGCCCGCCTAACCATATCGCCGCCGTCGCCGACCTCTCCGCCGCCGCTGCCTATCCCCCCGCCGCCGCCGCCGCCGCCACCACCACCACCACCACCACCACCGCCCTCCACCCGTCCCAACCCGCCGCCGCCCCCCTCAGACACCCCCCCGACGCCCTGCTGGCCGCGGCCGCCCTCACCGTGCGCGACACCGTGGCCTCCGTCCCGCCGCACCACCTCGCCAGCCTGACCCAGCACCTCGCCGGCACCTCGCTGCTGCCCGCCTCGCTGCCCTTCCTGGCCGCCGCCGGCCAGAGCCCCGTCCGCCACGCCGAGGTCGCCGCCTTCTGGAAGACCCAGTTGATCGCCTTCCTGCCCACCAAGCGCCAGTGCGACCTGCTGGTCACCTACTACCTCGAGCACCTCAATTGGGTCTACCATGTCGTGCATGTGCCCTCCTACCTCGACGAGTACGCCGCCTTCTGGGACACCAAGGTGCACGACGTCAACCTGATCTGGCTCGCCCTGCTCTACGCCATCATCTCCTCCAGCGCCATCTACCTCCCGCTGCGCGTCGCCAAAACTGCCGGCTTTGCCGAGTCCAGCATCCGAAATAGAGCCCACATGTTCTACTCCGCCTCCCGCCAGGCGCTGCATGCAGGCAACTTTGAATCCCGCCCGACCCTGGTCGGCATTGAAACCTTCCTCGTCACCCAATCGTACTGGCTGGCCACCAAGAACGTCGAGGCCCTGAATTCGTGAGTCTCCTTCCGCTTGCCCACTGCCGCCTGCCTATATTGATCGTCGTAATACAGCTGCCTTGGCCAGGCCTTGAGAAACGCCCAAGCGCTCGGCCTGGACCGCGATTTTCCCGTCAAGAACTGCGTCGAGAACGAGAACCGCCGCCGCATCTGGTGGGAGCTGTTCAATTGCGATGTGTACGTTGTCCCAATCCGCGCATAATGCTTCTAATCCCCGCTGATCCCCCTTGCCCCGATAGCTTCCAGTCCATGTGTCTAGGCCGCACCCCTTTGATCCACTCCAATCCCACCAAAGTCCCCTTCCCCTCGCACTGCAACGACATCGATATCACTGAAACCTCCGTCGAGGCCCGACCCATAACCGAGCCCACCGATGCCAGCGGAAACATCCTTCGCTCCCAGGTGTTCATGGTCTTCCGCAAGCTCTTCGACAACGACATCGACCTCCTCAACAACTACGAGCATGTGAAATGCATTGACGATCAGATCGAGCAGCTTGTCTCGACGTTTCCGTGGTACTTCCAGATCAAGCCCAACCGAGAATGCAACGTGCTCTCCGACAATCTTGAATTCATTACTTGGCAGCACCATATGATCCATAGCTGCATCTGCATGCAGCGCATTCGCATGAACCGGCCCTTCATCCACACCCGAACCGGCCGTTCGTGGTCCGTCTGCGCCAAGGCTGCCAACGAAGTCCTGGCCGTCTACCATAACCTGCGCAACCGCAACGTGGAGGAGTTCACCAAGTCCCAGAAGTTCCTCATCCAGGGCTACCAGATCTTCTCGGCCGCCGTCGCCCTGGCCGCCTTCCTCCTGGTCGAGCGGTCGTTCCCGGCCGATAACATCCGCAAGGACATCGAGATGGTGATCTGCGACCTGAGTTTGCGGGACGCCGATTACTCCACGGTGGCGGATGGAAGGAAGATTCTCATCAAGATGCTGGAAATGCACGACAGCCGTGGGATGCACGAGCCCCTGGAGCCCGAAACTCTGATCTCCGAGATCTCCTCGGTGTTTGGGGGCGAGCAGACCACCCGAAAATACCTGAAGCGGTGCGACATAGGCTACGTCCTGAACGACGATCCTTCGACGAGCAACGCACCAGAACCAAACGGGAGACGGCCCAGCGAACTTGGCATGCCATCCGCCTCCGCCTCGTCGTACCTACAACAGAGCCAGCAGATGCAGCAACAGCAACAGCAACAGCAACAACAGCAGCAACAGCAGCAGCTCCTGCTGCAGCACCCCATTCGCACCGGCTTCAACACCATGGCGTCGTCGCTGGCCATCATGCCGGACTTCGTCGACCCCACGGCGTACAACCTGACCCCGGACTTTGGCTTCGACAGCATGTACTCGGTCGACTGGGATCTCCTGCTGCCAAGCGCGGGCTATCAGCCGTGATTTCCATTCTTCATGCGGAGTACTCCGCACATGTTCTATACACCTTCTTCCTTCTACTTCTTCTTCTTCTTCTTCTTCTTCTTCTTCTTCTTCTTCTTCTTCATTCCTCTTCACAACGCCCATGCCATCCATCCACCGTGCGGAGTTGCCAATCACTCCTGTACTGCCCGTATACGCCCTGTTCTTCTGTTCTGTGATACCAAACCAAACTGTATTTATACGTCACTCCTTTGTATGTATGCATGTACAATTCGTCTTCTTTACGCGCGTTTCTGGGATAGAGAATGGAGCAGCATTGGGGCGGCTTCGGATTTATTTCGCTGTTTTTTTTTCTTCGAATTTCTTCGCGCTCTGATTTATCGGGCTTGGGGGTGTCTTGGGGGGCGCTTGACGAGTTAAAAATTGGATATTTTTCTTCTTATTACGGAGTACTTCCCGACTATCTAACCCTCAATAATGGCGCTACTATTCTTGTTATTATCGTTTTGCTGCACGCCAGACAAGTAACAATCCCTCCACGCGCGCCGCCGCTGAACTAACTATATTATTGGCACTGCGCGCTGGGCCTGTCCGCGCCATGCTGCACACATCCTTCGGGGTGAAACGCCACGCGAATCCTGCGCAGCGCACGACGGAGCGCTTGTTCCCGCGGCCAAGAGGGCATGCATGGCTGGGCAGGCCACCACGTATGTAGTAGTTAGTTATATCATGCAAGTAACTCATTACTCCGTACTACTATGGTCCATCATCCGCGCACGCTCCTTCGCGCCTTTAGCTCCTCGATCCACCGCGCGCTCCTGGCGGCCGGCAAGACATGTATCGTCACCAGCCCGTCGACAATCTCGACCACCGCGCCACCACCACCGTTGCTGCTGCTGAGCACCTCCAGCAGACTCACGTCCTTGCCGACGCGCACCAGCCCGCCCGCCGCCGTCTCCATGAAGCACTCCACGCCGTCCACCGTATACTCGCCCTCGCGGTCCCACGGCGCCGGCAGCAGGTACGCCAGGTGCTCGCGCACGCAGTCGGTCTCGGCAAACGCCTTGATCACGTCGCTCTGCGCGTGCGCCGGATACAGCACCACGCACGGCACCACCAGCGTGCTGCCCGCCGCCTCCGGGTCCGGCGCCAGATGCATCGCCGCGTCCTCCAGCTCCGGCTGCTGCTTCTGCTGTGATGCTGATGCTGATGCTGATGACCGCGTGCGGATGCCGCGCGCCCGCAGCGCCGTGGCCAGCGTGCGTGCGATGCGTGCGGCGCGCGCGTCGGCGGCCCTTCGGCGCGCGGCGTCTTGCTCCAGGGCGGCGTGGCGCGCGGCGATGCGCGGCGCGAGCTGCTGCAGCGCGGCGTTGGCCGGGTCGAGCGCCAGGCCGCGGTGCGCGGCGTCGCCGGCGGCCGTGGTCTTGTCCAGCGCCAGCAGCGCGCGCGCCGTGCGGTAGTAGGCTTTGAGGTTGCGCGGGTTGAGCTGCAGCGCCGCCGCGCAGTCGAGCGTGCACGAGCGGTAGTTCTCTAGTAGCAGTGTTATACGGCCGGATTAGCGCTCTTTACTGTGTCTAGATATACGGCCCACGGGGCCTGAAGGGGGGGGATTTTCGTACTCATCTCGAGATTACACAGCGCGCGGTTGACCAGCACTTTCTCCTCCACCTCCCTCATCGCCTCCCTATCCCCCTCCGGATCCGCACTCACATCCCACACCACCTTCCCCTCCCCCTCTCCCTGCCCCTCCTTCGCGCGCACCGTCGCCAGCGCCTTGTCGTAGAACTCACGCGCATCGCGCCACTTCTTCTCGCGCGCCAGCTCGTTGCCCGTCTCGCGGAACCCGCGCGCCACCTCCAGCTGCGTGCCCTCGTGCTGCAGCGCGCGGATGGCTTCCAGGAACATGTTCTCCCCTCCTCCCTCGTCCGGCTGCGCCGCCGCCGCGACGTCCGTCATGAACAGCGGCGTCTGGTTCAGCATCGCCTGGATCTCGGCTGCCGAGTGCGATTTGACGGATGCCATCGAGGGCGGTAGGGAGGGGGCTGTGGGGTCGCTTGTCGTTAGCCCATTGGGTTTGATGCCAAAGGGGGTCTCGTGGGAGGCGTTGGCAGTAGTCGTGTTGGTGGTGGTGGGCGGGACGTTCAGGTTGAGGGCGTCGTCGAAGGCGCTGGGGAGCTCTTCTATTCGGGCCATTGTCACGGTAGTGTTCTTTATTTCTCCTCCCTTGTCCGTTCTCTTCCCTCCGCCGAACGGGAGCCCGCGTTGTTTGTAGCTTGCCTGGCGGGTTTCTTTTTGCTTCCCCGCAATGCGATAAAAAAATTATGTCCGAGACAAACATGACAAACCGACAAACCCACGACGTCATCAGTCACGTCGCGAGAATCACATGCAGGGCTTCCTTGAGCTCAACAAAGCCATGGGATGGGCTCTACAGAACAGCTCCTTATTAGGAGACAATGGGAAAATGGCCGTGGTCTTATTAAGCCGACGTGAAAGCCGCTTGCTTCATGCCTCCGGTCTCAGTTCCATTGCAAATTAGAACCAAAATACCATTGTCAAGGAGATAGCTGAGAAATCCATAGTTCTTAAATCTATAATAAAAACACTATGTTGAATATTCTAGCGTTAGTAAATCAGTTCGACCCCACGACACCAAACACCTCCATCTACGATGCCTAGGAAGAGCGCCACTGTCCCAGTGGGAGGCGCGCTATCTCTCACAGGCATAGAAAAGCTCGCCTCAAGCGAAAAGACCGCGCGCATCGCCGCCCTCGTCAACGACATCTATGCCTCCATCATATTCATCGCAAAGCATTCCAAGGCCGGGAACCTATCCAAGCTGAACTGCAAGCCGATGTACGATTTCGTCAACAACGTCATGACCGTGGAAGACAAGCAGAAACGCAGCCTCGCGCGGGAGCTTAAGAGACAGGACCGACGTATCGAAAGGATGGCCGGCCAGCACCAGAGGGATATCCAGAAGCTGCTGGGGCTGGCGAGAAACGGCATTGCGATCTTGCAACAGAGAGCTTGCAGGTTGCAGAGGGAATTGGATGAGCTGAAGGGGCTAAGAAAGGTTGACTTGGGAGATGTTGAAAAGAAGCTGGCAGTCAAAACCAACGCCAGTGCCAGCGAGGACATGGACATGGATCAAACGAACGCTGGTGAGCAAAATGACAGTCACCGACAAGCGATAATGGTGCTTAAATAAGCAATACCTTCACGTGACTGATAGTTCTGCCAATCCCTACCGCCACGCTGCCGCGACGAAAATTTCTCGCGTCGGCGGCTCCAACGGCTCAACCTCAATTATTGAATTCACATCCACATTTGACGCGTTTTGTGGGCTTGTAGCGCGTCACCAGGCGAACTTGGGTTCTCAAGCCACATCGTTATTGGCATCCAACCCTCCGCCTTGTCCACGTAACCAGGCCCCAGGGGTATCAGAAATATCCCCTTGGGCCCCTATCTTATCGTTCCGATATCGTGGTCGGGCCCGCAAGGTTTGGTCTCCGTATCTCGGCGAGTCAAAACCACGATTTTCCGCCAAAGAGCCGCCCTCTTTCACTCCATATATTTAAACCTTTGTTAGAGCTTGAAGTTTCGTTGAATGGTAAAGTTGTGATTTAGTGATATTTCCTTCACTCAAGAAAGGCGATATAGCACACCTTTCCGTGTTTTGAGGCGGCTATTGCCTTGTTCAATGTCTTCTTTTTCACTTCGAACCCTACCTTGTCAAGTAGACATTCACTGCATTGTCCGGCACCTTTCATCTTGTTCTAGATAACGGTTGCCTGATTCCCTCCATTAAAAGATATCAAGTTTTCGTATTTCTCTATTTGCGTCTCCGCATCTTGTATTGGCCAATCACTATCCAATACTCCGTAGGCAGCCAACGTTTTCTTCAATCCTCTTCCTGAGCACCAAGGAACATGCCCTACATTCTGTCGAGGTAACAAAAAAGAAAATAATCTCGGTCGCGAGAAAACCCGAAACAAGGTTTAGATGTCCCTTAATAATAATCTTCTCGCAGACGTTTAGGCCTTTGGTGAAGAACCTCGGCAATTCGAGAGCTTCGGCGTGGGCTATGACGAATGAACGGGTGGATCTCAGTTTTCGGGAACGAGAAGTGTTTTTTTCGAGAACTAGAGGTTAACAGTCATGTGAAATTTGCCGTCTAATGAGATATTGATCTTTGCTGCGTATTATTGGTGTCTTTACTTTCCTTCTTCATACCTTGAGCCTTCTGACTTGACATCCTTCTTTCTTCGACGATTTCCACTTTCTTTATACAAATCTTGTCCCATAATTTGCATAATCATGAGTTCGCCGGGTGATTTCGACGCCGTCCGGAAGGATATAGTTGCCCAAATGAAGCAGCCAGGCTACGATGACGGTAGCGCAGGCCCGGTCTTCGTCCGCCTTGCATGGTAAACAGCGGCTGTTCTATCATTCATGTATCGTTATTGACATCTTTTTTCCCCCATAGGCACTCCTCGGGGACTTATGACCAAGAATCTGACACTGGCGGTTCGAACGGGGCGGGCATGAGATACGAGCAAGAGGGCGGTGACCCGGCGAATGCAGGACTCCAACATGGTCGAGCTTTCCTAGAGCCAGTCAAGAAGAAGCACCCATGGATCACATACTCTGACCTCTGGACCCTTGCGGGAGCCGTAGCAATCAAGGAGATGGGTGGCCCTGAAATCCCGTGGCAGTCTGGCCGCACCGATTTTGTAGACGACTCGAAAGTCCCTCCTCGTGGACGCTTGCCCGATGCAACTCTAGGAAGCGATCATCTTCGGGCGATTTTCTACCGGATGGGATTCAACGACCAGGAAATAGTTGCTCTTTCTGGCGCCCACAACCTTGGCCGGACGCATGCTGACCGTAGCGGGTTCGATGGGCCATGGGTGAACAACCCGATTCGCTTCTCCAACCAATACTTTATTCTCCTCAAGAGGCTGGAATGGAAACCGACAACATTGTCCAACGGCGTCAAACAGTTCACCTATGTCGACCCGGACGTTCCAGAGGATGAAAAGGAAGAACCACTGATGATGCTTCCAACGGACATGTGCCTGCTTTCCGACCCGGAATTCTCGAAATGGGTGGACAAATACGCGGCGGATAAGGAGCTACTCTTCGATCATTTTGCAAAGGCTTTCTCCAAGCTACTAGAGCTAGGCATCACACGAGATGGGAGTGGGAAGATTACCAATACAGATAACGAGAAGGGCGGGTATATTTCTGCGCCCAAGAAGAGCGATACGCCAACGGGGCCGCCCCGGAAGTCGAAAAAGAACTCTGTGAGAGACTTGAGAGCCCGGCTCTAAAGCAGGTATCTGCTTATTTGTTCGCCTGGTATTTCATAGACATAGAGGATTTCCTTACTCTGGTATGAGCGTTTGTATGATTATAGACTGCAAAGATAAACCGATAGACAAAATACAAGAACTGGTGTGTCGACGAGAACAAGAAGGGGACGAGGGAGATGCGGGGCCGCTGGGTGGTGCGGAGAAGCCGAGGAGGAACAACCAACGGCAGGGCAGCATTTACACAGCATTCCAATCTATATATAACTTCTTGCTAGTATGCCGCAAATGATACCTCAGCAACGTAGACTATGTGCAGACTCCATCTATCTGGTCAAACCTTTAGTTTTCCATTCAGAAATTCTAATTTGCGCCTTTCCCCCGTCGGTCAGAAGACAAAATAACCAGACGATCCCTTCATATGATAATAAATCGCTCCACATAGCGTTCATCGTTTGGCGAGCTTCGGGCCACCTAGATCACTCGATTCACTGCCTAAATCTGCACCTCTTTTTCGCTTTTCAGTGCCTATATTTTCGCCACCACCGTCTCCGAAGTCAACGCTAGGCCCCTGCGCTGGCTCGCTGGAATATGGCATACCATACCCCATTTCTTGCATTTGTTGGCTAGTCAAGAATTCTTGAAACATTGTCCCAAAAGGATCTGTCTCCGTCAGTAGAGCTGTTCTTGTAGTGGTCGGAGGCGTTGTGTTGGGGTTGCCCATTAGCTCAGCGCTTGCAGCCTCAAAATCAAAAGCCCACTCTATACTGTCGTCCATCGCTGGCATATTTGAGGTGTCCAGATCGGCAGTATCTTCTATGAATTGAGTCTGAGAGAAGGTAATAGGACTCACATTCGACTGCCCTTGGGGCACAGCGTATGGATTCACGAGAAATTCGTTTGCCATATCCGCACCATCGTCATTTCCCTCCGGCACAGCCTGTGTTTTCTGAAAGGGACCTGTATCTGTATCCCCAGAGACTACTACAGACCTTTCTCCAAGAGTGGTTTGCGTAATTCCTTGAGGTATTGTACTTGTAGAAATTGCCTCTGAAGTAGAGAAATCACACGGATCACGAAAGAGAGCGGCCGTGCGTTCTTCAATGTCGTTGAAGGACGAAAATGAAAAACCTGCAGATCCTATATCGGGTAAATCAAACAGATTTTCAAAGTCCGTGGTAGCATTATTATCTACAGGTTGGGTAGTGGAATCAAACGAAGGTTTTGTAGCCTGGGCCCCAGACGAAGCAGCCTGCTGCTGTGGGCCAGGCGGAATTCCATCTTCCTGTGTGGTGCCGCCATCACCTGCTGTGGTGTCAAGATATTGGGTGCTGATTGTCTGACGAGAGTTTCCAGCTCTGTGTTCTGTTGGCTGGGCGAACGGTATCCCAGTCTGTTGATGGTATACGACCCGTCGATTCCGTGGTATTTGCCGTAGACCTGACCGGACTAAGCTCTGTGGGTGAGGTGGTAACTGAAGCTGATCACTCTCTCTATCGGTCTGACCCGGAATTTTCATTTGATGCGGCGGCTGGGATCGAGTGAAGGACTCCAGTGTTGGACCTGAAGCCCTGGGGTCTGCTTCTAAGGTGCCATGTCTGCATTGTTGTGATCTTCGTGTAGAACCGTGTGGATGCCACCCTTGATGTTGCTGAAAAACAAGTTCACCTTTGTCCATAATGTTTAATATATTGTCAATCGCGGATCTTGCAGAGTGAAGTGCATTCCTGGTTGGGTTAACAATCTTTTCGTAAAACAATAGAGGTGGTGCCCCCCCTGCCCACCAGCTAGGTGGTATGCGCTGTAGTGTTTTTGTTGCACGCAATCCACCGATAATCGAGCCAGATACCTGCGTTCCGTCATAAACTCGAATTGCGCCATTATCAATTTCTCCCCGTTCGTTGTCATTCCAGTACACGCGAAAATGGTAACTCTGGCCAATGAGGACGCAGTAGATTCCGCCTAGCCAACGATACGTTGCCTTCTGCGGTATTGAGTCGCTGTCGACATAGTCAAAACTGATACTTCGTGCCGCGTGGGATTGAAGCAAAGTTCGCTGATCAACGCGGACGACCAATCTCCAGGGGAGATCGCCAAATTTTCTCTCGATATGGTTTGACTTTAAGCTTCCACAGAGAGAACAATTGAACTGCTGAGAACTATGGAAGAACCGTTCAAGTAACGTAGCCGCATCCACTCCTGCTGCATCACCATCCTGGAATTCGGGCGTAACAAATTTTGTTGTGAAGGGTAATGTGCTGGGTTGTGCCTCCTGGCAGGCGCATGGGTGAAGTTGCTCCGTATAGGTGATAAAGAACTGCCTAAAGGACTCAGTACATAGACTCCACACATTTGTAGGGCTCACAGCCAAGCCTCTGCCGGTTAGCCAGTCGACAAGGGTATCTCGAAATTCATCGCGGCGGCCTACACTAGCTGTTTCCGAAAGTACCTCCCAATTAACATGCAGAGCATCCAAAAAAGCGTTTTCCAGAAGTGAGGGGCTAGGCTTCACACTCGTTCCATTTGTGTAATCTGCAATGGTAGATCCGGCATCTAACAGTACACCCACAACAATTGCGCAATCAATAGGGGTTGTATCTCGACCTGATACAGGACCCCGGCCACGAAAAGGGTAGCGACTACCATTTGGCGCGAACCTGAATGCCGGAATATTTCCCTCGATAATGGCTCGAATATGGGAAATGGTTGAGTATAGCCTAGGTGTACTTAATGTAAGGTGAAGACTTGAAGTAGCAATATAATTTCGGATAGGTCGAGCAATCTGGCGAGCATTTTGGTGTCTTTGTAACTCTTGGTAGGGAAAGCTCATAACGGCCCGCTCAATAGCTTCAACAACGTCAGCAGTATCAGTTACTGGTAAGGTAGGTAATTGCTCCCTTGATGTTTGATTGGGCCTCACGAATCGTGATGGATTATAATATTGGTTGGATTGGCCTATAGCTGGCGCAGGCGGAAGGGGATGCAGAAAAGAAGGATTTTGTGGCATCTGTAAGTCATAGTTTATCGGTAGGAGCGGCATAGGGTTACCCAGATCAAATGCCATATTTTGGTGGATGTTAGAACCCGTCATAAATCCCGGCGGCTCTGAAGGGATTGTGTTTGAACTGTCATTGGGACCGGCAGGATAATTGCCTGTTTCTATCTGCCCAGGCTGATTAGATGCATGAGTGAAAGCGATAGACTGATTGCTAGGTTGAAGCGCCAACTGTGCCTTCTGTGCGTTTAGCGGCCGAAGATAAATTGACTGTCCGGGAACACCAGTAGGATAATTTCGACTGATTTGCAGGGCGTTGTAGCTTCTGCGTAAAAGTCTGGGGCCCGCATCGCAATTTCGAGATATAAACTCATGCCACGTAGGTCGAAGCTGCGGTGTTTGATTAAAAATAATTCTTTTGAGCACTTGTAGCAGTCTCTCTTTTGTCCGACGCTCGCCGATGATTACGTGAATTCCCCATGAGTGGTGCTTGACTAGTTTCTTAAACGTTTTCAGGTCGAGGGCCCTGTTTCTCAAATGAGTCTTGTCAGGAATGTCATAGAGCTCCCACTCCTCGGGCGGGGGTTGTAATCGGTTATAATCAAAGTCGGGATAATTCTCATTGACCTCAGAAGGTGGGTCAGAGGACATATTTCCAATCCTGTCGATACCGGAACCGTCATATACCAATGTCAAATTGACGCTCAACCAAATAAAGGTTGGGGAATGAGGTAGTGAGACCACAATGCGGAATTTGATAAAACCTACAGGTAAATATATAAGAGTTATGCCCACTCCGGAGCGTTGGAGGGACATTGAAATACTCGAGGAAATATGATCCTCAACGCCATTGTTTCGATGAAAAATTAAACAATGGATGGATCGAGACAAAGTTGGCCCATAAAGGAGGAATAAATATGCAAGTTCTCAGCGCACTCCATAAACAAAGAGTACGTGTCGGATACCCTTTCGAGCTCCCACTATAGGAGCCTTGATATTGATGCCCATTGTTGAACTGTATATTTTAGTCAATTCAGCAGAAAAGAGCCGTAAATTTGGATGGTGTTGATGGCACCTAGAGTTCGGGCTCAAGCTTCTGAACAATGATAGAGAGAAACATGAGAGGGTGCGGCGCTCCGGCTAGCTTCTCTTCCAAAGGTAGCCGCTCAGAAATAATATCACATGGAGTATATGATACTCCATAGGTGTCGAAAGAACTTGTCTGTCCCTCTGAAAAGGTGGGATATACGTGTACATATGTACTGTACGTATATAACACAGTCAGTGGGCGGTAAGCGGATAACTGCTAAGTGCATCGAATCGTGGGGCGTTTCGTATATATTATATATATATATAAATATAAATATAAAATCCATAGCAAAGCTATAGTGCAATTCTCGCCTTTGAATGGTCATAGGCTGATCATTGACCTCTTTTAAAAGAGGTTTGTCCCTTTTGTTGTTAGTAAACTAACTTAACTAGTTCGGATGTGAAATTCTCCGGTCCGAAGTTGGAAGCTGCCCAAGGATAGAGTTAGCTAGCATAGTTAACCAGGGTTTTTAACTAGGTAGTACTATGTTTACCCGAGTAGTACCGTTGAACGATGTTGGTAGCCGGGTTGCCACCCTCGCCCTGTTCACGCGATGACCCACTTTATATTTAGATCACGATCATATCCACTTCCCAGATATAGATGTCGGGTTGGAAGTACCATCTGCGATCGAATTTCAACAAGTAGAACGCAGCTCTTTGCTTGTCCTATGCTTAATACAGAGTAGGGGTATGCTGCGCTAGACTGTGCTGAAAATATGTACGGAGTATAGGTATTGATGTTCGATGAACGTGTATCTGGCAGAGTATAGTAGTGGCGGGGTTCTTGTAAGCGAATGCAGTAGTCGTAGTTCGGCTCATGTACACCGTATATTCTAGTAACGTAAGAGGTCCATTATCCGAGAAGGCGACTGATCTGCATATGATGTCTCGGGAGGTACAGTGGCATGTCTGCTAAGAAATTTTCGACCAGAGGGCTGTGGTGTCAGGAGACACCAGGTGCAAGAATGCGATGTGGCAAACCTTAGTACTAGGCACTTGAATCCGGATATAAATCTCCCATCAACCTCCCGCAGGTCTAGTAGCTGCAAGTCTGACACCCTAGAAATCAACAAAAGTTTTGATATCAACAAACCCAGAAACCATCACATATTGACAAGTCATAATGAAGTTTAGTCTCTTTGCGGTGGTATTCCCACTGTTGGCGGCTGCGGCTCCTGCATCCGAACAACAACAAGAAACCGAACCATCAACTCCACTAAGATTTGGAGTAATGTCCGCCCGCTCAGCTTCGCCAGTCCACTTACTACCCATGGCAGCTAGAGGCCGCCATTTTTGGTTGGGGGGTCCAACACAAACATATTGTCCAGAGCAAGTTGGAAAAAATTGCCCCCCAGGAAAAGACACAGTGATTGCGGGACTAAGCTCTTTGGTGTGTTTCTCTCAATTGCCTTGCAAAGCTGCTATTGGTCTTTCAGGTTGGGGTGTTCTTAACTGCTAACAGACTTGATTCTAGGATGTCATGGTACCTGGAGGCCAGATGATGTACGTCGAGCCGAATGGCGCTGTTGGATTCACACAAGCGCATTCAGCCAGCATCCCAGCCGGGTCGTTTATCGGAGGGTTTACGTATACGGCAGGACCAAGTCATGGCACATACGGATTCACAGGGTGGGGAGCTACCGGCTTTATAGCTTGTCCAAGCCCGACATCTCAGTATTATCAGGTGTTCGCGAATATCCAAAACGCAACCGTGCCGTCAGGAAATGTTAACGATTGCTTGGGCTTCTCAGCAATGGCATTCCCTTATACAGCCCCACATTCGGCCGCTTGGCAGTATATATAGGAATCTATGACTGGCGAAAGGCCAATCACAACCAAAAAGGATCATAGGGAAGAAACAACGATTTTTATCTCGACACGACGAAGCCGGCGGACTGTATGTATGTTAGTTAGCATTCTTTTTGATATTCCGTCTTCATTTGAAAGCCGCGATCAGCATAAGAGATTTTGCAATAGTAACTCTTCACTTGTATAAGTGCTTCTCCCTTTGCTGTAAAAACTTCTGATTTTTGTCTTGTCAACAAGACAAGATTGCAACGGCCCGTGTGTTTCCACGTGACCTTCCCGCCGGGAAACTGGACCCCCGCAGCCTCGGGCGCGCGCCGCGAAACCTCGGTACGGCCCTTGGGCTTTGAACCTTTGGGGTCGCTGTCGGCGCTCAGGTTTGTGCTGTGTGTGTGTGTGTGGCACTATTATTGTGCGGACTGCGTACAAGTCCGCTGCAGAGCTCGCTCGGTCGGAAGCCTGCAAAGGAAATCGCTTTTTGGCATTGAGAGCGTTCCTTAATTACTTCTCGCCAGTAGGAGAATGATAGGGACCATGAGTGGCATTCGAACCCACAGAGTGTACGGAGGACCCGTCGGGTAGAACCGGCCGAGAGGAAGTTTCTTTGGTGTGTCTTTTGATAGGCAGAAATTCGCCGATTCACCACGAAGGGTTCCGTTCATCCTAACATGCGACAGGCTCCAGCTATTTTACGTTTCAGCCATAATCCGGAGTACCCCCGGAGTGGAGAGGAATAAAAAAAGTGTTCTCTGGGAGGGGATCACCATCGTCATCATTATAATTGGGGCAACGAGTATTTGTGAGCTCTACTATCGGCCTCTATCACTTAGAAATGTAGAGCTCTCACCTAACTAGTTAGCCATTCATGCATATTTGCTTGAAAGCAGGCTGGCCAAATTGTTCGTTGGGTCTGTGTACCTTTAAACGCCACTTTCGGCCGGCTGCCGGGTAAAACAGCGCAGGCAGGGGCTGGGACTGTACATTATTATTTGTCGACGAGCTCCAAACTGCATAGTCAATGCTGTGTTCACGCTCTTTCGGTTGTTGTGGTCGAGGATGCGTCGGCTTGGTGCAAACAGAGCAAACCCCCGGCTGACCTCCACCTCCGCAACCACACTCGCATCCCGAGGCTGGTTTGCTAGCTGGTTGACACTGTAGTTCTCGCATATACAGACGTGCTACCACTGCTTCTCGCCCGAGTTAAGTTTGTAGCTCGAGCTTCAACAATAATGTCAACTCACGTGTTAGCTTTCATTTTCGCCTCCGGTGCTTGGCCCGGCCGGTCGCGGTTTGGTTGTGACTGGACGAGACTCGGTGGACTTCCGTGACTGGATGACTGTAAGCTTGAAATCCAAGCAAACTTCAGGCGAAGATAAATAATTAGCATGTGCCGCGGCTACGACGACTCTGACGTTATAAATCCTCCATACTATACTGAACGTCAACTGGCAGTACTCTTGCTCGTCTGAGGTTGATATTCAGGTCTCCATTTCACCCCCAAATACACTGCAACAATCATGACTTCCGTCGATACCCAACTCAAGGATGTCGCCATCCTCGGCCAGATCAGCGAGCCGGCCCGCAAAATCCTCACCAAAGACGCTTGTGCCTTTCTAGCTTTGCTGCACCGCACCTTCAATGGAACAAGAAAAGCGCTTCTTCAGCGACGCATTGCCCGTCAGGCCGAGATTGATCGCGGACAGCTGCTAGATTTCTTACCCGAGACTCGGCATATCCGTGAAAATGATGCCTGGAAGGGTGCTCCTCCTGCGCCCGGATTGGTCGATCGCCGCGTTGAGATTACAGGCCCAACTGATAGGAAGATGGTTGTAAATGCTTTGAACTCGGACGTGTGGACATATATGGCTGATTTTGAAGGTTTGTTTGTTATTTTTGCTCTAGTCGTTCACTGTGATTAATGGACGCCTCTCTGTGCAGACTCGAGTGCCCCAACTTGGGAAAATATGGTCAACGGCCAGGTTAATCTCTATGATGCGATCCGTCGACAGATTGATTTCACACAGGGAGGAAAGGAATACAAATTGCGGACAGACAGAAAATTGCCCACACTTATTGCCCGTGCCAGAGGCTGGCATTTGGACGAGAAACATTTCACTATCGATGGAGAACCTATTTCCGGCGGTTTATTCGATTTTGGCCTCTATTTCTTCCACAATGCTAAAGAGCTCGTGAGCAGAGGTGCTGGTCCATATTTTTATCTTCCTAAGATGGAATCTCACTTGGAGGCTCGCCTATGGAACGATGTTTTCAACATATCGCAAGATTATATTGGTATTCCCAGAGGCACAATCCGTGGTACTGTTCTTATCGAGACTATCACTGCTGCCTTTGAGATGGACGAGGTGATTACCAGCCGGACTATAATTCTTGTATGAAATTGGCTAACGAGGGCTGGCAGATTATCTATGAACTCAGAGACCATAGCTCGGGTTTGAACTGCGGAAGATGGGACTATATCTTCTCCTTTATTAAGAAATTCCGACAGAATCCCAACTTTGTTCTTCCTGATCGATCATCTGTCACCATGACCGTGCCATTTATGGATGCATATGTCAGACTTCTGATCAAGACCTGTCACAGACGTGGTGTTCATGCTATGGTGGGTTCACCTGCGTGCCTTAATTAATTTAAATGCCAAACTGACTGAGCCACAGGGTGGTATGGCTGCTCAAATTCCAATCAAGAACGACCCGAAGGCCAATGATGCTGCCATGGAGAGCGTTCGCGCCGATAAACTTCGAGAAGTGCGTGCGGGTCACGACGGCACATGGGTTGCCCATCCCGCCCTTGCTGCAATTGCTTCAGACATTTTTAACAAGTATATGCCAACTCCTAACCAACTGTTCGTTCGAAGGGAAGATGTGAATGTAACTGCCAATGACCTACTAAATACCAATGTCCCTGGTAGCATCACAGAGCAGGGTATTAGAAAGAATCTTAACATTGGCTTGTCTTACATGGAAGGATGGCTTCGCGGTGTTGGCTGTATCCCAATCAACAGCCTCATGGTATGTCCTAATAACACAAGTCTTGAATCATAAGCATGCTGACAGATAGCAGGAGGATGCTGCCACCGCCGAAGTCAGCCGCAGTCAGCTCTGGCAATGGGCCCGGCATAACGCGATGACTGCGGAGGGCAAAAAGGTCGACAAATCATATAACTTGCGATTACTGAAAGAGCAGGCCGACGAACTTGCTGCCAAGGGACCGAAGGGTAATAAGTTCCAGCTTGCCGCCCGCTACTTTGCTGGCCAGGTCACAGGAGAAGACTATGCAGATTTTCTGACAACGTAAGTCATAATCTCCAAGTATACTGCTTAAAATGTGGTTACAAGAACTGACAAATGCGAAACAGTTTGCTATACAACGAGATCTCTGCTCCTGGAAGTGCAGCCAAGTTGTAAACTGCAGCAAACCAGTCAATTTTTTCCTTTCTTTCACAAACCCAATTGTATATGTAAACCCACAAGCCTTTGTCAGATAGTCCTAAAAAGCGATATTCATGTCAGTTGACCAGGTCAGTGTGTAGCGGTTTTCCAACTTCCCTAGGACACCAATGATTTTCATCGGTTTTCTTTTGTATTTGAAACAGGAAAAAAAGGAACCGCTTGTCTTCTTGACATCCTGTTTGATTCAAAAAGTAGCCTTATTGCTATCTGAGCATGTTTCATTTTTGGTCTATGCAAATTGAAATAATCCAGATTCTGTCAGATTAAAACAAGATGTATTAACACACCAGCCTTCGAGCACTCTGTCCTTCCAACGGATGAGCCTACGGTGTGGCAGCCTGTAATCTACAAATACAGCTTGTTGCAAAGCACTTTATCAAGAGATTCAACAAGGTTGCTTCCGGAATCCAAAACAACTAATTTTTTACGGCCACGCTCAAATTCAGCTTCTCGACTAGGAACACGAAGAGCTAGGCGTCGTATCGTCTGCAGATATAGTATAACTTAGGACGAGCTTTTATAACCTCACAGGTTAGGTTTTCCACCAACCCCCTCATTTTCAGAAACACCCCACAAGCGGGATCAAAGATTCCGTCCAGCCTCGGATAGTGATTGGTACCATCTATCTTGACATATTGCCAGCGAATATAGAAGCCAAGGTTGAGGTTTCCTTGGTATTTGATCAAAGCCTGAATGAAGGCATGTTCTCCAGTATGTAGATATTGATAGATATTCTGGGAAGAACGGCTGACAGCAAAGCGCCAAGACGGCGTGGGTGGCGAAGTTTGAACACCGCTTCATAGATCTTTATTATCATTATGAAAAAAATGGCCTCATATTCCGCGATCGGCTGTTTTATGATCCTGTGCGTGATATAATATATCACCAGAGTCATATGTGGGGTGTACAGCCTTTAAACAAGACTTTCAAAAACGTAATGCAGTCCAAGCTCAGTGTCACTCTAAATGGGTATTTCTATTTTACTCAGGTTAATAGTCTGGCCCATATTCCAATACGTCATAGTAGATGCTCAGCAAAGTTGACGTGTGAAAAAGGTTCGTTGAACGATTCAAGGAGAGCGTTATGCCATTCCAGAGTAAGCGCAATGCCCATGAGAGTCCCTTTAACTTACTTTATCCTCACGCCAGCGAGAAAAATGCTATTGTTTAGACAATCCGACAGGAAAATATGACCTGAAATCAGGGAAACAATCATGAATACGTGCACATGGATCCTGATACTTGATTCTGATACTTGTAAAGACTACTCTGCTGTCAATGCTCCACGCGATTGATAAACTGCGGGACTGTGGTTGGGGGTAGATTTCGAGTCAGTCTGCGGCTACTTAGATGTGTCTTGAGAGTATCAACCCTCCGAGTCCATGGCGGATGGATCAGGGTGCATGTATAACAATGGGTTCTTTGACATGGCCAAAAAGAAAAATGTTTGGCGCATAGGAGGGATTTGAGTGGTCAAGAGTGCATTGCGCACGGAAGAGAAAAGGGAGCGGAAGAATCTCGGCCTTCCAGCGCCAGCAGTGCTGTCAAGCATTGATTGGGCTTCTAGAGACACATGGTGAGCTTGGAGAGGAGTCTTTCGACCTAATAGTCTCTTGACTGACCAGTAGAACTTGGTAAAATTGCTTGATTTGACGGAGTAGAACACCCGTAATCCCTGACTTGAAGGGCTGCGAGTGAGTATACTCGTAATAGTATGTCGAGGCTCTCTTCCTAGCCATGCTGACTGACAGGTAATTGACAGGAGCAGCGCTGGTAGGAATCGGGAGGCGATGCTGTGCTCAGACGGGCTCCAGCGGTCAATCAGCGAGTGTCATTTGTCGTCAAGCGCCAATTTCTGCTGGACGAGAAGGATGTCATCAGCTACCAAGCCTGGTTGGTATCCTTCGCCTTATCCTATTTCATTCTCCGCACCTGGTCCTGGGGAGAGTGTCCCTAACGGATCCTGCTGCCGAATACACAACTCCTCATTCCATTTAGCTGTCAGTCCACCTTTTGTAGTATCTTTCTTCCAGAAAACGAATGGTGGGTTGACCTGGATGAGCGCTTGGCTCTCTTCTGTGACTGGAAACCTGCTCCAGGAACAAGAACATACATACATGCATGCATGCGTACGTGCATTTTCGTACGCTGAAAGAGGGGGCAACTTTGGCTGTGAAGCGCAGGTGGCAGTAAGATACTCCGTCGGAAACCACACATGTTCACCGCTGGTTGGGAAGCGAAGCGACAAAAAGAACAAGCTTCGACAACCCCAGCAAACTCACCCCTGAGCCTCTGTCAACCTCTCGGCGGCCGCCAACCCGATCAACGGTTTCACCTCAAGCCTCCGCACAACAGGCTTTTGATCCACCAGGAATTCTTGAGATGGAAGACTCGTCGGGCGTGGCAAAGACTCTGTTCCACGAGCAAACCCGGGACGGGCTGTTGTTGACTGTGAGTGAGCCATGGTTGTTTGAAACCCGCAAATCACCCGAAACAACTCAAGACGAAAATGAAATGAAAAGAAAAGCCATGGCACCTGGAGCTGCTCGTAACATGCTGACGTATAGAGTAGCTTTATGTTCTCCGTACTCCGTACTACTTTTTTTTCCGACGTGCCAGGAACGCATTGCAGGCAAGACGAGCTCATCCCGGTCGTCAACGGCTCGTCCACTAAGCGTTAAGAGCCGCGCAAAAAAGCAACAATCTGCGCTGATTTAGATTGATAAACGGCTTGTCTTGTGGGACCTTTGCGTTTTCTCCGTGCTTGTACGGACTGATCACGCATCCACGGCAACGCGCCGCTCATTTGAGTACAGACGGTTACATCTGGTCGCCTTGGTGCGTCGAATGACAGCCCCGCGGCAGATGACGGATGGGTTGCAGATGCCTAATTATAGCTACCGTTTTGAAACTAAGCACCGGAGCTTGCTTTTACATCTGTGCTTCAGCCCTGTTTGGATTCTTCAATATGTGTAAATATCTGCGCTTCCGGGCCGGCGACTTGGCGGTGCCCAACATTGACCCCCCACGCGTCGGGCAGATACAGGATGGTAACGACATTTTCTTTTCGTGACTGTGTGTTCTCTGGAGAAATTCTTCAATTGTTTCTTGCACTCTCGGTTTGGAACACCCTCCGGAGCTGTTCTCCTGGCTCTACAGTTACCTGTCATACGGAATATATTGAACTCACTACCATGAACAAATACGGAATATCTGGCGAGATAGCTTAGTTTGCCCACCCTTGGCACATTCTCACGGCTTTCTCCCACCTCTCAAACTGTTTCCCAGCCTCCTTTTCGTCTATTGCAGGATTGAAGATGGTCTGACCATCTGTATTTACAACTTCCAGGTCCTTGATATCCTGCCAGACACCTGCAGCTAGTCCTGCAGCAATGGCGGCCCCAAAGGCCGTGGTCTCCCGCATTGCGGGACGGACAACCGGGATCGAGATAAGATCAGCTTGAGTCTAGTGCCACGTCGTCAACGGGAATTCTTCTGTTTAATAATAAGGTACAGTGGGGAACCTTGGATTTACTTACTTGCATAGTCAGGTCGCTGTTACACATACCGCCATCCACTGCCAATTCGGTCAAAGCTCTTCCGCTGTCCTTAGCCATGGCGTCAAGGATGGCTTTGGTTTGGAAACATGTAGCTTCCAGCGTGGCACGGGCGATATGGCCACGTTTTGTGTATGTTGTGATACCGAATATCGTTCCTCTCGCATCGTCCATCCAATACGGAGCAAACAAGCCACTAAAGGCCGTAACGAAGACACAGCCACCGTTATCCTCTACTGTTGCAGCTAGGTCATTGATTTCACTGGATGAGTCGAAGAATTGGAAATTATCCTTGAGGAATTTGACGCTCGAACCCGCTACAGCAATGCTACCTTCCAGTGCATACATGACTCGGTCGCCAAAGTCGTACGCAATAGTGGTGAGAAGACCGTGCTTGGAGATCACCGGATTCTCGCCCACGTTGTATAACAAAAAGCAACCTGTGCCATATGTATTCTTCGCCTTTCCGGGCGAGAAGCCTTTCTGCCCAACCAGGGCTGCAGACTGGTCTCCAAGACACCCAGTGATAGGAACACCTCGCAGCACCGTTGACTCCAGTGACCCATAGCCTTCCGGGTCGGATGATCGGATGATCGTCGGCAGCTTCAACTTCTTGGTATCGATACGGAAGAAATCGATGAGATTTTCGTCATACTGGCGGGTCTTGATGTTCATGAACATGGTCCGCGAGGCATTGGAGGGATCTGTGACGAAGACATTCTTCTTGGGCCCGCCATTGAGCTTGTACACCAGCCAGGAGTCAATTGTCCCGAAGGCCAGCACGCCGCTGTCATAGGCCGCCTTGACTTCGGGCACATTCTCCAGCAGCCACAGCAGCTTTCCCACGGAGGGGTAGGTTGACAGGGGAAGCCCACAGTGCTGCTGCAGCTCGTTGTGGCCCAGACGCTGCTTGAGGCGACGCACCAGCGCCTGGGTACGGGTGTCAGTCCAGACGATGGCATTGTGCAGCGGCTCGCCAGTCTCGCTGTTCCAGACAACGGTGGTCTCTCGCTGGTTGGTGATGCCAATGGCCTTGATGGCGCCAATGCGGTGCCCCTGCTTCTCAAAGGCAGACACTGCGCCGTCGATGCAGCGCTCCACAGACGAAACGATCTCGCGCGGATCGTGCTCGTGCCACCTGGGCGATCCGTCAGCTTCACTCGCAGGAATACACGGCTCGACTCACCCGGGCTGCGGATAGATCTGGGTGAACTCCAGTTGATGCGATGCGACGACCTCGCCCGCGGTGTTGAATATCAAGAAGCGCGAGCTGGTGGTGCCCTGGTCGATCGAGCCCACGTACACGTCGGAGTCTGCCATTGTCACGCACTCGAACAAACTAACTCTCGAGCCAACGATCTTGCAGGCCAGCCAGCCCACAACAGCACGCCGCCCGTCCTTTTAATCCACAGCTGGCTCGTCCTTGCGCTGGAGATAACAGCGGCTGCGCGCGCGCCCGCTCGTCGCACCGCTTTTCACATGTGCAGCAGCAGCGGGCGCGCGCAGTCCTGTCGTTCCCCCGCTGCGATCGGCACGCCACATCCCTGCAACACGCCTCCAAGCCGATGCCCCCTCCGCTAAACCTCTTCGCCCGCGGGGATTCCACGCAGTTGTGGCCTCGTCGCCGCTGTGGCCGGTCGGCCCACGCCGCTCCTGGCTCCTGTTCCCCCCGAATAGTCGTGGATCACGGCTTGTCCGCATTCGAGAACAAGTGGCACGGCGCTTGGCCCAGGCCTGCGTTCGGCGCACGCACGTCCGGACTTTGGCGCCGCGACGAACTGTGATATTGGCACTTCGACCTGCACCCACGCTCTGGCCAGCGCCAATGACGTTTGGCGGATCTACTGCGCGGTTGCACGGAGGGGAGGTTGGTCCCAAGGTAACCCTGGGGAGACTTGCATGACGCCAGAGTCCAAGTCTCACCAGCAGCCCGCTGGGCCCGGCACCGTGTCCTTCCTGCACTCAGCTCTCGGCCGCCACTCTGTCTGTAACATGAGATTGCCATCATTGCGTGACGCCTGCTACCAGCGTGCCCACCCAGCCAGCGCCCGCCGGACCCAGCTAACCGCTGTTGTTTCGCATGACCTGCAAGGAGGATCCCATCCCTTGCCCGTCCTGCTGCACTCCCATCCTGGTCGTCGGGCAATTGGTACTTGCAGGCTGCTGCTAGTTGCAGGCCCCATTTCCACCTGTCACTGACTTTAAAACGGGTATTAATTACTGCACGACGACTCACCTTCCCTTTTTCCCGACTACCCTATAGCCGTGGAATGTAAAGCCCACCAAAGCCCCCCCACCTTTTCTGAGGTATCGTGAGGAAACAGACCTATATATCAACACCCCCAGGACTCGCTATCATGTCTTCAACGTCTCAGCTCCCCCTCTTCGGAAGCCCGTCGAACAATTCCCTGGATGCCACCATGTCGGGTAAAATGTCTCCTATCGTACAGGAAGTTCCCCCTGACTCCCCTGTCGAACAAGGTCAGTTGTCTCTTTCAACCAGATATGTTGATGGGTGGCTTACTCTCTGTTTACTTTTACAGTCACCCAGACAAAGAATGATGATGTCTTGTGGTGCAGGATTAGACACACCCTTCGGGAACCCTTTGCAGAGTTCTTTGGAGTCTTCGTTCTGATTCTCTTCGGAAATGGCTCCGTAGCCCAGGTGGTGCTGAGCAAGGGTGAAAAGGGAGACTATCAGTCTATCTCCTGGGGCTGGGGGTAAGTTGAACATACGCGCGTCTGGTTCTCCCCAAACAATTGATTCACGCGTCTCATGCTCACATTACATCTCTCCCCGTTCAGGCTTGGCGTCATGCTCGGGGTCTATACTGCTGGGATCTCTGGAGCCCATTTGAACCCTGCTGTTACTTTCGCCAACTGCGTCTTCCGCAAGTTTCCCTGGAGGAAGTTCCCTATCTATACTATTGCCCAAACTCTGGGTGCATTCTGCGCCTCAGGGATTGTTTATGCCAATTACATCTCCGCAATCGACGTTTTTGAAGGTGGCCCAGGTATCCGGACTGTCGGTCTCAGCACGTCGTCCGCCGGGATCTTTTGTACCTACCCAGCTCCATTCATGTCCCGGACAGGCCAATTTTTCTCGGAGTTTATTGCCAGCACCATACTGATGTTCTGCATCTACGCCCTCCTGGATGACCGGAATATGGGAGCTGGTAACCTGACCCCATTGGGATTATTTTTCGTTATCTTTGGCATTGGAGCCTGCTTCGGATGGGAAACTGGTTATGCCATCAATCTTGCTCGTGATTTCGGCCCGCGAGTGATGTCCTACTTCCTTGGATACGGGAAAGAAGTATTTTCTGCTGGCAACTGGTACTTCTGGGTAAGTCCCTGCCTAGCCAGTCAAATCTTAATGGTAAGAGGAGCCCATATCTAACCCTCAACTAATAGATACCCATGGTCTCGCCCTTCTTTGGATGCTTGTTTGGTGGCTTTTTATACGACGTGTTCCTTTACACCGGAGACAGCCCCATCAATACACCATTCATGGGACTAACACGATTTTTACAGCCCACGCCACAGGTGTGGTCTAACACACGATCAAAGGAATACGTTTAAAATTCTTTTCTTAACTTGCCAGAGGCAACTTACTTACAGTACATACACACGTAGCGAGGGCGAATCTTGACAAAAAGGTAGTAGCGGGGTATCGTCGTTATTAAATTGTTTCTTAAGAGTCTTGTGGAGAAGCGAAGTACTAGTTTGTGGTCTTATCATTATTATTATTTCGAATTAAAATGGAATTTCGTCATGTTTGCCCCTCCCCGCACGTTCTCTAACAACACGTACACTTAACTAGTTGCCACCACCTTAACATTGTCCAGGTTCACTTCTTTCGACGAGCCAACTCCACCCGAGAAGGCCGCTTCAAACCTTAGCATGGCGGAATCAAGTCCGTTAGGGGCCGTCCAGACGCCTTGTCCCTCCACCCAAGTGGAAGATGTTGCAGTGCCGGAGAACACGACGATGGAACCTAGATACGCCCTCACCGTAATTGTTCCAGCGGAGGTGGCTCGCTTGTACCAGAAAGTAAGCTTGTAACTTCTGCCGGGACAAACAGAAATCGATTGGAGAACATTCTGGCCCAAGTTCGAAGAGGTTCCTGGAGTGCGCATGCGGAGATAGCGGGCTCCTTCCTGGCCACCGCCAGCTGCAATCTCCACATCGGAGTCGCTTGAAGCTGGCATGAATACCCACGACCCGGAGACTTCGAAGCCTGGGTTTGCCACGATATTGAGGCCTGTGGAGGTTGCGCAGGCTTGATTCACCGCCGCTGTCTGCGTGACTGTTTGGGTCTGGACATTGGTGACAGTTTCGTGATCTGTTACTGTCTGCATGGCTGTAATTGTTTCCACATTGGTCTGTATATTTGTAACGGTCTGAACATCGGTCACTGTTTGCAAAGCAGTAACTGTTTCAAAGTTGGTTCGAATATCCGTCACTGTTTGCAGATCCACTACCGTTTGGATGTTTGTGATTGTTTCAAAATTTGTCTTGACATCTGTGACAGTCTCAACATTGGTGACAGTTTGATAATCCGTCTGGAGGTTGGTCACAGTCTGGAGATCTGTGTGGGTGTTTGTGACTGTTTGGATTTCTGTTTGAAACTGTGTACCAGTCACCGTGGCAATTTCTGTCTGGATAGCTGTTACTGTGTGATAGTCGGTTTGAACTGCCGTCTGTGTCTCGGTTGCAGTGACGGTCTATCAAACAATGAGTTAGTTCTCGACGGAATACTCAAGGACGACCGCATGCAGATCGTACAGCAGTTACATGGCCCGGGTCAAGCGTGATAGTTGCCGTATGCTCTACCGTTTGCGTTGTGAAGCTGGAACAATCCGTGATCCCCGTCGGCGTGACTGTCTTTGTGCAACTATATCCAATTCTCATGAGTCCTTCCTGTTGCAAACCCGACTGGGGAACGGGATGCCGGAAACGTACACTTTTGTCCTCGTCGTCGCCAACAGAGCGCAGTTCTTGTTCCAAAGTTCAAAGCGATCCCAGCATGCGCGATCCTCCACAGGCAGCTCAGTCGCACAGGCCGCGGCCGCAAAGGCTAGAAGCAGACAAGCCGGCTTCATCATTATCAGAACAGCAAATGAGCGACTGGAATAACAAAAGACTGTGCGAAGGTGCCTCCTTGCCCGTTCGCCGGACGCGGCTTGCTATATGGACTCCTGCCATTGCTGCTTTCTGCTTTTTTTTCTCCCAAATCGAACACGACGAGGCGTTATACTTCGATATTTTTGCGCCCGCAACTTCGCTTGCGCGCATAGTCGCGAATTAGCTATTAGAACTAAGGTTTTCTAACCAAAAAGACAAGGCGAATTGCCGAGATCACGGCCCCGAGCGAAAGGCTGGAACAGCGTTTTCCTGATCCATGGTTGAGCAGAAACCCAATCGACCAGGCTGGCGCGTGGTTTCAGGGGCAAAGTAACTCTGTTGTGGCGTTTGAGCGAACACGCGAGCGGTTGCTGTTAAGTTCCTGGGCATGAGGCGAAGCATCACAACTGTATTGAACAACTATCGCATGGAGTTTGCTGTGACTGATGCTCTGCGTTGGACGACTCGCGCCTTCGGGCGAGAAACTATCCCCTATACAGCCGTATACAGCCGTACAGAGGGTGTACAGGGCACGGGCCTTTCCCCACCTTTTTCATGACTCTGATTGGCCTCAGCGCCAAGGCCATACAAGTTACCTAAACAGGGACTCTGCTTACTCATCCCGCTCCTCGACAGCCTTATACTCCTTACTTGCAGGGAAGACTATAGATCGACGTTGCTGGTGTCTCAAGAGACACAAGAGTGGCTGTGTTACTTGAGTACTGCGTACATGCGCATAGTATGGCAGATTCCCTGTCAGTGGCGTAACGCGTTCAGCGACGCAGGACGCGATCATTGCTTTCACTCAGCCTGACGCGGTGCTGGGGTGCTCCCGGACAGGGGCAACCATGGCAAATCGGAGTAAAAGTTCAACCCTTTTAGTTAAGCTAATGACGTAAATTATTCCTGTAACAGCTAACTACAACAACTGGGGAGATATAACTAGATTAAAACGTCAATCATGTTTCAATGGCCGGCTTCGCCTCTGCGTCCTTCTGTTCTCCGTCCCGCTTGCCCTGGATCTCCTCTAGCCACAAAGGATCAATTGCTTCCACTGATAGGTAGGGACTATAGTCAGAGCCAGGTATGACATTTGCTGGAGCTCTGCCCATGCCTAGGAAGCTCCACATGTTTTTCTTATTTTCGTAACTGATGATGTAGTCTTCAAATCGCGGCTCTTTGATAGTGTCTATATAATGCAGCGAGCTGCCTGGCCAGATGGCGTTAACACGACCCGTCTCATTATTCTTATACCAGCTGCGACAGTCATCGACCCAAACGGTGTGCTTAACCCATTCCTGCACATGGTCGTTGAATGCGTCGGTAACATCTTGGCGCGGAGCGAGTGAGTGGATTTGTTCGTTTTGGATCTTTTTGATCATCTTGACTGCATAGTTCGCAACTTCAACTAATGGTCCCATGACAGAGCCCTATCCCAGAATTAACTATTAACAATAGGTGGTGCATTGCTGCTGAGCATAACACTTACATTTTCCACGGGGAAAGTTGGGCCAATGAAGGTAATGTAGTTGGGAAAGCTACTGTTATTAGATGCATTTCAAAGGCCAGAAGGAATCAGGAACGTACCCTGGCACTGCCAACCCAAGGTATGATTCCGGACAAATCTTCCATTTTTCCCTCAAGTCAACGCCACCTTCACCAATAATTGGGAACCTTGGCCTGTAGGACGTGTCAAAGCCGGTGGCACAGACCACGGTGTCAGCTTCTCTCTCAATACCATCCTCACCTAAAACTCCGTTCTCAGTGAACTTGGCGACAGCGGTGAAGTGAACATCCACATTTGGTTCTTGAATAGCTTGCATGTAAGGATCGCCAGGGGTTACTCGCCGACAACCAACTCCAAATGTTGGTGTGAAGCCTGGTTTAGACGTTAATGAAACTGGTTCTTTAGCAGCTTTGAATTTGTGCGTCAAACGCTCACCTTTCAAAAGACGCTCATCTTTAATCCATTCCGCCATTCTTTTACGAAGGAACTCTTGACTCTTCAATTGAGCCTCACTATCTTTGTAGAACGTCCCCCACAGCCCGTTGACTTGGTTCTCAATGAACTTTGATTCCGCCACCAGTGCTACAGGATCGTTTCTGAATTTCGCTCTGTCCTCATCTGGGTAGGGCTTGTTTAGGCCTTCATTACCCGCGATACTTGTAAACCACACTGCCTATTCCGGTGATCAGATATCAGTGGCTGCTAGCCAACTAGAGTTTGAGGATGACACACTGTTCTGACAAAGACATCCAGATGTTTTACATATGGCTGCATCCCTGGCACAGTTTGAATACTTGAGGCCCCACTCCCAATGACAGCAACTCTCTCATTCTTCCATTGCTCTGCCTGATAATCTTGGGGCCACCGAGCAGTATGAATTACCTGCGATTGAGATTAGAAACATGTATTGTAGAAATCTATATCTGCCAAAGCCCTCACCTTGCCTTTAAATTTTTCTCGCCCTTCAAGCTCGGGCCACTTATAACTATTGAGTAGACCATTACCGTTTAGAAGTACGTGACATCTGTCTTCAATTTCTTTCTCGGTGCCATCTGGCGCTGTTTGTGTCATTGTAACTCTCCATTCTCCTTTATCAGCTTCCCAAAAAGCACCAGTTACCCTCGTATTGAAGGTCATATACTTTCGTAGGTCAAAAGTGTTGCAGATTCTATCAAGATACTTCCAGATATCTGGAGAGTATGAATAGAAATGTGGCCATTCAGGCTGCAGCAACAAGTTAGCAAAGACATCAATATGATACTTGTAAGCTAATAGATGTGCAAGGAAAACCTACATTAGGGGCAAAATCATAGATATATGCATGGCTCGGGACATCACAAGCGCAGTTTGGGTATCTATTCTCCAACCACGTCCCACCAATGTCTTCATTCTTTTCATAGATGACGTGTTCAACGTTGCTACACAGCTTCTGAATTTTGTATGCCATCAAAATTCCGCTCACTCCAGCTCCAATAGTAATGACTTTGACTCTTCGCTGGTAACTTCCTATTATTGCATCCATATCAATCTCGTAAGAACTTGAAAGGCCGTCATTAGAAATGCCATTCGACGCACTCCCAGATCGTGTAGCGATACCGGGAGCCATAGTGAGTAAGATGCGTCGTGTTCTGGATAGGTGGGAGATATCCGAAGGATGTGTTGCAGATGTAGACTATTTGCCTGTCGAAGAAAAGAAGAGACCGAAGGAGCAGCGAGGTAGAAAAGTAAATCGAATCTATCAGAATATGCCACGCAATGTTCTCTTGTGTTGCACTATTGGCTACGTCTTATTCGACGCCGTATTTCAGCTTGCATGGCCATACACATACCAGGCGGGCTAAAATGCGGAGCCGACGGCTGTGCCCCTCACAGGCTGCAGCTGTCGGAGCCATGACTATACCCAGCCCCAAACAATGGGCGGTACCCCTCCAGGCAGTTCGACGACCCTCGGTGTATCTGAGTGAAGCAGACACCAATGCCGAGCTCCCTCTTCGCTAGGCGCCACTCGCAGTAAAAATACCTATCCAATTCCCTCCCGAGGGGCTGCCGTGTTTTGGTGCAACCTAAAGCCGGGCTACTGCGGCCTCAAGATGTAGGCTATCGTAAAGGGATAATGCATCGGAGGACAAAGCGGCAAGGTCGGGTACACCTAACTCGCCCCATGTCGAAATTAGAAATCAAGAAAGCCATAACCAACCGCACGTAGAGCGTACTTACTCTGGCGACCGGCATCCCCGCCTGCTGTTGATCCGAGGCTGTTCAGGCTGAAATCGCGGAGAATCCTGCCAAGCCCGCTGTCGGCTGACTAATGGCCGAGATAGTCGGGATCGTTTGCGCCGTGCATTTCGACGGGCGTGTCGTTGTCTATTAGGACTTTACCAGCTATTCACCGCTGGCAAACTGGTTTCCCGCCTGCTGGCATCCTATGGGCCACTTTGTGCTCAGGCGCGCGCGATAAGCTTATCCCAGCTCCAGCATGTAACCTCATGACTCGTATTTTAGAAGCGGCCCGCCAGGGGCAGGGCCCTCGAACTATTTCCAACCCATATCCGAAATGCACCCTCCGTCGGCATCACCCAGTTTTGTCGTCTCGTGCTCCAAAAGCTCAAGTCTTTTCTCGTCAGCGACATATTCACAGTGGCTGATTTGCCTGCGTCCAGCTCGACTTTGCGGAATTCTCGTAGCACACGAATGGGAAAATCAATACTATCTTGTGTGCCGTGGGTTGCTGTAGTATTACCACCACCCGTTGTAGGGTTCCCGACATCTGTTACATTCTGCGGAAAAGAGACGTACAGCTGGACGACCTCTTTTCCTGCCCGCCGGCCGATGTTGGTTACAACAACCGATATATTGACAAACGGTTCAAAAAGTGATGGGTTGCCACCTTCACCGCCGCCCGCTTGGGATGGTTGTTGGGTTATATTGTACCCTACTGGGTAGTCATAGCTGCCACGCGTCACTTGCCTCTCGGAAGATATGTAAGGATATATGTATTTAGAAAGCCTTCGGAATTTGTTTGGGAATAGGCTGTCCCTCACTGATGGGATTTGGTTGTCATATGAGGGGGGTGAAACGTCCGACTCAGGTCGTGGAGACGGTAAGGCCGTTTTGTTCTGCAAGGGTGTAATAGTGAGATCGGAGAAATTGAAGCTGGTGTACGAGAGGCCAAACCCGAATTCATAGCGGGGAGTGATGTTATGCCGATCAAAGTAGCGATAGTCTGTGTAAAGTCCATGTGAAAAATCTTTTTGCGGCACGGGGTCATCTGTTTTGTAAAGCACTTTGGATTCGGGCCCGTAATCATCTAGATTCTTGCCGATAGTATAAGGGAGCCGGCCACAAGCATCAACATTGCCAAACAAAAAGTCCGCGATTGCATTTCCGCTCTCTTGACCAGGAAGGTTAGCAAGTATGATGCCTTTAATATTAGGCTCGTCCGCCCATGATTCCATCACTACCGGCCCAACAGCATGGATAACAACGATTGTGTGGCCAGAACCTTTGCCGCACCTGCTGGCCACAGCTTTTATCAAACGATCTCCACCTTTTTGCAAGAAGAGATCATTTCGGTCTCCACGGATATCGCCATCACTCGCAAAGCCTTCGCCCCCGTTCGAATTTACAAATACAATGCAAAGCTCTTTATCCTTTAAATCAGCATCGGAAACTTCATTCTCGTAATGAAGTGACACTTTAACAGATGCATTGTTGAAGGTTTGACTAAGCGCCTTTCCCGGAGTAATTAGGTAGGGAAATTCGACAGCGCCGCTGCCCCAACCAGAACCAAGAGTCCCTTGATTGCAAGCTCGATCTAGGCAAAAGTTGGGGCCTTTTCCTGGACCGGCATCTTCTCCAAAAATACCCACGCGGTAGGTTGCATTGTCTCGACCGTTGCCATCTCTTGATAGGGGTAATATATTGCCCTCATTCTTAAGCAGGATAGTACTTTCAGCGGCAATTCGTCGTGCAAGAAGCCCATGTGCATTGTCTCCCTCTCCCTGGGCATTCACAAACTTATTTACCACGCCAACAGCATCTTTGTCATCGCTCCCTTCGTGAAGGCGCCCGACCTTCGCCCTCGTCCAAGACGAAAAGTTCGGCCCGCCGTCCCCCTCCGGAGCTGGTTTGGGCCACGTGTCTTGCTTCATCTGATACCAAGCTGCAACAATTCTTGTAGCCATATCATTAATCCGCTCCATAGGGACCGATGTGTTTAATGCAGCTAACGTGAGGTTGCTGCCCCAGTACGAAACTCCGGGGCTAAAACGAGGACCGCCACCAGGCATTGACATATCTAAGCCAGCGAGAGCGGTCGATACTCCAGCTTGTTGAGCCCACCAGTCAGACTGAACGAAGCCTTGAAATCCTAGTTCATCCTTCAGAATGCCGTTTAGCAGCAAGCTGTTGCCACAAGAATATGAATTGTTCACCATCTGATAAGCGCACATGATGCTAGCGACTCCTGCTCTCACACTTTCGGCAAACGGCCAGATGTATACCTCGCGCAAAGTTCTATCGTCGATATTTGATGACATGGCATTAGGTATGCCCCATTCATGGGGCTGCCTATAGTGCTCCTGTTCATTCAAGACGTAGTGTTTTGCGGTTGCAATTACGCCAAGTTCCTGTATGCCCCTAATTGTTTCTGCTGCGGCAACGCCTTGAAGAACTGGATCTGATCCAAAGCCTTCCCAGTTGCGGCCGCCAGCGGGTAACGTTCCCAGTGGCCCAAGTGCTGGTCCTAGAAGAACATTAACTCCTTTGAGACGTGCTTCAACTCCAAGAAGTCGGCCTCGTTTTCGCATTAAGTCTCGATCCCAAGTTGCACCGACTGTAATACCAGCTGGGAAAGCGGTGATATTATCTGCAAACCGTAGACCAAGGGGCCCGTCCTGTAAACATAACGACGGAAATCCTACAGAAGTGGCAGGTCCTAATTGAAAATCAGTCAGCGTGCGAATCAGGTATTTTAGATATTCGCGGTAGAAAGCATATTTTTCCCGAATCAAAGAAATTCTGACATACCCGTATTACCGACACAGAGACCCATTTGCCAGCCAACTCCTGTAGTAACATTCACCTTTTCTGACAGACTCATCCTTTCTACCATTTTCTGGGCCTTTTTATAGCTATCTGACCAGTTTGAAACTGTTCCCCCCTTTGGGGTCGGATACCATGGTGGAGAGAGCTAAAAATATATTCAGCAAACGTCAGGCTTAATCATACTGAAAGTATGGAGAAAGAAATGGCAGAGCTCACCCCATCTTTGGGCGCGATCGCCTGGGACTTCTTCTTTCCAAGGTCTCCTAGCCTTCCCAAACCACCAAGTACAGCAAGTGTCGTGCCCACGGCGAGGATGAGCACTATTAATAAAGCAAAACAGCGTTTTTTGCGAAGCCAGGGAGGTAGAAATTTGCGTTTCTCATGCCGCAAGGCCCCTGTTGATTGCAAGAGGCCCATGGACTCGTGGGCGGAGTCTCTGGTGTTCTTCATATCAAGGGCTTCTTGGCTGAGTCTCGACTGTTGTGCTTGTGGAGGAATGCCACCCTGCTGGGCGTAGGAGGTGCTGCTTGTCACATTCATCGAGAAGCCTAATGAAGGGTTCAAGCCAGTACAAACATGGATACCTGTGAATTGTCAAGTTATGTACGGAGTACTCTGTACAATGAGGGTAACTATATATGCAAGGGTACTAGGTCGTGTGTGTGAAAATGGCAAACCGGGTTTACCGGACAAAATGGCCTCAAAATAAGCAATCAGCCGCCGAGGATCAAGCGAGTGTCGGTTTGGGTGGCTGCATGGCTTCCGCCAAATGTGAGTTGTTTGCTTTTTGTTGCTCTGTAGACCGCGTTGGGCAAAACCAAAACATTAAGCTGTGTTGGCTTGGCATCGCGACTACAAGGATTGCGCGCGAACTGCCAATCAATCACCAGAACAGCAGAGAATGAATGAATTTCCAAAAAAAAATAAGAAGAATAGATTTTCTAACGTGCTATTTACACTATGAAGTCACCAGACACCATGTCTAGCGATAAGTTCTGCTCTTACCCCTTGGTGCTTTCTCTTCGCACGATCAAGTCGACCTCGGTATGGCGAGTCGACTGGCCTCTGAACTCCCGTCTTCCACGCGCAAACCAATCGATGACGATGACGACAATCACTACCATATATACAACAGACACATAGTTCATATCTAGCGTCGCATTAGCCTCTCCAAATAAACGCATCTTCTGGGTCGGAGTACTTACTGCCAACTTGAACAGGGTATACAGAAGGGAACGAGAACATAATAATGGTAAAACATGTCCAAGCAAGGACAATGATGTTCGCAGCCATACCAAGCTTTCCAAGCCAAAATGGGCCGTGGCTGATGTTGTTGCGCCCGCGAATCAGCAGGCAAATGATCGGGATGGCATACGAAACATACAGCAGGACAATGCAAGCTGTGACCATGCTGTTGAATGCAGCCGAAGATCCAAGATAGAGAAGCCCAAGAATGCCTACAATAAAGCAACTGACCGAATGAGCCATGAAGGGAACATCGAGTCTGGGGTCAATCTTGGAGAGCAGCGCATGGAATGGTAGTCCGCGATCGCGTGCAAAGGACCAGCAAAGTCGCGATTGCCAGGTATGTGACGCAATCTGACATCCCATACCAGTGGCCAGGATCAGGGATTGCAGAGCAATAGCCCCTGTCCTACTGCCCAGAGCCTGATGGAAAAGCTCCAGGATTGGAACACCAGTGGCGCTGTTCACCACCTTATCAAAATCGTTAAGGCTGAAAAACATGGAAATAACGAAGCACCATGCGGTAGTGAAGCCAATAGCCACGGTGCCCATGATGGCGATTGGGATCGCTTTTTCAGGTCGGGCAACTTCTTCGGCCATGTGCGTTGCGGAGTCGAGGCAGGCGAAAACCCAATTACAATTGATCAATCCAACCAAGTATGCGATACCGTTGGACTTCCAGCCTGTAGAATTGATAAACGTCGCAAAAACGAACTCGGGACTCTGGTGGGTTTTAGCTTTAGCTGGCACGGTGATCAAGATGGTGATGAAGGAGATAAGCGAGGTATAAAGAGTCACCGTTGCGACTTTGGGAAGCAACTTGCCCACGCAATTGAACAAGAAAGCGAACGTGTTGATCACCTGGTAAGCAAGGACAGCATGCCATGCCTTCGGTACGCTGTACTCAACGATACAATTAGTAATTCTAGAACGATTAACAGATTCAAGCGTGGAATTGAAACATACAAGTCAGGGTGTGCCAGTTGGTACATGCCCACACCAACCAGTCCCAGACTCAAGGCAACACTGGCAGAAGTGAAGATGCTTCCAGTCCACGCAAACCAACCGGTCAAATAGGAGGCAAAATTGGCATGTTTTCTAGGAGCCAGTTCGCTGGCCCAAAAATATTGCCCCCCAGCATTGGGCATGGCACTCGCCAGTTCCGAGAGAGTGATTCCAACGCAGGTTGAGATGAAAGCAATCCAGGGGATGCCATAGATTGTCAAAACTGGACCGCCAGAGTTGATACCGGTAATCAAAGAGGCCGAAATACCAAACCACGAGTTTGTCAGCGAGAAACCTACAGCCAGTAGGGACAGAATGGAGAATTTCCGAGTCATGTCTTGGGAATACCCCATAGCCGCAAGTTTGGCGGCATCCTCGTCCATGGAGCTGTCATCCTGGACATGGGGCTCTCCATATTGCTTTTCGTTGTCAGAGACATCCATCTTGGACGACATGAGTAACTATACTGCTATAAGAATACTGTCTTAAGCTGCAGTTGTTGCTGGTGGCAGAAAGTCAATTGACTTAAGATTCCTAAAAGAGATCAAATATCAACTCAAGCGTTGCATTGGGGCATTGATACTAGACGCGAGCCGCGAACATAACGCACTTCAGTTTCAGTCGCACAGGGAATCTTGTTGCATTGGGAGTTGCTACGATCTCGTTGATGGCAGTTGAGGCAACAGGGACAAGTTGATCGAGACTATTCACCGTTTTGATGAAACCGAACGCTATTGGTGAGGGTTTGCTGATGATCCTTGACTGGCGTTACACGATGCTGAGGCTGATGGAGATTGGACGAATGAACGCGAGTTTTGCTAGGGCTGGATTGCTGCGTACAGGGCGTTGACAGGTGCAATGGTGTGGGAATAGACGCGTGAGATGGGTTCAGAGCAGTGACATCATCCGGATGGCTAACGGCAACGACGACGAGGGCGCAATGGTGACCCGGCGAGGGCAGAGAAACACAGACGGCTGTTGCAGAGGGCGCAGAGGGCACGACAACACAAGAGAGGAACGGCGAAACGAAACAGAAAGAGTTTTTTTCCCGCACGGTGTTGGGCGACGAGTGAATCCGGGGTGCTTTTAAGCCTCTGTGCCGTCGGGCTCAACTAATTTATTTTAGTTAACTCCTTGACCACGGATGCGCCTCGGTCCCCACCGCCATCTACCCAGTTTTTGCCAGCGAGGGCCCGCTTGTTGCGTGAAAAAAAATCCTCCAGCCGGCGCGCAATTGGCGGGCGTTGACGTACCCTTGCCTCCGAGCGGATCGAGAGCGGCGAAGCGGGATTGCCTTCGTCGATGAATTCGCCGTGCCCAGCAGCCCAGCCGCCGCTTCTCATTGGCCATGACCTGCACTAGCCTTTTAAGGCCTAGCGAACGCCTGTTACTCAGCAATCAGGTGACTAGCATGTGAAGCCAAGCCTGCTCAGCCCCGCATTAAGTCAGCATATGTGACGTCATATGTGGCGCCCAGCCACGGCCCGTGTTTTATCCGCCCCGCTCTGCCGAGAAATAGCCGGCTGCTACGGCATGCTGCACGGCCACTCCAGGCAGATTTTACCCGCGCGACGGCTTGGCTTCGCGTGGCTCGGAGCCCGACGGTTCAGACCCAATATCCAGCATGCTGTTCTGGTGCCGCGTGGCCATGTTCTGACTCCCGTCCCAAGCGCGCAGTCGCGGTTCGTTTCATTTTGACCCAGCAGTTGAGCGTTGGAAACCGGAAAGAGGGGCATCTGTTCGGCGTTTTAGCCATCGGATGGCTCCCGCAATTATGGCCCCAACAAAGCACATAATAATGGAGTCCTCCGTGCAATCTCCATGATGATGCCTCTCCGTTAGCAGCTCCATCGACGTGGGGCGATTACTAGCCCCTCTACCCGTATGGCCTCACCACCAACCCAAAGTTGCAGGTCTAACAGATGCCGCCCGTCAAGCTTCGGGCCTGTGATCATCGAGCGTCTAACTGGCCATCAGTCACCAGCGGCCCGTTGATAAGAATGCACCCCTACGTTGAGAGGTCAGGTCCATGAAAACACCTCACGTGCCCCCCTGTTCTACCCTCTCGCCTAGCGCAAGCGTGCCAGCAGGGCGGCTTCGGCACTATGGGGCTCTGGAGACGCCCTTGGCAGGCTACGTTTCGTCCCTCTTTCTTCTGAAGGGCTTGTGCGTGGGGTTGTCGTATACGGTGGGGGTACGGAGCACGAACCGGCTTATGAACTTCAGAAAGTCCCATTGACCAACACAGGACTGCTTGTTCACATCATTATTGCTCCCATCTAAGGCAAAATTAGTGGTGGTGAAACTTACAACATTGCTGCAAAATTCTTTCTAAGTGGTGGCTTCAAGATTAGAGATATTCGCAAGGTTTCTGAGCCAATGAAGAGTTTTCGATCCACACCTTATGTTACGTGCATAAAGTCTAATAAGGGTACAGCTTTGTCCCGTATTTATTTATCATTATTTCCAGTTCCTGGCCTTGCCAGACTTTGTGAAAGACAATAATGATGAGCAGTGTGGACCCCTTGTTCCCATCTTAGTTTTTTTTTCTTTCAGATCACCCTTCACCGAGAACATATATAGTTAGCGCAACAACGAGGCATCTTTTTGTCTTTATTATTGTTGTGAAATTACAATTGTGGTCTACTGATTTCTGCCTCTCAAGAGGAATCTCAGCCCGCCCAGGTAATTGACAAATACGGTAAATAAGCCCATAAGTTAGCTGTCTCATGCGAATCAAGGCACACTAAGAAGCACTCCAATCAGTCTCCGTATCCCAGAGCCTAGAGGGACTACCAAGTCTCCCTATAATTAAGCCATCGCCGAGCTAGCGAAGCAGAGACGCCATCAAGGCAAGGAGCAACAATAAAATATTACTGTTGGCCAGTAGTGAATTCTTGTCCGAATTGCCACCAAAAAAACGATCGCGCATTGAAATACTCTCACCCACACGGTTAAAGACGGCTATACGGTAGTGGTGCGGCCTTAGAGAGTCCATGTCCTCCACCCTACTACTCCGTACAGCACGGTTCTCTGTACTTGGAAGTCATCCATCCACTCCTCCTATGGAGTACGACAGCAGGATTCAGATAACTATTACTTGCTTGGCACCCCCATTTTACAAGGGCTGCGAGAAATCCTCACGGACTTGGGCCGTTAAAAACAAGCCACTGATTTGAAGACCAAAGCGTGGGATGTACTCCGTATTGCACGCGATAATTTTCGCTGACCAGAATCAATCTACCATATTTCGGCTCAAACGGTTTCTTCACTATACTACTCTGCCCCCCTCAATTATTTTCTCTACATCTCAGTTGTTCTTAGAATAAGAAGAGTGAAATAGAGCTATCAAGTGTAGACAGTTTTGAATACCCAATAAGTCTCCCATCCCGTTCCTAAACACTAACACAAACCATTATTTATGTCCGGCAGCATAGACTGTACAGCAAACGGCCCAGGCGTGTACAAAGTACCCTCTTCTATAAATACTCTCGGTCGAAACAACACTTCAGCGGTGCCGCGAAATCTCCACCACTCACTAAAACCATGCCCAGATTGACAAGGTCTCGCGTCTCTCAACATCCGAAAAACTTGGAGCCTTGGTATTGAATTCGTGGATGGGCTGCTTATAAACCACCGACTGTTCGCTCGTAGAGATGTCTGCTTATATGTGGGTTGGCTTGACTGGCACATAGAGTCGACCACAATTTTACCCTAATACCATTCCTGCAGCCATCTGAAAGGCTCCGAAGATTTTCACTCGGCAGTTGTATAATCGTATCTGGGCTGTCAAATTTCACGGTATATCAGGGGGCCGTACAATTCAAAGCCTCTATAAATATGAAAACCATGCCTACGGCATTCTCCTCTCCTAATTGGTACTAATGAAAGAAACTGATTCTAACGATCATCGTGATATTCTCATTGGCGGTTTCCTTGACACCCGCAGTGCCTGAAGTGAGACCAATCAGCATGTCAATCACAGATTAGTTACCTCCTGTGTCACCAGAATGCCCGACTTTCATCGCATGCACAAAAACTTAGCACCCAGCTTCATATCTTCTTGCTCTATTTCCCTAGCCCTTGGTCTACAACATCCAAGAATTCAACTCTTATTCTAAAATGAACGGTTTCTATTTGATTCAGTGCCCATTGTGCCAAGACTCAGTCGATATACATCGACAGGATTGCTTTTATATTCTTCCAGTCCATCCAGTGAATGCTAGACTTTTCTCCTCCAATGACTGGCAGCTGCAAAAATACTCTGTGATCACAATTGGTGATCTTCGGCTAAGCATCATGGAATCTTACCCTATACTTGCTTATAGACAACGGTCTTTTCTCATTCATAAAAGATGCCATGACCTGACTGGACAACTTTCGCCTTCTCAGCTTCGCCTTCTGATTGATTTGGTAGAGCCGACCTTTCTTAACTACTTGGCCCCATTATCACGTTATGGCCCACATGGTGCATTCACCGCTACAGCCCATTGCAGCCTAGGACCAGTATGGTCACTCAGTCGCTTACCACAAGAGATTCAAGACATGATATTTGAACATGATATTGGACGCTTGATGTTTGTCATGAAGACAGCCTCCCAGCTGCTCAAGGGACACAAAACAGTGGAAGCAGTTCCAGAACATAGATTCACAGAGACACTGTTGACTCTAAACAGTGACATGATCAGGGTTCACCTAGTTGATATTGGTGGTCGGACCTATATCAGCCACATCTCTGATACCCCGAATCTGGGAGTTCCGACCCATGCTCGAATATTTCTACGGCTTGTCGTGTCTGCTCTTTTCGACTGGATTCTATACACGCTTGTACAGAAGCATATTTCAGGATACATCGTTCCAGTTTCCGTTATAACAGCTCTCGGATTTACTTTATTCTCTTCTACATCTATAGCACTTTTCAACGCAGGCGCCAAAATCAGCCAAAATTCCAGTCGAGATTATATGCTTGGTGAAAGCAACTTTCTTGCGATTAGAAGCGATGAAATGGGAGTGATAGATATTGCATTTCAACAAACTCATGCTGGACCAAAATGGGTCTTGAATACTTATGCCCGCCCCTTCCATGCCAAGTTATCCGTGATTCAAGGTGCAGACACGCGAAGATTACGGATCATTCGAGACGTAAGTAGCCTCTATTTACCTTCCTTTCCCTTTTCTTAAAGCTGATTACTCTACTGACTATTGTCAAAGACTCAGAAGTGCCGTGCAATCGTCCCTCTTAATAGAGCTGGTGCAGAACCGTATTTCTCCAGTAAACTAATGCCACCACATGGCTCTTGGGTTGATTCTGGGTTGCCTGTGGAGCCCAGGTATTCAATGTCTCGAGCTTCACTTAGATATTTTACACGAGCAACTTATATTCCCCTTGCTACCTTGGAGAGCATCAGATTTCAAATTGATCCGCTGGTAGGGATCTCAAATATTGACGTAAATATTTCAGATTCCTACGAGACATTGTATTTTACCAGTTTTCGTCGCCCTCCAAGGTCTGTACGATTTTCCCTCTGTGAAAGGGAACTTGCCCAGCAACACCTAGTTCAAATCCCATATCTTCAGGTATGTTGAGACTGTTAAAGCGAATCAAGGTTCCTGGGCTTTGTACTTACTTTGACTTAGTTTGGGGTAGATGGTCAGTGGCGCCCTCCCATCCCTCCCCATTGGTCTCCTCGTCAGAAACATATACATTTCGATGACCCTCTGGGGGTTTGGTGGGGCGAGACTTTTCCTTTTATCCCTATTCAAATTGGTATTGTTGTTTCTGATAAAGCGAGGCTTCGAACACAACAGTTCGAGGATTAGTTATGTAGTTAGATCCACTATACTTCGCCTCGATTAAAATATCGCCAGAAGTAGTGGCAATAGACTGTATGGAGTAGAAATGTCAAGTTCGAAATTAGAATCCTTCTTATCTGCCTACGTAATATAATATGAAAGTGATACGCTCTTTGGTGCTCGATAGACTTTGACAGATGCGAACTATTTTAGCGTCTTAGGGCGCCAGTGCCTGATCATCCTGTTGGCCGAGACTCAGGGGCCAGGGCACAAGTGGGAAGCGATGCCTGGGAGCTTCCATGTTTTGTTGTCAAGGCCGCAGGCTGGTATGGCTGCTGCAGGCAGCAGTGCTGCCATGGCGCGACCAAGCTGCTCTTGGTCTCAGTGCCACTGCATGCTGCCGCCTAATCCTCAACAGACAATCCATCCATTCCGTCCACTATATCGGCCTAGCATAGCCAGTTCGACACCATGTCTCTCGTTATTCTCACCGTCGAAGAGCTCTCCAACACTGCCGCTATCCTCGCCGACGCTCTGACCGCGTGTGGAGCCAAGTATGGCATTATCGGAGGCGCCGGAGTTGCGCTGCACGCCCAAAGGTTCCATCTCACCGCGCATCCCACCGCGGACATCGACGCCATCATCCAGCCCAATGCAGCAAAGGGCATCGATGCCGACAAAATCTCACGATCCCTCGCAACCAAATTCCCTGAGACATTTACCGCAGTGACGCTGAACGGCTTTAGCATGCCCGCTATTCGCATGCAGCGGGGCGATCAGCCCTTGCTGGTGGAGATCAAGCTGTTTGATATCGAAGCTTGGCCGGATCGACCCCAGTATGATCTCAACAGTCCGTTAAATACTCCAGTTCCTGTACATATAAGGGGAAAAACCGTTCAGGTCATGAGTATTGCATGGTTGTTGCGGGAAAAGATATTGTCGCAAGCCCAGCGTGAGGGGAGTAAGAAGGAACAGAGCGATATTTTGGACATTACTTGCCTGACGACAATTGCTGAAGTCCATGAGCTGGCTTGTGAAACTGTCGAATGCGTGGCGGCCCTTCGTCGGCTACTTGAAAAGAAACCAGAGCTGGAAAGTAGTTTGAAGAGAGCTGTTAAGTGCAGCGCTGTATTCCCTTGAGGTCACGAGGGAGGAATGTAGCCATCGATATACATTTATGCACGATATAAAGCGACTGTAAAAGATAATATATCCAAGAGAAAATTTTCACTGAAAGACATAACTATAATCAGAAAAAGCCCGAAGAACCTCCATCTATTAGCAGCGCAAGTAGAAACAACCAATTAGTCTATTCGATGTATATCCAAAACAGCCAAAACCACATTTTGTAAAGCTAAAACACATAAAAAAACCATTTGAACAAAATTTAAGCCTCGTCGTCTGTATCTGGTGGGTGGGGTGTCCCTTTGGGACTGTTCAGCCACTCGATATGACGGAGCCTGCGCCTAACTTCTCGCTCCTTGAGCTGTGCTCTCGTCAACTTCTTCTTTTTCTTTGCCCGGAATTTCAGCTCGCCCGTATCCTCAGCGCCAGAGTTGACTGCTGACACGTTCGCACTGGACACAACACTGCTGGCAACGGTGCTAGGGGCATGTGAGCTGTCTTCGAATCGATCAAGAGCGACAGCACTGCTGCCTTTATGCGTAATCCGCCCGTCGGCAACGTGCCATTGCTCAGGGCAGAGAGCGCCAACAAATTCTTCGTTGTGAGAAATCATCACCACACCGCCCTTGAATTCTCTAATAGCGACTGCAAGGCCGCCTAAAAAGTCACGGTCTAAGAAATTGGTCGGTTCGTCGAGGACGAGGAGATGGGGATTGTTCCACATTGCACCTGCAAGCACAACTTTGACTTTCTGGCCGCCAGAGAGACCGGAGATTTCGTTATGATTTGCAATCTCGGGATCCAGGCCGATGTCATCGAAATGTTTTGAGATAACCTTTGGTTCAAGGATTCGATAGCCAAGACCTTCTCTGGAAGCCTCATGGTCGTCGAATTCCTGAATCAATTTGGAAAACCCTAGATCAAGGAGCGTCTCACGCGATATTTGTGTGTTATGCTTGGGTAAGAGTCCAACCCATTTTCTAAATGACTGTCAGTACTACAGAAGTACTTGAAGAATGGTCATAAAACTTACACTTCATACTGGAAACTCTTCTTATACTTCTGCCTTCCCATGAGACATTCAATTCGCCGTGCACCTTTGCCGTCGCCCAAATCGACTGGCTTTTCCATCTGTGCTCGATCATCCGCAGTGAGTACGCGAGTTTGTTTCATCAGCACCTCTCGGTCATCGCCGTTAGCATAACGCCACTGCAGATATTGATTTGGAGTTTTTTCCATGTGCATTTCAACGTGTTCCAAGGCGTGCTGTTTGATATAGCCAATTCGAAGATTTGGATGTTTCTCAACTCTCCCGGATTGTGGAATCAATTCACCAGTCAGCAACTTCATGAGAGTAGATTTGCCAGCACCATTGGCGCCGATGATGGCAACACGAGAAGACAGCGAGAGGGAGCAAGTTGCTTCAGAAAGAGAAGGCTTTGAGTTGCTGGGATAAGTATACGAAACGTTCGTCATTCGAAGAATTGCACGAGTCTGGGACTTGACACCCGCAAGGATTCCTGGCGGGGGAAATTTGAAGTGTGCGTTGATAGAAGACAGCGTATAGTAACTCTTAGCCTCAGGCTTGAGCTTCACAAACCTAGAGAGTAGTAAGTATCTTATTTGAAAAGCTTTGACTGGAGAAATTGACTTACGCAGCAAGATTTCCCTTGTAAAGCACCAATTTCTTTTGCTCATAATGATAAATATCTGTGCAAACTTCATCCAAGAAACCGGAGTCGTGACTGACGATCAAACTAGTGATATTGGTGTGTTGCTTCAGATAATCCTCAAGCCATTTCACGTTGGCAACGTCCAAATGATTCGTCGGTTCGTCAAGCAGAAGAACGTCAGCCTTCATGATCATAGCTTTTGCTAGTGCTAACTTCATCTTCCATCCGCCAGAAAGTGAGCTCACAGCCTGCTGTTGTCTTCCATCTGGACCTGGCGTAAATCCAACCTCATTAAGTGCATTCGCTATGCTCTCAGCCCCAGCTCCAACAAGCTCAGGGTCATTTGTAAGGAACTGGAGCACGCTCTGGCTGGCATCTTCACCTTGGTTATGCTCGACAAAACAAGTTTTGAGAACGTCTTTTGGAGGGAAGCCCTCTAGTTTTCCTTCCGCAATACTGCGCATGAGAGTCGACTTTCCAACACCGTTGCGTCCACACAAACCATATCGATGGCCTTTCAGCAGTCGCAGGTTAGCATGCGAGAGAAGAAGCCGACCACCGTAGCCAAGCGAGAAATCAGCATTCACAATCTCAATCTCGCCATCGTCTTCCTGAGCAGGAACGCCATACTTCCGTTGGTCTTCCTCAATAAAATGTGCCTTCAGTGCGGATGTAACATCTTCGGAATTTGCAATCAGGGGGCTTAGATAAGGGCGCACACAAAGAGGGATGCGGTCCAGTTGACGAGAATTTGCATCTTCACGGACCATCTCAGACACATATGTTTTGGTCAGGTTCCAGAAGGCGGCATCTTCCTTTCTAATTATTCCACCATGCGCCTTAACCAGTTTTTCTAGAACCTGCAAAACGTCATCTGTTGTTGTCTGAACGACAGAGCCGGCTGCTACGCCGTGTTCTCCCATTGCCTGCTCAATGACGTCCATCGCCCTTGTGCCAATTTCGCGGACTTCAGGCAAAGAAGCACCATCCTTGACACGCTTAACGCCGGGTTTGAGCTTAGGCAGGAAAGTTCTCGCTTCGACAGGATCGTGAACGAGCTTGGTAAGATTTTCAACGACAATCACAGTCTGTCTAAGAACCTCCTGGGACGTTGTGGGCGTGTTCAGAGATCGCTCGAGAAGCGGTGTAAGAAGCGCAAGTACGGGAGAAGTCACGATAGAAACGAACGTGGTCTGTGAGAGAGCGTGTATCGCCTTCTGAAGGGTTTCGACGGAAGGTTTCTCCATAGAAGTGAGAAGCAAAGGAATTCGAGGTGCCACATCGTCATTGTCGATTAATGTCGTGATAGCGCACATAGTCTTCACAGCTTGCTTTGCGACCTCATTCTTCAAGTCGTGCATTCCAGATTCAACGATAGGAATGAGATCCTTCAATGTTTTGCCCATAGACTCGCGCAGCAGATCCTTTAGCAGTTCTTTTTCTTTCGTATCTGTGCCGATTTTGGCTTTATTCGCCATTTTCTCCACCAATTTGTAAGCTCCAACTGTACCCTGCCATTTGCCGGTGGGTTTACTCAAATATCTTGAGAGCGCTGGAAGTAGAGCATTGACCAGAGACTCCTCCTTCAAATTAGAAAACAAAGCATCGACGGCATACTGTGCAGCATCTCGAACCACGGCCCCCTTGTCTGCGAGTAAGTCTAGAGCCAGGTTGAGCAGTCCTCCATCTTCAGTCAGGAAGACAACTTCACTAAGCGGATGTTCAGAAGGAAACCGTTCGAACAAAGCACCAAGTATCAGCATGGAACTTTCTCTCTTAGCGCCATTCTTTTTATCTGTCGCTGCCTTTTTAATTTCTCGTAATAAATTGGGATCTCGGAGGCCAAGAACGCCAGTGCTCTGTATTAGGACATTTGTCAGGGCGTAGGAGGCATCGAGGGACTGCTGCGATGTTTGGGCCTCGAGGGCAGATTTTAGGATCGAGGAGATTTCGGCATCGCTGGGAGGAATGGAAGATGGAGTTTTGGAAACCATCGTCGGATACGACGATGCACCGTCCATCGCAACGAGGGGCATCGTTCAGGGGGTAAACTACCCAAAGAAAAAAAGAAAAATGGCGAGGACACCGAGTTGAGATGGAATCAACCGTTATCGCCAGAAAAACGAAGAAAATATAGACTTTTTAGAGGACCTATAAATGCATAGAAAAGAAGAAAAGACAAAACAGCTGGCCCAACTGAAGAAAATGGACAACGAGGTTGAAACGCGCAGGAAGGAGATTTTTTTTTGGGCGGCGGGCTTATCGGCTTATCGTGCTGACTAAGACCGATAAGCTGCGTCATTCTTTTGGTGAGAGCAGGAAAGGAACAGGAACCGAAACGTTATTCTATAAGTAGAGCATTATTACATTACATAGGATATTCAGTCTAGCATGGCAGGATCTTTTTATCGTTTATCAGGGAACTCATCACGCCGCACAGGTTGTTTTGCCAATGCAAACAAAGCAAAAATTCAAGCAATCAGTCAACAGGTTGGGAAAGGAAAATAGGACATAGGGTCTACGGGATGGAAGTGGATGGTGCGAAAAAAATTCCTGCCAGAGGTTCAGAGGGGTTTAAGAAGGGAAGAAAGTAATTCACAAAAGGTAAAGGAAATTAAGTAAAGGTTGGTTAAAAAGAAAGCATTAAAAATCACATCACAACGCAGTCACCTTCATTCTGCTTGTTGACTGCCGAGCGCGAGACCCGAGTCTTCTGCATCTTCGCACCGCCCCGCTTTAGATCCTCAAGGCGCTCGCGGGCCTTAAGAAAATTTTGTGCTAGAGACAAAGGGTTAGCTAGAATTCACATACCATCGATAGGGGAGGATGCCTACATGATGCCTTCCAATACCACCGTTTGGCATCATCCAAGTTCGCAGGAACTCCGATTCCCACTTCCGTAAAGTAGCCCATTGCGTATTCTGCCTTCGCCAAGCCTGAAATGGCGGCTTTTCGTGCCCAAAGATAGGCCTCCGTGTCATTCTGCTGCAAAATGCCTTCCGCCCCTGTAAGATACCAGCCACTGAGGGATAATTCGCTCTGGTGTTCGCCTTGTGCAGCTGCACGAGTGTACCAGAAAATGCTTTGGCGTGGGTCTACAGGGCAACCGAGAAGGCCATACTCAAACGCAGCACCAAGGCGATGCTGAGAGAACTTGTAGCCGAGCTCAGCAGCTTGCAGCAACAGCTCCCTGGCATAGTTTTCGTCGCGAATGACAGCATCATTGCCACTGGGGTTTTCATAAAGTAGAGCCAGCTCGTGAAGCGCGTGCGGGTTGTCTTCATCGGCCCGTTCAGCCGCCCGCTTAAGCCAGGAGAGGGCTTCTCGAGGGTTTCTTGCCTGTCCCAAAAGGGCTTTGAGTAGGATCATGCCCATCTTGTACATTGCAGGAGTATCACCCAGGGCGGCAGCCCGACGGTACCATTGTACAGCCTTCATAGGATCCCTTCTCGTTCCTCCACCGCCCTCATGGCCCATTTCACAACATACGGCAAGACGGTACGCAGATTCCGCATGGCCTAGTTTTGCTGCAGATTGATACAGATTAAACGCCTCCTTTGGGTCAACTTGCAGACCTAAAAGTCCCTGGCCATAGCAATCTGCCAAGTAAAACATCGCATGAGGATAACCGCCATTGACCAATTTCTTGATAATCTTATGGGCGTCAAAGATGTATCGCTCTCTGTTTTTGTTCCTAGTCCTTGCGTCCCCTCTGCCATCATCAATCAAATGAACGGAGGCTTCTACAAGTTTCTTGGCTAGAAGAAGTTGAGTCGCCTGGTCAGAAGGGTTACTTCGCGCAGCTTGCTGGATTTGCTGCAGCTCCTGCGGAGTAATCGGGCCGGAAGCGGGCCGAGAGGGCTGCTCAATTGACCCTGGCCTCGGCTGAGAAGCAAAATTTGATTGGTTGTCATATTGTCGAACTGGAGGCGGCTTTGAGCCTTGTTCTAGACCAGGCCGGAAAGGTACAGGGTGGTGGGGAAGGGCGTCGGGATTTTGGTACTGCCCTTGGCCATTTACATTAGGATCCTGAATACCTGAATAGCTTCCTTGATAATCAAGCGATGGTCGACGCCCGATGTTGTTTGGTGCTGGGTACTGCTGGTACTGATTTGGCGGGCCTGGTGAATAGTGTGGTCGAGCTGAGCCGGGACGGGGAGTCATCCCTCGAGTGTCTGGGGGCCTTGAATAGGGATCTGCAGTTGGATATCCATAGCCGTCGCCATTTGAAGGATATCGTGGTGCCATGCCAGGCCTATTGTATTGATATCCTGAGTTCTGACTCTGGTCTGGGCTAGCCTGCGATCGATATGGCTGCGCAGTGCCGCTAGATGGCTGATAAGCTGTATATGTGGGCTTAGACTCAGACTGTGTTGCGTTTGGGGCTTTTGATTTATCAAGAGGTATTAACGATTCTTCATGATGCCCCCGAGAATTATCCATGGCGCTAAAATTGGGCAAATCACTATCATGCTCGGTAGAGTTGAGGTAGTGATCCAGCACATCATCGTCATCATAGTAGTCGTCTTCATAATACGACGTAGTAGCTTGATGCTCCTTGGGAACAGGTGGCACATTCGGCGGCGCAACGGCGTCGGGCCTCACCCCTGTCGTAGTTGCAGGTCTGGGCGGAACAGCAGACCCACCCCGATCGGAGGAAGCTTCTTGCCAAGTTGGTTGGCCTGGGTAACGTGGCGGGTTTGGTGCATTCATTGGCATTGTTGCACTTCGCTTCGGAGCAGAGACGTGAGGGGTGCTTTCTCTAGGGGGTGCGGAGTAGGGGTCTCGATCACTAGAGCCAGCTAAGGGCCAACCGCCTGGGCGGCTGGTCATCAAAGAAGGGAGAGGCTCTGTGGGAATTTGAACAGGCCGCTGGCGGTGGGAATTCGAAGTATGCGGTCTCGCAGGACCTGGTTTATCGTTGATACTCAAGCCGCCTAGCTCCGCGCCTAGGTCCAAATCAAAAGAATTTCCACGCGGCTTTTTCGATGGGAAAGTTGGAAAGGGCCCGTCCCACTGTCGACTAGAGAGAGTGGCAGACGTAGGCGCTGGTTCGATTGCTGTGAAAGAATTAAGCATCGGCATGGAGTGGGGGGCTAAGGAGTAAACAGCTTACCAGCGTTTGACGGGTTGCGCAGTGGAGGAGGCCTGTTTGAAGACACATTTCGATGGGCCTGTGGAGGAGGCGGCCGTCGCGGCTCTTGATAATCATAATCATTGTATCCATACCCAGTATGTTCCGGCGGCGGCCCACGAGGCGGTCTCTGCTGGTAGTGTGGGCCACGCTGTTGAACAGGATACCGTTCCTGGCGATTGTACTGGTAGTCATCAAAGCCACCATAGCCTGGATCTTCTCTGTAATTATTCTGCCCCCTACCCATGTTCCCTTGCCATCCATTGCCTGGAGGTGCCTGTTGGCTGGGATATTGTCTGACTGGAGGCGGTCGGGATGGGGGGCCACGCTGGGAGTATGCCATATCTGCGGGCGGCTTCAAGGGTAAAATCAGATATTCAATAGATATGAGAACGACTCTCCGAGAGCTAAGCGCTTTGGAGCATCAAGAGGTATGCGACACACTCCTAAAACCCAAACCTCGCATTAGTAAAGTGAGTATCACAATAGGACAGCCACACATTTGGCGTTCCTTACCGGCTCGCCTCGACACAACTCCAACGTTCACGGGGAAAGGGAAGGGGGAAAAATTTCCTTCCAGCGCAGAAGAAAGAAAGCAGAGCGCGCAGCCTGATGGAGGGAAATATTGAGGTCTAAAAGATGAGTGGCGGCCCTAGCCGCGGATACGATGCGCCCACGCAGGGGCAGGTTGGGAATTTATGTGCTCTGCTTCGTTCAAAAGCACAGAGAGTCCGGGATACGATGTAACTCGAACAGGCCGGTGGTGAGACGCACCAATAACGCAGTTGATATGGCCGGAATTCGGCGCGTTGGGAGGGAGGCGGCTGAGAACGAGAGCAGACAATCCGGATCCTGTAGTTAGCCAACTAGGGTACAGGGCGAGGCAGGCGGTTAGTTAGTTAAGTAGTTAACTAGTCAGTTGGCCTGGGAGAAGCCAGCGCGCAGACTGGCGAGAGAGAGACACAGCGAGGGCGCAGAAACGGCAGCCAGCTCGCAGCGCGCAGGCTCTGCTGGCGGGTCGAGAGCGAGTCCGGGCGAGCCCAGCAGCCCCGCTCGGCGTCCAAGCCTGAGCCACGCGAGTCACCCCCAAACACAACGGGTCTCCTGGCGACGCCCAAGCTTTGCCAGGCTGCTTATTAGCCGCCAGTCCGCCAGCATTCCTGCTTGTCGACGCCCCGGGTCGCGCGGGAGCGCGACGCCTTGGTCCGCTGGCTAGTGACTGGCCTTGCCCCGTACAGGCCGCGATGGCCGTATAAGTCAACTACCTAGCGAGCTCATCCATGCCCGCCTGAGGCCTTGCGACGATGGTCAGCACCACAGTCGCTGCAGATCAGCTCCAGCCCTGCTAGCGATGGCCATCGCAATGTCCCCCGGCGTTTCATGACCTCGACGCATGATCTGTCTGGAAACAAGTGGCCGGCGGCCAGCAAGAGCAGCGTGAGGCCCCGTTGCTGTATATCACTGTACCGCAGCCAGGGACCGCGTTTCTGGAGCCGGGCAGATTCAGCCCTGCAGTTTCGCATTGAGAGCGTGTGGCCTTCTCGCACGTCTCGCAGTAAGACTCCCGCGGCTTCAGGCCCCCGACTGCCGGCGCGTTTGGAGTAGATGAGATCCATCGACCTCGCCAGGGAGCGAGGCTCCTCGGCGCGCAAGCCACACACGCGCCACACCGCGAACTCAAATTGCATCATCCAGACAGGCCGATCGAACAAACATCAACCAGCAACAGACACGCCAGCAAGGACCCGGTACAAGACGCTTCTCCAGATACAAATCACTCAGGGCTGCATCGTGTAGCTTGTCCGCCGTTTCTTAGCCGCTACTGCTTCGCCTCACTTGCCCAAATCCACCTCCCCGGCCATGGGTTCGGTTGGGAAATGGGCGAAGATGCTCGTAGGGTAAGTATCCACGGACTTCTTGCGCGGCGGTCACTGTTGACGGGATCTTATGACTAGCGGAGCGGTTATCTGTATCGGCGGCCCCATGTTCGTGAACTACATCCGCCCATCTGAGGAAGAACTGTTCAAGGTACGAGCTTGCTCCCGCAAAATCGCAAAAACAACTCCGTGCATCACCCTTGCTAAGCCATCTCCCTGATGTCTCCAGAGATTCAACCCCGATCTCCAAAAGCGCAACCTAGAAAATCGAGATAGGCGACAAAAAGAATTCGACGACTTCGTCACCCAGCTGAAAGAATACTCCAAATCCGACAAGCCCAGTACGTTCTCCCAGAACCCCAATGCGGTGCACACCCGCACATCCTGTTTGCTCCCACGCTAATACTTGTGTTCTCAGTCTGGGTTGTAGCAAAGGAAGCCGAAGAGCTCCAAAAGAAACAACGTCGAGAAGCCGCCCTCGCCGCAAAGAAAACCGCCGAGCAGCCTGAAGAAAACCCTGCACAATAAACAGTTTCATAACTAATGCCCTGCTACTGGTAACGCTCTTTTTCCCATTTTTGGACAGTCCAGACTCGTATCTCTCTATACAAAGGGCCTGGGATGTATAAGGCCGCCCGTCACCGCATATACAGCAACTATCGGACTTTGTGGTGCTGTATGGTATATTCGCAGACTGCGTTTTTGGCCTCGCATATTTTTGCTTGCGATTCGTGGAATACAATGTGGTGGCTTGGTCTGAGGGTGCGCTAAATATAACTACCATGGGCGGCGCATGGAATTCTGAGTAGGCTAACTCAGCCCATCTCCTTTAGGGCTTTCTGGCGTTCCAATCAACATGAGACGTTTCGCCATGAGGAAATGTGGGCGAATGGATGACAGAAATTCTCTCCTACGGGTTTATAGCCTTGCCAAAATAAAAATTTCAGATGTATAATACTCAACTCCAAGTTGTTGGTATCTTCGAGTATATTTCATGTATATAAATTGCTTTGTATAAACACTCCAACTCCACACACCTAAAAGGCATCAAGGTAGACCAGCAGATATCAGAGAAAGTAGGAATACATATACACAACAGATGAAAGTATATAGAAGTATCGAAGGCCCCGACAAGGTCCAAAAAAAGACATTGAACGAAATAAGATCTGAGCCCTCATATTCCCAATCCAAATATTGAATATTGAAAAAAGACGTAAAAAGAGAAATGATAGAGCCGACAAGAAGACTCAGGGGAAACGACAACTCAACGACATGTACATCTGAGACACCAGTAGTTCAAGATAGCATCCACCAAGCACTACCAAGGACACTCAGCAGAATAACACTGGTTAAAAACCCAGCGCCAACTCTGTCCTTGGTGGTGATATCACTGAGTTTGGTATACTTGGTTTCTTTGCCTGTGCCCGCATTTGGGTTTCCCCTGCTTATGCCTGTCTTGTTGTTTGCCGGGCCACCGACATAGTCAAGCAAATGTGCCTGCATAATCTCCAATGCAGACATCTGTTCTCCGACGCCGGTCGAGCCATCGTATGCAGCACCCATGGTCCAGCGTAGGCCGCAAGCATTTTCAGGTCCGTTACACTGCAATGCGGCCGCCTTGGCAGAAGCTTGTAGTCGAGGCATTAGTTTCTCACGGGTATAAGGCGCAATTCGGATGGTCAGTGCCATCCAACGAGCAAGGTATGCTTTGAAGGAGCGCTGGTCAACTCCACATTTACCGTTCGCCTCGCAAGCAACTTCGGTCATAACATCTGGTGGATCCTTGGAAAAGAACACTCCGGCTCCGTCGATAAGACCGTCCAGACGTTTCTTCCAAATGTCGGCCCCATTGGTCTATAGAATTGGTTAGTCGAGAATGGTCTGTGCGTCTAAAAAATGAGAATAAATAGTACGTACGTAGTTATACATGGCAGCTGCTGCTGCCAGCAACACACCATTATTATACGTCCATTGGATATGGTTCAGTTGGCTGCAATTTTTGAGCGAGTCTGTTCCGTCGAAAATTTGCCAAGTCGGGCTGATCAATCCAATATCAGCCATCCACTCCCAATGTTTTTCAACCTCCTTGGCATAAGTGTCATTCTTCGTGTAGAGTGCAAGTCGGGCAGCAATATTGATAAAGCAACCATTAGAAATGGTGTTCTTGTAAGGAAAACCTTTGTTGAATGAAAAGATCTGCCATCTTAGGCCACCCCCACATGTGTCTGCATCCCACCGAGGGATCTGAGAATGAACAACTGCCTGGGCAAGCTCAAGCCATTGTGGTTTATCATTTGGAGGATTCGGGAACTTATTTTCAGCGGCAGTCATGGCTGCAATTCCCCAAAAAGCCTGATCATCATTTCCAAGACTTGCTGACTGGTTGGAAGGCATGAAGTTCTTATCAGTTCCAACTTGGTGAAGCATAGCTTGTGTCGTTATATCGTTATATTGAGAGTCGCCCGTATAGAACCAGTAGTCAATCAGAGCGGCGAACATAGCACCTGCCTCCCACCAGTAGTAAGGGCTGGGCAGATTTCCTGGTACATCACCGGGCTTGTATCCGGTGTAGTACTTGACTAAACCGGCCGAAACTTGCTTTGTTGCATCTTTGATCGACTCTATAAGATATTGGAATCAGCCCATGAGCCTACTAGACAATATTAGTTGTGCATTACTCACCTGGACTACCTAGGTCTAAAGTAATAGACGCTTGTACCGTTTGGACGCCAAGTAGCGACGTTACGAAAAGAGTCGAAAGCGGACTCTTTGACTGGACAGTAAGTAACCTCATGTTTGATTTTTATCGATAAACTGAAATGAAATTCGGTGCAAAAACAATCAGGTCGCCGTGGAATCAACCATGCGGATATACGGGTGCCTCCGTCGAAGTACGCAGAAACCAGGGGCTTTGACAGGGAGTCAAAAACGGAAACTCGGTGGAGATTTAGCAAACAAAAGGGTTCGTTATGTCATGCGGAGCGAAATAGACGATAGACCCCCAAATAACGATCAAAATTCGACGAAGGTACAGTGGGGAACCAGCCGGCGATCAGGGGAGTCGAGAGGGTAGAGACCGGGGCGACGAAAACCACGGAAAGAGGAAACACAGTAAACGAGTGAATGATGATTAAAGCAGCCGCAAGAGAATCTCATAACATCGCAAAGAGACGATGCAAAGAGATGAAGGGGGAGTTGGGATCGAGCGTGGAGCAAAGACAGCGTCTGGATCGGCTCAAGGGCTGGTGTCGTGCTGCCAAGACTGGGAGGGTACTATTAATACAGGTGTGCAGGGAACATAACCGAAATTTACGGAGAATTGCTGGGGCCAGCGGTATGGGACTGAAATTACATTACACGGCGACCCTCAGCGGCATGCGCCGAGACGGGAGTGGTGGCAGTGCGTCATCCGGTAGTCAAGATATGAAACAGAAGGCGAAGGTAAAATGGGAGTACGGAGTAACTAACTAGGAATACGGAGGCAGAGAAAGAGAAAGAGAAAGGGACATGGCAGCGATAAATAGCATAACAAATTCCCCGCAGATAGCAATATGTCCCTCTGAATATGTATCGCTTGAAAAATCGAAGAATAAATCTTATAGCAGAAATTGGTCGTTTTAGATCGTTCAAAAAGGTTGTCTGTAGACACCTTTCATGGTCTAGATCTTAGCATCGCATGGATAGCAAGATTTCTCCCACATCGTCACACCCTCTGGCGAAGCTTATATCCACATCTTGGCGCACCTGCAGCACTCCATTTGTTGCCAAAGTCAAGACGTGCAACAGTCCATGGGTTGCGACAACCCTTGTGTTCTGTCCGGGTGGAAACAAGAAGGCGAACGACATCTCGGTGCCAGGCATTTCTTTGCCTCGAGTTTTCACGTATTCGAGGAAATTCACAGTTTGTTGATCGAGGTTACTTAAGAACCATGAAGGCTCGGCGATCTTATCTCGGTGCGCCGAGGGTGAACTCAGCCCAGTTGTTTCTTTCATACAAACCTCGTCCATATATGAGTCTACATCCATGCCGCCGATTATATCCATATCAAGATCTTCATCTTGTAATCGAACGCCAAGAAAGGTATTCTGCATTCTTCCACGGCCTGCAAGAGGGCTGGCGCTCGGAAGCCGTCCTCTGCGCCCACTGATCGAATTGGGAACCTGCAGATCCTGTCCAGAACGCAACGCAGAGTTTGGTCCTCCAATACCAGAGTATGGTCCGACGACAGATGAACCCCGATGAGAACTGTGTATCGAGGCGGTAACATTCCACGGCATTTGCAGGGATATATCGCCTTGAAGGGATGGGGGTGCATGTCGACCGATCTCGATATCCTGTCGTTATGAGTATAGTCAGATATTTCGAAGCCTAGACTGGCTCTGTGGCTGATAGGCTTACATCAAATGGTAGAAATGCCTCATTCTCCGCCTGTTGTCCACGAGCAGTCTCGATGTCTCTGCTTCTCTGTCGTACTCTCCTCTTGGACTCATTGGATTCGTCACTGCTGCTTTCCGTGCTACGGTCGCGTTTGCGCCTTGGTCCATCTGTCTGTGAACCTGTTAGAGCACTTAGAAGTCTGCTCCCAGAGAACATTTCTAGTGGATGAGAAAATCTGGCCATCCCAAGAACCATGCCGACAGCCCCAATTCCCACTTCCAGAACACAGAACGCCGCGTTCTTTTTAGCGATCGTGATAAGCTTGTTAGCTTCCTTCACTTTAGCAGCAGAAGCCATATTCTGTGCATATTCGGAATTCCACTGGGCCAAGTCAGCATTACTGAGTTCTGGATAGTCGTCAACTTCCATAGCTCTCAGCCGCCTTTTCTTTTCGGATTGCTGTGGGTTTTGATCAGAAGTATTCTCAGTTATTGCTGGTCGATCGTGACCCTGGTGTCTTGGACAAGGGGATTCTTCGAATGGCAAAATCGTATTCACATTTACCATTTCTCTCAGATTTTCGTCATATATCGGCATATCTTCAAGCTGCTATCACAAAGTCAATAACAATGCAGTCCTAATTTTTGTCATCTTACCATGTTTTGAACTTCTTCAATGCCAGATTTGTTTGCACTACCGATTTTCAAACTCTGTCGATTCTGACCTGTCCCGTCTACACCCGTATGATCTATCTTTCCATGGACAGATAATTCAACGATATTTCCCTCGGCATCAAATTCGAAATCCGGTTGCAAGAGAACCCCCTCCTCGTCACCTAAATACGCCGGAAGTTCCATTTGAGGCCCTTTTCTGTTACTGCTCATTTCGCTCGGCAAACCCAAACCGCCAACAGTGCTGTATCCTCCGAGCGAGGAAGAAAGATTCAGTTGGACCTCATTGTCAAACGCTTGGTCTGATCTATTTGACTGATTGTGGCAGCTGGAAAGTAGGCTCGTCATTTTACGTGGGGTTTGGAGCACAGTCATAATATCCAATGCCGATAGATCTAGGTTTAACCCTGAGAGCATCAATCCTGGAACAAATGTCGGGTCTTCAGGTAATACGAGTTGATCCCGCCTGGTGGATTTTGACCAGCTTAGCAGCAGGATAATATGATAATAACACTATGCAGAGAGCAAACCTTGCTTTTCCAGCGTCTGGATCCAACCCACGGCCATGAACGACTTTCAACATAGCCGTCATGCGGTCCCTGACTGCCTGTGCATCTAGGAGTATATATCCACACTGCTGATTATATACTTTAGAGACACCGTAACTGCGAGGGATGTTATATAATTAGCTCTGGCTGATATAGTTGGACAAATTACGGAGTACAAGGGAATGAATACAGCAAGTTTCCTTGCAACCTCAACGCCATTGGAGCTTCTGGGTGTATAATCATCCCACAAGCTTTGGGTACGTCGACATCGAGAATCGCTTTGCGGTTTATTTTCTTTGTCGTAGATTTAGAGCCCAGAGTCGCTACGAGCCTGAACAATTGCCCGGCTCCGGTTAGCAGAATGTACGGCACTCTATATCAAAGTCCAGATAGATCATGACCTACCAAACGGTTGCAACGCCATGCTCACGCGATGTGAGGACTACCGTGTAATCCACGTCAGTGCCTTGAGCTATAATCAAAGCCAAATACCCATCGTCGACTCCCCGGAAACACACACCTTCGTGGCTGTAAAACATTTTTTAGCCCACCTATCATACGGATAAGCTTACTTTACTTAGAGAAACGGTCTCCGCCTCAGTATCATGAGATGCGGCGGCGTTACATAAAAAACGGGGTAGTCAAATGTATATAGTCATGGCGATGAGGGGCTGAAAAAATAAAATAGAGATGCAGGTCACTTCGATGAAGTGAGACCTTTCGGTGGTCTGAAGGTGCACGCGGTGAATGGTATGAGGGGCGCCATAGGACGCGTACGCCCAAAAGGGAAAGGACGGGAGTCGCCATGGGAGTGAAGACGAGGAAGAGTCACGGGATACGTTTGTAGCTTGCAAGAACACGGGAATTGAAGAACGGTGGCGGTGTTATTCTTTTTCTTGGGAAAAGACGGATCCTCAGGGCTTGCTCCACGGGATGAACAGCACCCCAGACTCACTTTATAATAATAAGAAAGGGAAATATGGAGCCACTGGTATGGGCTCAATTATACTCCATACGAGGAAAAGGTATAATCGTAGTATCGTTGAAACCTGCTGCGTATTCTGTCTATACGTATTCTTCTTTTTTTTCGAATCTCCAAACACACCAGTCAGGTAAAGCTAGTTGAAAGCAATTCTAGAACATCACATAATTTGGAAGCAGAAATCATCCAAAGGCAGATCTATAGCATACATGCAAGAGTATACTACAATCATCAATGGGGAAACGCCAACTTTCAGGTGCATATCAGCACACAGACTGAAAAATATCACGCTAGCAAAGAGTTCTAAAGCCTTTCAGAGGCAAGAAAAGGAATGAAATAAAATTCGATCTAGTGCTGTTCGCTCTAGATCGTATCATGTGAGTATACATGGAATATGATACTGGTTAGTGCTCGTCTGGTATGCCTTCAAACTCTGAGTATCCGAGCGCAAGGTTCATGTTTTCTACAAGATATGTCAGATCGACCCTACTATAGGGGAAACTATTAGCGGAAAACTTACGAAGACATTGAGTAGCAGCTCCCTTTAACAAATTGTCGATTGTTGCACAAACAACCACCCTCTTCCCACTGGAGTGAACAGCAAACCCGCCAATCTCGACATGATGGCGGCCAGCGATTTCTTTGACCACTGGTGCTTCTCCAACCACCTTCACCAGCTTTTCACCGGCATAGCGGTCCTGGTAGAGGTTGCGGATATCCCGCGATGTCATGGGTTCTTTCAATTGCATGCTAATAGATTGCTATAGACATAGTCAGTAAGTAATGAGTGTAAAAAGAGTATGAACGACCCACATGAATACCCTGGAACCATACAGCGACATGAGGGATAAAAGCAACATCTATACCAAGCTGGTTGCTAACCTCCTTCTCGTGGATGTGGTCCGTCAAGCTGTATGGGATAAGATTGTTGGTAAGGTTTGCAACATCGTTCTTTGGGCTTGGCTTGGTTCCCGCTCCAGAATAGCCCGAGACACCGAAAACTGTGGGCTGGCCGGCGAGGAATGGAACCAATGGAGCGATGCCCAGCTGTGCAGCAGTAGCATAACACCCAGGGTTTGATATCCTCTTCGCTTGAGCAATGCTGCCCCGATTAACAAGTTCAGGTAGCCCATAGGTCCAGCTACTATCAAATCGGTAATCTGCACTTAGGTCCACAATAACAGCTTTCTCCTTGTCAACCTCATTAATTGCATCAACGTAGGGTTTGCAAACAAGGTTTGGTAGTGCCATGACCCAACAATCAACAGAGCCTTGTTCCGCCATGCGACGAACATCCTCAGGGCTAAGTTCTTCGTAAACGATGGATCGCTTATCGTAGCCTTGAAGTGGTTTGCCAGCCAGTTCACGAGAAGATACATGTCGAAGATCCAAATAAGGGTGAGCGTTTATGAGGTTGATAAGAGCCTGGCCCGTATAGCCACGAGCGCCAATCAGAGCTACCCGAGAAGGATGTGTATTTGATGCATTCTTTTTCCCAAGAGGAGGGTTAGGGTTGGTCGTGGTGTATTGCCGAACAGAGTGAGATTTCATACCAAGGAATGCATTTGGACGAACTGTGGTCGAGAATGCCCGTCTCTGTTGAGAAGAAACTGGGCTTGAGCCAATTTTGTTAGGGGCAGTAAATTTGGCATCCAGGTGAATGTTGCCGAACATATCACCACCACGCTGGCTAAATTCATGAACCAATTGTCCTACTTCCTCTGGGCTGTTAACTCCTGACCAGAACAATACTTCGCCATTTCGGTTAAGGCTACCCTGGGCTTTATCAAAGAACCAAGTCAAATTCTCGTCGTCTTCCTTGACTGTCCAAACCAATTTCGGGAAGTCCTTCTGAATGCTTGCAAATACATTATCAGCAACGTTAGTAAGCCAGCCAGATTTCGTAATAGTGAGTGTTGCCAGGTGGGCGAGACTGGAGCCTTCTTTCGGAGGAAGAACTATAGCAAGTGCATCCATAGGTTCATCGAAATATGCCTTAAATTCGCGTCCTTTCAAGGCCTGTATATACCTGTCAACCATGGCTTCGGCATCCAAGCCCTCTTGATCCCGCACAAGAGTCTTTTGGAGAGCGTCAAGGTCTTCAAAATCCTTAATAGATGTTTTCACGTGAAGCTTGTTGCCCCTTCTGATCAAAGTTCCTGCGCCTGTATCTGTAAACAGCTCTTTCTGAAGGTCTGCAGGATGAATGATGGCAACACTCGAAGTTCGTGGGAGGTCGTTCAATAATTCCTTCATTTCCTTGATCTTCAATCTTGTACCATGGCGAACCCACCACAATTTCATCAAATCATCATATTCCTCGTCTAAGTTGATAGCAGAAATCTTTTCGCCAGTATCTCCATTAAAAAGCCCTCCCTTCTCAGCGAGGTACACGATCTTTAATGGTTGCAAGGCGCGAGCCAGCTCCCCAGCAGCAACATCAGCATTAACATTGAGAACCTGACCTTCCGGGGTTTCCGCCATAGAGGTCAAAATCGGGAGGCAACCAGACTTGATGGCTGCCTCAATTGGCTTCTTGTTAACGCCATTGATTTTCCCAACTAGGTCGTATTTTTCCTTATCAAGATAATCCGCCGAGAAGACACCAGTCGTAAGAGGCCTCGCTCGAACGCCCAAGCGTTCCAATTCCTCAACCAATTTCAAGTTCTCTTCCAGGAAAAGGGACCTGGCCAGAGCCAGGGTCTTGCCGTCCGTCACTCGGATTCCATCCTCAAACTGCGGTTCTACGCCTGCAGCCTCAAGCAACTTGTTCAATTGTGGGCCCGCTCCGTGCACAACGATAGGATAAAGGCCGACATGGTTAAGGAATGCAAGGGCGGAGGATAAAGTTTGTAGATGCTCGGTTATAATCGCACCGCCGACTTTAATCACGGCGAATTGCTGGGAAGAAACGGAAGTAAAATGAGACAAGTACTGCTGGACTTCTCGCTTCGAGCCAATGTTACTTAGCAATTGGACAACGGTAGAACGCGTTGACAGGTAAGGCGCAGAGCCCGGAGCGTAATGGCGTCGTTGGGATGCACAGCAAGGAATAGCCGTGAAGTTGACCAAACGAGCGGATGGAATGCTGAGGCGTGCAGCTCGGGCACCTCCCCGCACAAGGACGCGAGCAGGTAGCATTTTGTCAACCCACGCGCGGCAGCCCAGTCTGTGAAATGAATGAACTCTTAGGCATGCGTGCAAGGGTCGTCGGGGCCAGGTTGCACTCAATATCTGTTGCCGCGTGGGAATTGTGAGGAGGCCCAAGGAGAAAATTCCACCCTGGCACTCGTGACTCAAGCTTAAGTGGGTGTGGGTTCATCCACAGAGCATCCGCAAAACTCTCTCTCAGCCACTGGAGCCTGCAACAAGATGACACCTACAACAGTTTTCTGGTTGCCTGGTCGCTGCTATTTCTAACCACAAAAAAAAAGGCAGCACTTTTTCTAGTGAACAAATGGACACCATGTATCACCTTAAAAGGTTGACAATGCCAGGCCTTGCCATATGGGCCATTGAAGCAAAGGGCACAAATCATTAAAGAGCTGCTATCAGAAAAAACACACTACCTGACGGTTACAGTTACCAGAGTATCATTTACAAAGACCCGCTCCCTCGTAAGCTCGACCTGGAGGAAGTTGCAAAATCCAGATAAGCCATAGCTGAATTAAAAAAGGACAAGAACACTACCAGAAAACAGAAGCGCCAAAAGAAAAAACACAATCAGAAACAGTGAATGTCATAAAGCTTTCTTCATTGCTGTACAGAGCAGAACAAGCCATATTGTATAATCATCGTCCGGCTGATACCGACAGATTTTAGTATCGATATGAGGAGAGTCGAAGGAAAGGGGCCATTTATTTCCCCTTGTTAGTGGCGACGACTAGGTAAAATTAGCATGGAACTTGAGAACACAAGTCCTATCAACATACCTGCTGGAACAATGATGATAACTAGAAGGATTATAATTCCGACAATTAAGCATATCCGCATTTTGAAATCCTTCCACCACATCTGCTTGCGGACCCGGTTGGCGCCACGGCGGAAGCCTTGTGCGGAGACAGCTAGGTTGTCCGTTTTGTCCTGGAGTGAATCTAAACGTTCACCTCGCTGCGATACTTTATTGATATTCTCTCTCATAACGCCAACTGTATCATCAATTTGCTAGAAAAAACCAGATACACATTAGTATAGTTTTAGACAACATGGTAAAAGTCGTGCAAGAAACAATGGTGGCTCTGCTGAGCGCATCGGTTTTCCCTTCCCCTAAACGCGAATAACTGTCTAGCTGCTTGCATCGGGGGTAGGAACAAGCTTTGGAGTTGAGAGGTGCATTGTTCAGGCCGGTGTACGGAATAACTCCTCCAAAACAGAGCCAGCGATTGTGCAATGTTTAACAATTCAAGAGGTGGTAGGGAACCTACCGCTTGCAGCGCAGCAGTTCTCTGGTTCCCGCTGTTGGCTGCTCCATTTTGATTTGAGTTTGATGGAATATAGGGATCGTATGGCTGGTCACGGTCGGCCATGGCTAAGGGCTAAGTCGAAATAGATGCTAGGAGAAATCGAAGGCAATGATTTGGAGGTACGGCGCTAGAACTCGACACGCTTGTTATCACGATGCGGAGGAAGAATTCAGCAGAGATGGTCGGTCTGGTGGCGATGGTAAAGAGAAAAGTGGCTGTGAGGTTGATGGCACGATGGATGCGATGATGACAGAGTGGGAGGCTGAGACGGACTTGAGTGAAGTTTTTGGCCCAATCGGGCGCCGTGACAGTACGGTACGTATTTAATCCGGCTGGGCGCGCCAAGGCGGTACCGTAATCACGTGCAGGGATTGTTGAGACAGACATCGCTGCTTGCTGAAACTGCCCAGGTACCAGCAGGACTCTAGGGCTCGTTGGGTCAAGCCCCTGAAGGGCGTTACGCTGGACGACCGGCAGCACAAACCGCCAAGTTGCTACAGTACTTGAGTTCGAAATCGTTTTCACTCATGTCACAGCATGGAGCGGAATGACGGATTTGAATGATTTTTTCCCTTGCTATCGCCCGACTTACAGATAATAGCCGTGGTGAAAACACACATTCTTTAAGCATCCTCAAAGGACGTACCGAAAGGTAGGGCCATAGTTCTCTTTATTTCTCCATAATTTTCGTCGAGTTTACGATTCTCCCATGGCAGGAACGTTCTCAAGCCTATCGCGAGGATGCAGTTGAATAACATAAAGGTACCACATATTGCCTGGCCCTTGACGTATCGCGGGCTATCAGAATCTGGAAAGATGTTTGTTCCCAACACTGTGCCACACTGGCCGGTGAGGTTGATGATCACCATGATCGCTCCCCGCCTACTATCAGATCCTTGATTACCTGGGAAATGTTAGATCTGGCCTTCGAATATATCTAAAGAATACCTTGGAGGAGGAAGGGCTATATTACCCAAATGCCATGGGCCGAGGCTAGCCATAGCTGCAAATAAACCGCTCGCCGCAACCCATACTCCGGCGTACCGGGCCGCCACACCAGGGCAAAGTGCAAGTGTAAGGAGAGTGTAACCGGACGCTGCAATGAAGGAGAGAATGGCAACCATTATGCCCCTCTGTTGAAGCTAATCGGCTAGCCAAGTTGTACCAACGGTGGTTATGATTGACACAAAAAATGGCGGGGCTGTTAAGCCTTGGGCATTCACCGCGGTGAAACCCATATCTCTGGTTATCGTTGGAAGAAATACGGCAATGGAGGCGAAACTAAAACTGCAGCTGAAATACATGAGCTATATTCCAAGTCAAATTGCGCTCTATTAAAGATAGGTAAATATGGTCTACCTACTGTGCCTACCTAAACTTTTATATCGCAAAGTGTTGCGGAAACATCTTTCCAGTCTATACCACCAACCCGCTTCACTTTTCCAACCTGTTGAACTGCTCTCACCCGTGCCACTTTCTTTTCTTCTTCAGTGAGGAAACGTTCTGTACTCGGACTGTCAGGCAGGAAATAAAATGCCACTGGGGCCATTAAGACAGTTGGTAGTCCCCCTACAAGAAAAAGCAACCTCCAGGGAGGTAGGCTCGATTTCTTATACATAATACCATCGCCAGGGCCCCTGAAAACGTGTTTGCGACGGGGGCCGCTGTCAAAAATATGCCACAGCGTAGCCCAAGCTCTCGCCGACGATAGAAGGATGACAGCAAGTACGGGATTCCGGGGCTAAATCCTGCTTCTGCTGCACTATGAAGAAATTTATGTGCTATCTCTCCAGCCCATGATTGCACCACTGCTTGGCAAGTAGCAGCTATGCCCCTAACTGATTCAACTTATCTTTCTCTAAATATAGAAGTGGTATCACACTCACCAGGCCAAAACAAGAGTCACCAGGACGATGTGTGGGGAAAGCAGCTTCCACAGAATGGCTCCAAACTGGAAAATAATATACGAGATATAAAAAAATATCAGCAACCATGTATACTGTCTCCCATGAAGCTGAAGATCATCTTCCATTTCGGCAATCCTGGCGTTTTCAATATTAGTTCGATCGAGAAGGCTCAGCATAACTGCAACATGTGTCAAACAGGGGACTTATTAGCAGATAACAAGGGGGTATACGTAAGACGAAGAGCAATGACACTACATGTAAGTCCAATTTCCTCACTAAGCTCTGTTCTACGGCAGGGTCATCCATGGCGGTTTCTACGGAGGCAACCGTCATATTAACCAGAGTGATGTTCCTCAACATGCCCAATTCTAGAATCACCACACCACTCTTCTCGTTATCTAAAGACGTTTTGTTCCCTTCTATAGTTGTGGACTTGAGAAATCAATGAAGAGCAACCTGCGATGCAACATTAACAGCAGACTCTTTCATATAGAAAGCATTATAAACCAAGAGTAAGGTCCCACTACAGAAACTTTCTTGTAATTTCAGGCAATAATAGCAACATTTAACATCTGCACAGACCGGTTATAACAGCCTAGCCGTGTGAAAACTTATTCAGCAGTATTTCCATTACACTTCAAACCAGAGTTCTGACGAGAAAATAGCTCTGAAAATGAATCACGATGGAGTGTTGGGATGAAACTCTTCAGAGTGTCGGGGTTCACTGTCGCTGTTTGAGAAAGAAACCCATAAAGAAAAGCCAAAATAGCAAAATTCTGCCTATTTGGATGCTGGATGTGGTTGCATAAGGATCCCCATGTGCAGAAAGCAACCTGTGAGCCTTGATGCCACAAAAAGAAATTTGCAAAAAGATTTTCATTTTTCAAACAGTCATAAACACACTCTTTCGCTCACAGAGTGGGTGTGTTAAATCTCTGCTTAATAATGTTCATTGCTATGAAGGGTCACTACATAATTTAGCCCTACCATGATGCTACGTAGCAGTGTTAGCACCGCTGTAGGGGGATCGCCTCACCCAACTTACCCACCTACATATTTATTAAGCCTTCTACCTAGAAAATATTCCTCTCAAATCATGAACTGATATTGTGTTTGCAAAGCTTCTTAGTTTATGCCTGCCTACTAGAGATCGGTCAAAAGGTACTAATACTACCGTTCGAGGGCCAACACGCGAGAGAGTATATCTCTTGTGACCCAAGGCACAAAGAGATGGTAAAATAGAGACCTCCTATGTACGTTGCCTTGAATAGTAACAAGCTTGTACTACAGGGTGCTCCTTACTATCTTAGCATGCTGCTATCTGGTGGTCAAATCCTTGCCTATCCTGAGCATTGACCACACACAGGAAGGTATGTACATGCAGCACTTAAGGTCGATCTGCCGGATCACAGAACATTAAAAGAACTATTGGGTCTAGTGGATGCGGTATTCAAAACACTAATGTATCTACTAGATTTTACTTTTTGGACCTGTAGCTCTCAAAATTGCAATGGAGTACATATCTTTCTTTCTGACAGATTTGGGTCTATAATAGCATATGGAACAAGACTAACAGTGTTCTATGGACAAATTTGTCATTGAATATTTCAATACATTCCTTTCATGTTTGCTGGGGAGATTTTGGGAGGTGATTAGTTACAAGTAAGGTCATTTAACAGCGTACCCATTTAAGCCCACTATAAAACAAGATACCTTAGGGCCATGTTCAGTATATCTAGGTCTCTAGGCGGCCAAGCTCTTGGGTGCTTCGGTTGGGTTTCCTTCAGGGGTGACATATGCCTAAAATATAATCTGTTAGCAGCTATGGGGGGAAAGTAATTGGAATGCACTGCTTGCCTTTGTCATGCCACCATCAACCACAAAGTCAGATCCATTGACGAAGCTGCTCTCATCGCTGGCAAGGAAGAGAACAGCTTGGGCCTGCTCAACAGCTTCGCCAAAGCGGCCAGAGGGGAAGTGGATTTCACGTCTCATACGCTTATGGGCATCATCGCCTAGCCAGTCCTGAAGAAGGGGAGTACTAATGATACTGTCAGAATAGCTTGAGTACAGAGCTGAAAGGAAAACATACTTCAAAGGAGCTGGGCACAGCGAGTTAAATCTGAATCCCTCGCGGGCATGAACAATGGCCAACTCCCTGGTCATAGCCAAAACGGCACCTTTACTTGCTGTGTATGCAAGTTGTGGGGTCGCACTTCCCACTAGAGCGACGACACTTGCGGTGTTGATGATGCTACCCTTGGTCTTCTTGTTTCTCCTCATGCTGAGAACAGCATGCTTGGATCCATACCACACGCCCTTGACGTTGATATTCTGTGTCAAATCCCAGATCTTCTCTGGTGTATCCACAGCATCGGCATCATCCGCATGCATGATGCCAGCGTTGTTGAAAATAATATCTAGACCACCCCACGAATCTAAGCTGTCTACCATAGCTTGAATATCTGATTCTTTGGAAACGTCGCACTTGACTGTCTCAATCCTTGGAGCATTGGAGACAGCTGCCTTAACTCTAGCAAGAGCCTTCTCGAGAGCTTGCTCCGAAATATCTGCCATTAAGACGGATGCTCCTTCGCGAGCAAAAAGAATGCTAGTTTCGAGGCCGATACCGCTAGAGGATTTGATCTGTCAGTAAATGATAGAGAAGATACATGATATTACGAGCAGTTACAAGCATACCCTGCAGCACCGGTGATAATGGCATTCTTGCCTTGCAAACGTCCTCGAGCAGCCATTTTCAAGAGGTAAACTTCGAGGGAACTTTGAAATCGAGCTTTAGGCTGGTAAAGTCCGAAGAGCTGGAAATTTGTAGGGTGAGTGAGGGGTCAATGCAGACGGTACAGCCAACAAGTAGGCGTTCTTATATGTTCGGTGTAGCAGGGCTTCTGGGTCGCGATAATGGTGTGTCCCCAATGTCGACAGCACGAATAACCTCCCCACCACGATAAGCTCGCCGACCAAAGCTGCCCCTCCTTAACTACCCGGCGGGAATTGCGTGGATTCATTCGTCAGTGCTGCGGCGGCAAACGCGAAGCTTAAATTACACTAGGCCTAGAATAGAATAGTTCTAGTCACCTGACGCTATTGGATCCGGGGTTAGCGCGAACCTTGCGCAGCTGGGGAATTTCCCGTGACCGCGGGTGGCGATAAGCCAGATAAGGGCGCTAAGCCGCCAACGCGAGGGCCGCGGATGAGCTTCTGGCCGGTTTCGCTGTGCTTCGGCATCTTACCGCCGAACTGCGCCTGCTGACGTTTCCCGCAAGGGGCGAAGTTTATCCCTCCTAGCTCCCGATCAGCCTCTTGCTTAAAGCCGGTCGGATCGCAACACCAAGCTGCGAATGTGCCACCTACAAGACCCTGCGAACCCCAGCTTTACCCAACATGACGGCCGACATCCGCCTCTCAGAAACCAGTCACGACTCCCTGGAGACGCTTCTCGCAGGTGATACCCAGGTCAAGCTAGCTGGAATCGACGCAGATGGCATCCTTCGTGGAAAACTCGTCTCCAAGAAGAAGTTCCTCTCGATCGCACGCAATGGGTTCGGCTTCTGCTCCGTCATCTTCGGATGGGATATGCATGATCAGACGTACTTCAGGGAGCTAGGGATCAGCAATAAGGAGAACGGTTACAGAGATATGCTTGCTATTCCTGACTTGAAGAGCTTCAGACGGATCCCCTGGGAAGACAACGTGCCATTCTTCTTGGTGGATTTCCTTAACCCCGATACTCATGCCCCAATCTCAGCATGCCCCCGTGGGTTGATAAAAACTACTTGTGCAGCAATGGAGAAACAGGGCTATAAGGCTATGGCTGGTGGTATGTTTCCTGTCCGTGCAATTTAGCACTGTGTTCAAGGCTGACCGCCCTGGTTCTAGCTGAGTATGAGTTTTATCAATTTCGCGTACCATCAAGTGAGGATAGTTCAGAACGCAACTCGTCAGGAACAGCCAGATTTCTCAAATCAAACACAGTCGCAGATCTACCTCCTTTAACGGAAGGAATGTTTGGATATAGTTTGACAAGGCCGGTTCATAATCAGGAGTATTACTACCGCATATTCAATAGCTGTCAGGAATTTCATTGTGACATCGAGAGCTGGCATACTGAGAGTGGCCCTGGTGTGTTTGAAGCGGTTTGTGATCCCTTGATTATAGAAATGTGGTCTACTGAACTAACTTGTTTTTGGAAAATAGGCCCTCGAATTTGGAGAAATTAAAGAGATTGCCGATAGAGCAGGGTTGTTTAAGTGAGAACACCTAAGCAGAAATTTGAAGCAGACCACCACCGCTAACACAGTCACTTAGGTATGTGGTGAAAGCTCTCGGCAGTAAATACGGAATTACGCCAGTTTTCATGGCCAAGCCAGTACATGGACTCCCTGGAAACAGCGGCCACATGCATGTCTCTCTTGTCAATAGCGAAGGCGAAAATCTCTTCTACCGCAAAGAACGTGACCCATCACCACCCTATCCAGATGTTGAATACCTCTCGGATCTCGGGAGACATTTCCTGGCTGGTGTGCTTGTTGGGCTCCCAGACATCATGCCTCTTCTCGCCCCGACGATCAACTCGTATAAACGACTTGTTGAGAACTTCTGGGCGCCCGTCACAGTATCTTGGGGCCTGGAACACCGCGCTGCCTCGGTTAGATTAATCACGCCACCAACATGCACACCCAAGAGTTCGAGACTTGAGATCCGAGTTCCTGGTGCAGATATCAATGCGCATTATGTTCTAGCGGCCATCATTGGTCTTGGGTGGCGTGGGGTTGAAAAGAAGCTGGAAATACCGGTTCCCCCGCTGGCTCGGGGCGAAAATGTGGGAGGTGAAACTGATAAAGGGCAACGACTTGCTAAATCTTTAAAGGAAGCTATTGTGCGGTTTACGGCGAAAGATAGCATTGCGAGAGAAATTTTCAGCGACGAGTTTGTTGATCATTTTGGTGGAACGCGTGAACATGAAGTTAAGCTATGGGAGGAGGCAGTCACAGATTGGTAAGTTTTCTATATTTCCTCTACTTCATCAGATATACTGATTTGTTGTGATATAGGGAGGTAAAGCGATATATTGAAACTGTCTAGCGTTTTGATGATATTATGAATATCTTATGTAGAAGATGTATGCATTTCTGGATTATACACCATAGTCTCGAACAAGGAGATCAATATTATTATTTACAATATTCAATTTTGCTCTTAGTATGAAGATTTTTGTGCAAATCATCCAAAGGTCCCATAGCAGGATCAGAACACGCGAGGGCTGCAGGTTGGACTGGAGTATCGGCCTTTATTCGGGAAATTGGCTTACTGGCTGCCCACATTAATTCCCACGGAAAATGCCGCCGGAGGTACATATTCTCCACCAGCTCTCCATGTCGCCTTTTCAGACACGCAGACTCCGCAAACAACAAGCTCAATCAAGACCCGGCCGAAACGGCGGCTAAATGGATCTGGGCCGACGTCACTGGGCTAGTTGCATATTCCGCTCGTTTGGATTTTACCGCGACAGCGCGGCTAGTTATATCTTTAGGGCGATCAGGGTTTGCGCATAGGGAGCTAGCTAATATAGCCTGGAGAGTGGACGGGCAAGGTAGGCGACGGCTAGACAGGGGCCGCGTCATTCCAGAGTTTGGATGCTAGCGCGAGCAGTGGATCTTTTTTGTTGGACGGCAAGGTATGAAGCCAGTCTCGTCGGGCGAAATAATAATAATGCATAATACATGAACCGGCCGATTTTAAACTCAATGACCCCAGATACTCGACGGAACTGGGGTATTATCGATATATTTCAAACGGCTATAAGTACCATGGATAATATTTCCCCACAGTTACATACAACATGCAACTGGGGCGTCCCACACTGTATTATTCCTCCGTTGGCTGCCCACGCCTGATCCTGATACGGCAACCATTTTGCGCGCCCATATCGCGCAGTGGGCTTCTCAACCAAGGAATGTTTCTGCGGTCCGCAAGCTTAAGCTAAACACAGAACATCTGCAAACCCACTCAAGGGCTGAGTCTCATATCCCGTCAATTGTCCTTAAACGGCTTCTGTTGGCCTTTTGTCGGCATTCTTGCCCGCGGGTGCCAGCGTGCTGCCCGACATAAAGAATTCGTAGAGAAGTTTTCCGACTAATCTAGTGAGTCTATAATGAGGGCTTTTAATAATAAACCAAGGATCATAATTAGGATACCTTAAGAGATTCAGCTTGGGGCATTATGAAATCTTGTTATGAGATGAAGTCACCCCCTTCACCATATCTCATAAAGTTGTTAATCAGGGTGCCACCCTCCTCCCATTCTTGTTCCCACCTTCGAAGGTTGTTCTCATCTGCCACCCTCAGCTGGCTAGCCTATTCGAATTTTCAAAAGCAGAATCGTACGGGGTATAAATTGGTTAACTGTGTCGGTAAACAAAGAAGAGCCTAAGAAATATCCTACTCCTATGAAAACGGGATCGGAATATTATATTTCCATTCTAATTGCACTGTACGGAGTACACGTACCAGTACATTCCGTACAGGTACTCCATACTCCATCTTAGAACTTTTCAGTACGAAGGTATGCGTATAATAGACGGTACTTCGTGTACGAAGTATTTTTGTAGTACATGAAGTATCGCGTCCTCCTCGAATTGCGAAAAGAGGGGCATATATATTGTGAATTAACACAGAGCATACCATGATAGCGAGCATGTGAAATTTGAAATTGACTGACAGCACCTAAGGGGAACATTCATCGACACCAGACCTTCAACTCCAATATAAATTGTTGCTTTACTCTTCATCCCTCGGTGCTGTAACAATACAAACAAGTCCCTTTACATACTAGGTCTACCAACATACAGGGTACTCTGTACTGTATATCTTGTACGGCGTATTCCGTATTGCTTAGTCATTACTCTGTACACAACGTGCCCACCTAACTGGCTCAAAGGACTCAGCTGCGGCCATTCTTACAAGCACATAATAATGAAATTCAGGGGAAATAAGAGCACGAGGACTCCGTATCAAGATAGAAATTCAAATACAGATAAAATCAAGAAATCTCACGCTGAACCAACTTGTGTAGAACCAGATTCAAGTAGGAGAGCCGATCAACCAAGGAGAAAAAGTTTTGGGAGAATTGGAACAAAAAAGGCTAGCAAAGGAACGGAAACAAGAGAAATAGCAAAGGATTGGAGAAAACGGAGCTTGAGGATGAACAAGGATAAAAGGGATTAGTAACTGAGACAACAGGAGACAAAGCCAGGAAAGCAATTTGGCAAGGACGGAGCAACCCCCATTCACCTCAAGACACCTTTGACATAACACCTTTGCAATTTCCCACAAAAACCGCAAGCTTGCAAACAGTGCTGATGATTAAACACATATATATTGACACGGCGATGGCGTTTACGTGATACGGAAAGCATCGAAGATGACTGGGACAATATTGTCAGATACGCTGAGATCAAAAATCACGGAGCATCATACCTTCAGAACCACGACGACAACCACTGCCAATCCACATTACCGTATTCACGAATGAGTACCGCTCATCCCCGGTTTCCATAGAGATATTAACACGATACTTGTACGTGTTAGGATTGATAGTGTCTGCCACATTCGGATCCTGGAGTTTCTCAAGCACTTCTTTTGCGCCAGTCAGCCAGCCATTTGTCCGTACAGCAATATATGCTGGGGGTTCATCTGCAGTCTGCAGCAAAAAAGTCGACCGGATGCTGGTAGCAAGCTCCTTTACGGTGATTTGCGAATCTTGACCACCAGGCTGCAGCAACAAACATCAGCATATGACATCAAAAGAATGAAGAGACCTGAGGCATACCAAGACGATTCCCTTGGCCCATCTACCTGCCCACTGGCCACCAACAAAAGTAATCCAATCCCTCTGGCCCCAGACGCCTGGGCCAATAGACAAAGTTGGATTCAGCTTTAAGCTCATGCGAAAATCGAGTTCTAGCGCCGGCGCCGGGAGCTGAAGCGAGCGCGCAATATCACCCTCGGGGAAGGTATGTTGCAGATTGTTTGCGGGGATGGAATCCTTCATCACATTCAAATATGTTGGGCATTCTAAAAGGTGCTGGCGCTGTCTGCTTGTGTTCTTTGCGCGGACTTGCTGGCAGTATATGCATTGGACGGACAAACACTGCCCAACAGTAAGTAAAGCGTCTTGAATATGAACTAATATAGACCAAGACTACACACCTTGTCTTCCTCCTTCGCACGGAACTCCACAAACGCAGCATGGACATCGTCGAGGGGCGGCGCGGGCAGATTCGAAGTGCTCTGGCGCGGTTTCTGGGCTTTGGGCGTGCTGTGGGCGCGGGCCTGAGGGGGAACGGCGGAGGAGGACGCCTGAGGAGCAGCCTGGGAGGGGAGAGACGGGCGGCCGGGGATGCTCTGCATGGAGGTCTGCAGGGTGGCACCGTGCGGGTTCACACCGGCAGCCAGCATCGAGCCGGTGTTCGAGGGGAGAGCGCCGGTGGAGGCGGCACTCTGGGCCACGGCGGGGGCGTTGGGCGGCGCTCCATAGCCATTGGGGGCAGTGACGCCGTTGGCCTGAGGCGGCGGCGCATGCGGGTTGTGCTGACCACGCAGGGCCGGGCACTCCAGCAGATGCTGCTTCTGGCGGCTGGTGTTTTTCGCTCGAATCTGCTGGCAGTAGATGCACTGCACGGAAAGGCACTGTTATACCGGTTTCCAGTCAGTACAGTCGTTGCGGCGGCGGAAATATTACCCAAGATACATGAAATACGGAAGTTTCACCTTATCGTCTTCCTTGGCACGAAATTCCACGAAAGCCGCGTGAACCTCTTGGTCGACAGTACGACCCATCGTATCACGGAGAGCAGCGTCGTAAGGAGTGAAAAACGAGAGGCTCAGAGGGGAAGACGTTTTGGCAGCGCGACGGGCGACGTCGACAGAGCAGCCTCGAGCCGGCAGCGGGAGAGAATACGACGCGGCGGGTGCCAAGGGGGTGTTTTTGCGCGAGAGAGTCGAGGGCAGCAGAGGAGGTTGCGTGGTGGTGTTGTCACGAATTGGGTTCGGCGCCTGTTTTGTCTGGCCCGATACGTGGTCTGTCAGAAACGGCCTCGCGTATTTTATGTCACGTACGTCTGACTCAGCGCCGCTGGCCGCCGCGCGCCGCCCAGCCGCCGCACCCGCCCGTACGCGTACCGCTGTTATTCGCCGTTCCGGGGCTTGTCTGGTTTGCACGCGCCCGCCGTATTTCCAGAACAGAACGAGCCCCGTCGCGATACGCCCGCCGCCGTCGTCGTTTCGTTCGTTCGTTCGTTCGTTCGTTCGCGCAGCCGTCCAGCGAAAGGGCCGCTGCCGGCCCTGAGAGCGCGTTCTCGCGCCCGCGGGCCGTGGGCTCGTCTCTGCACGTCCAATGGGAGCGCGAGTCCGCGATCTTCGTCAGTTGATCCAAGCCGCCGTGTTTGCTCAGCTGAGCCCTTTAGCTAGCTAGTGAACTACCTGGCGGCGCGTACCGGTACCTCGGCGCCTGCCACCCATTGCCCGTGCTGCCTGTACCGGTACTTCGGCCCTGCCGCCAGTGCCTACGCGATGCGATGACGTTGGAACGCGCCCAGTTCGAATGCTGACCAGCCGGCCAATTGATTGCATTGGCGTCAGTCAACCACCCCGATCTCGATGCCGATCGTGCTGCTGCTGATCCGTGCTGTCGCCAGCTCTCCCAGCCTGGGACTGCCGGCACACCGGCCCTTGCACGCCTGCATTCACTAGTTGGTTCCTTTTTCCGCGTCGGATTCTCGCGAGCATTCTCGACATCCCGCCTCAAAAGGCTGCAAAGCTGTCTTTGTGCTCTACGGAGTACGCAGTCCAAACAAGTCCTTTTTCCATTATGGCGAGGCTCATTTGGCCGACATTTTCCTTTGCCCAGCCCCAAGTACTTTGTACTGGACTCACAAACACCCTGAGTGCAGCCAAAGACTCTTTGACCAAGCCGCTGTAACTTGACTATTTACCCCGTGGCAACAGTCAATAAGGCCGGCAGTTTCTTGTTTCACACCAGCTTTCGTATGTATGTATATATATGTGCATAGCCCCTCGTGGAGGGGCTAAGCCTCCAACAGCACTTCTTACGGCTGCCTAAAAGATCCTTGCCCTTGCATGAGCTCTGAAATCTCAAGGCTAGATAACTCTTCACTTCTAGCCAGAGGTTACTAGACGATGCCTTCCTCTTCTCAATTTCTGCTACATGCATCTGGAGTGCATATACTTATATGCCACTGTTATTACACCGGGTGTTACGGTTCCTACACAGTGGAATCTACCACCCTTCACCTTACACATTATCTTACCGTTTTTGCCTGTCGCAATCGTCTAGGAAACATGTGTTCACAATACGCAGACCCATATTCACTGTCAATCACTTGACTTCTCGGCATCATGGACAAGTTCTATCTTGTTCTCTTGCCCTCATATTTTTTCCTCTTCACACGATCACACCTGCACACTCCTTTTAACCAGCAAACAAGTTCTTGGAGACATTATTAGGGCACCTACTGGTATTACTCTCTGTGACAAAAAGCATCAGTGTTAAGGCTCTTCATATTGGCTGTGAGTTCTTCTAGTTCAACTCTTGGTTTTGAAAAATCAGCACCAACTCCTTTAACAGACAGTGCTATCTATTTTTGGAATTTACTTTGTCTTGAGCCTTTGCTTCGTACTGAAGCATGAACATCCAAGGCGCCGCCTCGGCTCTCCAAATTGCCCTAGGAAGGCACAGAATTCCTTACTTGCTGGTCGGCCGATATGCCATCGAGACTGCATGTATCGGTGGTGCAACGGGGCCTACCTCCGACTCTTCTGCCATGACTCTTAACGTCCTCGTCGACATGGACAAAGATTACATAGCAGACGTCCTTGTTTCCTCGGGCGAGGCGTTTGGTTTAACGTCCGCCATAGGGCTTGTTTTCGATCCGGTGAGTATTTGCTTTACACCAGCAGGAGTCGTTTCTTTTTTCCTGTTTGGCTGACGATAATGATAGGATGTTGGGTATGTTAGCGCGGACCCAATTTACATCGATATCATCGAAAGCGGCGAGCCCCCATACTACTTCCCTTCCGCCGCGTATTCACCGGGCCTCAGGCTGCCCATCAACGCAATTGTTGAGGTGTATATCCTCCACCCCGCCCTCCTTGTCATCAGCACAGTGCGCCTTTGGAGCGTTGCGACGAAGGACTACAGTAAATACGGATACGTCGAAGATTCTCGGGCGCTACTTTACTGGCTGGCCGAGCGGAAAATCACAATTGCGTTTGAGTTCTACGAAGATTTGCCCAAGTCTTACCTGCTGATGACTTTTGCTTCGTTGTATGCCGTGCAGGAGGACATCAGGGGATTGCTAGAGCTCACCATGAATTCGGGGGATTTTGCGGCTATTAGAGACAATAGAATCCCCTACTAAATCGGTGGTCTTTGTTTTGGAGACCGGGGATGCTACTAATGTCGCAGCATTATGCTTAAAAGTTAACTAAAGAATTTCAGATACCCTACCAGCAATCAATATCATGTTATTTCCAATACAGCATACCTATTCTACTTCTATATACCAGTTTTGTAGTAGATTGAGACCATCTGATAGTGTGACTCAGGGCCACCCTACTTCATTCCCGAGCCAACCCGAAAACCCTGGTGATGATACCTCCAAGACTTTTGAAAAGCAAGCTATAAACCTCAATCCAGTAGGAAGTGCGGTTAAAAGGCCTGATCAAAGAAAGGCTTGAATGTCGATGCATCATAATCCTTGAAAAATGCGTAATATGTGCCCGACGATTTTGACCGTCACGTTTTTCCCACTCTTTACCAGTACGTTAATAGGTTGAAGATGTTATTTTTTAAATTTACCTAATGAAACTATCCTAGTCCTTGAAGAGTGGGGTTTTGGTTGTAGATATAATACACCATGAATCATTGTGATATAGAGTTCACTGTTGGCTCTGGAATGTCAGTGGAATCTTGTTAGCCAGCCTGTCTGTACATGTGTTGACCCCTTCTTTTATATTAACGTTGTTGATTAAGGCCAACTCTCTGCACAGCTAATAACTCGAGATTATGCCCTCGGAAAATTAGCTGGGCTTTGCAACTCAGCCTTTGGATTCTAAAGCTGCTGCAGCTTCAAGGGCTTTGAATTCATTCGACACGAGGGCTTGGGCTGCTGTGGGTCGGTTTGCGGGATCAAGAATAGCAAGAAAGCGAATCATGTCCAACACCACTTTCGGTATAAGATCCGCTGCCTCTGCTGCCGCGGCCCACTCGTCAAACCCCGGCGTATCCAGAATGTATTGCTTAGGATTATCAGGTCGTGCCGCTGACACAAGTTTTTTGGCATACTCGAAGGAGAGCTGCAGGTCTTTGCTAGCAGTAGAAGAGGGAGGCACTATCGGATTATTTTCAGTGGCGAAGAGACGCATAAGTTTTGCCAGGCACCAAATCATAGGCGGAAAAGAGCCATTGTTATCATGATTCCCGACAATGCCATTATCGATCCAGTTCAACATCTTGCCCCTATCAGCTATGGAAGACTGAAATACAGGTGCATATGGGACTTACCAGGGCAGCCAAAGACCATACATCAGACTTGTGGTAGCAGCTCACTGATACCCACACCTCGGGGGCACGGAAAGCCTCAGGTTGAAGCCAGCTCTCATTAAGACCCTCAGGTCCCACTAGAATTAAATATTGAGCATGCCATGTTTCCGATATAGAGAGATTTTATACATACTCACTCCCAAGTCTCCAATTTTTGCCTGCGGGGACGGCCCATCGACACCGGAAAGAAGAACATTCGAGGGTTTCAAATCTACAAAATTTAGCACATAATGATAAATCTTTGTTAATGAACGATAATTGTACCCGTGTAGACGAGCCCTTCTTGATCTGCTGCTACAAATGCATGAAGGCTTGCCTCAACAACGGCCTTAGCCAGTGCTGTACTTCGGAGAGGTATAACAGCAGGGACATCTTCTAAGGTAGTATCCATCCATTCCAAAGCAAGACAAAATGGCTTTTCAGCTGTCCAGTCATTGGGGTCATTGATAGTGTCATACATCTTTCGGATACTGGGACATGCATTGATCGAAGACGCCTTATGATATTTATACTCCCTAAAAAGGGAGTTTTTCTTGGAGCATACCTGAGGATCAGTCGTTTTTATAACGGCACTGATGCGCCATCAGCATTTACTCCGACATCTCCAAACATCGTGTACACATACAATTTTGTTGGTACTTTACTCTGGCTGCCAGGTAGGATCTCAGCCTTGAACACGCTGGAAAAGACAGTGTGGTCCCCAAGGCGATCAATGAGGCGATATCTCCATTTTATCCCAGAAAGAACGGACCCAACTTTCAGTGACATCTAAATGAGTGTTGAGGGGGTAGAATGAAAAACAAGAAGTCAGAATTGGAACTCAGCCAAAAAGTTTAATATTCAAAGATAGCTAATAATTGTGCTTTATCTATGTATATATATACATTTTCATGGCCCTTTATTTTGCATTAATGTACGCTAAAGAACTGATATGCATTCAAGTTGGTTGTTTAACTACGGAGTACGGAGTACAAATGAAAAATAAGAAAATACACGTGATTTTGAACCTTAATTTGAATCACGTGCATTTATACTGGTGCCATTATTAACTTCCTGAAGCTGGCCCTGAGCAACATCAATGGTTATAAACCAAAGGGTTGGATTATTTCTGCCACAAGCAATGGTCACTCCCAGATCATATGAAGTATCTCTAAAAAACAACTGGTGGCGGCGCAACTTGACGCTTGCAGCAATCGCCCTCCTGAAACGTTTTCGACCATACTGGTCGCAAGTCCTGCTTCTTACCCCCGGAATATGCATCAAATATGGCAAATTTCAACATTTGTCCTCGGCTGAAGCCATGCAGATAATCGCTTCTAATACCTCAATGCCCGTTCCGAAGATCTATTGTGCCTTTGAGCGCAAGGGCATTACGTATATTGTAATGTCTCGTCTCAAGGGTTTGCCAATTGGCAGTAACTGGTCTCAGCGGTCCGATCAGTCAAAGAAGAAACTTTTAGAGCAACTTAAAGGTTATATTGATGAGATGCGCTCCTTGAAACCTCCAGCTGTAGGCGTGGTTGAGGGTGTTAATGGCACCATGCTCTATGACCTGAGAGTTTCCAGTGACATGGAAGGATATGGGCCATTCGATAGCATCCCAAGCTTTCACTCTTTTCTTACAAATGCGGTCGAACAGTCCACAGATCAATTTCCAGAGATCAATCAATTATTGTCAATGTACCAAACCTCACAATTTACAACATGTTTCACGCATGGCGATTTGAACAGCGCAAATATTCTTGTCGATGGGGACAGAATTTCAGGAATTGTGGACTGGGACACCTGTGGTTGGTATCCAGAATATTGGGAATATACAACTGCTTGGAATGTCAATCCTTACAATGAATTTTGGCGAGAAGAGGTTGGTAAATTCCTTGTGGAATACCCAGATGCTCTGAGGATGGAGGAAATACGGCGGAAATATTTTGGGGACTTTTGAGATATCTTTACCCACGCTCTCCGCACCAACAACTTCTGATAATTATGGGATGGTCTCTTTCTTCTGAATAAGATCAAACGTCGGAACAGTCTGAACTTCCATGGCCCCGAACCGTCATATCGCCTTTGCTGGCGTTTTGTTTCAATGTATTCATTGGCAGTCTTCTCTATTTCCTCCCAATTTGTGACTCGTGTTCCCAGACTTTTCCCATCAGCTTCTAAAGACGCAACGGCATCTTTTACCCAAGTTCGACATGTCCACTCCGGGTTGTTTTGTATGATTGGAACTGCAGCTAAGGAGCGATGTAGCTGGGCGCCATCGGTGACTTTGGCAACCATAATCCGGCCGAGTAACATGGCTGTCTGAAAAAGAGGTATCTCGATGGCTTGATACTCCCATTTCACTTGACCCAGGGCGGCTGGAACAAGCACATGCTTCACATGGTAGCGATAGCCGAGTTTCCCATCCCCTTCCTTCTTAGGCCCAACGATAATTGCCCAGTGATACGTGTTTGGCTCATTCCCTCCACGCGCGTAGAGGGCGACATATACCCTATCTTTATTGCGAGTGGGCATGATCAGATATAATCCTTTATATCTTCAAAAAGAAACATATAGGGTTCACGATGGTTTAGAATTTATTTATGACCATGTAGTGATAAGTGTTTGCTGTTATTGCGAGACAGAATAATGTTCTTGTGGAGTCAGAGAGTCGTTCTTGCAATGGTATGAGATATCAAACTATTCTAGGCTCGTGTTGCATGGAGTAGGCCCGTTAGTTTCTGCTAACAACCTACAACATTGAAATAATTATATACTATCAGGAGCTCAGACAGTTGTTCTTTCCATTTATATGCACAGTATGGAATCACCTAGGCCTGAATATATGTATATACTGCACATATATACGGGAAGTCCAAGATGATTATTGATTTTAAGAACGATCAAGTAAATATGGTGGCAACTCGGGACCATATACTCTTTAGCTTTGGGGTGAGCAAGGGGCAATGACCCCGCGATACTTGCTAGCATGTTATGTAGTAGCTAAAGGCCGGCATGGGGGGCTGAGCCATGATTGTACCAATAACTACAACACTACACCAAAACATCAGAAGTACCCAACAGTAACGGTGCATCATGGAGCCACTTATTGGAGAAATTACCAGCATTGACCGACGAACTTGCACTCGCGTTGTACCTATGCGAGTCATCTGTGCCGGCCTGCCCAGAACCGGCACAACATGTATGTACATAATAAACCCAGTATCAGTCTACTAACCTTTCGAATCTACATTCTGATATTCCCATAGCATTAAGGGCCGCCTTAAAACGCTTAGGGTTTGACGATACCTATCATATGGTCTCAGCAGCTTTTGAAAATGTCAAGGACTGCGAGATGTGGGCAGACGCACTCCGTGCAAAATATGATGGCGTTGGTGAATTCACAAAGGAGAATTGGGACCAACTTCTTGGGCACTGTCAGGTCAGTAGTTGGGATAACTATAACGGAGACAGAACTATGTCGTTTCTCAGGCCACTGATAAATCTTGATGCCAGGCTGTGACAGACTACCCATCAGCAACATTTATTCCAGAGCTAGTTGCGACATATCCAGACGCAAAAGTTATCTTGAATACTAGAGACGTCAATGCGTGGTTCAAGTATGTTCATAAGCAGGCATATACAAAGTCTGCTCTTGATATTTTGACTGAAAGGGTCTCAGTTACTAATATGCATTTGCGATATAGATCGGTATCCGACACAGTATATTTGATGGTATACAGTGCAAAAGTAAAAAATGCCAGCGAAGGTGAATTACAAAGTCCGAATATGATTCGCGACCAGATGATAGACAGGCTCTGGCAAGTCAATTTCTCGGACGACTTCAAATCCCGGGGCAAAGAAGTTTTTCTTGGGCATTATGATATGGTGCGGCGACTGGTACCAAAAGACAGCCTTTTAGAGTACTCAGTCAAGGATGGATGGGAGCCGCTGTGTAAGTTCTTGGGGGTTCCAGTACCTGATGTGCCGTTCCCACACTTGAATGACACGGCGGCGTTTCTAGAGCTGGCAAAGCTTGTCCGGTACGGATCCAAAGACTAGTGCTAAATCAACTGTAGATGATAAGGCAATAAATGCATAAAATGTAAGCCATGCTATTATCGCTCTAATTTTGATCTTCCTGTTGTTGACAGGTTGATATTGCCTGTGGACTTTCTCGATAATTGGTCTTCGGGCCGATGTTTTACCGGCGCTTTTTGCCGTGGCTAGCTAATTGAGTTGAGCTTATGCAGGCTTCGTTGATACTCTGTAGAAAGCGACAGTTGAAGTTAACAAGCAGACGATTAGCATGGGGTTTGGAGGCAGAGCCATGGAATTCTCCAAGACTCTCACCGTGTCGCCGTTAGCGTTAAACGGCGAAAATTGGATATCGTCTTCTCAACTGGAGGAGCGAAATCTGGAATTTGAACCTGCAATTTTCGTAGGTTCCGCAAGTTATCTTTTGGCAAATCCAAATGTGACATCCAGCCATCTATTCCGAGCAGACATCTTGTTCGATAGCTCTGGCATGCTAAAGACTCCGAAGGAAAAGGAGTCTGACACAGTTGTGCCCAAGAATGGAACTTCGGAGACGGAAGGTGACGAAGTTGTTGAACCACTTGCTGCCAGGAATTTCGATGGATTTTACTTAACAAGGACTATTTTGAGGAGATTTATTCCCAGAAATCAGAATCTCGACCCTGAACTGGACCAAACATGCCACTTCTATTCACAGGCTGTAACTTTAGAGGACCGGGGCCTACAAGTGGAAAAATCCCTTTTAATATATTTGCCTCATTATATATCAGAAAACAAGGTCCCCTTTTATCATCCTGCAGTGCGAGCCTTGGGATTTCTATACGAATTCTCCGTACCTCTATTAAGGGATCCAGACGAAACCAAGAAAGGAAATGGAACACTATCACTTCACTTCTTACCATTCGCACCAGGTATTCCAGAGGAAATACCTTACCGTCTTGAAAGAACATTTTTGGCCCTACTTTCGACGCAAGCCCGTCTTGCTCGCAGTCCGTCGGCCACATCCAATCCAACTGGAAGTAAACCAAAGCCATTTAAGGATAATATCATTCCACAGCATATACTCCAAACCACGTATGTGAGGCTGAAGAATAAATACGCATCAACCCTGATAGAAGACTGGGTTGAAGTGACGGAGCCGTCAAAACATGTTTTTGAAGACATTGCCATAGCGGCGTTTCTAATCGAGTTGTGGAAGATAATGTACAACTCAGAACCCGGACAAAGTGAGGGTGATGCTGCAGCATGGTTCCCAGGCTTTGTCGACATTGCATGTGGAAACGGTGTGCTTGTTCATCTTCTCCTAGCTGAGGGTTATAGCGGATGGGGATTCGACGCGAGGCGAAGAAAAAGCTGGAATATATATCCGCCTACAACCCAAAGCCGCTTAAAAGAGAGTATTTTCATTCCGGAAGTGTTCCGGAGCGCCGCTCCCATCCTCTTCAAATCCATTCCGGACTCTGTGTCTGTTAATGATGGCGTATTTGAAAAAAATACTTTCATTATATCTAACCATGCGGATGAACTCACGATCTGGACTCCCCTTCTTGGTGCTCTGGCGAACCCTTCCTCCCCTCTGCCCTTTTTGGCCATCCCCTGCTGCTCGCATTCCATATCTGGTGCCAGATTTCGATACCCCCCACCACCCAAAAAATCATCAACACCAAAACAGAAGGCCCAAAAGTCGGAACAGGAGAACGAACAGCCATCTACAGGTGATCTAAAGGCTCTTCGTGCTACCAAGCTTGCTCAACAAGTGAATGGGGGCGATTTTCCGTCATCCACATACGGAGCTCTCACAGCAAAAACTATGGACATATCGAGTGAGATGGGGTATGATGTTCAGAAGACCTTGATGAGAATCCCGAGTACACGAAATATTGGTATTGTCGGCGGGTTGAATCGATGTAAGGCGATTGGGAAGTGTCCTTCAAGCAACAGAGGCACGGCTCAGACTACCCAAGTGGAACAACAGATTAAACAACTGGTAGAGCGAGAGGCAGCACGCGATGGGGGGCTGGAAGCTGCGGCGACAATATGGATTGGGCGGGCATTGGGATTGCATCAGGGGAAAGGGGGGAAGTCGACCGGCACTCATCGGTTACCCAACATGAAAAGTTAGAAATCATGAGAAGAAAAATGAGAGTACATGTAACTATGTGTAAGATAACCACGCAAGCTACAAACAATAGACATGCTATAAATCAGAGAGCCTCCGCCCTACTAACCACGAAGATATCATAAATCTAACAAACGAAATCGTCTAAGCGTCAACCGCCACCCCATTTCCACCCCTTTGCTCCAATAATCTCCTGCTTTTTTCCTTCTGCAAATCCTTCATTCGTAACACACACTTTTTGAAATCCAGCTTTTGATAGTCTGCTGGCATATGCTCGCCGCTGTAAATACACAAGACAGTCATTCCCGGCTGGTAGTGCAGACCACTCAGTAACTTTGGCGTGATCAAGAAATATTGTCCGCCGGACTCCTCCGAGTCAGCCTGGCCACACGCAATCTCGACCATGCGCTCGTGAACCATGCGTTCGTTGCGAGGGTCCATGCCCTGGTTAATCTCGTCAACAACACGGAACGGCGAGGAGGAAAGCGACTGGAGAGCCATAAGGTAGAAAATGGTGCTGACCGCGCGTTCACCGCCGGACTGCCTGTGGGAGTCGAGAACCGAAAGAGACTCGTGCTCGCGGAATTTGACTTGGATACGAATCGACCACGCATCAAAGTTGGTGGTGTCACCCAGGCGGCCTTCCTCGTCCGGAAGATCATCGGCTTTGTCGATGCTAACCTGTCCTGCACACCCAATGCGGGCAAAGAAGCCGGAAAATGCAGTGTTGATTTTCTGCACCAGAGCCTCAAGCTGTGGCTCCCATTTCCCTCGAATCTCTGCAATACTGTTATCAAACTGCAGTAATTCTGTCTGCGATTCCTCAAGCCTTTCCGTTAACATGTCAATCTGTTCTTGACGCTTTTCAAATTCTTCAATGAAACGACTACCATGGCCTTCATGACTTAGATCCAGTAAGGCCTTTGCAGAATCAATATCAGCTTCTAATTCACCAACAGAATATTTTGTAACGGTTTCCACAATGGTCCGAAATTCTTCACTATCATTATGCGCCGTTGTGACCGCCTGTACCTCTCTAAAGAGTTTCACATAAGATTCTTGAAGAGCTTTGGTTTCTTTGGAAATCTGATCGAGTTCCTGATTAATCTCTTCAAGTATTCGTTTTGCTTCGACGTTTCGATCTTTAAGGGCCTCCCAGTCAGAATGGGCTTCGTGCCGTTTGATTTCCACCTGCAAAAAGTCTTCATGCATTACCTGAAGCCTTTCAACATATTTCTGTAAAAATTTAGCATGCTTCATCAGACAAGAAAAAGTTCGCTATACTTACTGCATATTTTAGCACGGCCGCAGCTTTTTCCAAAGAGACATAGTCCTGTTTCTTTCTCATTTCTTCAACTGTTGACTTAAGGTCATTCAGTTTATCTTCCGCTTCCTTGAATTTTTCATTTTGCTGGGCTGCACAACGGTTAGCGAACACGACAGCGATATACCATCAGCAAAATGCTTACCAAGCCTGGTCGGAAGAGCCCTAAAGGTCGTGAGTGCAGTCTGTTTCTCGGCTTTTTCTCGCTCGAATTCGGCCTAACAGAAAATTAGCAAATGTGCCATATATCAAGAAAGAATAACTCACTTTCTCGCTTGAAGCGGTGGTATACTCTGCTTTTAGCCTGCCGAGCGAAGATCTCTCTTCTTCAATCTTCTTCTCGACTTCATCGAGCTCACTTCGTCGCATATCAATCTCACGCTGCAGCTCTAGTCTCACAGTCTCATCAACGGGCTGGTCCGTCCATAATTTCGCAGCCCGCAATTGTCGAACACGGGTGGAAACCGCCGACGGGCCATATTCACGACGACGAATGACTTGGTAGGACTCAGTTTTCGAAATCCACATTGAAATCGTGCTGTTCTCCAGATGCTGGAATTCACTGTCCGTAATGTCTCGAAGCATGATGGGGGTGGTATGAAACTTGTTCTCGCTGAAAAGCATGGCTAGGACCGGCTCGGGCCCAGCGACGTAATCGCTCGCCCAGCCATCGAAGTTTAGTTCTTTCAGTTCCTCCCTTGAAAGAGGGGATCGCAAAGACGACAAGGTAACACTTGAAGTCTTTATGGTAATGTCATATAGACCCTTTTCTCTGTAGAGGATCCTTTGCAGCGTAGCGAAGTCACGGCGAGTTTGTGTAGTAATTGTGCAAAAGTCATTTCTTTGCATCAAGGATTCCAACGCTGAAGCGTATCTTGGGTCTTTCACAGAGCATACGACCACTGGAGGCCCAAAGACAGGTTTCTCGAAAAGCTCTTGGTTTTTCTCCTGTTTAAGCCACTGCCACGCCTCATATGAATCCTCAGAGAGCTTCCTTAACTTTTCTTCTTGCTGGCCATCCTGGGAGTCAAGATGCTCCAGCCGACGCTTACACGTATAAATGGCTTCCTTCTTTTGATGAAGTTCACGAGCGGTATGCTCTTTCTGTGTTTCTATGGCAGATGCCTTTTGCTCGATCTCGTTTAGTTGTCGGGCTCGATCACGCTGGAATGGAATCAGTCAAGGCCAGTGAATAATGCCAACCCACCCTCAGGCAAGGGTGAAAATACATACAATTTTCTCTGTGTAGAAAGACAGATCAAACTCGGGTTCTCCTTCTTCCATCTGACGTTCGATCCGGTTGATAGACTGTTTCAATCTCCTGAGGTCAGCAACATAGGAAGAGCTAGCTTTCTTCTCTGCTTCGATATTCGCCGTGAGCTCCTTCATTTTCTCATCAGTGTTCAAAATACCCTTGAGGTCATCCCTGGCAGCTTTATCCGTTCTTGCGAATTGTTCTTGTTTCCGCTCGGATGCCAGCCTAAGTTTTTGGTGATATTCCTTTTTTGCGGCGATGATATCCAAAATAGGACTGAGCTCTTCGGTTATTTTGGCTTTCTTTTGAACAATAAGCCGTCTACGTTCTTTTACTTCAGTTTGTTTGCTTTTAACCTCGCGACATTTTGGAAGAGGTCGTAAGGCTTCAAGGTATCTCAAGCGCTTTTTAGTTTCTTCCCTTTGTTTCATTCTCTCGACTGATTCGCGTTGGCCTTCTTGTCGCCGTTCTAAGTTCTGCAGAGTTTCCCGCTGATGTCTATTTGAGGCTTGGAGTTTCTTCTGTCCAGAGCGTAATTCTTTCAATTGCTCATGCCACGTACTCAATTCACGCGAGCCGGCCGCTCGCTGTGTCGATTGCAGGAGTTCGACGGGGGCCAGAGCAGCAAATTGGCAAACCTTGTCTTGAGGAAGGAATTGACAAAGGTTGTCGATCTGAATAGATAGCTGCTTTGCGAGCTTCCGAACAGCCTTCCCAGGAACTTGTTTCCCATTAATTGTGTAGACACTTTTATTCTCTCGCTTGATGACTCTTGTGATGACCAAATTGCGCTGCCCTGGTTCCCCGGCAAGTTCGATTTCAATTGTCGCTTCTTTGCAGCCATGTTTGATATATTCAGCTGCGTCTCTTGCACGTCCCAGATGCTATACGCCAGTGTGTTCTTAGCATAAATCCATATCAGAGAACGGGGGCAAATTCGCACCTGCGGGCCTTCCCCCAATCCTAAACATATTGCACAAACCAGTGTACTCTTGCCAGTCCCATTTGGCCCAATTACCATGTTCAACCGCGGGCCCGGCTTCAGCTCAGCGGACTTGTATGTGACGAAGTCGGTGAGCTTAATCCGGACTACAGCTCCGGGACGATAGGTATCCAGATCGGCACCCGCCTGGACGGCAGCAACGCGGGTTTGAGCAGAAGACACTTGGGTCTCCGGGACCGCATCCACGGAGCCAGATGGCTCATCGTCGTCTTCGTCACCGTCATCATCATCATCATCATCGTCATCATCATCATCCTCGCTCACTGAACTTGCCGCGTTGGTGCGACCAGGCTGGGGTGACAATCGCACGCGTTTGGCTCCATTGGTGGCCTGCAAGAACGAGTCATCCTGCCGGGAAGTGTCAGCCTCTGAATCTGAGTCCACTACCCGGCGCTGGCGACGAGGTAGGGAGGCCATGATTCATGGCGTGCGTAGGTGGCGATGGGGTCGCGAAACGACACTTTTTTTTGGCCTGGTGGTCAAACGTTCTGGGGCACGCGGGTTGACGCGTTAATTACTGGGCCTTGGCGTCTCCTGCTGAGTCATCCTCTATCCTCTTTGTTGGTCTCATCTGAACATGATCTGAACAGAATCAGTCGTGCACTTCCTGGACGTGGGTGCAGCTATAGATGTATCTCCCGATTCAAAATTCGCAAAATTTGTCCATACTCCATGGTTCGCGTAGATGCGACTCATCATTTACGAGCATTGTGCTCATTATTATTGAAGACCTCTGAACAGAGTGTCCATCAAGTCTAGCCCAAATGACAGAATAAGTCTTGTCTCTGGAGCCACTTCCGTGCGCCCGGTCCATATGTATGTCCATCCATCCATCCTGACACCCATGCTCATCTAAAAACGGCCTCGTGGTAGCACGCCTTTCGATCGATTTCAGCGTAATTACAGGTGCACTTCGTGGCCCCGCTTGACCCAGTTCTTCCAAAGGTTATCGCGAAATGTGTCTGGTCACAGTACGGAGTACCAAAAGAGCAAACCGCATGCTCATGTCTGTTCTACGGACCATTCGGTATTCCTTCCCTGAGGCTTTGGTGCTCTCTCCTACAATTGAAACGGAAATGGCTGGTTTAGAGCTATAAGTTTTATTGAGCCATTGTCTCGTACCTTGAAAACAGGCTTTTGAACCTTGCAACCGGGGGAGCTTAAACTTCACTCCTTGGCCAAGGACCGTGTCTCTATTATATAATGAAGTATGTAATGCCTGATATCAACAACGCACGCTATGCGCAGCACTGCATGAGTACTCGGTTCATCGCCCAAGGTGCCAGCAGGAGCGAAAAGGCTTACGTATGCATGAACGTACGGGGTACAGGCAAATGTACGGAGCACTCGGTATATAAGTAACCCTTTGAATCTTGTTTCTGTTGCTTGGGCCCTTTGATTCTCCGTGCTACCGGTTGAGAGGCCGGACGGGGACGGATAGACCCAATGATGATGCTCCTGCGGATGCCATACACAAGAATCTTTATCCGGGACACCACAGTCCTCCACGGATATTGACGATGCTAGAATCCTTTCCTTTGCTTGATCGCAATTGGCATGCCCCGCTGTAGGCCCAAGCGTGTCCCGCGCGCTCCAATGACGACGGTCAACAATCATAAAAACTCCGGCCACAGCATTCGCTCATGGAACCAGCCCAAAATACTCCGTACGCGCGGTGCACGGAATGGGAGGCCGGAGATGACAGGCGCGCACGGAGTAAGCCGAGTGGGATCGCGGGTTCGAAATAATAATATACCAGGAAGATGGTTGGCTGATCTCTTCTTGGCTGGATATGGTGGTATTCGGGCGGCGTGGCAGCAAGCACGAAAAGGCAAAAAATTAAAATGAACAGAGCTCCAGACCCCCCAAACAGCGAGGAGGTCCAGGCCGAGTATGGTGCGCTTGGCGCGACGGTCGGCAATGCTTGTTGACGATTTGATGGGGGGGGGAATGAGAGGATCGGAGGCGGCGGTGGCTGGCTCAATCTCACATGCGGTAAATAACATAACTAGCGAGTCGCTGGGGGGCGCCAGGTGCGCAGCGGTGCCGCGTTCTGCGCAACGAGCATTCATCCATCGAGCGGCAGCGGGAGGCGCGTGAGTCGAGGGAGCCGGACGATGGCTCGCACAGCCACCGTCGGGTGGTGGTGGTGGTGTAGCATGAGAAGGGAGGCGGAGGGCGCGCGCGGCTGCAGGGCCCGTCGGGGGCGCGTTCACGGGCGGGCGGGCTCTCGCCTGAAGGAAGTGGCTGCTGAGTCAGGGCGATCCGGGGGGGGGGGAGCGGCCCAATCAGCCACGATTACGTCGGTGGGAGGCGAAAAGCAGGAAACGCCCCGCCGCGCTAGGCAGATTCAGGATCAGGCACCGGGCGCGGCGACCCAATCAGCGCGGGGCTCGGCGCCCCCCCAAGCCGGGCTAGCGCGGCCCACCCGTCGGTAAGATTACGCAGGATCCGCGTATGCAAAACAGGGCAGCCAGACAGCACGGGCCAGGCCGCTAGTACGGGTAGGGAGATAGCTCGCCGTGGGCGTTGGGTGGGCGGTGAGGAGGCATCGGGCGATGCTGGGGGAGCCGCGAGACGGCGTGGTGGTGGTGGTGGTGGTGGTGGTGGTGGTGGTGGTGGTGGTGGTGGTGGTGGTGGTGGTAGTGGTAGTGGTGGTGGGCGGCGGGCGCTGCGGTTGGGGTGGATGTGCGAGTACTCCGTAGTTAGTTATGGGATCGGTGGATGGATGGCGGACAACAATCAATCCTGGCGGGCCGGAGCATACCAGATCAGCAGCGATAGACAGAGTCGCTGGTTACATATAGAGCTGGCGTCCATGCGATGAGAGAGCAGTACTCCGTAGCTGTTCGAGAACAGCCAGGCAGCACGCCAGAGCCGTGCCCGCTCCGTACCCTGAGACACCGGACAGCTGTCATTGCTGCCCCCATGGTTCCTCCGGGCGTCGCGGCCAGCACAGCTGCACACCCGACTGCCAGACTCAGTCGGCGCCCAGCTGGTGTTTCGCTCGGCGCGCGCGCTGGTGCAAACAAAACCGGAGCACCCAAGCACAGCACCGGCTGGTACTGGTACTAGTGTTTTACGCACGGGGCGCGAGTGTTCCTCCGGCGGCGGCGACGGCGCACGCAGGAGCTCTCAGCTGCGGTGGTGGCGGCAACAACATCCCCTTCTGGGCGCGCGCCGTGAGCTCGCTCGCCGTCTGGTCTCCACCGTTGCGGTCGCCAGCGGTTTCGGCTGCGTGCACATCATCCTCGCCGTGTGCTGCTGACCCCCCTATCCCCCGACGAGACGACGACGACGACGACGCGTTGCGGCGAAGCGGCACGCTAACTCGTTAGTCGCACGGGTGGCCACAACGCAGAAAAAAAGAATAGAAAAAGCAAGTCGCGACGCGGATGAGGGTCGACGAGCAAGCCCCGGCAGACAGATATAGCCGCCCGTCACGACGGGCGCTGGCGAGGACCGAGCTGCGAGAGTTCGCCGGGCCTGGCGACGGCGCGCGCCCACACCCGCCGGCACCCCTGCGCGCGCGTCGACTGAGGCTGCCCGACTGCGGCCGCGTTCGCAATAATTATAATAATGCCTGTGGCCGCGGCCGTCGAGACGTAGTTCGTCGTAGATCGTTTCCGGCTCCGCCAGCACCCGTTGCGGTTGGGCTGCGCGCAGCACTGCTGCTCGGGGAGAAACAGGAGGCAACAGGCTGTTAAGCAGTGACTTTCGCTACCTGTTACGTACGTTTCATTTACGGGGCCCTGTGGCTGGAGCCCGCCCACCCGCGCGCGCCCTAAAAATACACGATTACACGCCGGTACGCGCATGGGCAGGTATTCCGCCATCTTGGCCCAAGCCAACTCATCCCCGTCGTCCGTTTTCCCTCCTCCATCACCACCAACCACCAACCACCAGCTTCACCTCCGCCCTCCTCCATCTCTCCTCCATCACCCGCCGTCCGCCGCCCGCTCCCCGCCTCCCCTCCTCTCCCTCCCTCTCTCTTCCTCTCCCTCCCAGCCTGTGGCTTCGCGAGTCTGCCGCTCTCCGTCCTGCCGTCCCCGCCCGCCGTCGCTTGCTGCCTCTCGCTCTCTCTGCCTCCCACAGGCCCGCTGATGACAGGAGACCTGTCGGGCTCTGCCTCTCGTTAGACCTTACTTGACCTCCCACTCAATCCTGGCCCTCGCGCCCATCCCATCCCATCCCAGCCTGCCACGCCTGCTTCTTCGCGCGCTCTCTTCTTCTTTTTTTTTTTTTTTTTCCTTCTTCCTTTCTTTCTTTCTTGTTTCTCCTTTTTTTCCCAGCTCGTCTTTCGCCACGCCGTCGCTCGTTTGGCTGCCGACACCTCTATGCTCGTCGTCGAGACCACGCCGCTTCTAATCTTCTAATTCACAACCTGCCGTGCTTAGTCGTAGTACCTCTGCCCGACCGAACACCAAAGCCTACGCACACGCCGGCCCGAGTGCCCCGTGGTTGTTGCTTCCCGCAGTCGCCCGGCAGCTTCTCTCCGCCCTTCATCGACACGCTGGATAGCTCCTACTGACGCCTGTGCATGGGTCCAATGGCTGCCTCGCCGCCCCGACTCCGCGTCTTGTCTGGTATGGTACCCTGCTTGCTACTTTTCTTCACCCTTGTGTCTGCCGTGTCTTTGTTTTCGCTGGGTGCTGAACTCGCCTCGCCACCCTCCTCAACTTCGAGACCACCTTTTTTCTTTACTTGCTTTGATTGCCTTGAATCCCAGATGGTTGTGAAACTGATCAAATGCCTTGTAGTGGGGGGTAATGCGATCTCCGCCTTTCTGTCGTGGAGACTGCAGGCTACCAATGCCTGCGATGTGACTCTGGTCTGGAAACAAAACTATGAAGCCGTGGCGCAGTATGGCATTACATTCAAGTACGAAAACACCCTGTTGTGTGCTGGAATTCGATGAACTGACTTGTTGTCTGCCTCAGATCAAAAGCTTTCGGGAACGAGCGATTCAAACCTCGCTACGGTATGAAGCATCCTGACTGCGTCCACTGTCGGCAAAATACTGATTCTTTGCAGTCATTCGCAGCACAGATGAAGCTCCCTCAAGGGAGCACTCGTATGACTACGTCATTTTGTGCGTCAAAGCTCTCCCCGACCTGTACGATCTCGGCGACATCATCCACTCCGTTGTTACTCCGGAACACACATGTATTCTTGTAAACACTACAACCACTCTCGGCGTGGAGTCTGAGTTGGAGCATCGCTTCCCTACCAATGTCATTCTCTCCCTCGTCTCAGGGGTTGACATCGTGCAAACCGGCCCCAGCGAATTTGAACACACCGCGTCTAGTGACCTCTGGGTTGGCCCTGCTACTACCACTGCCTCCATCCCAACAGCAATTCAGAATGATATGGCTACCGCTCTGTCGATCACATTGAGCACCGGCCAGGTCAACTGTAAAGTTTCTCAGAACATTCGACAACAGCAGTTTGAGCGAATGATTGGGTAAGCTGTTTTCTTTCCTCTACTCAACCGTGTTCACACTAACTGGGAATTTTTTCTAAAGACCTATTGCCTTTCACCCTGCGAGCGTTGTGTTTGAAACTGCCAATTATGCCCAGCTTCTGAAGAAAGTTGGAGTGCAGCATCTGATATCCGATGTTATTAACGAATTAATGAGTCTCGCTCAAGCTCTTGGCTGTACTTTTTCTGAAGATTTTAATGAGACAACCATCGCAAAAATGACCGCTCAGCCCGAAAATCCCAGTACCATGTACCAAGATTTCTTGGCCCGTCGACCCATGGAGGTAGAAACCTATCTCGGATCCCCAATCAAGCTCAGCATTGAACATGGCGTGAAAATCCCCCGAATCGAAACACTCTATGCTATGCTCCATCACATCAATACTGTCAACCAAACCCGCCCGGCCCACGAGCCTGCCTCGCCTGTTGCAGCCCATCCTCCTCGCATGTCGTCTGCTGGCCGTCCTCCTATGAATGCACGTGGTGGCGCGCGAAATTATTCCTCGCCACAGGGAGCGCCTCAGCAAAGACGCGCTGCTTCGTCGATGGGCAATCACCGGCCGCCTAACGGCCATCCTCCGCCCCGAGGTCCACCCAGCCAGCGCGATCCGTCAGCAGAGGATCATGGCCTGGAGGAATTCAGCCACCTTGTTCTCTACGAAGACGCACCTGACGAATCACTGCCACAGGCCAACAATCACGCTGGCGCTACTCCCAACGGAACACCTTCCACTGCCGATCTGGCACTCAGAGAACGCGAACTGAGATTACGACAACGAGAGCTACAGCTGAGAGAGCAGGAGTTGAATATGCGACGTAGTGCACCTAGCAGGAGAATGTCAACGGCTCGTGACAACTTTGACGACGGTGATGATGGCGAATATTTCGACGCCCCCCCGCCAATGCCTCAAATCGACCCTGACAACTTTGACATGATGAGCGTGACTTCCCGGAAAAATAGAAAGGTAGTGAATAATAACGCCGGGCAGTTTCGCAAAAATCCAGAAATGGGCACCTCCCGCCCCCCTTCAGCATTTAGCCGCGCCTTCGGCATGAACAGAAATCGCACCAGTGCTCGAATTGTCGAAGAGTTTCCAGGAGCGCATGACGCATTACTTGATAATGCCATGCTCAACTATTCATCAAATAGATATGGAAATGTTGATAGAAGGGAGATGCAGGCCGAATCGCGAGCGAATTCATTGACGGCGAATCGGATTAACGAACTCGGCCAGGCAGTCGGACACGGGCCATATCCTCCGCCGAGTAGACGAACAAGCCAGTCCCCTGGCCACAGCTTTAACCCGGCCGGTCGCGGCATGGGCCGCAACGCAAGTGCGATGGATGGTTTCAACGGAACCCCGAACGGAGCGCCTCCTCCCAACCGCCGAAGCCCACCGGGAATGATGAGAGCCCCAATTCCAAGACACCCTCCTGGGCAGGGCAATGGCATTATGCCGCAGCAAGTCGAACAGCATGTTGGGGTGAGCAACTCGTATCCTGCCAAAGGGCATCCAAACGTTCGAAGTCTGACAGGAAGTGCGAGCGCTAGCGCGGGGAGTGGTGATAGCGGTGCCAGTGCGAATATCGATTCCGGAACGTCCGCTCACAGCAGCCAAAGCAGCCTGCGTCCACATCCCGCTTTCCGGAAACCGAAGGCACCTTAATCGGCTCGCGGTTTGCGCCTCGCCGAATATTTTTGTTTTCCGAACGACTGCCTCCATATACGTGCTTTTCCTTTGACAATGTTTTCGTGGATATGGCCATATCATCTGGATTCGCATCGCTTATCCTACCACTCTAATTCCGGTTTCTGCCTGGTTTTCCATATATTTTGCAAGCGGTCGATTTTCCTACGTTCTCCATCGCCGTCTGGACGCCATTCACCTGCACTTCACCTGACTCTGCTCTCCCTCTGACGGGGCGACTGAGCTTTACCAGGACGGATTCTAAATTGAGGCTCTTTTGCCGTTCATGCGACTTACGTGGTTGACCTGAATTTTTTTTATACAAAAAATGACCCTTGTTTCCCTTCTTTATTCCGGTCTTAGCTTCTCTTCAGTGTTCTCATGTCCGGCTTTCCTTACAAGTTCTCATCCGCATCAATCTCTATCTCTTTTTTCTCTTAAAAAACTTGTGTAACCGTCTGCATCTTCTAGCTTGCTGTTTTTCCTGATCCACTTTGCATACCTGCGGCGCTCGACAGCTTTGCTTTTCCTTTTGCTTCTCCCCCTTTTTTTTCAGAGCTCCGTGCCAGCCATACGCACAATAAATAATGTTTCTTTCTTCCAGCTTCTTCCCAGCCGCGCTCTGTCTACACTATTATATTCAAATGCAAGCCACATCAACATTCTTGCCTCGGCCTGCTCCGGATTAGGGGATATGGAAATCGTGTCTGGCGCAAGGAAACGATGGGAAAATGAATCCGGTGATGGGCTAATGTTGTGTTTCCTTTTTGCTTTCGGGTGGCTGATATCATGATAGAAAATTGGTGGTACGGATACGGACCTTGCTCCTTTGTTTTTTGCTCTCCCCTTTTTCCCCCCCGACCTGTCGGTGTCAACCATCATGGCCTTTTGTTCTTTTCTCCAAACATGTCTTCTTAGTTAATTACAAAATCGTTTAATGGATGGACCCTGTCGCATAATCATCGCTCAACGCTTCCCAACCGTGCTTTTCTCGTGGTCCTTTTTTTTATCTTTATTTTTATCTCCGCTGACTCTGAGTCGGGCGATTTGTGCTCGCAACGGGTGATCACCGGTCACCCTGCATCGACACGCGACCATGCATTATAGGGGGTGGCTGCCGGGCATTTGGTCTCGGGCCGAGTCACAGCCTTCCGGAGTGGTTTCGAATATTGAAATGTGAGCGGGCGTGCGCAATGCTGCTTGCTGGCTTGTGCAGCGACCCGGCGCTGTGATTGCTGCGGCGATCGCCAGCCCGGTCCGTCCGTCACAGCGGCGCAAGTTTGCTCACGGCAAAGCGCGGGCCGGGCGGGAGGCGACACGCTCGACCCAGCGTAACTATATGTGCGATTCACGGCGCGCAGTCTGCGTTTGAAATAGGCCTGGAATACGGAGAAATATCAAGCCTGTATTATGGTCTAGCGTCGATCTTCTGGCCCGGAATCTCTGTCTCTACCAAGCGGTGTGTTGTTACATATATCAGTGGGATAGAAAATCAGGACGCAGAGGGACAAGGGCAAGCAAGGTCGCTCGGAAGAAACGGTCTCAAGACAAATCATGTGCGACAAATTAATCAAAGCGGCAGGAAAATGCGCTCCCGGTGTCATCGAGCATGAACGACGTCCGCTAGAGTATCTAGCTACAGAGCATAGTCACATACCCGTCACCACCCGCGGTACCTGATCCCCGCCGTAAACTTGGCTCGTTGAAATCCGCATGGCTCCAAGATCTCCTTCAACACTGGCGTCCACCATTCTTCATGACAGTCGTGGATCACCGTGGCCAGCGCGTACTCCATGTACTCCGGGAAGAAGCCGCTGTACTCCCAGTCCACCAGGCCCGTGATCTTCCCATCTGCTACCATGATGTTGCGAGCCGCCAGATCGCCGTGCGTGAGCACAAAGCGCCGCTGCTCGCCCGTCGTCGCGCGCCAGCGGCGAAGCCACCCGCTGCAGACACCAGTCGTCAAACGCCTCCTCGGTCTCGAAGGGTCCCATGAAATTAAATTCCAGTCGATCGTAGAAATTCAGCGTTTGCTGCCGGCCCAGCCGCCCGATAAACGGCTGAGGGCACGTCCTCATCAGCCGGATCTGTTCTTTCAGCTGCGTCTTGATGGAGCTCTGCTGTGCCCTGGTCATGGTGGGCCAGACTTTGTCGAGCGACTCGCCGGCGAGGATGTTGGTGACCGTTGTGGTGATTCGCGGTGGAATGTCGTAGCAGCCGATGACGCGCGGTGCGAGCAGGCCTGGTTGCTGCGAGGCGAAATGCATCATCTCGGCCTCGGAGCGCGCGAAGTAGGCCGTGGGCTTGACCTTGACGGCCACCAACTGGCCGGCGGTTGTTTGCGACTCGACGACGCGGTTGCCATGGAAGTTGTACAGGTCGCGGCCCTGCACGGCGAGCTCGTACTCGGAGGGCATGCTGTTGGGCGTGGGCTCGGGGGAGGTTAGGTTGATGTAAGATGTGGCTTTGATTTGGAAGCAGTGGGCGTGTTGATATCGGGCCTCGATTTGGTTTCTTGGATGGAATCATGTCTGCCTAGTTAGTTAGTTGCTTGGGGCGGGTATCCGTCACTGCAGCCTCCAGCCACTGGATTTCTTGATTCTACTCTAAGGGATGCATGCATAATGAGCTTACGGAGCACTTACACATACATATAGTTACAAGGGAATAGTTAAGCACGAGTAGCGTTATTCTACAGATACAAAAGTATGCTTCAATATCTCACAATACTAGACATTCTCTAGGAAGGGCCATATCTTTCGAGCCTCGTGAGGGCTCATACGTTTGGACATCTCATGGATATACTTCTGCAGGCCGACTTTGTTGCGTTGCTGGATCTCAGCAAAATCACGCTCTGGGGATATCCAACCGTCAACATCTGTTTCTAGATACTCCCTCGCAAACTCTTGAATGCTACTCCATTCCCGGTACCGCTCAAACTCTTGTTCGATATCCGAAAGTTCTCCCGCTGAGAATGAGATAGGGCACTCTCCACTGATGTCTAACTCTGTCCATGACTGAAACAACTCAGCCAAACAAGCACGCAGCCCTGTAGTTCCTTGGTCCGCCGATTCTCCACAGCGTATAAATATCTCGCGAAGGACGGATGGTAGATTCAATGCGCTATAAATCACACCTTTGTTAACCTGCCAACTGCTTAGTTCGTATGTTTTAGTAAGAAGCGCATTATCCCTTGTGTGAATGGCACGTTTTTTTTCGGACTCGTCTAACTCTTCAAATTTTTCTGGTAGTAGCGGCCTGACCAAGCCGCACATGTACTCGCCTGTTGGCTTCAAGAACTCTGGCCAAGTTACTTGAAGGAACAAAGGGCCAATTGATGTCGATTGCCAGTCGATAATTGAGACAATTTTTGAAGGATCATCTTCGGAAATGAAGATGTTTCCTAAATGTAGATCCGTATGCCAGAGGGTCGGTTTTGAGAGCGAAGTAAGTTTTGGATGGTAAGATTCTAGAACTTCTAGAACCTTTGTTGCTGCAGTAAGATCATTAATTGCTCCTTTGCTGTCCGCTTGGCTATGTGAGTCGCCTCCGTGCTCTTCTCTTTGAGAAATCTTGGATATTTCTCGCTGTATAAGGTCTTTTCCGTAATCAGACAGGGAGCACCCTATGGAATATCAAAAGCACAATATCAATTTCTACTCAAAAATAGATCCAAATGAATCTTACAAGGTCCACTATTATCACGTTCAACCGATGAAGCCCCGGGGTGTAGTTGGTAGTGCCAGGAGCTATTCACCGTTGGTCCAACACAATACGACTGTCTTGGGTCCAACTCCTTCGAAAGTGGAGTAGAGGCGTTTATGTCTTTAATTTCATCTCGAAAATAAAGGCTTCCTGAATAAGGGAACTCTATCGAACCAAGTTGGCTCTCCAACTTCACGAGGTGCTCGATTATAGCGAGCTTAGATGATCCATTCATCTTGGGCCATCTGTTCCACAGCTGAACTCCAGGCGCTTTCTCCATGAGTATATACTCACTGCCAACCTTATTGGAAGAGTTCGAGCTCCACGCGAGCACTTTAGGAACGGGTATAGTAGTATGCTCTTGAACTGAAGCATCCGTCAACGCCTAAAAATAATCATCAAAATTGCTTTGTAGAAGAGCAAACTTGCCATATTGCATTGTGGCTACTTCTGACTCGGTTAGGCGTTGAGGAGGGCCGGCTCGCTTGGTAGGTAGCTTTGCAACAACTTCTGTGCCATCTGCCTTTTTCATTAACAAAGCCTTGCAAAAGCCACCTTCCATCTTATCGATGGCAATAATTGGCGATTCGGAGCCTCCAGAAGCAGCAGCCACGCTGCAAAGCTCGTCGACATTGAACTTCGCATAGCGTCCGTGAAACTGGCGCTCTTCATCAATTAAAAAATGACCATTGGTATACCTAAATAGATCGTCTTTGCAAATAGGGTTACCTGCGTCAAATAATTAGTCTTTTGAAGGAGTTATAGGCTACGTCTCCGCGACAAACCACGGCAGGTAATAGAAATATGTCTCAGCAATGTTTGTTTTGTGTGGCGGAATAGAAGACGAACTGAGCCTACCCGGCTAAACTGGCCTATTTGCAGCATAGATTCAAGCCTAATTGACAGGGGAGATAGGCAGAACTGAACAAACAAGCTGTACGGAGTACGGAGTAGCTAGGTAAATTAGTTCTGGGGCGCAAAATAGCCTTTCCCATTAGTCAGCACTTTATAGCCGCCTCCACGCCAACGCGTCTGAGCATCGACATACTCCGTACAGCACTCAATCAATAGAACTGCTTCTGAAAGACCATGTCATCTCGCGGCCCTTCTCGTCCGTCATCCGCCGCCTTTTCGCACACCAGGAACATATCCACCGCGCCATCCTCTTCCGCAGCAGGCCCGTCGATCCCGACGTCGGCATCAGCGTCCACCTCAGCCGCCCTAGTCTCCGCATCCAGTATGCCGGCATCTAAGGCACGGCAGTATGCGCATCTTCATGCCCAAATTGCGCAACTGAGCGCACATCTATCAGACACAGAAACCCTTATGAGGATGACCAGTGCGCAGGCAGGCGACATGAGGTTTTTGGGCGGCTACGTAGGTGGCCTTTTCATGGGAGCAGCGAAGGTTCTGGGAGAAGAAGGGATAGATAAAAATACCGCAAGTCACGGCGCAAATTCTGCTAGCGATCCGGCCTGATAGACTGGAGCTACGCGTCTGGGGTCGAGTTACTTGGTTAGGGTTGGTCCTAAAAAGAACCCGACTTGAAATACAGCTTTTCGCCCTGCAGGCCCTAACTGGCTGCTATTTCGTCGAACTTTCGAATCCAGGGTGCTAGGCCGTCTATATAAAGACAGTATTCTTCATTGGCGTTCGCTGATGGGTATGTCATCACGACCAATTTTACACAGTCGACATATACTAAATAATACAAATCTATAGCTGTCGGCCAGGCCATCAAGGACACGATCTTGACTTCCTTTACATAAATGAATGAATTCACTATTGATCCCTGCAATCCACTTTAGATCCGGGGCCCTACGTGATGCGAGATACATATATCGCCGGTTTCTATCTGAAGCTTTCAATCGAACAAGTGGTTAAAAGAAGTCATAAGCTGAACCCTTGTATGTGAAAACTCGAAACATTTGGTTATAAGACATATCTGGCCTCAAAAGATAGAAGTCGTTTGTTTTAGTTCATCCACTGCGCTATTCAATTTAGCTTAGATGCAAACATACCAAACAATAAACGTTATGTACTTCATGCTCCGTATCGTAAAAGTCTCCAACACAAGTTCGCATTAAACAACATGATCTCAGAGAGCAGAAAAGATGGCTATTAGATCTTTGCTCCAGAATTAAAACTGTGAATTTTTCTAGCTCTCAATTGACAAGTTGATTCTTGAGGCTTCGCACCATGTCTTCCACCAACAAACTCCGCCGAGTGCTCATAACTGGCACGATGGCAGCCGCAGTGGCATCCGGGGCGCTTTATGGAGCAAGTTTAAAAATGACGCAAGATGCAAAGCAGGTATTTCCTCCTTTACTGTGGCCTTGTCTTTAGAGATCCTCAGCAGTTTATATTTTGATGCCGATTTTTGACTCGGAATTTAAACAGAACATCCAGAAGCGCCAGGCTCTTTCAGAACAGGAGAAGATCGATGCACTACTAGGCGTTCGAGCAGGCTTGATGCAGAAAAAGGAGACATTGGAGCAACAGATTCGCGATATCGAAGAAAGGCAGAGCAGGAAGGCGAGCCGTGGTGGTGATAACACGAGCTAAATAATTCGCCTAAAGCGCGGCTATCAATTACGATATGCGGATTGAGGAAAAGTGATAATGGATCTATGGGCATGATAACCTGCCGCATTAATCCAGACAGCTGAATGCGTGTCTAGTGGAGTTAGGTATCTGGAGGTTGCTCACCAGGGACGCATCAACCTGTTCTTGGAGTCTTCCCGGTAGAATATATGGACCTGCTCCTGCCAATATCTACAACTGATGGTTCGGCTGGTATCGTGGCGTATGCCACTGTGCGACTACTCCGCCATGTTCCATGAGAGAGTCTTGTAGGGAAGACAAAACGGCCTGGCTCTGCTGCTGGAGCAGATGTTACAGTCCATTTACGACAAAGACGGCTTAAGTACGCTACAAAGAGTTCGATTTTGGGGTTGAGGCCCAAAAGATTCTGGGGACTCTCTTGTGCCATTTCAATAATTATCCAGGGCGGCGATTATCCTGAAAATGTATATTTTGTATGTACACAAAACATCTAGGTGCAGCAATAAATATGTAACCGAAATTTCTAAAGTGTATCAGCATCCCTTCTGTCATAGAACAATCGTAATTCAGCCGTAGCACATCCGTAAATATCATAAAATCATCCGAAAAGAACAGGCAGTGAAATGTTAGGCAATTCGAAAATGTTCTGTTCAAATCCAATCACTCCTCTAGAACCCCTCTCGCCAAAACCGCCAAACTCGCCTCATATCTTCCAGGGCTATGATCGCCCAGCATCCCAGAGCCGAATCTGATCTCTCTATACCTGGCTTCCACGTCGCGAATAAATCTTAGCTGTACCCTGGTGGCAGGACGACCCAACCGTGGATATCCATCGCTGGTAGGGGTATCCAGAGTAAAGGCATCTCGTTGAAGGACACGCATCGTATCAACCACAAAGACTTCACCCGGCGGTAAGAGCTTTGGGGCAGTCAATTGACTTCGAAGGGATTTAAGCGTGTTCCACGCCCAAGAATCCTCACCCACACCATTACCAGCATGTACCAACAGAGGAGGCTGGTTGATGTACAGTTTGTTGGCGATGCTGCGGCTGATGCTATCCCAAACTCGGGATTTCACGTAAGATTTGGCGTCAGCGACGTCGCTTTTGAATGAAAGTGAAACAGCATGGAAATCATGCAAGACGCCTAATGATAAAGTGGGAACAACATCCTGTCCATTGACCATGGTCGTAATCAGGCGCCTGGTGGCAAGGCGTAATGGTGGACTCATAACTGCTGGCGGACCATATGCGTATACATGAATGGGCCGGCCAGCCGGTAGTCGAAATTGTCCTTGTAGACGCTGAGTATTGCTATCAGTGCTGCCAGCGTGGGTAGATGTAGTCACAAACGCCGGTCCGCGTAAGTCGGTGTCATTGGGTCTTGATGTAAGCACTGCAAGAAGCGCAGCGACACCGCCACCTAATGAATGACCGCAAAACACGACGCCGTAATCGGTGAATTCCTCTAGTGCCGCTTTTATAGTTGCCATCACACGCGCGCCACCTCCTTCGAGTAAACGTTTGGCGGATGCCAGCATCCCTTTGTGAACCTGCCAGGTTTTACCCATCCAATGTAAGTCATCGTAGTCGCATGTCATATCTGTAAGGATATCTTCAAAACCCCAGGTCCCTCTAAGTGTAAGAACCACAGCTTTTGACTCATGATCTAATGTTAGGTAATGCACCAACGGAAACCCATCTTGGGTCTCTCCAGAAGAATTTGAACCACCCGCAGGATCCACAAAAGAAGAGAGTAAGATAGTTGAAGGGGGTAGTCCCGTATGATTGGAGAACGAGCCGTGCTCATGATGGTCCATTTCTTCATTTTGCCAGTCCTGTGGCCCAGTAGCAATACCCATGACTCTCAGGAAATTTGACCCATACGAGGCAGACGAGAACCTCGAAAAACGTTGAATGTTGTGAACGAGATGATTATAAGGGAAAAGACCTGGAAATTTACCATCTCTAGAAAGAGCTGAAAGTGTATCTTGGTCTTCATATATGCTTCTGATAAACCGAGGCGCAAGTACCAGTGAAGCCCTCGAATCAGCTGCCGCAAGAGAATAGATAGTCGGCGCGAGGGATCTGGTCGAGTTTCTGCGCGACAGCATAGGGCTGCACGGGCGGCTAGTATCACTTGATAGTCGTTGCATATCGCCATCAGATTTCACCTTTGATAGGGAGCTCGTGCTAGATATATGATTCCTGGCAACTTTAGGTGAAGAGGGTGTTTTAGGGAGAGAATGTAACGAATACGCATCGGTGCGAGCCATATAAGATTCAACGCTTTTTTCATGAGATGAAAAGTACTCTCGGCCTCGAAAGTAGTCGGAAGAGCCAACAGAAGGGTGCTCTTCGGATTGTTTTGGCTCTATGGTTTCGGTTTTTCGAGACGATAGTGTTAGGGCAGGTAGTAGTTTTGATTTTTGATCTGCGACACGTGAACCTGGCTTAGACCTGCCTCGGATTCGGGCTTTGATACTAAGGGTGTCATCCGCACTGAACTCAGAGGCATGGCGGCTATGACCTGATGACACTGGTGGTCGTTTCTTCAGAGTGGTCATATTCCCTATTTTTGCCTCAGCGTTGGATATAAGCTTGTGTGTTGCCTTGGCCATAGAAATCTTCTGCCGCGAAGCTCGAGGTGTTTCTGTGCCACTAGCTGAAGAGTCTGAGTTCGTGCGTTTAATGGAAGGACGCCGTGGTGAAACCGTGGGCATATCGACGTCCATGGGCTCAAGATCGAAGGAGGGGGCGGGGGTCGAGTCATTTACCCAGCTACCAGTCTTGGACCGTTTGGTAGCGGGCCTCTGAGATACCCTCGAGCGGGGGCCACTGGGGCGGGCTACTGACGGTTCTCTAGATATATTTCGGTCCGGACGCAGTTCAGAAGTATGAGACTGATTCGAGATGGTTTGAAATACGACGGAATGCTTCGGTAATTGGGATTCGGTTACCATGGTGATATCGTCGGCGTCTTTAGAGTCATGAAAACTTTCCTTAATGAGGGCGGTTCCTGGAGGGGGGGCGATTTCTATAAAATTATGTTGATTATCAAAAACGTCCACAGTAATCGTCCTTGCAGTAACACTATCGGTTCTGATAGCAGCGTGCGAGCCGCGTGGAAGTTGATCCACAATGTACCGCCGTATCTCCTCATCAGAGAGTGCATGTTGGCGATCCGCTGGAAGAGATACATGCGGAACAAGTCGGCCAAGGGGATTGAACGGTGTCGACTCCCTCTCTAATGCTTGGAAATCTCCATCTGTACCTGCACCTTCAGTTGCTAGGAACGATGCCGGGCGAGGAGGTGGGTTATCAAGGCTGTCGACAGCAGTTGGGTATTCGGTACGTTGAGTGCCAACAACATCCGCCCTCAACCCATTGTCCAAAATAACAACATCCCAAATGGTCTCCTCGTTGCCGTTTTCCCTGAACTCTCGTTCCGTGTTTCGCCGACCCATCCGCTGTAGCATCGCGAAACCTATGCAGCCGACGAGTAGATCGGCAATACCAACTTTACCGCCATATGCAACAGTGTCAGGATTGCGGAACTCTCTTCGAATCAATGTAATAATGGATGCGATTGCCCTGGAAGACTCGGACGAGCCGAGGATTGCGTCGAGAGTGGAAAGGAGGGACTGAGAAAAATGGGCAACCGAAGTAAGGGTGGTAGATGAAAGGTGGAAGCTCGCTGAGGCGAAGAAGGACGCAGAGGTAATTGTAGAATGCAGAGTTGCCAACTACCATCCACCAAGTTAGTCCTATAGGTTCCGTCAAAAAGGCCAGTTATATACCAACGCTGCGCTCCAGTAAAGACTCCGCCTCTACCCTGCCATAGTCATCACTGCTCCTCGAAACAATATCTCGACCAGCTCTTATTAATATTCCCTCCACCACGGCCCGGCTCAACTCTAGACTTGTAAGTGTAGTTGCCCGAACGCTATCGATTGCGAAGCCGCCCAAATAGGTTCCTACGCGCAGCGAAAGGGAGGTCGAATGAGCGAAGAGAGTCACTAGAGAGGCTACCGGGCGCGGCAGGAGTGTATTGCTAGGTTTAGGGACGAGATTATTGGCACAGGGAACAAGCGCTGTGCTGTGCCCCTCATGGCTGGGGGTGGAGCGATCAAGGTCTCTGCCGGTATAAGGCATAGCACCGGCTTGAAAATCTCAAATGCAGCAAGTATACAAGGCACTCTGACAATATCGCCATTGGACAGTATAGACAAAGTGGTGGAATGGCCCTGCAAGGCAGAGACGCGTGAAGCCAGATGTTGGTAAATGACGGATGTCTGGTGGTCAGCAAAGCGGCGATTCGTCTGGGGAAATCTCGGGGCATGTGATACCACATCGGCACGCGCGCGGTTGGCGTCTGGGCGCGCCGCTTAAGGTGGTTCCCCGGAGGCTGGAGGCGCACTGTTGACTTTCCACGAGTCGCAAAAGTCATTAAAGACCCAGACAGTCACCAGGCTACGCTACCTTCGATATTCTAGGGACAACGGTCTCAATCGCTGCACGGCCGATAAAGCGCGAATGCGCTGTGCTGAGTAAGCTCGGGGTGCGGGAATTTGACGGAGCCCGCTTTGGCGCTGAGAACTACACTAGAAACCTAAGGTGAAACTGAAATAGAAGCTTGACGTCAACGTGGGCGAAATCACTTGATAAGAGAAGATTGAGTCTGAAGCGTTGTTATTTTCCCTACAGAAAGACCCTTAAATCCCCCCATTTTCAAACTGCCAGCATACTGTAAACGCGATTGCAAAGATCAAACACCGGACAACGCAGACTGGAAACCAGAAACCCCTTTCAACCATGGAAACAGACTAAAAATGGAAGACGGAGAAGCTCCATATTACGGCATTTTTCAACTGCGGTAATCTCACCCGTATGCTAACCAATCATGCCATATAGGTACCCGCGTCGACACCCTCTTCAGGATAATCACTAGCATTAACGTATAAGTAAGAGGCTTAAAAACACGGAAAAATCAGATGTATATAACTTACGGCAGGGCAACCTCGAATCGCTTCTCGATATCCTTAAGGACCTTCATGTCTTCCTCGCTGCTGATGAAGGAGATCGACAGACCCTTAGTACCAAAACGACCGGCACGGCCCACACGATGCAAGTACGAATCTGCGTCGGCAGGCATGTCGTAGTTAATCGCGAGGTTGATACGCTCGATGTCGATACCACGGCCAAAAACGTCGGTGGCAACGCAGATGCGCTTGTTGAATTCTTTAAACTCCTTGTATCGTTTAATTCTGAATGGAGCCAAATCAGCTACTGACTTCAAGTAAACAATCCATAAGACTTACCGTTCCTCCTGCGAAACACCGGAGTGCACTGCAATGCTAGGGAAGTTGCATTCGCGAAGAAGCTTGTCTAATTCATTCGCACGAAGGGTGCTCTTCACAAAGATAATAACTTGGTTGAATTCAAGATTATCCAAGAGCTCATTGAGCTTCCGGTTCTTTTCAGCCTCGCTTAATTTAATATAGTACTGCTGGAGACCGTGGAGCGTCAATTTAGTATCATCATCCACATAGACTTCTAGGGGGTTGCGCATGAATTTTTTGCAAATGGGCCTAATCTCCTGGGAAAGAGTGGCACTGAACATCATGACTTGTTTTTCCGCAGGAGTCGCGCGGAAGATTTCCTGCACGTCACGACGCATGTCTAAAGAGCTCATCAGAACATTATACATGATGAAAAGTCGGGCTTTTATGACAACACCTACCAATCTGATCCAGCATTTTATCACACTCATCCAAAACAAAAGCCTTAACATTTCGAAGGGAAAGCTTTTTATCTCGAACTAAAGCGTTCAGTCGACCAGGAGTAGCAACAACTATGTTGGGGTAGGTATCTTTGGAGGACAACGTCTCGATATCTTTTTGCATCGGAGTACCGCCGTAGAAAACAGCAGTTTTGACATCAGGAAGGTATTTGCTGAATCTGGCATATTCGTTCTTGATCTGATACGCAAGCTCTCGCGTGTGGCACATGACAAGAACCGAGCATTCACCGGCAATAGGCTCCAGATGATTCAAAGTGGTCAAAACGAAGACTGCCGTTTTACCGAGACCAGATTTTGCCTGGCAGAGTACATCGACTTTGAGAAGGGCGGTTGGAATACAAACTTGCTGGACTGTATGAGGAGCGAGGGACATGTTAGACTTGATTCGACCCAGAATTTTGAACTTGGCAACAAGCGACCATCACTGTTCTCAAACGTCCGTCCATCGCGAATGGCCTGAAGTGATCAACAATTATGGGGCAAAGGTTCGAAAACAAGAGCGTACGAAGGGCAAAAACTGGCCGCAGGAAGGAAGCACTCAGAAAAATGATGAAAGCCATTCACAGGTCGGCACGAGGATTCGATTCCATATTCAGGTGTAGTCAACCTGACGTTTCAGTCTCGGCGCTGAAACGATGAAATGTATTCGTCAAAGTGGTGATTTTCAAACAGTGGCGTGCACTGGAGAAAGCTCACGGCTGCAGTTCTTCTGAATCCCTAACAGGAAACCCCAAGGGACATAGGAAACAAATCGCAGCTTCGATACAGTATTTCTTGATTTCAAAAAGACATATCCCCGTGCCGCCTGGAATCTTCGCATAGAATTTGACCCGATGAAGCCCAGTTCGCGATGGACGGACGTTGGAAGATGCAGGAAGTGGAGGAAAGCTTTGTGAAAAAGATGATAACTAACCCTCCGAAGGATGTTCGAAACCGCAGTCGGTAATGGCACGTAAAAGTTCGGCCTTCAGCAGGAAATCGCGGAAGCCAGTCGAGTGGACGCCAACATAACTACCCTTCTTGTCTGGACGAGCACCCGTGACGGTCAAGTCGCCTTTCTTAGCAGCCGATCCATTGGCAGCCGGGGCAGCGGCCGCGGCCGCGGCATCGGTCGTTTGAAGCTCCTCATCGGAGTAATCGATAAGATCTTCTTCGTGGGACATGATGAAGGTGTTATTGAGGGTGAAAGACGGATACGCGTCGACAAAGGTCAAAATTCGAAGGAAAAAAGGGGAAAGTAGGCCTTCAGAGAAGACTGTGCGACTTGTGACACGAAAAACGCAGTCAAAGAAGAGGCGGCCTTGATAGAAGCAAAGCAAGGTGGAAGAGGCGAAGAACAAAAAGACGATGAAAAGGTGAACGAAGGAGTTGGAGGTTGAGCCGCGAGACACGCTAGCCGCATACGGTTAAACACCCTTGTTTGGCTGTGACGCGCCACTGCAAGTCCTGCTGAGCGCTGGTTGGCTAAGTACTAGAGAGGGCTGTGTTTGGTGTGTTACTATTGGTCAGATTCTAAGGCTTGAAAAATACCCCGAAAGATGTACACAAAGAATGACTCATCACGGGTCCAGGCAGCCGAGCGGTGATTTGGCAAACAAACACCAGAAAATGAACAGGTTCCCTGGGCCGCCTCACCTCCTTTCTTTAATTATGCCTGGATCTTTCCGATAAATTTGCTCTAAACCAAACTCGGTAGGAAGAACTGCTTGGGCAAGAAATCCTAGCTGCCCGTATTAGGCCAAGCTTCCCTCAACGCCGATATCAAACGCATCGCTCCTGCAATGGCAAAAGCAAAAAACCCGAAGCCCGCCACGGGCGCAGTACAGAGCCATCTTCGTGCTCGAATGTCATATCTATATAATGCGTCTCAGTTATTTCAATCTGCACAGGGCCCTCGGCCACCCGGTCAAGGGCAAACAAACTCTTTCGTTCTGTTTGAAAATAGACCCACGGATCAACCGGAAATTGCAGGTGGCTCAGAGAGAACCCCGCATTGTCCTTCATTGAATAAAAACAGTCTATCTACAGGCATGCTAGCTGAAGACCATCCCCCGAAAGCCAGCCAGTCTTCATACCTAGCCCGCCAATGTGCCGCCCAGCTACGAGCGGTTTCATTAAAGTCCCAGCTGAGGCTGTCTCGGGAAATAAAACACACGCTATGCAAGCGATGTGATTCCTTGCTGGTTCCTGACTTGACCTGTTCAAGGAAGATTGAAAACAAGAGCCGTGGAGGGAAAAAGCCTTGGGCTGATGTTCTGGTCGTGACATGTGGCTTTTGTGGGGCTATAAAACGGTATCCCCAAATAAAAAAACGGCCAGTAAAATTAGTACATCGCCAGCAGGGGACGAATAGTAAGAAAAAGTTGGATGATGCTGTCGTATATTGAGCAGGCTCGGTCTTCTACCAATCCTATACTGTGCCTCTTACGGACGACGGCCGGAACGTGACACTTCTCCATAGTACTCAGGCGCCCAAGTAGAAATTGCAAGGGCGTCCAAGAGACATGTATTGCCATACAGATTCTTGGCTGTGTCTTGGAAATCAAACTCGACGCTTGGAGGCAGTCTTCATATTCTTAGTGACTGCCAATAAACCCGGCATCAACCAGAATGGAGTTCTCTGTGTCTGTGTGTGTATGATCGAGATAACAAATCTCACAATCACCCGCAAAAAAAACTATTTCTCGATGCCCTTTCCGGGCTTACATTATACCTAGGACTTGACACGCATCAATAGGTCCAAGGAATAAAACAAATACAAATTCAATTAATGCCATTGGCAAAGATATCTCCGCGGGAGGGAATTAAAGCATATGACATACTAAGCCAAAAACCGTATAGAATGGACGGCATTTCTGTGCGCCGTGAGGCATGTACCAATCTTCGAGTTAAAAAAAGGAAGAAAAATGGATAGAAATTACATGAAGAAATAGAGCTGTAGCACAAGGTATTATGACGAAATCAAGAATTGGAAGGTCCTGATAGGGCTGGGTTCCAGAGGCAACGCTCAATAATGCAAAGGTCGGTTCCGTTCCCATGGATTGCCATACGCGTGAGTGTTGTTCCGCAAGAGGCGCCATGAAAGGAGGACCAGAAGAATAAAATAGATGTCCGTGGTAGCCTTCATCATTTAGGTAACTTTGCGGACTGATGTTACTACTGAAACCGGCCCACTCGATAATGCAGGATCAAGAATAAAAGAGGAAAGCCCGGCAGGTAATGCCATAGATTTAGGGGAGCCAGTACTCCGCAGTGGTGGTGGGGGGCCGTTTCCATGTATATAAACTGAGAAAATAAAGAAGCCGTTTCTTCATGTCATCATACAAGTCGCTGTGGATTGCTCGTCACATTCGGGTTCGCACCGCAGGTCTTCCAGGCGGCAGTGGAAGAGAGAAAAAGAGCAAAGGGGTTGCGTTCTATTACCGCCTTCTGCGTGATGCTTGGTCTAGACGGTGATCTAGGGCCTCGACTCGAGCGCGAAAGCCCTTGACGATATCCCTAATCCGTTTTATTTTTTCAAACTCCATCTCGAGCTCGTCGATTGATGCGATGATTCGCCGCACACGCGCGATCTCCGCATCAGCATCCGCGATTACGTTCCCCGCTTTGTCATAGGTATTCTGGATGGAAAGTTCGGATTGTTCGTTCAACTGCAAGGAGTCAGAGCCTATCTCCAGATTTGTATCGGCGGGACTGCGAGGCGACAGGCATCGCACAAAGTGCAAATCCAAAGGTAAGAATGAAATCGTAAAGAAAGTCCTAGGTCGGGCGAAAGAAGGGGCGTGAATGTGCGAGAGACGGCAGAAAGATGAAGAGACAACCTACATATTCGATTCTCCGTCGGATATCCCTCAGCAAATGATCGAGTTGATAGTACAGGGCCTGGAGACTGTCTGGATCCAGCAGCAGTCTGCCCTGGCTGCTTGCGGCACTGGCGGCGCGGGAGCTGGAGGTGCTTCTGCCCATCCCCCTTCCCCGCGACACGACGCTGCCATTGTGGCTCCCCTGCAGGGCGATCTGCTGCTGGTGGACGACCATCTGCCACTCAGACGACGTGAGGCCAAGGCGGGCATCAGGAACTGATATTGACGTGGACATTTGATACGGGCTTGTGCGTTCTCGACATGCTCTTACAATCGAGGCTCGAGGGGGAAACGGGGGGAGCTAGATCGAGAGGATTGACGGCCAAGCATGGTTGAAAGGGGGAGGGAGCGCGCTGGACGGGGAGGATACGGTTGGGACGACGCGCGAGGAGGGATCACAGGCGGTGGAAGACGCCCCGAGAGCTGCTGGCGATTAGGAAGGTGAAGCTGGTCACCATCGATCTCCTGGCAAGACGCCCGATTGAAAACGCGGCGGGCTCAACGGCGACGCAGAGGGTGCAGAGCGAGAAAGAGAGAGAGAGAGAGAGAGAGGAGAGCCCAGGGGGCATTTAACTATTGCATGTAGCGAGGGACAGGCGCAGCAGGGCCAACACGAAGAGCGCTGGGGAGGAGGAGCGGCGGCGGAGAAGCGGCGAGACGGGCGCCGCACCGTTGCTTTTGTGGAGCTGCGGCGGCAGCGGCGGCGACAGGAGTTGGGGATTTCGTTAATCGAGTTAGTTTGTAAGTTGCTTAACGCACGGCGCAGTCCAGTATTCTCGTCCTCGACCAGCTTGTCCGTCGTCTTGCCCGCGCTCGCCCGCCAGAGCCAGTGCAGACGGCCTGTCGTGCCACTGAACACACACTCACACTCACCCACCACCACCACCACCACAGCACGCAACGGCCGCTCCAGCATCCATCCATCCATCCCATCACGCGCGCCGTCCTCGAGCGCTGCATCAGCCGCAGGTCAAGCCTCCCCGGCGATTCCTCGTGCAGTGCCGCACCGCGAAAACGCCTTGTCGCCGGGCGCCCATTGGCGATTCCGGCCACTTGATCGTCGAACGACGGAGCAAGCCGCATCGCATCGCATCGCATCGCCCTGCTGGCCCCGGTGGGCGGATCCGCCCAGGCATTGACGAGCTAGGCTCTAGCTACGCTGACCCGGCTGCCCAACCTGTGAGGCTTCTGTGAAGCCATCACCCCATTATCACCCCCGCGACCACCCCAACTGGAGGGCTCCCGCGCCGCCAGAGCTAAGGAGTGCAGGGAGGCTCGCCCCGGCTTGTACAGGCGATCGCCAGCGACCCACGGCCAACCAGCGTGGCGAGTGTCGGCGCCTCGGAAAGGCTACTCGCTAGCTTTCCATGGGTTGCGTTCCTCCAAGATATCGTTGCTCTGTTCTGAACTCTAAGCCTGCGCCGCCCTTCTTCGTCTAACTACTGCAGCATCGTCTCAACCGCCCGGCCATGGCCAAAGACAAGGAACGCACCGTCAACCCGGCCCAGGCCCAGCGCCGCCTCGAGAAACAACGCGCCTTAAAGAAGGGAAAAGCTGAGCTACACGCCCGCCGCAATGAGAAGCTGGCCCGCCGCAACCCAGAGCGTCTCCAGCGCCAAGTGGACGACCTCAAGGCCATCGAGGACTCCGGCCAGCCGCTGAAACCACGCGAAAAGCAGATACTGGAAGGCCTGGAAAAAGACCTACGCGCTGTGAGAAAGGCGCGAGAAGCCCTGGGAGACAAAGCTCCCCCGTTTGGTCGTGGCGAGAAGCGACGCGCTCCCGAACACGACAACCCGAATCGCGCTGTCCTGGGCAAGAGGAGGCGAGAAGGACACGAGCAGCACAGGCAACACGATGACAGCAGTGAGACAGATGAAAGTGTTCGGAACATACCCATGCCACGAGACACCCCGCCCCCGATTCCGCGTCGGCACCCACGGCGAGGCCCTCCCGACGAAATCGAAGATGCCAGCGATCGACAACCACACGCGCTGCCGGAGAAACCATCGATAGCGGTGAAGACGGTCTACGAGTCCGCGCCGGTCATTCGCGATCTACGAAAAGAGGCCGTGAGCAAGTTTGTGCCTTCGACTGTCCGAATGAAACAAGCTGCCGCGAGGGGGGAAGGACGCTTGGTAGAGCCGGAAGAGATGGACCGCCTAGAAAAGGCAGGGTATGCGCCAGCCTCTGTGGACTCGGGAAGCGCTTCGATGGCGGATACGGGGCAGGGAAATTCGGAAGGGCAGCCAGCATCGACAGAGGTGGATGCAGCTACTCTCGCAGCAGAAGAGGAAAGATTTCGCCGCGAGCTAAAACATGTTCACATTGAGGATGTGGAGGATGAGGATATATGATAAGTATCTGGTAACAATCGAAAAAGCATGATATGCAACGTTCCTTCGCTACGCGCAGAGCAAACCCCATAACGCAACAGCCGTCCACCCACCATGCACCGCCACCACTCCCCAGAAGTCTGCAAGCTGATATCCTCCGCCGATCAACTTGCTCCATGTATAAAGCGCCAGCAAGGCAGCATGCGACAGGGCAAAACACGAGCCCACTACCCGCCCAACATGTGTCCGCCGTATGTGATAGTCGCGTAAGAGCCATGCGCACAGCGCGAACGGAAAGGAGGTGTTCACCGCGGTGCGCATAAAGAAGCGCGCGGCGGCGCTTCCACGAATTTCTGACTGGTTGGGGAACAGGAGTGGGGAACCGGTGTAGAAGAGGAATAGGTCGGCGATGTGCACGACCAAGGACGAATGGTAGAGATAACGAATTACGGCTGGCTGGGTGGACGACGCCTGTTGCGAAATGTGTTTAGCGGTAGCAGGTATTCAATATGGAGTAGGCATACCATCTTGGCAAATTGATTCAGTTAACTAGAGATGAGATGAATTTCTTTATTTTCCCGTGCTGTAACAAGCAGTGTTGGAAACCACATATATGACTGCGAGGTGGAAACAGATGCTTGAAGCCGGCTTCCGATTATTCTCTATGCTGCTAATAAACCGCCGGACGCTTGGCACATGGGGTTAGTTACACGGACACTAGGACCTGCCGAGGCAGATGGAGGCTTGTGCACGGTGCAGTTCTCTCTGATAGCTACATTCTACAAAAACAAGTTGGTAAAGCAAAATATCTAGTTACATGCTCCATACTTAGTGCGTCCACTGACACTAGCTGTGCAATAGAGGAGCAGTCTCATCACTCGTTAGCCCCAGGTTATCTCCCGTCCGGCGCGTCGCAATCCAGAATAGGATTGCCTGGACAAGAGCAAAAATAGTGTTATCGACAGTGGCCCAGCCAACCAGCTGGTACCAGGCGACAAGTCTATTCCACGGAGACATTCTCCAAAACTCCTCCGGTATGGTCATCCTAAACGGCCAGTACAGCGCAACAGCAGCGAAAACCACCGCCTGCGCCGCCAAACCCAGAGGACTTAACGCGCCTGGAGACGAGCGCGAGAGTGTCTCGCGGGCCTGTGCAAACAGCGAGGCGAAGCCAAGAAGCGTGACAATGGGGTGGACGAAGATCATATGCACGCCCGAGAACATGGCCGAGAACCATCGTCGGTCTTGCTCGACGTCGTCGCGGCGTGCCGGGAGGGCGGACTCGACGATCACAGGTACGACCGAGATTAGGAAAAAGGTAATGTAGATCGTCAAGGCAGTACGCTTTTCTCCAGCCTGCTCCGATGGATAGTAGAAACACAATATGAATCTGTATTCCAGTGAGAAAGGTGCTAGTATGCGCTGGTTGGTATCAAGAACTCACAGGCCTAAATAGCAGACACAGACGACAGTAAATTGGAGGAAATTAAGCCAGTCGCCAGCTGTGGGCGGACTGGCCACGATGGTGTCTCCTATCTCCGCATTATCAACGATAAAATGCAGCCCAAAGGCGAACTGCTCGGTGGCAACGATTGCGTTGAAGAGAATGTACTGGATGGATATGCCTGAGCTGTCGCCGCGCGAGAGAATGCGGCGGTATTGCGGAACAAAGGAGACCAGGCTCAGGATGAGCAGAGCACTGCTGAATGTTAGCTGTATACTAGACGCATAATTGAGCTTGGTGGTACTAGCACTCTCAGGAATATATCTGCCGCCCTCATACTGCTCTAGATGTGCGGTGTGCAGCGAGGAAGGTGGTAGATGGTTAGTTAGTTAGTTAGAACAGTGGGAGTTCAACGCCTGTCCGGTTTTAATTCCTGACAGAAACATGGCTGCCTTGCCGGCGGCAACGCCCAACTGTTGACCAGCATGTTCAGTTAGTCAGAGCACTGTTGGATGGCTCGGACATCAAAGCCTCGTTAAGTTCGGCCCGCTTGTTCCAGCGACGGGGATTTTGCCGGAAGAGGAAAAGACCGACCTTTGGGGCGTTTGAATCAACAACTTACCTCCAAGTTTTAAATGAAGCTCCATCCACACCAAAATACTCCGTAGAACGCTGAATACTGATACGACGGTGAAGGCTGCCGTTTGGAGCCTCTTCCTTGCAGAAAGCACTATATTCGATACGTCCATGATGGCATCACTACTCAGAACACTCGTTGGCAATATGCACGACGTCTCAACCCTTGTGATACCTGCTGGAAATACAGCAAGCAGCCCGCCTATAATATGATTTTCAGCTGGGTTTACATCCACGCTTGACCCGTTTGTTTATGCAAAACCTTCTGTTAATGCTGCCCGGCGTTTGCCGCGGCCCCCTACCTGAACTCGAATCTTGAGAACGCTGGCGATTTTGATTTCGAAACCCAGCACCCCCATATCTCAGCTGAATTCTGTTGGAATCTACCGCATATCTATTTGCAGAATTCAAAACCCTGGCCGGACATTGAGATGGGGCGCTTTGGGGCCACTGCTACGGCCCAGGCGACATGGCCTGCCGACGAGCTGTATATAATGTCATTACTTCCGTCGATATGGCAAGGTGTATTGCAGCTATCTTCTCCTGGGCCATCAGTTTCCTTCGAATCAAGCAGCCATGAAGAGTTCAAATATTGCCGCTAAAAATGTCTTCACTGTGTTTCTTCTTATGATGGGAGCAGTCAATGCAGAGCATCGTGTGCTTCTGAGGCGAGCTCCCGACAACTGGCCTATCAAAACCGGGTATGTTGCCTTCGGTGACTCGTTCGGTGCAGGTATGGGCACTGGCACCACTTCCTCAGATGCATGCCGAGTTGGATCCAACAACTTCGGCGATCTCTTATATAAGTGGACCAACAACGATCGAGTGGACTTCCAGAGAAAGGTCTGCTCCGGCGATACGACCGTGGGCCTCAATCGCCAAATCGATGAATGGAAGAATCCACGAAAAGCTGATATCGCAACCGTTTCTGTTGGAGGTAACGACCTAGGTTTTAGCAACATGGTTTACTACTGCATTCTTACCTTCAATCACTTTTTGTTTCCTTGGACACTTAGAAAGGAGTGTAAAGACGCTAAAGACAAGGCTAGACGTTTGATGGAAGATCGGGGCGACGGTGGCTTGCGGAGTAAGCTGAAGAAAGCATACAAGAAGATACTTGACAAATCAGGAAGAGATGTATGTTCTACCTAGACTCAGATCCACGCTTTTTTCCCTCGCTTTTTGCTGCATGTAGTTGCTGAAAGCTCATCTAGGATTTCCACCTTTATGTCACCGGCTATATTGGATTTTTCAACCATGACGACCCTGACTGTGACAAAACGACATTTGATTACTGGTGGGCTGGATACAATCCATCTTGGGATCCGAGAATTGTTTACTTGACAAAACCTGTTAGAAAAGAGCTCAATGATCTTGTTGGCCAGTTGAACGATGTGATACGCGGTGCGATTGATGATGCTAATAATGAGCACCGAAGCAACCAAGTGCACTTTGTGGATGTTGGTAGCAAATGGGCAAATCATCGGTGGTGCGAGGCTGGTAACTTTCACGAGCCAGATCCTGGTCGCAAGGACACCTGGTTTTTCTTGAGCGGCTGGCCAGATGTTGAAATCGAGGGTGCATCCATTCAGGTAAGCTTAAGTGTCCGGCAATATATCCATCTAATATCCTCTAATTGTCTTGAAATAGTCTGGGATAAATCAAGAACAGAATGAAATAAAAGCTCTTGTAAACGCTGGAAAAGTTGAACTTCCTGATCACAAAACCTGCGGTTCAATGTTGGGTTCTGATCCGGATCCTTGGGCTAACTGGCTGTGCAATACGGCGAAGGATGTCGCAAAATACCCAAATGGCGAGACTGCGAAACGTCTAAAAATGGCTAACGAGGAGATTGCCAAAAAGGATTTCAAGGGTCAACACATTCCCTCGTATACACCTACAAGACAAATTAAAACCTTCCATCCTCGGAGCCCAGGCATGGTGGCATATCGTGACAAAATCATTGAGACTATTCATGATGTTCAGATTAATACGAAGTCTTCTGGAACGTGCAAGCTCGCCATTACCCAGATTTGGACTTGTGAAGCTGCCGACAAGAACCTCTATGCTCGAGTTCAACTTACAGGCTCAGACGGCAAGGTCTTCTACACTACTCAACAGTCTGCCCATACCCCAGGCCTGTCTATCAACAACAGTAATCCTCTAAAAATAAAACAAAGTAACATGCGCTATGAATTGAAGATTATTGGAGAGCACAAAAATGATTATATCCAGTTTTACTACGGCAAAACTGCCTGGACGTCCGGAACCTCGAATGGCGAAGCTAGATGCAAGCTTAAAGGCAAGGATTGGGACAAAAAAGGGCCAGGAGCTTGTCCAACCGCAGCATTCGTAAGTTCCTTTTTAACTCTCTCTCCTTTCACCCAATAGCTAACAAACCTATCTGTAGAGCCGTCAATTTGATTGCGAGTATCCATGTTGAGTTTTTTGCTGTTTATAGAATATATCGTGGAGCTTGCGTCATACTGTGCCTTTTCTAACGTCAGCATTTTAGCATACAGTCAATAGCACTTGATGTTGAAGATATAGCTACTATTTCGGTTTTACCTTACAACTATACGGAGTCATTCTTTTGTTTTTTTTTTTTTTTTTTTTTTTTTTTTACTAAATCAACTGTTTAAATCTTTGCTTACACAAGCTATTTCTCCTTATTTGGGCTTTTGTTTCGGTGCTATAGTTTGCATAAATAACTATGGGCCTCCCATAATCGAGGGTAGCTTTTTTTAAAATTCCGACCACTATTTCCACGAGTATCACGGTGCCTTCTCGCATACACGTTTCTATCAACCGCCAGCTATCGGATGAGCATCGCTCACGTTCTGCCCGTACGAGCTCTCCCACGGAGATATGGACTAGAGGGAGCTTCGCCTCGGCTATGTGGCTGTGAGTGCCTTTGCCAGCGCCAGGCCCGCCTAAAATGAAGATGATAGTCCATGACGGATGAAAACGTCGGATCAGGCCCAGTGCGTGCTAATAAATTACAACACGGCTTGTGATGGTGAACCCAAGCCCGAACCTCGGTGAGTTACTTCATTTCTCGAACCTGCAACTATGAGTGCGGATTTTGTTTTCACACCGCAAAGACTTCGCACATGGAGGCGTTGGAAAACGCCAAGCGGGGGCTGCAGCTTCTCCGAGAGGAAGGCATGAAAAAGATCAATTTCGTTTGTGGAGAACCGTTTTTATACCCAAAGTTCCTGGGAGCCTTAGCGGAATTCTGCAAAAGGGATCTTCAGATTGAGTGAGTTTCGATCGTCACCAATGGAAGCCGTGTTACTGAGCGCTTTATGTCCAAATACGCACAATATGTTGACATTATTGCGGTCTCATGTATGTGAATATAAAAATTGGCAGGGGAAAGGGAGCCCACCTCCGGGACATGGCCCGGGTGGCAGACCTTTGCCAAAAGTACGGCATCAGGTTTAAGCTCAACACCGTTGTTAACAAGTACAACTTTGACGAGGATATGGACGAGCATATTACAGCTCTCAATCCCTTTCGCTGGAAAGTGTTCCAAGTGTTGATTATCGAAGAGGAAAACGGCTCAGAATCTACCCTACGCGATGCTCGGCAGTTTGCCATTACGGAAGAACACTTCCAGCTGTTCTGCAAAACCCATGAGAATCATAAATGCTTGATTCCGGAGTCGAATACTGTCATGAAGAGCTCCTATCTCCTAATGGATGAATACATGCGATTCATAAACAAGGGCGTTGGCGCTCCCTCCCCATCCATTCTCGACGTCGGTGTTATGGAGGCGCTACGACAGGTTTACAGGGATGCGGAGAATTTTCATCAGAGAGGTGGAATATATGACTGGAGTACAAAGACGGCAGACTGCTCCAAAGACCCGAAACTCGATTTTTAATAGTACAATAGCATTTTCTTGATGAACTTCATGAGGTGGTGAAATTTTTTCCTGTAGTTGAATAATTGTAGCATTTTATATTTTATTCGAGCCCTATAGTGCAATTATCTTGTTACAGTATGAAATATGACTCAGTAGCATCGCTACTAAACGGTTATCTTTAATCATCATGGAACTCTGATCAAGAGACTCAATCCAAATTTAGTCCAAACTGGAAACGTACACAAAACTACAAGCAGTTCTCCTTTTAAAAAAAATCAACCCCCTAGACAATATAGCATCCAAGAATGAACGAAATGTATCTCATATGCCTGGCAGGGCTCGAACATTAAGAGGTCTTAGGCCAAAAGAGAGAACGAAGGTAATGCACCAAATTATAGAGCTTAACGAGTGCTGGACGATGGTGACGACGTTCATTCGGGCTGGTACCGATGGTAGAAAGTAATATTTAAAAAAATTTCCTAGCAAAAAATAAGATTGTACGCATAACTTCATGTACCAATGCCATCCAAAAGGGACTGATAATATCGGACCAACACAAATCCAAAGTGAGGCGACGAACCAATTCGTATCCACAAACTCTCAACGCCACATAAATGCGATAACAAAGGAGACTCCTAGAATATCAAGGTTCACCAAAATGTAGCGATTAGACAACGTATGCGTAGCTCCTAGCGATATGCAAGTTGTTGTGTAGAAACCTTTTAACAAAAGCGCCTTCTCATTTTCGGAACTTTTTCTTTTGCTTTTCCGCAGATCATCTTTGCAAGGATATCAAAGGGAAACATATTGCAGTATATACTGCACCCCGTGGCCCCGGCATTAATGTGACGTAGCCGTCAATTAGATTGGCCCTAGATTCAACGGAAATTTCGAATGATTTTTGCCCCACGAGCCAAAAAGGGGCTGGGCATCTCGTCCTTTTCTGGGTCCCAAGTAGCAGGTGGATCTCTTTCGATGGATTTGGTGGTTGCCAGTCCTCCAGGGCGTTTCAGCTCCTCAATAGGCCTACCACCAGCGCGAGCTTGAGCCAACTCAACCAATGTCCTCCCACCCATATTTCTCTGCATAACAGCTTTGAACATATCCTCTCCCCCACCGTTTGCTTTGGAGATTGGAGCTTTCATTGCTGCTCTTCGAGGCGACCCGCCATCTAGGGCTAGGCTTGTGCAAGAAGGAATTTTAGATAGACGACGATGTGGAGACTTGGGTCGTGACTCTGTCGCACGGGCGTCTGACTGAGGAGGACCATTAGACTGCGTAGGTTGTGTTGTGGGCTTGGAAGGGAACAGGCTTGGTTGAGTACTAAGTCTTTGCATCATTGCCGTGGTATTTTGTCGTAATAACGGCCTATGTGGAGCTTTGAATGGATCAGCTTTGACCTGTGGCCGAGTAGGCGACGGAAGATCTGGGACATCATCTTCATCGTCCGAATACATAAGTGCCGTATCCCATTTCGGAGCTTTCTTTCCACCGTCAGCGAAAATATTTCTTGCAGTTGATCCAAGATGCACGCGCCGTGGAGAGAGCGAAAGTGACGCAATTGACATAGGAGATGGCTCAGCCATTTGAATATCGACTGGGGATTCTAGCGCCGACCTAGCACGGGCAAAGGGTGTTCTGTTATATTTTTTACTCGTTTTGCTTTGGTCCGAGGTCGGCGATTCGAGGGAGAGAGCACTCAAATCTGTCGATGAAGGAAAGTCTGTATCATCGGTTCCGACAGAGGAGCGAGAAACGTCATTGGGCGACCCAGGACAATCATCCTCAACCTGTTGTGATTGGGTTTGTATTGTGACCCTCATCTTCTGTAGCTCGAGTGCCACCCGATCTTGCACCTCAGTTTCGAAACGTTTTCGAAGAGATTCAAGCTCCATTTGAACCTGTCGATCAATTTCCAGTCTCGCTTTGACTTCCCACTCACGACGAACCGAATTACCGATATCTATCTTCATCGCAGCCTTTTCTTTATCCATTTGGGCACATCTAAGTTCCAATTCTTTGATCCTCTGTAAAGCTGCATCTTCCCTGGTACGCAAAGAATTTCCCAGGTCAACAACCTCCTTTTCTTTTCTCATTAGCCGAATTACCGGAAGCTTTAATAGCCCTGCCGTATCAGGGCGGTGATCTGGATTGACGCGCAAACAGTTGGCAATAACACTTCTGAGTTCTGGAGAATATAAATCCGGCAAGGGGGGATATCGCCCTTCGCGAATTTTTTGTACTAACTGCAGGTGTGTTCTGGCGTTAAACGGTGGTTCATGGGTGCATAGTTCGTACATTATGCAGCCAACAGCCCAAATATCGGAGTGGAGGGTGTATTTTTCACCAGCGGAAATCTCTGGGGACATATAAAAAGGAGTACCAACGTAAGTTGATGCAAAATCATGAGAGCCCATGAGTTTAGATAAGCCAAAGTCGCCCAATTTTACTGACTGATCCGCTCCAAGGAAAACTATTCTCCATTAAAAAGAGTTTCAGGAAGCATTAAGGTAACAGTTCTTACTTACTGTTTTCCGGCTTTAGATCACGATGAAGAATCATAACCTGAGCTTGCTTCCCTTTTAGCCCCGTTGGCCTTGTGGAGGAGGTGGGGCCAAAGACGTTTGAGCCAACCTCGGGAGGATCGACACCATAGTGGCAGCGATAGAGTGCTGTAGCCAACTGCGAAAGGACGCGCCAGACGTATTCTTCTTCAGCATATTTATTATTCGTTTTGAGGCTTTTTATCACCATGCTGAGATCTCCGCCACCACAATATTCCATGTACAAGTAGAGATCTTGAGTTGCTTTTAAATGTTCCCGATGATAATATGCCACGATGTTTGGATGTCGAAGGGAACTCAGGATGTTGAATTCGGTTGTGAGCTGCTCACGTTCTTTCTGCGACATTTTTATGTAATTGATTTCTTTCCGGCATAAAATCTGAAAATACGTAGTTGTTAATACTATTGCAAGGATGTAGATATAGGGAAATCCATACGTATCCGTCTGACTTCCGCTTCACCTTCCGAATCACCCCAAAAGAACCACTTCCTAACTTGATTTTAGCAAGAATGCAACAATAACAACATTGAGGAAGACATAATTTGTCATACCTATTCTCTCGAGGACCTCATACTTGTCCGCTTCTGCCAATGCGATTGCCATGATGTAATGAATGCTAAAAACCGAAAATTAAGGTACAAATGAATGCATGGACGAGAATTGAGCCAAACAAAACCTGCTATGTTAGTACCATAAGCCGCAGATAGCTGAAGAAGCTGGACGAGAGCTGGCGACTCGGAGTTCGTTGCGGTTGATCAAGGGAAGTCTCATGTTCGCCGACCCAAAAGCGCAATTTGTTGTTTGGGTTCACGTTGTTGCGCGGCAACGAGAGTGGGACGGGGCGCTTAGTCAAAACAGGAATAGTCGTTGCCAAGAACGGGATGTCGGCGGGTATTTAGCCGTTCGCGCTAGGCGAGATGGAGCTAGCGCCTGTTATCGATGACGTTGGTGACTCAGCGCCAACCTTGCCGTTCATCTGATACGTTTCACAACGGACTCTGCGCCTCGAAGCCACAATGGCTGGTCCTGCCGTGCTACGGAAAGATCAGCTAGAGACAAGTTTGTATAACGAGCGAGAACTGATCCGAGCTGGCAAGCTGAAGGAGGATAACCCTCTCGACCTTAGCGATGACTTCAAGGAGTTGTGTGAGGCATGTCGAAGAGGAGACTTAAAAGTTTGCCATGAAAAAATTGCCCTGGGGGTGAATATAAATGGGCGGGATCTTTTTGATTGTACTCCTCTGATACTTGTAAGTGTATTCTCGATGTGGGAGGGAGAGTGATTTCAAGTTTCATCCCGTAGAACAAAGAAATGACAGCGATCTAAAGGCTAGCCTGTGTGGCCATTACGATGTTGTACGCCTTCTTCTTGAATCTGGTGCCTTGTGTGAACGAGATACCTTTCAAGGTGAAAGGTGCAATGGCCCCCTCCTCCCCGTCCAATATGCATTTCATTTGCCCCCGTAGTGCTAATGCCTTTCATTGTTCCAGATGCCTTTACAATGCCTTGAATGACAATATTCGAAACCTTTTATTGAAGTATGACTACTCAAAGGCAACAGACCCTCTGCAACCTTATGCGGCACATATCACATCTTTATTAACAAGGGAACATCCTCGTACCTCGGATATTGTTGTAACTTCAGCGGATGAATCATTTCACTTGCATAAGTTTATTTTATCTGCAAGATCTCCCTACTTTCGGAAGAAGTTACTCAATTTCCCGAATGTATCGACATCGCAGCTACCAATTACTCTTCCGCCGCAGGCATTTAGCGCTGGTATAAGATATCTTTACTTTGGAGACACTCCCCGAGAACTAAGGTCCGGTCCTGGCACTGGTTTCTCTGAGTCTGAAGTCCTAGCCGGGATAGACAAAATTGCTACTCAACTAGGACTCCATACTCTAATGGATACCATAATGGATAGTGGTGATCGAAGACTTGCCAGGCAGCGGAGGGTGGATGAGAGCGCAAAAGGCAGGGATGATATGGAGATATGGTTCCAGGAAAATGTTCTGAAACACAAAATTGTTACCGACACAGACTCGATTGATCAAGTAAAGTGGAGCCGAGACAATATGGTATTCGCTGACGTTCTTCTCCAAGCCGACGAAGATGCTACCGATGCAGTGGAACAGACCGAAATATCTCACGATGGAGGCACGCTTGGGCGCATTCTAATAGGCCCAAAGTTGCAGGCTCGCAAATCTGTCTTATACCCAGTTCATCGGGCAATGCTTCTCCGCTCCGAATTCTTCCTCGCTATGTTTTCTTCCGGATTTCGGGAAGCGCAGATGTCTGAGCATTTGCAGGTCATATCCGTGGACTGCGCCCCTGATGTATTAGAGATAGTACTGACTTTTCTATATACCGAAAAAGCGAATTTCCCGCTTAATGTGGCCATTGATGTTCTTTATGCAGCAGATCTGCTCATGATTGAAAGACTTAAAAACAAAGCAGCACTGATTATCAGCTCTCTGGGTAGCGGAAACACCAATCCGCTTGAGTCTAATCTTTTGAATGGTGCCCCTGCAGCCGATCAGCTCTCAGCTGATATGGCCTACGGGTTAGCCTTGAGCGAGGCTGAAGAAGACGAAGAACCCATTGATATTTACGAGATTATGCGCGCGGGCTGGTTTACCCGTGTTCAGCGCTTAGAAGAATTTGCAGCCCGATATTTAGCCACCAGGCTGGAGAAACATATCGACAGGCCTGAATTCGAACAGTTGGTGCTAGAGTCAGCGGCACGTATTGAGAAACGACACAAAACAGACACTATTGAATTGATCGACGATATTCGATACTACCTCGATGATCGATTTCGAATGCGCTTCGAAGAAGACTGCTTGTTTGACGAGATGGAGGAAAATTCGGAAAAGGTTGTAGCGGAGCTGCGCGAGGCCATCACGGAACCCACATCTAGTTCGAATTCTTCCAACACAGACACTCCATCATCCTCTTCGTCGGATTCTCGGGCCGCTGGAACCCTAAATCCAGAAAACATCGGCGACTTCAAAGTCGAGCTGTCTGGGCACGCCCCCAAAGAGAGCCCCTTCAGCCCCCAGATCCGGAGTTTAAGCAAACAGCCGCCAGTCTCTTCTTCCACGTTTTCGAGGGACGCTGCGAACTATCAACTTCTCCAAAGAAAGCTAGATATCCTACTGGAAAAGTTAAATCTGGATGCTTGAGTGTATCCGTACTCCGTCTATTTTTTTAAAAACCATGGCGCAGGTAGCGATAAATGTACAATACACCGTGCTACTGCAATCGAGTTGACACGACGATTGGCTGCTTTTCGCCCCTTTTGTATATATTTTCATGTCTGCTCCATATGTCTCACTACTCCCGTATAGTGAGCAAGATTGAGAAGTGGGCGCTAAACGAAGTATGTCTTAACGAAATAACTACTATGAATTGTGGCCATCCGTACTAAAGAGATCCCACTACAGTACGGAGTAGTTAGCTACACGCCAGTCTGGAAAGTTTGGTTTGAGTGTTTAAGTGTTCAATAGATTATAATTTATTGTAAAAACGCCTCAAAAAGGCGATTCAAAAAAAAGAATCGAAAGTTGATAAAGTAATACATTGTGAGAAGTGTCAAAAATAGCAAAAAGATCATGCCGCTTTCCGAAAATGTTATTTCCTTTCGCCCCCTATGCACCACATATGAAAAATAGACGGTTACGCCACCAGACTTCTGCCTTGCTCCGATGTCCAGGATGTATTTTGTACAAAATTCATTCTTTGTTGTCTCTATCCAGCCACTACCAGAAGTGGGTCGGCTGCCAGAATGGGCCGACAGTCAGCTCGCGCAGCCCACTTAGTTGACCAAGGCCGCTTGTGCTGTTGCTCTTCCAGGATGGCAGCCTCTCTCATGTCGCTTCATGTTGCTTCGCACACTGAACGCCTTGCCGCAGCCAGCATGAGGACATCGGAAGGGCTTTTCGCCAGTATGGCTATGCGAGTGAATGCGGAGACTAGAGGGCCGAGAGAAGGCTTTGTGGCAGATTCGGCAGATATACCGATCGTGGTTGAGTGGGTATGCAGTTGTATTTGACGGAGGAAAGTAGTGATGATGTTGCCATGCAGGTCCTCTCAGGGGAAGCATCTGAGGTTGTGTGGTTGGGGTTGGAATGACAGTAAATGCGATCGGAGGGAAGCTGCCAGTTCGCGTAGCGGGAGTGTAAAACTCCGGACCAGCTGAGGGTTGCTCAGCTGGGGCGGAGAACGCTGGGGAATTTGCCTGTGGTGGTGATGGGTAACGAGTCTCGGGGCATGGAGCTTGAGAATGCGAAGTCGAGAGTCCTCTTGAGTGGGGCGAGTTTTGAGACATCCGTCGGGCTTCTGGGGCCTCTGAAATCGGTGACGGGTAACCACTAACGATGCTAGGTAGGGAGATGGCGCTGCGCGGTGGTGACGAGATACATTGAGATTGGTTGGTAGTCATGCTTGAATCGGGTCTCAGAGGAGGCGTGAGCGGCAAAGCAGGTCTCAGTCTGGCGGCGGCGTCATCATGATGTGCATTTCGACCTTTCAGACTCAAATCAATCTGGGGAGGGTTTGTTCGTTGGCGCTCTGGCTAGATGTTAGATTTCCAGAAAGGTCGCATACAAGGAAATTTTGGGGAGCGCCATACTCGCAACATGAGTGTCAGCCACCCCGCTGACCTCTCGAAAGAGAGACGAAATAGAAGGTAGAGAGCATTTTGGCTTTCCGTCATCCTCTGACGGCGACAGTGGAAATCTAGTGGCTCTGCTATATGGAGAAGCGGACGGCGTGCGCTCTTTTGGAGCTCTATGGGGGATAGACGGAGACCGTAGTCGAGTGAAATATGAGCTCGTAGGTCCACGGAAGGGCTCTGGCTGCTCGCAGCTGATGAGGCTAGCCACGTTCATATTGATAGCTGTGCCTTGCAGGGATCTGGGTGTCTCGAAGGCAGAAGCAAAGGAGAGGAATATCAGAAGACTAGGGATATCTGGTCTGGGTCCTGGTGTGTGGAATAGCAGTGGGAAAAATGCGGTGATATAACCCGTCCAGGAAGGCTGAAAGCGGTTGAGGTGTGGACGTGGATAGGGGACGGGGGCGGGGGGTAGCGGGCGAGGAGGATATTAATACGGGAAAAACAAGTAATAATTGATGACTGCGAGTTTGCTGATATCAGCCGAGATGAGAAGATCGACCAAGGCTAAGGGATCTTTCACGGCGTCAGCGGGGTCAGTGTCGCTCATCAAAACGGGAATAACGATTGGGTATAAGAGTTGGTAATAATACTCTAGGTAAAAAACGGGGGTAGGTTGGAGCATGGGGGCAACGAGGTTGGTACGAAAAGAAATAATGAACGGCCGTATTAAAAGGCGAGAAAAATAAGAATAAACCCAAACTAAAAGTCGCCATCTGGCGGAGGTTCCCCAGAAGGTAACTCTATATTTTAGCCGGTTCCCAAGTGACCGGGGAAAACGAGGCTGGGCGATCGGTAAAAACCACGAATGATTGGAAGGCAGTGCGGAGAACCAAAAAAAACTCAGGCGTTGTGATCACAATGCAAGCCGTAACCATCGTGGCCGTTCTCTTCCGGTGGACCCGGGTCGTGATGGCAGGGAGGCGAGCCTGTTCCCACCCCCAGGCCCAGGGCTGGCGTGTCGGGACGCAGGCGAGCTGGCAAACAGGGCCAGCGGCGGGCCACACAGCAGAGGGATCTAGCTCCCGTACTCCGTCCTCCGTACTCCCGTAGGCGATACGACCTTGGACTTGCTGCGTTGGTGCTAGTTCGGGGGGGAGGCTATGCTCCCTGGCCGCCCAGGTGGGCAGAGGAACGTGGGCGCCGAGCTGTGACATGGGAAGAGCACAGCGCGCCACTGGAGTGCCTCGTGGGAAGCTAGCCCGGGCAGGCTTAAGCCAACGGCAAGGGGATTTTTGGCATGCGAAGCCATCACGGATCGTCGACCCAGGATCCATGGGACCAGTGAGGCTTGAGCCATGGGGTGATTAACGAATATCGAACCTTAAGCGGCGGCGCTGACTGGCTGGGTTAGCGAAGAAAAGCATGCAAATATAGGAGCAGAGTTTGGGGATGATCCTCCCAAACAGCACCTAGCGCAGATCGATGCGAGCCAACCGCGGACGGGATGATGTCGAGACGGCGCTGCTGGGTTGGGGCGAGGGGCGTGCCGCTAAGCTGCAGGCCGCGATGGTTCGCCGCGACCACGCCTGCGCGCAGTGGAGCTGTGCTGCTGCTGCTGCTGCCGGCCGTCGCTGGAGCTTCGCCGGAGCAGCGAGCTGGACGTGCGCCGGCGCCCAGCTGGCGGTGTTCTGGGCCCCAAGACGCGCCAGCGCACACGGCGGGGTGGCAGGCGGCGATTGGGGCGACCCAGGGCAGCCACGGGCCGTAGAGTTTGTATCAGAACCCTCCCGGTTGTGAAACGGGCACGGCGGCGACGGTGGTGGAGAGCAGCAGGAGGAGGAGAAGGAGAAGGAGGAGGAGGAGGAAGAGGAGGAGGAGGAGCAACGAGAGGAGGACGGGCGACGATCGGCAGCCGAAGTCGACGCAGAAGGAAGCGGGGGCCGTGATTGGGCGGTACCGCGCATTACGTACATGCGGCGCCGCGTGGTAAGGCGCTAGTCCGGGGTAGGTCTAGCGCGCTGGGCGGCGGGCGGCTCGCCGCGTACAGGACGGACGCCGGTTCCGTACCATACCGTGCCGCGCGCTGCCGCCACGGCCCCGGGCCCTTGTAGCCACGCCGCCCCCGCCGCCGCCGCGGGTGCTGCGTGGTCTTTCCGTCTCCGTTTCAGATCCTGCATTGTTCTGGAAACGATCGACGGCGGCGAGGGGAGGCAGAGGTCCCACGGAGCTGATCGCCCGCACGTCGCGAGGCCGATCCGCGCGGTGTGGCCGTCGCGTCGCACACGCCTGCAGAACGGCCGTCGCGCTCGCTCCGCAGGCGCTGGCCTCGCCGGCGCGCCATCAGCACGCTGCGCGCGCGAAGCTTTGGGCGTCGTGCTTCCAGATCGCCCGCGCGCCGCGATCTTGGGACCCAGGATCATGGCTCTTGCCCTTCCGCGCTGCTAGCGGCTTAGCAATTCCCCCCTTGGGATAAGTGCCAAGCGGCGGGTCCATAATGCCCGCCCCACGCCGCCCACGCCCGCCCGACCTGGATGTCAAAAATAAGTCCCCCGGCAAGTCTGAATAATAGCAATAATAATAATGTTGATAATTCTCCGACGCAGACACGCCAGACCGGCATGCCACGCCCAGGGGCTTTGCTGGCCCGCAGCCTTCTTTTTCTCTTGTCGTGCTTCTTGTCCAGGGGGAGGGAGTGGGGGAGGCAGACGCGGACGCGGACGCCAGTAGTGTGCCTTGCGAGAATTTAACTATGCTTGCCTAACACGGCAAATGTTGGTGCCCGCACGCATGTTTTCTTTTTCCGCCTGATCGCTCACGTTGGATGATCTTCCAAATCGCCCCGTGCCGCTGTGACTTGTCACAATTCAACGCTGCTGCCCATCCGCCGTGGGCCAAAAGGAACACCAAATCGCTTATTTCTACGATTGGGGGTCTTGTGGGCGCTGCCCGGCAGAAATGAAATCCCCCCCAGGGGGCGTGGGTGCTGACCCTCACATACCACCGTGGATAGAGTACGGAGGCACCTACACTAGTTAGCTACTAGTTACCTATGGACGCCGCACAGCACAGGTGCACAGCTATCTTTGGCACCTGACAACGCTTGGGACGCATTCTTCGCAAAAGCAAAGTAAGCTGTCTCGGGACGCTTGCTTGGTGCAGGCCACCAAGACGCTGCCCTCTCGTATCTCGTGGGTGCCATGTGGCCGGCAAAGCGAGATCCGGCCATGTCATCCTCGCTCCCTGGACGCAGCCTCTTCTTCTGTGTGCAGGCCGCACTTCCGTCCCACACTAACACCGTTTGGGCCATCTGTCGCCAGGGCGTTGTTGCGCACAAAGGCGCGGATCCCTTGCCTGCATATCGGCTCGAGCCTCCATTGGCGCACTCAAGCGAGAGCACTGGAGATCACTGGCAGCAAATCTCCCGACCAACAACTCTGTTGATCTTTTTTCAGACACCCCCCTCCTTGCCTGATGCCGTCTATTATTATTATTTAATATTATTATTTTTGTCGCACATCGTCCGTCCTTGGTAGATCGCTGCTCGGGCGATTACGCAAGGTGGTGGTAGCGGAGGATTCGACGCCGGGCAGGTGGCTGTTAATCCCAATTCTTCCCTTTGAAGCAGTACAATGCCACCTCACTCCCAACTCCTACCTGCCAATACTCCTTCTGCAAGGCTCAGTCGATGTCTCTTGGGCTGCTGGCTGGCAAGGCAGTGATCCCTGGAGGCCTGAAACGGAACATTCTCTCCATGCCGAGTGGCTGAAAATTTCCGACACGTACGGCCACGCGGTATTTTACAGCCTCGGAACCGGCAACTGACCAGTCAGGGACAAAGCCGTCCCACGGTATCGATACGGGACAGGTCGTACCAATACCAAACCGCCGTATTGGCCACGCGGGTCTGTCAGCCTCCTCTGCCCGGGTAAAGCTGGATCCTGGTTGCACCATTGAATTTCCTGGCCCGCGTGTCGGTCAGGGATCAGAAGATGACCTGCGAGTGCTAAGAATAATTCATTTACCTTACATAAGTCGCACTTATCTACATACCGACCTCCGCTGGTGTCGTCGTGTTAGGCTCCCACCGTCACACGCTCGCGATCACGGCCGTTCTCCGCGACCCAGGATCGAGAGCCAGATGCACCGCGTCGCGCGCGCAGATCGACGCTGTGCCATCACGCAGCGATCAACGGTTTGTTGTGGGAGAATGCGATTGTCCTGCGCAACCGCCAGAATTGCGATACGCGCGCCCCGACCGCCGGTATCTAAGGTTCGCTAGCGCGCCCCCAGGGACACGGTCCATGCGCCCCGCCCAGCCACAGCTCCCGCGGCTACCGGCTGGTGATTGGCGGGCGGGAAAGGGGGGGGAGGGTGGGCGGTGGCCGATCATCCTCATGGGCCACGTGTTTTGTAAAGTCTGATAAGTGGGCCCGCTGCCGGTATCGCTAGTACGGGGCGTGCAAACACCGAACGCCGGAAACAGTCGCTAACAGCAATACGGAGCGTGAGCTGATCATGATTCATCCCGCAGTGTTTCAGGTTGCGGACGGACGGCGTTCATTTCTCTGGCCCTGCGGCCGACTTTGGTATGTCTGGAAACCGGTGCCCTGGCCTGAACCGCCCATCACTTGCGAAAAGCAATGATACCAGCATGGCTCATGCAGTGGCATCTGTGATTCGACCTGAATATGATGAGCTAAAAATTCCAAGCACATACCAGCTGCCCCAAGGTTAAAAGGCCCCCTCCAATTACTACTACACATCCACGCATACCACAGTACGGAGTAAAGCCCACATCATCGCTTGGAGAGCGCTGCTCGATGGCAAGTTGTTCTTAGTCGCCCGGTCAAAAAACGAAGGAATTCCTGGGAAAATTTGGCGGATCTGTTGCAGCTTTGCCATTCCGGTTTGTCGACCCAATTCCGATCAACTCATGATTTGTTGTTGGATCGATACAAACCGCCGCTATCGCCATAGCACGTCGATCAGCGATCCACCCCAGCGCAAACCATTCTTTGGTGACAGCGGAGCTGTGGTTTTGGTGCGCCGTCTGACAGGCCGCGCAAGAGAACGAACGGCATTGTATTTCCATTTTCCACAAACGTCAATTGCATCGGATAGGGTTTTGCCCGTCGACCAGACACCCCCTGTTTCAAAAGTAAGCATCATAGTCTCAGCCAGGATTGAGGGGAGGCAGCAGCCTGCAGGGTTCGCTCCTTCAAACCCAACATCGCATTTGAGCGGACTACTTGTCACTTCGCATGCTGCAATTGG